GAGAATAAAGATCACTCTCTGCGGAGCTTGTAGAGATCATTGAACTCCGGAGTTCAAAGGCGGATTTCTTTTCCTGCCTTGTGGGGCAACGGAAATTAAAAGCAGAGTAGTGAGGACCTCAGCAGCTCAGCTTCATCTTACCTACATACAGACAATAATAATGGCATTCTGTCGCCCATAATGTGGATCATGACCTGCTGCCATGCATGAGCATTCTGCAGAAATGGCAGCATCGAATACATTGATGAGTTGCGTCATAGATGGGGCGAAGTGAAGACCGGCTTTTGGGAGAGAATGGGACTGAGGGAAATCCCCGGGAGCTTGTCAGGAACAGGATCCGATTCAAGATTGCTCTCCTGCACCAAAAATGGCTGGGAAAAGGACGGGGGTGCAGAAGTAAGAAAAAGGGTACTGTACAGAGTATAACTTAGCGCTTTCTCGTATTAGGGGCAGAAAATTGTCCTTTGAAATCAGCTAGGTAGTGTTAGCTCTGACTGAGGGTCAAAACCTCAGTAGTAACCCCGCCCAGGATACTATCGTACTTTTTGCACTTATGCCAATCCTTTTGCTGACTTCGGGTCAGTGCTAACCCCCTAAGAGCGAAAGGGCTAAAAAGGGCTGAAAGCCCTAAACGCGATTAGGAGACAGCCTAAGACACCCCAGAGCGGGCCGAAAGACTGGCACCCGTCCATAGACTCCAAACTATCAGGTCCATCTGCTACAAGCGGGGCGGCGCCGCGGCCCGGGGAGAACGGAAGGACCGTTTTGTCATCAAAAAGCAAGGTTCACGATCGTCCTGTCCAAGAGTGTCACCCAAAGTTCCAGACCCCCCGCTGGCGTGCAACCACCGCCATGCCCATGTCGTACTCCGATCCCAGATCACACCCCCTCTGATTGGTCAATGGCTTCGCATCTCTCCCGACAGGCAAGAACCGATCTGACTTCCTGGGATTACGTTGGTCCTCCTAGAGCATCCATGTCCGGGGACCACTCCGAACCCTTCAGGTACAAAAGTACACCGAGATCCTCCTGTCTCATCTCCTCATCTCCCCTGTATTTCCCATTCCCTGGGGCTGACGCCTCCCAGGGACAACGGGCCAAGGGCCAGGTTGATGGGTTAGGGATCCTTGCAAGTTGAAAATTAGCTTGATCCTCTCGGCGCCATCTTTACCGTCCATACGGAGTTCATTCGTAGCTTTTGACGGGCGCTACGAGACATGACAGTTAACTCCTTCACAGTATCTTAATCATCCGCGGAGGATTTCATTTAGATCTCCTTTTGAGCTTACGTGGGCCTCCGGAGTCGCTCGTTGTTTGTGTACGGGGTATATCCAGGAAAAGTCGAGAATGGACTAATTACTGCCGTACTTTTTTCAGTTCAAAACCTCAACAGAGATTCAACAGCAGGATAGCCCTCGCACCCCGTTTCCTCTTCGGGAATGTCATTTGACCGTGCATCGGATTATCCAGGGATTTGTCATCTGCGTGTTGAACTATAGCAAGTGCATTACCTGATCATTAAATGCTATTTTCAAGACGCTCCAACCCGCGATAAGTAGCGCTTGCCGCGAATTCTACAAATAGAAGCGGCACGCGAATCTATTCCTCCCACTGCGTCAGACCAATAAACACTGCTGCCGGATGTCTCTTCCCATTTTCCGTATATTGTGTAAATGAATACACATCCACGACCATGGATTAAGTGAATAGATCCATCCCGGTCGGCCCGAGCCTCTGCAGGACTTTGCATGCAGCGATGGCTACTATGGGTAAGTGTGCATGTTGTACGACACTCCACCTGCACATACGATATGATGGGTATACCGACTGGGTGAGATACAGCAGTTTAGATAATCAATTCTCCGATGGATGTTGCTATTTGGAAGAATGCGAAGATAGTTCGTGGGGTAGAAGAACATCCCTACTAGCGCAAAGCAAGCATCAGGGTTTCCATCGCTTCTAAAAATGATACTTCCAAACAATGTTCCATGATATTTGCAGCTTACGATTGGTTCCGGCGGGGGACAAGGTAGTTAGAGAGGAGTTGTAGCTGGAGGCTGGATACTACCAGTATGTTATTCTTCGATCCTTCTTGATGTAACATCGGCGAGTCAACCTATTCATGTAAGTAAAAAAAAAAAAAAAAAAAAAAAAAAAAAAAAAAAAAAAAAAAAAAAAAACCAAAGAAAGAAAGTAAAAAAAAAGCGAACTATGGAGCTGCCTCCCAATGTTGCTCGAACCACAGCGTGTCCGAGTCCCAAGTATCGAAAGAACCATAGAACCAGTCTTTATGGTTCACGCAACTTCCGCAGAGCCTTTCCCCGGTAAACCCAGTTGTGTCCTCAATGCGTCCGTGAGCTTGACAAGTCCAAAAATGTCTGTAAGAGCTCATATCAATGGGGAACCGATAGAGTTCCGGCGATCTACCAAACCTGCGAGTCACTCGATTTGGGTTACAGGACCTCTCCCCATGTGTTATCGCAAGAGTAAAGTTTGAATTTGACTACATCGCTCTATCCGTAAATTGCCTTCAGTAAGGGCAGTAAGGGAGAGGAAAGAAAACTTCCGTTTCGAAAATAATTTTAAGTGTGTAGTTTATCATCGGTAGAGTTTCGCGGTCAGACACACTGAATTCCCACCCACTGCCGAGATCGCTCGAAAAGTCTGCAGCCATGCGTTAGCTCCGAACCTATCTTACTCGAAACATCCCTGTCTTGCGCTTATGACTGGCGCAGGACAATAGCATGGCTTAACCGGGTTGTGGATCTCGCATGCACTGGCAGTTCCGCTGCCATGGAAGTCTTCCCATAGCACATGATTCAGTCGAGCGTGATTTGCTCGTCAAGTGTTCGCTAAACCGACTCAGGTCTGTGGACCACGAAGCTGGGCCTTTGATTGGTCCCAGAGATTATTATAGAGTAGGGATGTTCCATGTATTTGGAATGTTGATCTTATGATATCAGATTTTCTTTTTTCCTTTTCGGAGTTGTGATGACGGCAATCAGAGGGCTGTTTTCACCTAGTATAGTACTTTGTTCGATTTCTTAGGAGAATTCTATATTTCTTTCCATCTTATTTTTATTTTATTTTTTTTATCCCTTTTTGGAATCATCGCATTCGTTTTTCCTTGCTTTTTCCGTCAACGTACTTTAGTCTCGTCTTATTCCCACCCTCCCCGCCAATCTCCCCACACTCGACCGAATATCCCCTTCGTAGCCCTGCTTTCATCTTGAGCCATGAAACTGACGTCTATACTCAATAGTCACGTTTACTCTCCTGGAAAATATTTCCACTTCGCCCTCCACGAGCATCATGACGATCTACACTGCGCTGCATGATCTGCACAGAAGGAATAATTAATCTAGTGATGTAGCTAGGCGTTGCTCAGAGGTATACCTACACCTTTGCCTTCTGAATCATTTACGGCCCATCGTCATCTTGACTCTGTATTCAAGTCCAGAGACTAGCCTGACGGTGTTCAACAACGGTAGACGTTTCCCGTCGGAGAATATAGTACAGTGTGCTCAAACCCCTCCCCCTGCCACTAAAATATACTTTTGAACTACTGTAAGAATACACCAAATATATATATATTTATTTTTTAAAAAAAAATAAAAATAAAAAATAAAGAAAAACATTCCTAGCGCCAGCAAATGGAAAAAGAAAAAGAAGGAATTGGAAAAAAAAAGGGACAAGGAATGTGGAAAAAGAAAAGTGGCCGGTAAGGCACATTGACAGGTCAACGTTCTAACGACTTTTCCAACGGAATCTACGTAAGTAAGTGTGTACTATGTATATCAGAGATGATGAAATGTGTTTCAGTTTCAGGATCTCTGGGACCCAGTTTCGTTCTTCGTGGCTATTTGTCTATCTATCTATTGATCTAGTGTCGGCTAGGGTATGTACGATAGAGTTTTGATTTTCTTTATTTCTTTCTTTGCGTCTTTGGATTTGAAATAATATTTGAGGTCTTGTGAGATCTTTCCCCGTTCGCCCAAAGTACCGTGCATATGGAAGGTTCTGTTCGGTTCAATAGTTGAGGATTTGCAATGTTGGGGGACGGAGATATTTCTAAACTGAGTCAGAGGATGTTGGGGCGGCGATTGGTTCGGGATCTGCACGGGTACCGGGGGTTGCCCTTTAATTGGAAACTCTTCTTTTTCTGCACCCTTGTTGATTAGTACTATTAGTTGATATTGTGGTTGTGTTGTTTTGGATGCTGGTTATTTATGTGAGACGGTTGGGGCGGTTTCTGGTTAGAATATGCTTATATCATTGCCGAGGTTTCAACTATAATAATAGTAATAGTAATATTATAATAGAATATGAAGGACTTCTACAGATGGGAACTGAAGGTCGAGTAAGCAAACTAAGTGCTAAGAAGAGGAATGACCAGGGTTGGCCTTAACCAATCAATCCAGGCGTTTAGAACATGGCCATAACAACCCAAGCCACATCCCCCCTCCAAAAGTTAATCTCAAACAAGACACTTCCATCGTGGCTGAAATGCACCATCCATGTCAACTCCCACTGCAGAGCTCCACTGCGGTGCGGCTGGACAAATAGTCCTCGGCCAGCTGTTCAAGACCCATTAAACTAATGTGGGTTAGAATGGGGAATCTTCGACGTTGGTTCTACCTGTACCAAAGAGTAAAGCCGTCGCTGGAGTTGACATACTCGAGTGGCTCTTGCGAACTTCTTCCTCAGGCAAGGCCGTCCCTGCAGCCGCATGATGATTGATCGACTGAACTATCAGAATCTAGAGGAGGTAAAAAGGCCCACACTGGGCCTGACGCAAGGAACTGGTCAATGTCGTTTATTTGAATAACTATCTGGTGGGCGGACAGGGGACCGCGATCTCGTTATGACGAAACGGCCTGAGCGTTTTCTATCATGCTGACTGCTTACTTGATATCTGTTATATCTGTTTACTGATTCAACTCTTCTCTGACTGTATGCAGGTCCGCGTAAAAGTTGTAGGGGTGGTTGGTCGTTAGTATTAATACATATACAGTGATAAACACATCCAACCAATCAATCACCCGCCAAAAGGAACTAACTCCATTGTACTTCTACAGATTAACTAACAAACAGTCTCGATCTAAACAACCGATCTACCCGCCTCAACCCAAAATCGAAATCACCACCAAAACCTATCTATCTCCATATCAAAACCCGAACACAAGAAAATAAGAAGAACATAGACATAATAAAGAGCAGATCGCCTCCGCCCAAATCTCCCCATCTCCGAATATACAAACCCCAAACACCGCCGGAGATCTCTGCCAACCAACCAAAGACAGGGGTCAATCGCACAGCTCCATTATCGGATCCCACGATGGGACGCCCCAAGACTGCACGAAGCTGAAAATAGCCAGCCCGAGTGGATAGAATACCCACGACACGACGGCACTGAAGAACTCAAAAGGCCCGTCCTCTGACCCGATTACCAGGTCGTCCTGGAACGGGATATGCAGGATCGATTTCCGTCTGGTTTAGTCTGATCCCAGTGTCTGTTGGTGGGTTAACTTCTTTAGTTCGGGTTTTGCGATTGGGGGGTTTTTTGGTGGTTTCTGTATGGTTCTATTATGTTGTGGTGAGCGAGTTAGCGGCTTTTTTGGGGGGGGGGGGGAACTTGGGGTTCCCACATCCCCACACTCTACCTAGAGATCTGTCCTACCTTCGGTAGACAAAGAAAAACAATAGAAATAAATAAAATACAGAATGTGGTCGTATCGAGTCTATTATGTCGTGCTGAGATTTAGTGAGATTTAGCTTGGATGAGTGAATCTGGATCCTATGACGATAAAAAGACCCACGGACCATGACTATACTGTATGTATACTGACTGTATGTATGCATTCCATATGCCATAGTTAAGTGACGATGTGTAATTTTTTTGCCAGTACTTTCGAATTTTGATCTTCGGAAGTATGCCGGCCCATGCCAGTACTACCCCTCCATTCAGCTTTCATTTCTCCTTGTTTCCCCTCTCTGTCTGCCTCGATCTCCGTGCCTCTCCATCTTTCTTTCTTTCTTTCTTCTGTCGTCACGCACACGCCACGCGAGATAGCCTCACGATCATCGGTGATTATTGAAATTAGCGAAGCCTCATGATAGAGCCACCACGCAAGGAGGTGAACTCTATCCGCCATGCGTACTATGAAAAGATGCTAATATTAATATTTCTAATATAATGCGATCGAAAACGACGTAACTCAATGCTATCCATCTATCTATGGATTTTAAAAGAACTGAGAAATGGCTGGCAGGCGGTTAGATCCCTCGAAGTCAAAAATTCCCGGGCCAAATAATGGGGACTCTCGGCCGGGGGTTTATTTGATAAGACAGAGTAGGGGGATAATTAAGGGACATTGAAATGTTGCCGAGTTCGATATTCGAACCATAATAAATCAAATCGGGTGGTTCCGACTACTGCATTTCACCCAGAGTATATGTATGGCAGTATGCAGAGAGTGACTGCAGTGACTTAACAGGGGATCCCCTACACCGCTATTGTTGACACATCGGTTTTTTTTGGCTTTTGTGAATATTGTTTGGCTTGGTTTTCTCTAATTATTTCCACTTGAACAGTTGCTCGCAATTACAGTCATGTGTTGGCTATGTGCAGTAACTTTTCGTTTCAATAAGCGAAGTATATAGACATCCAGAGAAAGAAGGCAACCAGAAATTAATTAAATAAACTCCTTCCGACGCCATGGGTACGAAAGCGATCATCGTCCCGTACTTTTGGTTCCTCGTCTAAAAAAGAGAACGTCTGATTCTCGGAGCTCGTATACCAAACCATCGATCCTTCCAAAACAACCCCTCTTCCGTGCGCACAGACGCTTTATGGATCGTCTAAATGTTGGTGTATGCAAGTTCAGCCAACATGGAATCCTCACCTGGTCTCCGACTAAAGATCCAGATTCGAGCGGTTGGCCCCGAGACCGTAGAAGCGCCTCTCTCACATTTGCCCCAGCCACTCACATGCCTCCTTCGCTTGGAGGGGGGGGGGGGAACCCTGATTTACTGTACGATGGCAAGACCTTCGTTATCAAGTAGACCTGCCTCCTTGACCAGTTCGTAGAATTTACCGCCACGCTTAATCAGTTCAGCAGGCGTGTCAAATTCGGCCACTCGGCCCTTGTCCAACACGACGATTCGGTCAGAATCAATGATTGTGTTGATGCGATGCGCAATGGTGATAATAGTGCGGTCCTGGAAGATACTACTGCGCAAGGTGCGTTGCAGTAATGCATCCGTTTCCACATCCACAGCCGCCTAAAGTGGCCGTCAGTAAATAATAATAAAATCGAGCAAAAGGCGGTAGAGGCGGAAAAAACGGTGTAGTAAAATTGGCCACTTACTGTCGCTTCATCAAGAACCAGGATATTGCTAGGCGTCAACAACGCTCGTGCTAGAGACACCAGCTGACGCTGGCCTTGACTCAGATTGGCTCCTATGATGCCATGTTAGCCCAGCCGTAGGGAAGTCCAACGTCACGCTGATGCAAGCGAGACAGGCGGCCAAATTCCTTACCTCCTTCTTGAATTCGGGCATCCAGCTGGCCGTCCATGCTAGCAACGTGATCTTTCAGTCGTGCATGTTCTGCAGGTTAACAGGTTAGTCAACCATTCACTTTCTCCCATATGCAAAGAGTTGAGCCCAACGTACCAAGCACACTCCACAGCTCTGTGTCATCATGCGCATGACGAGGGTCCAGGTTGTCCCGTACGGTACCCTCGAACATGGCCGGGTCTTGAGGAATGATGGCAAGGCGGCCTCGCAAGTCAAACAAACCAATAGTAGATATATTTAGCCCATCGATGCTAGAAACCAAGTTAGCGCAGCGCCAGTATGAACTGTCGGGCAGCAGGACTCACCTAATATTGCCACGATCTGGCTCGATGATGCGGAAGAGCGCCAGAGTAAGGGAACTCTTTCCTGCACCCGTGCGGCCAACAACGCCAATCTTTTCGTGAGGTTTGATATCAAGATTGATATCCTTGAGTACAAGGTCAAGCCCAGGACGGTATCGTGTGCTGTAGTTTTTGAAAGACACCGCGCCTTGCGCCGGCCAGCCAATAGCTGGGCGGTGCTTGAATATCACCTCAGGCGCCTCACTTGGTAGGTTAGCGTACTCCAGAACACGTTCCACGGACACGATGTTGGTCTCGACCTCGACCGTCTGGCGGACAATCCAGTTCAGAGACTGGGTAATTTGAAGGGCGTAAGACATGGCCAAACCGACCATTCCCGCTGAAATATGGCTGCCAGTGGCGACGGAGATAATAGAAAGCGCAGCAGAGGACAAAATAATGACAGAACCAATGAATTCGAGGCGAACTGCCAACCACCTGTTCGCGCTAATGGAAGGGAAGTAGGCGCGAAGGTTTTCATCCATGCGCCACTCGTTTTCAAGGGTAAATCTGTTTTCTTGTTTATAGGCGCGGATAGTCGAGATGCCTCCAAGGGATTCTTGGAAGTGAGCAAAAATGGGGCTGCGTGTGACACTGTCCAAGCGCTTCAACTCTCGAGATGTCCGTAGGTAGTACTTTTGATAACTAAGATAGATGTAGCCCAAGGGTACAATCAAGAGGATGAATGCAGGCGTTGACGATGAGATAACACCCATCGTGAACAATGCTTTCGCAGTGTTCCCAAACAACTGGAATCAAATTAGCGCCAAGTTGCAATTAGAAGGATACGAGGCTGGTATACCATATTAAATGTGCGAGCAAGGACTTCATCAATACGATATACATCACTAAACAACATCTGTCAGTTCCGTCGACTCACGTCAATCACATAAACTCACCTTGAAAACCTATTGAGGATTCTTCCTGATGGCGTGGTTTCAAAAAAGCTCATAGGAGAACGGAAGATTGCGAATGCCATCCGCTCGTGTAGTTTCCGAGATGCCTGTCAATGTTTACATTAGTATAGCCACGGTCAGATAGTTAGAAGCAGACGTACTTCAATTGAGCAGAAAATCCATAAAATGAGATTCTGAACAATAACCAAGAGAGAAGATCCCAGCCCGAGAGCTAGGTAGATCCCGATAAATTTGCCAACCTTGGGATTTGCTTGCCTTTCGCTCCCCTCTGACCAATATTTCAGCCAGTAGCTGCCAGCGACCTGAGCTGTCTGAGAACCCAAAAGTGCGACAAGATAGAAACAGACGGCGATGACGTTGCTGTCCTTGGCATATTCTCCGTACACACTCCATTTGACCTTACCTTGCTGCGAGGTTTCCTGAGTTTGCTTGCTCTTCAGAACATTCTCTTCGTCTCCGAGTTTGCGCCTGGGGCCTTTCCAGCTAACGGTGCTGGCGCGTCGCAAAGTCACAGTGCTTGATCTCCGATGAGCGCCAGATCTGATGGGAAGAAGCGAACCAATTTGCTGTTCGGCTTCGTCTGTATCCGAAAGTTCATCGGACTCTACGTTGTCAATTATCGTAGTAGAGTCTGAGCTTTCGGGGCTAGCAAGACCGTTTTCGCTTGAGCTTTCATCGTCCGAGTCGTTCATAGAGGTGCGGATAAGATTAGCAACTTCTCCCTTCATAGCCAATAACTGCTCATAGGTGCCCTTTTCAACCAACGTCCTGTCTCGTAGCAATCCGATAAAATCTGCCTCCTTCAGGACGGGGATAGCATTGGTTGCTAGGATCCGAGTCTTGCTGCTGAGAAGCCCATTTGATCCAAGAACTCTGTTGATAAGATGCCGTCCCACATGCTGATCAACTGCTGACAACACGTCGTCCAGGAGGTAGATATCGGCACGAGCATAGACGGCTCTAGCCAAAGTTAACCGAGCCTTTTGTCCTCCGGAGAGCGAGATTCCTCTCTCTCCAACCTCAGTCTGGTCCCCGTCCGGCAGGTTCTTGAAGTCGTCTAGCAGAGCGCATGCTTCAACTGTAAGCTCATAAAAGTCGGGGTCCCACCGATGCCCAAAAATAATATTCTCTCGAACACTAGCATTCATCACCCAAGGTGACTGTGCGACATATGCGATACGGCCACGAATAACGACCTCTCCCTCCGTTCTCCACAGGTCTCCCAGAAGTGAATGGAGAAGAGAGGATTTGCCAGCGCCAACGCGGCCTACTATGCAGCTGAGTTCGCCCTTGCGAGCACTGAAATTAATGTTCTCCACGACGTGAGCGCCATCGTACCTGTTCCAGGTGAACGATGCGTCACGGATACGCACAGACTCATCGCCGACATGAGACACAGGGTCCTCGTGCTTAACTGCATTAGTTTGTAGTTCTTCCGCGGTGAAATAATCGGTCAAGCGCTTGACAGCCACCGAAGCTTCGATGATTGATGTGATGACCATGGGCAAGATGGCAAGTGGGAAAGTGAGAAGGTTGAAAAGCGTCAAAGCTGGAAACACAACTGATGTCGTCAAAGGCCGAGGGTCCGTTAAGGCATAAACGGTAAACGTAGAGCAGGAGACAAGGAAGGGAGTAGACTGCCATGTGAAGTTTGCCACAGACTGTGTCGCTCCAATTTTGCGAAGGGTGTTCAATTCCAAGTCGTTACGAATGTGACTCAGCTTATTCATAAAGGCGGTGTTCCAGGCATAAAGTTTGATACTCTTGATGTTGTTCAAAATTTCGGTCATCAGCCTGGACCTCGAGTCCTTATTCTTCATCTGGACGAGTTGTAGCTTTTTCATCATACGAGCAATCACACCATTCAAGGGGATCATAAGAATCATGACACCGATACCCGCAAACATGCTCACACCAACGAGCTGGTAGAGCGACAGCATGCAAAGGGTGATTTGAAAGGGCGCGGACCAGAGTTGCGTGCCAAATTGGGTGAGATCAGCCAAGCGCTGTTGGTCCACAGCCATATGATTGACGATATCGCCAGTGGTCTTTGCCGAACGGCCCTCGCTTGAAAGTCGAAGCGACTTGGAATAGATCATGGCCGTCAGAGAAGATTTCACGCGCATACCAGTGTCAAAGGCTCGCTGGAAGTACTGATGGAGGCACATAGTCTGCGATACTGAGACAAGGAACATTGCCAAGGCAATAGCAACACCTCTTATAACTGGCTGGGGGTCGTCGGTTTCATACGACTTGATGAACTCAATCAAAACGCGCAGAAGCTGAGGCTGGACAAAGGAGAGCACGTCGCTTCCACACTTAATGATCGCACCTCGGATATACGGACGACCAAAGGACTTGAACAGTGCTAGCCACAAGGATGGTTTGCTCTTTTGCAGTTCCTGTTCCCAATTTTCCGCCAAGGCCTCCCCAGTGACACGAGTAGTATCACGGTGCCGGAGGTTCCAGAGGTCATCTTTGGTCAAATAGTTATTATAGCCAAACTTCATCATCGGCGTCATCCAGCCGAAGGTGAGCACCGAGAAAATGTCCGCATACTCATAAGGACACTCATCTTCGTCGCCCAGTGCGTCGTAGGCACTCTGCTTTTTGGGCACAAGGTATTCCAATCCAAACTCCAGTAGCGCGAGCCCCAGGCTTATGTTGAAACAAACGAAGTATGGGAGGTTATCTTCATAGGTCCGTCTTGCAACAAGCGACCGCAATTTAATTCCGTATGCGATGGAAAAGAAAAGCCAGTAGAAGAGCACAACACCGTTGGGTTGCCTACTCCGCCAATGCTCATAGTATTGGACTGTGAATATCACACAAAGAGAAGCAAACACAAAGATCGTACTCCAAAACTGAACGTCAGCCAACCAGGTATTTGCAAAAGCTTCGACTTGAATCGCTGCCTGAAGAGCCGTGGTAAAGATCAAAGCAGATAGCACGATCTGATTCAAACGTGAAGTTAGCCCTGGATTAAATGTACTCATGAGGATTTTGAAACCAACCAGCTTAGTGTAAAAATGCCAGTTCTTCGACACCGGCTGGGGGATTCGTCTTTTGAGCAGAAACCAGATGGCACCTGCTCCCATGATTATGCCCCATAGTGCGACAATAGCCACTCCAACGTCTAGAAAGCAGGGCGTCATGTCGAATCTGAATTTGCTTAAAGGCCCCCATCCTTCGACGTCGCTACAGAAGGGCTCCAGTTTGGGTGGTTGGAATGCTGACTTCGGGGTTGACGACGCCAGTGATCCCGGGGCAGAATCCCCGAGGATCACCTGGGAATTGTCATCTAGCATGTTTTAACCCCAGCTACAGGATCCCTGTTCCTTTCAACCCACGAGAAGGAAGGAAGCGGGAGTCAGAGGGAACTCCTGGGGCGCTTTCTCACAAATAATGGACGCGATTGCGGGAGGGGAGGAGGAACTTTCTGATCAAGGATGATAAACTGCCAGTCCTCTGCAAGCTGCTTACTAAATGGACGGCCTACTAATACTAGGTAAGCTTCGGTACACGATAGGGGCGATGCTGAATTCCGCCTAGCTTACCTAACTAGTATTTCTTTTCCTATGACGATTGTAACCTAGTCATTGGGGTGGGATTCCAATCGAGGTGAAAAGATTTTCTAACTTGATGCTCCGCTCCCTTGCGTATTTTCTTTTCCCGTCCTCAACTACACGCGAACGGCCATCTGACTGTGCTTATGACATAATCCGGATGATTTAGTTCCATGTCTTGGCGTCTCCCAAGCTTCTTTTTATGCGTCATAAAAGTTGACCCGAGAAATCTCTGAGTCAACGATTCTAGAACGCTACCTCGTTGGCCAGTAATTCCGGGGTAACATTCTCAGTTCGGACATGAAATCCTCGGACAAGAAACGAATACGAAGGGGCCACAAACAAACATCAAATAAGTAAGCAAGCAATCCAATGACCGGCTAGTCCGTAAGCGGAAAAGAGCAATCAATCCCGAGTCCATAGAGCGTTCGGAGTTAATTACTACATATAAAATAGCATTGTAGTCTACATGAAGCTGCGAGAATGAAGAGCCTATAAATAGTTGCGAATCGCAAGCCTAATCGATTCAAACACTCTATACTATCTTCTATTGTACTATGGCGTTCCCTCAAATACCTAGACCCGATGATTGATCTAGCTGCTTTTGTCTGGGAACAATATATATATATATCACGGGCGCGTCATCGTCTCTACCTAGTCTAGCACATCGTTCACGCACGGACAAGCTATACCTACATAGACTAAAAGCTTCCTACTCTTCTACATACAGCACTCCCGCTTTCTCAAGGAATATCAAGGTATTCCAATTTGTTCAGGTTTCCGTCGCAGTTGGTTGGTTGGCTGCTTTGCATGCGGTGCCCAAAAACCGTCCAGCAAAAGCTCACGCCTACATATTTTACTCGTAAAAGCCGCCGAGAGTCCGTGCGACGTACTGCACCCCAGAAACTATATCTACATCGAGTTTTGTAAAGCGAAGCACATCAGAGCTAATGTGTGGATTTACTACCTATCACCTAGTACTTACAAACCCGGACTAGCCTGAAAGGGTGCGCGCTGCTGACTGCATTGCCTCGAAGGGTGTGCAAATCCTTTCCGTCTTATCGCGAAGATACTATCAGCCCAATGCTGAATGTGTTTCTCCGTGCCATACTTTAACTGGATACACACTCCCCTGCGAGAGGCCAGCGCGACCTGATATTGGTATGGTCCTTGCTTTGATGTGATTTGATAAGAAGCGCTGTGATTGGTGTATCAATGCATTTATTCCGCGCAGTCTGGACCCCGAGGCTACATTACGATACGCTAAGGGCCAAAAAAAAAGAATAAAATTAATATAAGATAGATGAGTAATACAATGAAAAGAATAAAGTGTTGCATTAAATCCATGTCAATATAGAACAGGTCATCCTGGCCACATTAAGATGAAAAAGTGGAACAATTTTAAAACCAACATGTTTATAAGTGATTTGTAAGTAAATCAGAATTCTATGAAGTCAGCTATTCAATCATGGACCCATCTAGGCGTGGCTATATAATCGATAAAATGTAGCTAATAGCCGAAGCGATCAAGTAAATAACATTTAGTAGTACTCGAATTGAGTCACAGTGATTCAGTTTGAGTCAAAAAGAGACTTGCGGAGCGAAAAGTTACGTCATCCAAATGGCTGCAGAGTCAACTAAAACAATTTTAACAGAATAGACGGAGGAGTACATTTATTTAGTATTTAAACATTCTGCACTCCGCGCGTGCCTTAAAAGGCGGTAAAGTGCTAGAACAAGAGGGGCATTGATTCTGCCATCGCATTGCACTCTTTGCCATTCCATCGCCTGTGACGAGCGTCAAGATGGTCACGGAATCTCACATTGCGGAGGAGCTCCTAAAGAGGTCCTTATATGGTTAGTGCCTCTTCCAGTCTTGCTTTATGCAGCTGATTTCGTTTCTATTTGCATCCAATCTCCGTCACTGACCCTCAATATAGTGTACGATCTTCCACAGGAATTACTCGTAACGCTAAGCACTAAAAGCGAGGATCACACTATAACCACCCCAGATAACGAAGTGATTACTCCTGAAAGGTCCGAAGAGATCACGCAAGGATATGCGATCGCAACTTCTACATCTTGCGCTCTCTGCAACGTGTCTTTCTTAAATGTCCAAGGACAGCGGGATCATGTCCGGTCGGATCACCATCGGTACAATCTTAAGGCCCAGCTTCGAGGAAATGCCACTCTGAGCGAGGTTCAATTCAACAACGCAGTTGGTGAAATGGATGAATCGATTTCTGGATCCGAGTCATCATCGGAGGAGGACGAAGACAATGCAGGGCAGCTCACGGCTTTGTTGAAAAGGCAAGCGAAGATATCGCAACCAGCCGAAGGGGAAGATGGGCCGCCAAAGAAAAGCACCGGAAAGCATCCTTTATTCTGGTTCTCGAGCTCCCTCCTCCCTTCCAACACATCGTTAGGTGTCTATAGGGCTATATTTTCAGATGCCGAACAGGAAGAACCTAGATACCTGGTTGATTCTCTACGGAAGAAGCAACTACCCCCGGTTATCGCCCAGCAAAATAATGGACAGGCCCAAGGTGCTTCCACATCACCAAGCCCACACGTGTTTATGTGTATGATCGGTGGTGGACACTTTGCGGCAATGCTCGTTTCGCTCGCACCTGAAATTCACCGAAAACAAGGAGGCGTCGAAGAAAGGCAGGCCCGAGTGATTGCGCATAAATCCTTTCATCGTTATACTACTAGACGAAAACAGGGTGGATCCCAATCTGCTAGCGACGCTGCTAGGGGAGCCGCGCATTCAGCTGGTTCTAGTCTAAGACGATACAACGAGGCTGCCTTGGAAAAGGAGATCCGAGAGCTGTTATCAGACTGGAAGAAATTGATTGACGATGCTCAGTTACTATTCGTTAGGGCTACAGGAAGTACAAACCGGCGGATTCTGTTCGGCCAGTACGATGGCCAGGTTCTAAAACAGAACGACCCCAGGCTGCGAGGTTTTCCCTTCAGCACGCGCCGGGCTACTCAAGGAGAGCTTATGAGGTGCTTCAAAGAACTTACTCGCGTAAAAGTGAGTCAGATAGATGAAGCTGCTCTTGCAGCAGCTGAGGCCAAACAACGAGAAGAAGCAACAAAGCCATCTACTCCACGGCCTCAACAGCAGAGGCCAAAAGTATCTAAGGAAGAGGAAGAAGCCATGCTTCACACAACCCAAATACAGGCCCTCATCCGTCGCTCAAAAATCCCAGCCCTAACGTCCTACCTCTCTAAGAACTCGATCCCCGCCTCCTTTACATTCCGGCCCTCTGATTCTCAACAGAACTTCCGCTGCCCCACTGCTCTTCATCTCGCTTCAAACCTCAATTCGCCGGCGATGGTTTCAGCTCTTCTCACCAAAATGGAGGCAGACCCGACGGCCATGAATGGCGAAGGAAAAACGCCTTTTGAGCTTGCAGGTGATCGGGCTACCCGTGATGCCTTCCGCGTTGCCCGTCACGAACTGGGCGAGTCAAAATGGGACTGGGATGCAGCTAAGGTATCATCGGCAATCTCCAAGACCGAAGTTGATGGAAGAGCGGAAAGGGAAAGGAAAGCTGCAGCAGAAGCAGAGACAAATCGACGTAAAGCCGAATTGGATCGCCTGAAGAAGGAGGACGCCGCCAAAGAAGCTCTACAAGCAAAGAGAGCGGGTGGTAGAGCCCTGGGGTCCGTGGAGAAGACTGCTTCTGAGAAACGGGAGGAAGAAATGCGTGGAATGACACCGGAGATGAGAATGCGATTGGAAAGAGAACGTCGCGCTCGGGCAGCTGAAGAACGTTTTAGGCGGATGCAAGGGAAATAATTGAACGCTTACTGGCTCCAATTTTTGGACAGGCTAAGTGAGACTTTACTCCTTCGATCATGATATATTGCCTCATGCAAGATGACTTGTATACCGATGTCTTATGAATGATAGAGATGAATGAAAGAAAATAGCCATAATCAAATGTATATACTGAAATTCTATGTGAAACACCGCTCTTACTGTTCTATTTTCGCTGAGCGATTATGTGGACAATATGAGTACTAAGGTAAATTATTGCATGAATAAATAGCCATAGCCCCATCTAATGAAAGCCACAGCACCCACCAATGTATGTACATTATATTGAGAGAAGATAGACGGCAGGAGTATACGAAGGAATCCAGACTAAACCCCTTTACTACAGTATATACAGCGCCCTCCCGAGGCCTAGAAAGAGTGCTCATGGATGTTGATGGTGGCCACCTTCCAGGTCTTGCCGTTGTCGGAGGTTGTCAAGCCAGACGAGTCAGCATCGGTGAGGCCGAGGGTATCACGGAAAGTAAGGTCTGCGGAATCTAAGATAATGGTAGTGTCCAGATACTCTGCATGGCTGTTTAGTTATCCGTGCTCAAAACGTCACGTAGATAAGGTAAGGAAGTACTTACGGTGCGCAGCAACAGTGCTCTTGGAGGCATTGTCCTGGGCCTCAACGGCTGTGCCCCAGCCCTGGGCCTGGCCGGAGCCTTCACAGTGTTAGTTGAGAGGGAAACAAAAGAGTAGCAAATCCGGGACCTACTGGTTGAAAGGCTGGAGACGACTTTGCCGTTGATGGCTACAGTCTGGTCGTACTTGCCGGTGCTGTCGTTGTACTTGTCTATATGGCTGGGTTAGCTTCGAAGTTATGAGCGAATAGCGGTGGATAACGTGCAGTGCATGACAAGTTTGTCGCTGGCAGAGGCGGGCACTTGCTTGCCACCCAACTGGGTTCCTGTTTCGGTCAATATCGCGCACTTCTAGGGTTGTTTACTTGGATTCTTTACCTTGAAGAGTGCTTGCCCATGCGCACCATTGACCGGACCTGGCACCGCAGTTCCTGTAAGAAAGTTGATTAGCATTCTAGGTTCTACTCTGTAGTAGACCATCTATGCACTCACGCCGCGGGATCTGAGAAAGACACAGCAAGAGCCTGGATCAGATCTCCACCGCTGGTACCCATCCCCGGCCAAAGTGCGAGACGGTCCTCCTGTGGGCTTGGTGCCTCGGGCAGCACAAGGGTGGTAGTCGCTTCACGAATCCATGACTTGGTAGGACCGAGGGAGAACGCAGGACCGAAAGTGATTTTATCTTGGGCAGTAACCAAGCTGACAAGGGCGAGGGAGGCAAGGCTTCTGAGACCGCGCATTCTTAATTTCGTATCTGCTGTAGAAAGGTTTAGCTTGAGGTCGGGGAGAGAGAATGGTCGGAGAAAGCTGTCATTGAGCCCTTGGACCTGTCTTCCTTAAATGGCGGATGGCATAATCCGAAGAAAGCCCGTAGAAGGGTTTGGATCTACGTAATTTCTCCGTTTGGTCCGTCAATGTGAGTCGGTGGTTTCATTCTTTAATATTATGAAACCCATGGTGGATCAGTAATCCCCGGGCCGTGGTGCAGCTAAGCACCGGTCAGGGGCACACTAGTTTCACTTTGGCAGATGTTGTGATGCGGTTATTCATGCCTTGTCTTAATACTACGTTGTATGATAAATCCACTGGTCCCCAGTGGTTTGAATATAACCCTGATAAGTGGAAGAATTACCTAGAACGTTGGTTAGTGGGTTGTTAATGTAGGGTTATTGCCGTGAAGAGACTAGAGTTGGGTAGGGGTCCCAACGCACATCTTCTCCTTCAGACCAGGTCGTTATTAATATAATTCTTAGACATAATCTGTAGCCTTTCTTCCGCCTATGGAATATTTTCATTCCTTTCATTGCCCTTGAAATTTCTAAGCACGAAGAGACGGTCGAGGTGTCTAGTTTCACTACTTCGTTCTCTGCAGCTGCAGTCTGTCCTTAGACTAGCGCCTCAGATCCCGAAGCACCATATCGACCTAAACTGTCTAGGTAGAGTACAGTATATACTATGGGCACAACAGGGCTAGTCGTGGTGCACCATACCTTAGTTTCGCCTCCGAGCCCGCGGGAATAGCTGGAGGAGCTGGCCCTGTGAATGGGAGGTGCGTTTCTAAGGGAAGTAAACCTCCTGACAGAGGTTAGTAACGGGGGGAGAGATGCGGAAACGGAGCTGGTGTTCAAGGAGATGGAACAGACACCGGTCGAGGAAGAATACGTGTCTGTTACGAGGGTTTAGAATAAAATATTCAAGGAGAGTAAGGCGTTAGAGTAGATGCAGTTTTATGTGAATTTCGAGATGGTGAAAAATGTGCCACGGGCGTGGTTGTTAGACTGATAGGAATATAATGGCCCTGCTGGCTCGAGAGATTTCGACGAGGTGTCTTTGGAGGACCTTTTCAACCGGATACTACTATGTCAGGCCCATGTGTGTAATAAGAAAATCTTCAGTATTCGTTCAGAGCATTGTTTTTTGTGATGCACTTCTCTGTATGCCAGGATAAACATGTCAGAGTTCAAAATGGAGTGTGGCGTCTCGTTTGATACCACGGCAGGTGACCTCCACGAGATCTGATATCTCCCAACATACTTGCATTCCTACGACCCTCACACGCCTCCCTGACAACTTTTTAAACCCCTTATATACTACACCAATATCAAGTTATGGTTAGCACTAAATCAGCTCTCCCAAAGTCGTGCAATGTCTTGTCGTCAGCACTCTTTTTTTTCAACTCCTAGTTATCTCGTCGGCACTTTATCAGTGTGGGATGCAAAACTCGAAAGGACTACTAATTTCTTCCCCGTCTACTCTAATGCAGAAATATACGTGGGCAGAGATTCAAGAAGATGGTACCTTTGCTTTCCCTTGGCGAGTCTTGCCGACACTGACTGAGCCTAAGCAACCACGTCGTCGACGACCCCGTCATCTCTAACAGACACCTGCGGATCTACACTATAATATTCGACCGAGAAAACGATGAAGTCGCGCCTTTAGTATATGCTCAGGACTTGTCAATGAATGGTACATCCTGGAACGGGTACCCCATGGGAAAGGGAAGTGGGAGTTTTCTTCTTGGTCATGGCGATGTGCTGAAATTGTCCCCGACTGTCTCTCTAAGGTTTCATTACGAAATTCAGGGCAAGGAAGACTGCTTTAACATAGTGAAGTTGTTAGAAATGAGGGTGGTCCTCCTGAGTTCCGCGGACTGTGTTGTATTTGCTGATCAGCAAGTCAGGTGTTCGAAGACCAGTACAAGGTTACATCGCAAAAGTTGGGATCTGGTGGATTCGGACAGGTGCATATGGCGTTTAGGAAGGACACCGGCCAGCAGCTAGCCTGTAAGATTGTCGACCTACGAGATCTGAGAAACAGGATCGTTCGAGAAGCAGAAGACGAGCGGTCTAGGTACTTCACCGAAAACGGGGTTTCCATCAGCGGAAACAGAGTGCTCGTCGCGCGTTTCTATGATTCCCTCCAAAAGAAGATCCAGGAGAAGCTTGAAGTATACAACCGTGAGGCTAGAATACTCGAGAGCCTTTGCCATGTAAGTTTCATGCCCAATACTATTGCTGTTACTGACACATGGTCAGCCAAATATCATTAGTATTGAGAAAGTCATCCACTCGAGCAATACAATGTAGGTCCCGATGTTCTTCCCCTCAGAGTTGACTTAACCGGGACAGTTACCTCTTCCAGGAACTCGTGACTGCCGGTGATTTATTCTCCTACATACAGTATAAAGGTGGAAGGTTGGATGATATCGAAGCCGCAGTTGTAGTGCGACAAGTTTTGATGGCATTGGACTATTTGCATCAGCGGGAAATTGTCCATCGTGATCTGAAACCAGACAATATCCTCATGACATCCCTAGCGGATGGGTGCAGAGTTGTACTCACTGATTTCGGATGCGCCAGACTGCTACAGCCAACTGCTGAACGAATGTTTACAATCACTGGTACATTCGACTACAATGCCCCGTTAGTGTTGTGTAAACGTTCCATCGGCTTTACAATAATCTAACATCTGCACATAGCGAGATATTCAAGTACAGCACACAAGGCTACACGAAAGCCGTGGATCTATGGTCATTGGGCTGTGTAACGGCAGTGCTCCTGACTGGTGATATCCCGTTCAAAAACTCGTTGACAGCGGATCCCACCGGACTTGCTCGAAGGAACGATCTCGAAAAGCTCGAAGCAGATCTAGATTGGAATAAAACCGGACAACGCGCAAGGGACTTCGTTCACAAACTTCTCGTGTTCGACGAAGCGAAGCGCATGGATGTGAGCCAATCGTTGAATCATAGCTGGTTCACCAATCCAGCGCACCGAGGGGAGTTCGAAGCACTATACCAACGAGCGATCAGACACTGGCGGCCTCGTACACATGAGGGCCCCTTGATAGCTAATTTGTGCACTTTATCAAAATCCCCAAAGCATAGCAGCGAATTTAGGCAGACTCCACGCTCCGATGGATGTTCAAGGGCTGACTCTGATCAGTCGTATAATGAGCAGCAGCTGATGTCTCAGGAAGGAACTTCGTCAATATCACCGGCATCAGTAGACTATGATTTACGTCGTGAACATTCGGCGTCCCTGTCTACGACTCTTTCGGACCCTGAGCTCCCGCCGCACCGCTGGATAGGAAGCATAGAGTCAGCTTGTTCACTCATGGATACACCCGACTCTGTGCAGCATGAGCAAGGCTTTATACGCAATTCTCCAATTCAAAACATGCCATGAACGGAGTCGACTGGCAAATAACAGAACGTAGATACACCTATCTGCAAGTCATGAGAGACAAAGAACCACCTTCTACAGCAACTCGGGGTGGAGGAGTGGGTCTCCAACCTCTGGCGGATGATGCATCAAGGAGGAAGCAGCTGCTAGAGGTAGGCATGGAAACTAGGTCCACCAGCAAGTCGACAGTAACACTGGGTCTAGCGACATGAAACATTCACGTGGATATGATTCTGATAGGTAGACATGGTGTTTGTAAAACCTCAAAATTGAAAACATTGTCTAGAGCTCTTCATGCCGTCGATGCAGATGTAATGCATGGCTAAAGCCCGGACGCATGCAGGCATTGGTTGGAAGTTTATCAGAAAAGGGAAAGAGAAAAGATTGAACTATTCTTGGGGGAGCTAGACCAGAACAAGATTCAATTCTAATCAAGACAGGCACTTCACCCCTTTGATTTGCCACACACACCTCCCTTCGGTAAGCTGACTATGATGGAAATACAGGAGATATAAATAGACCATGGGATAGGGAGGAAAGCCTCGAATGAAGGAAATGATCACAAGGACACGAAAAAACCAGAAAGGGGGGAAGCACGACAGTGTAGAGAAGAGCAAAGCGTGGTGCTTTTCGACGAGGTACCACAGAAGGGCTGAGACACGCCACTGAACTGGGATAGTCATTTGACCTTATGAAGAAGAAGAAGAAGCAGAAGAGGAGAGGTGTGCACCCTAGATATCTTTGCATCCACCTTCTTGAAGGGTGGTGTCTTGTGGCTTGTGTCCTTGTCTTGGTGGGTCTAGGTGGCTGCCCATTGCTTTAGTGCTGAGGGGCTCAATCTATTAAAAAGGCATGGTGCTGTAACTTGTCAGGCTTAGAATCATGCAAGGTGTCATAATGCCCATTGGCTAGATCTGAGGTAATGGAGGGTGCGCTTGAATCAGGGATTGGGGATTTGAGGGATGTGTTACTATGTTGAGTAACATTAGTTGGTCCTGAAGGGGGCACAGGAGAATAAACCTGGGATAGGCTTGTGACATCAGCGGAAGAGGACAGTAGAGATCGATAGGGAGCTTTTGAGCTCTAGCACTGCAGGTAAGGACAAAAAGAAGTAAAAAATAAACGCGTCATTGAAGGAAATGTACATCCACCAGCCACCCCGGAGAAGAGTTATCATTATCATGTAGGTATACACAAAGGATCTACATATTGCGTCATAGGTGGAAAGGGATCAGACCTTACCACAACCGGTTATACAAGGACTTGCATCTGTTCAATGGCAATGCAGCTGCGACTTGAATGTTCTGCAGACTAGTACCCTGTGAGTGTGGTCTCTACGCTGCGGCGATTTTCTCGCGTCTGGTTGCACCTGTTCCTGACACCCCTTGCATGGGTCTTGGATTCCACCTGGAGGCTGGGGTACAGCTGAAGAGCGCGGGTCGGGTGCCTTTGCCTTTGGCTAAGTAGCGCCAAGCTCTTTCTTTTTCGGCCTTCAGGGTCTATGTTGTTAGGTTTGCCCTGTGATAAGGGCGAATAGTAAATGGTGGTTGTTAGTTGATAGCTCGTAGGGTGAGTAACCCTTCCCAACCTCCTGGGTTGCCTTTTTTCTCTGTACAGTGTACTCCCATAGTGTACCAATTGGGAGAGGGCTTGGACCACAGTTTATTTTTCCTTGGGTCATCCACGATGCAACGTTCCGAAAAGATGGATTGTATTCCCAGTTCTAACTAATGAGCATGCCCCCGTGGATGTCATCTCCACTGATGCCTGCCTTCCGATACCCTGGCATATACTCGTAGAATTAGTTGCAGCAAAGTCTGCGAGATAACGCAGCCCTGCGATGTAGATGTGTGGATTCCTCCGATCAAATCCCCGAGATCAAGGATCCAGTCCGCCTGATTGCAAACGCAAGGAACCGCAATTACCCGAATGCGCGTCCGTGACGTGACGGGGTGTCCCTCAAAAGGAGACAAAGACATCAATAGATCTGAATCAGTCCCAACTAAAACCACCGTAGATGCTCTCAAGACACAAGTTGAAAGGGGACCTTTAGACAAAACCCCAGCTCCTACCAATCGCATCATCAGTTGATTCGGTTGAGTTTCATCTCACCTTGAGCAGGAATGTGGGAGAAACGTCTGGAGAAGCAAGGAGGTGGTCCACATCGATAAGATCGCGCACGATAGGAGGAAATTCATCTAGCCACTTCACTTTCTCGGCCGATTTTCCCGATCGACAGTGCCTTGGGCAGGGGGGGTTATCTCCTCGTTCTTGGTCCCTTATCTTTAGTCCGAGGATGATATTATAGCTCATGCAGAGGATGTGGGTTGATGCCTGTAACGTGACGTTGTCACCTGGAGGCGTGTAATTATCGGTGCTGGCTGTGATTGGTCGACGCGCAGTCGATCGGGACGCGACTCCCACGCGACGCGTTCGCGTGGGAGGCAATATGACCGGATTGGGAATGTCGAGATGAGTCGTTTGAGTCAATTGGGGTCGGAAAAATCGGCTGACGGTTGAGTCACCATTTGGGATGACGGTGCTCTTTAATAATAATATCATGGGAGGGCTGGTGAAGCGGGATGAATCATTGATTGAGGCTCCTGGAGGGAGAAGGATGGTAGGAATCCAGGTTTACTCCCTAATCCTCGAACTAGGGTATATCGAGGAGCAATTGTATGTACTACTTACTAGTTGTAGGGTGAATAGAAGATAGACTACTAGTCTTCAAATGAGTAGGACGGGCAATTGAACCATCCACATCGACATCAACCACTACGTATCTGCAGGTGATCATTGCATGCATTGCAGCAAATGCAATGCAGTAAATGCAATGCAACGGAAATTGTTTCGTTCCACTACGGAACGGGCCATGGAAGACCATGTCGTCGCCTATTGCTGACAACAGACGGGAAAAGTGGGATGATGCGATGGTAAGCAAGGGAAGGGAGTCCCTCGTGAAGTGGCCGTTCGGCGGTTTTCTGCTCTCGCTGATAATGCCTTGCTTCGTGCATCCCTCTTTCAAGACGCCCTTTTGTCCTTGTCTCACTACAGCCAACAAGAGGGAGAACCTTGGAGGCTTTGTAGACCTTCATAATAGAGCCATTGCCCTGGAACAGGGAGAGAGAGGTAGGAAGCGATCCAGAGGAGGAGAGATTCAGGAGATTCAGCAGTCATTCTTTGTTAAGACATTCTTCATACGCTCATTCATTTCATTGTAAAATCAAATCAATCGAGCAAAAGTATTTTCGTCATTCTTTCGACATTTTTGGGAAAGTCGACAGAGGACTTTGTCGTTTGCGGAACATTCCTCTCCTTTTCCCCGTTTCTAAACTTGCGCTACTCTCACTCATTTCAATTTCCCCCCCCTCAACATCCATCCTCACCACTCGTCAGCCATCTACCAACCCACTCTTTCACCCCGTCGCATCATTCGGAAATAGTCAATCTTGAAGCGCTATCATCGAATCTACTGTCGACTTAATTTTCGACGTCCAGTCTCTCGCTCTTCTTGTCGTGACCTCTTCCGGCGCAAACCCAGCCCCCCCGCGCAAACCGGCGCACACAACAGTCAGCAATCGTGATCAAACATCACCACTCCCACCGTCGTACACTGGTTCATCTCAACTCTCCTCCTATTATTATACGCCGCGCGGATTGTCAAACTGCTCTGCGCACCCATGTTGCTCCCATCTGCTTTACCCTGCGACATGCGCCGGTCTGCGACTCGGTCGCGCCCAACTCCCAGTCGCCAGTTCACAACACCCCCACCGTCCGACGATGACTTTCCATCCGGCAACGGCCTCCTAGGCACCTGTCGCGCCCTCCAATCACTTCTAAGCGGTTCACCCGCCCCGTCACCACGCTGCGCAAAGCCAGAGCGCCTTCAAAGTCCCCTTCACATCAGATCCACGCCTTCCACCCGGTCGCGGAAGCCAAAGGCCCCTAAGCCATCACCCAAGCCTTCGCGGAGTGCCAACAGACGCAAGCGCGATCGCGACGAAGAGATCGGCGACACCAGCGACACAGAAATCACTACTCGTGGCATGCGATTTTCAACCCCGAAGCGCGCTCGCCATGTCCCATATGACCTTCCTATAGGTCTTTCGCAATCGGACTTTTACTCCCTGCACTCTCCACCAGTCTCACAATCGCCTCTATCACCTGCGCATCATCGTCAAATGGACCTGACCCATGAGAAGAGCGCGCAGTCGCTTGACCCCGATGCACCCCTACCATCCATAGAAGAGACGGAAGAAACTCCGTCCGACGACCCTTGGAACGCAGACGACGACCAGCGACTTGTCGAGCTAGTTCTCGAGAAGTTCCAGCTTTCCAAGCGCGACTGGGAAGACTGCGCGCGACGCATGGGCAAGGATGATGTCAGCGTCGGGCGTAGATGGCAGGCCCTCATTGGAGAGGGCAATGTCGGACTGCGACGCGGTCGACGAGTAGTTCGTCCCCGCATAATGGAGAGCTGGCTGTAGATGCCGCTCTCCACTCATCTGTTCTCCCTCTCCTTCTCCTACTCGCTCTCGCTCTCCCTCCTCTCTATCCTCCCCTCCGCACCTTTCACACTTCTATGAACACTATTGACGGACATGTATTCTACGGGCTCACGGTTCGCCTTTCTTTCAACTCCACATTTGTTGTATTACTATTCCTATCCCATCTCTTCTTCAGCCTTTACGCTCATCTCTTTCCAGATGGAAACATTACTTATCTCCCTTTCCTGGGCATCCCTTTTTCCTTTTAACCCTGTTTCTACCTAACCTAACCTAATGATCTCGATGTATTATCTACGTGCTAGTGACTTTGGACCTTATTATATTATTGTACACCAGGATGTATTTCACCTCTTCTTTTCTTTTCTTTTTTTCTCCATTCTTACATTCTCACCTTCCCATTCTGAATTCGTCCTCATATATACGATTCATCTCTTCTTCAGTACCAATATGTGAATTATTAACCTTTTACTTTCTCCATATCCAAGATAGGATAATGGGTTCTATCTGGAAATAAACGAGCTGAAGTGTCAACCAAACATCTCTTTACATGTATCAATTACTCTTATAATATCCCTAGTGGCTGTAGCTGTACTATACATACATAGCGTAAATACCATGCATTATAGTACTAACTGTAGGTGGCCTTATAGGCAGCCCAATACAGTCCAGAAGCGAAGCCTATATTTCCATTTCTATGTACTTGCTCGACTCGTGAGAGAGAGAGAGAGAGAGAGAGAGAGAGAGAGAGAGAGAGAGAGTGTGTGTGTGTGTGTGTATGTATGATATGGGGTCCCTGTACAACGGGTCCATAGGCTGTATTAGGTCTACAATTGAGGGGAATATGTATACTGAGTTCCCGACGCTGGTCGGTGCTTTGGAGATTGTTGTGCTGTGATAACTTAGATATTGCTTGTGGATGGAAGAATTGCGGTATTATAGAATGAAGGGAATGTTTGTTCTTGCTGGAATTGACTCTAGAGAGATTGGGCTTGGTGTATATATGTAGAAGGGGTCGAGGCAGTTTCGAGTAGTAATGTAAATAAGGAGGCTGCTTTCTGGCCTACGATGTCTTTGGTTTGTACATATACCCGGTGCTTACCATTTATTTTCGGCCCTTGGCTTGGAGTGAGCAAAAAGGCAACGCTAAAGATGGACTGAAACTTGATTATAAAAGAGGATCCGCGGAAAAGCTATACAATTAGTAGTCTCGCTCGTATAGTACATATCCAGTAAATAAATAAGGACCACAACGCCATACACCCAGCTCATGGTTAGTAGATGTTGATATTGATAGTGATGATGATATTGGTAATGCCTTGATAATGGTGAATCTGGCCGCCTGACCTGCAGTGACAAGCTAGAATCTGTTGTTTTAGTTAGAATGGGCCCTTGCGATAAGTAATATTGGCGAGAGAAGGATAGGATGACATACCGAATTTCATAACTTCCCGCTCGTGTCATATACCGCACCCATTTCACACTGCTATAATTGCTCTTCTCGAAAACTTTAAGATACCGGACTAACAGTCCGCTACTCGTGAACATGAGAAGACTGAACGAGAGACTGAGCGGCGGCCGGCTCCAAGCCTTCTGATGTGTCATGCTGGTGAGCGTAGCCTCGGCTGTGAGCACGTACTCGCTTCCACCGGAGAAACGGGCGATCTTCCAGACGATGTTGTTGTGCTCGGGTTCGTATTTAGCACGACCTTGGCTGGTGCGCTCGGTGGTTTTGGCTGTGTTGAGCGGGGTAGGGATGCGGATGACGACGTTCGTCGCGAAAAGTTTCGAGCTATAGTTCGCTTTGATGGCGACGCTGTATTCAACCTTTGTCGTACCCACTTCCCTCACGATCGGGTGTACCTTGAACGGGAGGTTGACGTTCTCTGTCGCACGGTACCGCATGAGTTCGAACTCGCCGTCTGGCGGAACAAACGAGATGATACGGTCTGCGTCGAAACGGCCCAGTTTCACGCATTGGTGGAACTGGCAGTCCTCCAGCGTGACGGAGCCCGCCGCTGCGCGAGTTCCCTTTATCGTCCCGTCCCGGTTGCCGCCTTGCGAGCTACCGGCCGCATCGGTGTCAAGCAGTAAGCGGTCGTTAAGGCCGAACTTGCACTCCGGAGTGCCGGTGAGGTAGGCGCGCATGACGATCTGGCCGTTGACGTCGGCGCGGAGCACGGTGCCGGTTGCGGACATCAGAAGGTTGACGTCCTCGATCACGTCCACGAAGGCCTCATTCTTGCGATATTTGATATCAGAGCGGCGCCAGGAGAGCGCGCCGGTGGCTTGCATGGTTATGCGGCTGGAGTCCGTGGGGTTATTGGTGATGGCGGATTTGACTCCCTCCGTCGTGATGTACATCTTTAGGGTGTCTGTTTCCGTGTTTTGAGGATAGCCGAAATCGAGAATCTCTGGATTGTCGCCCGTTAGCTCTAGGTGTCTCTCCTTTCATCGTTGTGTCTGTATGTTCCCCCTTTCTTCTAGTCCCTGCTTCCACCATGCCACTTTCAACCGGCACCCGCCCATATCCCCGGTGATACCATGGCACAAGAAACCCCAGGTAAACAGAACTCACCATCCAACAGTTCATAGACTAAAACGAAATTATTCTTGACTGCCTCCTCATCGAACTTCCCAAAATAGCTTTTCCCCAGCATTATAAACCGATACAAAAACTCAAACACCAGCGCCGCATTGGCGTTGCTCTTAGTCACCGCTACCAGGTAGATATTCTCGTGTTTCACATGGCTGAACGTCGTAGATCCCAGTGTCAGAATGGGCGAGCGTACTTGCGGGTTGGAGATGACCTGGATGCGGAAGATGTCGGCCAACCGGGGGCGGCAATCATTGCGGAAGGCGCGGAAGATGAGGTTCTCGCCTTTTTGGTTGAAAACTAGGATACCGGAGAGCATTGTTAGGTGGGAGTGAGAGGGGAAAAGGGAGGGGGGAAAGTAAGGGGAGAGGAGAGGGAAGTTGGAAGGTCACGAAAAGTTTGGGGGGGTGAAGAGTTGGGCTTGGAGATCGGCGTCGAGTTAAACTAAGCTTCTGGACTCGCGAGACGTGGGGAATTTCATCTAGTCCCTGTTGTACATCCACTCCATTTATAGAGATGCCGACCAACTTCTTACGTATCCCATGCATTCGCTCTATAATAATAATTATATTTATTTCTTCATACTCACTATTGCTAATTTTTGACCTGCGTCTAGCCTTCAGAACCCCTTATGCACAATCGGTGGACACCGAACAGACCGAACTATAGACACGGGACGGTATACAAATATAAACAGGAATTCCCACCACAACGGTGGGCGAAAGGCCAGAGACATTTGGGCCAATTTCACAGACATGGTATCAATGATCTGAAATCAAGGACGTGGATATCGTCAAATCGAGAAGAAGTAAGGGGGATTAAAAAAAGAAGAAAAGAAGAAAAAGCTTCCCAAATCGCTAGAACCGTGCAGCTGCCAAACGGCAGTAGAGAAAGAAAAATTAAAAAGGGGGCTAGAAATCAAATAATACAACAAAGAAGAGAAAAATGAAAAGGAACGTAAATGATCCCACCGTTTTCGGCCCTTAGACTATACCACTGCTCGGTCTGGTCCCAGGCAGGGACGGTCCACCCTCACTGGGGATAATGCCAACCTTGGGGTCGGGAATTTGTATATCCAACGACATGTAAGCCGTCCGCCGAAGACTCCATATGTATACCCCATCTTTTGCGCCGACCTCCCGGTTCCACGCCTCCAGCCAGTTTTCCACTTGCTTGAGCTGACTCTTGACTCCCGTCGCGCCTATATCCTCCCAGAGCCAGCCGGTCAACAATGCCAGTGCACCATCTACCCAGCTCCGAAAGCTGAACGGATCGAAAGCTTTGACAAGCTTGTCGTTGACTGTGGCGATAATCCTGCGGAATTCCTGCTCGGGCAGCAGCGGATCGAGGATCTCCGGATACAGGTTGGAGAACGTCGGGGCCAGATCTCCCTTGACCATCCAATCTCGACGAATGCGAATGATACGTGTGTTATGGTACTCTTGAGACCGTACAGATACATGCGGGTTGATGTGAGGGTAACACGGATGAGCTGGTCCCCAGGCTAACTCTTCTGCTACGTCGTTATCTCCGCTAGGATGGTGAGCTGTATTTGACGGGATCGAGGCGATCTGTGCTTGCGACCGTAGAGAAGACTGTGATTGTACGTGTCGGGGGCGGTCGTCGAGGGGATTTGATCGGTCAACCATGGGATCTACGGTAAGGTGTGCCCGGTCGGGCGGGCGAATGCTGTTTGCCTCCGAGCTCCCATGATTTCCCGCCGATTCTGGCATTTCTTGTACCAGCCAATGTTCGTTGAAGGTGCCACTGCGCCTCTGCGCTCGAGGCACTGCGATGCTGGAGCGCCCACTCTCAGTCTCCCCCTGGCTGCGCTCAACCACCAGACTATTCGGGGAGGGGGTTAGTCGGCTGCGACGCCGCTCGGGGATCGATAATAGAGGGTATGCGTCTCGGTGCGCCTCAAGGGGAAGATTCTCGTCGGAGTCCTGGAAGGGCCGGGGGAGCGTTACGGGCGTGATTCGCGGGACGTAGTTGACAGGGTTTGCGAGTCGAACCGCGGGCGGTCGTAAGACGGAGGAGGGAGTCCAGAAACTCGTTTGTCGCGGTATGGATCGGGAGGAGCTCGTTGGCTTGGGATGATAGGCCGATGACGCTGCAGGCTGGTGGGACTCCAACGAACCACGCGGGGGTAAGGAAGATTCTTCGGCCTCGGGCGGGGATATAAGAGGAGGATCCCGAGCCGCGAATGACGCCGTTTCCGACACGGTCGACGAGTTAAGAAGATATGAGAGACGAGAAGGAGGAGGAGACACGGTGACAGGAAGGGCCGTCGTGGCGAAGGTTGCTCAGCGAAGAAAAGTAACAATGAATCGATGAGCGAAAGTTTCGGGACGCTGATTGGTGGGTGGAAGACAGAAAGGGGCTCCAAGGCAAGGGTCACGAATCGGTCAATGCGCGACATTAGTCGCTTGTATGCAACGTTAAGTATGTACTTGTTTGTTGTGGTCCTTGAAGAAAATAGTGAGAAAAGAAGTGTGTTGACGTGGATTCAACTTTTTTCAATCGTTTCTTCTCTTGGGGCCAATCTATATGGAGTAAGTGGTGTATGGGTCGACTCTCTCTGTACCTTTCAGTATGAGCCCATTTCCCCCAAAAAAGAGAACAACCTGAACAGGAAAAAGAAAAGAAAAGAAAAGAAATTTTTTTCACATAGACGAGAAGTCAATCGGGCGACAGATATGAGACCGGATCTCAATCTCTTAAAATCTTTATTAAATAGGCATCCTCCACAAAATCCTAGCAGCTCAAATCCACCCCTGACGAAACAATAAATAGATCAATAGCCCAACGGGAAAAGTAAGGCTCTCAAATCTAAGCCTCCATAGGAAAAACAAATCTTTTTTCCTCCTGCTCTCTCTTAGGGCATGAATATCACGGGAAGAGAGGGATAGCAGGGGAAACAGATGATTGTATTGTAATAATAATTATAATAATAAATAATATGGCGTAATAATAACAGTGATAATTAAAGATGACCGCAAGGGAAAAAAAATATAATTAAAAAGCAAACGCAACACGATACAAACGAAAGAACATTTAAGAAAAGCTGCGTCATATAACATAAATGAATGACAGTAATGTGTAACATGATTAAGATCCCTCTTATGCAGTCATTTCCAGGATGATATTCGATACGTCTGAAAAAGCTCCCGTAGGGCAACATGACTGCTCTGTACTCCGTTCCCTCTTCTCCGGTATATACTTTGGCCATTAATCAACCTGAAGCAATTACGTCGAGGCTCTCTTTGTCTAGCTGAGAAGCTCGGACTCGCCTGAGACTTAGAACCCCTGGCGTTGTTTACTGCTAATTATAAGGGTGGTGGAACTTGGACCGTCTCCTTGGCTTCTCCTTCATTAGTTGCCGGTTAATCCGTAGTTATAGTAGGAAGACTAGTCGGCAAGTTAAGGCGCCAACTTCCAATAGTACCTTTCTTAGTGAGCGAGAGACCCTTCCTTTCTCCTGAAGTCGATTAGATCCAACCGGTAGACTAGTACTATCTCTAAATGTAGGTAACAATCTATTTCTTGACATTACTAAAACCATAACTCCCATTTTAAGTACATTGGATCCATCTATATCACACTCATTAAGATTCGTTTTTGCACATCAGCGACTCTAGAGATCCCGCGGAACTCCGAACGCGTACAGGCATGATCAAATGAAACAAATATGTCCTTCACAGACGACGTGAAACTCTTACTGCTACAAGACCAAGCGAAGCGCAGACTAGTCACTTGCCATTCACACTTCGATTGGCCATAGCTTGCATCCGTCGCATGGCTTCCCGATGCAAGTCACTCATATCCCCTCGCTGCATCCCTTCCGTGATTGCGGTTTCGATCTTGGCTGACGAAGCCCTTCCCCAAAGTCTCCTGGAAGAAGTTGGTTTCCGCTCACGGGTCCCTGGCCTGGTCATTGGGGGAGTCACGGCAGCCGGGTTCCACTTGTCGTTTACGTTTTCTCGTACGGATTCCCGCCATGCAGCCAATGAAGCCGGAGTGTTTAGTGGGCTCGGTACACTCCTCCTCGCCGATGCTTGGGATACATTGGTTTTTATGGTTGTCTGCCGATGTAGCATTGTCCGACGTCGGGACAGCGGTATGTCATCCGCTTCTTCGGGGATAGAGAAAGTTGACTGTCGGGACGAAATTTCGGCTACCGGGGCGAATCTCGAGGGCCATGGATCAGCACTGAGTGAGAAAGACGATAGCCTATTTTGCATCAAACCCTCGCGCACTGCAATGAGAGGGGGTGGCCCTTTCCACTGAGGTTTTGCAACTTCGGACTCTTCCTGCGGCTGTTCCACGGGGTCGACTACAGGAGATAGCGGGTGTTTGGTATTGTCGGGATGAGGTGCGCCTTGAACTGGCTGTCCCTGGACTCCTGAAGGCGCAGAATGAGCAATATTAACTGCCTGGAGGATGGCTGGCCCGGAGGATGCTCTCTTCTTCGTTCGAGAGCTAATTTGTAACTGGGAGTCATTGACCATCTGGCGGTTTTCGTTCGTACCCGACGGCTCTTTCCTGAGAGAGACGCGCCTCTCGGTAGCAGGAGGCGGCTGCGCATTCAAGGGCGTTTGCAGTAGTTCTTCGACTTTAACAGGTGCAACAATCTCTTTAGCTTCATCAGGAAGTTGTAGTTCATCCTCTCTGACAGGCTTGATGGGTTCAGGTTCGGGGATTTCCGCATCATCCAAGTGCTTCGCCCATTCGTTCGTACGATAGGATTGTACTACCCTCGATGTTCGTTCTGGGATACGATTCACGGTTTCTGTATTCAATTGAGGTGGCACTTCTTTTTTGGGCTTGTTCTTGGGTTCAGATTCTGACATCGAAGATCTCTGCTTGACAACGGTGGTTTCTTTAGCCTTTGGAAGATTTCCTCTTTGCGAAGACTCCTTGCATTGGATGACTTCGACTGGCTTCTCATCTTGCCCTTCCGTGGCCGGGCCAATATCGTTGGTTTCAATGGTCTGTGTCTTGTCGACCATTTGGTCTGCTGGCTCTGTTGTTTCGACTGCTATTTCACTTCTTTGAGACTTTTCTGTACGATGCTCTTCAAGTTTTGGCTCAGGTATATCCTTATCCTGGCTTGACGACAATGACAGGTGGTGCTCACTAGTGTTTTCTTCTTTTACAGTAACCTCATTCTTCTGTTTGTCTCGCTCCTGTCCCGCCGTGCAGAACTTTTGCTCGTCCACGTCTCGTGAATAAATACTGGGCTCGCCGACGCTTTTCTCCAAGTCTTTCTCAAGCCCAGGAGCTTTTGCATTATTAGCATCCTTCATACCATGGGCGATAGGGGATTCTTCCGGGTTAGCTGTAGGGTTATCTGCATCTTCCACGTAGCTTTGCGCCGTAATGCTGTGACCATCAAAGGCGGAATCTGAGCCTCCGTCTACGGTGTCTTGCACAGATGAGCCATCGCAAGAGACGAGCGCTTCTTGTGATTGAGATATAAGCCTTGCGCTATTTCTTGCAGATACCCTATCCAGGAGCTCTCTGCCGGAGAGCCGCTTCGATCGTGTTGTCCCAGCTTCGGACCCAACGATAGCTGTCATATCAGAACTATTGTCGTCTTTTATCTGAGCTGCAGCCGCGCCGTCGAACACTTTGTATGGGCCCGTTTCGTTGTCAGGAGAGCATTGATCTAGGCCTTCTTTCTCGACGCCCATAGTATTATCTTCCTGTTGTCGGGTCTGAGAGTCGTTTGTGTCCCCACTTGTGTCCGAAGCAGCGTAAGCAGATTCACCATTCGCCCGCCTCTCTAGGCAATCCGAACAACGATAGGTCTCTTGCGAAGAGCTTGCGATGCTTTTCATGTCAGTCACACCGCCTTTCTCCATATCGACCGTCTCATCTGTGGGACACCTGGTTTTCGAATTATCCGCAAGCTCTGGCATGCCAGTCTCGGCAATGCAATATCTAGCCTCCCATTCTAACCGCTCTTCCATGTTCTTTTCTTCGAACCTCCGCCCGATCTCGATCTCAGCTACTTCCTTTTCCTTCTGCTCCTTCTCATGAACCTCGTTTTCTTTCTGTCTTCTTTGTCTGATTACCTTCCATAGCCTGAGTTGTGAGATCACGCCCAAGATGGCAATGATGACTGTGACCGCAAGCTCAACGCGAATGTTACGAGTCACCGGGTAGGTACTTGTGCCCAGGGGGAAGATGTCATCGTTGAGAGCTAAGTCTAGGTCAGTGGCTAATTTCCTTGGACTAGTAGAAAGCATATAGAGCAATGCCTACCCCAGATGTAAAGCCAAAACTCCTTCCAACCGGCGCGACTGAAACAGTCAATCCCCAATGCTACAGCAGTACCTCCAGATATGCCGGTCGATGCCATTAGCCCATATGGTCGAGTGTAGTGACTAAACGATAGGGCATAGAACGCGATTGAGATCGCACCAATGAACCCACTTTTAGCGTCCGTCTCTGTGAGAAGACCGCCTGGCTTAAGGGAAAGAAGCCACATGCTGCTGCAGAATCCGCCTAGAAGACAACCAAGCCCCTCTGTTAATTCTTTGAACACAAGCGACAGCGCTCCGAAAGTCACTCCTGTGAATACTACGGCGACGAGATAGGCGCCCTGGACTGCGACACGCACTGGGGGATTCATGACGTAGACGATAAGAACCTAGACAAGCGAGTTTCGTTAGTGGATATACATGTTGAGAGACAGGTAGATGCTAACAGTTACTCCAATACCAGCTAAGAAACCGGCGGATAGGAAGACTTGGATCCTATGTCTAGTAAGCACTATATATCATTCACTGTGAAGAATAGAAAGTTACCATAGATTCCGTATTCCTATTATCGCAAGTATTGAACCTGCGACTATAAGGAGGAACCCACCAATGCCCAAAGCAGGTGTGATTTTGGGCTGCAATGGGAGAGCACCAGGTGCCGTTGAATTCGTTCCATCTGGACCACTTTAGCATTGAGAAATGAAATAGGTATAATTGGGCTCTTGCACTCACTGCTAGTTGGGGCTGACGTCGCGAGAGCTGCTATAGTCTTCGTATCTGGCGTGGTCGTATTCGATGATGTGGTTGAATTAGCAGTCACTGTTGCATGACTTGTTGCGCTCGCCGTTGTAACAGTAGCCGGATCTGCTATTGGTGTAGCGCCCTGATCTGTTGCTCTAGCCTCTACGATAGCGATGCCCCCGTACTGATAACGACCTGCGTGAGGTATTCGCGCCGCAAACACAAACAGGCACGGCACAAGGTACGTGAGAAGCGCAAGCAGAGGAAGTAGCCGCATCTCGAATAGGGATCGTGTTCAATAACCCCCGAGAAACATTGACAAAGTCAAGAGTGACTGGACTTGGGACAAGTACAACAGGTCTCAAGCTTCTGCAAATGGTTTCGTCGCAATTTTTACTCACACATGATTTCGCCACGTACATGGACGACCAAGTATAATAAGCGAACTTAACTACTGAGCAACAATGGAAACACGCAAGAGAGCACAGAAAAACGTGCTATGGGAAGTGGGCGAGCAGGAAAATGCTGTGGGCCCTAGTGGCTATGTCTCCACTAAGTATATTCTATCGTATGTATGTAGTAGGGGTGCATGGAAGGCTGAAGGAGCTCTCATCTTTTGAAACCTGGAACCTGGGAGCTCCGGAATCCGTAGGAAGCATTGTTAGTGCATACAGATAGAGGCCCAAGCAAGCCATAACACAAAATAGACTAGGCGCATGAACGGCGCAAGCCGATCCACTCGAGAAATGCAAGAAGATGGCAGTTACATGCGTGGGAAATTGAATAATCTGGCAGGGATCTGCAATTTAGTTCATAATATTGACGACAGCTGAACGGCCATATCAGATAGGGATAAGCTTCTCGATAGGCCGTGAGCAATACAAGGAAGTCAATAAAACATACTTCAGGGAGATCCACGCTGGCGTCCGATAGATCGAAGTCAGTCTGTAAGGAGAATTATCGCGTAGATAGGCTGAACGTTAATCGGGATATTGTCCAGCGTATTTTTGGGGGTGATTCGCAATCGCATGGCCGCTGTCGCGGGGTGCGATGAAAATCAGACGCAGCGGATCACCCAATTTGCAACCAGACGGAAACGCGTACTGACGTGGCACCGTTGCAAGAGCATGAGTCAGCGAAATGATATAAAATGGAGTAAGAGAGCATCGTAGGCCACGCCAGCCATGACCTTCAGCTATGCTTGCTAGTTCGTTCTTTAAGAGTCGACTAAGTTGCTGTGAACCTTTCAAGTTTCGGATCGTCAATTCGCTGATGGCGCTAGGAGCGCTGGATGTAGTTTAGGGTGTGCGATTGGCTGCATGAGACGACAGGTCTAATTTCTCCCGCGAACGTTTCTTGGGCCTATCATCAACACACAATGGCCTTGATCACAAGGCACCGCACGCTCAATGGATGAGGGAATCACCCTAACTTCTCGCGTAGGATCCTTCTTCCAGGAACCAAACCCCCCCCTCTCCCTCGGAGCAGATATTTGGCGATACACAAATTAGTCCAGGGGGGTGCATATTTAGCCAGGAGTAAGATCAAGGATATGCGGTCGCATTGAGTCGAACATCGGTTCCCCGGAATGTCTGTCTCCATGCATTGATTCCCTGTCAACTAATCCAGCAGGACGGAAATTAGCCACAATGCTCAAAGCATCTTTTCAATAATAGAATGCACGGGCGAGATGCGGTGAGCATATCATGGAAAGGGCTTCTTTTTTTTTTTAAAAAAAAAGTGACCTAGAGAGTATTCCTCCCAAGGTTTTCAAGTTAATAGGACAAACTGAGTGCTGAAATTGATATCTCACACGTCATAAATGCATCAAGGCCAATGAATCCTTGACCGCACAGTTTAGCGATACGATCAGTAGCGAAAAAAATTCTGTAATCAAAAGTTTATTATGGCTGATATATACATGCATGTCGGGAGAATCATGGCGAAATATGTTAATTGTCGGCTCATTCCAAGGTTTCTCATAAGCGAATGAAAGGGAAAACTGTGTTATTGTTCGGTTGCCAGTCTCTGTATGGCAGGGTCTCATTGTGCCCATTGTGACTAGTTCCTCACTCAAGTGTAAGCTGACAAATTTGCTGGTCGGTGACAATGGAGAGTAATAACATTCCATGAAGAGGGAAGGAGAGTAGAATGTATAAAGTACTACTAAGTAGTAGTCACTAGAGAGGATTACTACCTCCGTCCAATGATCATACGCATCACGTGAGACCCACCCGAGCATTCCAACCCGCGCGAACAAGTAACGTAACGACAGTTCAACCTTCCTGGTAAAAAGCTGAGACATTTACTTCAAACTTTTAAATCTTGATCCTCACCGACCACCATCCCCAGTAAACCCCAAAAGAGGAAGATTCCGAACAGTAGCCATACCATGTCTGCCTTCACCTCTTCTCTGCGCCCATTGATGCGCGCCGCCTCCAGCGGAGCTCTCTCCGCGCGTTCCTTCAGCTCCTCCTCGTCGCGTTCAGTAGCCCGTATGATTATCACCGGTCGTCTGGCGGCCGCTCCTGAGCTGCAGGCCACCTCATCCGGTCAGGATATTGTCAGATACACGGTCGCTACCTCGACCGGTCCCCGTGACAACCGACAGACAAGCTGGTTCAAGGTGGCAAGCTTCGATCAGGGTGGTCAGCGTGATTTCCTACTAGGTCTGCAGAAGGGGTAAATATCAACTTTTTTTTTCCTTTCATGCCGTGCATATCTCTTTATATCTAGGTGGTATTGTATACATGTGTACAATGCATGCATAGAAAGGTGTTGAGTGTATGATGCTAACTTTTTGTTCCTCGCTAGAACCCTTGTTTTCCTTGAGGGAAGCGCCAGCCTACGGGAGTGGGAGGACGCCGAGGGCAAGAAACAGACTGCTTTGAACATTGTTCAACGTAAAAATTCCACCCGAGTCTAGTGCAATCCGTCGGCACAAGCTAACTTTCTTGTCTTTCTTTACTTTTTAGGGAGCCTCGAGGTCCTCAAGCGTCCGCAAAACTCCAACGAAAACGAGTCTGCCTAAGCTCACTTGACCGAATGAACATAAACCTGCACCGAGAGAACTACGTACAAACTTGGTGGAGTTGTGGGCTGATGCTCAGAGATTAGAGGCTTGCTTTAATCCCTTGTAGGTTTGTCGGTGAAGCAGGACTCGTCTTGGCCATTGTGTGTTCTAATTATATTTTTGGATCATATGGCTTCTGTATTAGTAGTTGTACAAGTATACCCTTGAATACTAGCGCTCTTTTAGCATGCTGCTTCGTGGCTCTAATGGGATAACCTTAGAATGAATCTGACTCCTCCGGTGCATTGACACGACGTGCTTGTTGGTAATGGTCTGCAGGCCGGCCATACCATTTATTACTTATACTATATCACATACCCGATTAATCAATCAATTAGTCAAGTGACCCAGGTATATCTTAGATAGTCGTGCCCGATAAAGACGATTAGATCTGGCATGTTGAGAGACCCAAACTATTGGAGAACTAAAGCGATAGACTCGCAGATCTAGACGAGGTGCTTTCTCATTGGAGACGCTGTGTCGATGATTTGATGCAACAGAAGTCACTTAGTTGAAGGGCGTTGGCAAAAAACAACGAGTGCCCAAGACAGAATAGATACACAAATGTGAGAGATATTCTTGATGAGGCAACTGACCACAGAAGCCTTGAGATCCCTGAGGTGCAGGTGATCTTCGCTTTTATTGGCCGGTTAGGTAAACGACTTGTCTCAACCATACTGTACAACCTCAGCTTTGCGTTTCGCTCTCCTGGCTGATGTCCCGTTTCACTCGGATAAAATCCTCCCTTCCAGAGATATTAGTAAAATCGTTGCTTTCCCGACTTTGGCTGGAGCCCGCCCACGCACTAGTGGAAACCGTATTGGACGGAGAAGAGAGATTTGGAACGGGCAAAATTCTCTCGCGACTAGAGGTGGACGAGCGGTTATGCGAGCGACTCAGAAGAGACCAGGGATGTTTGAGCCACGAACCATCTTGCTCACGTTGGGGTTCTGGCGATGATACGGCGCCCTTCTCCACATCAGAGCTCCGATTGGTACCACTCATAGTGGCAGGGTTCCCTACATGGGTTCTAAGGCCACAATTAGTAGGGTCTCGTTAGATCTGGGTACAAGGGATCCTCACACTACCGTAGAATTCCATGATTTATGACATAGTAGCCTGACTCGGCTGCTCATAAGACCTGGCGTAGTTGAATGGGAGGCATCGGACGAGGAGTCGTGTGTGCTGGCAAAGCAATGATCCAGACGTAAAGAGCGGAGGAAAGATCGATATATCCTGAAAGCATCTCGACCACACCCGAAGAAGATGAAACATAACGGGCCTGAAGCAACTGGAAACCAGCGATCGTAAAAGGATTCACCACGAGAAGGCATTTTCAGGATATTGTTCCAATAGGGTCCGTGAGCCATATTCCAGGAGTAAGAATGCCACGGCAGCGAAAGATTTATGTTCTTGTAGACAACGAAGCCCTGAACCGGTATAATTGCCAGGAGCATAATGAAGGAAAGGATGAAAAGCCGCATGAATCTAGACTTGTTCATGTTGCTGTTTGACGACTGCAGGATGTCACCGAACTGGTTTCGGTACCTATAAAGACGGTAGAGCACGAGGCCTAGAGGGCTGTTAGTCGTCTGAATCCGGGAAAAAGCAGATAAGTGTTACCATACTGCAATAATAGCCAGCTATGAGACAGATGACCAGAGGCCAGATCCATGCCAGCATGAGGCTCATCCAACTTTCATCAAAGCTATTGACGCAGCCCGAGATACTGACCAGAATGTACCGGTTCGCCTGGTAGACTATATTGGTAGTCATTGCCAGAACCGGCACGACCACACAAAATAATATATTCATGCCAAAATTCCACCGTCGCTGTTGCTTACTTGGGACAAGCATTGCACGTCTAGTATCCATCACTATGGCTAGACTACGGAAGATGCAGAGCAAATTTCCAGGTACCGCAACGTAACTGGCAATCATCACCTTGACTTCCACGTCACAAAGACCAACGCCACTCCACCAGCTATCCATATTATCATTGGGCCAAATAAAAGCGTTGATAATGTTGAACAAGTTGAGACACAGGAACCAGCATATGAGGGAGATAGCAGGGAGGTTTCTGTTCTTTGAATGCAGAATCATCGGAGGGATAGAAAGTAGGATGGAGAGGATGGACAGTGATGGAATGATCACTGCCTGGGCATAGGGAGGAGTGGTTGAAGCGGCCATATTGTAGATAGAAAGACAACTCTGATGCTCGAAGAGAATAAAGAAATTACATCAAGTGATGGGCGCCTTCGGCGGTTGCTTCTGTACTTGACTTCTAGGACTCGTTCTCAAATAAAAGGAAAGGATATGTATGAGATACGAAACAGGAAAAGAGGTTCTATCAGCACCCTATTTAGAGAAGCGAGAAACATCGGAGGAGAAACACGAGTATTCAAAGACCTTCAGAGACAGGTGTCTTATTGAGATAAAGGAGAGCTGGAACAAGGCATTCCACACAGATATCGTTGAAACACCACCTCTCACGAGGCTTTCTGATATACAGAGCAGGGCACATGTGAAATTGAATACTCTCAGAGCTAATCCAGACCCTTGCGGCCGTTCAAGCGGGTTTCTGCAGAACAGTCCAGCCACATTCTGTAGTGGTATAGTTCCTGCAGAATGGACTTAGCTCAGCGGATCTGCAGTTAGGAATAGCGGCCCGTCACACAACTATTAAATTAGATTGGTATAAGCAAAGTCAATGATTAAAAACGAATCCGTGAATTAAGATCTGAAGCGATTGGCGTTTGATTAGGGAGGGTTAGGGATAGGGCATAGTGGCCGGAGTAGGTACATACTGAATGACATCACACAATTCTCCTTTGGGGGTATCAATGAAGGGTTGTCAATAGACATCAATAGGCCTCTCATTCGGAACATTTAAGACAACGGGTTATTACTAAATATATGGAACAAATACCGAGATTGAGAAACCGTCTCGTTCAATCCCGGATTCGTTGGTACGGTGAGACCCTCCGCCTTGTTGAAGACTCATGGCCTGCAAGTATCCTACTGCGCGGACACAACCAGCAGGGAATACCGTGGGGCATTGTAGGTTCCTACAAACATCTTTTAAGAATGATATTCCTGGAGTCGAAGGGGAGAATGATTACCCTCAGTGTGAGTACTCGTGTTTCACACTGCACTGGTGTGAACCATTTGGTATGTACAGTTCTGTCCTTCTCTCCATCTCTCTCCCTCTTTCATCCAGAAGTTTCAACATTCTTTCCAAAGAGTCGTCTGAGATATGATGATTTGAGCAGTTCTTCATCCAATAGGACTTCAAATTCAACAAAAATTTCTAAAGGATGGGTAGAGAGAATTCATCCTTTAGTGAGTGGGTAGGACAGACACAGAAATAAGTCAGCCATGTCAGCATTGGAAGAGTACTGCCGTTCGATAAAGAATTTGGTCCAATAAGGCTCAACACAAGGAGTCCCTCTTGGCACCCTTTTGATGGCGTCATGTGCAGATGTCCCTCCGCAAATGAGCGGAATTGAATGACTTGATTGGAAACCAAGTCACGAACTACTCCACAAACCCCGTCTTGGCGTTCCTTGAATCAGGTAACAGGGATCTGCAATTGAGTATTTTAAGGTATCATTGGTATTGTTACCTACACATGATTTAACAACCCATTCACTCCATACCTACTACTAACTATTCTGCTCTACTGCTCTACTGGACTGCTCCTGAAGGTTCTCAACTTTCGATCGGACCTTTCCAGACCACATACTCTGGAACATGACCAACCAATAGTCCGGTTCGGCTTCATCTTGCTTCCTTTTCAGATCTTGTGCATGATTTACCACCGGTCATGCGACCATCAGTGTCTCCCTTCCAGAACGATCATGGCCATTCCCGCGCCCAATCCCCCGGTTCCATGAATCTTCGCCATCGTGGCGCGGCCCGCTCTGCCACTTTTGCGGAGGGTTGTTCATCGAATCTTCAAACTCAACGACGCAACTCGACCTTTTCAGATTCGGTCTCCGAAGCGCGGAATTCCATCCGATCATCTACGGACGATCTATTCTTCCCCCGTGTAGCCAGGGGTTCCTATGATACCGCAGATGTGTCCAATGAGGAGTCGCATTGGCATTCTGCGCCCCTAGGTCTCGCCCTGCTGCCTGCGATCGCGGGGGTCTTTTTTCAGAATGGAAGCGCAGTCGTAACTGATGTTACTCTGCTGATTTTGGCGGCTATATTTCTAAATTGGTCCGTCAGACTACCATGGTAAGACATCCCCCTCGGTGTTCAACCTCAATCTTTTTGCTGACCGGGATGTCAGGGATTGGTATCGCTCCGCCCAGGCAATCCGACAAGACAAATTCTACGATGCGATCGAGATTCCAGTAGACATAGAAATCGACCACGACCAAACCCACCAGGACCCAAAAGAGGACTCAATCTCAGTTGAACCTAAGCAGGGGCAAGGACGCACAACTGAAACGGCAAGCGCGGCTAGTAGGGAATTACAAATCCACGAAATCGTTGCTCTTGCTTCGTGCTTTATCTTCCCAATCATCGGAACATGGCTCTTACACACAATCAGATCCAAACTATCGCGTCCCTCGGAGGGACTGGTGTCGAACTACAATCTCACCATATTCCTCCTAGCGTCCGAGATCAGGCCATTCGCCCATCTGTTAAAGATGGTACAGGCGCGTACGCTCCATCTCCAGCGCGTTGTCGCGTCGTCCGCCGAAAGCCCGAAAGATAGAATAGATGCCAGCAAGATCCTCGATCTCTCGAAAAGACTAGAAGAACTGGAGGCTCACGTAGCGGAAAAAGCCGCAGCGCGTCTCGCGACTGAGTCCGCTAACCAGGAACAGTCCCAGCCTCAGGGACAGGAATACACGCAGTCTCTCGTCTCACAGACGACTACAGAAGTCCGAAAATCAGTCCAACCAGATATCGATGCCTTGAACCGTGCTGTTCGGCGCTACGAGAAACGTACCGCAATGACTTCGTTCCAGACTGACTCCAGACTCGATGCACTAGAGACCCAGGTCCGGGATGCCCTTTCTCTAGCCGCTGCGGCGCAGCGTTCCATTGCACAGAAACGTCGGGGTTTCTTGTTCGTGCTCCTCGAGTGGTTCTATGCGGTTGCTCTACTCCCTGCGCAAATCTTCATGTCCTTAGCTGTATTACCGTTCCAGGTCGCGAGCCGGTGTCTTCGTTATATTCAAGACACAGTGTTCACAAAACCACTGCCAAACCCCGCGAAGGGCAAAGCGCCGCAAGATAATAAAACACGACCTCAAAAACGATCAAAACGAGTGCCCAATCAAGACCCAGTGGAGACAAAGGGGTTGAGACCTATTCGCGAGTGTGCAAGATAACGAAGTCCTGCATTGCTTTGAACTGCGTTCGGCGGTCTCTCCTAAATTTCCAGGTGATACTTAGATATGTATATCTATATACCACATAGCGTTGTACGGAACCTTTAATGTTTGTTCTGTGCATTTTTTAGTCTATAGATACATATTAAGTAACCTCAAATACTCTCCATCCTTTAACCGCGAAGCTTAGAATAACCCGCACATACTTGTACTATAAGACATGCAAATGTGTCGACAAATATCTAGCCAACGATAATACATGACTTAGGTAATTACGACCAAATGACCAGATAAGTGATGAAAGAAGAGTATATAGTACAACACAATATAATACATACAAGGCCAGGTCAAATCTATAGGTAGGTAAAACACAACACCCGAATTTATCAAAGAAAACGCAAAGTGTAGAGGATACAAAACGACAATAACTGGGTGTATATCTATGACACGCACTATATAATATGTCAAGTCCAACCACCGGAGGGACCTTTATTATCCACTCCGATGGTCTTTAAGAAAGGCTCGATTATACTTCGTTTCCTGTCCTCCAATGCTCGTCGTTCCTTGTCCTTTGTTGGGACAGAGATGTCAGCAGAGATAAGGACAGTGGAGAATATACCCGCTAGGGCGGTTTCGACGGCTTGTCGTCGGATCGCTAGGGGATTAGCGGTGGGTTGTGGTATGTTTTGCGATGTAAAGGTGAGGGTTCGCCGTCGGAAATTACCCGCTGCGGCGAACGCCGCGGCGGTTGGTGTGATAGGTTGGGTGTTGGCGTTAGGTTGCTCGTCGGATGACTTTTCGTTCATGTTTCGTGGGGGGGCAGATGTTACTGGGGCGACTTCGTTGGCGATGCGAGCAAGCATAAAGGTGACGAAGGTGAAGGAGACACTGTGGGCGGGGGAATATGCAAGTCTCTCTAGCACCCAGGCTTGGAATTCTTCCCACGATAGGAGAGGTGCTTTGGTCTTCTCACGAGAAAGAATTTGTTGTTCTAGATCTTGCCAGACAGCGGCTGTGACGATCCCATCCTTCAAAGATTTGAGGAATACCAGTAGAGTCTCGCCCAAGATCTCTAAGCGGTGGAGTGAGGACACCTCAGGTGGGAAGACATGATTGAAAGGTTTGTTGGTGTCCAAGGCTTCGCGGACAGATGCTAAAAGGGATAAACGTTCTTCTTTGTCCGTCAGAGTCCATGACTCTGGCTCGAAAGGCCATGCAAACCCGTGCGGCTCTTTAACCCACGGTGGTGAGTCATCTGACTCGCCTCTGATCATGCTCCATTCCGCAATAGCGCGTTCAGACAACTCCGATATCGATTCTGTCAAGCGGAAAAGTTCTCGCGGGGCGGACAGAGGTATGCTCACTTCATTCATCTGGCGTCGAGTTATTTGTGTAGCAGGTAATGTTCGCGCACCGGCTTCTGGCATGACGGTAAGTTCTTCTAAGCTGCGCCCAAAGCAGGTGGGCAACCATTCCCCATATACAGAGATGAAATGATCACGGCCGTTAGTCACCCGAAGGACCAAAACCTCTTCTAGCTTCAATTGTCCTTGATTCAACAGACGCACCAATTCAATGTCTTTGACGCATGCAGTCACCTCGATGTTAGTGAGCTCTCCAGGTAGTAATGTACACTCTTGTAGACGTGACTTAGTCTGTTCTTCCGAGTCATCGTGGTGAGGCGGCTCAATTTGATACTCAAGCCAAGACGGGTGATAATGACAACTTTCCCCTTGCTCGGGCTTCTCGAATGAGAAAGCTGCAGGCACACCACTGGTGTTCGCAACCGTCAGTGATCGAGTTATAGGTACATCAAACGGTATGTCACCAAAATCCAATGCATTTGGATCCTTCATTTTGTCCTCATGGCCGTGAGAATCCACCACAACCGTTAAACTAGGCCGAGACTCGTTTTCAGTCTTGTCTAGATCTCGAATTACTTCCTGGTGAACTTTGGCCTTTAACTGGGGGACAACGGATTCATAGGTTAATGTGAACCCGGCTGCTAGGGGCTTGTGGTCAGAGGAGAGGATCCCTTGATGCGATATATAATAATCAAGCTTGAGTGACTGGTCTGGTTCACCCTGCGAATTGTAAGACACCTCATCACTCGCATCATCTTTAGATGGGTCGTATTCATCTGCGCTATCTGCACCATCAACATCTGGATCATAGTCAAACAGAACATTGTCATCTGCTGCTGCCGTATCCAGTCCCCTAGCTTTCATTTCTTCGTCACGCTTCCTAGCTTCATCGGTTTCCTTGACTAATTGCTCATGTCTTAGCATGTCAAGGCGTGTTCGGTAAAGGATCCTATCACACCAGCTAGGGCCCCGATGCTTTTCGCTCGAATCAAAGTTGGCGACGCTTCCCACATCATACTTGTATGTCGGCAGGAATGAAATGCTACCTTCCCGCCATCCTTCGTGGAATGCCTTTTGTTTGTGCTGTTGTAAGCGGAGCTGATCGTGAGAAAGTAAAGATGAAATAGTGGTTTGTAAAGAAGCTGGGTCTGTGTGAGGATCCACAGCCTCATCGGAGACTGGCGGGGGAGGTTTGCTCGCCTTGTCCGTCTGCTTTGGTGATTCCTGCGACTCATCTTCATCGGTCACATCTACGGACTTATGTTGTTTGTCATATTCATTCTCGACATGTCGAGCAAGAACTTGTCGCACATCATCACCAGGTATATCCTCTAGTCTGTAATTAAGATCTCCGAACCAGAATGTGATATCTTCTTTTCCTATACTCTCAGTAGGCTCATCCCTAAGCGCACTTTCAGTATCGATTGGGTCAAACTTTGTTCGTTGAATGATTTGTGAGACATCCCAGTTCCGCCGTTCTAGGCTGTTTTTATCCGACCCAGCTGCCAAGTGGCAGTTAACAAAGACGAGGCATGTGGTCTCGCCCAGCATCAGGCGCGCTATGGCAGCGCCTTTGTTGCCCATGTACCCAAATAGGCCTGTGCCGACGTTGGCACAGCTGACCGATGATACAGATTCGGCAAGAGAAGGAGAGGCATAAACCAACAATAGAAGGCCTACCAACTGTGATTCTGCGACTAGCTGGTAGCTTGAAGGCAAAGCGTTCTGGACCGCAGCCTTCCACCTATTTGCCGGCCCAGGATCAACGTAGGGCCTCAAGGTCTCCGCTGGGGAAGAAACATCTACAATCTCTTGCAACCCAAGAACATACAGTCCGACTTGATCGGACTCAGAACCAGTTTCATTTCGAGAATCATCACCCACTTTACCGGGGGCTTCTTCTAGGCCGGAGACCCTTAGTCCGGCGAGCTGTTCGCAGATACCCTCTCGCTGTACAAACCACTTTCCGATGTCTTCTTCCGTACCTGGGATAGCAGCCACGTTCCACGTTCCGACCTTGATACGAATAGATTGTTGAGTTGTATACTCTGATTTTCTCGCTTTAACGGCTTGAGGAAGTGATGAAGGGTCGAGGGAGGTATCCGGAGACGATCCGTCAAAGTGTGATTCACCTGCGCCGGCTGCGACCGGCGACTGCGACGCGCGCTGCTCGGTATCTGACGCCATGCTGGGAAGAATCACTCGAGTCGGAAATTAAAAGAAATTGATCATCGCCTGCAATAAACAAATTTTCACAAAGGTATTCCACCCCCGACTAACCCGGGAGTTTAAGCGTCCACCTTGCGGTTTGACAGCTAGTGAAGAGCGCGCAGTGCGAAAGGGACAATGATCGACTGGGGGCGATGCGTGACAATCAGAGAGTCATTGCGGCATTACAATGGTCACAGGCCGAGTCACTCAAATGCCGAGTACCTGTTCGATCATCACGCGCTTCACTGGCGGGAAGTATAAGAGAGTGTCTCGAGAGGGGTGAATTAGTCCGGCGGTAGAATGACGACAACGATAATTGCGGAGCCGGACAGGTCAGATTTACTAAACCCCAGGTTTCCTTCAAAATGAAAGAATCGGTAACTGTGGCAGGTCCAGATAGATATATAATCTAACAATCGAATTGAATTGGATTGGAAGGAACAGAAGGAAGAAGTGGTTGTGGATCGCCGTGAGCTGTGCTTTTGCTCTGACGAATGTCTGTGGGGCTTCCGACCGCTTCCCAGAACGGAGCTTATTTGCTTCTTTCTCTCCTTCCTCCATACCAGTAACACACTTGACGCTACAGTTCATTTCCTGTTAGATTCACTTTCCTCAGGCTCCACCGACACTGCCCCCTCGCCGAGAGTAGTCCATACTCTTTTCCTTCACTTCCCTCCGCAATGGCTACCCGCAAACCCCGACGACCAAATAACAACAACTACCGTCAGAGTCAACCCCAACCCTCCGACTATGAATCAGACTACCAGAACTACTTCTCAGATACACAACAATACCAGGAGCAACACGAAACTCCCATGCCACCTCCCGTCCGCTCCAACGAGGAGCTCAACCTCTCCGTTCTCCGCCGTCACAACCCCGCCATAACCTCGATTCTATCCCTAGCGCCTTACGCCGTCATCTACCTATTCAGCCCAAGAACACGACAATGGGAAAAGAGTGGAGTAGAGGGCTCGCTGTTTGTTTGTCAAATGTCGCAGGGACCTTTAGGCGAAGAGCGATACAACGTCTTCGTGCTGAACCGGCGGGGTCTTAATAATTTCGACATTCCTCTGACGGATGGCGATAACGTGGAAATTACGGAGGAATACGTGATTCTCAAGGTTGACAACGATTCAGGGTCGGCTGTGGAGAATAGTAACAACGTTAATGGGAAAGGCGCGAAGAATGTCGACCTCCGCATATACGGTCTTTGGATTTACTCCGAACCCCCTCCCAACTCTACGGCCGAGACACGCAGTATCAATGCTCAGGTGATTCGGGAATGCGCCGTTCATGCAGGTCAGAGTTTGAAGCTGGCGCACGAACGACTAGAGGCAACCCGCCAGAATGGATTACACGTCGCGGCTGCGGCTACGGCTTCTACCGTTGACCCTGTGGATGAGGTGCAAGGTAGCATCGCTATGGGCCGCCAGGTTTCCCTGAGGGATCTCTTTGGGCAGCAGAGGGCCCAGGATGATGGGTGGAGTACCAGGGCACATCACGTTGGTCCCCAGGAGTGGCACCAGCCTGCGATGGGTGGTCCGCCGGTGCAGCCGGAGCGGCAACAAGATGTTCTGGGTGATCTATTCAGGAGGGCCGGTTTAGCGTACCAGGGGGGTCACTAATGGGGTAGCCCCCGCTATTCTTGTCGATCTCCATCCCGAAAGATGTCTGTTAGAGAGGCATAATATCATGACACTTGCGATACCCATGATATTTCGCGATGGGCACAATTTTCAACTAAAACCTCATGAGATAACGGACCACTACACATTATGCTATAAATTAGCATAAGGTGATATAAAGAAGCATGTAGCTTCTGAAAACCCCTTCCTATATATATACAACAAGTCTATATGTAATAGAATCACCAGCCACAACCAATCCTCCCTAGCTCAATCTCTTACTATATCCAACACCATATCGGCTACTTTCTTCGCCACGACATCACTATGCTCTACAACCCACCAACCACATCAGCAAACCCAACCCCAATACCTCGGGAACAAAGGAGAAAGGGAGCAATACTCACTCAAAACAAAAGCATGCGGCAATTTCTCCTCACAAACAATCATCTTCGGACCACCTTCCGTCCGTCCCCTCACCTCAACAACCTCATCTCTCGTCTGTTCCGCGACCCAGTGATCACTTCGACCAAAGTAAAAGAATAACCGCGTAACGGGATCTTTAACATTCGACATGCCCCAAACGTCATCACTCCATTTGTCAGAGGTGATAGTTTGCATCTCGTCGGCGGCCATGTGTCTAGAATTAGATTGTTAGCTAGGGATCTTTCCAAGCTCCTCCAATTTACGGTCCGATAGAGAATAGAAGGACATACAAAGCCTGCTGTACTCCGTAACCACTCTCCAAGAAAGCTGCCGTGGTTTCAACCATATTATCCGGCGGCGATCCCATATAAAACCTAATCAGAGATCGTAGAAGACTACCCGGGACAAGGGCCGTCAAGACCCGAACTAGAAATCCCACTACCACAGCCAACTGCGGGATAAATGATAGCAGGCGCTGCGATAGATCTGGTCAGCGACACTGTCCTAATAATTGATATCAAATAGACAAAAAGGACATATATACATACCGTCAACTTCTGCCCAGAAGGCGACTTCGCAATATCAACAACAGTAGGAAACAACATCACACCCCCAATAATATCAAACTCGACAGAAGGCCAAGCGCCATTCGCCGCGCGCTCCCGATGTCTCCGTAGAATCTCCATTGCGATGTAACTTCCCACCGAATGGCCTATAAGAATCACCTTAGGTCTTGGTGCAGTCTGGCGCTGCCCCGATGCATCTACGGCGCCAGTAAGGAAGTCGTCTAGCTTTCTTTGGACGAAGCAGATCTGCTCTTCGAGATCATAGTATCTTGGTTTGGAGCCTGGTGTTTTGGTAAGTTCGAACCCGGCCAGACTGTGTCCGTAAATCTGGAAGGCGTTTGTTTTTCTTGATTGCTGTGCATAATGTGTGTTTAGCTTTTCTGAGAGGATGGAGAGAAGTGTGTGGTAGTATCCAATTAGGCCTGGGTTGCCCGATATCATGTAGATGGTGATGGGGGAAAGTGACGGGTCGGACGTGGACGGTGTGGAGAAAAAGCTGTCCGCGGTAATATGTGGCAGTCGAGAGAAAGTCATGGTTCGCATGCGCTTGCGGGGAACTATTAATGGTCTAAATCGCTGTCTATAAACTATACGTATTGAATTGGGGTGGCTGAGGTGGAACATGGGACTCACTGAAGGTATGATCGATAAATTGAATCGGAGAAATCCAAATTCCCGTCGTGCCTCGGCAACCAATTTCTTACATTTATCGAGTCTATAGACTATACTCATAACCTACGTCAATTCATGTCAAATTAATGAAATGCAATGTCCCGTTTAACATTATTTTGAAGATGCAGTTCGTTAGGAAGGTAAGAGTTACTGCGCGGACAAGTATGTGCACCAATATCTCCTCAGAAGGACGCAAATATCAACTTTCTTGACAACCCGCTCCATCAGACATTCCCAATCGTAAAAAGAAGCAGGGAGAGAACGAGATCCTCCGTACCAAGAACTCTGAAATGCATGTGCACACACACAGTGATTCGTCGCAGTTCGTCTCATCCAGCCAGACTCCATCCCTATCAACCAGAGCTCCTTAAACCCCATAGATAGACCGAAGAACAATACAGAAAGCTCCAGTTATGCCAAAGACCCAGGTGAAACAACACCGACCATCAGACGCAAAAGGCTGGTAGCACGCATGCTATTACCTCAATTCTGATTTCATATCCCTTTTGTTTTTTGCCAAGCATTCGACAGTGCAAACTCTGAACCATGAGGTATTCTTAAGGAAAGGACACTTAAAAAAAATTAAAAGACAATGAAAGAATGAAACAGACAGGACATGGTAGCTGTACACCAGGTCAAAGATTTCGACGACGAAAAGAAGAACAAAACAGAAAGTGCAGGCTTCGGGGTGACTAGAAACCTAATACATGATATCTAAGAATGCCAAAAAGCATGAAGATGTATAGCAAGCTATGAGGGAATCGTACAGAGATATGCTGTGAATCAGGGGGTAAAAATTATGAGAATTGAAAAGAAAAAAAGACGGGGAAAAAACCATCATTTCATCTGGTATCTAGGAGATTGCCGAAAAATGCAAATAGAACTCCAGTTACTCGGACAAACGAGGATGATGCTTGTAGGAAAGACCAGCCATGCGACCAATTCCACAAAGGGTATAAGATTATCTCGGGAGAACAGTTAACCTGTTTCACCACCGTGGTTCTCGCCACGGTTTTCCTTCTCGCTGCTTGGAGTACCTGCCGCGGAATCTGTCGAATCCGTCTCCGATGATGACTTAGAGCTGAGATTGATGGCTATCCTTTTGGGTGGTGTGCTGCCGGTCACAGTTCCCAAGACACCCTGGGTTGCTCCCTTGTCAGCAGCGGGCAGCGACCCAATTGACACGCTTCTCTTCTTCCGCAGCATGCCGGCATTTCCAGGACTACTAGTCGAACTTCTTCGTTTCGGTCCAGAGCTGAGTTTAACCAACTCATCATCATCCTCCTCCTCACGCCGACGCTTCTCTGACAAACGCTCCGGAGGTGTCTGCACGGTCGACGAGACCGGAGTCGATGGCGCTTCCGTGAAAGATTCGGTAACGGCATCAGGAGTTGAGGTGCCTTCTCGCCGTAGCAACTGTTGTTTCAGTTCTTCATTGCTCTCCGGCTTTGTGTCCATAGCATCCTCGTCATCATCATCTGGATAATCGACTAGAGGTTTAACGACTGGCGAGGCGGAGCCGTTCTGCATTTGAGAAGCCATTGTCGCATTGGCCCCATTATCATGTTGCCACTGGAAAAAAAGGTAAGCGTGTTGATTGATGGTCATGATCAGGGGTATGGATTTTCCTACCTCGTCTTCATCGTCCGACGTGTTGAAATACTCTTCCTCTGCAGCATCCATCTCCCTAACACCCTGCCAGCGTTGTCCGTTGGGTTGGATCCGCCGAACAGGAGTACCTTCCTCTTGGGAGTAGAGAGTAGACTCCACTTCTGTGCCATAGCCCTGCATTTGCTCATAGCGTAGAATCAAATCTTGAAATGTGTTGACATAGGTAATATTCTTGAGCTTTTCACCGTATTTCTCAACAACGTGCAGAACTATAGGTTTGATGTTTTCTCGTTTGATGAATTCAAAAAGTTCGAGACAAGCCGAATTGAGGAGATTGTCGCGTGGCATTGTCTCGTAGACGATGTCAAGAATCAAATCAAACGTGTTGTTATGTGTCATCAACGCTTGGTAAAACGTATCTTGGAGGCTGATCAACGTACGAAAGAATTTCAATGCAGCTAAGCCGAAGGTAAGTATTTAGACACGGGGACCTGGACAATAGTCTAGATAGGCTAACTTACTCAGCTTGAGGTGCTTCTCTGGTACTTTGAGTAACTGGGCAACTCGAGGAGCGAGACCTTCATTATGGATGACAGCACGGCTTCTGTACAGGTGTTGACGGACAAAAAATGTAAGAATATCAACAAGGTGAGCATACAATGCCACATCTTGGAATGTCAAGTCGGGAACTAGATGGAAATTGAGTTAGCTGCGCGGATAGCTTGAGGCTTATATTGATTAACAATACGTACGGCTGGTGCGATTCTCGAGTCGTTTTAACGGCATAAATAGCCTCTTAGCAGACTCATCAAAGTGGTTCTGGACGAAAGCATCGGATAGAATATTAGGACGTGGCTTCGAGTAGTGTTCGGGTCCAGCCCGACCCATCGTGTCCTGCAATGGGATCTGAGGGTCCAGTAGAACCTTGATGGCATCTGCGAGTTGATTTTTAACACCGAGATCCGACTCCATATGAAGTAAATCGATCAGTGTATCAGTCAACGGTGTCTTTTTCTCATTGACGGCCTTGAGCATATATCCACGCATCATGATAGGATCATGGTCGAGCAGTGCAACTAGGATATCAATCCCAGTGGTGCGCATAGCGGGATTAGGGTGCTTTATGGCGAAAGCGATCACAGCAAAGAGGCCATGGCTGATGAAGTTTGCGAATAGATTGGCGCGTGCTGGGGCTTGAAGGTTTTTGGCAATAGCTGCGCATTGGTGGAGGAACTGCACTGCATCCTCCTTGCGTTTTGCATCCGGACTTCTTGGATCAAACACCGAAAACAATTCCTTCAAAAAGGGACCGTTTGATTGGATGTGATTTACAATTTCGACCTGGTTAAAGAAAATCAACGAATTGAGGACTGAAAAGGTCGGATCATCCAAAATTCGAGCCAAAACCACATCTTTCAGATACTGCAAGCGCCAGGTGTACTGGATTTTGCGACGGATGAGGGCGTCTTTAATCGGGACCACTTCTTTATAGCGTGACTGGTCTGCGAGGTACTGGCGATGATTGGCCTTGTGTGTAGGAAACTCGGGGTCGTCTAGATATTTATTAGCAATCCCACTGTTATAAAGCAAGCAACTTCTTATGTCACGCACATTCCAGCGCCCCCACGACTCCCAGGATAATGGGGTCCGTAACGACGGTTTCGATGATAGTATTGTCGTTGAGAAGGATGAGAGATTTCATAATATTGCAGAGCCGGTGTAGGTCAGAGAGACTTTCAAGATCTTCTGCAACTGTGACCAATGGTATGAGCTTAGGAATGTACTCTTCTCGAATAACAAACTTCGACAGTGCGTCTCGGCCAGCTTGTGTCATGCTGGCGGCTCTCATGACATGGTCGATTTCGGGAAGATTTCCAAGCTCGGGGGCAGGTAACATGATCGACTGATAACCTTCGAGGTCGTCGGAAAATGCATCGTCTAGGGAAGAAGAAAGCTCTATGTCAGTAACGAATATCCACCGCGCGAAGGAACGAGGAAGGCCAGGTATCTACCTGCTGCTGCCAGGCTTGTAAGGTGCTGCTGAACGCCATTGACAAAATTCCTATCGTGACTGCCGTCAGCCAAGCTCACAAAAGAACAGAGTCACAGGTTTCCAAGTAATGCCCTACCAAATCACAGCGCAACCCTCAGCTTCCTGGAAGCTCAATGCCATATCCGTCCCATTGGGCTCCGTCCATACTATCAAGGTCTCTAGCGGTGTCGCACAAACGTTAGCAAGTTGACCGATTGAGTTTGCGATGCGAAGGGCAATGAGGGAGTGGAACCTTGCTGTTTCTGGTACCCGTCATCTTTGCAGATTTTCGTCTCCAAAAGTACCCGATCAGGTTCATCTTCAGATTCGACAAATATTCGCGGCTCATCCTGTAGGAAGATGGAGTGGGGATGTCAGCGACCGGGGTCAATGTTTGAGGAAGCGCGACCCGTAGCGTTTGCGCCCGACGACCGATGTCGCGCTGGGTAAACGATCGCCCATGCGATGAGAGAAACTTACGTCTAGGATCTGCCCGGTACAAAACCCAGTCCCTCTATCAAACCAGTCGTTATCTCTCAGTTCGTAGACCTTGACTCGTTTGCGATCGCTGGGTGGTTGCACCTCCAACGCCATGATCTGGCAACAGGGGGAGGTGGCGTCTCGTCACTCCGGGACAACTCAGGAACGAGTGCACCGGCGCACAGCGAAACCCGAAGTAGCAGGAAAGATAAGAGGGTAGCCGCTGCCTTGTCCGGATTGGACGAGGGGTTGCGGACGGAAAAGAATGAAAGAAGTATAATAGAGGGGTGAAGAATTGTGATGGGAGGGGGATGATGGGAAAAAGATGGACGGAGCGAAAAGGCGAACAGGTCACAGGTGATAACGGGGATGGTACACTTTGCTGCTTTTGCTGCGGATGATGAATGATGATCCTGAGTTTGGGTCGGGACCACCTGACGGCCTCGGCAGCGGTCGGCCGCTACTCTTTTTTTTTTGGACTTTTCTTTGGTTGGCGGCGCGCAAGAAATAGGAAAACCAAAACCAGCACACGCGACCGCAAAAGGAACGAACTCCCAGAATGGTGTTCTTTTTTAAGGTACCCAAACCCTTGCCTGATCGGGTGTGGGGTTCGGTATCAAATATTGTTAAAAATTTCCGGAAGATCTACTTTTGCAAATGATACAAAAGAAACGCGATCAATAAGAAGATAAGAAAGAGCCAAGTGTGCCTGGGGCCCCTGGTTTAATGTTAAAAGAGGATAGTTTGAAGCACTGGTTTCGAGAGTCGCAAAGTACACTACGGGGATCTGCAAGGCAACGAGTCGATGAAATGACGTGCACCCGCAGCTTCTACCGAAGGATGGAAACAAAAGAAAATATATATATATAATATATATATATATATAAATTGATATAGAAAAATGATTATAAATAAGGTGAGAGAATCCGCATGAAGCTTACTAGTAGAACATCGTATGGGAAAGATTAAACAGGGTGGTCCAGGAATCATGTATGTACTGTACCGTATAGTATGAATGTATGAGAGTAGTAGCATAACTATTTATGATTTACAGCGGTTAATAATAGTCATGCAATATGTATCCTCAACTGCGTACGGATTCCAGCATGTATTGCGCACGATCAAAACATGCTGATGTATATAGTACGTAGATAGATAGATAGATACATACATACTCAGGGGTTGGTAAATTAGTAGTCGCAGAGGGTGCACAAATGGCCTAGACCATGATGATTATGATTTAACAGGCTGTCCCCGTCCTACCTAAACATATAATGTCAGTATGGGTGTGCATGACAAGCGAATCTACTCTCCCGGGTCAAGCTAAGAATAGCGGTTAGGCAGGTAAACCAAATCCTTTCCCCGCCTACCCATGGAACCCCAATGGAACCTTCAATGTTGAACAGAAACCCAAAATCACAATAACTATTAGTGGGATTCCAAGTCATCTGGCACGGAAAGAATTGAATTGTTCGAATAAGGTATGTGTTATATATAATTCTTCCCATTTTTGTGTACTCCTCGGGGTTATAACCATTGGTGAATACCTATGGTTGATGGTGGCTTCCATCCAAGCATGCACTGGGCATTTATCTTGGTATGCCCGATGCCCATCTCCCCACCTCCCTGCGTCAAACACCATTTATCTTCTTTTCTTTGCCCATGAAGCGTGACGTTGAATCCGGAGTATGAATCTCCCCAAGCCACTAACTAGGGGATAAGGAAAGACAGTTAATCCCCCTGTGGGTTGTGTGGTGTCGATGGTGCTTTCAATACAACTAATTATATACGAAACTCCTCCATCAGCATTCCAACAGCCCCAGAATCCTTTCTTCAAGGTTCAGCTCATGGCTTTTTCCAGAAAAAAGCGGGACTGCAGCCGATGAGGTCATTACCACTTTAATCGAAAGTCTAAAGTATTGAGGCCTGAGGCACCAACAGTCGGATCATGTGAACCTGATAGAATGAGCTCATAGCATGCTGGCTAGTAAGCCGCTCGAGTAAACTAATCAAGAATCAAGCCGTAGTTAAACGGGAAAAAAAAAAAGAAAAAAACCATTATTATTTTTGCCTTCCTTTGGGGGGTAAGCAATGACGGGCAAGCAGAGCAACCGAATACGAAAAATCGAGCTATCCATGCGTTCTCCCTTGCTGATACGAGACTAGCTCCTCACCTATCAAGCTCTGTGCTATGCTTAATAAAGATGAGTCCGACTAGGACAATGGTATGAAAATGCCACTCTTTATGGATAATTTGCGTTTAAGCGTCTGAATATAAGGTGTGCGCTCTGTTCTCCCCGCCTGTTATGATATCGGCCTTCCTATTCGCTGATTGGTCGCCAAGGAAGGAATGCTGCTCCGACTGGCGTCGGGCAGACCCGCCCCATCCACCCTCATTGAAATTAGGTAATTATACAGTGGAGTGTCGGTAGTGATGATTGGCCAGGTCTTCCACGAGGTCTCTTGAGCAAGCATCATCCAATCGATGGGACCACTGGCGAAAATTGCCCAATCGGGATAGGCTTAGTTCTTCCGCCGCCTGGACCTTGCCCACGATTTTTTTTTTAACTCCTCTCTTCTTTATCTACATAACCTTGTCTTCAACTCTCCTGAATTGAATCATTCAGAGGCCTTAGGCGAGCGACTTCCGGGAGTTTTGCGCTCGTTCAGGTCAAAAAAGCTCCCATTCACGCTTATCAGTTTATACCCTGCTATTACGATCGCATAGTCACCCTTGATAAACGTCGATCTCGCCTTGTTGGAAACTACTTGGAAAGTCAATACTCTTCTCTCAGTATGTCGGACTTCAAAGATCAAATCGCCGTTCAAACTTCGGCCGCAGCTCCCCACGATGGCTCATCACCTGCTCAATCTTCTAAACACGACGTTTCGGCAGGTGTAGATTCAAATACCCGTGAAGTGGACTCGGCCTCGGAGGAGGTGCTTGCGGACCAGATCGACAAGAAAAAGAAAGGCTTTCTTGCCTACTTTACCACGAAGGAGTTCTACATCATTCTGATCCTAGGGTAAGTGGCGATCTTTGCAGCTGTTGGGAGTCTTGTGACCAATGGCTAACATCTGGCTATAGACAGGTGTTGGCGATCACAAACACCGCTACCAGTACTTTCAGTACACTCCTTTCGAATGAAGGCACTTCAATCCCGGCTTTCCAGACTTTTTTCAATTATGTTTTGTTGAACATCATTTTTACGACTTATACTTTGTACCGTTATGGCATCAAGGGCTGGTTCCAAATGGTGTTCAAGCACGGCTGGAAATGTAAGTATGCGCCCCACTTCGCCATACCTGCGATCTGTTATATCTGACCATTGGGCTCTCCGCTATATAGATATCATTTTAGCGTTTTGCGACGTCGAAGGCAATTATTTCATCGTACTGGCATACCGATACACAACCATGCTTAGTGCCCAGTTAATCAACTTCTGGGCTATTGCAGTCGTCGTCGTCATCTCGTTCCTGTTCCTGCGCGTCCGCTACCACATCACACAAGTCTTAGGTATCTTGGTCTGCATCGGCGGCATGGGCGTTCTGATCGCATCCGACCACATCACCGGCACCAACGGTGGCGATGTCTCAAGCGGCAACCAACTTAAAGGTGACCTCTTCGCGCTCCTAGGCGCAACCTTCTACGGTCTCGCCAACACCGGAGAAGAGTACTTCGTCAGTACCCGACCCGTCTATGAAGTTCTCGGCCAGATGGCTTTCTTCGGCATGATCATCAACGGTGCCCAGGCCGGTATCTTCGACCGCGCATCCTTCAGGTCCGCCACCTGGAACAGTGAAGTCGGCGGCTATCTAGCCGGATACACGCTCTGCCTGACCTTCTTCTATTGCATGGCCCCGCTTCTCTTCCGCCTGTCGTCGGCGGCTTTCTTCAACATCTCCATGCTGACCATGAACTTCTGGGGCGTCATTATCGGTATCAAGGTCTTCCACTATACCATCCACTACTTGTATCCCATCGCCTTTGTACTCATCATCGTCGGTCAGCTCATCTATTTCCTCGGCCGCCGGGTCCTGGGTGAAGCGCGCAAACCTTGGCTGGGCAAGAACCAGGAACGGGGTGTATCAGGTCTGTTCACTGCGAGGCGAATGATCGATACTTCGGCTGTCGCGTCTAATCGTAATCCTAATTCTACGACTAATGATCCTGCTACGGCCCATAATGAGTCCCTCGCGTCACATACCAGTCCGGTTTAGGGTGGCGTTTGGGGTTTGTTTCCTTTTTATCTCTACTTTTTTTTTTCTTTAAAGAAAAGAAAAAAAGAAAAGAAAACGTTTGCTTATTTTCGTGGACATCTCGTCCGATATTTGCTATGAAGTTCTCTATATATCTTTTCATGTTTCCATGATTTCTTCACCTAATGCAAAACGTATTGTCCTGTTTATTTTCTCGATTTCGTTGTTTGAGCTTAATGTGATACCTATCTATACTCTCCCAGTATATACTAGAGATAGAAAATCCACATTATTATCGGGATCTGGTTAAGTTTAGACTATGGTTCGTGTGTATTTACCGTAATTTGATTGATACCTGAAACAAATTCAGTGTATGATAGCAGACGTGACATCGTATCATGAGACATGCCAAAGACACGCAGACCTGCATGTAAAGAGGCAGGTCAAATCGATTGAAAGATAGATATATGAAAACAGAAAACATGAGACACAACCATAAACAGAACACCCAAATCAAGATAAGATGGCATGCCAGAATGTCAGTGTAGATCAGACTCCGATAACTCTTTTCACGTTTGCCTGCTCCTCCCCCTATGTTCCGTTGCCCATGCCTCCCCCCCAAAAATATGAAGATAAAAGAAATTCAACCTTTTGGTGCCCCATACCTGACGCAAAATTAGGAGAAAAAAAAAGCGCATGCTTTGGCCAAACTCGAAACCAGACCTGAACAATGACATGTAACACCGGAAACCCTTCCGAATGAGCTGGAAACAAGAGCCCGAAACATACACTCACAAGCATGTAAATACAAACCCCAACCAGGACAGATGCCAATGAAATATCCAAAGTGAAAAAGCGAAGAAAAAAGAAATGCAAAGACATAGTCGCCGAGACTAAATTACCAGACACAGAGATAAACGATGAAAGGACTCAAAAATGCCAAAAGCACACCAAGAGGGGAATACCGACTCCAGAAACCAACAGGCCAACCAAGTTCCATAGTCAGTAAACCGACCTGTACCAATAAACTGTCCACATATGATGAAGCGCTAAACAACGTATTCTTGCACCACTTCTCCCATACATGTACCATGCTCTTTCCCAAGATTTTAATCATAAATAGAACCCTCTCTCATAACGCCACGGCGTAGAAGCGAACGCATATCGAATGATGAAGTAAGCGTCAATCGCGGCCGAATAGTGTTTCGTATATCAACCCCAGACGGAGGCTTGAACGCCCAATCCATTCTTCGATCCCCAAACGCCGCTGCCATTGCCCCAGCCGAGTCCCACACCACCACTGGCCTCTTTCATCCCGGGAGTCCCCGCAGAAGCAGAGGTAGAGGGGTTGGAGGCCGATGAGGCCGAACGATCATTGGTTGCACCTGCGTCACTGTGAGTGAAGCCGAATCCAAGGGGAGACGGCAGAGGGGTCGTTGAGCGCTTGTTCAGGGCCGGGTTGGCAGCGTGAATAGGACCCGCTGGCTGGGCTGGACGAGAGCCAATGGGGCCCACGGAACCGATTGGGCCGGCAGCTGACTTCGATGGTGCCTGTCTCGCGGAAGGCGAGTCAGCTCTCCCGGGGGAGGAAGCCGAGGTCACTGGCTGCTCAGCGTTGTCGTACTTGCCGAAGACAGGGTTGATGCCCGAGCTTGGAGAGGATGTACTGTTGGCGCGGGAGGGGGATTGGAGAGATGCACCGGTCTGAGCGATGCCATCGGTGCTACCTTGGACCGGAGTTTGTGCCATGCTGAAAGGATCAACGCCGCGCGGAGATGGGCCACGGGCACCGGTGGTAGATGTTGGGGTGCCGCCACCCTGGCTCTCCGGCCGTGAGTTGTCATCCGCGAAGCTGCCGGGTGGGAAGAAGGCGGGGCTTTCGTTTCCGTACAAAGCCCTATGCTGGCGAGCTAGGAGATCTCGACGGCTTTCTTCGCTCATGGCGGCCGGGCTGAGCGAACGATCGGACTTGTTTCCAGACATTTCGGCAAGCAGGCCTTTGAGAGAAACGAAGAATATTAAAAATCATGTTCAAGAAAGGAACCACGTCCCAATGTATTATACAATGCAACCGATACATGTGGGCAAAGGAAGAAGTCATGGGGAATATTGGAGAAAGAAGCCAAAAAAAAAAAAAAAGCTCCAAAGACAGGTGCTACCACGTACTTCGGTTGTACTGTTGCTCCTGATGATAGTTGCGGAGCTCCCTTTCACGCTGGGCCGCCATCCGACGCTTTGCTTGCATCATATGCTCTACTTCATTTGGGCGTCCCTGGAAACGCTGGGCGGCATAGAACCCCTGCAGGTTGGGGTTGGGGTTCGGGTGCATCCTGGCACCGTCGAAGTCGCTGATTGAGTGGTGACGCTGGGAAGTGCCACTGGACACACGGGGATCTGCAATCACGTTTAGAAGTTGATGGGTAGGAATAATGCAGGCAAATGTATCATACCGTACTCGGGAAACGGGCGGCCCATCATCATGGGCATCGAGTCCCGGCGGGGAGCAGTCCATAGCTTCCCACTCTTAACAAGATTGTCGATCGCACGATCCACCTCTAGAGTAACGAGTCAGCACTTGTTTGGGTCTCAACTCTACAACACAGAGACAGTCCGGAGAAATCCACAGTGACTAGCTTGACGAGGTAAATGACCACGGAGAGTCATATATAACCACCGACAACCAGTTCTCCGCGGATAATACTGTGAAAAGCCAATGTTGGGAAAACGCTATAATGGAAAATGTACGGCCATACCGTCAAACTGAGAGGAAAAAGCAGGGATGTCTTCGCGTTGAGAGACTGAGCTCGATCCTAAAAGCCGGAACATTAGCTTCCTGCCGGATGATAGATTTAACGCCGAGGCTTATATTCAACCGTACCCGAACGCGACGGGGGAACAGGTTGCTCCCACGACACCTGGCGCGCAGCGGGCGCCTGCCAACCTTGAGGTTCATAGTAGGACATTTTCACCGACAAAAATCAAGACGGGTCGACGGAATGGAGGAAGCGAGGTGTGCTAATCCGCTCGGAAACGACTAGGAGAGACTGGTGTGAGTTAAGGTAATTATAGGCTCCCGGACCAAATCAAAGACAACATGGGACTGAGCGACAAGAGGTATGGCAGGCGGATCGAAGCGGAGGTTCCAAATAGATAAATAAGGTGTACGAGCGATAAAGAGAGATGGCCACCAGTGACCAACGTGGACACCAATCAAGTTGATTTTAGGATGCGAATTGTTGCTTTAAACACTGTATGAGAAACTTTTTTTTCTTATGATTTCTTGGCTTCTCTCTCGACCGACAGCGAACACAGCGGAGTAATTTGGAACACACCGACTTCAATCGTGGAAAAAGGTAGCATCTGTCGTCGAGTACAAAGGAAATTTTGCTTTCTTTTCTTTTTTCTTTTCTTTTTTGGTATGAATCTTCAGGGAAAGGCTGGCTGGTATGCGCAGGGCAGAAAGCCAATGCGTTGTTCGGTAGGGAGTGGACTTACGAAAAAAGGAGTGATTGCCCTCCCAACGAAAATTCCGGGCGGCTCTACCACGAGTGAACGAGGCAGAACAGTAGCAATAGACGACGACTTCTCACCCTTAAGGCACGACAGACAAATAGTCTGGCGTGGGGAAATCAAAGGGACAGAGAAGGTGTGGGAAAGGAAGAAGAGACCGGGGAGGGGGTGAGAGGAAGAGAAGAGAAGGTGAAGGAGAAAGAGATCGGGTAACAGAGCAGGTGCAACAAGCCAAAGAGAGGACTTGAACTTGGACTTGGACTTGGACCGGACTGGACTGGACTGGGGGGCCGTGAGGGGAGAAGAGAGGGGGGAAGGGAAAGAAACCAGAAGAAAGCGTGATTATTTCGTCCTTTTTTTTTCTTGACCGGGGGATAAGAAAAGGCAGAGAGCAGTGATAGAGATTGTGTTTTCGAATTACTGTACAGTATTACATGAGTTGGGCTCCGGACTCGAAAGGGAAAAATATCACCCTTTTGAAAAAAAAAATTTGAAAATTGAACAGCAGATAGAGAAAAAGAATAAAACAAAATGAAATATAAATTACCAAGACACCCAGGGACAGAAAGCACACACAACATTTTCTCATCCACACCACCAAAACACAATCAATCCACCAGTCCCGGAAAATACCAAATTATTATTAACAACAAGTGAAAAGGGTGGGCATCGGATGGATTTGGGCTCTTCTGGTTGGTGATGGAGGACTCGGCTTGTTGAATCGCTTCTTCCCGGTCCCCGGTTTTTTTTTCTTCTTTCTCCCTTTCCTTTTTTTTTTTTGGTGAACACTCACACACTCTCTTCTTGTCATCTGCCATGGATTCGTCCCTCTCTACTAGGAAAGGAAAATTAATCCATAGATGGGATCAAAGCCATTAAATATTAGATATTCATTGTAGGTAGACTGGGACGACAGTGAAATACTCTTGGATACCTGATATCTCAAACCATCACCCATGGATTTGTAAGAAATATTCGGTGTCTCCGTCCCACTTGTATAGGTCTTTGTATCTATGATTACAGACACTGTATCGAAGAACGATAACACATCCTCTCAGACAACGTATATACCCCACTGATCTTAAGGAGGGTTATGATTCAATCAGTCTGCTGATATGCCTAATTGAACACCGGTGAAATCATCATCAAGCTAAGTAGTCCTATGAAACCCCATGATCCCAGAGAAGCCGCTGCACAATGGCGTATGGGTTGAGGGCGTTAGCCGGTAACCGGAGATTATTCTTGACTTGGGTGTAATAATAAGTTCTCTGTTCTGTCTTAGCGCGGCCCGGCAACTGTTTTTTAAAGAGACCGTCCCACCCTTCCTCACGAGGTCCTCTGGAGTACGTGCGCAATCTACTCCTATTCATTATATCTAGGTATCTATATCTATTGTGGACTTGATTCAGATTTGAAAGCATTGGGAGCACTCCACTCGACTTGTCGAAAAAACCAAATTGAGTATTTTTTTTGGAAAGACATTAGGTATCTTCCGCCGGGTTGAGACACTATCCGACCTCGTGGGGGACTTTGAGGCATTTACCTACTATGTACTAGATACTAATAGATACTCTTGAGGGTTGAGTCGATAATATTAACTTTGGCCTCAAAAAAATCCTCCAGCCAGAGTGGCCTAATCGGGACCAGAAGACCGTAACTGTATTTGTACGCGGAACCAGCCATTATCCCCAAAATTGTATACACCCATGAAGAACTAGTATGTATTCATATTTCTACTGATATCGAGCATAATTAGTGATAGAAAACAATTTGACCCCAACAGTCCTCGTGGGGGATTAATTTAGAACACTTCAGAGTATGCTTCTTTGAGACTAGTGTCTGTTTCCTTATGGGTCGCGCCATACTTAGTGCTTAATACTCGGCTCTTAGACTTCAATTGTCTGAAGACTGAGAATGTCTTCTCTGAAATCTACCCTGTGCTTATTGTTTATAAAATTATCCATGTGTTCCATAATTAACAGCAATCTGATGTATGGTGTCAGCTGGGTAGATCGGGTCTTGTATGGACTACTATGTAGGTGACTGCCTACCCGCAGATTGGATTAAGGGTCTTCTAGAATATATCTCTGTTTATTTTTTTTAAAAAAAAAAAAAGAACACGGACTCTGTGTCGCCGCTTTATGCACCCGCACGTGAGAGAGCCGCTATATGGGCACACATCCGCCAAGCCCCTGACTTCTCTCTTCTTTTCTCGGAAGGACACGGATGAACTATAAAATGTGCATTCACATTAAAAACTTAAAAAGTGAAATTGTATCTATCCCTAGATCTGTCAATATGTGCAGAACCCTAGATGCGAAGAGACATATCACGTCGACTCAATCTCGTTATTTGTGCTGGTCCTGGTCAACCATCAGTCCCGATTCAATTGATGACCTTCCCAAGACAGGAGGAATATCATGTCGAGCTCCCCAAGCTTCAGACATTGAATTGTTGATAAGGCGAGCTATAAGAGCTCACAGACTTAGAAGGTATTTTTTTTTCTTATTGTTGGCTGGGTCGGGCCTATCTCCTTGGCTGTCACAAGCAGGACTTAGTGTCGGATATATATCGAATAAGCTGACTATTTGCTACAACTGAGGAATAAAGGTATAACTGTTCTGTTTAATGAGCATTAATGAAGTCCATACTCTATAGACTACAGAGTATTTGTTAGCCCATTCCCTCTCCGCCGCCTAGTGTCCTCTAACCGGCAAGGCTAAATTTGAGAGAGAAATAGTATGTTGTCTCCACTACTAGTACAGTCCCCTTGACCTGGGTCCAAATACTATAGCTTGAAATTTGTTGCAGGATTATATACTTAAGACCAACAGCTCGAAATGAACTTGATTAGAAGAGTCGTAAAACAGTGATCTTAGATACCAAGGAACGAAACTGTACCTAAATAAATAGATATATGCGAGCAGATATTTTGCGAGCGACTAAGAAAATAATTCTCAACTTAGGGGAAGTACGAAAGTTTGTGTGGTATATACTGTGTAACAAAGTCTAGCTGAGACAAACCCGATGATGGAAGTGAGCCATAGTTCAGATACATTTCTTTTTGTCAAGTGTAACAACCTGCAAGATACATGAATATCGCCTGGTCCAAGGTATGTTTGTGCGGTGATCCAACCCGACTGAGTCACTTAAGGTAGTTCATCACTGCTATTTAACATCTATTGAGACCATCAGCTGGCTTGTAAGACCCAAACATTTGATTATTCATTCCTTCAATCCCTGGACAAATTCCCTGGCCTATTTGAGAAGCTGGTCGCGTGATCACTGAATGAAAGAACGGTCTCTTCCAGTTTGTTGCTGGGTCTAGTTGCTAACCATACTCTGCTACTTCCACGCAGATCGACATCCTTATAAATCCCTTTATCATAAAATAGAAATAATGTGGTGCATTGCGGCTCTAGACAATACAAACCATTGACATAAGTATTTCTCACCCTGATGGACGGTTCGGGGTGGGTCGGTCGATCCGGGCTTTCCGAGTTGAAACGCTTACCACAGTTGCGAGATCTTAAAATGGCACAGGGTCCGTTCATAAAAGCAAAAGAACGAACGCTTTTAACTATGCCAAGGCAGCCGTAAACCCTGAAAGGCTAAAACAAGGTTAGTCCGGTCCCACTCAGGCATGAGTCTTTGGAACATTGTCAGCAATTCTGCGATGATCATTTGCCCATGGGCTTATTATTTTCTGGCTCAGCCAACGAAGGATGCCGTCTAGACGGATCCCTTCCCAGGAAGGATGGGCTGGTCCTACTTGTCTTGCCCCATGTTTTAAATTGTGTAGTACGAAGCTGATGCACCCCCACCCGGTCGGTAGTGTTAAAGGAGGAACCCTCCATGCAGGCTGTTCCCACCCCTGCAATAGACTGAAACCCATTTCTGTGACTTGGCATCTCTAGTTCTTTGAGGATGCCGGCTTTATCTTCTTGCTTTTCGGCATCACGATATCAATGGCGATATCAACACATGGTTTTTCTGACCATATTATCCGCTGTCTGTTTGTGTGTACTGTATACACTGCTGTATATTCGGCCGGATGCCTCAGAATGGAGGAAAGTGCAGAGATTGGCGGGCGGACGATCCTTTTTGGAAACGATAAAAAATGAAACACTTGGGGTATTTCTTAGCTAGCACTAATTGCCTCTTTCTTTTTTATGTCTCACTGCTAATCGTGTCTGCAATTAGTTTCAAAAGATTCTTTGCATTAACTTACCTAGCAGAACTGACAAGCGGGATGCCATTATGCTTGCGTCCTCCCTCACGCAGTTCCGCGTTGACTGGGTAGATGGCATATCTGGGGATGCTATGGACCCTAAAGCCTATCCACCAGTGGGTTTTATGCCGACATTCTTTTTCAAAGTCTTCGACAACTTATGCATAATTTGCTAATTTTATCTTAGCGACTGGACGATTCAGGAAGACCGAGTATGCTGCCAGGTGAGATTGGCAGTTGGCGAGCACACACAAATGCAATCCAGAAGTATGATGCTTGACACTGCCTCTTCCAGAGTACTGCGTTGAACATAAAGAGTTAACAAATGCCACAGGGTTGTGTCAGAGCGACTCACTAGTGCTCTTATCCTCGAGGATGACGTCGACTGGGATGTCACTCTGAAAAATCAGCTACAAGAGTTTGCCTTGGGTTCCCGGGCTGTTCAGAAGGACGGAGAGTCGTCTGAGACTCCATATGGAGAGGATTGGGATCTCCTTTGGCTTGGCCACTGCGGCATAAAATGCCACAGCAATGACCCGTTTTATATGCTACATGACCAAACAGCTGTTCCATACGCCCACTTGCCGCGGTATTGGCAAGGTCCCGCTGTCCATGAAACCGTGGAAGATAGAAACGATACCCGTATCGTCTGTGGGATCAAGGAATCAGTCTGCTCTTATGCATATGCAATAAAATATCATGCAGCTCAGAAACTTCTTGCGGCCCTGTCGGTGTCACCTTCAGACCAGGCCATGCCACCTGGTGAACCCATCATATTTGATGTACTGCTCGGACGACTGTGTGGAACCGGGTATCTAAAGTGCATTTCATCCTACCCATCACTGATGGGAGTCTGGAAGCCAGCAGGCTCGCGGTCTAAGCATTCTGATATCCAGGATCTCAAAGATCCTGCGCCAACTGAGACCCCATCAGAAGTGGCGGGCTCCCTTGGAGTCATGTACAGCACAATGTTAAATCTACCAGCCTTACTGGATGGTCGATCTCTGGTACACTCGGCAGTTGCTGATGTACTTAGCCCTGAGCTGAAGCTCTCAGAAGTTCAGCTGACAGAAGGAGGGTTGTATAAATCAGATCACGGAAGAATCTACAGTGTCACTGGATAATACACACGTTTTCGCCTTGTTTGAGTGCATGGTGCCTTGTTTGTGAAGATAAAGGCCAGGGATTCTCGCTATTTCTCTTTGATATACCGATGCCTTAGACTGTAGCTCTCGTAGTTGCTAGTATCCCATCATGGGGATATTCCTTCCTTCTATCCTTTTAGTTCCTGTCCACGACAAGAGGAAAATATACAAGTAGCGTAGTATTTCAGACTTACTTACCACCCAAGGATTAAGCAGCTGGAAAGCTGAAATTGTGGATTATTATAGAGATACTACTTGACCTGTTGTTAGGGGTTGCCTATAGAATAACTTTAGAGAGTGACAAAGTTCCACAAAAGGCTGGTTGGGACCATATTACGCCCGTACCACCGTTTGATCAAGGCAAGGAATAGACGGGACAACACCCCATCCACAGACGAGGCGATCTAGATCGGCTTGACTAGGTATCACTCCTCGGAACCCCACCCTTCCTCTTTCGCCCCTTTATGTCCGTAACCCACTCCCCTTATCCAGCGACTAATACGAGTTGTAGAAAATAGTAGCACGGCTCTTAAGCCACAGGCGCTATTGGATAGCGTCTTGTCTATATGGCACCAATGGCAGTGAGAGGCGGTGATGTCAACGGAAGGAGGGGCAACAGAGTGTTTGTAAAGCGCTGTGTATTTGAATTGGGTATTACCTGGCTCTGATGAGTTGCGGATTCTCGTGTAAGCAAGTGTTTGGCCTATCAAGCGCTAGTTCTCAACAAATATGCCTCACAGCCTCCGTACGGTGAAGACCAAAGATGCCATCCCGAGGTCTCGAGGCCTATGTTTTATACTGCAATGGACTGCCGTTTGTACAACCCATGTAATGTTGCCCAAATTTCTTTGTTACTTCTCTGATGCGGAACCTGCGAACTATGCGAACTATTAACTCACCTTCATTTTCTGGGCAAGTGTCGGATACTAGCAAACAGCTTTACTGGGGTTAAACTTCTCTAACCAACAGCTACATCACAGACTTGGACTTGTATATGGCTTCCCGCATCGCTGACTGACAATAGGAAGTTTATAGATTGTGGAGCTCACTCCAACGCTTTTATTTGTAGCTGGTGCTACTGCTGCACTAGTCGCACATTATACCGCAAGGAAATCACAATCAGGGGTTGACACTCGTACCGAATACTTGTGCTGTTTGTACTTTCACCCTAGAGCGATTTTGCATGGGTGATGGTACCGCAGGTTTTATTCAACGTTATCGAATTATGAGCCACCTTCCACCTGGTACGAGATATCACTATGGTAGTAACAGTGTGCCCTTGGACTGACAAATACTCTCCTCTAAGATACTTCTCTACTCCATGGTGATTGACATGTGCTCAGTAGCAACCATTTAGAGTTTTGCTAATCCAAGTACTTCGCAAACGCTTAGAATGTCGATCGTCTCCATTATATCAATAGTTTGAGGAGACAGCGGCCTATCTGCATCTGTTTCAACACGCTATCGAATGCCAGATTCGAAATCAAGAATTATTAAATTTCTTAATGGAGAGCCACGCAGTCTGGATCGCACCGTAAGTGCAAGTAACCTCAACCTCGATGGAAATAGCCTTAGTGTTCGCTTCTACCGCCTTTTGCGCTCTAGATCAGCGGTCCCCAAACAAATGTTGCGTAGAGAATGGCATGATAATTGGTTAATACCGTGGGTACATTGCATCCCAGTTAGCATGGATTTGAGATTTCCCAGAGATAGTGCGGTGCCTGACACAGGAGTCTGAAGATCAGGCTCTTGGAAAGTTATTGAACAGAACCGGTAATGGGCAAATTCTGCCCTTAGGAAAGTGGATATGAGCCTTGCTTGTTGGCGTTTGCTGCTAGAGTATGCTAGGCTTGGATGATAACTGTGAGAATCTTGAGTGTAGCTCCTGAAGGCTTTCGACGGATTATAAGGCCACCCATAGTCGGTTATGATATCGACGAGGAAATCAATCGGTTGAGTTTACGTACTGCATGAAGCTGTTTATCTTATGAAGTTTAGCCCATAAGGCTTCAAATATTATTTCGGTTGTCTCTACCATAGGGAATCCTGTCAGGAACTTAGTCGAGGTACACCAGAAGTTCCTACTGATCTCAGGTCTGTTAAAGAAAGTCAAGCTAACTGAATCAATACATTTTTGTTTAATGAAAACTGCCTGCTGTAATTCCGACTTTGAGTTTGGTATAGCACAATGTGGGATGGAATGTGTACTACATAGCTTTAGTTCTTGTGCCTCTTGCTGCTGTACTAGAGACACCTATAGCAACCGATGTCGGCGCGCCCCATCATACAGGGTAAGATATCGTCTCACCTAGTTTCTTGGAATTGTTCGGCTTAGCTGTGTGACTACTTCAGAGACAGTTACCTGAGAATCCTGTTTTAATAGGTCATGGACAAGGGTACCAAATGGAAGTACAGAACGGCAAAGTCACCCAAAGCCGTAGCTTGGACTCCTTATTGAAGCACAGGCTGTTTGCTCACTTCCCCTCCTAGGGCGAGTCGATAAGTACTAACGGAAAGAAGATCAACGAGACTGCCCTCTTCCAGAAGATCTACTGCGGAAAGGGTATCAAGAATCACACTACTTGAAAATCATTATATATTCAACATCATTGGAAATGGCATTTTCTATACACCTTGTCCTACTCCTATCTCTCAGAGTGTTTTTTTTTTGGCGGTAGCTGAGGTACTTAATGGTATGTCCAAAGGATTCTGTCGAAGCAACTCCTTTGGAAGTAGGTATTCGGGATAGGAGGTTTTATTGCCCGCGCTGTCTAATTGACCCAGTCCAGTCACTATCGCAAACGATGTCCTGTATCTTAACGGTATGGATGGTTGATTATTACAGGGTGATGGCAATGCTTCAAGTTTTTGGATAGACCTGTGATAGCTTCTACCATTGACTGATATATCTTCTAGACAAGTACCTTGTGCAAATGGATCTCACCAAGACATTCTCAGTTGACGACGGGGACAAGCTACCAAATGAGTCCAGTGGACCTGGACGTCCCAAAGCTGAACTATCAGACATTTTGGCGTAACAAAGACAATAGCACACTTTATTGCTACGGGGAAAACACATCAGATCTTGTCCCTCCAGCATATTATGGGATCTGGGCGTATAAGATTACGGATAAGAAGTGGCAGCTCCCAAAAACAAGTTAGAGACCGGTTCGGCTACCTTCGGAGGGGCTTTAAGTCGTATTACTATCTCTTCTTTCAGTATTAACGTGCGCATTCTCATAGCATATACCAACGCGTGCCGGATATCCAGAGTGCCTACTGGGTTGGTGGTTATGAGTGTGACCGGACTACCAGAGAGATCTCAGATCCATCATGGCGAAGGCACATGAATAAAATGATCGAGCTCAATACTACAACGGGAGAATTGACACAATTATCTCCTCCTTTCACAGCAGCAAAAAGTGGAGCCTTGGTATATTTGCCTATCTGGTAAACAGGGCATCCTCTTTCTCCATGGGCAATTAAGTGCCTTCTCTTGCCGGTGGTGCCAACGCGGACATATACATCTGTTAGGACTCAAAACACATTGAAATGGCTGGTAGTTTCTAACTAAAATTCAGAATAGCTGGAACTATGTCCAAGTATATGATGCTACAGATAAACGGTTCAACCAAACCACTTCGGGCTCCGTGGTAGAAAAGAGAACGGAGTTCTGCGCCGGTGTGCAGCATGACCCATCCTCAAGCACTTACCAGATTTATGTGCTTGGAGGAGTAGTTGCTTCGTCTCAGGATCTGTATTCTGGTGTGTAAATCAACACTCCACTGACCTTTTCAAATATGCTAATTCTTACACACAGATCCTATCTTTCTATTCCATCATCCAAATGGTACCAGGGAAGGAGCCTTGGTAATGAACGCATGGCGCATGTATGCGAAACCTATGGATGATTAATATTTGGAACTGGCGGGAGAGAAATGTGAACTAATAATGCTGGCTGTTATAATATGCCCGCGTTTTCATGATACTCAGAGAGAAAAACATCGATATTTGACGTAAGTACAGTACCAGGAACTCCCATATCCTAATAATACACCTCTAACGATACTGAAGATGTACAAATAGCCGACAATGCATGCCTATACAATCGTTTCCATAATCCTAAAGGATATTGAAGCTACGCCCCCTCTATCAAAGTGGGCAGACATGGCCCTGTCAGAGATTTTGGTACCATCCTCTACCTCGATTCCCTCTTTGCACCCTGAGAGTATTGTCAGAGACTAAACTCCAGTCGGAGCCATAGCTGGTGGTGCGGTGGGAGGCGTTGCAGGACTGTTAGTTATCATAGCGGTTGCTTTCTTCCTTGTCAGACGGCGGCGATCCCAAAGCGTCAACAGCAGGCAGCACACTCAGAATATTATGGCCAGCCCCGAAGTGCAACCCAAAGCACAAGAATTGGAAGGCACCGCACTTTTAAGCGAATTAGCTGGCCAGGATGTTGTTCATGTGCATGAGCTAAATTCGCAGGAAGCTGAAAAACCTGCGGCGCGGAGCCCACTGCTATCAGAGGCTCATACTTAGTATAGTCGATACTGTCCTCAATAACACTGTTGGAAGGATCGCGATACCACGGTAGCGCTAGTGGATCTCAAGCCAATCCAGATAAGGGTTAAGTGTAGTTAGTTTTCGTTGATAGAGTTGCTAGTAATACCAAGCTTGAATTATCATAACTCTGCCAATGCTTCACTCTTTGTAAGCATTGAAAACTAGTTTGTCCTTCAATATGGCAGTGTCCAGTAACGCTAAAACATATTTAACATTGATACGCTACCTGGTTCACAACCTTTTTTAAGCATATTGCTTGTTGATCTCTGACATACCGAAGTAGTCGAGATAGCGAGACAATATTGCTCTTGCTGATAAAAATACAATGATGGCAACGCACGTGTTCGATGCGATGCATGGATAATGGGGCCTTTAATCTGACACTATGGGCTGTACGGAATACTTGTCACTTGGTGGTGCGTACAAGCATAATATTTACGTTCAGTCTGACTCACACCCACAGGGTAGTATGATGTGTTGTCCCTTCTGAGCAGCCCACTAGTATTCAGAACTTGACTTGACTGACATATATGACAGTGGTGTTCTGCGCAGTTGAGATGTTGGTATCACCTGATTCTTTAGGGAGATTAGGGAGGGAGAAAATTCACCCCTCACCACCCAATTATCCGCATCGATCACTCATCTTGACAACACCTCCAGTTTTGATTACGTATGTGATCTACCTTGTTGCATTTAGCTGGGCTCTCAGACTTTACTCACTATGGAGGGGTTGAGTTGATGGATTGGCCTTAGGCCCCCTGAACTTGGCCTGAAAATACGGTCTACTTTCACCAATCATAATCCCACCCATCGTCATCGTGCTGCAGTGCTACAGGTACCTGTGAGGTGATGTGGGCTTTCTGACAATGCTGACCACGAGGGAAGAGCCAAGTCTTGAATCTCGGAGGGTTAACCTGCTTTACAGAGTGATGCAGAATGCGGTAATTAAGGGTTCCATGTTAGGTACCGGCACTATAATTGTGATGATCCGGTTGCTATTGATGCCATGCACCAATGTTGTACTATGAATGTTGACATACCGAAAGTACTAATTACCACATGCATCGAACTGCTTACTACCTTACATGCATATTGAGCGAGGGCATACAGTAAGCCTACATGGCTGTTGTACGTCGTTTGCTTAGCAGGTATCTTGGGGTAGGTCAGGTGTTTTGCTCGGCCCGGAAGGAATTACTACTATTTGTAACAGACGTCGCTCTCCCGAATTTAGGAAGTCAATTTGACATGTCTGACAGGTGATAATCGGCCTTCGCCAACAAGTTCTATCTTTGGTCGGTCGATTCGAGCCCATCGCGTCCCCGCGCAGAGCTCGGGGAAGGGTCTATCATTCTGTGGCTTTAGTTCCCGCTTTGTCTTTGAGGACATATATCTTACGGCTGCCCAGAATGGATTAGACTTTTGGAGTCACCCATGGGTCACCAAGTGAACAGTGCCTTCCTACGATCTAGATTTGGCAAGCAAGAGGAATTAAAGGAATAGCGCTGATTTATCGCCTATCTATTCAGTTCCGAAGCACTATCCTCAAAAACCAGCGCCGTTAGCCCAAACTTAGAACTGAGGGGTGTGGACCACCCTTGCTTTCCCAAAGCAGGTCGAGAGGACGGACTCAAGAGGAGACGCCGATCTTATGCAGAGCTGTCACTAAAAAAAAAAAAAGGAGTATGAGCTCATGTCTAAGACACAACACACATTCACTACATTCCTCAACTGCGGGACGCGGAGCGGAAGAATAAATCCGTTTCGAGGGAGAATTGGGCCGTGGCATGCACCTGACCGAGTTGAGTAAAAATGGGAGCAGTTCCGACTAAAACAATTATAAGCGAGACTAGACAATATAGTCAAGAACAGTTGTTATCGAGAATGAGAGTTTTGATTGTCCGTCAAAGTGGGCCAACTCCTTTAATGTTTCAATTGGAGGTCCGGCACACGTGCCGGACACACGCATTTAATTCATTCGGCCCATTACACGGAGACAACCTACTCGAAGGAAACAGATTGAACGAATTCAGAAACGTGGGGCTACCGGAGAGGGGGAACAATGAAAACCTCTCGAGTACAGTAAGTACTCTGAGTTCGTGTCACAAAGCAATGATAGATAGGGTTGGCGGAAGTCTATTGAACACCCTGTCTGGACGCCCTACAGTATGATGACTGTCTGGATTAATGGTGGCTGAGAGAGATAGGTCAATTGGGGATGCTGTTCCATCGGTCACGATTAGATTGTTGGTTATATTAAAAACCGATTGAAATTGTACGGTACCTTCCACCCCCTTTCAAGTATAGAACCCTTTTCCTTGTGCGGAATGGCTAGTGCCTCAGGCACCAAAGGTGGGCTCTCATGATGCGGGAAATGTGGTAATAGGAATTCCTGCAATTAATGGTTTTATGGATACTCGGACAAATCTCTGATGGTGACAAAAAATATTAGTAGTAGGAGCACCGACAGCATCAACGGGATGTGATTGGCTTCTGCGTTGTAGTCATATTCTTATGTCTGTTGATATAACGACCCTCCCCCCTTTCAGTCAGTACTAAGAACCCTTAAAATAATTGTAGTGATATAAAACCAGGATCAAAACTGGAGTCCAGAAGAGTTCTCCATATTAAGATTGGGGGGGAAAGGGCTTGAATTAAACCGTGACAATTTAGTTCTGTTGATTCCTTCCAGTGAACATTCTGTTCCATGATAATCACTTCTTCTATTATCAAGTTACTTTTCTTAACTTTGCCTTAAACCCATTTAACGTATTTTCTATTCTCAAGTCAAGACTACTAAATTTAGTGGCTTCTATCATTATTCTGAAGCGTTTAACCCCGTGGTTTTGGCGGGTCACTAAAGCTGCACCGGTTGAAGTGACTAAGGCTTACCGCTGAAATCTGATTGACGGCCCCCTGGCTCAGGCTCACCACTTCAGTGAAAGTGAGTGATTCCGCGTGCGCTGCCCTCTCTCGCGAACCCCCCAAATCTTTCCCTTTTCTCCCCGTGTATTATTTCCTTTCGGTCTCAATCTTAGGCTGGTCCTTACATGGGAAAAAAAGAAAGAGGAAGAAAAGTCCTATTTAATTTCTTTTTTTATCACTTCTGAAGAAAAGAATCTTTCCCTGTCTTGTCCCCCGGAAGTTGTGTGGTTTTTTGAAGTTGTGCCCTTCCCGGTTAGAGTGTATCGCTCTCTCCCCTTAAAACACTTTGATCTATTGGTTTGGCGATCGACAAAGTAAAGTATCCCATCAGCACCCTGACATTCTCCGGTCGCCACTGAGGCAGACAATCCATTCACCCTCACCGTGAAACCCTTCAATTTTCACTGTTATTCTGCTTGAAAATACCTCCTTTTCTTTTTCCTAAGAAAAAGACATTCCTTGACCTGTGAAAAAATAAAAAAAAAGGGCTTCACTCGGGCCGCAGCAGCACAGGTCAATTCTGCGACGCCATCGCCGGCCGGTATCTGCAGTGACTCCCCTGCGTGCACCCCCCTCGCAGGGCTTCGCCTCGTTTCCCCCCCCTGCCGTTTATTCGTCCAGAGGTATCCGCGGGCTGAAAGATTTGCGAATTGTACGTTCGGTACCGAGTGACCAATTCCGCACGGAGAAAAAGCTGGAGACCGGGGATCTCGTGTGGTTTCGCACACCACGGCGTTTGTTCGGATTCTAAACACGGCGGGATTATTTCCATTCTAACCCCTCGTGGAGGCCAACGTTGACTGACAACGTTGGAGTCGCTATATGACCTCAGACATCCATGGGAATGCTAAATTGGCTTCCGGTCCAGGTGGAAAGACCCCGATAGTGTCGGAAAAGGCCTCGACTATGCCGTGGAACTTGACCACCGACACGTCGTCGTCAGAGGCTCCTTCTCGACCCCCATTGAATTCGCAGCAGTCGAACTCCCTCCCCTCAACGCCTTACCAACATGCGCGGAACCTCTCCTTTAACTCCCGTTCCCCGTCGCCCCCTCACGGAAGCACTTCCCCCCGATCCACCCATTCCGAGTCCACACACCTACCGCCATCCTTACGAAAACCGTTTTCCGGCTGTAAATATGAAACCGCCATGGCCTTCTTTCGAAGAAGGATGCCGTATAGCCTGGGTGCCGATTTGTTGCCAGACGAGAAGGAGGGTCTCAAGGAGAGGTTGGAGCCGGAGGAGGAACAGAGGCTGACCGACCATATGTTGGAGGTGTATGATCGATTACTCCCGTCAGCGGAGAGTGATGATCGGCGACGCCAACTCGTTCGCAAGTTGGAAAAGCTATTCAACGATCAATGGCCAGGTCGGGATATCAAGGTCCACGTTTTTGGGTCGTCAGGGAATAAACTCTGTTCAAGTGACTCGGATGGTATGTCGAAGTTGTCTTGTTGCAGACCGTGGGCTAATCTGGTACAGTGGACATCTGTATAACAACAACATATAAGGAAATTGAGCATGTGTGTCTGCTAGCGGAGGTCCTTGCTCGACGTAAGGCAATTTCCCTTGTTTTGTTCTAGATCTCGATCCCCAACTAACACCCTTGGTAGATGGTATGGAACGGGTTGTCTGCGTATCTCACGCAAAAGTTCCTATCGTGAAGATCTGGGATCCGGAGCTGCGTTTAGCCTGCGACATGAACGTGAACAACACATTGGCGTTGGACAACACGCGTATGATTCGGACGTACGTGGAAATTGACGAGCGCGTGAGGCCGTTGGCTATGATTATCAAGTATTGGACGAAACGGAGGATACTCTGCGATGCCGGTATGTTTCAACTATGGGGGAGATCGTCGTAAAGAATGCGGTTTTTCTCTTTCTTTTGCTTTTGGAGTCCTCGATGTTGACAATCTGTCGCAGGACTGGGTGGCACACTAAGCTCCTATACATGGATTTGCTTGATCGTAAACTTCCTTCAAACGCGAGATCCCCCCATTCTTCCTAGCCTCCAGGCTCGGCCTCATGAGAAGAAGGTTTCGCCAGAAGGATTAGTGTGCTCCTTTGACGATGACCTAAATAATCTGGTTGGATACGGACGGAAAAACAAACAAAGTTTAGGCGATCTACTTTTCCAGTTCTTCAAGTATTATGCTCACGATCTTGACTACGAAAAGTATGTCTTGTCTGTTCGAGAGGGCAAGCTGATCTCAAAAGAAGCCAAGGGGTGGCACTTGCTGCAGAATAACCGCCTTTGTGTTGAGGAGCCGTTCAATACGTCAAGAAACTTGGGAAACACTGCGGATGATACATCCTTTAGGGGCGTTCATCTGGAACTCCGTAGAGCATACAAGGCTGCCGCACAAGGAGATCTTGAGCTCTGCTGTGAGCAGTACGAGTATCCACCTGAGGAGGAACGTTCGTGGGAGCGACCGCCCCCGCAGCCACGGCCCATTCTCACCGCGCCTCCGTCTTCTCGGGGCGGTCGCGGCGGTGGCCGTGGTGGGCGTCATCCCCACCAATATCCTCGTGGTGGACACAGTGGTGGTCGTCGACCCTCAAATACGCCCCATAAGTCGAACAACTTCCGTCAAACCAGCAACGGTATGAGTGCGTCGGAACTTTCTTTGCAAGCACAGCAGGCTCAATATCTACTTCATGACCACCTCTACCAGCAGATCCAGATCCTCCAGGCCCAGGAACAGGAACTTCGACTACAGCTTCAGAACCAAGCACTTCTCACCGGGAGACCGCCGCCGGTGCTTATCCGTCAACCATTCATACAATTCCCTATGCCTCAACAACAGCAGGAGTCAGCTGGCGATGACAATTCTCGTTCAAAGTCCGGAACAGCAAACCATGCGCCTCATGGAACGCAGCTACGCCAACAGGTTTACTATGGCACCCCTTACCTTCCGGTTGCAATCCCCGGGGTACAAGGTAGTACTACTAATCCACCGTCACCATCGGCGGCAACTGCTATGCCGGAGCTCCGACGCAACCCACGTAGGTCGTCAGTTGCGAACGGTTCACCAGGCGGGTCGCTCAGGGCACACTCGCAACCCGCGCGGTCGGTCCACTCTCTTCCGAGCTTTGCCCCCATATATTCAATGACCCAAGACGCCCCTCAAAGTTTAAAGCAGCGCAAGACACCCACATCCCCCGATGGCACGCAGAACGAAGAAGACGGCAACTTCATGCCTAGCAGCATGCCCAATGTCTCTCGCTTACCATACTTGGATGAGAGTCGACCAACTGAGTATATGAACTACTATCTTGCTACTTCACCACAGTTGCAAACATGCCATCAGAATGCTATGTTGTCACCACTGCAAGCACCAGTAGGCTTGGCATTACCAAACGGCAGTATCATGCCCTTCATTCCCAATTCTCACGAATACTTGTCAACTCTCGCTCCTCATGAAGCATTCGGCCCTTCTCCTGAAAATGGTACCATGCAGACCCCTAAGGCTGGATCCACGCGAGCAATGGCACGACCAACAGCACCTGGCGACCGCAATGGCCCCTTGATCGTCGACGGGTCGGTGCCTCCGAGTGAACCACGCAACGCTGCGATTTCTACCGAGGGCTATGATCCTTGTGGTGCTATGAGCCATTGTACATCGACTTCAGATGACCTCAATACCGACACTCCCGCCAGCGTTTCCGACTCGTTCTCCCAAGATTTCCAAGATAACAGTTCGGTGGAGACAGATCAAACACCTTACTTCGGTCGACAAGGAATCGATACCCGCAAACCAGCTGATGCTTTAGTCAATGGACACGGTGGGAAGCCTAGTCTACTCTCGAGTCGTCTGCAAAGCCTCCATCTCTCGAACAGCGAGAAAATGGCAGAACCGTTATCAAAGCCCGCTTCAGAAAAGCCGAAGGCGGCTCATACCCACCAAGAGTCAGCGGACAAGGACTCTTCTCGTCCCAGACATTCTACCGCGGAGAGGGGGGCACCAGGATTGGATTTGCATGGCCCATCATCGAATGGGAAACGCCGGCCCAACGGTGTTGATGCTCCTGAGAGGACCAATGGAACCACTCACAAGACAAAACCCAAACATCGTTCTGACCATTCCCACCACAACGGTGGGCCCGGCGATAAAGAACGGAATGGTGGCCATCCCTCGCGAAGGATGAATGGCATTGGCTCAGCGCACGACTCCCATGCCAACCACGCAAGCAGTGGCTGGCAGACAACTAAGAAGAAACAAAAGAAGAATGCCAAGTCGAATAGTGAAAACCGACACGGCTTTCATGGCGGCGCCGAGCCCATCCCTGCAGATGAATCCTTAAGAAAAGGCGGATGAAGACCCTAATGGGCTCGTCTTGGCTCTTCATCTTTGGTTTTGCATTGAGTAGCATGACTTACGAGTTTTTAGAATGGGTCACATGTCATTACGCTGCGCGACCCAAAATTCCTTGTTTGGAGTTCGGAACATCTCAACTGCACCGTGTCTATGCTGAAGCAGCGTTTCGCGAGGCGATTATATCACCCAAGTGTGCTATCGCATAGCACCTGCACAGTTTGTCGCTGCAAACTATTGAGGCGTTCGGCTCAATCCCGAACGTCATTCGCACTTATCGTCAAAAGGAGTTCGATTGAATTGGATCCTTTGGCGCTGTATAAAATGATGCAATGCCTCTTTCAAAATGACATAATTTCGATTGAACTGTGTTTTCCTTTTTTCGCTTTTGAATGGCAAGTATATGACTTTTTTTTTCTTTACTTTTTCTTGTGTCTATGTCTACGTCGTCTTTATGTTCTTTTCATGTTCAATATTGGCGTTTTGCAAGGTCAAATAACGGAACTTGGCAGTTGAAGGGTCTGGCTGGTTAACAATTGGTTCACGGGTCATTTGCGTGAGTTGCATAATTGCATATCTTATTTGTTCGCTGATTTTATATCCTCATTCGATACATGGCTCTTGACTTTGGTTGTGTCCTTTGGAGTTCGACTCGTCTCCTTGGGAATGCCATTGGGCTTCGAGTTGATTCTGGGTTATGCCCTGCCACAATGCATACAGGCTATCCTTGCATATCTTGGTTGGCGCACGGCTCTGTTGCGATGAACTTTGCCGCACAGAGGAAAAGAAATCGCCGCTGAGACAGTAACTGAAAGCAGGAGATGCGCGGATCGCCCAACTCGAACTCAAACAAGTGGTGGAAAAAAGGGGAGAACAGCAAGAGCGAGCAAGCCAAATGAGTCTACTATACATACAGTTTATGTCGTGTTTTTGAAGATACGGGTTGATTGACCGATTTCTTTTTTTTCACTTTGCTGCCTGTGGTTTTCCCCCTTTTTTCTTTTGTTCTTCCATATTATATCCAAAGGCATGATCATCATCATTATCATTGTCCAATATACCATCATAGCAGGGTGCCCGGCGAGTGGGTCATTGTTTCTGTGTTGTTTTGCGTGCAACCCTTTCTTCTCCTTTTCCTTTTTTTTTTTCTGAGAGATAATTTGCCTTTGTCTTTGTTACATATCATGTCGACCGGGTCCAGTCTGGATTGGGCATCGGTTCAATGTAGAAGTTGGAATTTACATAGAGAGAAAAATGATAAAAATGAGAAAATGTCTAGTACAACGAAGACCCCTACGAACATATCAAGTCTTTCAAGGAAATATACTCCATACTTTATCATGATGACAGGTCCGATTACTGGTGATATCACCTTTTATTCCTACTCTAGATGTAATGAGAGGCTATCCAGTGGATACTTTTGTAGACTAGTTCTCAATAACCCTCCAACTGCAAAACGAATTAATCCAACATAACCAGCCGTTCTCTATTTCATATTACTTAAACAGGATATCCCTTGTCCTATGATATGTCTCATGCAAATCAAGATTAATTTCGTACGTGCAGCTAGAAATAGGGGGGTGGGGGACACTTGCAGTAGTTGGCGAGATACTCCCGTTCTATTGATTAACATTTAATTGTGTGTTGTATGTACTACAGATGACTTAGAATCCTCATTCGCATCCCTGTCATACTAGATAGCAATAGGGTGCTCGCTATATCTCTGACAATCTTTCGGGAATATTAGACGCACATACTCTACATACATACAAGCCCTCACAGTCAGAGAATGGGCATAGTAGACTTTCTGGACCGTATACATATAGGAACCCAATACCAGTAACAAACTTCTAGAGAAGATATAACAAAGCAAAGGTCCCATGAGCATATAGCTTTAAAAGAGGTCATACGACCGGGCCGGTGCTTGTGCTCGTATAATGTACATGGTATGTACGTATATGCATACTTCTGCGGGAGAACAGCTTATGTAGGAGACCAAGCTCTGGGTATCTAACTTGTGGCTCTCAATACCTTCGCTGGCTGATAACATTAATTAGTATGGTTGGTTTTCGGGTGAGAGCGGGGGTTTTGTATAAATTCAGCGGCTGCGCTATTGATGGAGGGCGTTGTTTTTGGCTATACTGTACTAATTGTATCTTTGATGTGGCGCGTTAGTGCGGGTGCTGCGTTGTTTCAACACCAGGTATTCTTTTAGTTCTACTGGAGAGAGGTTGGTTACAGATAAGTACTTTATGTATGGCGTCTGAGGGAATATTTTTGTAGGCAATGGGTTGGTTTTATTCGTCAATGTTGGAAGTAAGAAACGCTGCCAGGTGCCTGACACCATGACATACTTGCACATATGATCGTTATCTCTGAGTGGTCTTGAGTTTCCTCACCTTTCTCGGTTTTGGTGCTCCTGAGGAGGGTTAGTATTCAATTTTATCGATGACATTATCTAGTATCTGTGTATCTGTATGATATATATACATTCTTGGGTAGGGCCAGATCTATCGTAGCTGTGATATTAACAAGAAAGGTGGAATAAGAAGCAGGTAGTCATAACAGTCTGGCCAAGGGAGGTAAAAATATTATTACAGCATGAGAAGGTAAGCATAATAAAACTCGTATCATACACCAAGCCATGATAATCTGGACGAGAAGAGATCGTTTCCGCTCCGAAAACAAAACATCAAGGAGATAGAAATATCAACAAAAAGCTTCAATGAGCATGTAGGGGAATATAACAACACAGGCTGTCCAGAATACCATTACGCATTTGATGAGCGTGAGAGGAAGCTGATATAGAGGGGACTCGGTGAGGAGCACCCAGAGGGAGAGGAATGCGACGGTGAAGAAATGGGAGAATAATACGAAGGGCTTTTTGATGAGGCCGCCCAAAAGCCCCATTGGCTCGGAATACATGCCGATCTCGAAGTAGCGGAAGCAACCTCGTTGAAGGACTCGGAGGTTTTCGTCTAAGTCGTATGTTAGTGGCTGGTTGGCTTTGAGATGAACGATCAGAAGGAAACAAACCGTTTGCGGAGAAAAGGGCGTACAGAGCCATGGCAAGGATGTTGATGACAGAAGACCCGTGCTTTCGTTGCCAGTGGAAAGAACCCAATTGCTTTAACACCCTGTCGGTGTCTGTAAGACTGGGGACCTTTTCGGGACTCATCACGTCGCGGAACACGAGCACATCGTTGAAGGCAACAGTCATGCCACCCCCGGTCAACGGGTGGCGCATGTTCAGCGCATCGCCCAGTATGACCAATCCGGGGGTTTTGTTACGTGCGGCGGGGAGGAAAGAGTTCGGCATAGATCTCAGATGGCCCTTTTCCAGTGCAGCGCGGAAGGCAGGCTGGACAGATTCGGGAAGAGATGGGAGAGTCACGTTCCACAGGTGGTTCTTCACACCACCATTCTTGACAGACGCAGATGGAAGGTTTTCGGGGATATCGACCAAGATACGAGTCTCATGGGTGCCAATCTGGTATAGGAGGATAGGAGGATTCGCGCTTAAGAGGACATGTCCGTGATGAGGTGCAGGGAGTTTCGCATCAATCAGTTCTAGAGCCCAGAATCGGGATTTGACTTTCGGGGTATTAGTGTGATATTGTTTCCGGAACTTAGAAGCGTAACCGTCGGCGACAACGGTGAGGTGTCCAAAATAACAATCCTTTTTGTCCTTGGTCATGCACTCTACACCAAGAACCTGCTTGGTATGTGAGCAAGTAATCAATTCCGTCGCCTTGGTCTCCACAACGGTAACATTGGGGCAGGCCAGAGCTGCTTCTCGTAGCTTCATGATAAACCGTCCGTGGTGAAAGGAACGGCCAAGCGGAGGGGGCGAAGTCGGTGTGTCTTTGGGGTAAGGCATAGTCACGGACTTCTCGAAATAAGACACATAGAAGCCTTGAGATGGAATTGCATCTATACCCTCCAGACACTGTGCCAGGCCTAACCGCTCAAGGGCCCGAACGCCGCCCGGCTGCAACAGCTCGCCGACAATGCGATCCGGCTCCTTCATTGAGGCTTCCAGCAGTAAGACACTCCGTCCCTGTTTTCCCAATGTGACTGCGAGAGCACATCCTAGCACTCCTGCGCCCACGATCACCACATCAGCATCGTGGTGGACACGTCTGCGTTCTTCGGCCGCATCGGCGAACATGGTCGCATTGGTATGACCGTTGGGGATAGCGGCGGTGGCCATTACGCGGGGAGAGGTCGAGGGAGTTCAGCAAATTCGGCAGAATCGACGGGGACCGCAGGGCATATTCCTTCTCCGGAGGTGAAGAAGGGACAATTGTCAGAGGGAAAGAGAGAATCAGAGGAATTGTGCGTGGAGAGAGATAGAGAGAAGTTCCGGGCCGATAAAGGTAAGGGGGAGAAAGAGAGGTTAAAAAAGTTCAGTCCCGTGAATGCCAGTGGCGTGACATGTGAAGGATCTTCCGCCCTTTTTCCCTCCGCTGCCCCTAAAAGTACCGTACGATTGATTGCAAGGTTCGTACTAGTAGGGACACGGTACTTTAGTTGTAGAAGTTTTGCTCAGGTGGTTTTCTTTACACATGATCCAATTTCTTCTCCCTCGCAGTGATTGGTTCGGGACATGTGATTCCAAGGGTCTAGGCCAACAAATAGTTACATCTCGCTAGTGTACAAGTACATGTCGGTGAAGGACTATATATACAAGTCTAAATAGAAAACACCAATCAGAAGGAAATTAGGAAATAAAACACAGCATAACAGAAATATGGGGAATAAATGCTAAATCACGGCGAATCCTCGGCTTATATCTGCCCTAAAACCACCCGCTCATTCCATCGAGCAGCGATGGACTTCGGGTGGATATCAATGGGGCCCAGAAGCACTTCCAATTCGTATTCTTCATCCCATGCCTCGATTGTCTCCTGAATATCGGTTTCTTTATACAACCGTCTCTCATCAAGAGACCGTTTCAGCATCCGCCGGAAGGACCGCTTCACATTGGGGTTAGACTTGAGTTCCCATAACGCAGGATCGCCCCGGCTCTTCTTCTCCAGCATATCAGCGATCCGTGCGAGATATTGCAGTTGTTCGGTTGTTTTAGAGGCTTCTCTCGCGGGAAGCGTGTCAGGATTAAACTTGCGCTTCAGCACCCCCATGATGCGGTTCACTTCGACAACAAGATCATGATTGAGAGCACTTCCTCGAGCAAGGCCAGTTAGGATGCACCATCGAATCCCGGGAATATTATCTATGGCCGCGAAGGCACGGAGAAACATCTTTATGCAGACCCCATCGAAGGTCAGCGTATGCCTATAGCGGGACTTGTATACGGCCGCAAGGAGATCGATGGCTGTCTCCGGCTTGTTTTGCGTAATTAGCCGTCGGCTGGTAGCCACAGTGATGTGGTGCTTGACGATCATCCGCTTGTTCGACCAGCACAGCTGATAGAATCGCAGCACAGCCATTTTGATCAGTTCCGCCTCCGTCGCCGAGTCAACCTCCATGATCTGACGAAAGAACTGAGGGAAAAACCGAATAAGATGTCGGATGCTCCGCCACTCAGCTTCAATAAGCGCGCGAGCTTCACTAAGCCCATGCTCAAGTAGGGTCGCAATGGCCGCTAACTCGATATGGAGCTGTTTGAATTGGAACCGCGCATTCTTCGCATTCTGGAAACATTTGAGAGCCTCTGTCATCTTCCCAACGTGCATATAATGTGTCATCTGTTTATGAAGCTTCTGATATTGATCGACAGGTTTTGACGGAGTCACGTCTTGCAGCGTTCGTTGATACCACGGCAGTGGACTTTGGGTAAAAGGCATTGTATTGACTTCGGGGATGGGGAATGAACGCTGGTCGTAGCCAAGAATCTGCTGTGAGGCTGCCGCCTGCCCGTATTTCACCCGAGCAGCCTGCAGCATTTGCCAGAAGCCTACAGGTGCTCCCTCGAGTGCTAACCGACGAACACGTAACATATCCAAAAACTCCTGCTCATTGATGGGAACCTTCCAACCACGCTCGCGGGCCGTTCTCGTGAACTCGGATATCATTTCCTTATCCCCTTTCTCCACAAATGCTTCCAAGACGTGCTTGTACAGGACTCGATCGGGAACAATGTTGAATTTATCAATATAGCGCATGATGAAATCACGGATCTCATGTCCCGTATGAGATACCCAGTATTCGAGGAATATGCGGTCGAAGATTGGAGTAAAATCACGTCGCCGCGACGTTAGGTTAAGGTCATGCATTTCCTGAAGGCCTGCTTCCACACCCTCCCAGTCGCACATGAGGGCCTTGCCGTACACGAGGAGGCCTTTTGTGCGGCAGCGAAGGGGTAGCTCATATGTGGTTATCATATCTTCAACCAAAGCCTCAGCGTCTGCTAATCGACCAAATTCAACATATGCCTTGACCACTGGGTTGAAAAGCTTGTCGCTGGGGTCCTTTCCCAGGCGAGGCAGCATTGTTAGTATTTTTTTCAATTGCCCATTCAAGAGCTCAATGCTCCTTGTTTTCCTCCACAAGCCTGCCAGGTACGCACCGCACAAGCCGCAATCCCGGTCAACTTGTAAATTCCTGAACAGGAACCATTTCGCTGTTGTGAGCCTATGTGATTCAAGCAGGCATCGAAGCACCACATCTACCATGTCCGGGGAGACCTGGAACTTGTGCATATACCGAGTATAGATAGTCGCAGCGGACTCTATACTTCCCTTCTTTGCCAATGCAAACACCAAAACCTTCCACAGTCTAGGTGAAACCTTGTCCACCTCCTCCAAGCGCTCGAAGATGTTTCTTGCGATGTATACATTTTCTTCTTTGCAATTGACATAGAACGCCTGCACCGCAAGCTCCCTTCTATCAGATGATATACCATTTAGCGAAGCAGGGTGTGCGTCCAAAAACAATTGTGCCGCATCGATAGGCCGCCCCCGGTCTAGAAGGTCTTGCATTTGCTTAGGGATAGAGTTTTCTCCTTCCGCCAGAGTTGCAGTACCCGGTGTCGAGACAGCGGCATCTGAAAGAGGGGCAGGCTTGTCGATGGCATAATTGGGCCGGTTGAGGTTGTCCGTAGGTCGCGTGTATTCGGGTGGAATAAAATCACATTTCCCAGGAAGCTTCCCTATATGTCGCTTTAAATTCGTCGCACCGTTCATACCTGAATGAGTAGTCTCTAGGAAAGCTTCTGCCTGAGTCGTATCCTGGAAGCTTTCAGTTCTCCCATCACTGTGTCCCACTTCTCCGGCCCCGACATGCAAGCTCTGCGCCTGCTGTGATTTCCGGTCCTCTTCTTTGAACGCATCCATACTTATGAATTCACCGGCTTCCGCGACTTCCATCATACGGGCAAGCCGTCTCGCCGCGTAAGTTGCATCGTAATTGGGTGCGGAGGTTTGGAGGGCGCGTTTGTTCTCAACTATACGTTCTGCAACGCGGACTCGGCGATGGACATCGTATGTGATAGCTGCAACAGTGCAAAAGCTGCCCACCGTCGAGCCGGCAAGGGCCAGCCGGCGAAGGACACGCAGGGCATTGCGAGAGGGTACGGCCGAAGTGCCGTGACTAGGTTTGGTGATCATGGCAATAGAACCCGTGCACCGCCGGCAGCAGGCGAATTGAGGTATCACTGATAGGGCATCAGGAGAATTGAGAGGCAGATACTCAATTCTCAGTGATAATACTCAGGGCAGCAAGCTACTTCAGTGGGACAACTGACCGTCCGGATTTTGTGTACAGATGATTTTCGGCCCGTTCAGCAGAAAGTTTGCAAGTTAGCATTGGCCTTTCTCGTCCACCGTAGTGCTGCGTGTGGCCCCATACTTTCCGTTCCGGGTGAACTATACCCTATGCACGTGATTATATTTGCTTAGTCACTATGTTGCCGACCTAGGAAAGCGGTCTTAAATGAGTCCCCAACCTCGTAGCTCCTCAAGGTGTCCGTTATCAATGTGTGATACCCCCTCTATCTGCACCAAAAGTAACTATTTTAGCTTCAAACTTTCAATTAATGGATCAATATCTATGGCTATCCGTTCTAGCCCGATTTAGGCTAACAATAAATGTTGATGGTTCTGATATACTGACCTTGTAAAAGATCAACATTCGGTGGTCTAACTTAGAAACTGTTCAGGATTTCTGCCGGGTCAATGAATATACGCTGGCCGCCTACTCCCATAGACTGTAAATACCTACTACGGCGGACGGGATCTATGCACATACTTTGCTTTTCGTGACACTTACACATCAGTAGAAACAGTAAATCTACACTATTTTGAAAACAACAGAGCTACCACGAGTTCAGTATAATGGCACAATGGGCACATGCTCTACTATATTGCTAACCGGGCTTCATGTCCCTACATATCTCCCCAATTGGATATGAGGCTAGGTTGTGTCATATTAGCTGTACATGTATACATATGCTAAGGGGAAATAATAGGATGAAAGAGTCGTACATTCAGCATAGTACATGCAAATAGAAGGATCTTCAAAATATATATATATATATATATATATATATATCGCCAAAGTACAGTTCAGGGTATTAGATGATCCTGTGTGTATTAAGGCAAGTTTTCATCCTCAACTGCTTCTCTGTATTCATTGGTGTCGTCATTACGATAACTTGAATCGTTAATATCGAGTTGGACTGCTGTACGTTAGCTCGAGCTTAGACCTTGATCATCAAGGGAATACTCACCATGTGCTTTAATATACAAAGTACCGCAGAACGCGATCCCAAAGACAAATGATAGGCACACAAATACAGTCTGCGAAAATTTACCCACTGTCACACTATATATAAAACTGCATATGGAAGGAGCTACCACTCTAGAAATAGCATGTAGGAGGCCCTTGGCACCGAGTATCTGCCCTATGCGATCACGGGGTACGTGCTTGGTTAGAGATGATTGCAGCACTGGCGCGGCCATTCCTCCCAGAGATGTGACGACACCCGACAGGATCAAAAATGAACCGCTATTCGCCAGTGCATATCCTGCAAATCCAACCGTGTCCAGCAAAATTGAGACACGAATGAGGACGACATCAAGCGCACTGGAGCCCGAGATAACCAGGTCCTCCCTTTGTTCTTCGCGAAATATCCGACATACTATAGGGAGTACGATGAAGAAGTTGAGGACTCGAACGGAACTGATAATGGAAACGAATAGGCTAGATTCAACGTTTCCCCAGCCAAACATGTATCCCGCGTAGATAACAATGATCTGTGCTGTGCCTAGGGCCATGCCGAGGTGAAGAGTATCGATCACAGAGAGAAGAATGATGTTTCTTCGTAAAGCAGTGCTAGCACCACCGCGATTGGGAAATAGGGTGCTAGGACGTCCAGCTGGTGGAAACAGGATAGCCAGAGGGGCCAAAGCCTTTTTCGGATTCCAGCGTTTGGTAGATAGCCAGCTCAGATCCTCTTGATGGGAGAGGGAGACTTTCACGTGATATTGTTCTCGCGCTCTCTGTTTTTGTTCTTCGGACAGTGATTCGGGGATGAGGAGCCAGGCTGCAAAGAAAAAGAGTATATGAAGAGCCAGGGCGGAATAGAAGACACTTAGTATGTTATGTGTCTTCTTCATAAGAATGGCCACAAGGAACGGACCGGCTGCGACTCCGGTGAATATGGCCCCGTGTAGGTATCCAAATGCCACGCTTCGCTTCCCCGAAATAGTGCAATCGGAAGCGTACGAGCTGCTTAGTGCCAATATCGCGGTAAATGAACCTCCTAACCCGTCCAAGGTAGCGGCCAGCAGAAGTAGATATATGGACACTCGCTCTGAATTTGCAGCCACGATAGCAGTGATCGCTTCTGCCACTATTGTTCCGAGTGCACTTAGAGCAATCATGGACGTCCTGCCATAGCGATCCGATAGATGGCCTAGCTGAGGGCTTATCAGCGCCGACAGTAACCCAGTCACCAGGTTAAAATATAGCTGGAAGCGAGCAACAAGGGATTGAACTTCTGGTATTTGGCACTGGGAGTTGTCCTGTCCAATAATAACAGGGAAGTACGTAAATCCAGGATCAGTACTAGCTCTTTTGGCCAAGTAGTCTCTGCAGGTAAGCGAAAGCATCAAATTTATCTTAGGAACCGCGACACCCCCGAAACCGAGCATATACAGGAGAAGGAATGGGAGTAACCAAAGTATCTGGCCGAATCAGAATACGGCACCTTCTACCAGAGGGAGTGCATTGGAAATAGACACATACGCTTGCTTTTGTACGAGACTGCCAGACACCAGCGTTCAACGCCGCCAAACTTGGGTCGGGGGAATGTAGGTTCTCATAGTCTCTATTTTCATATGTTTGCTGAAGTAGGGGCGTCTGCTCCTGGATGTGCAATTCCACGGGATGTTTGGATCCATCCTCACCGGTGTTTAGCGGATGGTTCTGGCCAGGAGCGGCGGGCCTACTTCGCAATTGTCCGATATCCGCATCGATGGGGTGTATTCGACTGGCCATTATCGGCACAAGGACATGAACAGTTAGGTCACGCTAAGGTACTATTTAGAGCTGAGATTTATATATGTTCAGACCGCGTTTGTCAGCCGTAGTTTTAATGAAAGATGGGATAAGGACTCCGGTATGAGATAAGGACGTAAGGCGCAAGAAGAATGATCTGACACGTTTTATTTAGCCAAAATTTTAAAACGCACTGGCAGAAGCAACGTTTCACTCATGATTCCGAAGTGCCAATGATAACAATGCATGGTTCCTTGTTATCGGGATTGACCAGTGTGAAGTATTGGGCCGGAGGTCAATGAGGGGAGTGTTTGTCAGCATACCAAACCAAGTGGAGAGAAAAAGATAAGCAAGCCATTGATGACGTTGATTTCACCATGAAACAGGCTGCCGAGGTGTTCGATGTCGGTATTCCGTTCCCAATGATTTGGGTCCAATCGTACCTCAAGCCATTGACCCCTGGTGTGAAATAAAAAAGTGACCCATATTTGCTCAACCCAAAATCAAGGCAGTCCTCCAATCGGCAGATTATTTAGTGCTATATACGGAACAATCCGACCAGATAAAAAGCCGAATCCTATACTTTCTAACCAATGAATCTGCAATGCATAATATATTTTGTTTGACTAGATAATACATTTGGAATTGAGGAATGAAGAGAAAATACGTACGGGATAGTTCTATACAACAAGAGAAGAGGCTTCTTCACCAGCAAAGAACTTTTTCTGCTCCAAGCATCTGTCACTCTTACAACCCTGGCAGCGTAGCGTCATCTGTCGAGAGCATTTTTCTCCCTTGCGCAAATGCTCTTGCGCGATATCCGCAAGGGCTTGTATGAAAATAGGGCTTCCGTTCAGACTCTCCGCTCGCTTGACTCCAGGGGAGTTCGCCTCTTCCATTACTTCAAGGTCCAGCTCATATAATGTTTCAATGTGGTCGCTAGTGAAGGCAATCGGTACAAGAACAATATCAGTCTGTCCACGCTTCACATACTCTTGGACAGTGTCGCTGGTCTGGGCTCCAAGCCATGCGGATGGGCCCACCTGAGATTGCCAGCACAACCGGTAAGGGTTGCTAAAGTTAAGTCTTTGCATTACTGCATGCACAGTGGCTGCCACTTCAGCTGGATACGGGTCACCTAGTCTCGAGTTAGTAATTTTTTCGTCTAGCAATTGGCGCGATGGCTTAATCTCACCTCTATTCACCACGCTCATAGGCAAACTGTGGGCAGAGAACAGCAGGACGACACTATTCCTTTTGTCTTCCGGATATGTCTTAAGTTGATCCTCAATGTTCTTCGCGAAAGCTTCCACTAGGCCGGGATGGGTCGGCCACCGATCAATGACACTCCACTGGATAGTACCGGTGGAATCCTGGCTCCCATTGGCGTTTTTGCCCTCTAGCCGATTCCTCCATTTCCACAGCTCGTTCAAAGAGCTGCCCGTAGTAGAGCAGGAGTATTGTGGATATTGCGTAAATGCGACAGCGCGACCGCCTTTTCCTCTTCCAAAACCATCATCTAGCAATTGTGTATACATCTCTTCGGTCAAAGGTGCAGCATACCGAAATGCCACGTAGGGTTTATGAGGCGCACTTTCAGGATTGAGTTTATCAAGCAATTTACACATTTCCTGGCATTGGTACTCGGACCACTTTCGGATAGGAGAGCCACCTCCAATATCGGCATATTGTTTTTGAATCTTGGGTGTCCTCCTCTTTGCAATAAGCGGTCCGAGATATGTTTGAAGTCGCCCCAAGGGAATCAGATCACCGTCGGCCTTTATCATAGAATGAGAACGTTAAAACAAGTCCCTGAGAAAAGACTGTTCGTCTGACAACGTACAAATAATCTGCTGAGGAAGTCTTCCACCTCACCCGTAGTAGATGGGCCACCCATGTTCAGAAATACCATTGCAGTAGGGCCCTTGGAGCTAGTTGCATCTTGAGTCACCGGAGGTACTGCTGTTGCAAAGCTATTGCGTTGCTCTGTGTTGTATCCAAGTGAGCTGCGAACCACTGGTCGCAGCAGTTGCCGAGGAAGCGCAAAAGGCCGGCAGAGGGCCATGGCGATAGATAAATGGTAAAACAATGCTTTTTTGTTGCCTTTCCAGGGAGGCAATTGCTAAGTTGTGCGACTAAAGGCGAGAACGAGGTATGGATGATATACGGGAAAGTTTTCAATGGGCCATGTGGCAAAGGTCAATAGTAATCGGAAGAGATGCTGACCTGAAGCAGAGAGTCCAGAACCGGCAAAATGACGGGCCCGGAGTATCCATGGATGACTTGGAGCTGAAACTAATGGCCAATTAGCTTTTACTTGGGGTCATCAAGTCTTGGCGCTTGTCACATGATGTTCGTGTCTTCCCCGCGTCGCCCGGTCGGAGTATCGCGTCACTCGTGACGAAAGAGTGGAACAGCAGGCAGCAGGAGTTGGCAGGCAGACATTCGAAGAAGCACCAATGTTGCTTTCAACAGACTCTTTTTAGCTCACCGATTAACTGGCTTCCGAACTTATCCCTTCCTTTGCATATTTAATGACTTATGACTTATTAATACATTCACAATGGCTGACGAGAATCAATATCGCGGAGACGATCAAATCGAGGAGGAAGAGGAGATCGACGAAAGCGTAAGCCCCTCTCTAATCGAACCCATGCTGAGACATTAGAAACTCATATAAATCATATATTATAACAGGGCTACAAGTCGGTGAAAGATGCCGTGCTCTTTGCAATCGAAGTCAGCGATTCTATGCTCACCCCTCGTCCATCCCCCGATTCGAAGAAGTCCGCAGAGTCGCCCACAACGGCCGCATTGAAATGTGCATATCACCTCATGCAGCAGCGTATCATCTCTAACCCCCACGACATGATCGGTGTGCTATTATATGGGACGCAGGCGTCCAAATTCTACGATGAGGGCGAGAACAGTCGAGGAGACCTTTCATACCCGCACTGTTACCTTTTCACAGACCTGGATATTCCTTCCGCGCAAGATGTAAAGAATCTTCGAGCACTGGCACAGAATGATGAAGAGTCTGAGGACATACTCCAGGCCTCAGAAGAAAGGGTCTCAATGGCAAATGTGCTTTTTTGCGCAAACCAAATATTCACGTCGAGAGCCCCTAACTTCTTGTCCCGACGGTTATTCATAGTCACCGACAATGATGACCCTCATGGAGATAATAAAAGTTTGCGATCTGCTTCAACTGTACGTGCCAAGGACTTGTACGACCTTGGGGTCACTATTGAGCTATTCCCTATTTCGCGGCCAGACCATGAGTTTGATGCCGCTAAATTCTATGACGTAAGATCCTATATCCAAGATTAGCTATTACTGCTCACACTAGCTAGGACATTATCTATAAGGCCTCTCCTTCAGATCCAGATGCCCCGGCGTACTTGCAGACTGATTCCAAGACCTCTCCAGCTGCCGGTGATGGAATATCTCTACTAACCACCCTATTGTCCAGTATCCATTCAAGATCTGTCCCACGACGTGCACATTTCTCGAATATGCCACTAGAGCTAGGGCCAAACTTCAAAATATCAATATCGGGGTATCTTTTATTCAAACGACAAGAACCCGCCAGAAATTCCTTCATCTGGCTTGGTGGTGAAAATCCCCAGATTGTGAAAGGAGTGACTACCCAAATCGCTGATGATACGGCCCGCACGGTTGAGAAGGGAGAAATCAAGAAAGCATACAAGTTTGGCGGTGATCAAGTTACTTTCACACCTGAAGAAATAAAGGCGCTGAGGAATTTCGGTGATCCTGTGATCCGTATTATTGGGTTCAAACCACTTTCGTCTCTTCCATTCTGGGCCAATGTCAAGCACCCCTTCTTCATATACCCCTCGGAAGAAGATTTCGTGGGCTCGACGCGAGTGTTCTCTGCTTTGCAACAAACGCTTCTCCGAGATAAGAAGGCCGCACTTGTATGGGTTATTGCGCGCAAAAATGCAGGTCCAGTTCTGGGGGCCATGATCGCCGGAGAAGAGAAAGTAGACGAGACCGGCATCCAAAAGTTTCCACCGGGAATGTGGATTATACCTCTACCATTCGCCGATGACGTTCGTCAGAACCCGGAAACTGCACTCCATGTCGCACCTGAACCATTGATCGACCAAATGCGGCTTATTGTCCAGCAATTGCAGCTCCCAAAAGCATCTTATGATCCCCTCAAGTACCCTAACCCATGTAAGCTTCTTCTCAACCACTTACGCGGCGACGTTGATGTTAACGCATCTTCTCATTAGCTCTTCAATGGCACTATCGAATTCTTCAAGCCCTGGCGTTGGATGAAGACCTCCCGGAGAAGCCAGAAGACAAGACCGTACCCAGATATCGCCAAATTGATAAGGTATATTTCACCTTGTACGTTTCGACAATATTTGCTAACCATACCAGCGTACTCGTGGCTATGTAGGATCTTGGGCAGAAGAATTGGAAAAACAATACGCGAAGATATCGGTCCATGATTCGAAGAGCACGCTCGTGAAACGAAGCGCCAAAGACCGAGCCTCCGAAGCCGAAGACGCAGCCCAGAAACCATCCAAGAAGGTGAAGGTGGAAACCAACGAGCAAGGCGTTGAAGATGTAGTGCGGGCCCACTACCAGAAGGGGTCTCTAGCGAAGGTGATTATTATCTGTCTCCCTAAACTTGAATCCAGGATGCAAAACTAACGCAAGTGGCATTGTACAGCTCACAGTACCTGTTCTCAAGGATTTCCTCTCATCCCACGGACGCTCTGCTGCTGGGAAAAAAGCTGATCTCGTTGAACGTGTGGAGGAGTTTATGGAACGGAAGTGAGACGGTGTGATGTATGAATCACCCGACATATCTTCAGTAGATAAGGTTGCTCCATGCTATTTAATAACAATATTATACTGGAATACCGTGACGAGTACAGTAATAGACCGTATGTATAGAAGCCCTAGGGCCACGTGGAAGAATGCGCGCAGGCTAGAGAGGCACTAAAGCAGCGAGGGACAAAGTAAAATGAATGTTCCAAAGGAAGGAGTTGCTGTTTAACCACCTAATTTGCTAGGATATAATAAAAATTTAGGGATCAATGTTGCCTATGTATTTTAGCCCTAATCCCAGCAATATAAGCTGTGAACCTTCCCTTGACACTTTAGCGAAGTAGAGCACTGTCAATGAAATGAGAAACAAAAGCCTGTATATCAATATAACTGAATGGTAACTGACAAAGTGCTCTTTCTATAAGATCTTCTGGGAAGGAGGAAATGGAAAGGTGGGAATGGAAGAAAAGGCGGGGGAAGTGAAGGAGATATGGAAAGCGCTGAGAGACTCAACGTTCAATTTTCTTATAAATGATTGAATTTTAGCATAGCCTTCACCGGACGAAAGAAACTGTGTCTTTTACATACTTTAGAATCATAACGGTGGGACTATCGAAACGAACAGTGGCAATAGCGATTGAGATGGGTATATCAAAACGGACGAATCTATCCGCGACTGCAAAGAAATGAAAAGCCCGAACAAGCCCTCTAAAAACGCCTTTCCAATCCCTGGCACGTATGCCCAAAAGCTTTAAATGGGGATAGATTGTATAGATATCTACGAGATAACCGACAGGATCGAATAGCCGTAGCTGCATTTACAGTATAGTTGTGATTAAAATGTGTATATTAGCATTTCCCGTAAACTTGACAGTAGCAGAGTTCCGTGTCCGGACAGCTGGAGGAAATTATGTTAGTGTTTTTTTTATCAGATGCTTCGGTGCAATGGGCACTTACTATACGGATTCCTTGCCGAATATGACATGCCAGAGAAACTCCATGACCCGTCCGCTGCTCGCGTCATCTTTCTCTGTGTCGATGACCCATTGTCGGAACTTGATATAGTCCTCCCGGGGCCGTTTGAGCACCTGGTCGCGTGACACGGCGAATTGTGCACAGCATGCAGCACCGACGAGCTTGGGCGCTTGGAGGAATTTCTGAGTTTGTCGACTTTCTGATGAGGCATCGTCTGCTACGGCGGGCGAAGTGGTCGAGTTTAGGGGCGGGGTGCTAGTTCCTTCGAATACTTCCCGCCAGACCTGTTCTGTTACATGGAGGTTGATGCGATGCGCTTCCTTGCATCCGGGGTCCCAATTGCACCGAAGGTTGACGTAACCGTTTTGTTGGACGAAATCGAGCTGTAGAGCACGCATTGCTGCTACATTATCGTGCAACGGCGCATCGACATGCCATGCCATGAAGAAGCCTGAGCGATGGGCGTGGAGGAAAGCGATTGTGGAAGGAAGGTGGTCGTAATGGTCAATCAAATACGTGAGGTAGGCCATAGATTCGTGACCCTTATTGAGGGCGGTTTTGAGCTTGTGTTTATCTGCTTTGGTTTTGTTCGAGGGATTGACAATGTAGATCGCATGCTGCCAGCTTGAAGAAGCAACGTGCGTTAGCAACCAAACATAACAAATCTATTGTATGGGGATCGTACTCCGGAAGTTCTTGCTCGACCCAGTCGGTAGGTTCTTCTTCCAGCCTGGCCATCACGATGACTTTGTCTCCCTGCTTCGCATGATAATGGGATAAGCCCTCATGATGTGGTTTCTTGGAGTTCAGCCAATCAATCATATACGCGCCTGCGCGATACTGACTGTTGATTTCTTGGAGGTGGAGCTTCAATAGGTAGAACGGGACGGCGAGCAATAGACACGCGCATAATGCTAATCTAAAGCCGCATCTCATTGTGAAGTTCTAGCTGGGGTTGAAGGGTGGTATCTCTTGCGCAAGTAGAACAATCCAATAGCGCACCAACGAAAGCGCTTTCTAGTTCAAGAGGAACTCGCTCGTCGACGGTTACCAAGAACCTTAAATATTCGCTGGCGATTATATATTTAAAGGAAAAGAGGCCCTGATGACTGAATCTATAATTGAAGCTCAATCGAGCCCAATCGAAGAGAGGGTATTGGTATGAGGGATAAAAGAAGGAAAGCAAAAGTAAGAATATTAAAAAGAAAATAAATCAGAGAACAGAAGTAAAATAAATATAGATAAAAAGAGGGACAGAGAAGGCAACTTGCAAATATCGATCCTGATCAAGAGAAACAAAAGAAAGAAAGAAAGAAAGAAAGAAAGAAACTGGCGGATGAGGAGCGAGAGATGGGGATATCACACAGCATGATAGCAGAGGACCAGAAGAAAGGAGAGGCCAAAGCGCCCGACAAGCCAGAGAAGGGAGAAAAAGGTTGTCGAGGGGAAGGGCAAATTGGACCAAAAGCTTATGGAAATCCTATGCTCATTGGGCCAGTCATGATGGTGTCCCATCGCACACCTAGTACAAGAGTAGCTTATAGTAGTCTAGTCTAGGAGGGCTTTTGGGGGTAAGTTCAGTTGTGGATCCCCACTGTTAGGCCACGCGTTAGCGCTCATTAAGCTCTGCAGCACCACAGTGGAAAGGCTCATCATAGGTTCCAGGGGGCTGTGCTTCTTTCAGGGACTCTGACTCTTCCCGTGGTTTAGACTCAGCTGGGCATAGCGGGGAAGCTTGGCGCCTGTCCGTCAGGCTTAGTCGGGAACTAGAGTGCTACTCATATATTATAATTTGTGTCTCCCGTCAGCACTTCTCTGATTAACTCACTCCGAGAAACTGTGAAACCACCCTGGGCCCTTGACCCTGGATGTGGAAAGATTACAAAAACCCAAACCCTGTGCGGTATTAATTAGGTGACTGATGGAACCAACACAGCCACAGTCGTTGGAGATCAAAGAAAGAATCTCAGCCACTTCCAATGGAAGCTTTTCTTTTTGTAGGTTAAATCCAATCAGAGGGGCTGATTGGCCAGCAGGACCATGGACCGCACGTGGCGTCACTCCTTATCCTCTGCAAACGCCAAATTCGGATCCTTAAGCGAGCCGGGGAAATGCAGTACTAATAAATTGGCAGAACGTCTAGTCATCTGAAGTACCTCTGACATTACAAACCCTTCTAACGCCATTGCTACTAAAGTGTGGCAATGCTAATGTTGAGTCGCCAAACATGGTAGGACAGCAGTGAAGTCTGTCTGTTTCCCTGTCTCAAGAGAGATATTCTTTTGTTACGTAGTATCCATAACGTGTTCTAGGTCTAGACAGCCGTTGTTCCTACCGAAAATATATTCGGCTGCCTAAACTTGCTATAACCCACCCACTCCAATTTTGAAACCGTTAACCAAATAAATACAAGGTAGCCATGAGCGGCTAAACTTCTACGCTAGAGACAAGACAATTGACCCGAGGAAACGGATTGGCTCCAATTCACCCCTAATGAGCCCTACAAGGCCTTTTGTATGAACCGAACTCAGCTACCAGTACTCCGTAGGGTACACTTTAACATTACTCAGCTAAAAGGCTAATGCATGCCTCTGAGATATCTCGGTAGAGTACTAGTATTAGGCAGCAAATATCACTACCCCACCAGTGAGAAGCAGTCAGGCGATCTGGAAATACCATGGACGCGCTTGAAGTGCTACTGTACTAACAGTACTACTACTAACACTAGGCACCTAGTAGTAACTAAAGAAGATATTCTTTCTTTGTGCACTGCGTAAGGTGGGCAGACTTCCGTCTTCGACTTGTACGGCTGACGAGCTGGAGCACGTAATGTTGGTATTTCCACAGTTGGGGGCGTTGAAATTTTCATCCTTATTTCTGTGCTAAGTTTTGTCCAACCTGGACTGCTTTCAGCGTTCCTCCCATGTCATAGATATATATATACACAATTTGCAGACCAGCTGCAATAGATATGAGTCCATTAATAGTGACAACAAGATTGGACCGTCCACTGATGGCCCCCTAAGAGCTGTCCTCCTCTTCCTCATCTTCACTGCTGACTTCCTCGCCCCTGGCTATAGCTTGCTCCCGGCGTTTTCGTGCACGTTCCCTCTTCTTCTCCAATAACTGATTCAACTTCTTTGCAGTATTGAAGACACCGCCAGTGCCAGCCCCGCACGCGGCACATGATGGGTTCTTCCGATATCGCTGCAAGGCACATGATTCGCAAAAATAGTGCCCGCATTTGGTGACTGTCGGGTTCTGATATGGCTTCTTGCAGATGATACAGGCAAATGGGATGTTCTCGAGGAGCTCCTCGTCCTCATCGTCGTCGTCGTCCTTCGCAGATTTGTCGCCTCGTTGGGAGACAACATTCCCACTTACTTTCTTTCCTTTAGTGTTCACCTCCCAATCTCGATCCAATTCCCACCCCTGTTTATAATCTTCTCTCGCATGAAGGTAGATGCATCCGTCACCGAAGCCACAATAACCGGTCTGCTTGTAATCCTTGCAAACATTAGGCATATAGTCCATATACGTCACGGTACGGACGTTGGTCGGGGCTTTGATGGGACCGAATTGCTTAGACGGAGCATCGGGGTTCTTCCGAATGAAAGACTGATAGTTGGCCGCGCCTTTATAAGTACCATCTGGAGCAAAGGGGGCGTCTGACACCGGCCGGGCTCGTGTTGCCCCTAAAAGATTCTTTGCGTCTAACTCGTCGTCATACCAGTTGGACTGCTTGGTGGCATCATTGCTGGATGTCAAGGAAGCCGGTGTAGTCTTCGTAGGCTGTTCTTCAGCAGCATCCCGCCGGGGTGCATTAGATGTTGATGAGGCCGTCACTGCTGCATTCTTGCGTCGCCGTTTGATTCTGCGGCCCTCATCATCATCGGAGGATGTGAAATCAGAGTCGGAGTCAGAGGCCGGCGGTGGCGCTTCTGGTTTCTTTCGAGAATTGGCCTTGGCCTTGGCCGATCGTTTCTTGAAGGAAAACTGAGGGACATCGTTGGCGACTTGGGTTTCCTCTGTCATGGTCGCTGTTTGCTTTTTGATCGGTTCAATCACGGGGTAGGGTATCCGGTGTCAAATATGATGAACAGATTCCGCAAAACCCGTCAAAATGATTCAATGCTAGGTATAGGGCGGTTGCGACCGAGAAAGTTGGATAATTGGGTTGATGTATAATCTGAAGCCTTGCGTCGCAGTGGTGGCGTTCTTACCTTCCCGATTTGGCATCGCTCACGTGAAAGCTGACAAATGAGACATCATGATATCACGTGAAATAACATGACGCATTGTTGTCCCATTTGAAAGGGCTGATGAAACGAAACCAGGGGGAAGGGGATGCAAACCAGACAAACCCCGACAACGCCAATCGGGGAGAGGGACCTAAGGGAGTAATTGGGTTAAGGCGTAATTTTCCAGTAAGCCAGAAGATCGGGAAGAACCGTTGGACAAGTCAGCGATCTAAATGTGGTTGATGGATGTTGGACACAAAAATAAACTTCAAAGGATAGCCGGAAGATCGACCGTGGGCAGTTGAGTTAACCAAGATTCTTGTGAGACGTCAGTTCATGATTCATCTCTCATGATAATGGATTGTCTTTCTTCTCCTTGATAAACGCCTTGTCTTAGCACTGTAACTTCCCCGATTCAGAGTGGTTACGTATCAGATCGAGGATCAGTTACCGCCTGGTACGTAAAAGTAGGAGTTTCTGGGTAAGATCGAGTGGTCCCTTCTGGCGTGGAGTCCCCCCCTCCTCCATTGTTCGAATTAATTGACTCACTTATGATTGACTCCATCCATTATCGAGGTAATCCGTACTGTATCTGCTAATCAACTACCTTGCTAGAAGTGAGCGTAACCGAGGAGGAGTACCGTACCTTACTTCTCGTCCTAGAAAGGTGGAATTGGTACCTTACCTACTACTAAATCATAATAGTCGGTCTTGTCTGTCTTTCCCGCACGGCCCCAGCTTGTCCCCTACCCACACGGTGCGACTTCTCTCCTTCTCCCTCTCTTCCCTTTCCCTCTCTTTTTGTCTTCCCCCGCTCAACGAGTCGGTTATCGTCTCGTTGTTCATCCAGCTGTATTTGGAACCTCTCTCTTTTCTTTCACCCCATAGCTCTTTTTCTTTATTTTTTTTTTTCTATTTTTTTTTCTCTTTTTCTAATTTTTCCTTTCTTTGATAATCTATTTTACGCTCCTTGACTACGTTCCCTTTGTCACTCCTTAAATCTTTATTTTTTTTTCTTACTTGTCTATAATAATATTATATGCGCCGTATGGCGTAGCGCGACTTATCGCACCTTTCTCCGATTTGTCCAGCTCTGTTGTCTTTCCTTTTTTGGCTCCTCCTTGTTTTGGTACCAACTCACCACTGCTGACTTCCCCCGTGCGCCCTTTTATTGTGGTTGGCTCACTCGCAACGCACAAGGTTGCGTTTACGGCCGCCGCGCGTTTGTGTCATCGGAGGTGCTCCATCCTCGGCTCCCATCCAAAACAAACGGAAAGGCCTCTGCGGCTTTCAACACGGCCGCTGGTCCCGATCTACTTATCGTCTATCCTGCTGTTCATCAACGTCATACGACAAGTCTCTCAACAACCACGCCCCCGATCGACAGTGCGCATTGCTTTCTTTCGCCAGATTTAAGCTAGGCGCATAGTAGCCGTGAGTCCTTCGGTCGCTGGTCGGCTTGTTGACTTATCTGAGCGCAAGAGGTTGAAACAAAAAAAAATCCTTAGGGTGCGGGTCAGATGATAACTTGGGCTTGAGAAGCGACACGAGGGACGAGACGACGAGAGTGCGGGTTCTCGACGGCCAACTGCATCCCAGTCCTTAGGAAACCAGGACAACCGACGGACCAATTGATCGGCGCTCGATTACTTTTCTGCCCGCTTCTAGTGCCGGTGTTACCGACGAGGGGTAGAGTGATTCCATCATGGATGATCCTTTTGTTTCCAACCTTACCGAAGCGGCAGCTCCCCGCGAATCGCATAGGTATTCTTCTTTTGATAAACAACTATTCAGCCTGGATGCGTCCTCGCCAGCACAGGTGAAACGAGCCCTTGAGGCTCATTTGGCAGAGACAGAGCGCAGACTGGAGGAAGCATCCAAACTTGGAACAGCGCTCATTGAACAGCAGAAGGAACTCGAGGACAAGCTGAAGGAAGTGGAGCAACAGCAAGAAGCGAGCCAGCTCGGACCAGAGCTACAGCGGAAACTTCTGGACCTGGAGAGGGAATACCAGGAAATTGGCCGGGAGACGGCGCGAGCGTTCCTTGCGCCGAAACGTCTTGCTGGCGGCGATGATGGGCATCTGGGGACCCCGTCTCTTGACCAGAAGGTATCTATAAACTTGACCGCCTGACGCATGATATGGATCACTAATATAAGGCTCAGTCACCCCTTAGCTCCGCCCTGTTTGCAAGCCAAGCGACGAACTCTCCCAGCAAGGTGAGCGTACCATCGCGAAAACAGCGAAACCAACCGTCGAGTCGTGTCCATGATATCGAATTTGCGACCGAGATCTCCACCTCCCTTCTAGCTCAGGTCCGTCAGTTGCAGGCACTGCTTGCGGAGCGCGAGGAGACCCTGAGAACCCTGAACTTGGAGAAGTCGAGGCTTGAACTCGAAGCAGAGGGATATACGCAGCGGATCCGGGCATTAGATGAGAGCGAGGAGCGTTATAAGGACGAAAACTGGGCGTTGGAGACTCGAACTCACGAACTAATCTCTGCGGTGAAAGATGCTACCGATCGCGAGAGCCGGCTCAACAGTACTTTGGGTGCCATTACAACGGAAAAGGGTGCCCTGGAAAGAGACCTGGAGGATTTGAAACAAGCCAATGCGAAATTGATCGAGGATCAGGCAGCGGCCCAGAAAGCGAACGATGCTGAAATCCACCTCCTGCGCAGGAACCTGAATTCAGGAGACGCGGAGAGGCTTGCACTGCAAAAGAAGGTCGAGGAGTTAAACTCGCAGAATGAAGAGCTCGCCAGAGCGGTGGCGATGCGTCTTCGTCAGCAGGAAGCGGAGACCGTACGGGAAGTTGCTCGAGACAATGACTCTGATGAAGATGGTCAAGGAACGCCGGACAATTCACCGCCGCCATCGCCCAGCAAGTTCACTCCGCGCCACAATCAACTGGAGACTGAGACATTGCGGAGTTCCCTGGGGCATGCCCACCGTATGATCCAGAATCTCAAGAGTACCATCCACCGTGAGAAAACTGAAAAGATTGAACTCAAGCGCATGCTGCAAGAAGCACGTGACGAGGTTGAGCAGAAGCGTCGCGAAGCTGTTGCCCCGGCCGGCCCATCCAACAAGCGCCAGAAGACCAAGCCCGATAATACGCGCAAGGCTGCGAGACCGAACCTGCTAGGCGCTGGAAGGAAAGGTACGACAGAGGTTGAGGAGGTAATTCATGAGACCGATTGGGAAGATCATGCTACGGACACAAGCCCGTCGCATAAGGCGGCTCTGAGATCCTCCCGCAGCCGTACCGAACTGCAGACTTCGGAAGAGCCTAGTGATGCCTATCACACTGCCACAGAAGCTGACGATGCTTTTGAGACCGCCAACGAGCGAGAGACAACCACAGAGAGCGAAGCTTTCCAGACGGGCGTCGAGAGCATGGCTGATGACAGCACCGACACCGACGAACTAACGGAAACAGAGGACCGTATTCAGAGAACTCCTCGTGCTCGTGTCTCATCCCTGACTCTGGCAAAGGCTCGTGACCGGAAATCCTACCATAGCACTGCTTCCACGTCGGCAGACGAGGATGAGGATTCTGATGGCATCTTCCCCTCGCCAAGCCAGAGCTCTACTCCTCGGTACCGTCTTAGGAAGAAGAGGAGCGTGATGAGGAGGATTCGACCCTCCGGGGAGGCTCCAATGGCCTCTGTTAGCCGCCCATCTAGCTCACGTGAGTCCCCGGCAACGAGCTTCACACAGATGTCAGCAGTTTCCGAAGGCCAGAGCCTGTTCGCAGAACTCGCAGAACTTGATGGCGACGAAGATGAAGAGGGAGAGTTTGGTCCCCCGATACAGCACGACACGGATTCTACACCTCGAATTCTGTCGATGCCTGATTCGAGAAGACCATCTGAGGCTACATTGGATGCCAGGGCTAGACCTGCAATGGTAGACTCCGGCGTGATGACTGACCCCTGGGAACCAAGCATTCCGGCTAGTACTCACACTGTGAACGACAAGAATCACTCGGATGTCCTCGCAACACCAAAGGAGATGACATCGGATGCTCAGAATGCGACTGAAACAAAGGAGCAGCCGAGGTTGGTGCATGCTGCGACGCAGTGGGCTCCCCCTCAGAGATCCTCTGAGCCACATGGTGATCAAATTGGTGATCAAGTGCCAGCCACTTTCAAGACTGTTTCGGATGGGCGCACCGCAGATGCAGAGCGAGAGGACAGTGTTCCTGCAGCTACGCTACCACAGCTGGACGTGTCTCCTGTCTCTTCTCAGGACACCATTCCTGTAGCACCCAAACTACCTGAGTTGGGCATATCATACCTTGTCGGAGACATGACCGAGCCGGTTGCCGCCCCAATTCCCGAGCCGCCGGAGATGACCTTGTCGGCCATTTCCTTGCAGTATACAGAGCCTGTTTCCGCCATCGTCCCAGAGCCGGAGCCGAAGCACGTGCCGGAAATGGCTGTCTCCTCAATCTTCTACGAGGAAACCCAACCTGTTACGGCAACGCTTCCTGAGCCTGTGCCTGAACTTCCAATTCCGGTGGCAGAGCGTGCTACGAGTACAGAGACTCCACAGTTAACATTCTCGACTATCTTCGCTGAGTATACTCAGCCTGTTCAAACGACTCTTCGTGAGCCTGTACCCGTGCATGTGCCCGTGCCAGAGCCTTCAGTCTCTGCTGCAGAGCGTGCTATAAGCACCGAAATTCCTGACTTGGTGGTCTCGACGATCTTATGTGAACAGACTTTACCTGTTGTTGCGACTCTTCCGGAACCCGTGCCCGAGCCTTCAGTTTCAGTTACGGAGCGCGCTGTGAACACCGAAATCCCTGGCCTAGCGGTGTCAACGATATTCTCAGAGCAAACAGAGCCTATTGCGGCTACGCTACCGGAACCAGCCCCGGAGCCCAGAATGGTTGCGGATCACCTAACAGCTGGGCAAGAGGCTCCAGAACTGACCGTATCTTTTATACCCCCCGAGTCCACCGAGCCGATCGTACCTCAGGTGCGTGAGATTCCTCTACCGCAAATATCCGTTTCTACAATCCGCTCCGTCGAAACGCTCCCTGTCAAGTCCACACCAGCTGCAGCCATCATTCCCATACCCCTGCACTCCGATGAGAATGCCCCACCAGCGACGAGAGCTGTTATGGTCGATAAATCTACTTCGGAGTCCTTGCCAATCGTGGTTGTCGAAGACGAAGCAAGTGAGAGCTCTGATAACGACAGAGCTGGCCAGACTAGGGGCGCCCCCTCGCCACTGAGCGCCATTTCTGGCAATGCTGTTTCAAGACATGCAAGGGGGCGATCGGCGAACCAGGCGGACCAAGGTGCTCAAACAATTCTTTCTTCCAAGCAAATCGACCAGATCCTCATGGATCGTGTTACGGCTCGGCCCTTGTCTCCTCCCGATAGTGACAAAGCCAAGGAGCAAGGCAATTCACCCTTTGCCACGCCGAAGGCCCGACCGCGCCCCCAGCATCAATCTTCGGCGGCATCCCTTCACTGGCGACCAGGCAGCTCCGCAAGCCAGGTCTCCAGTATCCATAGCCATCCACCTCTACCTGCTGACCATAAGGAGGCTATCATGGCCGCTGAGAAGAAGTCGCTGGATCAACAGCCGTGCATACCAGGACTCATGGCCCCCCCTCTTGCACCAGCTTCTGCTTATCGCGCAAACTCGGCTCCACGGCCACGCACTCCAAATGATTCAGCCGTTCAGGTCGGCTCCGTGAGGTCTTCTACTTCGCGGGCTAGAGTAAGACGCGAAAGCCAAGTGTCGCGGAGATCTTCAGTCTCATCGTTCGCCTCTGAGATCGAAGAGCGGTTCAACGCGCAATCCACTCCAGCTGTTGGACCTTATGGATATGGCGCCGGCACAGATCCGCGCATGATTCAAGCAATTACCCAGACCATGATTGGGGAATTCCTCTGGAAGTACACACGCAAGGCAGTCTCCGGAGAGATTTCTAGCACTAGGCATCGCCGCTACTTCTGGGTCCATCCATATACCCGTACACTTTACTGGAGTGAGAAGGACCCGCAAAGTGCCGGCAAGGCGGAGCGTAAAACAAAGAGTGTTCCCATTGAAGCTGTGAGAGTTGTCGCTGATGATAACCCATACCCTCCAGGTCTTCATTGCAGGAGTTTGGAAGTTGTCAGCCCTGGTCGTCGCATTAGATTTACCGCTACTACTAGCCAGAGACATGAGACTTGGTTCAATGCACTCTCCTATCTTTTGTTACGGTCGGAGAATGGCGAGGAAGGAGAGAACAATGACCTGGAAGATATCGACGAGTTCAACCCCGGATTCCGGTCACGATCTCGGTCGCGTCAGAGACCACGCTTGTCAGTCTCTTCTTCACAGAGTCGGACTACCCGAAATTGGCCGAAACAACGTGCGGGCTCTGCTCTCTCTCTGCGCCGCACCGGGACTCCTGGGCGGGCCTCTCCGGCCCTGAGCACACCTTCTCACTATTCCGACCAAAGAAATAGTTCTGCGTCACGGCTCAGTACGATTCTGAATACTACGATCAAAGGTTCTTTCGGCCGAAGAGGCCCATCCGGCTATGCTACGTCTAGTATCAATGATGGCAGTATCTGCGACCGTGACAGCGACGAGGACCTCCGGCAGATGATGGAGAGGCAAGAACGGGAGACAGATGGACTTGAGAACGTTCGTGCTTGCTGCGATGGTAAGGAGGCCCCTCCAAAGTTGGATTGGACAATGGAGGATAATCAGCTAACAACCTGAATTTAGGCAAGCATGATGTTAGTTCGCTCTCAAGGACGACCCGATACAGCCCGCGCTCCAATCGGATTCATTCTCATCACTGAACCTGCCAATGAGAGCTGTCTACCGTGGGGATGCGTTCCTTACCACCTATAAGCCTCTTTGAGCCATTGCTCGCACCACTTTTCCATCTTCCTCTACCCTCATAGCGTGCGAATCTTATGAGTGCATATGTTAACATTTCATTCCTGGCCTCTTTTGCTTTTCGGTCACAGCCAACAGACGTACTTTCTTGGAACCCTGCGTTACGTATAGTCATTTCTTAATATCGGGGGGATTTTTGCCCCCTTAGGCATTTCTCCCCACTCAGGTGTCTGGGCTGTTCCCGTCATTCATTCGTGATATTTGCAAAAATGAATTGTTGATTTGGTCATTTTCCTTTGTCGATACTCATTGCCCAGCTGATTTATGCCGTTCGTTCCATCTTGGCTTGGCCCTTACCTATTTTTACTACCACCACTTCATCATTTTGTGTGCATCATGCATCAGTCCATCTTCTACTTTGGTTTTCTTTTCTCACATCTTGACTTCGAGTCTCTTCAATCTGTAATGACAGCAAGATTGGCCGTGTTGACTCTGTTTGTCTAATCTACGCAATATGGAGCAATTCAAGAAACCTCAAATTGTGGTTCGGCGATGGCCGCCGTGACCAAACGCCGTAGTTAGCGCGGAAGCTTAGTCATTTCACCGGTATTTTACGCATCTATAAATATTCTCAACATTCTATTCTGCTCATTCTATTCCTTCTTTCCCCGCAGCTATACCTTGTCACCTTTTCTTATCACTGCAGAACCCATGGCTTCCGTGAACGATCTGACCTTCAAGGTATGGGTCCAATCGCTTTTGGAACCTGGATATCTTCTACTCTGGGCTATGTCATGTAAGTGCAACTGACATGGTATCTGACTCCCACCTATATGGCCTCTGCTTGCCATACGGCCAATAGTGAAAACATGCACAGATATATACAAACTATATCGCCAACAGGGCTGAGACATGGCTAAGCTAATGAGCACCGACAGATTATGTTAAGGTCAATCTGGAAGCTGTCTTCAAACGAGGCGAGATCCTTGCTCCACTTCTCCAGTCCGGAAGACTTCGTGACGAGGCCTTTGGCCGATTCTGGGTTACCTTTAGTTGTCAGTCCTCATCGCAACAACCCAACCGGGTATATCTCACACTAAATCTAACAAAAACCATACAGCAAACCGCGAAGACACCATCCAATCCCAACCCCCAACAACCCAAACCGGAGTTCAGAAGTCCTCGGACCTGATCCCGCCTGTGCTAGCGCATGCATCAGGTCTAGTCCTGGACGTCGGCCCGGGAACAGGAACCCAAATGCCTCACTTACGCTCCCCCGCTATCAAGGCAATCTACGGCGCCGAGCCCTGCAACGGCCTTTACGCGGAACTACGCTCTAGGGCCAACGCTGAAGGCATAGGCGAGAATTACCACATTCTCCCTTGTAGCGTCGTCGCCTCGGAACTTGTCCCCGCTCTCCAGAAAGAAGGCCTTCTACCTGCCGAAACAACCGCCATCGATCAATCGACGGGTGTTTTCGACACCATCATCTGCGTCCGTGTACTCTGCTCCGTTCCCAATCTGGATCAGTCCGCTAGGGATCTGTACTCTTTGCTTCGGCCCGGGGGAAAGATTCTGGTCGCCGAACATGTGGTTAATCCGTGGCAGACGGCGAAGGGGTCCGTGATTGCAAGGATCATGCAGGCTGTTTATGGGCTCTTGGGCTGGAGCTGGTATCTGGGGGATTGCCGAATGAATCGGGATACGGAGAAAGCGTTGAGGGGTGCTGCAGAAGGGGATGGCGGGTGGGAGTCTGTGGAGGTAGAGAGGTGGTTTGAAAGCACCTGCATGCCGTATATTGCTGGGGTTTTTGTTAAGAGAGGGTAGGTTTATGCTAGTTATGGGGATCTTATTTGGTATTTATGTTTATGAATTGGTGCTCGGTTGAGCCTAGCGACTTGTGTGGTTGTCTACCCTTTGCACATACTCTTGATAGGCGAGGTGCGCGGAGTTTGTCTGATGATTATCTGTTTGGAACCGAGGTACTGCGAATCGAAATTGAAAGCAATCAGCGCAGAAAAGAAGATATGACCTAAGAGTAAAAATCTGTACTCGTTGCCTCTCCTTGATGCATATTGGAAATGGCTATAAAATTACCTAAAGTCTCAGGCAGATGACATATGCCTAGTGGATAGTGGATTCAAATGGATCGTTGAATTCCTTTATCATATGGCCAAATATAACTACAATGCATATAGTTATGCTCTTCTATCCACTGCTTGAGAAAGTCGTGTCTCATAGTTACACCTCAAAGAGGCATATCCAAGGGCAGCCAGGCCATGTTTATCTATAACATAATCGCCGTGCCACCATGATGTAAGCCTTCAATTCGTCCCAATTTGCCCCTTTGAAGGATATGCTCCATTGTTGCGATTTTACCCGGTCACGCGAAGCAGGTAAATAAGATAGTTGTCAGGGTTCGATAAGCAAGTGAATTCACTTACCTGGTTTTGTTTCGCCGATACAAGAAAGGTTGTTCACAGTCACTCTCAGCCTTCGGTCACTTCATATATCTCTTTCAACAGACCCCGACACTGATGCCTGTGTGAACTACACGACCGCAAATCTCCATACCCGGGATAGCTGGCCGGCCGAGCACTAGGCGTGTCACGAAGCTTAAATCAGGAAGTCTGTAGTCTGCTGGGTTGAGACCGGCAGAGAGGACATGGATGTGGACCTCTCCGGAGCGAGGACTGGGTGGGGGCGCGTATGAGGGTCGAGCTTCAAGGTCTTCTCAAAGCCACCGGTTAGGTTGTTATAAAGCCAGGCTCGCATACGCGAGGGATGTATTATTGCTCGGTAGCCATGGCGAATCTGATACGATTTCCTTTTTGTAGTCAGTTCGAAGCAACTAAGAGACTTGGTGCTTTTCACTCTTGCTGGCGGCTTATTGTTAGCGTCGTTAACACAGGCTGTCTAATGATGCTGCCATATGAGGATAATGCACAGTTCCCTAAATTATAACTTATGGCAAATACGTATTTCTCGTCTAGTGGCAAAGAGAACGCGATCTCAAACTGATGTGCATGACTTGATAATGCAGCTGGAATGCAACATCGGATCGAGGAAGCTTGCTGGAGCCTTAGCTGACCTTGACTCGAAGGTGGACCTCATTCCCCGGGTCGGGCTGCCTGCGATCCTGCGGATTGGAATGTTCCGTTGCTTCAAGGGAATGTGTTCGTGGATGTGGAGATCTACAATTGTACTCACCGTCCCTTTCCATTACATATATTTTCAGAAAGAAGACGTAGGCAAGGGTGAGGAACAGAAGACTCTGGCAGTCGTTTTTCTGCCAACTCTATCTTCTGTGCTGGGTGACATAATCTGGAAGCATTTGGAAAGGACTACTCGAGTAGTTTGAAGTATGAGGCAGTGTACAAAACCCCGCATTTGCCTTTCTGTGAAGGACCTAGGCAAGTTATATTTATATTAGGAACGTGAGCCAGTCGATTTTACATACATTCGTGCCGAAGGGTTCTACCTCCAGGTTGTTGAAGTATCCTGCGTAAATAGACCGGATCAAAGACACTTCGGAAACGTTGTCTAGTGTCTAGATTATCCTGACTGAATATATACACTTTATGTCTGTCAGGGAGACCTACTCCTTCAGCCTTCAAAGCTCGAGTTTTAGCGAAGCATCGATTGAAGTTATCAGCCGAAAGACTGTCATTTATTTTAGGACAAGGTAAAGGATGGTAGAGACTTTTTCGACGGTAAATATTTGGATAGAGAAACCGGAGGTGACGAACCCCCAGCAATAATCTTCAGAACGAAATTTGGATATAGATCGTAGATAAAGCATATATGCCTAAGTGTATATCATCACACTGCCTCAAGAAACGACGGCTCCGGCGTAGGGTCTGAAGATGTAAAGCTCATCGATATATCGCCTTAGGGCTAGACGATCACATGATCGATATTCCCCTTCCCTGTATATGAGTAGACTATCTCTCGATCTCAACACGCATCTGTCAGAATTCCCATCAAAACTTCATAAGGGATCTGTATCTTAAATCTCAGTCTTAAACACAATCTGTAACAGGACAGCGCCAAACGCAACTAAGAGATTAGCTATTTTTACACCGATCCTCTCTATTAAAGTGTAAGGCACCTGAGAATGGGGATACTAGTGTTCCATCTTTTATATTCAATTATCGCATGGCAAGCACTAAATGTATGTGTGGGAAAGTACGGTCGAGATGCAAAGCCTCCATGTTGAGCAAAGCTATGATATTTACTGAAGCCGTTCAAAAAAATGCCCTACCCTTTCTGAATATCTGCAAATGATTCGTCAGAGTATGTGGGGGCTTTGATATGTTTCTATTTCGCTAAATTTCTTCCTGATGCCGGCTTCAGAAACCGGAGGGCTCCTCTGCATGCTTGCAGCCTTCTATATCGAGGCAAGAACATCAAGGTCAGTTTGTCTTGCACGTCATCTTATCAAGTGCCAGAATCTAGCAACTTCGAGTATGGGTGAGGGTAGTATGTAACGGTATCACACTAAGAAAGAAACAGGTAACGCATAAAAATGAGTGACTGCTTGCTCGGATCGCTTGTAGTCATGCATATATTCATACCCTAACTATCAAATTTGCAGCAGGCACATCGCCAAACCACGTTTAGTGTATGAACAAAGGAAGGTTACCCCAGACAAGCCCACCTTGCGCGAGTATAAGGCAATACAAAATTCAGAATAAATCACTCCCTTTCAAAAAAAAAAAAAAAAAAAAAATAACGAAAGCAGTATCACTCAGCCAACGTCAAGAACCCGTAATCATCGCGCATAAACTCCCTCAAAGTATCCAACGCAGCTTGTAGCACCGCCGTATCCCCACCAAACCCAAGACGTACATACCCACTGAAATTCTCCCCACCCCCGAAACACTTCTTTCCGGGTACAAGGAGTACGCCTTTCTTCTCCAAGAGCTTTGTACAAAGCTCCACGTCATCAACAGGGATACCGGACCTCGTGAACTTGATGAACCCAATCGGTCCGGCAACGGGTTTTACCCATTGACAGGTGGAAGAAAACTCGTCAATGAACGACTGCACAATGTCGAGGTTATTCTTTGCTAGTGCTGTGTTACGTTTTACTAGGTTGTGGATGCAGGCGGGGCTAAGTGCCAACGACGCGATTTGCTCGTCCACCTGGCTGGCTGTTATGAGGGCGTAGGAGCGTACGTTGATGCAGAGGTCTAGGATGGGAGTGCTGTGAGATGCGATCCATCCTATGCGAATTCCGGCAAGGGCGTAGGCCTTTGATAGGGAGCTGGTAACGACTGTGTTGTTGTAGCCGAAGGATAGGGCTGAGGGTGGGTAACTTGGGTCTGTTGGGGTGATGGAGTGGAAGCTTGGACGGTAGACTTCGTCGCTAAAGACGGTTATGGAGCGGGTTTCGGCGATTCGAATGATTTCTTTGAGCGTTGATCTGGGGATTATCGCACCGGTTGGGTTTTGAGGATTGCTAAAATGATGTCTTAGTTTGGATATCATATGTTGCATATGAGAGGTGTTAGGTCTTACTTTAGGACTATCATCTTCGTGTTGGGCTGGATGAGGCGCTTCAGCTCCTCGATATCAAGGTTCCAGTTATCGTCTTCCTTCGCTTTCCACAGGCTAACCTGTGCTCCCAACGAGGTTGGGAGAGAATATAGTTGCTGATAGGTCGGATACTGGACAATGACATGATCTCCCGGGCCAACTAGGGCAAAAAATACAATGAAGTTGGCCAGTGATGCGCCAGGGGTTGTCAGGATTCTATCAGAGGAGATAGATACCAATGGATCATCTGAGTATAGGCTTGCAATGTTCTCACGAAGTTTCTCGAAACCTGTGAAAGAAGGGCCATAATTCATAGGCAGGGACTGCACTGAAGCGAGAATATCGTCGTCCGTTGCGACGTTCTCGGACAGGGATTTAAGGTCCTTTATTGTGATAGGAAGGGAATAGGAGTGCGCTAGGTTATACTTGGGACCTGTATCGCGAGTTAGGATCCACTGAAGTTCACTGTGTCAGCCAACTGCATTTAAATCGGATGTCGTGGGTCGGTTACATGATCGACTTCGAAGGGCTCAATTTTGACCATGGCGACTAGAGGGTATGTTGTTTTTGAATTGAGTGTGAGTCCGCCACGAATACCGGCACAAAGCAAGGCTTATATCTCTTGTCTGATTCTGCCGGGCGTGTCAAAGCATTTATATCTTTTGGTTCAAGTACAGTGTATGACCCATGCATTGCATGTATGCTGTAGGGCGTGGGGGTACCCACTTTTACGAGTCACATCCCTCTCTGCTCCATAGCCCCTCTAGCTGTAATCTTTAATAGAACGACGGAATTAGTATACAGCTCTTCTCCTTCTGGTGTCATCAAGATGACTCTTCATTGATTTCTGTCAATTATTCCCATCTTAGAATCGCGATAAACCCTCATCGCCGTTACCTTGCTAGAGGATCCAAGAACTACATACATGGCAGCAAAATGCGGTCAGAATCGTCCATTGATCAGAAGGCCTTTTCGGAAACGCCAATATCATGATTGGGTAAAGGATTCTATAGACAATTGAGAGCTAAGCATAGTTCCAGATTAAATATATTTGTACAACTCATCCTTGACATGCTTTACTACTACATATTTAATATCCACAAACACCCTGTCATCGGATATAGTACGCCGGCAGTTGGAGCACGGCCTGTTCAGGGCATCAAGCTCGTGGCATCAGAGCGTCATTGCCGTACGCTTCGGATCACCACAGAAGATCTCTAGGTTAACTGGCGAGGGTGCATTAATACACCAATTGCCCTGATCATGTTCATCTTACGCCATGTGATGCTCTCCTGCTTAATCAGGCCTTTCTTTGTTAAATGGTTCTCTCTTTCTTTCTGCCTCAATCAAGCATCTCGTCCCTCCCTCAACTGCAGCCCTTCTCCTCGCAAGGGCAGTCCGATGGTAGCCTACTGAGACCGTCTGCCCGAGTTGGACTCATTCTTACGCGTGCGTCACATTCCGATTGGCTGCTTGTTTCTCCAGTGCTACTGAAGAAAGATATCTCCGCCCCTCGGTCTCGGACACAACGTTCTCCGTTCGCAAGCCTGCGGTAACAAGATTGGTAAATATAAAATGGGTATCGGACACAAGCTGGCAGTGTCACTGACACATACTGGGTGGTATACCACAATAGTGGATGCTTTGAAGTGATTATCCATGAGAAGTCGTGTAAACCCTAACGTTATGTTAGCTTCTCTACTAAGGCCCATGAGCGACATGCTTTCATATGATATTTTAGTTGTATGAGTTGTAAACAGGACGATTCCGGAAGACCAGCCATAGAAGATCAGAGCTTGGGCTTGAGTTCCGATATGCAGGGCTACGTACGACAGTTGATTCAAAAAGCCGATGAAAGGAACGACAGAGCCTTTTCTCTAAATGGAAAAATGGGCCGTCCTCTTCTCCACTTCATGGTGTATCTCACAGGACAGACACCGAAACCAGCTATGGCCAAGCTTCTTCAGAACCAAGGCGCAAACATTAACGCCAAGTTCGATGAAAAGACAGCCATCCAAAGGTTGGTAATCAATAGGTAGTCACAGGATGGCAAGCCTCAATCCAAATAGCCGCTATTACCCAGATCTCGATAAGATCAGGCGGATTCCTCACTTGCACATATTAGTTCATATGTATCATTGCATTGAAATGCGTCCTTGACTCAGTCTCATGAGCTTTCTAGAGCGCAGGGGGGCTGACCTGAACGTTCCGGAATTTCTTAATGGGACTTTCCTGGAAGTTCTCTACTAGAAATATAGGACTTTGTCCCGGTATTTGTGGAATTGACTATTGAGAAGGGAGCTAAGATCACGAAATCCATGGTTAGCTTTCAGTATCTGCCCTGGGGCCCGGATTCGAACGTACATCGTTATTTGCTGCATAATAACAAACCTAGACTAGGAGAAGAAATAAACGCTGCGGAGGCCTTAGGCAGTCATCACGATGCGTTCCGTGTCTTACACCAACGACATTTTCGGTCTAAACAATGGTTGGTATACGGAAGAGGCTGCCGCGGAGGATTAGTTTTCATCTTGATACCACCTTAAAAAAAAAAAAAAGGAAGGAAGAAAAACACGCTGAGATCAGCCGATATATTGACCATTGGGTAGATTATAGACACGCATCTACAAGTGGACAGGATATTGAGATTCATTTACGACCGCAGGTAGTCCGCTCTCGACAGCTAATTTTCAAACTTTTTCCTATATTATATTCTTTTCTGGAGACTTCATAGGTCTGAGGGATGCTACCAGCTCTATCTTACATTCCATCTGAATGAAAAACTACCGACCAGGCCACCTATTCGTGTCTAGATACCCATCTTGATATGCCTTGCTGGGACCGTACGCATCGATATTCTTCCGTATATCTTAACCAATAGTGACGGTAGCTGCAATCCCCACGGATCACTGTCTGGTATCTGGTGTCAATTCATAAATGCTTAGTCGATGTATAATGGCTCCAAGTATCGTTTAATCCAACGGATCTTTCCCTCTGTGGGGTCCATCACCGCTGCAAAATGAGTCATCTCGTTGGTAGTTGGGTATGTTGTCGTCCATTGAATAACCTCCTTCAGCGAAGCCGTGACTTCAGAATCTACTAGCGAATTAGAGCTAGGAGTCGACAAAGAAGACCCATTTGACGTGACCTCCGAAGACGAATCGCCTCTCCGCTTCTGAGAAGCTCGCGTACGTCTCAAAGGATCTTGACGGGCAGTCGAGTAGTTGTTTCCCTGGTTTGTGGCGGTTTTTCGAGATTTCTTGAGTTTCTTATCCCAGTGGGCCTGCATTAGATCCCTCCGTTCGTCACTATCTATGATAAGATCTGCAACCGAGACAGGCGCACCGGTCCCTAGAGCTGCGCCAACATGGTCCCCTTGGTGACCCTCCGTCGACGTAGATGGCGTAACATGGTCACTATTGGTTACAACAATGAAAGATGAACTCCGCTCAACATGCGCAGTTCGATGGTCCTTTTCAAGCACGACTACGTTGACCCCATCGCAAAAAATCAGATACGCCGCCGTGGATGGCGTACGCATTACCACAGGCCAGATCTCGCCTAGAGAAGCTCCAGACGAGCCATCAGAGGGAGGGAGGATATACCCCCGCAGCATGGACGAGATAGACCTCCGCAGCCCTAACAGAACAAGCAAATGGCTTCCGTAATAGCGGTAGTTGCGCACCCAGCTACTTGTATTGTGATTGGGGCGAAAATTCAGAGAAACGCTGAGACCCCTCCTGACGCCGGTTAGGACGCCCACGAAGCCGACATATGCGATATTCGTTGCCAGGATCGTGTTGTGATCTGGCCCGCGGACGTATTCGAAACACACGAGCAACTTCCGGAGCTCATCCATGCCCCAGTCTAGGGTCCGGAAATGGAGCAGCCGCGACTGCTCGCCGGAGGTAGTGGCGAGTTTCGTTAGGGCTGCGCCGCTCGTGCAGCCCATGAGCAGATCTAGGAGGACGTTGAATGAGATTAGAAGGTACATCTCGATCCCTGTGGCTTGGCTTATTCCTCTGATTTCGGCGGTTTCTTCACAGGAATACAGCCGTTGTAGAAATAGGCGTGAGAGCCTTTTGATCCATATTAGGGAGGCTTTTGGAAGGGCTTCCGTGATGAGTTCGTCGAAAAGGCCCGTGATGGAAATTAGCTGGTCCCGATAGTCTTTTGCGACATGGACGTATCTTTCCACGGGAGGAAGAGAGATGTCAATTTTGTAGATTGGAGGTATTTCACCTAGGGGCATTGCGTGCGCCATGCTTGGTGATGGCAATTGCGGGTTTGTGTCATTCAGGGGAGTGTCATTGTCCTTTATCTATGGTGTTAGGTAGAAAAGAGAGAGTATTTACGTAAGGCTGAGGCATCCATGGAGGGAGATCCCGCCTAGAACACATGACGTTGCGCTGCTCACTAGTCTGGTAACTTTTTACTTGCGTCCAATTATCTGCTATCTGTACATTCCCCTTATATGATATAGAAAAATGCGTTTCAATGTCTAGGGTATCAATAATATACTAACCCTGCCCTAGACTCAAGAGGCTTCTCGCAACAGCAGTCTTAAATGCCCCATTGATACGAGAAATATCATTAGTGCTATACATGACGCATTCAAAGGTATCATATAGTAATATTATTTAGGTTTTAGCCGCCCCGGAGGCCAGAAATCGAAAAGATCCAGTGCTTCAGAAGTCCAGGGACCCTGCTCATGGGGTTGATCTTCTTCCATGCAATTATTTAGTGGGCTTTTGAAGTGCAGTGATCGCGGTCGAAGGCCATCTGCGCTGGTTAGGGTGGTGGGATCCGAGTATGACTTGCGGAGTCCAGTGGAGCCGGACTTTGGCAAAGCGCCTTGTGCGCGGTGGCTTACTGTAGCTGGTATTTGTCGTGTGGCCTTACTCTGGCCAACTATTGAGTCACTTACCATCTCATCTAATGCAACCATAGTTGAGGCAGAGGGTATAAAGTCAGCGTTTGTTGACACAGGACCCGGATCCGTCAGATCGATCTCCCTAGGATTGTCAGCATCATGCGTTGATGGAGAGATGCGGAACATACTAACTGCGGATTCTCTTGCGCCGACGCGTTTGCCTTCGGGGCAGGAAGCGATACACTCGTAGATGTTTGACCAGGTAACAATGCGCTATACAATAGCTTTCTCCTCGGACGCTCTGTGGACAGTCGGAGCGTGTTGGTTGGAACCTCTGCATGACTGCTTAAAGATTTCGTTGCAGGTGGTGGAGCATTACTCGCGGGTTTTTGGGTCTTCTCAACATTCGTGGGCTCTGCTTTACCGCCCAATGCCACGTCCGAGGGAGGTACTGTAGTTGACGGAGCTTTTACCGAGCCTGTGGTCTGCTTGGGTCGTACTGTTGGTTCTGTAGCCACAGCAAATACTGTCGGTTTAACGACGGAAGATTCTCCAGACAAGTCGATGGTTACGGGCTGAGGCCGATTCAAGCTATGGGCGCGTGAGACGTTCTCCGATGCGACCCTTTGCCTCTTCGCAGTTCTTTCAGGTGATTGTGGATAGTTTCTACGCTGCTCCGGTGGGTGTCGTTCTTCATACGGAGAGACTAATCGTCCAATGGGTGTCTTCTTAATTCCCAAGAGATCATTGAGTGAACGTGACGACTGCGAGCCGATCGAAGATCGTACTGGAGTAGACGGGCGGAAGGACGGGGTCGGCAGCTCCCCTGGCTTCGATGGCGATCCTTGGCTTTTCTTGTTGCTATAAAGGGTAGATAGATCGGTCTCCGTCTTCTCCATAGGCTCACAGACTTGTATCAATACGCCTCTATCCAGTTCCAGCTCGTCCCCATCCTGAATTGCATCGTCCTGTCGCCAATGAAGGTCGCCGATAAAATTTCCTGTGATATCGTAGGCCATGACGCGTTTGTTGAACGTGTGGTATCTGAGGTACCCATCTTGCCAGCGTTTGGCTTTGCGGCGCACATCATGGGTATAGAGACATCGGAACTTGATGACGGGCGCGGTGTTCTGACTTGCGGGGACGCTCAAGCCGGGGGTGGCACGCGGGGCAGACGATAAGGGGATTGACATGATTGAGAATGGGAGGGCCAAAGGTTGGCGACCCACTGGCCGAGCACCATCTGGTCGATAGGCGGGGGCGATGCAGTGGTTGACGCTGTTGCTGGCCGTTCTTTCAGTGAGAGAAGGAAGAGAGAATTAGCGTCGGAATTCCACGAGTGAACGCGGCGGGGGTGCGTTTGCCTCAGGCCTACAGGCACGTCTTTTAGTGCCGAGAGCCGCGGGGAGTCTAGACTCGGTATCGACTGATACTGGTATAGTATTATTGAGATTCCTTTGGATACTACTTACTCTCTATATATAAGACATTATCTATTAAAAGCTCCTCTTATATGTTGACCAGTAAAGACTTAATCTCATCTAGTGATCCTTCCACTCCTTTAGAAAATGCATCTGTTAAAACTCACCTATTAATAGCCGAGGCCCTCTTGGCAGGCTCCATTCCCAGCCTTAAGAGTTCCACTGAGACTCCTAAACCAGCGAGTTCGAGTACCATGGGACGTTCTGTGTTTGGGTCCAGGAACTGAGAATTCATTTGTTCGTACTTTGATTTCAAGTCAATTGAGATAGAAGACATCGAGTGTTCGTCAGATACATCTAGACAAAGTAGGAATTCAGTCATTCATTCATGGAGGTAACGATCGACATGGATATACTGTACTTGTACAGTACTGTACATTTAATAATTTGATGGCCTTACAGGGTTCACTTGAAAATGAAACGGCGATCCGATGGTGGCTGCGTCATCGTTTCTCTCTTTTCTTTATTAAATAAACTCGTACTCCCCTTTTCTTTCTCTTCCTTTACCTCTCCGCTCGGCATTCAGGTACATATACAATTACAGAGGTCATTGTTCAAGACCCTTCCTTCCCCTCGCGATCGGATAAATCAGGTCTCCATGTTTCAACCCCTTGTTCTCTCCCCGCCTTGAAGCAAGAAACTTGTCTTTATTTCCACCCCCCAATCAACACCATGTTATCAGTACAAAGACATTTCGGTAAATTGATGAAGAGGTCCGCCGACGAAAGCCAGGTGGCTATCCTCCTCAAAGATTTCGATGAAGCAGATAAATTATTGGGCAGGGTAAGCGCAGACCTTGGAAGCATATCGTATACCTACACACAACGGCAGTCCAATCGCATCTTGACTTCTGCCCTCCTGTCGTGTTCGGATAGGCTAACCACTCGTCTGACAAGATCATTGATTCTACGAAAGCTTGGCGAGATGCTTGGTCCTCCCTCCTCGCCTACCAGGCGCGAATGCTCAGCGAATTAGAAGGATTATATGCTCCCATTGTTGCCTCCTCCGACTCCTCGACAGCTGGCAAAGGTGTTCAGACGCCCCAAGAAACATTGGCCCGAACCGCTAAGCTAGCGCAAGAATATGAAGAGTTGCAGAACGAGCTCTTAGAGGAGCTCAATGCCATCAATGAACGTATGATCAAACCCGCCACCCAGGCCAGGGACTATATGAAGCCTTTGGAAAAGACAATCAAAAAGCGGGACGACCGAAAGGTAGGCAGCCCCCCCCCCCCTTTAATCAACTCGGAACGAGATCTAAATATACGACTTTACAGCTAGATTACGAGCGCTACCAAGGTCGCGTCGACAGCTACTCGAAAAAGACGAAGCGATCGGACCGGGACAATGCATCGCTGACCAAAGCTGAAAATGATCTCGCGAGAGCAAGAGAAGTATGGAGACCGACATACCTGCCCCAAGTCGCCACTGACCAAAAACTAGGAATATAACGCCGCAGACGAGCACTTGCGAAAATGCCTACCACCAATCATCACCGCCGCATTCTCTCTCCTCCCGCGTCTCCTAGCCACCCAGATCGAGATCCAGAATACCATGCTAGCAAATTACTACACCGTGGTCCAGAACTATTGCGAACAGGAGCACTTCCCCTCACCATCACCTCCGATGGAACAGATCATCCAAGACTGGGAACACTCCCATCTACCTATCCAGCAAGAAGTCGAAGCACTCGGCTGTCTCGTAAACGGCAAAGCAGTGCGTCTATCCCCAGGATTGGACGATCAACGAAACGGACACAGCCGTCTACCGAATGGATTCAACTTCCGTCGCCCCTCGAGCAGCAGTGCCACCGGCCCTGCACCGGCCCTGCACCAACCAACCTCCCCTGGCCGTAAACTCTCCGCCCCGTCCCCAGTCTTCGAAACAAAACCATCCCCAGTAATGGAAACCAAACCCCGCATGAACAACCTCGCCTCCTCCCCTTCCTCTACCCTCGCCGTCCCAACGGCCCATCTCACCCCACACACCTCAGCTTCAGCTTCCTCCCCAGCGGAATCCTACACCTCAGCCCGAACAGACTACTTCAGCCGCAATCAACATCCCTCGGACAGCCCCGCGACATCCCCAGGTTATGGGGTGCTCGCGGCCGCGAAGAAGAAACCACCACCTCCCCCTCCGAAACGGATCGGTTCAAACCAGGGCTTATACGTCACGGCTCTCTATGACTTCGGTGGCCAGAGCTCCGGCGATCTCGCCTTTCGCGAAGGGGATAGGATTCGTGTTGTGAAGAAAACGGATAGTACAGATGATTGGTGGGAAGGCGAACTCCGTGGTGTTAAGGGGAGCTTTCCGGCTAACTATGTGGAGTGAAAAAAAATATATATATGGCGAGTTTACTTTCATTCCGGAGTTACAGGGCGAGATAATGAAAGTTGGACAGGGGAATTGTCCGTTGTTACTTATAGTTCATTGGCACTTAGTTTCGTGGCTCCCTGAGCATGATGAGATACTCTATTTCCCTTGTTTATATCTCAGCATGTACCTATCTTCAAAAAGGAACATGAGAAGCATGACTGAATGACTGATGAATTTAATTCAATCATTAGAATCGTATACCTCCGGTGACTACCGTTTACTATACTCTATGCGAATTAGAACTACCTACTTATTGCCTTTTTAAGACACTAGGGCTTGGAATAGTAAGGTTCGAGACTCGTCTCATCCGAGTTGTTCCGTTCTTTCTTACTCAAAGATGTTGAAAATGTCTGCGTATGGTTGTGCATCAGTATATGGGGCACTCGACTAAACAATTGGTTATGTAGGTGAGGGCAGAGACTTGAAAAATAGGGAAGATCTCTATAGATAGATGTGATTTTATTTAACTACGCCTATTCTTATTTCACCTGAGAAGAAGAAAAAAAGTACAACTATGATGAACGGAGCAGAACCCCTACGTCTACGTGGCTACATAATTTGAGAAGGTTCCAGTTGTAGACACTACACTAAATATTTACTAGTTTAATACGCTACTATACTTGAAGGTCTGATATATCTTAGACCAGAATTTATAGCCACTTCTATTCCTAAAGTAGGAAGTTGATTTACTCTACAGATCATTCCCATTAGGTCCATAGTCCATACTTTATACTACACAGATTCGACTTTGTCCGCCATACACTTGTTCCCTCCAAACGTAGTGATGATACTAGCAGCAGCCTACTAGTGTCTCCTCAAATTGCTGTAATAGACGTATCTATCCCGTGTTGGTCCTTGAAATATTCCACCAGGCTTGGAGTCATCCACGACAAGTTATCACACTATTCCTGGTACCTGGTCTCACCATGGCTGGGCCCCCTGTCGCGTCGATTTGGAAAGTAAGTGCTTGCAAATCTTTTGAAACAGAGTGAGGGCATACAGCAGAGCATGCTGGGCCCCCCACAGCCTTCAATGCACGGTTAGATACATTTTCTGGCAAGTCAAACCATATAATGGTTTGCAACAAGCACAGCGGATATCCAAGCTTAGGCATTATATCTAGTTTACGAATCCTGAGCCACTCGTTATTCGTCGCAGTCATTGCGCATGTTAGACACAGATGCAGCCCAAGCTTTCCACTCCAGACCGGCATATCGTGCGGAGATAAGCAAAGACTGGGCTTGAGTGGAGGATAGCAGCACCCACAACAATGCGTTCGTCTTCCTTTGAGGCTAGGAAGGAGGATTCGGGACTGCGTCTTGAAAACACGCTCAAGCCAACCTCCCCATACATGGACCCTCTGCAGGAAGAAGCCCCTCAATAGCTTCCTTTAGGTCTTTCCTCCGGACCAGGAACCCATCTTTTTGCCATTTGTCTGTTTCCCATTGGAGATTATCCTTGATTCCCGGTGTAATGTATGCGATCACTCTGAGAGACAATCGTGTCATGGACGCGACTTTTGGCAGAAGACTGGAGTGGGCGAAGCGATAAATTCCCAATGCATCTTCAGGTCGCGCTGGACGATAATGTATGCGGAATCAATCGTGCTGTTCATCCGACGCTCGGATGTTCTCGATGTCATTCTTGTACAGTTAGAGATATGCAAGCTTTGCTTTCCTGTTGTACTGTTTTCCTTCTGCAGATTTGACCAGAGTTGTATGAAATTCACCTGGCGATATGCGGCGTCCGAGAAGCAATCCAATCCTTAAGGGCATCTGCCTTTTCTAGCAATGGATGCGCAGAATGCTCACTAGCCTGACTAAGAGATGTTTTGACCGACTAATGTACCGTCCGGTCTCCAATAAGTTGGCTCGTTTTGATCAGTAATGTAAATTATATAGCTGTCTGCTTCGGACCAAAAGGTAGGCAATTTTTGGCCTTTCAAAACGTCATCCAATCTAATTAGACAGCCAACTGTCAGCTATGGTACATTCTGCCGAGTATGAAAGGTCATACATATACCATGTGACAAGTAAACCCTGCAGAGCTTGGATCTCTGGCAGTATAGACCGGAGTATATCACGTATTAGTTGGATAGATTCAAGGCTTTCAAAGAAAGGGAAGTTAGGGGGATCATGGGCCTTCATATAGGCCTCATGACCAGGGGATTGGGCGCTTTTGTTCGATTCAACAAAGGCACCTTGGTCTATTCACTAGATATTGCCATACGCCTGCGAATGTAGTGGTCATATTCGATATAATATAGACAGATACGATATGCTACTCAATAAAGCATGCCTAGGCAAAGCCGTGTATCTATGCCAAGTGCTGCTAGGGAATCTAATAAAAGATTGTATAGCTAGCCTACAAAAAGTTGCCGGGCTTTTAGATGAGAATGGTGTATACTATTAAGGTGGCTCTTGTCTGTGTATACAATCTATGACTCGTATAAGATTATAGCAGCGGTTGACCGCTAGCCCGGTTAGCTCAGTTGGCTAGAGCGTGAGACTTTTATCAAATATCTTGGTATCTCAATGTCGGGGGTTCGAGCCCCCCATCGGGCGCTTTTTTATGCTGTTTATTTTCTATCATCTTTCTTTTTTCTCCCCCTTTTGCTTTCTTTTTACCCTCTCCCAAAATTAGTTTCGGTCGGTTTTGTTCTCCCAGACTATATGGAGGAAGAGGTGTTTGATTGAGTATATAACCTATTTAACTAACACTGGCTAACAAATGCAGGAATAGTGGTTTCATTCTAGGTGCATCGCCCAGAATACGCTCAAGGAACGAAAAGCGAGAATGGCAAGCTACCGCTGTTCGGCTTTTACGAGGTCCTACCTACAAAAACGCTCCATCTGGAGCACTGTCGTCGGACATCTCCGTGCCCATTTGTTGACGCCGGCTGCTGAGAAACATTTCCACCATGCGTTTGCTTGATATGGGCGTGTAGCTGTCCTGGGATAAAATATATGGCTCCTTGCTGTTGCCATGTCCGTTATTAGTCCTTAAGTTTTCATTGGTAAGCCTGATGCTATCACGATGACGACCGGATCGAATCGGGGCGACTCTTATATCCTGGGCTGGGGACCATTTGGCGGAGGATCTACCACACTTTCCACTCAGGGTCAATCTTTGGGACATCTCCCTGGCTCCTCTCTTGGGCGTGGGGGAATCAGGCATCCAGGGTCTGTTTATCGGCCTGTACTGCATGGGCGACAATGTATTCTGGTCAACCCGAACGCGGGTCCGATCAACAGAGGAAGACTGGTCGCCAGTGTTTGGAGAGACCGATATAGGAATCGAAAATGAGGCAGCAGCGCTAGAGGGATGCTCTTTCGAGACCGTCACTAACGTGCGTATACTCGGAGATCGACTGAATGGTCTAGAGAAATTGCTTTCCGTTCCAATCTTGCAAGTTAATTCTCCACTTGAAAATAGGCCATCGTGGCCTGCATTGTCCATCTCGCTCGCCAAGGTGCCACTGTCGGCCTGTTTTTCTCGTGATAGAAACCTCCTCGGCCTGGGAACATTGGCCGCATGGTCGTATATCTGTGCATGTTCTCGATAATGCTCTCTTGTCGGTGTGAGATTTTCGATTCTCGCCATCTGTGACTGCATCCATTGCTGCCAATCGGCACTTGCTCGTGCTTGGATCTCAGAAGGTGGGAGACGAACATTCCGCTTAGGGGAGCTATATGCCGACCGTTGGCTTTCATAGATTGTAGCTACTCCTGGTTCATCTCTCGGCTCGGGTGACCTCACTTCACTTTTACGATTTTGAGTGGCCGGAGAATTACCACTAGTTGTCCGCGAGTAAATGCTAGGGGAGCTAGAAGTGTCCACCCCCTGACGTTCGGTACCAAATATGTCTCGAGAATCATCTTCAGGGGCATTTTGAATACTGAGCACCGCTGGGCGCTTTTGAGGGGTTAGCATCCCACCAGGGGCTGTTGCATATGACCCTGGAGATGTGATCGAACCATTACTGGGAACCCGACGAATAGTTTGCCTACTGCTGTGAGGGTGCAGGGATGATGCCCGCATTGGGACAGCACGATGCTCTCGGACCTGTCCAAGAACTATCTCTTCGGTATCCTGTGTACGACTCTGCCCTATTCGCCTCATTAGTGCGGCATACAGACGTTGGCCATCAATGGAACGCTCCGGTACGTCTGGTTCTGAAATGGATGAACATTCTTCCCGAGGGGAATTGCTCGGAGTGAGCAACGAAAGATTCGGTCTCAAGTCTCGCTCGTCAATGATATCTAAGTGGCTTTGGTCGCCTGCCTTGCGCATAACAATCGTATTTGCTACCGTGGAATCGGCCCAACTCGTAACACGCGAACGGCTGGTTGCAAGACTCTCAGAACTAGGAGTATTTCGGAGTGTCTGAGGATGACTGGAGTCAGCGAGCCTTTCAGGGCAAACCGCATTGTGATCATTTCCAGCTGAGCAGTCCCCATCTTTGTTGGATATTGTCGGGAGGGTCGGGCACTGCTTCTGGTCCACTGGGGATGTCTGTATATGGCTATTCTCCGCAACAGATTTCGATAGTCCGAAAACCCTCTTGATACCTCTTTTGATGGACGACGAGAGGGAACGCGTTCTACCCTGGGCCATGAGATTCCTATACGAATCCACTGAGGATGGCGTACTCGCTACATCCATGCCAGAAGCGCTACTGCTTCGAAAGGTCTTCCTGAAAGGCTTATGCTCTCGCCTGGGTCTGGGGATAGAGAATTCTCTGCGCTGGTCAGTGTCATCTGCAGAGCTTTGCAGGAACTGGCTACGAGCTAGCTGGATTGCTGCATCATGGCTCTCCATATGTTGAACTGTACTGCCACATTGGTGGTTCCCCCTGAGGAAGGAAATTGAGCGTTTCAGGGCCCCGCCTGAGCGTGACATCTCGGGCACTTGTGCTTTGTCACTAGTCGCATAGCCATGCAATCGAGAAGGTACTCCGTAAGAGATGCGAGAATAACGCTGTCCTGTAGCAAACATCGATCGTGACTTGCGCAGCCGGCGGTATGACGACGGCAGAGAAGATCTACGGCCATCTAGACCCCCGAACTCACTAATTGGCGGCAGCGCTGCAGCAGAGAGCTGATCATTATTGTTATTTTCCGAGACCCTCGCCGTTGACAGCTGGGACCGCGATACGGTAACAATCGACCCGGTTTTTGAACTTTCCGTATCGCCGCTTGGCCTATGTCTCTGCGGTACTGCCATGCTACCGGGACCACCGAGGCGATCATACGAACGTTGGGAATCAGTGGAAGATCGCTCAGTAGAGCGTTGCATAGCCAGGGACGCCGCTACGGTTGCATGTTGCTTGGCAATCTCCGGGTCAAATGGCTCTCCAGAGAAGGATGTCTGGTGGCTTCTTCGGATAGAGCGACTTGATTTGGTTCTCCTCAGCCGATCAGTTGCGCTGAGTGACATTGCGGGAAACATAGCAGTGCAATCACGAAAGTACGGATATGAAGTGGTGAAAGAGGTGCTTTTAGAATAGTTATTGCGCGAATGGATAAGGTGCGACTGGAAGAACGCACATGATTGATGGAAGTCTCCCATCCCGAGGGATCCATGGCTGCCAGCATGACACAAGGAAAGTGCGATAAAGCCGTCTTCCAGAGGTACTGCGATGTAACGCCGTTTCCTAGTTTGACATTCAAGTAGAACCTCCAACGGGTAAAGAATAAGTGGGTTAAGTAGAGCTCAATCCATCCATGATCCAGGTTGAGATTGCCTATTTTGGGTCCCTTGACTAATCCTCCATTGATTCACTCTGTTTCCTGTCAATTAGTAAAGTAGCTCGGCCAAGACCTGTGGCTGTGAGTCATGCCTTCAAAGACCATGCCATGTCACCCTGACACATCTAAATACGAAGTGTCAGTAGTACAGATTGGAGCCAATCAGCAGCAAAACAAAACAAAACAATGGAATGAAATAAATATAAAAGAGCTTTTGACATTCCTGACACAGTAGAACTTTTCCTTATTCCACATTCGACGTCGTACAGCAGGGAACCAGCTAGTACTGAGGTCATATTATGATGGCTCAAGATCATATCAGGGCACCGGTCATTCATCTAGATGGAAGAACGCTCGAAGGAGGGGGCCAACTTGTGCGGATTGCCATCGCGCTCTCAGCTTTAACAAGCCAGCCTATCACGATTGACAATATCCGATGCAACCGACCAGGGAAGAAAGGGCTCAAGGGCTCACATCTCGCCGCGATCCGATATCTCGCACAGGTGAGCGGAAGTTCTACTGCCGGTGCAGAAATAGGATCGACATCGTTGAGCTTCTATCCACGAGCCGCGCAGACGCCAAGGAATCAAGACCATGAGCGGGGGAAAGCGATCCAATCACATATCAATGTCGTGCTTACAACAGCAGGTTCGGTGTTTCTAGTGTTCCAAGCACTGTATCCTTATATTCTGCACGCAGGAGCCATTTCTTCCGTTTCCGAGCGCCGGATTACTCTATCTATTGTCGGTGGGACCAACGTGTCGTTCTCGCCGTCATACGATTACGTAGCACAGGTCCTAGTGCCTAATTTCGCCCGAGTCGGATTGCCTCGTCTCTCTGTACGGCTAATCAAACGAGGATGGGGGACAGGGCCTTTCAGTTTGGGCAAAGTGAATTTTGTTGTGGATCCGCTCGCGTTGTGCAAAGATGAAAATAGAGTCGGGTCGAGTCCTCAATTCCCGCCCATGAACATTGGTCAATATCAGCGTGGGACAATCAGCCAGGTTGAAATTACCGTTTTAGCGCCCGACGATCCATTTTCCAAGAGCCCGGGGAGACATGTCCCGGGAAAAGGGAGGAGACACAGATTTGGTGGGACGCAGTCTCGGGGCCATATGCCCAGGAGCGGGCAAAACAACGATGATTCAGTAGACCAAACTGGAACGATCCGACAATTTGTTGAGAATGAAACCATTCGCAGCCTCCGCAAGGGGCTGAAAAATTTACCCTCGTGGATTTTCACCACCGGAGAATCGTCTTCCAATGCGGCTTTCTGTCCTTCTCGTACAAAGAGCGACGGCAACGGAGTTCCTGTCCACATTAACATGACCGAGGTCACGCACCATTACTCGCACGTATACATACTGATCGTCGCACATACATCGACAGGGTTCAGGGTGGGACACGATGCACTCTTTGGGGTCGACAAGGGCGACTCTCATGCGCGGCAAGCGCGGCATAGAAAACGGGGCGGTCCGGAGGCGATGGTGGCTGTAAGAGATTTAGTGGAGCGATGTGTAGAGGGGTTCCTTGAGGAATTGTATGATGCTCGCCTGCAGCAAGATGCCGACAATGGAGGGAAACGCCCGCCCTGTGTCGATAGATTGCTAAGAGATCAGTTGGCGATTTTCGAGGCGCTGGGGCGATCGACAACCGAATTGAGGGAAGACGGAAGGGAAGATGAGCGATATTGGAGTCTTCACATGCAAACGGCGCGTTGGGTCTGCGAAGAAATGCTGAGTCACCGGACACCTGATTTACATACATTAAAGCCCTAGTGTTGATTATACAGGTTGAAGCACAAGAGTCAGACTAGAACAACAGATAAGTAATCAGACAGAAAATAGTAAAAGTATGATTGTCAATAAATCGTACAGTCGAGAGGGTATGAGAATCGACCAATATTAAAACAATGCGTACACATCACAAGACAAAGGGAATCGCAATATCTGAATAGAGAATAATGCAGATATTAAAGGATTGAAGAAAAGAAGAAAAAAATATCCACCTGCGCCACCACCCGCCAGCCAGCAGCAGATTCATGGCTGTGCGCGCTCTATTCCCATGGGGTATGTCTTCTATGGATACTTCCAAATCGCCATTCCCAGCAGCTGATTAGGGAAATCACCGACGCCGTACCCGTCGCATACACACACAAAAGAAAGAGAAAAAAGGTAGAAGAGAAGAAAATTGTTGTGGTGCTGGACCGCCGGTCCAGGTAAAATCGAGAAAGCCGCCCTTGTATATGGTATAAAAATCCGATGATCGATCAACTCCCAACAATGCATCAAGTCCGAGCATAATTGAATAGGGTAAGAAAATAGAGGCGCCGTGATTAAGACGGATGTAAAAGGTCTCTGGGACTCAATCCCAACCTGCAGGTCTCTGGAAATCCGGTCGAAGTCCTGGAGGTCTTTCGCATCGTGTCAGCTCAAAAGCGATGTCACAGAACTACAGCAGCTCGCGAACGGACGCCCTATAGGGCGAGTCGTTCAAGATTTCCGAGGGCAGCGCCCTTCGGTAATCTCGTGGCTGAGCAAAGGGGGATGCAGATGATGGTCGACGGAGTTTCAGTTGCTGGATAGAACCAGGAGTTAGCGTCATTTCGGAGAATTGCAGGGAATTGATCAATCTCAGGTACTGATCGGGAAATCTAAAATAGAAGTTCTGGAAGCGAATGACATACCACACAATCGGCGCATTTTCCTCCTTGGATATTAACGCGGCCACGGCAACCGCGAGGATAATTGGCGCATGAATACATGGTGATAAATGGGAATTGGTTGTAGAGCGAGTTAAATGCCCAAGGTGAAGAAAAGTTGCTGATAGCTAGCTGATAGCCACAAATTCAGTGCGTTGGTGAAGAATAAATTCCCTATCCCGTCAAGGGAGCTTTTCTAGGGCTGTTAAGTTTTTTTTTTCTTCCTTTTCTTTTCGTTTCTTTTTCTTTTTTCCTTTTTCTCTTTTTCCTTCTGAGAGTCCCAAAAAAGAAAACCGTCAAGGGATCCAGAAAAAAAAATTTTTTAAATAAAAAAAAAAATTAGGCTGCCGCCAGCGCGAAGAGAGATAAAAAAAGACAATAAAATCGAACTAGCCCGAATTCCAAAGCCACACGGCTATTACGTCAAGATCTTGAAACCGTTGTCTTGCAGCAAGACAAGCAGGGAAAAAGGATCGCGAACTAAGACACCGCTAGGGTCCGGTTGGGTGCCTTAGCGTTGAATGTTGGGCTGCGCCACCAAAGCCGTCTGTCTCAAAGAGGGGAATTTCGAGGGAAAACGGATAATGATGGTCACGGTGAAGAAGTGAATTTCTATCAAGACGAAAGGAGGGAGGTTAGAATAGAATTCGGACGATCAACGATCACGAAAGAGATAATGCAGTAAGTGACAAGGTCACCGAGGTAAATCGAAGCAATCAATCAATACCCAGGGGGTAGGTTGGGATTCGAGAATTCCCGTGGAATTTATAGGCGATGAAGATCCGAGCGAAATGCCTCTCGGGTCGAAGATCAGGAGAAGAGGGCCGTACCATAAATAAGAAGAAAAATAAAACAATCAACCTATGAAAAAAACCACAAGCTTCACTAGATAGGCTGGAATATTAATTTTGGGTTCCATCATCCATGCCATTCAGACGAAGCACGAGATTGGGGGGTCCAGATGGAGCCATCGTATATTATTCTGATGCAGTCATCGAAGGTAAAAAAAGTATTTATTTCCGTATTTCCTGGCAGTGGGTTAATTAACACCATTTATTATAATTATTACTGGTATTATAATTTTGCGTAATAATGACCAGAACCAGTGAAAACTCACAGGTGAAAGTATCATAGAATTGAAACCACAGGACAGCCAATCAGGTCTGGATGGATCCTGGGCATCACCGACAGCTGACTGACTTCCTTGGCGGGTAAACTTATGTTTCCCACGACGGTTATTGGCCTTAAGAACGGTGACTGGCGTACTAACGGTGGATTCCGCGTTTCCCGGCTGGCTGCTTCGAGGCTAAACACTGAAGGCGAGAAGAAGAGGAAAAATTGAACCATGAATAAAATAAATTGAGGCTTGTGCCATTCGTTCCGCTTCAGTGCGAGCCGAGGGAAAGAGAGGCCTCCGTAGTCTCCGGGCTTATAATTGGTCATTAAGCAAGGGAGACAAAGAAAACAAAAAAAAAAAAAAAAAAAGGAAAAAGAAAAAGGAGGCTAATTATTTCCGTCTTGTGAAGTCCATCAGTTCCCCGAACAAATCTCTCCATGTAACATCTTGATCTCTCGACATGACTCGCATTGTTGGCGAGCACAGGGCGATATTGACTTGATTGCAGGGGTTCGTGGGCCCGTGTCAGAAGAGATCATTTTCGATTCTCGCACTCAAACAGAATAGTCGCAACAGTAAGAGTACGAATTTTGCTGCATTATTGGGCGCCGGCTGTGGGTATAAACGACACGACTCACTCAAAACGTGGCCGATTGATCCGCTGACACCAGTAGCCGAAGTTGTGGAAGTTTCGAATTAATGGAGCGGTGCCATCAGAATCTGGATCTTGGGCCGAACCGTCGCACCAAGAAAGTTTCCATTCTTTCTGGAACGTTGATGGAGATGGACTAAAATTTTTCTTTTCATTTTCCCTTCCACCCCCCTTCCTTCAACAGTTTCCTTGTCTCCGTCACCCTTTATACTTGCGTCTCTTGATCGGACATCTCTTGGCGAAACTTGCGGGAATTGGGAATACCAGCCAATCGAAAGGGGAAATAAAGAAGAAGAACCCGTACGCGTACTCTTTGTTCTGGCCCAAAGACAAAGTGAGAGAGAGTCAAAGGCACTGCGCGAGGTGTAAGAAATCAATATTGGAGATCTGAATTGGCTCTTCTGTCCCCTGTGTCAGCTGTAGACCATCTTATTTGGATCTATTATTCCCCTTTGACGCTTCCTTCCAAACGTAATTTGTCAATAACCATAGCAATGGGTGCAACCATGCTTACAATCTAATAAGCTGAATGGTCCCCATATCCATCTCACTAGATAGGCGAGGCGGTCCTTCAATCCAGCCACCGACGACTTCGCCTTGCCAACGATCAACATAGCCCACCGGCCGAATTGGAATCTGTCTCTTTGAACAAGGATCAGGCTTCGCGTCAGACGGATTGGTGGTAAGTGTCCGTCGGGAAGTAGTAAATAAAAACGCCCGAGACGATCGTAGACGGATGCATTTCCGCTTGATTTCTGGCGGGATAGGATCGGGATATTCTGTCGTCATCGTGCATTATTGCCAGATTCCCTTGTTAAAGGAGTGGCATTGCCTGGAGGAGAGAACGGTCACCCTTCATCCCACTCAGACTTACTAGTGAGGGGTTTGAAGGAACGTTGGTGAACAACAAGCTAGTCACTTGACCGGATCATGTGCCACCCCTATAGTTGCGCTTCCTACCTTGTGTATTTATTATATTGCCATTCTGTAGGTCTGATGGTAAGATTGGGATAATATTATTACAAACGGCCAATTCTAGACCGCCAGTCTTGCTTCTACTTCAACAAACAAACAGTAAAAATCAAAATAAAAGAAAAAGAAGAAGGAAAGTCCCTAAGGTCACCAGATTTGCCTCCCTATAGTAGCATTCGGTAACATCGGTTAGATTCCCAATCATGGTATAAGGTAAACCATTCTATAGTATAGTGTCTGAGATTTACGGTCGTATGTTATCCTTTGACAGGACTTCCCACATAGGCCTAAATCTAAACAAAGATCCAATGGCTTTTGAGGGAATGATTCATCTTAATCCCAGTCGAAGGAGTTTCACTAACTAGAAAAGCGGAGCCTCTAGTGGGAGTGGGAACAAGGGACTGACTGGAAAGAGAAAAAATAAATAAACAAAAAACAAAAAAATAAAACTAAATAAAAAATAAAAAATTCAAAATTAGGAAATAAAAAATAAAAAATAAAAAAATATGAAAATGAAAATGAAAATGAACATACCAATACTAAAACAAAAAAAAAATTAAAAAAAAAATTAAAAATAAAAATAAAAATAAAGAAGCTTGAGTGTCAATTAAGATAGAGTTTTGTTTTTCCAAAATAATGTTCTTCCTTTTCTCACCTTTTCCCCTTTTTGGGGTCAACTGTGAACAGGGCTGTTGGAAATAATCACACTACACCGCCCTCATCCTAAACCAAGGTATCAAGATAACATACATAACAATGCCCACTCGGAGTTCCCACCATTCCGATTGGAATCATGAACAGGTCAACGCCCCGATAAATATAAATATCACGGAGCCCAGTTCTGTAACAGCCCTGCGCATGTGGTGCTTATAATAGATACAAAGTAGGGTCGATCTACTGGTCTGACAAATTGAAAGAGGGAAAGGGGGCGTGAGAGCTGAAGCACCTCGCCTAGTGGGCGTGGAACGGACCAACACTGCAAGTTCATTCCAATGCAAGTGCTTATATCTAAGTTCTGCTGAAACGGACCATGGTCCTGGCTGGTCCGGTGGGGATTCCACTTTCGTAGTTGAGCCGCTGCATCTCGATCGACAATCTTCCTTCTAGTAACCTTTGGCATCGTTTCCAGACCGGTCTAGATCGGCTTGGGGCTTGCTTGACCCATCCAGCCCCGGCGGTTGATGCAGAATGCTTGCCTTGCACTGAATGCACACATGTTGCACCGCCGCTTGGACTCGGTGACAGTCACTTACACGGCCGCTTTCTCTCGGGGCGAGTATCAAATGTCGTGCAGACTGCAAGTTTGTTGATTCAAACCCAGCAGGGCACGGTAGATGGCAGCTCCGGTGTTTGAGGTGTGAAACAGGTTGCCCCATTATTCATAGTTCATGGCTCTTCGTGGGCAAGAGATCAAGAATGATCGACATGGGGCAGGGCAGAGCGTTTCGGGCCAAGATCTTAATGCAACTGTCACTACGCTCCCAAATCTTAGGCACCAAACAGCGATCGAAGCACAAGCCAGGCCCCTAATAATCCAACTACCGAGGCTGCCAACAGACCGTTACCCTCCCAAGTCCATCCCAAATATGCCAGACAACCCACTACGAGCTCCTTTCTCCGCGCAGCATCTCGTTTACTCTCCCATCTTGGGTCGATCCGGAACGGGATTGCTGCCTGAGCTGCATCTGCTGGTCGCCTGGGCGGCACGGAAACGGAAACTGACAGTGCGACAGCTCGATGATCTGACGTCGGAAACAGCGGCAGTGCGTTATAGTTTAGGGGCCTAACCCGTGCTTCCTCGCCCAAACCAGGCAACCTTTCCAGGTATAATACCCGATCAGTCCAGCTAGGCCAGCGTGTACTGGTCCACAGCCACTCCTTTGAGCCGTCTTCACATGCTGCGGCCTGGCGCGCAGCATCCGTGTACTTGTACGTCGGGGGGAATGTGATCGGGGCTTCCGACAGGCCATGGAAGCTTCGAGATTGTCGCATCTCTCGGGTAAGCTGATCATCTTTCAACAGATGGGAGAAATGACGTGGATCAGCTGGATCCACCTCCGCTTGTGGAAACCGGGTACAATCCTCTTTCCGTGGCGAAGCATTAGAAGTGCGGTAATTCAAGTCGCCTGCCAGAAAGAGATAACTTGTAGGAATAAAGATACCGCGACAATCATCGCCGGAACCCCGTGTAGAACCGTGTAGCAAGGCGGTACTCTCGGAGTCATCCCCTGTTTCAATGTTCTCCCTGTTTCTTGATGTCACACGATCAAACACTAATCGCTCTACCATGCTACGCCAATCTTCATTCCTTTGCTGTACAGCATACTCCATGGGCGCAAGGTGGGCAGCGATGAAGGTTAGATCCACTGTGTCGTCAGGCGTCTCCCGTGTCGCATAGGCCAGTCGTGCCCCAACCGCGCCCTTGTTTCCCATTTGCTGGAAGCCAAATCCGACTCGAGCAGTATGAATTGAAGATATACGTTCCGTCACATCCGATCGTGCATACACCATGAGTCCCGTCATGCCACTATTATCTGTAACCAGGTTGACGTAATGGGTCTCCCAGCGCTGAGACACGGCGCGCTCTACCACCTGAGCCAGAGAAGCGAAATACGGGGCCAAAAATGAGCCACCGAGGAATGCATATGCGATAGGTGCGATTTCTTGCAGAGATAGGACGATGAGGTCCGGTGGTGCAGGGGCGCTTGAACTGTCGGTGAGGGGCAGCGCATCGAAGAAATGGTGAGCGAAACGGCTAACGTCAACGGGGTTCCGAGCGCAATTGAAAGTGAGGATGTATATGTTTAGGCTCTCCATTATGGGTGCGAATTCAGATATAGTGGAGGAAGAAAAATATTTGAATGGATATAGGGATCAATGGAGGTAGGAATAAGAGGTTGGGTTCTGGCTGGCGATCGTGGTAGTCATTTCCACAGACATGTGACGATCAGTGGATCCTTATCGATAACAATGTATATACTCCGTAGACTCAAATTTGTTTTCAACACACGCTCGCCAGAAAAATATGTCACTACATAGTTCTGTGAAACGCATTTACAGTTTACCCCGGAGTTCCTCCTCTAGCTCTACCAGCAGCATTCCCTCTGCCACGTCCTCTTCCTCTTCCTCCATTATGTACGCCCATTGTACTTGACCGGCTCGCGGGCTTCGTACCTCAAGTTCCATCTTCATCTGCTTAACAAATGCCACTACCTGATTTTCCGCCACCTGATCCCCAACTGTTACCAAAACCTCGATCAGCTTCCCCGATAGAGGAAGCACGATGTGACGTGCGTTACGAACATCTCCACGGCGGTGAGAAGATGAAACTATAGCAGATGCAGTGCTAGACGTGCTTGCTAGATGTAACCGATAGGCTGTGGCAGAAGAAGATGTGGTATATTTAATCTCTGCGGCCATGGAAGAAGGGAAATCATTCTGTAAAACTCGAGTAAGTTGTAAATGGTGCTGCTGCTGCTGCTGTTCCAAGGTCCCCAAGGGCTCCAGGGGCTCCAGGGGCTCCAGGGTGATTGACCAGGCGTCCCCAGGACGAAACAGGAGATTCGATGATGAAACACCAGGCATTCCGAAAGAATAAAACAGCTGCGTAGGCTCTTCACGGCGGACAGATTGGGCGATCGCCTCTCCTGCTTGAATCACCCGCCCAAGGTGCCTTTCCAGCCATTGTGTATCGATCTCTCCAGTCAAAATATTATCCTGAGAAATGATCCCGCGCAAGAGATTCAAGTTTGACTGCACACCAGATATTTGTATATCCGCTAATACTCGCCGAGCTTTCGAGACGGCTGCCTCCCAACTAGACGCAGTGACAATAATCTTTGCTAACAAGTTATCAAAATTCGCTCCCACGATAACAGGATTGGACCCAGTCATATCAACATGGGTGTCAACCCGGATACCATGGCCATTGGGCACGATGAACTTGGTGATCTTCCCTATACTCAAAGAAAAATCTTTACCTGGATCCTCGGCGCAGAGCCGCAGTTGCATAGAGTGGCCGCGTGTCTGGACTGGACGGCTGTTCAACAATCCAACTTGAGCTAGGGAAAACCCCATGGCAAGTTGTAGTTGTGTCTGCACCAAGTCCACGCCGGTGATGTTCTCAGTAATGGTGTGCTCTACCTGCAGGCGAGGGTTGATCTCGAGGAAGTAAAACTCGCTTTTCTGTTCATGGACTAGAAATTCGACTGTTCCCAGAGACCGGTACCTGATTGCCTTTGCCATGCGAATGGCAGCGTTCACTGCTTGCTTCACCACAGTGCGGTCTTTCATAAGAGATGGAGCAAATTCAACGACCTTCTGGAAACGACGCTGCAAGCTACAATCACGCTCCCATAGATGGCACACGTCAGAACCATCGCCCACGATTTGAACCTCAAGGTGGTGAAACCCATTCACAGCGGCTTGTTCCACGAACACTGTTTGTGATGGCGACTCGCTCATTGCTCCTCGTACGGCACTCTCCAGCTTATCTTCCTGTCGCACCAAGCGGATACCTCGCCCTCCTCCCCCATCAACCGCCTTGATCATGACAGGGTAACCAACCTGCTGCGCAAATGCCTGTATCTCTTCCAGATCAGCCGTAGGGCTGGGCATAGCTGGTAGTATGGGGACGCTACATTGCGTTGCTAGCTGCTTCGCTTTGAGTTTATCGCTTGTATGGGCTAGAATCTCCGATCCAGGACCGACGACAGTAACCCCAGCATTATGCATATGACTGGCAAATTCTGCACTCTCACTCAGAAAGCCATATCCGGGATGCACAGTGTCAATGTTATATTCACGGCTCAGATTAATGAGCAGTGAGATGTCCAAGTAGGCCTCCGCGGACGGCACTTGCACGGCATGATGGGGACGACCAATATCGCAGTGAGAACGGTCATCCTCTGTATAGAGAGCAAATGTTTCAATTGATGGTGAAAGCTCACGTGCAGCCTGAAGGATGCGAACAGCAATTTCGCCTCTATTTCGTTAGACAATATCCCCGCATATCAGTATGAGGTTTTTGAAGTACCTGTTCGCGACCAGAAGCCGACGGATTGACTGAGAAGACATTATTTCTATTCAAGTTGCATAGAGTGGATTCCATGGCTGTCAAAGCCAAATACAGGGCTATTAACTGTTGCTTGTTGGGTTTTGTAGGGTTCATCCCTCGGACCTCGGAGCTTACCGTCACTCACTCACTACCCCTCATGAGGGGGGTTTTGGGGTATAGGTAAGTTGAAAGAGCATCGCAACTCTGCCAAATAACAATAAGTTAACTTGAAAATATCAACAATGTCAGAAGACAAAAGCTCGTCAGCTAACAAACGACTAAACCAAGTCTCGGCTCATCTTTCATCCCAAAAACTTCCTCCCGACTATGCGGATGTGCTCTCTCAAATCAATACTCTCCGCACAATCGCCGCTACACCTGACATTAATCGACGTGGTTATATTCGTCAAAAGCAAGCAGGAAAGCTCTGGGTCCGCGAACGCCTCGAGGAGCTCCTCGATCATTCTAGTTTTCAAGAGATTGGCTCCTTGTCTGGCACAGTGATATGGGAAAAGACTGGCCCTATTCGGGAGAAGCCCGTTTCGTTTGTGCCCAGTAATAATGTCCAGGGAATTGGAAAGTTGCGTGGTCGGCGGATACTGCTTACTGCAGATGATTTCTCTCTTCGAAGCGGGCACGCAGACGGCTCCACAGTTGGCAAGACGGTATACTTGGAGAAACTAGCTTTAGCGCTCAAGTTACCCGTTGTGAAGCTCGTTGATGGCAGTTCGGGTGGCGGCAGTGTCACTACCATTCGCAAGGAGGGTTGGAGCTACCTGCCGTATTTATCCATGTACAGACATGTGGTGGATCAGCTGAATCAAGGCATCCCGAACCTAGGGGCGGTAGTTGGACCAGCTGTATGTATTCCAGGCTACCCGTTCTTTTTTCCCTAACCTCACGTAGTGGATGCAGCTCACCCCAGTAATAGATTGGCCTTGGCGCAGCCCGTGTTGTCTCTTGCCACTTTTCTGTCATGGCTGCAGACGTAGGCTCGCTCTTTAATGCGGGCCCAGAGGTGGTTAAAGGGGCAACCTTCGAAGACGGACTGGACTTCCAGTCATTGGGTGGGCCCCTGATCCACTGCACAAACGGGACAATAGATAACCTCGCTGCCAACGAAGCTGAATGCTATGAGCAGATTCGTACTATTCTAGCGTTTCTGCCTAATTCTGGTCGAGACGCACCACCTGTGATCACCAACGATGATCCAGAAGATCGCGAAGATGAAGCACTGCGTCGAGTTATTCCTCGCCGGCAAGCAAGGATGTATAACCCACGGACGATCATTACCAGCGTGGTTGATCAGAACTCGTGGTTTGAGATTGGCGCACTCTGGGGGCGTACTGCTATCGGTGGTCTGGCAAGACTAGGTGGGCGACCGATTGGAGTGATCTCATTAAATTGTGAGGTGAATGGTGGTGCATTGGATGCAGCTGGAAGCCAGAAGTTGACAAGGCTGTTGAAGCTTTGTGATGTGATGAACTTGCCTGTGTTGCAGTTTATTGACGTTCGTAAGTTCTCTCATCCAATACGTGTTATAAGCTATAAACCATGTGTGTGTCCGTTAACACATCATAGCTGGCTATGCCATCGGCACCGCGGCTGAACGCACTGCAACAATGCGATGGGGTGTTGAGCTAGCGAAAACTTACTACTCAACTACAATGCCTCTATTCAATATAATCACTCGACGAGTATACGGTGTGGCTGGCGGGATTATGCTAGGTGCCCGCGACCCGGTTATGCAAGTAGCCTGGCCATCGGGGCAATGGGGATCTTTGCCACTAGAGGGGGGCATCGAAGTCGGACATCGACATGAGCTGCGCGAGGCCGAGAAGGCAGGCCATAAGGCTGAGTTGTACAAAGAACTAGAGGAAGAATACCTGCGGTTGATGAACCCGGTGCGTACAGCAAACGCGTTCGGCATAGAAGAGATTATCGACCCGAAGGACACGAGAAAGGTGTGTTGCGCATGGGTACGGCATGTATACCATGTTACTATACCGGAGAGGTTAGCAGACCGGGCTGCCGGGAGAATTCAGCCGGTGTTCGCTTAGCCTTGAGCCAGTGGTTAATTGCGCAGCATGCCGGAAGCTTTTTTGATTGGCAATGCTGGGTCAACATGGTGATGATAACCCACTTCTCCTGGAGATGACGCCTAGGTGTCGTTGAACCGCTATCGTAGCTACATATGCATGGACAACGCATAGACCTGAAGCATATATATACCATTGATCATTGAACCAAGGGCGAATATAATGTAGTGTGTGGTCTGGAGAGGCAGCTTAGCCTTCATGAGCTAAGCAACAAAAGAGCATGGATCAATACCTTAAGTCAATAATATATCAGTAACTGACTAGTCTAAATTCTAGCAGTCACAAGAAAATGCAATAGACGTATACAGAGTATCTTTTCTCCACTTAATATAAAAAGTCTAAGGGGGGAAGGGTTTAGGGACCGGATATTCGGAAATTACAACTTCGCAGCTCTCGTTAAGTGTAGAGATAAAGACTCCAGGGACCCAGCCATGGATGAAAGATAGATCGCGAGCCTCTTTGTTATTTTGATTTTCTTTCCGCGTCTCTCAACTGAACAGTCTACCCTGATAAGGGCCAAAGGAAAAAAAAAATATACAAAAAAAGGGCGGAGGGAAGAGATAAGTTCCAGAGAGAACTCACAAAATAACAAAATAATATGGTCCCGGAGAGGCTCGAACTCTCGACTTCTGAGTTATTAGCTCAGCACTCTAACCGACTGAGTTACGGGACCCGTCTTTGTTGAAGGTACAAGAATAATTAACATTATAAAGTAATAGGCCAATAGAATGAGATTCACCAAACCATTGACATCTCAGGAAATAGGCAATTATCCTCCAGCTCATCCTCTAAAGCCACTCAATTTCATGGCATTACGCTCTTTCTCTCCTCCAATGAAAACTCTTAGAGCTTCACCATCTCTAATGGTACATCGGCCAAGTCCAACGCATTTGTTGGGCTTATATTAGAACTTGAGCCGTCCTCCACTGTCAAGCATATTAACTGGGTCTGGCCTGCTTGCTTAGTAGGTGAGGTGCCGGCGGCTCCGGCCCCGCAAGGGGGGCGTACAATATCTCTATCCACCAGACTTTTAAATGGAATGAAACGGACTACTATACAATCTTTGACCTGCCGATTGATGTCTCGAATAGTGTCAGCAAGTCGGATGATAGAGTCTATTGTGCGTTGTTGGAAAACGATTTGCTCAAGCCCACTGAAATTGCTGCGAGCAATGATACTTTGCCTGGACAGCCATGGGTGGGTACTGCAGTCAGCAATGGTGGCGGTAATGAGAGTAGCAAGGACAGTAATGGGGAGGCAAATAGTGGGAGTCATGCTTGATTCCCTATGAAGCAGTGGGGGCATGTTGCTCGGTTAAGGCAGTGCATAGACCCATTGGGTTACAATACCGAATCTCATCATATTGCTACCTTGTGTATATAGTTATAATCAATATCATTTTTAGGCTCAGAAAATCACAGACTGCAATCGGTGCCGGGTTGACTGTTGCTCGTGACCGATGTTCGCCAACATGCCTCAGGCTGCTATCATAGACTAAACTAATGCAACTTTCAAAGCAAGGCTATCGTTTCTTGAAAACCTTCAGAATGTATCTTCAAAATTACTCATCGCAGGCATTACATCAATAAAGTTCCTTGTTTATATATTTGCATCCTGCCCCGGTGTCTTAGAAGCCAGCACAATATATATTTGAGCATAAAAATTGCTCATCCTTAATTGCAGCACTGGTATCAATAGAGTACTATGGTTTACGCCCAAGTACAGCCATACTAAGCAAGAAAACTATGCGAAGATGTTGATTCCAGCCGCTCGGCTCCACGTCAGTAGTGACTGCTGGGTGTTTCCCCGCATTTCATCCCACAACTGCGGTCGATCTCCTGCACCATTGCCAAGCTCTCTAACTTGAAACCATCGACACCACTCCAGCTCTATTTTCTTAGGGTAACATACCGCTGGGGAAAAAGTCTTTGTTGGCAGTATTCCAATGCGCACAATGGCCCATCGTCAATGGCTATGTAGCCTCTGCTCTACGAACTTTACTCGAATGGAGCATCTGAGACGGCATATTAGATCCCGTATGCATCCCACCCTAGCCGCATGATCCCGGCTGACAGTTGTAGATGAAAATGAAAGGCCATATGCATGCATGTTCTGCCAGAGAACTTTTACGCGGAAGTATGTTTGACAGACACTGTTTTCTGTTGTGCAGCTCTAACGTCGCAGGGATACAATGAGACGTCATGAGAAGATCTGCAAAACACTGCCAAGTTCTAATACTGCTCTTGATGCTTCGATCCCCGTGTCTCAAAACGAACGTAACCAAGATCTAGATGATACTATTGTCTTTCAAAGGAAGGACGGAGAAGAAATCGGGGACATTGCCGGCCTAATACCCGATATACCTACTTTATCTGATTTTGCAGCGCTTGACTGGCTCTACTCGCAGGAGCTAACCCCAGATAGCATTATTCTGGCCGAGCGACTAGAGTTCCTAGCCTACTTCACTAGCGCCAAAGGAATGGCGACATTCTTAGACCAAGGTACGCTTAAACAGAGACAGAATATGCTACTAGAGTACGAAAATAAGGCTCCGGGAGAGCTCTCGCTTTCACTGGAGGCATACATCTTGCACAACCCATGGGAATATTCACCTGAAGCTACGATCGACCCTACTGTGGTCAGCATGGATTCCAACAGCCCAGACCCCCTTTGTCCTAGAACCCGTGATATCATTCACGACTTGCGAACCCTTATATCTAGTAAACCGGAAAAGAGTATTATAAAGTTGAACTGGTCCCTGTCAGTTCAGGAAAGATGCAACTTTTTGTTTGCACCTCACAGCATACGCCGTTTCCTAGAATATTTTTGGTCTCTTTGGTATCCTAATTGTCCGATCGTGCATCGACCATCTTTCGATCTCCAAGCAGCGCCGCTGGGACTATTATGTGTCATGGTCATCATAGGGGCTTGTCTGTCGCCTCATGGTGAAGATAGGTTGCTTGCAAGAATGTGGTTGGACAGCGTGGAGGAGTTGGTATTTAGTAACGAGATCTTCCAGGAAAGGTCTGTTCTGAGAACCACGCCGCCTGTTCTAGAAAAGCATATAGAATGGAAGAAGAGGCGTGTGGAGTGTATACAGATGGCATACCTGGTATGCTCATTGCAGAAAAGAGAGGGGTCTGTCGAGGCGCAGACACGGATCCGCAGGTACCGACATGCAACGTTGGTCACGGTAAGTCTATTTGTCCATCATTTTAAAACTTGAGGCTCACATTCAGGCAGCTGGCGAGAGACATTGGCTTTTGTGCATCACATAAGGATTTTGAGCCGCCGGGGGATCCTTCGTTATCCTGGTGGCGGCAGTTTATTGTTGAGGAGGAGCTAATACGGTGAGGTTGCATTGTTCTATGTATATCATAGCAGCTAATAATATCTAGGTCCCTAATATATGTCTTTCTAATAGACGCGGCGCTCGCCACATTTCATAACTCACCCCCACGGATGGTGGTGTCCGAGCTGCAAATGGATATGGCCTGTGCAGAGGAATGCTTCCAAGCGGGATCAGCGACGGAATGCTTCACAGCCTTCAAAGCATGGAAGAAAAGTATATTATGGTGCGACAAGCTGTCCGTGTCGGGCGTGGTACGACGACTTTGTCAGGGAAGCTTAGACGATCATCTCGTGCTTGAGTTTTCTCGAATGGGGACTCTGAATATGTTTACAATTGTGCAATGTATGTGCCATCATATCTACTTTCGAATCTCCACTGATAATTATTGGGTCTAGCGTTCCACTTGCTCACATTCAATCTACAAAACTCGCTTATATTCGAGTCTACCTTTACCCCCGTGCAGAGTGGCCTGGAGAACTGGCGACGTATCTGGAATCAGAGAATTCCCGAAGATAGATACACGCCGGATCGCCCGCAGACAATTTGGAAGAAAATTGGCTTTGTACGCTATGCACCGGAATTTTGGCACTTGGCTCGGATCATTGTAGCCAGAATGCAGTCCGTCAGCCTTGATGAAGACCAATCGCCATCGAGAACCCGAGCAGAATTATCTCGATACGATCATACAGATATGGTAGATGTCAATGGATTGATCATGGAGTATCGACGAATGAGTCTAACTGATCCTCTATCTAAATGAAATTGTCTTTGAGCCTCAACTTTCGGCTATACATGTTTAGGATTCGATGCCCGTTTGTGAACCTTAACTATGAAGTCAGTGGGCTTGACGAACCAATAGTTCTCGGTACACCACTGTTGGTTTGTGGTGATAAAGTCGAAATCTCGAATAAGGCGGGGGATCAATTTGGACATCTCGAGGATAGAAATGTGTTTTCCAATACACGTTCTCGACCCCATCCCGAACTGTGAACCAGAAGTCAGTGCTATTCTCAAGATACTTGAAACGATGAACCTACCGGCATGTACATCTCATTCATGATCTTCAGACTCTCTGGCTCAGACTCAGCTTCAATCCAGCGTTCTGGTCGGAAGCTCTTTGCATCTGGGAATATTCCTTCGTCATAATGTGCCACCCATGTGTTTATTCCTACAGTCGTGCCCTCTGGGAAAAAGTATCCACTGATTTCTGCGCCACCAGCAGGCACGACCCTCCATAGCGGTAGACCCGTGGCACTGTGCATACGAAGAGCCTCCTTCATGACAGCCTGAAAATACGGCATTTCCTGGCTTTCCTTGAACGCCACCCGAGGACTGCAGCGGCCCTGCGCAGTAAACTCATCCACTTCCCGACGAAGCTTTTCCAAGACCTCGGGATAATGCAGCAGGTGGTACATAATAGCCGAAAGGCTGATAGCAGTAGTGTCCGATCCGGCGATCACATTGGACTGGCCCATCATGAACAAATGATAATCCGTGACCTTCTCCGGATCCTTGTCCCGAGCAAGCATCATCTTCTCGAGGAAGTCCTGTGTCTGTAGACTCCCATTCTCCGGATCGCGTTTGGCATGGCCACCGTGTCGCCGGATTTTCTCCTGCACGTACCGCATGATATACGCCCGTCCACCTGCCCCAGACCAACTGAAATGACTCAGGGGACCAAATAGCCGCGGGTGCCATTCGGGGTAGATACCGATTAGAGTACTGTATACCAAGGTCTTCTGAAGAGCATCTATGGTCCCTTCGATATCCTCCCCCTCGTCCAAGAACCCTACTCTAATCAGCACAAATTCATCACAGGTCCAAACACGCATAGATACACTCACCAAACCGCTCCCCAAACGTAATGTCCCCAATCACATCAAAAGCATAACACTGGAACCAGTGCCCGAGATTAAGTCTCTCGCCTCGCTGCGCGTACTCCATCAATCGCTGAGAGAATATATCGGTGCAATGGTCCACAAATTCCTCATAGTGCACCAGCGAGCTCATCGAATACAACCCCGAGAATCTTTTCCTCGTTTCCGCTAGAACGAACCTTAGCCCTTACTTCCCCCGTACAAGCCACAGAGAGATAAATCTACAAAGATAAGGAAGAGACACGTAAAGGGCGAGAAACAAAAAAGACAAAGATAAGGAACCCATACCATGTCTTCGAATATCCCGATCCGGGAACAACGTCCACCGCTCGGGACTCGGATGCTTCCATCCGTCGTACCAGGCCGACTTGGTAAATTTGGTCCCCGTGCCGTAGACCAGTTTTACCGCTGCCCGGTCACTGATGCTGTAATGGTCTGGGGCAATGCGGACGACGGGCCCGTACCGCGCGTGGAGATGGATGTTGTCATGCTCGAAGTGGCCGCGTCGGACGCGATCGAAGTACCAGAGCTTTGTGAGGCGGGTGATGAAGGGGCCGGGGATGGAGAGGAGGGACTTTGTAATAAGGGTTGTGTAGAGGAGGTGGAGGATGTGGTAGGATATGATGAGGATGGGGAGCAAGAGAAGGAGGTACATTTTAGATTGGATTGGACTGTTCAGCTAAACTGAGGTGAGTTTGTTGAACTGATAGCAGAATATAGAGAGGGAGAATGCAATGTACGTGATTTTCATAGAGGGTTATATATGCGCATTTCGCTCTGGGGAGCTTGCTAAGGCGCATCCTTCTGTCCTACTAATAGTAGGTATACTGGTATATGGAATAGCGTTGATTGGTGTGTTCGTCACCGTTTACCATATACTACTCCGTCCCCACCCCCACCCCCACCCCCACCGCCACTGAGGGTGGTGGTGTTGGGTAAGAAAGAAGGTATGCTAAAAGGCTTATCTTGCCATGCTAAGCCACAGCACCAGCTCAACTTAGTAGTCAACCCTTAGAAACCTTGGATCTAATCGCAATTTCTACAAGTAATCTACTGTCTACTTCGTTAGAAGTCCCGGCTAATAAAAGTATTACCATTTCTCCGTCCTTAAACCGTCACTATACATAACACACATTATAGAGATTATCACTCCCAAGCCAAGAACCATAAGAGAAAGACGTCAATATCAAAACGGAGAGAAGACACCGCTTAAGTTCCCAGGTATACATACGAACCAGCCAAACATCCTAGAAGACAAACCAAGAAAAAAAAAAAAAAAGGAAAACCCCCGGTAACCCTGAATCACCCCAATGGCCATGCTAAACGAATCGCAAACCCAACTACTAACAAGCCAAATCTACTTTCTATCACCCCAGAGACCAACAATACCCATTGCAAGCGCGAGGCCCGAGAACACGGCGCGGACGCATTGGAAGCGACGCTCCGTGTCCATCTCCCGCCGAACACTCTCTCCATTCACATCCTCCTCGGCCTCCACGACGACGAGATCATCGTCCCTCTTCTGGGCGCTCTTAGAACCGAATGACGTGCAGCCGGCATCGTGGAAGAAGCTTTGGACCCAGGCCTTGAAGCCGACCGAGCGGTGGAACCAGTAGTCTGCGCCGTAGGTGCCCATGATGGAGGTGGCGACCATCCAGACTAGGTAGGGGTGTTTGCGATGTTTGGGGGAGACGCAGTAGGCGAAGAGGAGGCAGCCATTGGCGAGGTTTGTTAGGCGGAGACCGTGTTTGCGGTTTAGGCGCTTGACTTCGTTTAGGGAACGCAAGGCGCTGGCGGAGGTGGGGAGGAGTGCGAGGGATGGGATAGTGACGGTTGAGGCAGAATAGGATAGGCCCTGTTGTTTTTGGTCAGTATTTTGTTTCTCGGTTTTTGGATTGGTTACTGGACTTCTATTGGGAGCGTAGGTGGTATTGTCTTTTGGTGGAATGACTTACTGTTAGAAGGCCAAGGGAAACAGTTCCCACGAATTTGCTGATGGTGAGGGGACACGCCATAATGGGCAAGGAGAGAGCTATGGAGAAGGAACAAGCTCTTTGGAAGTGGAGATTGAGACCCAAATGATTATAATAATCTTCAGATATGTGACGGACTTGGGAGGGGCTCATTGAAGATGAAAGGGAATGAAAATAAAAAAAGAAAGATTCAATGTTTGACGTGGAGATGCCAAACATGACGTCGTGACCGTAGCCCAATGATAGGTGGCCAATCAGAGTGCCCGGATTAGAGTGTTCAATTGTACTCTCTCTGTACTGTATTTTTGCCTGCATGTTCCGCCAGAGTAACGGATGTATTGATGAAATACTTCCATTGAAACAAGGTATCATCCATCATAGCTTCTTGAACACTTAGTACATACAAGGAGTACTGTTACGTCGTAGTAGTGAGTAGGGTCTAGACTCCAACTGGTACCGTCGTGATACATGTGATACCGATCTATGCAGTCGAAATTAAAACATGAAGGCGTTTACTAGCTTTTAAAGGTAGTATTTACTACAGCCTTCTAGTTGGATTCCGGAGTTGTCTTGTTTTCTTGAGTATTCTTTTATAGTATTTCTTAATTTACTCAGCGCTAGACGATGTTGATTAAACAATTAATTGATTTACATTCCGAGGCTGCGACCGAACCGCGGCATTGCAAAGGTCGGACTGTGGAGGAACTCCGCAAAAACCAATTGATTAATTAGACTCAACCGACTATCCTCCCGGTTTGCCAACTTCCGATCTCTTTTATAGATATATTTCTTCACAAAACCTCCATAGATCTTCAATACTGGACATTACATCACATCACAACCCAAAATGCCCATCCCGAAGTCAGAATACTTAAGTGACACATGGAAGGATGGCCTCTTTAGTGTGTATTCCCACAGTATACTTAGCCATGCAGAAACATCACTGAACCCAGATAGCGAACAAGGTTGTCTTCTGTACCGGAGGCGCAGGAACCATCTGCAGTGCGCAGGTCCGCGCCCTCGTCTACCTGGGCGCAAATGCCTGCATTGTAGGCAGGAATGTGGAGAAAACCGAGAAGGCAGCGCAGGACATCGCGACAGCCCGTCCCGGTGCGAAGGTCATCGGCATCGGCGCGGTGGATGTGCGCAAGTTCGACAGCTTGAAGGACGCCGTGGATCGGTGCGCCAAGGAGCTCGGTGGTATTGATTATGTTATGTATGAACGAGAATCTGCGTCTGTGTCTGACTCTGTTGGCTAACTTGGTTTTCAGCGCTGGTGCGGCCGGTAACTTCCTCGCTTCGATTAACCAGCTCTCGGTCAATGCTTTCAAGTCCGTCATGGATATCGATGTCTTGGGTTCCTACAACACACTGAAAGCCACCATTCCACACCTGGTTGAGTCCGCTAATAAGCATAAAGTCGATTCCAAATCTTGTAAGTATTCAGCTACCTATCTACCCATGGCTATGGAAGGAGACGTGCTGAGTTGCCCATCTAGTGAAGCCATCTCCCCTAGGCACCGGTGGGCGCATCATTTTCGTCAGCGCCACCATCCACTACAGAACCATGCCCTTCCAGACGCATGTGTCGGTAGCCAAGGCCGGTGTTGATGCTCTGTCGCATAGTGTGGCCATTGAATTTGGGCCATTGGGTGTGACCTCGAATATCATTGCACCGGGTCCTATTGCATCTACAGAGGTAGGATTCGTCTTCTTTGTTCAAGCCTCTAACAATCGCATCCATGCTGACTGTACAAGGGCGTCGATCGTCTCATCCCTGCGGATGCTCTGGAAGCCTATACAAAGTCGCAGCCACTTGGCCGATACGGTTCCGTCCGAGACATCGCGGATGCCACTGTGTATCTGTTTGCGGATACTGGAAGCTATGTCTCTGGCCAGACACTAGTTGGTACGTGATTTGCCTGGTATTGGTATGAAGCTAAGTTACTGACTTTTGCAGTTGACGGTGCCAGTTGGCGTATGTCTGCGGGTGGTGCGGCATCTGGAGCTTTGGCATATCCCGATTTCCTTCTCTCGGGAGACGCCGTTCCTAATGTGAAGGGACAGAAGTCAAAGATTTGAGTTGATGGTACTTTATACATTCTCTACATGGGGCGAGCTAGGTCTAGTGTTGGTTTACTCCATTTGATACATAGTTGTACACAATAACTCTCTTGTTACTAGAACTCTTGTTACTAGACTGCTCCACTGTAATTAGCATGTTTCATTGAAAGGGAAAATGTACCAAAGGGCCCATTCTTCACCTCATGGAGCTTCTATCCTTTGTTAATCGTATAGAAGGGATTAATTGGATAGTGGATGTCAGTATTATTCACACTTCCACATAACAGTACATTCCTCGCTAGCCACCATGATAGTCAATACTTTGCGCAGAAATGTTCACTTCATCTGTGCAAATAGTATTATCAAGAGTATAAAATTCCTTAGTTTTCTTTCTATCGACGTAGGTTTTGTGTTATTCCTGGTTGCTTATACTTACCTATAATTATACATCTTCTACCCAACTACACGGACTGCCTTCAATTGTTATAAACTTCTGGCTATTGCACGTCCTATATTAGCCCTTGCTATATCCACCCTATACTACGGATCGATCCCACTTTATAAAGCAGTTTCATTCCCGATGTCTGACCTGCCCGATCATATCGATGAGTTTACAGTTTCCAACGAAGACCTCGATAATCAGATCCAAGGGCTCACTATTGAAGAACCTGCGCACTACACTCGACAGGACAAAGGGAGGCGACGAGGCGACGAGCCCGTAAACGGTGCACGTGCCTCCTCGAATTGTCAACATGACGAGCGTGAGCTGCACAGCCTTCTGAAAGATGGCTATTACACCTCAAAGAAGAATGAGGAGCTCAGAGGCACTATCAATGAGCTGATCGAAGAGAATGCAAAGTGCCAGCAGACTCTCGAGGAGCAGGAGCAGGAGTTACAACGCACGAGACGCGAGTTGAGAGATACGCAGTCGAACTTCGATAATCAGGAGCAATATGTTCGTTCTGCAGAGGATGCGTATGAGAAAAATTTGGAGGAAGTCGAGCGGTACAAGCAGCTTTTGAGGAATGTACGAAAGGAAGCAAAAGGGTTGAAGGATGAACTTCGGTTTCGGAATCAGACAAATGAGGATCTGCAGAATGCGTTGAATGGAACTAAGGAAACGATTGCTGCATATCAACTTCGAATGGATCAACTTGATAGTGAAAGCTGGGTATCGGATGTTGATGCGTGGCGCCGAAATCTGGAGGATGAAAAGGAGATCCTGTGCGAGATGCTCTTTCGTGTTGTTCGTAACAGTGAGAAAATGGTAAGACTTTTCCCTTCCCATCTGCAGACTTTGGACGATAGAATGTTGTTGGATCCAGCTGGCCCCGCCAATGAAAGCGCTGAGGGAAGCTGGAGATCCTACTACCAGGCAAATGCCCTCAGGCAGGTCTTATCTCACGGGCGTGGAGAAAATGTGGGCGACCTGGACAATACGCCAATGGATATACCTCGACCGACATCTGAAGATGGCAATCAGCCACCCTATCCCACCTTGCAAGAAGAGCTGCAAAACTTAGAGAATCAGGATAGTTGGGGTATGGAAGAGGAGAGCGAGAGCGAATATAGGCCTCCCGAAACAACACACCCGCCACCTGCCCCTTTGCCTCCCGAGGGTGATTCCGAATTGAGGAAGCGGATCCTTGACAGAAACATCCAATTGCCGATGGAGAAGATGGATTTAGGTGAGTGAATGGAGAGAAAAAGCTCGTGGCGTGCGGGTGGAGCTGAACGAGACTGATGCAGACCAAGATGGTGATGGCTGGTTCCATATGTCCGGCACTTCTTCACAAGATGCGAGAACGTCAGGTCCCTCACAGAATGGTGTCAGTCAGCCCGTGGAGTCGTGTCTGTCCACAATGAACTGCGAGCTTACTCAAGCAATCCAGGAAATCGTCGAATGTGTTATGTCTGATGTCGAGACCGCTCGATGTAAACGGGTTTTGGCTCAGAGAATGGACATTGATTTCGTTCAATTAATACGAAAGCGGCCACTGCCACTTGGGGAAAGCGTCTTAATACGGAAGAAGAACATCATCCAGCAGGAGCAAAAGAAACTAAGATGGAAGCGCTCAGTGCGGAATGATACACTGCCCGACGAGTGGTTGGCATTGTATGGACTCAAGGCAACGCCTGAGAACAAGCTGCCCCCAGACTCTTTATTTCCCAAACGCGTCACAGCTAACATGCTTAACTTTGTCGTTCCTCCTGTGACTTTCCCTACTGCGACTCCAGCTCCCCCGTCCCAGCCCTTAGCCAATCCAATTGAGTCCAAGAACGCTAGCGCGGGACCCATAAATGAGGATAAAAAGAACGCTCCAAAGCGTTTCAGATCATTGCGACCAAAACAAGCAGGCGTAATATATTTCTCAAGGAAGACCAAAGCAACGGCCCGACAACGACCACCAAAACCGAGAGTCCGGCCTATATTGGACTTGCGTCGGATTAAGATCTCCCCATCACTTCAGATTGCAGGTTTCCAGGCAGATCATGATGCCGCCGTCGCCGAGGACCCATCAATCCTCGCTATGCGCTACGATATATCCCATTTCTATATGAATGTGAACGACGAGCTTGTTCCGATTCAGGGTCCGTACATTTATGTCGAGGGCAAGATCGCCCAAGAGATTGAGGAACCAGCCAAGCAGGGTTATGATCCGGGGTGGCAGAATCCGTCACCCATATCGGGCTCGAGTACTGGGGGTAAGTGGTGGCTGCTGTTGCTTTGTGTCGCAATCCTGTGGTGTATGTGGCCCAGTGGTGAAACCAACAAGAAACGGTGGAAGGAAGCCAATGAAGTGCCGGAAGACTTGCATACCAGGCTAAAGGAAAACCGGAACTCGGAATTTGAATTCATACAAAAGTTGGCTTACGAGATGGCAATGAGATCCGATTTCGACCTAGTGATGATGGGATGAATCGAACGACTGGCTGTTTCTCTTTCATTAATAGATAGAGGTTAGTAGTCATGTATAGGGCATTCAAGTTGATCATACATAATGTCATAACTTAAGTATACATTGAGAGTCTATTTTTATGTAAGGGCGCTAATTCAGAAAGGGGAAGGCGTGGAACGTAGTCTTGCGTCACGCACTCCGCCACCAGCCACTCTCTCCACCAACCAGAAGCGTCCCTAGCCGCCCTCCCTTAATCTTCAGGCATTCGCATTTCCTTTCCATTCAGTTCATTGCATTCCATTCCACAGCTCACGGGAACTTCTTTCTTTCCTTTTCTTTCTCTTCTCCCACTTCTTCGTCATCATCATCTCCTTTGTCTACATTCATCTTCGGCTTATATTTACTGCTCAATATTTAATCTCTCACCAAACACCCCATGTCCATCGTCTAACTTTCTTTCCAGCCATCATGTATCTCCGTTCCCTTCTTCTCGGGAGCGTCGCCGCTCTAGGCGTCAACGCTTTCTTAGTCGTTCCGGAGGTCGAAGAGGCCATGACCTCTGAACCTGTATTTTCCGGCCTTCATCCTGCTGAAGCTCATGTTTCTCTGCAACAGAACATCGATCTCTTCTGTACAGAGTGCCCTTTCAGAGAAGTCTCCGAGAATGGAAAGGTCAGCTGGACTGACGGTTTCCAAACCGCTTTGGTAAGTGGATCATCATCCCCCCACCCCCAGTCTTAGTATGAAGGGTTGATGTTCTCGACCAAACCTGCCCATGCGCGCAATCATTAACCTTTCGCTATAGTCCCTGAACTTCTCTATCGAGGATGGTTTCTTGCTGGCCAACGGGCGTCAGATCTTCCCTCCCCCTCCTCCAACGATGATTACTGCCGTTCAGCGTCGGCTATCCGATGATGAGGAGTCGGAGCCCATCCCGTTGGGTTATGCGGTCGAGATGTTGCCGCTGCCTACTCCGCCAGAGGAACCCGTGGAGATGGTGGTCGTTCGTTTCACTGTCCTCGATTTGGATAGTCACCCGGTTCCACTGAACACCGTGGCAATCAACCTCATCCACGATCCCGAGGGTAACCTGTACATGGTTAAGACCGATATCGAGGACAACACCCCTAACAGTGTCTCCTGGAGACAGTGCCGCGGAAAGCCGATGTGCTTGAGAAGACTCTTATTTAACCGAATTCGAGCTTTGTTCGCCGCCGCCAAGGCCCGTATGCTCGGAATCATGGGCCCCAAGCCTCACTGCGGTCGCCCTCGTCCTCAGCATGATGGCTTTGGTCCTAATGGCATGCCTGTGGGCGAAGGCCACGTGGGACGTCCGGGCCACCCTCATCACCACCATATGCACCACGGAAACTGGGAGCGCACCGCCTCTCGCGTTGTTCGCTTCATTGTCGTGCCCGCTGCGTTGGGCGTTCTGGCTGGTCTGGCCGCTAGCGCTGTGGGTATGCTGGTCGGACAGGTGGTAGTGTTCTTGTGGCAGCGCTATCGTCATTCTGACCGCGAAGAGTCTTTGGAGCAAGGCACTACTTCTGAGAAACAGAGCTTGATGACCGAGACTGCCGACGACCTCCCCCCAGCCTACAGCGATGAGGAGGGCTCGGCTGAGGCAGCGTCCGACCACAAGAACTGAACCGATTGGCGGAGTGTTGAGATAGATTGTTTCTTCTGGCAAGGACAAAACGATGGGCGAAAATTTATCTGAGCTTAGCCGGTTAGGTATAGGATCTGGGAATTTGTATTGGTTGGCAGTGACTTTTGGGGATGGTTGATATTAAAGCCTTCTTTTCTTTCGTTTGCTTTGTCCCTTACTTCTACTTGGTCTACTATCTCCTTTCTTACTATCATTCCTGTGTACTCCGTCCTTCCATAAGGTGCCTCACCTGCACATTTCCTTTTATCACTTTCTCGTGGGCTTCCATGTAATTCCGGCTTCTACTCTGTTAGAAAATGAATGGTGTTATAACGTTACGGAACTGGGCGATGTATGGTAACCATCAATACTGTAATCATAAGCACAATGATATAAGTCTTGGCTGTTTCACCTGCATGGCATCACGTGAGGCTCAGCCGCGGACGATGACAGGCACGCCGCAGGGCGTTGATTCCCCTCTTCCTCTCCGACGCAATCGAAGTATCTCCGGATTCAGCTTTCGTGCGGCGCATAGGCTTCTTGGAAGGATGTTGCGCCTGTCTCTACAATGAGCCTTGTCCTATCACTCCTCTCACTCCCAAGGGCATCTGTTTATCGCTACTGATTGCCCGAGCTTGATCGCCGTCAACTGCCGCTTCCGCCTAAGGGCCTTAGCTTCAGCCTTACAATATCCTCCGCTCAGGCAACTGAGAGACATCCCTCGTTTCTCCCGTCTCTCTGGAGGTTCCGCGAGCCTGATAATACACCATGATGCAGTGGACGTCCTCTTTCGTTCAAAAAGCCCAGTCACTAATCGACCCGGCCAACTTCACACTCCCCACGCTAACTTCCTCCGATCGCAACCCTTCGAAAGCCTCCCTGTTTCGCCAGCAATTTCGTCTTCCAGATTCCCAGAATCCCCTGCAAGAGATAACTGCGGAGCTCGTTCTCCCCATCACACATACCTCATCTTCCGCATCCTCCGTTGATCGTGCCGGGAACCGTTATGCCGGCCGACTTCATTTGAGTGAGCGATTTATATGTTTTACAACTCAACCTACTAGCTTTGCCCCTTCTGCAACCCACAGTGCCTCAACTTATTGGGCCGGCCAAACCAATGGAACTGGCCCCTTTGGGAATGGGTTTACCGTCCCATTGTGTTGCATCCGGCGAGTGGAACGATTGAATAGCTTGAGTCACGTCTTCTCGCTTGCTCTCACGACGTGGAATGGTGCTTTGGGCAAGCAGCAGACCCCCGGCTTTATTCCTCAGCGGTTTACGATTCAGCTGATTGGGAGCAGGCAGGCCTGTGAACGATTCTGCGATGGGCTGAAGAAGGGATTACGGGAATGCATGAAAGAAATCGAGAATTTGCGGGTAGTCGTAAATGATTGTTATTCGGAGTATTTGCTGTCTGGAGCCAAGTCTAAGGGTCAAGATGGCGATAATGCGGAGGTGCGCCAGCCGCCAGATGCCGGTCTGGGCATGATTTTCCGCTATCCGGGAGATGCGCGCAAGCTCCGGGACAGAAGTAAAATGCGATTGTGGGGGGAATATTTCAGAGGTATGATATCCTAGGCCCGCCTTCGCTCCCATGCAGACCGTATGTTAAAATCATTTGTAGAGAATGGCCGCAACGCGACTCTTATTCGGCAACCTACATACCATAAGCTGATTCGCGTTGGACTGCCGAATCGCCTCCGTGGTGAAATCTGGGAGTTGGCTTCAGGGTCTCTATATCTCCGCCTGAGGTCGCCAAACCTATATACCGAGACTCTTTCCAAATTCTCCGGCAGAGAGTCTTTGGCCATCGATGAGATTGAAAAAGACCTGAATCGAAGCTTACCCGAGTATGCCGGGTTTCAAAGCGAAGAAGGGATTGGACGACTTCGTAGAGTCCTGACAGCCTACAGCTGGACGAATGCGGAGATCGGATACTGTCAAGCTATGAACATTGTCGTCGCGGCGTTGTTAATGTATACCTCCCCCTTTCCCTCGCTACATTAGATCCTCGCTAACTTCTTCTAGATACATGTCGGAGGCGCAAGCCTTTTTCCTCCTCTCCGTTTTATGCGATCGTCTATTGCCGGGATACTACTCAACCACTATGTATGGGACATTACTCGACCAGAAGGTCTTTGAGTCCCTTGTCGAAAAAACGATGCCCGTCCTCTGGGATCATCTCACTAAATCTGATGTCCAGCTTTCCGTTGTATCTCTCCCATGGTTTCTTTCTCTCTATATCAACTCAATGCCTCTAGTATTTGCTTTCCGGGTGTTGGATGTATTCTTCCTGGAAGGTCCCAAGGTTCTATTCCAAGTTGGCTTGGCCATCCTACGCATCAATGGCGAGGAGCTTCTGGACATACAGGACGACGGGTCTTTTATCTCTGTTCTCAAGTCGTACTTCTCCCGCCTGGACGAATCAGCCCACCCCAGGTCGGAGAACCCGAAACTGAGAGCCATTACTCGCTTTCAAGAGCTTATGGTTGTCGCCTTCAAGGAGTTCTCGGGGATTACCCACCAGTCAATCACGGAGCAGCGTGAGAAGCATAAAGATGCGGTTTTGGAGAATATCGAGAGTTTCGCCAAGCGCACGTCAATTCGGAACCTAGGTCCGGACAGCAAAAAGCTCAGCATGGATGATCTGGGGATGATCTATGACCGTTTCTACGAGGTTCTGTATGAACATCAGCAGAGGCAGAGGCTTCTAGATGAAGAGAAAAAACGACAAGAGAAGAAGAGAATCGAGCGGACTTCCATTCTGGGGCCACCAGTCGACCGAGAAGTTGGCCGTGTTGGTCTTGGGCCTAGCCCGACTCACATGGATTACGATGCCTTCCGCGACTTCCTCGCCGCTACGGCAAAGTGGGCTGTAGGAGACACTCCGGGGTCTTCGCGGAAAGAGTCAACTGTTGAGCAGAATTCCCACAGCTTTAGAGGATTTGGAAAGTCTCTGGCGTGGAATAATAAATCAGAACCAGCAGACCACGAGTTTATGCGGCGACTCTTCCAGAAGTGGGCCACAGAGCCATCTGAAGGGCTCAGCTTGCAGAATGTGGTCAATGGACTTGCGCGCCTTAAAGGGCCTCGTGACATCATGAACAATATTCAATACTTTTTCGACCTTTATGATGATAACGGGAATGGCACCGTCGATCGAGAAGGAATTCTGAGAATGTCGGAAGCTCTGCTTTTCCTCTCCCGACGAGGTTTTGACGGCGCAATTACCCCCAGTCAACCTCTGGAGGAGATTGGCGAACGCGATCGCTTCGAGCAGGAAAAGCTGAGTACGGATGAGAGATTTCTGGGGAGCGTCAGCTCGTTCATCCGGCGCTGCTTTGAGTACGCTGACCCCAGTAATCCCGAGGGCAGACCTACGGAAGAACGAAAGGATACGGATACGGCAGAAGCCACCGAAAAGCTCGACGCATTTGCTATTGGTGATGATGATGATGATGAAGAAGAAGAAGACTTGATTGATGTTGGCGACGAAAGAAAACCTGAGCCATCAGCTTCGAAGAAACAAGATGATGATGCCCAGCACAAGCACAACCGGGGCACATCAGAGTCTGCAAATCCAGCCCTCGATCCCAACAACCCTCTACACATCACCCTTCCCACATTCCGCATGGTCATATTGGCCGACGAACTACTAGAACAATTCTTTGATACTTTCTTCCCTCAGTCATTCCACCTTTCCGATCAATCTCACCCCGCAGCCAAACTCTCATCTCTCTCATCTAACCTCACCACCTTCTCCAACATCAATGTGCCCAAACCCCATCTTAGCGCTGCTTCCGGTGCAACCGTTGCAGGTGCATCTGGCGGCATCGTTCCTCCAGGCAAGGGCCTGCGTGGGGTCCTGGACAATATCGTCTCCGACGGTATTCGGATGGCGGCAGAGGTCAAGAAGCGGATGGACGAAGCACAACGCGAACTGGAACGCAACGCCCTCAGCCGTCCCCAAGAAGACGACGAAGAGGAAGACGAGGAGGACTACGATCCTCGCAGTAGTTCTTCCGCCCCACCCGCAATCGTCGGCGGCATTTCCAGCTGGGGTGCCGGCGCTTACGGTGCAGACCCAGAACGTCGCAGCGTTCGCGAAACAGACCGAGACCTCCTGGAAGGTGCAGAGGTGGTCAGCATACACCGGAAAGATGAGGCATCCCTCCTGGAAGGCAAGGACGAGAACCAGCACAGCACAGCTGAAGGAAGCAGTCACCACCAGGGACAGAGCTCGTTCCAGCGGATATCCAATCCCCATAATGATGATCACGTCGTCAGCAAGGTTGAATTTGAGTTATGAGGTATGTCTGGGCTCTGGAAGATGTTGGTTCCTCTTTCTCTTGTTCTCTTGGCACGATGTGGCTTTTCTCCCTGCATTTACATACATCTCACCATATCCTATTTGATCAGATTGTGGAGTTTTTCCTTGTCTTGTCAATGCGAGTGTATCTCTCATCCAGATAGCCTGTTCTTCCTTGTTTGGGAAGTATGGTCAATGTATGTATGTACTATCGATCTTCAGCGTTCCCTTGAATCTGATGACTCTGGCGTTGGATTTGTTTCTTTCATGTGTTTTGTTCGTTCTGCTCAGTTGGAACTCTGGCTGGACGAGATGCACTGCCAGCGTATGCGCGAGTACTTACATGGTTAGACCAGTATACAGCATTTCAATACAACTAGAATACCCCAGTTCCACTCGAGACAAAACGGATGTAGAGAAAGGGGAAGTAGGACATCTTTCGGTAATCAAAAATCAGGTTAGGATTTATGTATGTACAAGTTACTGTTCTCCGGATCTATTAAACAATGGCAACGAACAGTGAGAAATGAAGCAAGACAAAAAAGGGGTATAGATCGAGAATGGGAAAAAAAAAAAAAATAAGGGTGATGAAAGTAAGACAAACACGAACAGGGCGGACCGATGCTTGAATCACCCCCGAGCTGAAGAGAATTTTGGAAGATATGTTATGACGGGGAATTAGAATGGGGAGGGAAAGGTGGAAAGAAGATAAATAATCCAGAGGTAGTAGGGTACATTTTCGTCACAACATTATATGTTTGAGTATACTCTTGGAAGACAAAGGGAGTTTTAAGAGAGAACTCAAAATATTTAGTCCTTTTGTCCTTCATTCTCAATCATCTCGAGAACAATCTGATTCCGTTCATATTCCGGATGTTGCATGCAGATCTTGACGGTACGGCCATTGTTCGCCAGGGCGACGCCGTTCGACATTCCGCTAGACAGGTTCACCGTACCACCTGCCGTGGTGGGAATGCTATTGGCTCCAGACCCGGGCATGCTGCTACCATCATCGAGACAAACGACACCGTGGCCGGGGATGACTTGTCGCAGACGGCCATTCATAGCATTCCGTACCTCAACAAAATCATCGTTGAACAGTATTAGGAACTTGCCATAGAGACAAGCAGAGTGAGCACGTCCGACAAACTCCATGACCACGCTGCGGTTTACATCTCCATGTTTATTCACGTAAACCGCACACTCGGCATATACCACTAAAAACTCGCTATCACTGAGACGGAACATACCCAGTGGCCGGAGGTTGCTAATACGAGCGGCAATACTGGTGAGGTGGGCTTGCGCTTCTGGAGCAGTAGAGCGGAAATCAGGAACAGACCAAGTCTGTTTTTTATCAATTGTAAGAATTTCAATGCCACGTTGGGTGGAAATGGCCAGTGAAGAATGGAACATATTGATGCTGTAGCTCTCTGCTGGGATGTAGAACTCATCGTATTCGCGGAAGAATTCTGTTTGTGACCGGCGGGAGAAGAAACGACTCTTGCTCGTAGATGACTTTTGCAGGACGGGCTCCATGATCTACACTAGATTAGTCTCGCAGACTGCGGGGTTCAAGAAGGCGAACAAACCTTGAAAGTCGAGGACAGTCCATCTCGCTTTTTATACATCACCAGCGTGCGATCCTTCATGTGCCCTGCAGCAAAAAAGCCGACTTCACGACTTCCAGACAGTTTCTGTGGCGCGCGGCGCGCTGAGTCGCTTGTCGTCGGGGTGGACACGCCACTTGGCGGACAAACGACGTCCAAGTGGTAAGCAATCAAAGATTTGTCGGCAATAAGAAGGAATACGTTGAATTCCTCAAAGACGGCAATCTGGGTTACCCGTGGAATTTGAATAGCCTGGAACCAAGTTAGCTATGTCATGCACAACAGACTCAAACAGTCCAATGAGTAGAGAAAACTACACACCCGAACCCAACCACGAGGATCATTGTATTCAGAGATGTAAACCCCGTTATCAGTGCCAATGGCACACATCATGCGGCCAGGAGGCTGCTGGAAGACAGTGGCAGAGTGAACGCCTGAGCGACAAACGGGGGAGGGTCTCTTGAGATCAGAAAATCGGTGCTCGACCTCTTTGATCGCACGGTCCAGAGGCGTGCCTTTGATGGTAACGCTCTTGGAAGGCGGAGTATAATCTGAGGAAGCGAATGCAGTGTCCGCTAGCACGCGAAGTCTGAAAGGCTCCGCATTCTGTGCAAACAGAGCGGCAGCATGTTTTGTTTTGGCCTCGAGAATCTTCTCGCACCAATCCTGTCGGGCTTGGGAAGAAGAAGCATAGAGTGTATATGTCCCATTCTTCCCCAAATGTTTGATTTTGAACGGGTATAGGATTTTGTTATCCGTAGAATTTTCAAGAACTGTGGCAGGGACAATCGTCTTTCCCGCCGCTGCACCGGCAGCGTTGCCTGGATTGCTATCTCCACCACGGGTGGCAACAGCCTGGGGCTGGTTCACAGTTGCAACACCTCGAACTGAGGATTTCACTACAGGATCTTCATTGGTGCTTTCAAGAACCAAGAGGTCCATGGGAATAGGCAATTTCGACACGTCAAATACCTTATACTTGGGGACCGGCTTTGCCAACACCAGATAATGGTCAAAGAGGATGGCATGAGTTTCCTGCAAGAAACGGGTTCGGGTCCCTGGCCGCTGTAGGATTCCCTGGTGAATAATTTCACGCCCCAGGTGTTCGAGATTTAACTCAACCTCCCTCTTCATTTCCGGACGGAGCTGCAGCTTGGCAGACAGTTCCATGAGACCAACCTTCTTGGTGGTTTCGCCCACCTTGTTGTCACATTCCAAAGCAACCAGTTTGATCTCCTCGATTGCTTGTGCTAGATTCGCCTTTTCCTCGCTATCCTTGACCATGTTCTTATGCACCGTGGCAAGCAGTAAGGTATACCGTTGAATTCGCGTAATCGGGGCTTTCAAATAGGTATCCCAACTCAGGCGGTTTGATAGTTTGTGGGCCTGGGCCTGCTCGAGGAATTGCCGGAAGTGGATGTTCCTCTCTGCCTCACTCCTCACAAGATAGTTGGCATGAGGAAAAGTCGTTGCGTAGTCGATGTAGACCGACTTGGCTTTCCGGATCCATTCGCGAAAGATATCACTGAATCCAGCGATGAATGGCCCCTGTTCTTTCTGGCGATACTTGAGCTGGGCCAGAAGATGATCCTCATTGACCTTCTTCACCAAATCCGCTTTACCAAAAACATCGTTCAGGAATTTGTTGATGCGTTTCGGAGGGATGATGGTGGGCTGCATATTCGCCAGCTGATCCCGGTACAATTCGCGCAGGATATCCAATTGCCCAATGAAATTGTCCTCCGTGGTCACGATCTCGTGAAGGACATTCTGGCGCTCAATCTCCTTCTTTGGATATGACTCCCGAATCTCAACCGGAACCTTATAAAAGGTCACCCAGTCTTCTGCCTTCTTCTGTTCCTCCATCATCCGTAGATTCACTTTCTTCAACGTTCGCATACAGTGATGTGAGTAGCAGCGTCCAAAGACCTCCGTCTCCTGCTCGTGTAATCTAGATGAGTAACAGCCAGTGCCGGTGATCTGGAACAAAACGCCAGACAAAGACCCGTTGCCGAACTTGACCCATTCCTCCTCCTTGACTAAGGCTTCTTCCACCAACATGTTCTGGACAACACGGGCGGCCAGGGTTTCTGCATCTGCAATGTTCATCGTCGGTACTTTATGGGTGAACAAGGCGACAATGGCATCGACGATCGCCTGCTCCTTGAGATCGGTTTCATCTTCGCTCAGCTCCCGGATCCATTGTAGAATGGCACTTAGAGCCCAAGGTTCTACGCAGCGGCGGAATTGTTCCGTGGACAATTTGGCGGGATTGAACTTCTTGCGGCGCCCGGCGGGAATCGTGGGCAGATCCAGGGTCATGTCCGCCGCGGCCTGTGGGGGTGCCGTCACCTTCGGTGATCCCTGGCGGTACAGGTCGTGCTGTTGCTTGTACTTGGCCCGGTCTGCATCGGTCTTGGATCTGATAGGGGGGTCAGTACGAGGTCCAATCGGGTGACTCGACAAAGAAGTCGACCGTGGGACTTGAGAGGGGCTGGGCACGGTCGGCCCGTACGAATCAGCAGAAACAGGGTAGTAAGAGGGTGTATACTGAGTAGCACTCTGCCAATCTCCCTGCTCCTGATGCCGGTACGTCCCCGCCGGCATCAAATGCGGGATCAAATCTGCTCTGTTCGCGGGTTCCACGGGCGCCGGCGGTAGGGGCCGCATGCCGGGATGGAAAAAGAGGTCTCCAGGCTCTTCTCCCCCGTCCGAATCGTCGCTGCTCGGCTGATTGGAGTGGTGCGCGGAAGAAAGCGTCCCTTCGTCCCCATAGTCGAAGCTCATCCGCCGCTTGTAGGCATTCGGATCGGACAGTCCACCTGTGCCACCAGCATCGACGCGCGCATGAGACGGCACCGGCTCGAAGGGATATTCGGAATCCTGGGTGATCGGGGGATAATCGTACTCATCTGAGTAATCCCCACGCTCATCCGCAGACAAGTTCGAGCTCCTCAGCGAGCCGGATGTAGCCACCAGTCGGCCATGGTCGACAGCATCAGCGTATTCATCGGGCGATGCGTCTGTCTCCTCGTACTGGGTCTGTCCCCGGGCGTTCGCACCGTACGGCACCATCTCCGCACCCGGCCCGGCTGATCGGCGGTTGCCATATGCACTGATAATCGATGCATTAGTCTCGCGTCGTGCGCGCTCCTGCAGACGCTCGGCTCGCGCTCGGTCTTCCTCATCGGCCATCTGCAACATCGCGAGTCCAGCGGCTGCCTCCGCATCACTGTCGTCACTGTAGGCATCATAGTTCACATACTGCCCTGTGCCAGTTGCAATATTCCCATTGGTGTGTGTATGCCTCTCATCCGGGGAGAGGCGCATCGATGTTGAGGCGGTCTCGTACGGCCGCGTCCCATCCGCTGCATGGTTAGAATTCTGCGTCTCCAATCGCAACGATCTTAAACTATTCCGGTCCCCACCATCCAACACCGCCTCGACTTCCTTCATCAGTTCATCATAACCGGCTCCCCCTTCCGGCCTGCCGTGCAAACTGCCACCATTTGGCAGAGGGGCCGGGTCGCTGTCTGCATCGACCGGCGGGCCGGGCAGCGGGCGCGCCTGCGGATGTCGAGTCAAGGTATCGGTCCTCTGCGGCGATAATGGTGGTTGAGGGGGATAGATCGGCGGGGTTGGCAGCGAGCGCCCGGACCCGGGACGCGTCAAGCTGAGACGTTTTGCATACGGGTCCTCGCCGGACGACGCATGTGCGGGAGGCTCTGGTGGTTGGTCCTCATAGGATGCCGCGATGGCGGGCTCAGATCGACGAGGAGAGGACGGTCCGTAGGATCCACCGGAGTAGGGACGAGACTGTGTCGTACCCATGCCTGCGAACGATGACATATAGGTCGCGCTGGGCGTAGACGGGGAAGCAAGATTGTAGGCAGAAGCGGTTGGAGCCAACCCATACGACGTCCCGGGAGAACTACTGCTATACTGGGACGACAGACGACTTCCATACGGATGTTCTGGTCCTCGTGGGGGTGGCGGCGGCGGCGGCGGCGGCAGCGAGGGAGCTGGTGGTGCATAAGAGAGTGGTGTCGGCGGCGCTTGCGCGTAGCCGACACTTGGATGTCGCTGCACACTGGCCGAACCGTATCCCGCCACGCTGGCGGTCTGGTACGCGGCTGGATTGTATGGCTGATGTCCCAGCGTCGCGCTACTGTTGCTGGAGCCAGAGTACGCCAGGGGGTTGTAATTTATTTGCGACGGCGTAGAAGGGACGGCGTATTGCTGGGGGTTATACGCCGTTTGGGTGGGCGAGGCAATGGAGGTATACTGGTACTGATAGCTGGACTGTGAGGAAGCGCGACTACGAGGGATTTGGGGGGAGGTGGCCGAGGGGATGTGTGCATATCTGGGGTGGTCCGCGTACTCCTGTCGGTCGTTGCTGTAACCCCCTTGAGAGTCGCCAGTACCACCCCACCCTGAATATCGAGCGCTTGCGTCTGTCGGCCGTTGGTTGTGGGATTGAGACGACGCAAAGAGACCCGCATCATCCCCTATGCTGTAGCTCGGCATCCTCCGGAGGGTCGGATTATTCTGTGAGGTGGAGGAAGCGGAGGTGTAGCGGGAAGGCTGTGCGGAATTTCCTGACTGGCCGTATGGTGGATGGCCATTTTGATAGTGAGCCATCGTGTGAACCGCACGAAATGAGGCCAGGAGAGATCCAGAAGAGGGGAGAAACGAGGGACGGAGGCCAGGGAAGAGGCTCTCTGCTGGTGTCAGGGACCAAGACCCTTGGGGGGGAGCGGCAGTAAATGCGCGGTGGGGAAATTGCCAAGGCGGCGATGAGAACAGGTTGAAACGAACGAACGAGTAGGGTCAGCCGGACCAGTCGATCAGGGGGGAGAAGAAAAAAAAAAGAGAAACAACTAGGGGAAGGGTAAAATGGAAGAACGAAGAGGGAAATGACAGCTGGTGGTGTGGTTGTTTGTTGTTCGGGCTTGTCAGCCTGATGATTATTGCGATAGACGGAACGAGAGGCTGAGGCTCAAAACCCATTCCATCCACTCAGAATGGTTCGGAAGCAGGTCCCATCCCCACATTTCTTTCAAGACATGAGAGAATCGGATCCAATCCGAGTGCATGGGTATATATATTGGTTTTCAAGAATGTATAAACACACACGCACACGGATAGAGAGAGAGAAGGGGGATGTGGTGAGAGGTAGAAGGAGCAGGAGAGAGAAGAAGCAACAAAAGGAAAAGGAGAGGAAACACCTCATTGTTTACCGTCTCGATACAGAACAAACGCAACAACATACAGTACAACATAATACAATACACTGGTTGGGCATCGACGGTAACAATACCAGTATGGTCTGGTCAACTTCCCTCACACTTCTTCCAATACAAACAAACCATTTATTTGACTGCTGCGGCTTCTTTCTCTTCTTTCCCCCATTTCCCCCTCGAGAAGAACATTGAACTCTATCCATATTCCTGTTCTTAAAGTCCTTGGTTGATCTAAATGAACTCACCTTGTTCCGTATTCCCCACTCCTTCTCCAGTCTCCCGAATACGATTTTATTGCTTTTTCTGTCACTGGAATGGAGTGTTAAAAGTTACAACGTTGCCATTGAGCTCCATAGATTGGGTCAATGCCCCTTGAGACAATGCCTTTATTTATCATAATCATGACTGTGATTACTTCCTTCTTGAGTATGATTTGCTTGTGTGATAAAGGTAAAAAATATATTGGATCTCTCGTGGATATAGTAGTATGGGTTGAGTGTTGTATATATTGCTCCTATATTGCTCCCGCTCCCCCCAATATATCTGGTAAGCAACCCCCGTTTCAAAGCACAACATGAGCCCTGGTGACTCCTCAAAACATTGAAGTCTCACGAATAGCCGCCGCCCGCGAAACGCTCGAGATGAATATGTTTCTGGGATCCGTGGGATATCATCTCTCTCCACTACCGTTAACTGAGACCGAATTCCATGTTCACTCACTGCCTCCATCATCTCCCTCACCTCCTCTCGACTAGCAACATAGCTCCCTCGTAGAACCTACTCTCGAAAGACAATAGGTGGGTATCAAAATCGCCACTGCTCTGGTGGTAGACCCAAAAGCACCGCAACACTACCAACCCACTGTAATCCTAAGGTCCAGGCGTTGACCGCAATCGAGTCGTGCAGTTAATTACAACAGCCAGTCCCTCACCTGCCGTTTGCTTCGTAATCTCCTCATTTGCATTGCCATGTGTTGAATTCACCAAAAGATCCGGCCGAAGCTTGCTGGGCTTGTCATTCATAAGCCGCAGACTACTGTCTCGCTTATCAATAGCCACAGTTCGATATTCCAGAGCTTTAGCAAACTGTAACCCCAGCTGTCCAAGGAGTCCCCCAATACCAACAACGCCGATGGTATCGGCCGGCCGAATAAAGGGTCGCGCCTTGTTGATTGCTCCCCAAACGGTAGCCTAAAATTTAGTTCTCATCCTTCTTCAATGGGCCAAAGATTTAGTGACGTACCCCGGCACATTGATAGCGGCGCTCCCTGTTTAAAGGAAACCGTGTCAGGCAATGCAACCGTCGTTGCCGAGTCGCAACCGTACATTCGGCAAAACACCCGTTGTGCTTGAAGCCTCCCGCTTCTCTGCAATCACAAAACCGGGGGGTCTAATTCGCCATATCACTTGTGAGATCCAGTACATCCCCCACCGCTACCGCGTGCGTTTTTGAAATTCAATATTCCCACTCGATCGCCAACCTTCCATGTTGAGGCAGCTTCCTTGCCTACCTGAACAATGCTGAACAATGATGCCTGCTGTCTCATGGGATGGGATTATGGCAACGAGCTGTTGAAATCACCGCGCAACACTTGGATATCCGACTGATGATCATTAGGAGGTGGTTCTCGATGAAGCTAGATGGAATATACTTCGGTGATTTGAGCTGCCCACAAGGTCTTGGGGATGGATGGGTCCATTTTTGCGCGCATAAGCTCACACGGGCATATATAAACAAATATAAGTGCTAGCGGCAGGATGCGGAGTACTGCAGCGTAAATTGGGATGTTGCAGGTCATGGACCCCGTGACATCATTTTCTCCCAACTGATTACTCCAACCCTAATAACTACACATCCCAACAACTATGCCTGAACGTATGCCAAGGAATTCTGAGGTAACTCTCCCCTGAGTCCCTTGGTGGATGAGAGGATGTTAGGATTGCCTGTATCAAGACAAGAAGAGCTCTTCCTGCTAGAAAAAGCTGCAGTGTTGTGGTTTTTGGCCAGTACCAATTACAATATCACTAGTAGTTTATGGGTCTGTTGATTGCTTCTATCTTGCCATAGTCCTATTCTAAAAATTGGTTAATCGACATAAGTAAGGTAGGATTGATAGAGCGAGGCGGTAGATCTAGTATGGTTTGAAGGAAGTTCGTTCCCTTAAGCATGCAAGATCATAGTTGCACTCTTGCATATGGGGAATTAAAGGTTTCCATTGTTAATTTCTGACATGGCTTGATGCATGCTATTCTAGAACAGGCAAATGGCCCTTTAGCATCTCTCGAGTCGTTTTCGTCGACGCGGGCTACCCCCTTGCGGAATGCTATCTACCTGCGAAGAACATTTCCTATTTTAACTGCCATGCCGGTAATACGTCCTATAGAATGCGATCGGAGACATATTTGCTTACTGTGGTTCATTAAGTGCTCAAAAGCAGCTTCGATAGACTGTGGTGGCTGACGTTTAATATCTGCGAAATATGTACAAAGCGCCCGGCGAAGAAGCAATCGCCTTGATTATACCTAGTCTTTCGAAAAGACCTTTAGTACGGCCCCTTTTATCTAAGCTAGAGTCAGTCGCCCCCTTTATTAAGACTAATTATCCCGAATTCTGTTCACACTTGGGACATTCGTCTCATCCGTCGTCAAGAAGCGTATGAAGCTATATGCACTCTGATGTGATCTGCTTCCCACAGGGGAAGCCGGTGGGTACTGAAAGTGCTATGGATACAACGTGTGCTTGCGGTTTATAATGTTGCATCCGATCTAGCGCCACCAGGAATAAGGACCGAGCCCTGACTGTTCTGGAGCCCAGGATAATTTATCCAGCATCCTGTTTAACGATGAATTTTATGGATACATTAACAGGAGAGGGAGACGAAGTGGCGGCAATGTTCCGTACATATATAGTAGTAAGGAATGGCTGCGTTTGTAGTAGGTAAAATGGCAGCGGTAAGTCCTGACGGGGATGCATAACGGTATAATATTCCCCACACTGCAATCGGAAGGAGCTGAGTACGAGACTATTTCTGCACAGACCGATTACATAGTGTAAGCAGGCCATTATTGGTTGTTGAACTGACCTTGCCATGTTGTTTGCGGAGTGGGGATCAAGGGATGTCATTCCTCATGCGGCATCCCTTGGTGAGACCACGCATTCGTCCCTTCAGGTACACCACTTTGTTGATGGCATATCTTGGACCGGGTGCCCACATCCTGCCTGAAAGGTGGAGAAAACCCATGGTTCATAGGTCCAGTGTCACAGTCCGACGTTGCATACAACGTCACTGGCTCCCTTATAACCTGGCGCCAACGCTATTTAGCACCTGTAAACTACAGCTCCAGGAGGTTCAGCCCGTGACCTTTGGGTTTTATGGTTTGCATTGATTTAGGGATAAGGGTCTATTTCTTGGGTTTGTGCCAGCTAGCAAGATGGATTCTGGGTTTATCCGCGACAACGTCCCTGTCATTGCATCGATCGCTGTACTAGTATACGTTCTGTCGGTAGGTCGTGCGCTGACTTCAATGCACCGCAGCGCTAACTAGTTCACTGCATAGGTCGTATACCGATCACAGAAAAGCCGACTCAGTTATATACCTGGTCCATGGTATACTAAGTTCACCGACCTCCCTCTCCGGTACAAAGTCGTCACCGGCCAGCGGCCGCGATATGTCCACGCCCTGCACGAGAAATATGGTTCGTAGTATGCCCCCAACCTATAAAATCTCGACTAATAGAGGAAACATGCCCGATTGTTCGAATTGGTCCCGACGAAGTTGACGTTGCTGACATTAGCGGCGCACGCGAAATCCATCGCATCGGAAGCGGTTTCTTAAAATCGCCATGGTATACTCTCTTGAACCGGAAAGACACTCAGAGTATATTCACCACCACTGATCCGAAGTTCCATAATGCCCATCGTCGACTGCTTTCGTCCCCTATGTCTGAACTATCACTCAAATCGATGGAGCCATTGATTGAATCTCGAGTTCGCCTTACTATCCAGAAGATGCAAGAAGAGATGAAGGCGCGTGGGGTTGCCGACGTCTATAAGTGGTGGTTTTTCATGGCCACAGATATCATTGGAGAGCTGACCTTTGGGGATTCCTTCCACATGTTGGAACAGGGAAAGGTGAGTGACTCGTTCTTCGTCCCAGATGCACCCTCGCTAATGTAGAGCAGAAAAACCAGTATGCGAAAGATATCGAGATGGTTTCGGTTATTGGAGGTATCCGCGCAAGTTTCCCAATCCTCGTCAAGCTGGCAACATTACTACCCCTTCCTATCTTCAACGAAGTGAATGCAAGTGGAAACCGGGTGTTCGGATATGCGACAGAATCGATCAACCGGTATAAACGCCTCTTGGCTGAGAACCCGGACAACCCGAAGCCGACGGTCTTTACTAAACTGTACAACGCGGGCGAAGAGGGTCTCCCTGACAATGAAATCCGAGACGATGCGCAAAGCTTTATCGTGGCCGGCAGTGATACGACTGCTAACACTCTGACCTATCTCGTCTGGGCTGCTTGCCGGGACCCGCAGATCAGACAGAAGTTAGTCGACGAGATGGCGGAGGTTCCAGATGGCTTTACGGACGATGACCTGCGGCAGTTGCCCTACTTAAACCAGGTGATTAATGAGGCTCTGCGTCTCTATCCTGCCGTCCCTTCGGCTTTGCCTCGCAGCGTGCCATCGAAGGGAACAACACTGGGAGGCTACTGGCTCCCCGGGGGCTCCACTGTCGGTACACAACTGTACAGTTTGCATCGCGACCCGATCGCTTTTCCGAACCCGGAGAGGTAAGATACGCAACCAAGTTAATATACTGAGCATTGCTAATTACATCCTAGATTCGAACCATCCCGGTGGGCCTCGCCTACGAAGGAAATGAAAGATGCGTTCATGCCGTTCGGGGCTGGATCTCGCAGTAAGTTATTCTGTTGCTCTTCCGCTCTTGTAAGCACTATATTGACATCACCGAACACGCAGACTGTATTGGACTACACCTCGCTAAGATCGAGTTGCGACTGGCCACCGGTTACTTCTTCCGCTACTTCCCCAATGCACGGCTATCTAGCAAGTTTGATTTCAACGACAACGACATGGAACAGATGCTGTTCTTCCTGATGTCGCCGAAGGGCAAGCGATGCCTCTTAGAGGTGTGATTGATGGTGCAATCTATAGTTATCCGAGCGCTGTTGTCATTCGTTATCGATGGGGGCCACAGGAAAGAGCCAAGCAGAAAACAATTTTGTGGGTCACTTGCGTCAGGCACAGTTCTGGGCCAAATCCACCACGGATTCAATCCCGTTGTCATTCTTGGCTCATGCGATGTGTTTTTGGGATACTGGCCTGTTTTCTATGACTGTTCATATGAGGAGGTTCGGTTCTTGGGGATGGGTTAGGGCTTCGGACCGAGTGCGCGATACCTGCCAGCGGTTCGGTTCAATTTAGATAGAATTCCCGTTTCTAAGATCAAGGACTTTTTGCCTATATTTTGCCTTTCCCCTCTTTTTTTTTGGCTTGTTTTCTAGGCTAAAATGGATCTGATCATTGCCAATATCGGCAGAGTAAAAACTCAACAGTCCATGTAGTCTCTCTTACGAATCTCCGTCAACCGAGATAAGCCTACGGAACCAAGTGCCAAGAGCCGGACCCATTCCCGGCCCGTGAAGGGCTGATCGGCAAAGATATGGCGGGCTGGAGAGAACAAGTGAACAGAACAAGATGGGCACCGTTGTTGAACAAGAAATCACACCTTCGTGAGGATTGGTGCAAATACCTGAAGGGCTCTAGAAAATGACCGATTTATGCGGCAATGCGTGTGCATCCCGTACATATATCAAGATCCTACGTCCAGAGCAGATTCGATGCCGGGGTCCACATAGCGCCCCCCTCCCCCAAAAGAAGGCCAACTAACCGGCTGAACGGACCCAGCTTCGGGATGGACAGTGTCCACCAGGTTTGCTTAGTCCCGAAAAGTCGTGCTTAACGCGGAATTATGTCCACGTTGGATCACGGTCCGGGAGTGCTGATTTGCTGGCGGGAAAATCTCGCCCAGCGAGTTCTTAAATTTATATGTTAAGCAGGGTAAACCCCCATGGCTGCTGGCACTTGCCGGATTGGTATATTAGAACCCCAACTCTGCGACCATGCACGTGGACTAGACCACCTGTTCGTTATTTGTCCTAGATAAATCCCTTCCGCTACGGTTCTATCCTCGTAGACTACTCGGAGCGCATGCGACCCACGGTTTCGGCGTCGCAGGAATTGGGATCATGGATCACGGCCTTGTGGAGAAAGCCTCGAAGGAGACGGTCAGCTCTACGTTGGGCGGGTATCTATGCCCGCCCGGAGCTGGCGACCTCGAGTCTCAGCGTCGTCCCAGTGCCAATCATGACAATGTCGAGCTCGAGCGTATCAATACGTATCGGCTACAGCAGCAACTGACGGTTGGATCAAACCGCAGTCGCATTCCTCGGGATCAATGGCTTCCCATGGGCGCGAGAAAAGAATATCCACCAGGTCTACCGGACGCGGATGAATACGTGGTTGAGTTCGAAGGGTCGGACGACCCTATGCATCCCCAGAACTGGCCGATGAAAAGACGGTACGCCATTCTGATCGCCCCGTGGCTAGGTCACTAGCACTGACTCAGCCGCAGGGTTCTTATAGGGTCGCTCTTGACGTTCTGTGCGCTCGTCACAGCATATGTGAGTGCTATCTTTGCAACGGCCTCGGAGGGAGTGATGAAGGAGTTCGGGTTCAGCAAAGAGGTTGCGGCGCTGGGTACAACGCTATATGTGTTGGGATTCTCCGCTGGTCCGACGATCTGGGCCCCGGCCTCTGAGCTGGTTGGACGACGATGGCCGCTGTTGATCGGCATGTTCGGGTTTGATATCTTCACGATCGCCTGCGCTACGGCGAAAGACACGCAGACCATTATGTTGGCACGATTCTTCTCGGGATTCTGCGCGGCGAGTGTCATCGCTCTCGTCCCGGCAAGTCTGTCGGATCTCTTTAACAACCATCATCGAGGGATCGCGATTGCCGTTTACACGATGTCGGTGTTCACCGGGCCCTTCACCGCGCCATTCATAGGCGGGTTCACCGCAGAGAGTTATTTGGGTTGGCGATGGACATTTTATGTGCCGTCTATAGTCGGGTTCTTCAGTTTGACCCTGATGGCGCTCTTCGCACAAGAGACATACGCGCCCACCATTCTGGTCCAAAAGGCGGCCATCCTGCGCCGTCAAACCAGAAACTGGGGCATCCACGCACGACAAGACGAACAGGAGATCGATTTCCGGGAACTGGTAACCAAGAACCTAGCGCGGCCATTCCTGATCTTATTCACCGAGCCCATTGCCTTCCTCTTGACGCTGTACATGGCTTTCATCTATGGACTGGCCTACGCGCTGCTGTCAGCGTACCCGATCGTTTTTCAAGGCACCTATGGCATGACTGGTGGTGTGAGCGGACTGCCGTTTATCGGGTTGATTATTGGGCAAATATCAGGGTGTACTTTAGTTCTCTCACTGCAGAAATCGTATTCTAGGAAACTGGAGGCCAATGACAACGTGCCCGTACCTGAATGGCGGCTCCCCCCTTGTATCGTGGGTGGTATTGCTTTTGCCGGAGGATTGTTCTGGTAAGTCACCCCCCTTTTTCTTCTCGACGCGATCATGCGATTTCACAGGTCGTGCACTGGTGTTGACGGCTTGCGATAGGTTCGGTTGGACCGGTTGGAACCCGTCGATCCATTGGATGGTTCCCACGGCGGCCGGCGTGATGGTTGGATTTGGCATTACCTCCATCTTCATGCAGGGGTTCAATTACCTGCTTGATTCGTATCTCAATTTGTAGGGTTCCGCGTCGTTCGGGGTGGAGTTGTGTTGTTCTCATACTAATGTGTGTTTTTTTTTTGTCTTTCCTTTTAGTGCGGCCTCGGCGTTCGCCGCCAACACGATGATGCGATCCATGGTGGGAGCCTGTTTCCCACTGTTCACGCGACAGATGTTCAATAACTTGGGCATTCAATGGGCAGGTACCTTACTCGGGTGTATCGCCGTGTTGATGATTCCGATTCCGGTGCTTTTCCTCGTATTCGGCCCTCGTCTACGTCAGAAGAGCCGGTTGGCGCCAGCTGTGGGGGTTAAACGGGCGTAGAGCGAGGGCATTCGCGCAATTCTGGAAAACAATAATAGCGTATGATTGGATTCAGCCCATTCGCGAGGATTTCATGGTTTGTTTTTTCTTGCTCCATTTTAAATCAAAATCCCTCCGTCGGCTGAATAGTTTGCTCCTGTAGGAATTAGGGAAAGAAAGCCGAAGTTGGTCACAAGGACAAATAATGGGCTGAAATCAAATCCTTTTCCGGTGAAGAATAATCAGAACTCAAGGAAGTCCCCAGAAATGAGACGAAGAAAGCAGAGATCGACAGCGGGCAAGTATTCCATTGGCGAGGAGGTTGTTTAACAAAGTACTCTTGTTACGTGGTAGGGCCCACGTGAGTGGGTCAGCGTTCGGGGGATGAGGTCCGTCACCGCTTGCCTTTTTAGGATACATTGGGGTTCAGAGTGAGAAACAGTCCCCGCTATCAGACAGTAATCACTGCAGAAAATCACTATGTAAGATATTGATTTTGAATAGCTTCAAAGCCAATGAACGTTTCTTGTTGACGTCTTGTATAGGCGTTGAATAACTGGCAGAATTCCTTTGAGTAGTGAAAATGGAGTAGGAACCGGCGTCACCGAGCGAGATCTTCAGCGCAAAAAGCTTCGATTTAGGGCGCATTGTGGGGCGAACCCTGCATGAGAAATCCATGGTAGCCTTCGGGCCATGTGGTACATGTGATTTCCCACTGTTTGGATCATCAGGTACACGGTTTCTGTTGGAAAAGTTTTACTGTTTATGCTTATGTGTGTTGAGTCTATTCAACACTGGATTCAGAGGAACTGTATTCAATGGCATGTCAGTCAAGGTTCGCACTCATCAGAGCGGATAAGCTTTCCAGCAAAGGCTGCGCTGGTTGGATCAACATTCTTTCCCAACATACCGAGGCTGAGTCTGTGGGAGTTCTCAGCTCCAACAGTGGATCCTCCGTGGAAAGGTAACATTCAATGGACCAGTTCAGCTTGATCGGGCCAAGAATCTCAAGGGATACACTACTGAGATCCCGCACACCATGTCACACTCATTTTCAGCCGAACCGTACAATCAGAACCCGATTCTCGGATCTGAGATATGGAATTTGTGGAAGCAGATAGAGCGAATGGGGGCTATTTAATGGCCGCATGTCCCGCGGTTCGTTTGGCTCAGACTCGCAATCGCATCGTCTCTCTCCATCCAGCCGTTATTGCGCAGCATACCCGGCCAAGATGCGTTTCCTCTCCGGCGTCGCGACGGTTCTCTCCTCCTTGACCCTGTTGGGTTACTCTTTCCCGACGGCAATTGATGTCAGAGGTACTGAGTCCACTCTGTGATCCATGGTCCGTGCAAAAGCTCATGGTTTAGATATCCCTACTACCCAACTCGACGACTTCAAGTTCTGGGTGCAATACGCCGCGGCCACCTACTGCCAAAACAACTATGTCGCCCCTGACGGCTACAAGCCCAACTGCGCCGTGGGTAACTGCCCGGATGTAGAGTCGGCAGACACCTCAATCAAGCTCAGTTTCTCTGAGTATGTCATCTTCCTCTCCACTACCGTCACCCTTCGCTAACAGCCCCAGTGATACCATCACCGACACTGCCGGCTTCGTCGCCGTAGACAACACCAACAAGGCCATCGTCGTCGCCTTCCGTGGCTCCTACTCCGTCCGCAACTGGATCACTGACGCGACCTTCCCCCTGACCGACCCTGGCCTGTGCGAAGGCTGCAAGGCCGAGCTGGGTTTCTGGACCGCCTGGAAGGTTGTCCGAGACAGAATCCTCAAAACCCTGGATGAGCTCAAATCCCAGCACGGAGACTACAAGATCGTGGTTGTCGGCCACAGTCTCGGCGCCGCCATCGCCTCCCTCGCCGCCGCGGACCTGCGCACTAAGAACTACGACGCCATCCTGTACGCCTACGCTGCACCACGTGTGGCCAATCGCGCTCTGGCCAAATTCATCACAGACCAGGGCAACAACTACCGCTTCACCCACAGAGACGATCCCGTTCCCAAGCTGCCGCTCTTGACTATGGGCTATGTCCACATCAGTCCCGAGTATTATATCACCGCCCCCGATAACTCGACCATCACCGAAAAGGATGTCACGGTCCTCGAGGGAGACGTTAACTTCAACGGAAACACCGGCACCGGGCTTCCTGATGTGCTTGCCTTCCACTCACATGTGTGGTACTTTATTCATGCGGATGCTTGCAAGGGCCCTGGTCTGCCCTTACGTTGATTCAGTAGTCCTTGGCTTGTGAGTCTGACATAATATGGACGGATGATGATGCTTTTCTCTTCTTGATGTAAAGTTTACGTCGTACATACATACCTAATATATCCATAATGACACTATTCAAAAACAAACCGAACATGTCGTGTAACACTTCACTATTCACTATTATTCCATATTCCCGAACTCAACTCCATTTACCTTGATTCTCTCGCCTGTAAAGACACAAATAACAACCCCCATCCCACTTAATCTGCACAGGCCAAGCCCCCTATACACCTACAAGCACAAAGAACTAGATCCTACCAATGCAGAACTTACGCCTCAAACCTATCAGCAAGGAAATCCCAAAGTGAAGGATGCACGGTCTAGCCTTTCAAAAAAGGACAGGGCGCAAGCCAAGCCAATAGTTTGTGGGGATCGGGACGGAGCGGCACGGATATGAGGGTTTGGAATAAGTCTTAATAGTCTAGGGTAGTTAGGCTTGGCTTTTTCTTTGTTCTGTTGGTCAGCAGACTTTTGTCGTTTTAGCTGTTGAGGGTAATGTTTATTAGTGATTTTATACCTAGATGAATATATTTGTCTGTATGGTGGCTCTCTTGAGAGATCTCATCCACCTAGGCAGGTTCTTTTGTCTGCGATGAATTGTGTGATTCTAGGTATGGTGCCGGTCGTATGGCCCTATATTAGATGGATATATGGGCAGGGTTTGTCTCAGCTGAAGACGGAGGGTTACCTCCACAATTAGGCTGCATTCTTTCTGCAGCTCTGCCCTCAGCTGAGGGGCTGCTAAAACTGTGATCGGCTGGGTGGTATATCTCGAGTACGAGTAAAAGTGGTAACGCTGTGGTTTTTGTCGCCCAACGAGCGGCTCGCGTACCTTTGGTGACGGGTGGGATGGGACGATGCATGTTGAGCCGGAGTAGTCGCCCGGTGAAGACGCGCTGGTTAGGATCTATCTGGGCAGGCTTGCCGAGATATTGTGGGAATGAGGCATACTATGTGGTTCCCTGGGATGGCCTGATTGCTGACAGGATTTGGGGGCGTAGCTCTCGTGTATGACTACTACTAGCCACTGCAAACCTTTAGTTCCCTTGGTAATAAGCTCGCGTAATGTAGTAATGCTGGGGCTAGTAGCATTGGAAAGCTGAGGCGGAATATCAGCAGGGGCACTGTCAAGGACAATATCCGGAACAGTATTCTACTGCTTGCGGAGCTGCTAATCCAGAAAATAATATATTACTGTCGCTCGGGCACATCGAAGAAGGCACATACTATGCATCAACGACAATTGATAGAGTAGCGCCGACATAAACGTGGTAGTGATGGATATCAATCCATTCGTCCTCATATGCACTCGGAAGGGACCGCGATGCATCGGCTCATTCTATCCATACTTTAAGCATAAGCCGTGGACTTAGCTACTTGTAATCCTCAATATTGGCCCCGGGATATCTAGCATCCTCTCTCTAGGGCTGGGTCGTGCAATTGCTGTCAGTTAGTTAGGTTCCTGACTCGATTAGCTTGTGGGCCACTCTGATAGCTCTGGGTGTTTAGGACCGATCAAAGAGAGCATGAAGGACATTTGCGAGGGAACTGAACTAACACAGGCTGTCTGTGGTGGCCAGGGATTGAGATATAGGTTGCACTCTTCCATGGTGTAGAAGTACAATGCATGCCCCAAGTCCAACGAACAAAACAAAAATGATGGATCTCGCCACAATCAGAGTAACCATGCTGAGGGCATCGAATTCCGTATCTACAGGGCTGAGGAGCGTAAAGGGTGGGTGGAGAAGAGCGAACACAAACATCGAGATGAAGACAGCGAGATCAAGCTCAGTGTCTCCATCCCATGACATACACAACACGATGAGGATCATCTCCGCGAATCCTCGCCAATATTGACTAATTTTAGTCTTTCGTACCACCACTGCGATCATTTGCGGGGTATATATCCCTGAGATCGGTAATATTGGGAATTATAATGGTGAACATATCAACTTTAAGAGCACTAGTTGTTAGTGATAATCCTTTTATCGAAGGTGGTGACTAAAGTTTGACTGTCCAGCATGGCGCTCACAACAGCCTCGGCACTTGAAGCGTGGGCTACCAGGCTTGAACACCGCCGTTGGTATATGCGCTGCAGAGGCAATGATCTAGATGCAAAGGGTGGACAAAACGTCACCCCACTTTGGGTAATGGCAAGGTTTTCTGTACGAGGCTACTAAGGTTCTATCAGTGATGGTGACCTCCCAGTTGATCAAGTCTACATGCAGTGTAACATTTCCGTAGGTGTATGCAGGGCCAAAAGTCTTGTGATGGTCTTCCCTACCTCATTGCCACCTACTATTGAGTCGCAAGGTAGCATCTGCTATGGCTTTCTGTGTCGCTCTGATGCAAATCAGGTCTCTTCGGTACTTCAAAAAGGCTCCCGTAGAAGGTGGAAGATGGTGTTCTCCATTTGATGGCTTGCCTTGCATATCAGCAATTAGGGTCCAATGGAATACGAGCGATCGGCTGGATTCGGTCTCCACTTCATGATTGATTGCTTGCATCGGGGCAATCCGTTCCAGCCTACCAGATCTCACCTTTCGGATCACACCGTATGATTCGAACTTGCAGATGGACTAGAGCCAATGGAACCGGTAGCTACAGTAAGCTGCAGGTTTTTAAATTCAGATCCTCAAGGGGATTTGTCTTGTTCCTGAAGTCAGATTTTAGAGTATGCTGGGCAGATTGGGGAAGGGTTCGAGACGTGCCGATGTCAGGTGAAGTCAATTGATATAAACTGTAGCTGCCCAACTCAGGATATAAGAAGCAGGCGTGTGGTTTTATGAACACATTTCAAGCAGGATGACCAATATGATTCCAGCGATCATTCTCCTTCCCTTTCTAGGGATAGTGTTTGGCAATCCCTGTATGGGGTAGCATCTTTGGGCGTCCATTAATGGCTGGGCTAATGGAAGCATAGTGATTCCCCGCGCTACTCCATCCGAGCTGATCAGCTCCCCAGTGCCCTCGTCCGGTTCGATCACTCTATCGGTTCCCTCGGCTGAATCGACCTGCTATACCAGCAGCCAATGGCTTATTATTTCTAACACGAGCATCTTCTGGCCGACCTCCACTGACTACTTCTATGGCCCGACCACTGGACCCGGTGCATCCGATGTGATCTGTGCAGCAAAATGGATACAATACCGTGGTCGGTCATTGGGGCTTCTTGGTCTGGGCCCAACTGCGACTTCTACCGTGACTATATTATCTACAACCAGTACCGGCGCATGCTGGTCAAGGGTTGGTCCAGAGATATACAGCGATACACACACTGGACCACTAACAACCCTATGCGATGGGTACCCTCGGGCTCTCGGCCCGCGAGAAACCGCAACAGAGTACTACCCTGGGACCGGACCGTGCAGCACCTCCAGTTATCCGCGCAACCACACCACTACGCTTTATATAGAGCCATCGGCCTCACCAACGTGCCGACCCCAGTCAGAGGGATGCATACCGGCCTGGCAAACGTATAAAAGCCTCTCCAGCGAGTACCACGCATCCATCACGTCCCCCATCCCAGGTGACACTAGGAGTCCCTTACCGCCAAACGACTGCCCGAACACTCCACGGGAATATCCCGAGGATGATCCCTGTACAGATTGTCACTTCCTACCTGGCACGGCGACGATGTACTACTGGCCTGTCACAACAGCTAATGGAGACCTGTGCGCTCAGAACGGGACGACTATCCCCGCCACGGCAACAGGCGATGGCCCCAATACCGCCATATTGGACGACCACACCCTCGTCTCTCCCAGTATCTATCTATCGTTCACCTCCATCCGCGGTTGGAGCAACCGTCGCCACGGTCACCAGTGCGGCGCCAGTCACTACAACGAGATGATCTCCGTCCACCCAACGGCCATCTCGTCTCGCCGTGGCCATCGCAACGCCCGGTACCCCATCATTGGGACCGCGTTCCCGTTCAACTTCGCCGAGTTCCTTCCCCAGACTCTCGGTAACTACACACAATCGGTGATCCCCTGGCCCCAGTATCGAGGTGGCGGCCAGTGTCCCGTGTACGATCCTTCGTGTACTATGGTTCGAGATGATTATGTTCCCTTTATTGATATGCCGGATGAGGTGACGAGTATTGATTCTCACTGGAAGAACTGTGACCGGAGTTGGTTTATCCCGGCTGTTACCCTGGTGCCCATTATTGATGGCACCGCCATTGCTCCTACGCCCACCGGAGAGCCGGAGGCGATGGCCACCGAGGCAGATGCTGCTCCGCAGGGATTTATGGCCGCGCCAACGCCAACGCCGACATCTGAGCCGGGGTGGTGATGACTGGTGAGGGGTTTATCCCAGCAGCGGGGGAACTGAGCTAGCTCGGACATATGAACTGCGTTCCCTCATATTGGGTAGTAAGGAGAGTCATAGTATTTTTTTTTTTGTTTATCGCGCCCGGAGACCCCATCGTTTTATCTGGAGGTTCAATCAAAATTGATAATGTGAGCAGCATTACAATTTATATCTTTCTTCAAATGTGCACTTTCCCCGACACCAGTTCTAGCCATAGGGACATAGAACCCAACCCCCCTCCCCTCCTCCCTCCCTTAAAACACCCTACCACTAAGGATCTCCTCTCTCTTCCCAAGATGGAAAACCGGAATATGCTCCCTAGGCGCCGGCACAGTGGCAGTCTGTCCCCCCGCATACGTCTGATTAGTCCACCAATACGTCCAAGGCTCGGCACCATTCTGACCAGTGTGCGGCAGATACACCGACCACTCAGTAACATTGGGTGTAGTAACAGGCGACACAAGCAATCTCGGACCGAACATATACTGCTGCGTCGTCACATTCGTGTTCGCCTGCGTCCACCGCGCGATATTCGGATCGGTGCGCTCGAAATCCACATACAGCGGCCGCATAATCATCCGACCGGTCTTATGGAACTGGTCAAAGATAGCCTGCAGATACTTTATCAACTGGTACCGGAGATGAATATACGAGAGAATAATGGGGGTATTTTCCTCGCCATACGACCACGGCTCGTTGTTACACGTATAGGCATCCTGGGTGTAGCAGGCACGTTGACCGTGCGTGCGCATGAAGGGAACGAACGTTGCCCATTGGAGCCAGCGCACGTATAACTCCCGATACTCAGGTGTGTCGACGTTAGCGCTCCAGGGTACCGTCGGGTCGGGCTGGAAGCCGCCCGCGTCCATGGTCCACCAGCTCCAGCCCGTTGCTGCGGCGGAGAGGCCACTGGCGATCTGGAGACCTAGTGTTTCCCACGCGGAGGTAGTGTCGCCGGACCAGATCATGCTGCAGAAGCGCTGGGATCCGATGAAGCCCGACCGGCTGAGGGAGATGTGTTCGCAGGCCTCGCCTTCCCTGCTGTCGGTGACGTTGCGGAAGCCTTCGTCGATCGCCAGCTGGTGGGCCCAGGGGTAGTATTTTCCCGCGCTGCGCTGGGTGCCGACTACGTAGAGGACGTTGGGGATGGCAAAAGGCACGGACTGGAGGTAGGTGCTTTGGCCGTTGTTTTCGTAGGCTTCGCCGAGCGCGCCGCCGTCGGCTTGGTCGATCCAGAAATTCTTGATGCCTTTGTCGTAGTAGTTGCGTTTCAGGGTTGACCAGATGAATTTTCTGGCACCGGGGTTGGTGGAGTCCACGTTGCGGATGTAGGAGCCGTTCCACGAGTCGGTGGTTCCGGGGCCGTCGCGAGTCGCGGACAGGTAGCCGTTGGCTTGTAGCTCGAGGTAATTGTCGCTGTGGTCAGATACACTGGGCCACAGTGAAGCCATGATCTCTGCGCCTGTGAGCTCCTTCACCTTCTTGGCCATGGATGCTACGTCCGGCCACAGGGCTGGGTCGAGACCCCAGTCGCCCTGGTTTCGCCACGACTGGTAGTCGATCACGAACATGCCCACGGGCACGTTGTTGTCTTTGAACTTCTGTGCTAGGAGCTCCAGCTCTGTCTGGTTCTCATATCGCAGCTTAGACTGGATGTAACCCAGGCTGAACTCCGGAGGAGTGGGTGCTCTGCCCGTTAGCGCAGAGAGACGTTTCTGTAGCGTGTCATAGTCGCCCGGTGTCGAAGCCACAACAACGTAGTCAACGACGGTAGTAGAGTCAGCGGTGAACTTGGTACGCAGCTGGCCAAACTCCATGCGGCCCTGGGCCGGCATATTCCAGACAAATGCATAGCCTTTGTTGCTCATGAACACGGGCGTGGGAATATGGGTATTGAAGTTGACCAAGTCAATGACAGACCCCTTCTTGTTGACAAGGTGGTCCTGCTGCGTACCAGTACCATAGATCTGCTCGTCAGGCGTCGCACTGAACGAGAACTCAGCGGAGAATTCGCTGCCGGGCCCGTTCCAATAGTAGTATCGTGGGTTAATCGACTTGAGTGGTGCATACTCGTTGGTCAATAGAGTCTCGGAACCGTCTTTCTCGACGCGAAAGAAGGCTAGTCGGTACCCGCCGGGGTTTCCGCCCCAGCCAGAGGTGCGTACAATAGTGTTTCCATTGCGAATTGCGACGGTGTGATTGCCGTTGAATGCCGTGTCGAATTCAAATCCGTGGGCTTGTCCATCCTCAAAGCCTTCCAGTGGTGGGTCATAGATGAAGCTGATCTCCTGGCCAGTGGGGGCCCTAAAGGGCCATGCACGCACACGGAATCCATCGTATCCAAAGGGCTGCACTAGGATGGTCTCGAAGCCATGCTGCATTCGAAAGCCGGTGGAGTTGGGCAAGAAGTAGTCTGACTGCCGAGTTTGGATCGGGTTCGGCTCCACCAGCTGTGCGGCGCAGGCAGTTAGGGCTACGAGCCAGCGATACATCTTGGCTCAATGAACCTGGCGTTGAACTCTATCTGAGCTCTTACTCGCCTTTAATATCATATTCGTATGCATTTTACCCGTCCAAATAGGCTAAATAAAGTGAAAACAAATTTAAATGACATCATGGCCTGATGTGAATGTCGGGCAAGTTATGCATCGAAAGAGGTCTACATAATCGGGATTATGCGATGATTGGCAAGATGTGGAGTAAGACGGCTTAGACGAAAGACAAGGACCCCCCACGGAGACCGAATGTGGAGTGGATGAGGAGATGGAGGGGATGATTTCTTCAGGATATTCGTTCTGATTGCCTTGCTGGTCGATCAGATCCACATGGCGTCATATCGGTTGTGGGATAGTCTTTCCAGGGTCCCTGACGACTATTCCTGTTGCTTTGCTGGCACGCCCACGGCTCAAATTCTACATGGAATGACGGGGTACTTCCGGGGGAAAATGTCCAATCTGCCTCTCTGTCGCCGATATCCCTTTTCAGTCGTCGAGTGGGATAGTTCCACCTGCACAAAAAGGATTTCTATTTAACCATTTATCCATATAAGCTTATTCCTTTCTTCTGTTCTCAAAGCCTTCAGGCCTTGCTCGATCGATGCGTTTTTCACTGCCTAATGGAGAATACGAAGATGTTGTCAGTGCGTCTCACTCGATGTGCGTGATTTCAGCCAATGAATTGTGTATTTTGATCCAGAGGTTTATGCATGATTGCACTTATCTTACAATAACGCACTATGCCGTATCACCACACGACGTGATGCTGCTGAGGCGCATCCTTGCTCAAAGTTTGGCGTCAAGCCCTCGGAAATAGCTGGTGCAGAACGGCGGAGCGTTCTTGGAATTAAAATATGAATTCAATAGAACTAAACTCACAAACAATGGTACTGCGAGAAGCTAGAGTAACATGAATACACATATTGTGATTTTTTTCCTCTTAAACATTTTGTAAGGCTACTGCTTTAGATGTATGTCCAGTCCCTTGGCTATTGTCTGCTTTTGTCGTAAATATTTCGGGACAATTTGGTTGCAGAAAGGATCTCAGCCTTGCAGACACGACGCTACCCCTCTAATTCAACCTCGTCGGCCTAAGAGTTCAACCCAGCAAGAACGCAGATATTCGCCTTGGTGATATGGTTGTTAGCATGCCAACTGCGGCCTCTGGGGGCCATCACCTTGACGGAAGAACTTCCAACATATGCAGAGCGGAAAGAGAAACTATTTACTTATTTGATAATGGATAGCCCTACCCCAACTTGACCGAATATTCAATAATTCGAACTCTCAACTTCCTTGGTCATATACGACACATTTTTTGGTCACCAGTCGGTCGTACCCAGAAATTCGTCGGTATTTATCCTCCTTCAGACATGGGGATTTATCTCCGTACCCTGCAGTCACAACTGACTCGAGGGTTATGATACGGGAGAGGGCTGCACATTTCAGCAGGTGGAATGAATACCCGAAAGCAGTGATGACTGAAGTATCACAAATCCTGGAAGACAAGGCAGAAGGGACTTTGTAGGTGGGCATGGCTTGTGATGAATTAAAACGAGTCCAGGCGAGGAAGGCAATAAAGACTCTACAGCGTTTACCACATGGGCTATATTCTCTCTACCAGAAGCTTTTTGATACCGCTACTGCAGAGTGTGATGAAGACGACAAGCCGGTCATTTAGAAGGTTCTGAGCTTTATTGCAGTTGCACGACGGCCGTTAGCCATCCCAGAGCTATCGGAGGCCTGCGAGCTACATCCTGATGATGACGAGGAGAGCCGTATTCTATTCACTAAAGAGTTGATCGATTCGTGTGGCTGGATAGCTATTGCCCAGAATGGGGAGGTAAGACCCCTTCATAGATCAGTTCAAGACTTTCTGGGCGAAAGATGTAGCAGATGTGCATGACCTGAAAGCCCTGCCGCGCTGACAGAGCAGTGCGTTGCTTCTGTGCTGAAATACTGTCGTCCACAGATGAACGGGAAGAATATAGGGTCCGAAGGCGTCTTTCTAGATTATTCGGTGTCTCTTTGGCCGGAGCATGCAGGGCTTGCCCATGTCGAATTTGCTTTGAAACCTAAACTGGCGGCATTATAACTTACGACAAGAGATCAAGTCGTCTAAACTGGACCCTCAATTCTCTATTTTTCATGCGGCGGCAAGAAGGGGAATTAATCAGCTGATTTAACGGGGCTGTGATGCTTCTAATGGTGGAGTATTGAATGATTGTGATTTTAAGACACTGAATGGTGTGACGCCATTGGAGGAAGGCGCAAGACATGGAAAGATTTCCAGTGTGCTTGCACTGCTGAAGAATATGTCAGAGAAAGAAATAATACGTCCTAGGATAATGGAGATTGCGGCAAGAAATAGAGTGAATGGGAAAGATATCATGGCACTCCTGCTTGACTATCGCGGAGACCAGGTTTAGGTCACAGAAGAGGTGATCGAGCTGCAGCTGGGGATGGGCGTAATGGAAAAGGAATTATGACTCTCCTACTCGAGCGACGAGGAGACCAGATTCGGATCTGAATATACCGTCACAACCGTTTCACCCTCTATTACTTCGAAGTTTCTAAAGGGGAGGGCGCGAGTAAAATGCTCCAGCTTCATGTCAGCCTGAGAATTCCGTCATATATTATACCATGGCACCTCTGAGTGCCTCTGGTGGAGTAATGGTCTTCTGGTTCCGCGCAATTTTACCTCTACACACAGGGGTCACGTCCAATTCAACCCTCAACCACCCTCCTGCTTGATCATCATAGCCCTTCTTGACATCATATAATTCAGTGTACCTACATAGGTATGCGGAACGAAACCACCTTTACACCATGAAAAAGTGCCAAGGCAGCTAGAGGTGCATATGGTGAAATATATGGGCTGTTTTTTCCCCCAGGTTGACAGATATCTATATCTAGGTACTTTTAGCCTCAACTTTTCGAACAATGTTCAACTTTTTAACGCAGTTGAAAATCTATCATGCTATTTATGGTAGGAGATAAACATATAATTAACAATTAGGACAAATGACAGCCCAATCTCTGCTTGACAAACCGCACAATAGCGCGCCTCATTACATGTACAGGGGCTGGCCGTTTGGTGAAGAGCTCATGCTGAGCGATGCCTTGTTCCAGTAGGACTTTAAGCCCATCCGAGACATTCCATCCTTGACGCATAAGTGTATCTTATCCATCGGCTATATTCAACTCCTAGTCTCTGTAGTACTAGTTCGGAAAAAGGAACGTTTTATCGGGAAATCGCATACTCTTCTCATGTTAATTCACAGTATCTAGGTAGACTCTATACCCTAAATTCCATGCGGCCGAGCAACCCTCCCGGTCACGACCCTCCTACACTCAGCCAAAATGGTGGCCTGTCTTCCGACTTCAGTCAAGCTACCCACCACCTTGCGATTGCCCCGTGCAAACCCATACAGGGCATACGGAATGCCGATCTCGCGGCAGAAAGACAGCTCACCGGGGCCTAGATCCGCCGTCGACAGGGCAAAATACGAAAGCATAAGCTGCACATGCAGCGGCATGGTCACCGCATGGCTGATCAGCACATCCAGGACGTGTTCGGGCCGGGTTAAGCGGTGTAGTCATCCCACTCTAGTTGCTGGATGAGGCTGTTCTAGTTGATCTGATCTGGGCCCTTTGTGTCCGTGGTTGGTTCGAGGAATTTTAGGAACCTGTACGCTGAAACTCTTCCGGAATAAAATAAAATAAATTTTTGCTAGGTTGCGATACTGCTTAAATGCTTTTCTGATGTAGGCGCTGAGTATATTGATCATAAACTGGGCATAGTCAAATCTGACTGCAATGCGCCGCGTGGAAAGGCCACGCTCCTAACGGCCACGCACAACCATGGCCTTTTTCACTGTCACTCACAGTTACTCCGTCTAATATAGCTCAGAAGTATGGCTACCTGGATACTTCAAAGGTTTTGCAAGGGAGCTTGACCTCCACTTCTAATAAATATTCCCAGGCGGACATCAGGATGCATCCTCAACTCTCCCCTACATACCAAAGACTCGAATTACGGTATCTGCAGTTGAACCATTATCAGCAAAATAGGATCTGGACAACCACCCTCTCTTCTCATCTTTCTGAAGCGTTGACCGTGTACCACGCTGTGACAGCCCAGCCAAGGTTGACGGAGAGACCGCCTAAACATGGCATTTGCGCGAGTGGAGCGTGAAACCCCCCCCTCCCGGTTGCTCAACTCGCTCAGTTGCTCGCTGCTAGACACCCTTGATCGCCCCGTTGAGTACAGGCTTGACACTAGTATGTATCTAGATCAATTTCTCAAAATTCCCTTTTTGGGACTGATCTTCGGGCCGTATTCAGTTAGCTTTAACAACAATGGTCATTGGCGTGTATATGTTTTTTTGTTCTGGCTGCTATTATTGGCAGTCTCTTTTATGTATAATCCCAATTACTCTAACCACACACTTAGTGAACCTATCTCTACACAAGGCTGTTTATCCGCCACAGGACAATCTTTTGATCCGTAGTAAATAGGGCTTGGCTTGGCGTGTGCTTCTTCTCTCCATTCTTCTACCCGAACTCAACTCGCACTTAGTGGATATGAATTTTCTACTCTGCGCATGCTACCTTCGATAGCAAGTTGTCACCTCATGCTCTCACCCCTCATTCTTCTACATCGCTTCAGGGCATGCACACTATCACACGCGGATGCCCTGGAACGAACGTAGTGAGAGAAGGGGTTACTACTACCGTGCGTTACGACCATGCGCTACAACCATGCGCTACTACGCGGCGCGAGCCACCTGCGAAGCTTTGCCCTGAAACAACCGAAGGGAGTGCAAGGGTATACCTTCATCCGTGAGGCTTGCAGAGAAATGCCAAGATATCTCCTGCCTTTGAGCGTGAACTACGCAAAACTCTCACCAAGATCTCGCTAAGCCTTCTCGCCACGCTCTCTACGCCCTCCTTTGGTTGCTTTATTAATATTTCCTTCTTCGGTTTAGTGTTTCAACGTGTTTGGCCTACCTTTATGGATTACTGATATTCTGCTAGTATATTTCTACTTCCTATTCTTTTTTTTTTTCTATTGGCTTTTGCTTGCGTTCTCCAGTCTGCATGTGTTGCTACACATTTCCTTCAATTCTTTCCCTTATTAGTATATCAGTGTATTCCACCACATCGGTCCTGCACTACTGCCTTAGATAAACCTTGATGAACTTGACATAACTAGTGGGAACGTCCTGAGTGTTGGCACGTCAATGGATGTGCTGGGAACAGGGCCCTGGCCCGTTACAGAGACGTTGGCGCTGGCTACCTACCGAAATAATAGAGAAGCATTTGAATAAGTTCCTCGAATACACTAGCATTAGTCGACCCTTAGAAGACTCGCGACATTGGAATGCCATCCTAGTAATCCGCGGGGAGAATCTGGTACAGCTAATCTGGTACTACTAACCCCGCTGGAAACGGGAGACCTTGGTAGATGCTACCCCGAGGGAAGACTAGCCTGTCTATCTGAATCCAGCCCGGCTATCACAGCTGGATTCATCTATATAGACTAGGTGCTACGAGCGGAAATCCGACAGCTGATGCAGATAGCAATCTCTCGCATCTCCCATTATTTTCCAGTGCTTTCCTGTGCTTTCCTGTGCTACTCGTCAGGCCACTTTCTAGATCCAACCTTGCGATCGAAGGGCCCGACTGATAGTGTACGTGGATACGAGCACGTCGAATTCATCGTATCAGAACTACCATATTATCTAGGTATAAAACTGGTTTCTGTAGCGAGTGGTCGCATTAGCGCTTGGAGCGTGACGGGTGTGATCTTACGGGACGGCCGCCCAGGACCGAGGGTGCAACCTATTAATATAAAAATGGTTGTACTCTGTTCAACCAATTGTATATATAATATAGCTATGTAAATTCAGCTTTAGAAAAAAGGTCTGATCTCCAATACCACACGTATTTTGCCTACCTATACGTGTGGGGGACCTCGGTTGAGCTGCTGAATAATTTTGCCATACTGATCATTTCCGAATATGTTGAATATCACACGTAATCTTCCGAATAGGTGTAATTTATATTAACAGATCCTTTCGTCTCTTAGTTCGTCAAGCGGCGTATCAATGAAATCGCATCACTTAATTGGCTTGCCGAGCCGGGCCGCCTTGTCTCCACTGCTCAAATCCTAGCTCTGGGGTGGTTTTGTGGGGCATGTTCTACGTCCGGTTGTTCAAGCGACTGAGCCAGAAATGGTGGAAGAGGTGTAATCCCGCCTTATGCAGAGAGGAGCACTGGGCATTTATAAACCCCCGGTGGTCCCTTGATTTTTATTATCGACTGCACGCTTCCCTCCCTCCGTCTCCTTTTTCTTTTCCGTTTATTCTTACTGGGTTTGACTGGGATTGAATGGGATTGACTTCGCCCTTTCCTTGAAATGCTGTTCATTCCCATTGCCGCTGCATCGCTGCTAGCGGTGCTCGGCACACAGCCGGCGGGTGTGTTGGCTCAGGATGCCGAGGGTTGGTACAGGGCTCATCCAGGCATGGCGCGTATCAGCCAGGTGAACCAAGACACGCATCAGATCGTCGATGAATTCGGCCGTACGCGGTTCTTCCACGGAACCAATGTCGTTATGAAGGAGCCGCCATGGCATCGGCCGCTGGAGTGGGTGCCGGGGGTCTCGTCGTTTGGCGAGCAAGATGTCCAGAATCTGCACGATTTGGGCCTGAACGTGGTGCGGTTGGGCCACAGCTGGGCCGGTGCAGAACCTGTGCGTGGGCAGTACAACCAGACATTTCTGGATATCATGAAGAAGCAGACCAAGATGGCTGAGGACCATGGCCTCTATGTTTTGGTGGACGCGCATCAGGACTGCCTGGCGCGGCAGTTCTGTGGCCACGGTGTACCTGACGTAAGTAGATGCCCGGGGTGGGGGATGTTGGCACAGCTGACACTGACACGGGCTTTGTAGTGGTTTGCTACGAAGGACTGGGTACCGAGCGGCAAGATGTATCCGTTTCCCCTCAAGCCGACGCCTTTCCCAGTGGATAAAAGCGGCTTCCCATCGCCGCAGTCGCTTTGCGGCACTGTCGACTGGTCTCTGAGCTACACGTCGGTGGCGCTGGGCAATGCGTTTGGGCGGCTATACAACAACTACGACGGGCTGGGTGATGCGTTCGCGGCGTACTGGAAAAAGCTGGCGTCCGAGTATGCCGAGACGACCAACGTGGTCGGGTATAACCTGCTGAATGAGCCCTGGGTGGGCGACACGTGGGCCGATCCGACCCTGCTAGTGCCAGGTGTTGCCGACCACAAGGTCCTAGAAGGGCTCTGGAACCGCGCGACCAAGCAGATCCGCACCGTCGATAATGACACGCTCATCTGGTTCGAAGGCGCCACCCTGGACATCTTGTCGGGTTTCAACAACGTCCCTCTCGGGGACGGCTCGAAGTCGGTGCACTCGTTCCACTACTACAGCCCGCCGCAGCTGGGCTCTATTTCCACCACGCTCAACAACCGCCGCAAGGACAACGAGCGCCTGAGGACCGCCGGTGTGCTGACCGAGCTCACGTTCTGGATGGGCGATGATAAGCAGATGCAGGGCCTAGCAGATGCCATGTCGGCGACCGACGCGAATATGGTTTCCTGGATCGGCTGGGCGTACGAGAACCTGTACAACGGCACGTCTGGTCAGCCTTACCCTGAGCTAGCACAGCACTACAGCCGTGCATACCCCGCCGCCGTCGCTGGCACTCCCAAAAGCTTCGGCTTTTCTGAGAGCTCGGCCACCTTCCAGCTGCAGTTCACGTCTGATCCAAATATTGACGCCCCCACCGAAATCATCCTGCCCCCATCCACGTTCCCCAACGGCTATAGGGTCCAGGTCTCGCCCGACGGCAGCTTGCTGCAGTACGCACTCGACAAGCGTACCCTGGCCTTGTTCACATCCACCAGCATCAAGAACGCCACCGACATCTCTGTCACAGTCTCTCGTAAATAATCTCATCCATAGCTTACCTCCATAATTACAATGTACTCGTAGTAGGTTGAGTTACTCCGCTACGCTCTACTCTAACCAAGTTGTTGATCATGAATCGTATTGGCCTATCAAATATATCAGCCACGCCATGTCCTTCATTCTCTCGAACCGTTTGTCCCCTAGAAGCACTTAATGGTCGTATTTTCTAGCGGCCACTTCTGATAACTTTACAGTAATGACATCTAGTAACTTTCACCTCCCTGGGCACAGGTAGCTCATCAGAGCTCTACTTTTATTATCTTGGGCATGCAAGCGGGAGGACCTTATAGTAGATGAAGGCTATGTTATGGCTTATAATTTTGGCTGGCAGAGGCTGCAACCTGGCAATGCTTGCATGAAAAGTAGAACCTGTTTTATGACTTTCTTTTTGCATATTAGTGACTTTCTATATACTGACCTGCCGGTTACGCGGTCCAAATATAATGGTTAACTGCCTAAGATAAAGGAGGGAGGGACCATGCCATTGTGACGGCCGATCAATAGGATGATATTGGTGCTATCTTATCTAGAATTTCAACCGTGAGGGGGAAGAGAAGGAAGTGTTGTGGGGGGCGCGAGACGTGTGAGAGGAAATAGCAGGCTATATAGATCGTATTTCTAGCGTGTCCACGCGTGTGGGAGTAGATATTTATATATTTAGGTTAAAAGTCGCCGGATGGAAGTATTTCGAGAGACAAAAGGAGGCAAAGTTTGTTATAGCCCCAGGGTTGAACAAAAATTTCCAAACAAAAAAAATATTAACACTGGACAGCCAGGTTCGTCTTGGCCTCTCGGCCATGGGCGCCAGACAAAGAGGAGATGAAATGCCCCTTCTGAACACGATTCTTCAAACAAGGAGAGTATGGTTTGTAAAAATACCACCTTTCAGGAATCAGCATCTAACGTGTATCTTGCTACTAGAGACCCTAGCCAGGATTGCAGGAGGAATATCGGGCAATATGGTGACTCTTCGAGGACACATTTCAACTCCTAAGTGGATACTTTCGAAATTCATTGACCCGACCAAAGGTGCATCGGTATACCAAGTCCATCCTTTTCGCAGAAGGGTCTACCGCAATATAATCTCCAATGCAGCTCTCCCTTTCAATTCCGACCAGGACCATTTGGATCGAACGCAGAGTTGAGTTAAATTCTGCGTATCGGGGCGCGAAGCCTTTGCTCGAATGCAAGGGCGCTCAATTGCTCCTCGTTTCCATGAAAGATAGGATAGAACACCCTTTTGCCCCAAACTGAATCATCAAGCGTGAATTTCGGGGGGCGCTCCGACATGAGACGATAGAGTCGGATAATCTGGAACAGATGACGCGAGGACTGAGACGATCAAATCCGTATAAAGCCGCGGAATGAGCGAGCGAGGCGCTGGCTGGTGGGCTTCACTCTTGATGTGGGCCATTTAGCCTGAAGCCAAGGATACAGACGCAGTTCTCAATCAGGGGTGGCTTCAGAGCTTGGGGGCATCAACCATGGTCAAACCACGCACTAATTCGCAGAGATGTTGGTGAAACGTTGGTGAAACCATAGAACCTTAGTTAGACGATCGCATTGCCCAAGAGCAAGCACTGATCAAAAGGAGAGTTGAAAGACCCGCGATATGCAAAAATTTCGATTGTCCAGCTGATATGTGGTGATTCTGTAGCAGTTTTCCAAATATATTGCCATAGAGGTTCTCTTCCAGCCAGCAGAGGTGATGAAGTCCTGGGGAAGCCCAAGTCACGGAGAGAAGAAAGGCTGGATGCCTAGCTTAAAAATCAAATGCTAATGGAATCTCCCATTGGAGCTTTGCGAAACAAGATTATCTGTCTACATGTAGACCAGTATCGAGACTTATATTCCTATTTACTGGCCTGCCATGGTGTGTTGTTGGAGATATGATACCAGTGTTCGCCAACAACGGGGTTTGGTCGTGGTGTTCACTAAAGTTGATGTCTTGAATTCCAGAGCATCTGAATTATTAGACAATGTCCATACATGATTCTCCGAAAGTTAAGGCCATTATAGAGGTGTGTGCATCATTTGCGGTTGAATATGCTGGGTGATCTCGTGGCTGACGGTAACCTGAAACTTTTGTGGATAGGAGCCAGTGTATACTTCGTCGTGGCGGTAATAGCTCTGACTGACGACAGAGACTGATTGGAGTGGCAGAGAGTCCCTTGTCTCAGTGGTGCCGTACCTTCGTGATACCGAGCGGCTGATTCTGGAAAACACCCCCTTGACTCCAAAGTGCTCGAGAAGTGGTCTGTAGGTTGGAAGACAGGCAGATATCAGATACATGCCGGTCTCAACTTGGGTCCACATAACTAAGTCGACAGCGGTCCAGGTCCCGTCGATAAAGGCGTTGTTTCGGAAAAAGATCTGAAAGCGCATGATTGATGTCACTAACCCTCTAACTCGCAGAAAAAGAACCTGAGTTAGCACTGAGATTGTTGTTGATAGGCTATAGTGATTGGCTCTTACAAGCTGCCAATTGCAAAAGTGATTGTCAGTCCCAGCTTCAGCCGCGGAGTGACCTTCAGTGACCATAGAACTGGCATTGGAAGAAGTAGAAGAATTACGTCTGTAACAATGTTCGGGAAGCTGGCCCAAATATACAGGATTTTCTTCTCTCCACAGTTTCCAGGGATAGACCCATTCCAATTGGCAGAGAACGGTCGGCAGACGAAGGTCGTAGCGAGGATCGTGGATATCGTAATGAGACCCAGCACCATCATCATGAATTTTGTGATTGTGCTCATTGGTCTGGTCGGGAAGAGCCTATGGTACAGTAACAGAATTGAGAATTTCGGGACGTTCACGCTCCCTAAATAGAGATATGACATAGCAAGGAGATATTTGGCCCAGGTTCGCAAAGTCCACGGTCTCGTCACGAGCAGGTAGGGAATATGGTGTCCAACACCAGCCGTCTTCACTGCACCTACAGCCGACATTAACGCCTCCGCCGTCACTCTAGATAGAGACACCCCTGCCAACTAACCGATACTGAGGCCTGCCATGGCCAACTGTTCCGCGAGTGCGAATAGAATCAATGCATCATCCAAGCCCCATGGCGTGCTGATTTTGTACCTAGCAAAGAAACGTAGAGCAACACAGAATACTTGAAGCGGGACAAAAAAAGCAGTAAAAATCAAGAGCCGGTCCCCGATATACACGGGGATTTCCTCAAGCGGGATATCCCAGGATTTCAAGGCTTGCATCGCCGCTGCTCACCTCCGAGATATGATGGAATGAACACGAATTGAATCATGGATAGAGGACAGTTGAGACAGAGAGGCCAGATGCAGAGTTGGTTCTGCGGGACAAATGAGACCCTAGGTTGTGAATCAGCACGCGAGTCCGGGCCCATGGTGGATAAAAACGTCGAATACGAGGGAGTGCCGACATAGTGAAAGGCCTACCCCCCCCCCTCCCGCTAAGCTTACATAGTAGGTGATAAGAAAGAACGGTAAGTCATACCCATCCTGAAACACTACGCAATTGCACGAGATTTCTAGCAGCCACGCCGTATGCCGAGGACACGAGCACGATGTGACACTGGGCAAGGATGCAGCATTAGGGTCCAATTAGCACCGCGAGCTAAGGCTTAGGGTCTGCCCCTGGCGATTGGTTGAACCAGTTAGGATTCGTTTGGAGGGAACCTTCTCCATTAGTTTATGAGCTAGTCGGTTTAATCCCTACTTGCCATGCACGCACTGCGCTGATGAGCGGAGTCCGAGCCGGGGATCTGCATGAAATCTTTAGCGAACCGTGAGCTGGGCGAGAGGCCGTTAGCCCCGCCCGAGTCTTGGATTGAAATTAACCCGGCGAGTTCGCCTCTTATGTAAGTAAGCCCCGTGCGTAATGTTAAGCTAAGTTATTCATTTAGATGCATTGTCGCGTAGTATTTGGCGTGCGTCTTGAGGCAGGTCTGGTGCGAATGGGCCTCCTCCGTATGTGGGGGCATAAGGTACTGCGCTGAAAGACTGCTTTCGTCTGTTTTATGGGCTGAACTCAGTGCAGCATACCGCGAGGACTATTGTATGAGATTGTTGCCGTGCACACAAGGCCGGCTGGGCTGGGACATCCACGCATCTGTGTAGTGTCCCGTCCCTCCAATAAAGTGCGACAAGGTGGGCGAAAACAGGCCCACTTGACTTTCAATGCCTGAGACACTTCCTCCCCCCCATCCTTCTCCTCCACATACCTTCTTCCTGAAACTGATACTTTGGAGTAGAAGTCGTGTCATATATATACTTGCTAATAATAGTTGGACAAGAATGAATGATTCATTCTGCCGGCAATGCACTCGTTTTAGTAAGTGGAATTTCAGGGCGCTGCCTTTGTATCAATAGCAGCTTGCCCTAGTGGGGGACCTTAGTATTACTTCCAGAGAGCATGTCCACTAGTTATTTAGTCTATGCCCTAAAGGGTCTCGCTAGACTTGTGCTCTTTCACAGCAGTGATCCCTTTGGTCCAAACCTAAGAAGGTTCCAACGTTCTGACGTTGAATACCCAAAGAGCGTCTTCTACGCTGAAGAGAATCTTAGTTGAGTTCAAATATGTATTGTCTTCTCCACTGCTCCCGTACGATGGTATTCCGTGAAAATCATTCTAGACAAATTGACGGTGTTCTTAATCATGCTTGAAAATGATTGCTAATTAAACATGTCTACCGTAGTAGGAAGGATAGTCAACCTTCCTTCGATCTTAATATTGTCGAAAATATACGATACAAATTCATACAATAGTAATATTTCTGGTTTCCTGCGGTGAAGAATGGGTAATTGGGACGAATAAAACAGGCCCTGGACCCCCTCTTGCGAGCTGCAAGACTAGTCACGGCCCAATTCCACATTTCTCCTCCCCTAGATAGTCCATACCTGAATCCCGGAATGCCAACCCCTCTTCTTATCAACCACCACGGCTTTACTAAATGAGGGGAATGAGCTTATCGGCGATGTTGATCGCGGCCGTGCACAGTGCTGTGATCCTATCGCGCTGATCGTCTTCCCCATGAAGAGGAAAGGCTTGCCCTGGGTACGGAACACGGCGGAGTTGCCGAATGCTTGAGGGAGCAGCGTTCCTAGCTAGTACATGCCGGCTGCGTATACCCCATGCAGTGGCTCCACAAGGTCTTGCCGACGGCGGATTTTGATCATTGAGCCTGTGGACGCGATAACAAACAATATTTTTTGAGCAAATTTCATGTGATAATCAACCTCGACCATTGCCATGAGTTGTCATCGGATATAGGCTGGAAATCGCTAGCCTATCTCCGTTGCAAGTAGGCTATCCGTAAGATATCTGAGCGATTTGTCAGGGTTGAAAGCGCCGAAGCAATTTAGGCCTAGAGCGACACTAAACTGCCGCGGCATCGAGGAGGTTGAACATGGCGGTTCGAATCAATCCCGGCCCTGTGGTCAGTTGGTGGCAGATTAATAACAATACCATTAGGGGGCGGGGGAAAGAGAAGAGAGGGAGAGAGTATAATAAGGAAAAAAATTGAAGAAGATGTTCCTGGATATGTAGTTTTGATACTTTGCTTAAAACGCGTGATCGGAGAGATAGAACGTGATCTGCCACGTGAGGCCAGGAGAAGAAAAAGTCCGAACGGCAATTTCGTTCCATATTTGTTCCTCGTACAGCAGGCAGAGCGAACGTTTTGGAGTCAAAGAAAACTGGAATTGACCTATCGTAAGGATTGGCACTTCTGCCGTCCCATAGGACAAAGACGCGGAAATTGAAACGTTACCCAGAGACGGACAAATTGGCGATGAGATCCTGATCTCACGACACGGCAAGATGTTGGGAAAAAAACACCGCCCCAAATGGAAGTCAAGGAACGAGGGAAAAAAGAAAGAACAGCTAGCCGCAACACTCCCAGTTCAGTCTGATCGGATAGCGAGAGATTTCTTCGACTGTGCCCCAGACCAGCCGGGGGCCTTCAGCTAATTTGCTGACGATTATTGTGCAACGATATCAACCACGCCGAACCTCTCAAAAGATCCAAAGGGGCCCGCTTGTTGTTGGTTCCGAGCCTTGAGGAGAATACCGGTAGATGCTATGGGGCCCTGTTCACCCATATACGACCTGGAAAGGATTTCCATCGCCCGTCGATGTTAGGTTAGGGCGAATTAGTTCTTTTTGGTTTCAAGAACTGATTCATTAAGATAGAGGTGATTCACGGCCTTCTTGCAGCCTTGTAGATAGTATGCGGTATGCCAACATTAATGCTTCCTAGACTAGATGGCCGCAGAACGTAAATAATCAATTAAGTGCATAACTACCAACATTCATATTAAATCCTGTTAACGGATTGCCTTCACTTCTAGCTTAGCCCACAGGTCCAACAGGAGATTTTTCATCTTTTCCTTTCCAAAACGAAAGAAAAGTAAAAGGGAGCCCATCGTCGAAAGACACTCCGATATGGAGGATTGGACACCGTAATCGAAATTCATGGTCTTAGACAACTGACACATGTGCACGTCGTGGCTCTGAGGCCCTTTCTTCGATCAAAATAGAACCTCGCTGCAAGGTTACAATGGGGGCTCCATATTATAACCAGAGGGAGTCAACCTACCATCCCTCTGCAGAGTCACCGTGTCAGAAATGGGGCTGTGGAAGACAATATCTGTTGGAGTTCTTTCATTGGGCTTGGTTGTTGCAGTCAGCAGAACGAGCTCTCTTGTTATAACAAACGCGCAAACGACGGCTCAAGGATGTGTTGCCTACAAATTGGGTAACGTCACATATCTCGCCAATGCAAAGTATCCACGGGGCACAGTAGGAATCGATGCCAGCTCGAAAGATACGGATACCGTCGCTACCGGAACTTCGTGCCATTTACGGTCATCGTGGCCAACGGGAGCATTGTCACCATCAGTTACCTGGATACTGCAATTTCCCGCTATTTGGCCAATGACGACGTTTTCTCAAGATCATTTCTAGCCTCCGTCTACCTCACCTCATCTGTCGACCATGGCAGAATCGAGGCCAATACGTTGAAATATCTTGTGCGTGCTGGCATGGATTTCGTCTATCTTCATTCTAGTACCTTTGAGCACAAGGAAGATGGACAACCCTGGTTCAGCACAATTCCACCGAGGCTTTCGCGCCTGGTCCATATGATGAATATAATGTCGGAAGACACAGCCAGACTTTTGAGACACGTACCGATCACACCTCGACATGTACCGCACCTTTATCACCGGAATATACCCTTCAAATGACGGAATGGAATCTCCTACAGCACTTGAGCCTATGACATCAAGGCTATGAGCACCGATGATCCCAGTACCAAGTCGGATCCATTCATGGGAAGACCTGCGGCCGTTAGTACGTAAACGAATCGCAGTTAAGGATCTGTTTAACGTCAAAGGGGTGCGGTCCTCGGCAGGCAGTCTAACCTGGATCGATATCACGCCGATAGCCAACAAAACCGCACCTGCGATCCAGCGGTTGGTGGATCTGGGTGCTACCCTAGTGGGAAAGCAGAAATTGGCGCAGTTTGCGTCCGGCACGAATCCATGGGATTGGACTGATGATCAGTCTCCTTCTAATCCTAGGGGTGATGGGTATCTGACTTGCGCTGCGTCGTCCTCTGGCCGAGCTAGCTCGATCGCCGCGTACGATTAGCTGGATGCAGCCGGAGTGGCACCGGTGTCCCCATTCGTCGTCCAGCGTCTCTTTCGGGAACCTTGGGGAGTCGACTTAGTCAGGGTATGATAACATTGGAGGGCATGCTCTCGCAGAACTGGGCCCAGGACACAACTGGCTTGTTCGCCCGCGATCCCGTCGAATGGGCCAAAATTGTCAAGCATTGGGATGCTCCAGAACTTCACCAGTCGGAATTCATTACAGGATTACCTCCACTGTCGGTGCCAGATACAATGGGCTTCCCATCCCAGATATTGTATCCAGATGAACAATTCCCACTATCAAAGCCTGCTGCCCAGACTATCCTTGACGCTGCCATAACAAGCATGGCAAAGGCGCTCAACAATACTGTAAAACACACGAACCTGAGCGCTGCGCTCATCGGCACACCGATACTTTCTGATAAGAAAGACAGCCTGGATCGTCCTATGATAGCATCAGCTCCCCAGGCGCTCAGGACCCCGCATCTCTCTATTGCGGATCCTCTATGGCGCAAGGAATAGGCAGAGTTCAATGCTAGTGCCACCAACCAGGCAGCGTACGACCAAGCCCTACATGATAAAATGTTGGATTCGGGGCTATTAACCAACCATTAAATAGAAAATATCGTTCAAAGTTAAACATCAACTCGGATACATGCTCGAGGTAGACATTAAATAACATCACTTTACAAACCACAGATCGATCGCTAAGGCATTCCGGCCAGCACCACACATATTATACACTCAAGCCATACTAGTACCATCTGCCCAGCCAGCCCCGACCTGTGGACAATCTCCGGTACTCATCTAGAGCTGGACTCACCACCGGCCTTTGGCCTTCGGATTCCATCGACACTTTTGTCATTGAAACCAGCGGGGTGTTTTCCTCCGCCTTGGTCCGGATATAATAATGCTCATCGTCCTCTTCCATACCCACGTACCACTTCTCCGTGAAATGTTGGCCTTGAGGGCCAGCACCACAGGCGCCTTCTAAGCGGGATGTGGCCGGACTGTTGATGGCCAAAGCGAACAGGTTTTGCGGCTCTGTGAAGTCGGTGAGCTGCCGGCCTCTTTCGCCCAGCAGATATAGAAGGCACAGGACACTGGTGGCGAACGTGAGGAGCAGGACTGGGTAAAATATAGATTGCCATCGTTCAGTCCCGCTGGATTGGTACTCAACAACGCTCATGGAGGCGTTAAAGTACTGAGTCTCGGGCTCCAGCAGGGTGGCATCGGAGTGATTCCAATAGTGAAGAAAGGTTGCGTTCTCCGTCCCCATTATCAACGTGCTACCGGCCATTACAGCCAGTGCCTCAGCTAAAGACGGCAGACCGGGTTCAAGTGAGTATCCGGATGGGGTAAGCTGCATCAGCTGTCGCGCATTACTGGCCTTGCCGTCGTTAATGCCCGCGTTCAAGCTCAGGGAATTTGCCCATTCCGATCCAACGTTTTTCCAGTCCAAACTCCAGTTACCGTCTACGGCGTCCGGAAACCACCGATCATACTGCCATTCATTCCCCGGTTTCTCACAGTCTGTGCTAAACCTCGCTCCACTGGCCGATGCGGCGTATCTCACGGAGCAACGCGGTGACTTTTTGGCCTTCATCGAGCATAATACATAGTCGCTCCTGGAGGCATTTGGGGGCTTTCCTAAGAGGTGTAGTGCATTCCCAAACGCCGTCGTACCATTGACAATCGTCTCGTTTTCGTTAGGGAGCTTACCGAAGATTGGTGGACGCCAGCCATACTCTGGCCCCCAAAGAAAGATATCGTCGACAATGGTGCGGTTCAGCCACTCCGGATAAATCGGTAATGTCTTGATCGTGTTATCCCATTCCGTGAGGTTAAATTTCTTATTCGGCCACAGGTCATAGACGAGCGGTTCTAGTTCATTGGCGGTCATGCTGACACAAAGTACGTTAATTGCAGGACATGGGACAGAAGCAATCATGTCGAATTGTCCTTCCGACGAATTCTGGGGCTGTTTGACCTTGTTGATGGGATTTTTTGTGGCAGCCAGAACTCCGGCATGAGGCATTGCAGCCGTCACGTTGAGAACCATTCGTTTGTAGCGCAAGGAAAGTTCTGTCATATTGCTACGATCGATCCAACTTCCTATTACCGTCGTATTGTCATGGATCGACCCCGTGGGAGGAGGTCGCTGTTCTAGTTCATCGGATGCGCGATCATTATCCGCAACCATCTGGCTCCACTTACTAATATAAGCAACATAGTTGTGGTACGCCTGTCCGACATGTTGCATTTGGAGACAAGTTGTGTTTCTGTATAACGGATCGAACTGTTCGGGGATCGGTGTTTGGCAGTTCTGACCGGCGTAAACTGGGTTGAAGAAGTCAGTGAAGACATCGCTCTTGAGAATTGTATCCTTGTGGACTCCCTCGAGCAATTTCGGCGAGACTATATCGCGAATCAGTATTTGAAGGGGTTTATTGAAGGACCATATATTCTTACCTAACGCCTCGGTGGCGGTGGTATACAGCATGGCAATGAGAGTTGCTGTGAGCGTCATGGCACCGAGAAATGTCAAGGCCGAATAGCGCAGCGTTTCCCAGTGAACGATCATTGAGCCCGGCTGCATAATCCACGTCCGCATACTCATATCGGAAATGGAGATGCCGTGCGAATTCTTTCGGAGAGCGCGTCGGCTCAGGAACTGGCCCAGGCAGGCGACAAACACAGTCACGTACGCCAATTCAGTCATCTTCGCAAATAGTGCACTGAGTAGATTGGCGGTCGAAGCTGACAACCGGCCATTGACCCCGATCAAGCTGCCATATCGCGGTCTCACGCAGGCGACAATAAAATAGATCCCCGACCATATGGTGACATATACCGCCAACACCAGAATCGTGATTGGAACCCATCGATACCACTGCTGTGCGATGGCTTTTTTGTGAGGACATCGGACCTCACTGTCCAGAAGAGGTGTTTTCGAGGTGTGCGACCGCGGCGTTTGCAGGTCTGACTGTCGCGGCGAGCGCCATTCTCCGCCGGGATGGGACTCGCCTAGCACCTCACTGAAGTGGATAGACGCTGGCCTGCGCCTTGCATTTTGGATTCCTAAGCCCACCGTGGAAGAAGAGTCCCCATGGGCGGTTATGTCCTGTTCTTCGTGCGAGGAGGGTGCGCGGTCATAGCGGATGTAGGAACGCTCGGAGTCAGTCGGGTTCAGGTCAAATGGGCTCCACGACGTCTGCGGCCGGTCGGGATCGCGGGGGGTCGGTCTGGAAAAGCGCGGCAGAGGGTATTCTTCTCCTTGGTCTGGAGGCATGATGCCTTACGATCGACGGGTGGTCAATAATGACCTTCATCAGCGGCGAGAAGAAAGCCAGTTGAAACAGCCTCTCAAATATGGATTCGCTCCATGGGCAGGGCAGAGCGCTAATCTCCCTGAATCTCGAACTAGAGGTGGTACAGCTTATTTAGTGAGAGGGTCCAGCCTCAATTCCTATCTCTGTCAGGGATCCTGTGTGGATCTCTGCCCAAACCGTTTAGCATCCCGATATCCAGAGTATTTCCGCCAATCGTCCGCGATTTACGAGTCAGACGGGGCGTTGTTTGCCAAGAGGGCCGTTCAATAAAAATAGATTAGCGGTGTTTACTCCGTCCCACAACCTGTGTTGTTTTCCTACGAGACGAGTGAACCGATCTGCAATGGGAGGTGGCCTTAGGGCTGCCACGGTCAGATGCCTTTCCGTTTGATGAAGACAAATACTGTGTACATCAGCCCTATAGAGGGATATGCCCGTGTTAATGCACACTGAAAGATGTATCATCCATTATTAACTTCACCAAATTAGAAAATAATACCGTCTGACATGCAGATTTTGACCCCACCCTTGGATACGTAGCAGCCAATCCTGATGCGCTGGCCATTTTACAAGTAAGCAGCCGCTTCGTAAGCTTGTGGTCCCCCTAGAGGCTGAAACTGGCTCGGGATCCTACAGATACAAGGTTAATTATTTAAGAAATGGCCAGAGTGTGGCCGTTCTAGATATAGATAGGCCAATCGCTTGCGACAGCAAGAATATATATCCTAGATTCCAAGCGGAAAAAAAAAAAAGATGCGTCCGCAGGCCACGGCCAAGTCCTCGTGACAAGTTGTCTGTGTCTCCTCTCTGGCAACTCCACATAGACTTGTGTGGTCTTCAGAATTTTCTGGTACACTGTACAGTGCACAGTCATGCAGTGGGCCCCAACGAAGCATAATGAATTTCTCTGACATCGCCACGGTTATCACCGAGCTGACGTCTATTACCAAGCCACATGGGCTCCACAATCATAGAGAGCGAGAGAAAAACAGCCTTTCCTGGCTTGGATAAGGCTGTCACGGTTTTTACAATTATGCTATTCCTTTAATAATGTACACACGTTGAGTTGTAAGGCTTGTTATTTATGGGCCATAGAAGAGGTCTTGCCTGTCTCCCCCTACGTCTGATTTCCGCTTCACAGGTAGAGCTTGGGCTAGATTCTAGGCATGTAGTAGACTGATGACAGAAGAAAGAAGCAAGTTCAATATTTTTCCTTTTTCCTTTTGTTTTACTCAAATTCGGGTCACCACGTCCCACGCTCCAGGGTTGGCTATTGACCATGTGAACGGCTAGTGGACGGACCGCATTTCTTGACAACATCCTGGACTTCCTAATGCTTGCTGATACTCCAATGAGGTAATGCCTCGTCAGTTCTACGGGAAAGGCCCGAGCGCCAATCACATTAGGAACGTACTCTGCATGTCTACAGTTATGGTAGACTGGTAGTGCAGAAGACCACCATTCCCAATTGGGCGGATGAAAACCCTGGATATCCCATGTCGAAACCCTTGTGGCGCACGTCACACCTTCAAAGCTCGTGAGAACCGACGTCAAGATATGGAATAACAAAGAAAGGCTTCACAGAAGCATTAGGTAAGACACGCTTTATTCTCGTCGAGAGCACTGTAGAGTGAAGTCTTCCTTCTACCAAAAGCCATGCGTTCCATCAGTACCCGCCACTCGAGTAAGAGCGGACAGACAACTGAAACATCACCCCAGACTCCCAATCCAGTCATCGTATTCAAAACAAGGGGCCTTAAAATGGTACAACAGATTGTGTGACAGGATCATAAGACCTTGGCATTAGTTGGACTTTGTAGAGGGGAGTCAGCTCCTGAAGTTCAGTTCTCTATGCAGTCATCCAGCCTAAGTCTTTGTTCCAAGTTCCCTTTTTATTATGGTGTGTTATGGCTTCTGTGGTGTAGGTTCAGCTGGAACTCGTTTCAGGATCATTGGCGTACTATTGATATCGAGGCTGCTTATATATAGTTACTAATAGAAATGTCTGCTGACAGTGTATTTCGGGTGTTCCTTTTCTAAATCTTTTGGTACTAGGTAGTTCCTATATTCCCTTTATGGTTGGAGGGAGGGGTGACTTTACGTGATGTTACTAATCCTGATCATTAGACTTTTTTCCCCCTGATCCAGATATTCCTGGGCCCATAAAATAGCCGACCCGACTGGCTTAGTGATACTAACAATGTGGATTCGAGCGTATAGCTCACTGTCCACTCGCAGAAGGGTCTTACTCGATTCTTAATACTATGGCCATCATCAATAAGGTTGCCACTTAAGGGCTAGCAGTTGAAGACCTAGAGGCATACGGTTGAATAAGGAACGACCTGTATGAAGCTGCTGGCCAAGCTTTACTTCTTGTTAACCACCCCGAAATTAACGGATTTGGTACTGGAGACGTCGCAATTGAGCACGGAGATCTTGCCATTGTCGCTGCTGGGGTCCCCCAGATACTTCTGATCCGAGCGGTACAGGGTTTGGAAGGAAGTAATTATCGAACATATTACAATATTGTTGGGAAGGCTACTATCGATAGTTTCATGAAAGTCCAGGTATCTGAACAACCGAACCCTTTATGGGCAGCTGTGGCGAGCAGCCATTCCACGAACTTTTAATATGGTAGTTGATGTCTGCTCTTGAACTATCGTAGGATCCTACCATCTCTTGTACCCTACAAATTCAAATAATCAGTAGTGTTGCGGTGTATCGATTGTGCATCTTCCTATGTTGAAAATGGATCGGCTCCAGGTATCCAAGTTTATTATGCAGTACGAGATTAAGCATTTATTACTAGTTACTCTTTGTGGCCCCCTTTCCTCATAATCAAAAGGTTCTTAAGGAATGAATTAACGAAAACTTGCCTATATAGTTATCTCGACAAAAACAAAAGTTCCTCCAATAAAGGAGGAAAAGGATGTCGTCAGCGAGAGGATTCGAACCTCTGCCCGCGAACGGAATTGATTTCTAGTCAATCGCCTTAACCACTCGGCCACACTGACTGTCTTGGAAAATTAAGTATGGTTTCTATTTATATAAAGGAATTTAGATTATTAAGAGTCCTAGCATTCAGACATCACCCGAGTAGTGGGCTACATGGAGACCGGTTATACCCGGTACCTAGATTAAGATTGGTTCTATTGTCAAGAAGCCAAGGCAGCATGGTGACACCGATGCCATTTCCTCGTACTTTGTATCAATCACGCCAATCAACTAGCCTTATATGGGTGATGCTATAAAGTGGGAGAACCGACTAGTGTTATAGAGAGCTTACTAGCCTAGAGCTAGCCAGCCATTGATCAACGCTGTAGGGACATATCTAGATCGTCTTTGTGGTGTGTTGCCTTGTTGGGCCGGAGATCTATGAACACTAGGTGGAACGGCTTACGCGCGATGAAAGAGATATCTAGGAAAGGTGTACTGATTGAACTGGATATCCTGCTTAGCTGAAAGACTCGTTTATTCTGTTTAAATGCGTCAAAAGTCGAGGTCGGGGTTGACTGGGATAACCCTCTAGAGTATCGGCTTCGGCTTGCAGCAAAGTGCATATGCATCGTATCACCTTGATTGCGGTAGTACTCGTTCCCAGTCGCGCGATCGGTCGAGCTCTATCTTACTAAGTCATGTTACATAACTATTCTATGCGTCCCCAATATTGGGGGACATGAGTAAGCGAGTAACACTGGTTGCCCATTTATACCAGCAATCTATATCTAATATATAGGGCGTTGACGCTAACAGGGCAATTCGAGTCTCAAGACAATTAGTTAGGAGATATGGCCCCTCCAGTCCATCACCCTAGTAGTTGCCTACCAGCAATCTGCGAAGAAGCCGAGGAGGTCTATGATGAAAGGTGGATTTTTACGAGCTCTACAAAAGCTTGACCTATCATTTAATCATCGCACCTATGCAGAGGAGGTGGATCCAGATATGTTTGCGCTAATAGTCAGCCTGATATGAACCTCTATAGCAGGGCACCAGTACTTCTGTATGCAACTCTGAACAGCAGTACGGCTCTTTGTCGCCTCTGCGATACTCACGAGGACTTTTTCCCACTGAGGGGAAGAGCAGCAAAGGTCATCAATCTTACTCGTGCTGAATAAACAACCATGGCCACTGCAATTCCCGTTCACCTGCCATGGTCTTATCACTACGGCCGCACCCTTCGAATCGGTGAATGGCTGACGGAAAACCCCAATACAGTCGTTAACTTCGAAAGGTCTCACGCGACGAGGCGAAAGCTGAATTCCCGTTGGAATCCATTGTCAAGGAGTTCCAAGTAGCTGTCAACAGATCTCCCAAACTTCGGATGTGGCATCTGTCACGCTCACCGAAGTGTCCAACAAGCCCCCATACATCAACGATCCAACCGGCACCAAACAGATCCTGTGTTTCGACCACCTCCTCCACATATTCAACTACAGAATGCAGAGCAGTGGAACGCCGAGGAGTATAACATTGGCCTTATCGGCTGCCCCTTCAAAACGCTGTGATGGACTGGCCCATGGCTACCCCGAGCGGATACGCGTTCTTCCTAAACGAGGAAGTGAACAACCACATGAAGAAGGTCCTAGATTATTGGAGGGATAAATTCCTCACACAAGACGCGTCCGCGGCCGTGCTCGCCGAGGAGCCTAACGGCTGGCTCTCCCCAGCAACGCGCAAGGTCATTGAAGATGACATCAACATGGATCCCAACCACACGTAAACCTTCGAGGAGCTCAGACACAGCGCGGAAGATGGTCCGCACTGGGACTTCACATCCTGGAACGATTTCTTCACCCGCACGTTCATGGATTACGATAAGCTTCGTCCCGTCTACGCCCCGGACGATGACAACTGGGCCGTTAGCGCTTGCGAATCCAAGCCGTTTGCCCTGCAAACGAATGTCAAGGATTACGATATCTTCTGGTTGAAAGGCCAGCAGCACTCCGTTTGCGAAATGCAGGATAAGGAGGAGCAAGCGTCGGATTTCGTCCACGGGACAGGCCTTCTTGAGCGCAACTTCATGTCACCACTGGCATTTGCCTGTCAAGGCGACCGCCAAGAAGATTAAGATCGTTGACGGGGCTAAATTCTCTGCGCCGACGACTACCGGGTTCACTAATCCAGATGGGCCCCCAATCTGGCGGCTCCGGATCGCTCGCAGGGTTACATCATGCACGTTGCGACCCGGGCGACCATCTTCATCGAGGCGCCTGCGCCGATTGGACTGATGGGATCGTTGAGGTGGATATGGCCGATGTGTCGACCTGAGAGGTCACCGTCAACGAAGACAGCTGTGTGACTAAAGGTCAGGAGATCGGGATGTTCCATCATGGTGGCTTTCAGGAAGGATGTCAATCTTATTTGGGTTACGAATGCGTTTCCTGAGGTGAGTTCGAAGAATCTTCCCTTGCCCGGTCCGTTGGCGTATGTTTCGAGTGCGTCGGATGCTTCGGGGTCAGTGGGACATGGTGCTGGGGAGCGTAGTCAGCGTAAGGGCCAATACTGGAACCATCATCCCGGTGGAACTCCCCAAGGAAACCCCTGATCATGGTGGGCATAGAGAGCCTTATAGGCGAGGGGGATATGGTGGTCACCGCAGAGGTGGATATCCGGGGCATCGTCATAATTCCCCTCTCCCTATTGGACACACGGGAAATATGTTATCTATCTTGGTTTGACTGACAACTGTGGTTGGTGTGGAGTGTGCCTACGTTATGGATTCCATGACTTTGACAAGTATACACACATTTTGGCACGAGTTTAACCCAGCATTCCAGCCAGAACTTTATCGAACAATGGTAAAAGAGTATGACGCAAACTTATCATATGAAGACTCGTATGGTGTGAACCCTACTAATGTGCAATAGAGTACTATAATATTACCCCGCATTGGCCTCAGGCGTCTTGCTATATCCATTTCCTCCATGGAATGACACGGTCGACGACTAGGCTAAGATCCAACCATATCCCAAAATAGCAGCGACTGCGCAATTGAAGCCGTCCGTCGACACCTCCCCATGTTTCACTCCGCTTCTCTACATATATACCTAAGTATGTGCATACAGGATATGAAATTACCAGGGAATATCGGACCAACAAATCAGTGGCATCCCTCGCCCTCTGCGGCACAGGTATTGTCTTCCAGGCAGATATCCGCGCCGACAGTAATCGAGATGGCCGAGTCGACCTCACCGGCGAGACGGACCTTAAGGATAAACTGGAGTGGTCCAATACTGCCGGAGCAATATTCCTAGCTAATATAGGGGACACAGACCGTCGCTGTTCCAAAATAGCACTACAGGGTCCTCCGTTGTCTAATGACGCGTTGGCTGCCTGCCATGATGCATCGGATGATATCCAGCGGTCTCCGGACTATCTAGCGCCGCTTCGTACGGTCCCGATAACTCACTTAGATCCAGATGCCTGGGGAACGGTAAGTATCCACCAGGAGATCTCGCGGAAGAATGTCCGGATCTTCCGACGGGAAGGGAAAGGGTGGGTGATTACGGACAACGACCACCGATTCTCTCAGGGGGACCTCGAACGGGGTCTTCAGCTGGGAATCGATGCTCGGGATACGCGCAGACCATTTGGCTGGGATGGACGAGTCGAGGTTCAATTTCATGTGCAGAATGGACGGTTACATTCGGACGACTACGTTCGGTTACGTGTGGCCCCTGTTCTTACGCATCATCATTTGCAACTTGCGGAGGAGTTTGTGGTCACGGCTGGGAATGAGTCGGTTACGCCTGATCAATTCAACTTTGTGAATGATATGCGAGCTGCTATTGAGGATACAGGTGTTGATAAACCGATCTTCTTGCTGGAGCATTCGGATGACGTTTGGGCGCAGGATATTCTCGAACCGGCATATACTAGTATGCCTGGACCTGATGGGATTGTTACCCTCCAGGTGATGATTCGCTCGGTGCAGCCGTCTCGTGTTGCCGGAAGACAGGTTTTTGAATACCTCCGCAAAACGGGCAGAGGTGCGGTGTATGGGTTCGTTGGTACGCGACTTGAAGTGAACTCGATGGGGAATCTGGAAACAATTCCGCCGTATACATGGGGAGGGAAATCCTACCCGGCTGGTCGTGTTATTGAAGGGGCTCATGGGTCTGTGCAGCCTGATATCTACGGGTATATTCGAGCGCAGGAGTTACAGGATCCCCTTGTCTTGGATGTCGACTGGCTTGCGGTCGGACATGTGGATGAGTTCGTTCAGTTCCTGCGCGCAAAGGATAGTCGACACGGTTGGGTGCTCTTCATTGCTGATCCCATCGGGGGTATTGAGATCTTGAAGAAGGCTGAGCGAGATGGATACGGAGATACCCCTGCCTTCTCACGCAAGAATGCAACGGTGATTCCTCCCAGTCCGCCTGATCCTTATGTGCCCGGGTACAGCATCAGTGAGTTGCTCGCGAAGCCCGATTTCGTGGAAAAGAACTATGGGTTTGCACAACGAATTGAAAAGGTTCAACGGGTTCTTCAAGAAGAGACCGGGGTTCCTGATAGTGATATCTACAGATTGCCGAGCGTGTTTGAAACAGGTGTCTGTTGGGGTTTGGACGAGGGCGTCCTCCCTGAACGAAACTGCAGTGATGAGCATGCTGCTGCTTTGTATCCTGGAGTCATTAACGGCCTTGTCTTGAGTGACTCGCAGTACCTGTCCCCGAATCCGTGGGGGCCGGTCATCAGCGGGGTTGATATCATGGTTGAGGCCAGCAATGCGGTATACGGACGCATTGGATATCAGGTCACGTATATCGATAATTGGTATTCGCATCATCGGGACGGCGGGGAGGTTCATTGCGGTACTAATTCTATTCGCACTGTGTCTGAACCATGGTGGAGGGAGGAGGGTCATTTGGGGAAAGGATCACGGCATGACGAGCTATAGGATGTATCTCGTTCAACATGAAATGGGGGATGTGTAGGAATCATGAGATATGGTGTTTACATACAAACTACGAGTGCAGGTGAACAGAGCAAGCTATGGCATTGGTACCTCTTATAGGATCTATAGATTCACAATCCCAACATAGTAAAGTGATAGCACCCCGATATTTCACTTTTTTTTTTTCTTTTCTGTTTATTTAGTTGTTGTGTCATAATCCTGTCCGTTATGCATGGTGAGGGGCAGTGAGGATAAATTTGGATGCAAGATGGGCCCCACTCTATATCAAGTTCGAAGCAATGATTCATACGATCAACCCCCTACCAAAAGAAGTCCATCACATACTCCCTTGGATCCAAACAGCCAGCGTAGCTATGGTAGTGTAGACCATGAACACGAATCCCAGAGACATCATAGCGATATCCCCCCGTTTCACCCACGGGGACTCCGCAACTCCTTTCCAATGCAAATACGCTGGATAAATGTATACCAGTGGAACACACGCAAACGATCCAATGATCGACACAAACTTGTCCAAATCCCCCGCGCCGACGGAAGAAATGAACCCACAGCACAACACGAGGAACATCCGGAAGATATTTTTCTTCCATTTGATCGACGGGTCGCCTTTCCCCGACTTGTGACCGAAGAGTTTGCCCTCCATGATGCGCGTAGCTGGGAACAGCTGGATGGGCGCCCCGACGAGAATTGCCAACGAGTATAGGAACTGAATCGTATTGACGAGTCGGTCCGTTTGCGGGAAATTACTAAAGATCTCCGTCTGGGTCCGAACCCCAAATGTCGCATAGGACAATGCGCCGACCGCCGTGAAGAGAACAGTGATAATCATCATCACTAGATATAGAAGGCGGTCGAAATGCTGCGGCCGTCTCATGGACGACTGGATGGGCAACACAAGTCCGATCCCTTCGAATGTGAAGATCGACGAACCGATGGTCAACGTAAACGACTTGGGGTTGAATAGCTCCACGGTCGGATCGATCCCGGGTCGCGATGCGAGGGTTGCAATGGCATACCAGTAGATATACCCCAACCCCAGGAGAATGAACGCATCGGCAAGCAACGCCACTGGACCGAGCTTGGAGATGTTCCGGATCCACGCCAAGGGGATAAGCACGACTAGTTGCAGTAAGATCAGGCTCCCCGTTGAAATATCGGTTGCCATCGCCTGTAGGAACGCTTTTAAATTTTCCGCGGTGAAGATAAAACACGTACACACGAAGCCCATCTGCGAGATGACGATGGATGATAGGATAAGGGACCTAAGCTTAGAACCAGCAATCCGCTCCCCAATTTCGCCATAGCCGCCACCATACTGTTGACGACACTGGAGAAGGAGGTGAAAGCAGACGGTGGTGATCCCCGCAACCAACACCAGCGTTACCGAGGAAAAAAGGATCCCGCCATTACGGAACGCCCTGGGTAGGAATATAATTCCTGTACCAACGAAGGCTTTTAGGAGCGTAAAGAATGTCTTCGTATTAGACGCGTCACCCGGACGGCCGACTCGAGAGCGTCTCCGGGCCCTCAACAGGGGAGTTTGCTCTGAGGGTGATCTCCTGCTTTCCCGGTCTTCGCTCGTTACCGAGCCTTCTTCGGTCTCAGCCAAATCTTCTCCAGCAAAGTTCCCATATAGATCCAAGAAATCGAGGAAGGACGTCGTCACCCCGGGATACTCGAAATTCCCGTTCTTGTGCTGTTGCACGAAATGACGACGGAAACTACCGGGCTCGAGAGCTGCAACGCCCTCTTCGATTGCATCTTCGGGGACCCGTAAGGGAAAAGAAAAGCTCGCGGCTCGTCTATCGAGCTTCGCTTGCTTTGACTTGGCTTCGATTCGGTAGAGGTCTCGGTGTACATCGCCTCCTTGAAGCCAAAGGGACGAGTGTGGTTCGGTGGTATCTTCGACATCACCACCAGAATCTTCCGGCGGAGTATGACTTTCCTCCTGAAATGAGGCAGTGAACTGAGGGTTGAGGTGCTGGGCCAGGATGGCCTCGCGGGCCTCCGGGTCCTGGTCTCGAAAGCTAAGGAACTGGTCCGACATGATGCGGTTAGGTAGTTACACGGCGGGTTTTGGAATGGACGACGGATCGAGGAATTCCAGGAACCGACGCGGGTGAGCGCAGTCACATTCTGCTGTTGAAGAACAGTGGGAGAAAAGCCTTTTTTTCAGGCGATAAACCGAAAATCTCAAATAATGAGGGAGTCAGAAGACGACGTCACTCTGCAGTCTCAACGGAATCATGCGCAGTCACATGATGCTATACGAACAAACAATCAAAATTCTTCTTCTCATTCTAGACTCCATTGGACTAAGCCTCTTCGGGCCCTAGCTTACCACGCTCTGTCATCACCGCTACTCATTGGCCGATCGGTTTGCACCAATTGCATCCATTGCACTCTGATTCCCATGATCCCCGTTTTCCCTCTTTCGGTAGGGCACGTGGACTATACAAGGCCCTGAACAACTGGCAATGTCTCGAGTATCTACAATGCTGTGGATATATCCAAACAGAATTCCTAATTGTATTACTTTGTAGTCCCTTGTGTCACCACAGATAGTCATATTCCCTCCGTTCCCTCCCACCAACTTCACACCAAAAAAATATACACATCAATCCCTTGCTTTGGTTTTGCGCCAATCTGCGAGACAACTCATACCAAGACAATAGACAAAGAAGACTTCATTGGAGCTCACGTCAATACGTGCCATCAAAGCAAAACGTACAGTTTTGGCTGGACTGATTCCCGAGGTTCCCGAGAAATGAATTTAGAAATGTTGATAAAAAGAGGTCTCAACACGAATCATAGGTACAAAGGTGTGGGCTAATTCAAACCACATCGTAGCCTAGAGACTACATTTGCCGTTAGTCAGTCAATAGCCATGATATCTCAAAATAGCGACACTAAGGGGCCTCAAAAATGACTAGAACTGAGTGACTATACCTCATAGATATACACAATCTAAAGGACTATCTCGGGTTTCCGTAAGGCCTGCCTTTTCGGTGATATATTATGTTCTAGGATAACAAAAATATCGCATGGCACTCTAAATATAGTGTTCTGGGACTGAATTGTTATTCAAAGACCCGTTGGTCTTAAATTTACGGATAAACAACAGGCATTCAAAAACAACCGGATAGCAATACCCTCAGGAAATGAGTATAGTAGGTACTAGCGACAGGAAGTGAGGCGTTATATCCAATGGCAAAATTGAGATTCGAACATACCATTCCCATTATATTCCCACGAATCCTTTTCGAGCAGTCAGTGCGAGTCAATCATACGGTCACCACAGACACATCAGTAATGATCGCATCCCTCTTTTGGAATCTTCGTCTGAAGCAAAAGCGATCGTGACGACACAGACTTAGGGACCCACGAAAATCAGGACTGATCGCAACATGACAGCGAAAGAACCCTTGGATCTGATAGATGGATAATGGATCCTCCTGCCCCATGGAGGAAAGGACAACACCAAGCCCACTTAGCCCGCTACCCCATTTAAATGTCCCTATCACGCACGCTATCAGGGGCAATGCCCCAGTTTGCTGCCATGTCCATACTTACAACCCTTGAATTAGTTATGGCATACATGTAGGATGACCACGGTGCGCCAAAAAAATAAGTCATCCGCGATAGGCAAAGTTATTGAATCCGAATCTGGCCAAAAGGCCTGGGACAAGATCTTTTACATCCTGTTCCAAGAAGCTCACCCCTCGCTAATCTTGACGCTGGAAGAAAATACTGAACGAAGACCAAGAGGCCGCGTGAGATCAAGGGGTCGGTGGTACTATCAAGTCAAACTAGTCGGAGGAATGCTTGCGAAAACCCTTAGGCTTGATAAATAGGTAAACTCCTAACGGAAGTCGAAAACCAGGCGACATAGCTTCCGGGGGGGAGGGGCGTGGGGTTAGCGCAGGACTCACTGGGAGTTGGGGCCATTATTACAATCTTGAAAGATACTTTCACGAAATTATTTTATTGTTTTCTTCTTCTAGTAGCCCATAGCTAGCTCGAGTTCCAATCTCATACATTGTTAGCCCTAATTGCTTAGCATCCTCCTCTTTCCCCATATCGAAGTAACGCACACATACAACGCAGTCGTACAACAAGCGAGTCACCCTATTGCATAACGTAATTGCCACCAGAATGTACGAAGGAAATGACCTGAGTGGCTCAAATGAGATGTCTTAAATCGCACCAACCAACCGTAATGGGAAATGGAAAGATGGACAATTGACCGCGGCGACTACCACTCCTCGAGGGTACCATCATTCCAAATGATGGAAGGAACGGCTAGAATTTGAGTAGTCATTCCCAATTCTTCAGTACCAAGTATGCTTCAATTCCGTATGGAAACTGGAATTTAAAAGGGGCTTTTTTTTCACGCTTTATCAGCTTGACTTGGGTGGGAATACACAAAACCTTCCCACATTAGCTATGCAATATCGCCAGTTACCATGTATCATGGATCAAGTGGGGCCTTGCTGTATGGATTCTTAGAGAGGTTAATGCAAAAAGTCAGACTGTGTTAATTAATTGTATATCTCCTCCCTAAGATACGGGCGATGTGCTCGGAGGGTATCCAGCTATCTGTCAATGTTGCTCCGGGCCACATGTGTAACTGAATGATTAACAGCATTGCAACTGCAGAATCATCTAAGTTACGTGTTTGAGAATGAGCTCCTTTTGCTCCTCTCACATTATATTCGAAAGGTATGGATGAAGATGCTTTCATTGCCGTTCTTTCCATTTGACACGATGGATCTGGATCTCTCGTCAAAACTGAACACCTACTAATCTACTAACTATAAGCACTTATGAGCAGCCCCCAGCCATCTAGGATGGTGGCCAACTGTGAGGAAGGGGTAGCGTGTCTAGGTCAGAGGTGAAATTGGGTGCGTCGCCCCGGTTTAAACACGAGCAGCATACTAACATCCTTGTACACATGCTAAATGCCATGAAACAGAAAGTTAGAACGACAGGAAACAGGGAGCCGGGTTCCTTGGAGCGTTGGTTGAAGAGTGTGCCATCTTGAAACTGGGTGTCACTCATAGGGAGAGTTCCTTTTCCTTTCGAGATATGAATATGAATTAGAGTTTGGTTACAACGATTCTTTGTGCACAAAAAGCGTGTTTGCTTGTAGTCAAATTTCACTCAAGAGAAAGAGGAGACAACTCAATGTAGGGCACTGAATTAGACAGGCTAAGAGAACAGCGTAAAGGATAAGGGATAGCGTGTGTAACAATAACGCTCGAATATATACGCCAATTTTGAAGGTTGTAACGCAGGTGAATGAGAACAAGCAAAGTAAGCTGACCATGTCGGGTATAAGTGGTTAGGGCTGCGCGGGAGTGGCAGGGTCGTTTCAGTTCATTAACATCGGCGCCCGGACCATGGGGCTGACCCCCTTTGGTGTGTCGTCGAGGCCGTCTAATAGCGAAAACCCGAACTTTCGATACAGTCCAGCTCCCTGATCACTCGAAGCGATATAGATAGCTGCCCCAGTGCGGTCGGCAAGAGCACATCCCCATTGTACCAAGAGAGAAGCAGCACCTTGCCGTTGATGATCAGGGTTCGTGGCCAGCATATCCAAATCTGCGTTTGCGTGGTTAAACAACGATTTACGCCTGTCAGATGAGGATCACCTACAGTAATGCTTGCGTCCTCGCATCAGATTTCTGCGCTGACACTCTATTCCCCCGAAGAACTGGTTACACAGCTCGGCATTTGACTCTGTATGCCACGGGGGGAATCGCTCGCCGCACGCATCCGGGTCCAGGTCCCATTTACCGTACGCGATAATCTCGTCAGGGTGAGCAGGATCGATTACTTTGAGGTATTTCTGAAATGGCCTGTTCAGGAGATCATAAAGAGTTGCTTTGTTCCACCAATCGCGCACGCCGGGAGTGTCAGGAAATAATTCGCGGTTGCCCGGCGTACTGAAGGCGCGGAACCAGACTGCGGTAATGTTGAGAATATCATCTGGGGTGATTTCCTCGAGCGTGAATTTGCACTGGGTGAGTCGTGGGGTTGCCATTTTCTAGGGTTATGCGCACTGCTAGGCCTTGCAGGAGAAGACAAAAGTAGGATGAACGTAGCATTTATCTAGCTCTTATATGTGCCATTTTCAAACATGGACAGCCAACATTGCGCCACCGGCCTAGAATAAATGACAAGGATAGAAGGGAACCTGAAAGCCGAACCATGGGCTGCCTTTTCCCGGTAGCACTCCACTTATAGTCTCCTCCCAAAGTCAATGATGTCAGGAACCGGCTTTTAGGTAGTATGTTCGGCTTCGCACCATAGGCGAGGCTTAGGGGAGAATTTGCTGGGTCACTGAATCAGGAACAAGTCAAGTTGTGTGTAAACCTTGCACAGGGCTGTTGCTAGACATGGCCTTTCTTGGACAATTTCTTGTAGCTTGGCTGATATGCTTCACCGGGATTTGAGACCGTTTTTAACAGCGTACAATCGCGAGGGGAATCATATGGTGGCAAAGTCCGGCTTTCCCGATGAATGGACCAGCATGATATGAAATCAAATAATTTGATTTGCCTTCGATCTGTTCCACGGATTGGGACAGATAAGTCTACTCGGGCGTCTCCGCTGAACCCACATATGTGACAGGTAACACAAGGTCTGTGTACTATCTTATTTAGCGCAAGACTCAGAGTCACATTAGCCTATTCTGTGATTCGCATAGTCTTCATGCAGTAAAAGCTAGAGATATAAGGTGTCCTCAAGATGTGAACCGATTATACCCGGGTTATTTTTATACACACCGAAGTCATTGTAATATTGTCTTACAACAGTGTGACAGTGAGACTTTCTTATTAGGGCAGCTCCTTTTTGTTTCAAGGTACGAGAAAGTCTGATCACCCTTATTCGAGGCATAAATCTAGTTTGCAGGTGGCAGGTTAAAATACATACTTGCTTCATAGGTCTGTCTCCGATCATGTACCTCCTAGGTCGATCCTTACAACCCTGGCGATCTTTGAACAAAAGGCGCAGGATGACAAAAAGTGCATTCCACTCTCTGCAAAATGTTCACAACTTCTAGAAGCATACACCAAAGAACGAAGACATGTTAGCCAATGTTTTTAGGGTCAGTATCATTGACAAGGGCGCTAGTGCTGGCCTCCTCATAGGCCTTCTGTCTTTTCTCCTGTACGAATCGTAACTTCTTCGCTTGATTCTTTTACTTGATTTTCTTTTCTTTTTTTTTTTTTCGTGTACGTGCAATATGGAAAGTCGTATCCGGATCAAAGCCAACCTTGACAATATCCTTGGCGTTGTTGCGATTGTAGTGTCCGTATTCTTCTCATCTGTCGATTGGAAATAAGGTAGTATACAACAGGGCGAATGAGCCTGCAGGGGGATACCATCTGTGAACATGACGATGAGCGACACCTCATAGACATCTAACAGACAGTCATCTAGCCAAGCCAGGCGGAATTATGTGTTCGATATGGATTGTATCGCTGCTTGGGCCGCGGCCGATGTAGATAAAGAGCTGTTCACTCTTCTCATATTTGTTCTACTGTCACCTTGATATTGCGGTGGGAGAAGACTATCTGTCGTCAGAGAAACGGTGAGGCTTCTGCCCAGTGACTCGCTCAAATCGGTCTAGTAGGGCATCGTCGATGATTCTGGTTCCGGACTGGTTGATTGGTTTGGCGTAGTCGATGGGCTTCACCTTGCCGTCTCGTCCCCTCTCACCGTAGACTACAATATCTCTGCACCTTCTGTCATCGCCATATGTAGATAGAGCTTTATTAGGTAATGATTACAAGAGGGAAGGAGGTCGAGAAAGACCCTTGACCTACCGCGACGCCATCAGCATTAGCTCAGATAACGAAGCATTTGTGCTTTCATTTATGAATACTTGCAATTATATCCCTTGTTTTGTACACATTAATCGCCAAGGCTGCGCTAAAGCGCCACCAAGCCGTAGGATGTCCAGTTATCTACATCCGCGCGAGTCAGAATTACACTTATTTCACGGTTTGGGAGTTTTTGTTTGCTACCAAAATTGGTCTTATGACCAATACCTGCAGGCTTGGCTTCTTGAATGCTTCAAGTTTATGCTAGAAGGCCTTAAGAGCTAGGACGGAAGGACTAGTGATATAGAAGCAGACAAAATGGAAGGATAGTGGCCTGATGGCTGCCCAACATCTTCCATTATGTTAAGTGAAGCGATCGGCGATTGTAACGAATTCCTGTTGATCTCGAAGTGTGGTGACCAGACACACTAAGAGCCTCCTCTGAGCCTATTGCAAAATCCCTGTTTGGCGGACAGGCTGCTCTAGCTTATAAGGGCGAACAGTTCCCTCCCATAATCATTTATATGCTTTTATTTAAGAGTTTTCCCTCAATTTGTTATATTATTTTAGCTACGAACCTAGCTAACGGGTTATTTGTCGAACGTCTAAATCAGAAGACCACAATGAAGACACTCGACTGGCCGCAGGCAAGTATATAAAGATGAGATTCTCAGGGCCATGGTGTCGCTAATATCAATGCTAGATACTTGAGAGATTCCAAAAGGGGCCTTTCTGGGACTGTGTAAGTGGTAACTGCACTGGAGTTGGACAACACGACCTTTGGAAGCTAGGGAATGCTTACAGCGGTTTATGTAGTGCCGATGCACCGGTGGGACATATACCGTTCAACAATCCGAGATATGTCAAAGCTGTGAGCATGGGCGTTGCATCGCCTGCCCTATCTGGACGGAATAAATATGCTTGTGAGATGAGATTGAAGTGATGACTGAGGGGTCAAGTTTGGGCAAGCCCTGACTATTCCATTGAACATTCATTACCCGCTCACTCCTATAGTGAGAGCGTCGATAGTATTCCACAATTCCATATCGTATTAAACTAAAGTGGTGGAACATAGTTACTAGATCTAGCGTAGTGTATAGTGCCAGACTAGGCAAATATAGCGATTGGAATGGCTGCTTTTGGCGTACAAATTGTGCGAATGACCATCGCACAGGCTGTGGCGCCGTAAGCCGCCACGGCCAAGACGGACACAAAGACTGACAAGGCTCTCTGGCCTTCAGCTGTTTATATTCCAGCCGGAGTGTCGCTGATAAAAGAATACGCAATTTCAGTTGGCGGCTTCTTGATTGCAAATGTCTTCCTGATCAACCGTAGACATTCTTCCACAATTTACATTCGGCCTACCAGCATATCTCCAGCACACTATGGACGATACCAAACCTAGGAAAGTCAAATACAGCTGGATGGAGATAATGCTCCTATGGGCAATGGACCTGTACGCTATACCATCAATTATCTTTGCCAGTTGTAGCTTAACACAGTGGCGCAAGGTACCTTCTGATGTATACCAACTCATTGCGATTTATTATTGTCCAATTCCTTCTCACTCTCACACCCACACTATGGGCCCCACGGGAGTGGGTCGCTACCTTAAGCGCTAGCATAAGTGAGCAACCAGTATATATAGATGACGAGACGATGAAGGCATGGTCTCGTTTGGATTCCAATGGTCGGTGCAAAACATGAGCGGAGAAAAAAGAAGCCATCTTGGATCCAGCTGCTAGTGCTTCAGGATGGTACGGTCCAGGAGCCTATCTCGCTTGGCTGATAACCGCCTATGTCACAGCTCTTTCGACTATATGGCATTCAAAATGCTCAAGGCAGCATCCTGACGTGAACAAAGTCGATGCAGAAGTCCTCCTCACTCTCGGTTATCCGCTGATCGCCATGGTCGATGTTGTGGCCCGTCTAATACGATGTCAGATCGACCCCGGAATGTCTGCTGCTGCGTTTGTCCTAGTATCGAGCCTGACCATTGTTGGACCCCTGACTAGACTATCCTGGCAAGAAGACGGCGCCGACATGGCGGTCGAACCGGTTTTTTATCCTGTCACTGTGAAAGAATGGACATGGAAAACGATGCGCTTCCTGTGCCATACGGTGGTTTATGCCATTCTCTTTGAACCGTATATTAACACCCGACTGATGCTAGCTATTTACATACTCTTATCTATTACTTTGTTTTATTCTGGAGTTCGTGGGGAGGGTCTGCTGAGGACCTCCCCCTACTGGATAGCCGTATACCGGCCGCGAGGAGAGCGGGTGGTGGCATTCTGCATTATACAGATCATTTTTAACAGTGTGTTGTTCTCGTTCTACCATTCTATTTGGCCTCAGACTGATGCCATCTTCTTTGAACTGGATCAGATTGCTGGTTTGTTTCTTGCCATGGCAACGTTGGTATATTCCCGGCGAGAGAGAATTGTGACATCCCTAAAATGGGTGAAGGGATTGAAATGGAAACGAACCAGTACTCCACAGCCAGAGACAACTAAATGAACTAATTGAAAAGGCTCATCATGTATCAGAGTATACAACCCGGCGGTCGACCCTTTGGAATGCCAACGGTGTCAAGGGGCAGGATGCGGACTCTGTACTATAACTAATATACCCCAATACATTGTTCCGCGAATTGAGTTGGCTTTACATTCTCACTGATTCAGGGCGATGAAAAGGTAAACCTGTTCAATACATCACTTAATGAATTGTCGGTGGACGGCAAGTCGTGACATTATTCGTGACCGTTCCATGAAATGCAACGCTGACCCCATATCAAATCTATCTCCCATCTTTTACATTCTAGCTACACTATCTATTCCCAATTAAACTACTATGGAGTATTTCCTCAATACCTAAGGCAATATAACTTGTGAAAATAGGCGATGGCACTCAATTCCCCAATTCGCAACCTCAACGCGACATCACTTCGCAATAGCAGCAACCAGGAGAAAAGCAGTATCTGCACGGTATAGTTGACATGGGAAGGCAAAGTCTATCTCTGCGCATAATTGGCGAAAAAAAACCCCCCTAATTATATACCTCCAGTAACGGAATCCCATGCTCGATAACAGACCTATCACCGCCGACACCCGTATCCTCCCAACCTTGTATTCCCAATGATTCAACGTCTCGCTGTACGACACGCAGAATGACTCATAGACTGGTAGACAGATTCCGATACCGAAGAAGATCAATGAGGTGATCGTCGGAGGTATCTTGCACTTTTCGGATTGTCTGTCTGAAAGTCAGGGTTCCGGCGAGCCAGATGCTGAATCTTCGACGGAGCCGACAGGGAAGGCACTCAACTCGGAGGAGTTCGTTAAGACCATTGAGGAAAAGATGCGGAGCCCAGTGCGGATGCTGCCGAAGGACGAGGAGTGTTGTTGGTGCTTGGGAGATTGCGAGCGGGTTTTCAGACATCGAGGGACTTGCGATTGACCTTGGGAGAGGGCGTATGCAGGTGACTTACATTGCTTCGCATGGTGGGAGTGTTAATATCAGCCCCAAGGGGTCTATCAGTTTCCCTTATGGTGCTGCTGCTCTGACGCAGAAATGGATACCCTGAGGAAGGGTAGAGATTTGGTAGACGCGCTACCTAGGGAAACTCGGTCTGGTTATCAGCCGTGTGTATCCTACCGGCGTCATCAACCCGTCGAGGCCTCGCGCATTGCCGACTGCACGCTGGACCAATGACCAGGCCTGGGGAAATAGAATAAAGAGGGTATTGGGTTGGGATTGTCGCTCCACAAGGTGGCGTTCGATCCCACCAGGTTAAAGAAGGAACTAGAAACAGATCTCAAGAAGCTGCGGAAGGCCGGCAAGAAGAAACACTGGATTGGGGGTCGGAATTGCTGGAGAACGAAAGTCGATGTAATTATAGTGGAGGAGGACTTATTCTAAGTATGATATTATGATGGGGAAACATTTGGCAATCAATGGTTCTGATAACACACAATCTAATCCTGATCCGATTACTCATGTTTGGCCTTTGCCTTTCTATTATTTTCGCACGGTCCTCTTATTCTCTCCGCTGGCTACCCCCACGAGATTTCCGTACTTCAGTGTATTCATAGTGGCGGCAAATTGATCCGAGGATGGCGAGACCGTGAGGATCATGGCAGAATAACTATCGCTCGAGTTCGAGCCCAGGAAATGGTCGCGCAGAACCATAGTCAAGGGGGAAGATCTAAAGGGAATACGTGCTTGTTTGAGAGCTCGTGCTCGGACGACCTCTTTCAATGCGAGAAGGTCAGTGTTGATCTGCCTGCCTTCTTGTTGCTCCTGAGGTGTCTGTTTTGGTCGAGGCACAGCCGAAGTCGTTTTATCATGATAGTATTCTGATCCAGCCAGGTCGACAAACACTAACTTCCCACCAAGGCATGCACGACCGCATGATTCAAACACATGTCGGACCCTATCCTCAGCTTGCTGCACATAGGACTCGAATTCGGCTTTCTTGGCCTCGGCGGCATCAATTCGGGCCTGGTCAATCTGGTAGTCTGGGTTTGGGACATATTTGCCCTCCGGGGTTTGAATGAACCCCTTTGAATTCTCTTCAATGTAGATATCCGTCGCGCGCTTTCCTACCGGGACTAGTTCGGATTGCCGGTCGATGACTGCATCGCGAGCCTCCAGAAGTGCTCTCGTTACAATCTCCAGTTCCAAAACGGCATGTGTCCGTGAGCTCTGGTCATGGATCGTTGACGTTCCGGTCGCTCTCAGCTTCAGCCCCGCCAGGAGCTCCTGACGTAACTCATCAAAGCTCCAACAGGGCTTCGTGACAATTGGACGGACTCGGACCTTGCCCTTTTCGAGGACTTCTGTTTCGCCGCGGATATGAGTTTTCCCATCAGACCCTTCCCGGACGTAGCATTGGCAGCGCTTATTGAGCAGATCGAATGCTACATTCTTGCGCAATTCAAACACGCGAATTCCAATGCCGAGTTCTTCGGCAGGGTTGCTGATGTCACGGTTGAGATCAGTGAGTGCATCGCTGAGATGCCGAGCGGCAGCTAAGCAAAGACCAAATTCATCGGAATTCTCAAAGTCGTATCCGATAATTGTATGTGATTTCCCACTCCCCGAGTGGCCGTAGGCAAAGAAATTGCATGATCGTCCGTCCAGGACGTGTGGAAGAGTTGGTGCGACTGCCGCTTCGAAAACTACTTTGTTGTTGTCGTTTGCTTCGAACACCCGGGTGAATGCGGCCACGCTTTTCCACGGTCGCTCAGTCAAAGACCGTGAAGCAGGAGTGAGTGATGTAGACACTCGGCCACTGTCGTGTTGATTATGGGTGCGCTGGATCTCTGGTGTTGTTGCCTCGCCGGGGGAGAGCGGCCGCCAGCGGGGGTACACTTTGAATTGATGCATGATAGGAAACTTAAGAAGACATTATTAGGGGAAAGATGTGAAATATTGACATTCCTGAGAGATCCAGAGGAGTATTTAAGCATCTCGTATACAATACTAGTTTTCCCCCTTTGTGGGTCTTGATATTCCATCCGGGGTCTTGTCAATGTCCGAAAGTCCGGCAACATAAGACCCTTAAATGATGCCTAAGGCAGTCAGGGGTGGATGGCCTCAAAAAGTTTCAGGCCACCTTGGACTAAGCATTAATGCCTAAGGCATCATATGTCAATTCTCGTCTGGAAGACTGGAGTGTAGTAATTTCTTACATGATAAAATATTTCAAACGAAAGCTTAAAAGTATTCAGAAACTGTACATCCTCGGCCCTTGGTATAATAGTAGGTGATCGACATTACCATCCATCGGCAGTCTCTTGGATCCCCACGATATTCTACTCCGCATTTTGTCGCAACCACAACCCAATGAGGAAATCGCTGCGAAGGTCTTTGCATTCAAGCTCCCATGTGATCGATAGTGGTCTGGGTCCGTTGTGATACAAAAGCCTCCGATCCTGCCAAATGTTGGACCTTAATCACAATCGTTAATTGAAAATACTGCAATAATCATGTCGACGAACAATCAATTCCAGCTGTGTCTGTGCAAAGCACAGTCTCTTTTCACTAGGCTCCACCCGAGCATGCAACATGCATTGTTGAATCCATATGTGCAGACAAGCCTCGCGGTTCTACTGGCCCTTGCACTGGTCAAGGGCCTCAACGGCTATCTCTCCAAGCGTGTGCAGAACAACTGGTTGCGAATCGACAAATGGGACCCAGCCAGAGAACTAGTGGCGCTCACCGGAGGATGCAGTGGGATTGGCAAGAAAATCATGGAGGACCTCTCTCGGAGAAAAGTCAAAGTCGTGATTCTAGATATTAACGAGCCGGATTTTTCCTTGCGTGAGTTCCCTTTTGCTTCGCCATCACTTTATGTAGGTGACTGACTGACTATCGAAAGCCCCAAACGTCTTCTTCTACAAGACCGATGTTACCTCCCGATCAACCGTCAAGCAGGTAGCCAGCCAGATCAGGAAAGACCACGGTGAGCCCACCGTCCTGATCAACAATGCCGGTGTCGGAACGATGGACACCATTCTGGACAAGCCAGAAGACCAAATCCGTCTCACGATGGAAGTCAATACATTGTCGCATTTCTGGACGGTGAAGGAGTTCCTGCCCAGTATGATCCAAATGGACCACGGCCACATCGTCACGGTCGCTAGCATGGCCAGCTTTGCCGGTATCGGGGAAATCACCGACTATTCCTGCTCGAAGGCAGCGGCACTGGCATTTCACGAGGGCTTGAGCCAGGAGGTCAGACATTGGTATGGTTCGAAGAAAGTCCGGACAAGGTATGCCTATCTCGGAGTGATCATGACTGCATAGCCTCCAAAGGAAGGAATGCCAACGCTGACGGGGTCATCAGCATTATTCACCCGATCTGGGTCCGCACGCCGCTGATCGACGCCATTCTCAAAGCTGGGAAGAAGTGGAAACAGCCGGTATTGGAGCCTGAGGAAATTTCTGCGGCCGTGGTTAACCAGATCGTCTCTGGGGATGGTGGACAGGTTGTCGTGCCCGGCCGGTATGGAGTTGCTGCGATGCTTAGAGGGTTCCCCAACTGGATTCAGGAAACGATCCGTGACAGGCTTTCCCTGGACTTTGTTATGCTTCGGGAGCTGGAAAAACAATTAGGGAAATAAGACTGTGACATAAACTGGTAAAGTAAATGTCAATTAGCGAATCCACACGGAAACTGAATTTGCAGTATGACATTGATAGCGTGCTCGGTGTTGAACTTATATATTTCCGAATCTAGGGTAGAAGGCGGGCTAAGGTCGCGAACGATAAAATAAGGCTGATATCTCAACAACTAACCGTATGCAAAATTCAGTGAGATATCATTATGTAGTACCGCTGTTGAACTTTTGGAGCTACGCGGCCATTTCTGAGACGGCGAGGATGACTAGAGAAAAATATGGCAAGGTATATTTAATACGCTGAAGGATATATCTACATACGGTTCATGCACATTCGCTCACATATAGATCGGGGTAAATCATCACTCGCACACACACACAGCTGCGTATTTCCTCTCGCTCCTGTACTTAGTTTTGGTTTTCTTTAAGTTATGCCTCACCCTGGCCCTTAATTGGCAAGTATTCCTGGAGGAACGCCTTATAGTCCCGTAGAGCCACTTCAAATGGTTCACCATAGTAAATCTCAAAGTGGCCTACGTTTTCATACCACTTAATCACACCTTTAGGAGTCTCTTTCGCATATGCCATAGTTACATCAGCAGGTGCAACAGAGTCGTTGCCGCATATGGCAAACAGGATCGGGCATTCGATCGTCGATGCGTAAGAACCAGGTCTCAAAAATGGGAGCTTCAACGCCAGACGAGCAGGCGCCTTTTTCTGAAATGGGAATCCTTCAGGGACAAGTGGCATAAAAGTGCTGAGCACGTCTGGAGCATTCAGAAAAGCAGCTATCTGAAACGTTAGCTTCATTGGCATGTTTTGTCCGTGGACGACATGAACGTCATCACTGACCTTCTCCTGGCTTGCCAAAAAGCGATATATTAATCGGATGTTTGTCGGTACCAAAGAGGAGATCCAAAAAACCTAGGCCTGCAAGCTTCGGGATCGTCGTAGTGCTTGCACAGAGACTACTCTGCCAGCCATCGGTGAAAGGACATTGGCAGATGACAGCTCTGATTCTCTTATCAGTAGCGGCGATCTGCATGACATGCCCTCCACTGAAAGATGTTCCAAAAATGCCGACTTGGTCTGGATCAACGTTCTCCAATTGACGCGTATATTTGATGGCAGACCTCCAATCATCTTGCTGTTGATTCCAGTCAATCAGGCCTCTTGGCAGACCCTCAGATGCTCCGTTGCAGCGGTAGTCGAAGACGACACATGTGTATCCCATTTGATTGAACTTGTCGGCATACACATCAAGCTTTAGCTCTTTCGTTCCACCTAAGCCGTGGGCTAATACGATGGCGGCTCCAGGATTTGATGCCGTAAATGTTTGGGACGGGTAGAGCCATCCACACATCAAATCTTCCGAAGAAGCAATTTGGATGTCAACACGACGTTCAATCCCTGCGTCAGCCATATTTAGTGTTAGAATTTTCTTGGTTTTTGGGAGAAGGGGTAGGAATGCTTTTCTATCTACCAGCGCGATTCTCCAAAGACCTCTCTGGTTGTTAATTCTTACCCTAGCCACTACGTAGCTACCTCGGCCTCCTCCCCCTGTGTGCCATTTTTGATTCCTCGGAAAATGGAGCGAGAGATATGCTGTGCAATGTAACATTGGTGTATATTCGACATATATTATTGATCCAACGATATAAGTGATGGAAACCTGGGGCTGAGGATCTGCGTTGCCAGCTCCTCTGCATAAACTAGCTACTAAATAATAACAAACATGGATATGAGCTATTTTGACACGTATGCAAGTTGTCCAGGTCAATCATGTTCTACTATAGAACAAAAATGGCCATCACGGCGACGACTGACTACTTACTTTCGTGAATACATATTCAGAGAGAGAAAAAAACCGACAGTAACCCATTTCTTTAGTCTTCGTGTCACCCACCTCAAGCTCTTCCTAGTCACAACTTCTCCGGTATATTATCTTGAGTGATCACTTTCAGCAACTTATCTGCTGTCAAATGATCCGAGACATTTTTCATCCGGTGGACATAAACGCACTTCCCATCTTGGAACACCCATTCGCCACCGTTTTGCCCCCAACCACCTCCCTTCAGGGCCTGCAATCCACTGCGAAACATTTGTTTCGACGCAGTGCCCAATGCGCGGAGGAAAGATTTCTCTGTGTACGATGGTGGCATGGTGATCCCTGAGATACTTTTCTTCATGTGTAGTTTCTCATAGATCTTGCCAGAGGGGTCCGTATAGATTGGGAATGCCGCAGATGTCTCGGCGACATAGGGGACGATGGCAGCCGGGTTACCACAGCCGATAATGATCACTTGAGCTGGCCCGCTGGGACTAGGGAGAGTAGATAGCACCGACTCGGTCAGGCGTCGGGATATTACATGGACATAATCTTGGTCGTAGGCGCAAAAGAAGTGGCGTACTTTGGGTTTGAATGTTCAGCGACGGTTTGAGAAATGCACTAGCAGGGCAGCGGGAGTAGCCACCCCGTAGCAATAGAGTATTAGAGTCTGAACATACTGAATATTACTATCGTGGTGATGTGATCACCCTTGCCGGCGATCAACTCACCGAATCGAACCGCTTCGCCATTCGCGGATTGCAGGTCAAGTTCATACGCTTCGCAGAGGTCTTTTTCGGTCGGAACCTCATCCGGGCGTCTTATAATCGTTGTGTGTGACATTATAGCTATGAGAAAGACAACTAGCAACAAGGGGAGTATCGATATGGTCTATATAATCATGCCAGCTTAGCTTGAACAAATACAGACGTGAGGACAAATCGTTTCCATGGCTCACTCAACGTGGCGTTCGATCGCATTATCCACCCCGTAGTTCCCAACCCAAATGAGATAACTTTAACAGCTCTTTAGTCGTGAGCTAGACTGTCGAGCATGTGGTTGGCTTTCTTATTGATCAGACTCATAGGGCTTCGTGACCTCACGCCACCCGGCCCTTCTAGATCCCCATTGTCCTGATCACCATTAACGCAGTCCAGACTTCCCGGTGGCAAGTGGGAAGCTTGACATTCGGTCCATCTAAACGGTGGCTAATGATAATTCCTTCTGTTATCGCTTCGCTATTGGGTCCGCATGAGCATATGGGCCTCTCGCAACTGTTACAGCTACGAGTGTACCGGCCTCTCGTTCACTCCAATTTGCTAGGTTAGTATATACATCGCTAGGTCGCAAGCTGAGCGCGTATCTTTTTACAGGTGGTCTAGGATGGAATATCACGTACGGTGCGGTCCTCGTCTTATTGGATCCAGGTATCTACTTCTGTGGCGTGTTATAACTCTTATTTGTGCTCAAATTTAAGAAGCTTTCACTTGAGAACGCGAGTGCAGTTGGGTGGGCTCATCCCACGCAACATACAGGTCAATAGTGCTGTTCCGGTCGTTGTACATGCCCCATGCGAGGTGAGAAGAATGGTTAGAAGTATCTACTACTCTAGACCTTGAGTGCTGCAAAAGTATCACTAATGAGGTGGTAGTTCCTGTCAAGGATTCGGATATAGCTATACGCTTGACCTTGAACCATATATTGACAGAGCGTCCCGAGTCAGCCAAAGGGAAAACCCCAGCATTCCAACAGCCCTTAGGTGGAATGTAACGAGGCCTCACTTTGTTACAATGTTGACCTCCAATAAACTCTCTTTGTTCCCTCACACCCGGAAATTGCAGAACAGCTTAGCTCCTTCGCTCTAACGGAAGCTCGGGATTTGATCCCCGCAGATCCCACCGGAGCCTTGCGTTGTCAACCTGCCATATTCTATCTGATTTGTTCGAGCGACTCAGGAAAACCACTTACTGAAACAAGGTCATAGACCTAGACTGGCTCTTTCAGTAGTTGCATCCTTGGTGAACTTTAATCATGGTAGTTTATTGTTTCTTTTTTTGAGCTCCATTCAACCGGACTAGGATCTCACTTCATGAAATCCTGCAGGAAGCTACTGCCCCCGCCAAATTGGTTTCTCGGAGCTGGCGTAGGTAAACCCACCGGTATTTCATAAGCCTAAATGGATTAGACTGGTCGATCTGGGGTATGGGGTTGACTTACCCCAGCTTCTTTTCAAGCTTTCCACTCCGTTCGACCGGGATCGTCTACGTTGATCTATACGAGATCAGGGCATTCGCGGATTCATGTTGCTCATAGCTCCCGTCTATGTATAAATATGTACTAGGAAATAAACTGGCCCTAATCCATAATATCCAAGGAGTCCCTAATCTTTGTTCATTTAGTTTTGTGCCCTGCATATACAACGATGGCCGACCGCAAAACGGAAAGCGAACTGGAGCTCAATCACTCCAAAATGTCTCCCTCGCAGGATGGTACAGCGATGCCAGCACTAACGACTGTCCCTACATCAATTACCCTAACGACAGAGCAGTTTGAGAAACTGTACCTCACCCCGTTGAGACACCATCAGCCAGCCCTAACCAAAACCTTCGGAAACCCTACTCCACTGTGTGGCATCCCAGAACTTCACCTACTATTGGTCCCAAGTACTCACAGAATACAATAGGGCCCTAGGTGGCTTCGTGGTGACAACCACACCACTGTCCTGTTGCTTGATGGCCTGGCGAGGAGCCGGTGGGAATGGAATTGCGTTCACGTAAAGCAACAACTGGATCCAACTCTATATTAACAAGCTGACACGGATTAGGGGACCCATCATCTTCCTCGGCGGAACATTACTAGTCATCACCAGTATCCTGGAGTTTATCCTAGGAAATACCTTTCCCTGCGTTGTCTTCGGCACCATTGGTACCCTCCTCTCCAGACAGTACACGAAGAGCTATATAACCAGACCTAACCAATCCACAGGAGCCTTCTGGTTTGCCTTCGGCGCAACTCAAACTCCAGCATTCAACGCCGCTGGTACATCCATCCCCCATCCCTCTATATCTAATACTCAAAGTCTCAGCTAACACTCCCGAGCCCCATACTCCCCCTCAACAACAAACACAATGCAAGGCCTCCAGAGCCCCGAATTCCTCAATACATACGGTATATAACACCACCCATCACCCATCACCCTTTAAATCCTCCCTCACTAAACCAACATCCAACAACCCAGCATTTCTCTTCATCGCAATGGCTGTCCTCGTCACTATCTACATGATCTGCGCCACCCGCACAAACGCAGTCTACGTCCTCATCTTCGCCTCCCTAATTATCGTTTTCGTCCTCCTAGCCGCCGCATACTGGCGTCTTGCGGACGCGGACACGGTAACCGGGAACCGGTTGGTTGTTGTATGTTTCCCTTCCTGATCTTGGATTGGGTTAGATATTAGGCTAATGTACGTTGTTGATACGTTGTTGATAGGGAGCCGGTGCGGCACTTTTCGTGGCGAGCTTGTTAGGTTTCTATTTGTTGGTTGTGCAGCTGTTCGAGGCGTTGGGGTTTCCAATTACTTTGCCGGTGGGGGATTTGAGTCGGTTTTGGGTGGGGTTGGAGGGGAGGGGGAGGTAATGTTACTTTTCATTATCCTCTTTTAGTTGGTTGCCTTTGATATTTGGGTTGTGTGCTGATGGGTTTATAGGGGTGAACAGGATGTGGAGATGGTTGGAGATGTTGGGGGGAAGGCGTAATAGGGCTTTTAGTATTGGGTTGTTGTTGCCAGGTTGATACTGCGATGATATATTTGTGGGTCAATTGGGATGGGGTATGCGGAGGTTTATTCATGGTGGTGTTGGTGGCCCTGGTGTACAGTGTTGTGTAGATGCATCATATAAAGGGAAAGTAAATATGGTTTGTGGGTCAAGTCTAGTGTCTATAAATGTAGATACCATTTTAATTGCGACGAAAGCTAATAGGAATTCTCAGAATAAAAATAGAAGAAAATGCATAGTCTAAGGCTCTTACGCATTCTATTACCGCCCCCTTCCTGTTCTCCCTTTGTGTGATCTTATTCAGGTTCTTCTCACATATACACCCCTTCACTGTCTGTCCAGTTTGACCCGGAAGGCTGCTGGGTTCACTGCCGTCGCCCGGCCATCCTCGTTGACGTCAACCACAAGCAGTGACAGGCTCTTACCGCCATAATTCGTGGGGTCTATAAGGTACAGATCATTGACGTCGTATAATCTCGACACGAGTCTCTGCGGCGATCCGACCTTCTTTTCCACTGTCGGGGTGTAAGGGTGAAACGCTACATGGCCAGCTGATTGAATGGTTGGGACCAATCTCGTGTCCTTCCCACCGAGGATTGCCTGCAACAATAAGGTCATGTCGGTACCGTTGCTGATCCATGAGGAGACCACCAGACCGGGGGAGGAGCGCGTGGGCGGGCTCAGCGACAAGGTCAAAGATGAGTTCAGTCCAGCGACGGAAGACCTGTACGTGCCGACGTAATTTCGTTGAGCTTCCAAGGCGGCCTGGTCCAACAGGGCAGGGAGAACAGAGTCGATGATCAAATCAATCAGGAGCATCATGGACTCACTTCGAGTGGGTAGAGAGCTCGTGGCCAGGACGCTGAACCCCGCGTCAAAGTCTGGCAAGACTACAAAAATACCGCCGGAGAAGCCTGCATCCCCAAGCTTCGTGTAAATATCTGTCACGACTCCCGAGCCCGGATGGACGTAGCGGTAGATCTCCCATGGCTTGCCAACCGAGTATCGGAGATCTGCGGTATGTGTGCCGGGCTTGATCCACTTGCGGGTCTGGTCTGCGGGCAGGAGAGTAGAGTTCAGGATGGCGACGCCGAACTTGGCAAGGTCATTGATTGTGGATAGTAGTCCACCGGAAGGTCTTGTAAAGCCAGCGTTGATCGCAAAAGCTTCGATGGGTCCAGCGATAACCGAGCGCGGGCGGTTCGAGTCGTTCTCTGCTGGGGGGTTAGAGAGAGACGAGGTCATCTCCAGGGGATCGAATATGCTCTCCTGCCAGACTTGATCGATGGTCTTCCCTGTTAGGTTCTCAATGGCGAGACCAAGCAACATATACCCATTGTTGGCGTATTGCGGGCTGCTCCAGGGAAGGAAGACAGGAGCTTTGTCCGCCTCTGCCTTCGCGAGGGGTACCTCATCACAGAAAGGCCGGTTATCACCCCAGCAAGCTGGCCAAAGATCTGGATCGCTTTCGTTCAGTGGGGGGAGGCCCAAAACGGTGGGGTTCGTCTCCGCCGTATCATTTGACCCTTGAGCCCTGGCCAAGGCATACGAAGCCAACAGCTCCTCCTCACCCCCACGTGGGATGCCGCCCATTTGCCCTGCAATTGCACTGAGCGTGATTTTATCCCACTGCGTGTCATATACAGGTTGAAGATCCCCAGACTTCTCACGGATGAAGTCTGCCATCTCAGGCAAGATATCTGTGAGCGGACGGTCCCAGTCTTTGCTGTCCAATTCGAGCAAACCCGCGAACACAGTAAAGAGTTTCGAGACACTCGCCATGCGATAAATACTATCTCCATCTACTTTGTTAACTCCCAGTGAGGAATTGGCAACTTCAGCGCTGGTATGGTGAATCTGTAGTTGGTGGGCTGCTGGGTCATGGATCGAGAACATGCCGGCGGAGAAGGTCAGGTCTTTCAGTTGGGCTACCTCACTGTCCCTGGTGCCATTTCGCGGATTAAGGCTTGCTTTGAGCGTAGCGTGAAGCTTCTTCCAGCTCGCGGCAACGCGACTGGAGTCACTAGTGAGGTCGCGAGGGGCCGGATAGCTTGGACCCAGAAGCTCTGCAAGGACTCCGGGGGCGCAAAGAGGAACAATGGATAGGGCATAATGTAGGAGACGCATGTTTAAATAGATACTGGTCCCAGTTAAGCTGGGAACCGGTAAGTTTCAAGTTAATCTGTTTGCACATCTGATACGGAGTCTTCCAACCTGTTCTTATACCTTGCGGGAGATGAATCCAATACAGACCTGACGTAGCTATGTGCTGCGCATTGCCACGCTGTCCCGTAAGATAATCTAGAATTATAACAATCCTCTTGTAGGGCTGTGCCCAGTTATGCAGAACTATTGGCAGCAAAGGGCTAGCAGGAATCCTGATTGGCTGCGCTACAAAGGACCGAAAAGGGAAACGCCTGACATCACGAGGAACACTAACCCAGAAGCAGAGTTAGCGCTTTACGCAGGCATTGACGCTAGCCTGATTTGTTCCAACGCAGCGCTCGTGTTTCTTAGCTGATAGTTTCTTTGCCCTTGAGAACTATAATGACGATGATCATAATGATTGTGGCTGTGAGGTTTGCCAGCTCACCTCGTCTGTCCAGTAGTATATCCTTGGTATTAGTTCCGTCGGGGAATTGACCACCAAATCCTTGGGGGAGGGGTATCATCCTTGGTGTCGACACATCAGAATCAAGCTGCAGTGTCCGAAATCTTCCACCTATGTTAACAGACCAATAAAGCTCAGTTCAACGGGATTAGTGGTGGCTCACAGGCTTGCCTTGATGCACAGGACAAGGCTGAAAGGTGTAAAAATGGGGTTATCACGTCTATCATCTATCACTCTTTCAGTGGGACGGTTGATCCAGGATTCAAGGATAAAATACTACACATCAATTGTATGGAAAGGTCTATCTCGTCTTGATATTATGGAAGCTTTCATCTTCTACTTCCTCCAATCTCATTACATAAAATGTGGATGTTTGTCCTCCTCATCCGATGATTCATCCGACTCGCTCTCAGAGCTAGAGGATCCCTTGTTTTCGTCCTCTTCGCCGCTACCATCTTCCTTACTCTCCTTCGCCTTCTTGCTCTTTTGTCCCTTCTTTTTCTTCTTACCCTTATCATTCTTCGCCCCCTCATCCTCCTCCTTGGATGCCCTTTCCGCTTCTTCCATCTTTTTCTTTTCCTCCAGCGTCTTCTCCACCCACAATTCGACATGCGTGATGGCATCGAGGGGCGAGTTCTTGTGGCATAGCAGGTAGCCCTGGATCTCCGCGGGTGAGAATGTCAATTCGGGGATCTTTTCGGCAAACGTTGCCGCCAGCTGTTCCATGTCCACATCCGGGTTGCTCGGTCGTCCAGCGAGGGCCACTGCCTGGTCGGCTGCGGGAAGAAGGGGGATCTTGTCGGCCGGAGGTAGAGTCAGTGCCTCCGTTTCACTATCCTCAAAGTGCGATTCAACGCTAGGAGGGGTGTCTCGGAAGAGGTTTTGAAACATCTGCATCATCAGATTGCGGTTGGCCAGCTTGAACTCGATCTGATAGTCCACCCGGCCCGGTCGAACCAGCGCCGGATCAAGGTGTTCGTGGTGATTGGTGGTCATGATGAGCACGCGACCTTCCTGTGCGGCCACGCCATCGATCGTGTTCAGCAGGGCTGAGAGCGAGATCTTGTTGTTCCCCGTTCGCTTCTTTTTCGATTTATCCGTGCGCCGACTCGTCACTTCGTTCGTGTCGATATCTTCGAGCAGCACCAGGCATCGGCGGGGGAGCTCCTGGAACAACTGCGCCAGGGCGTCTTCCGTCAGTTGATTGGCGTTTACGTCCAGGATATATACGTTCAATCCCAGGAATCCTCCCGCCGCGAACGCGAGACTTGACTTGCCAGTGCCGGGCGGACCATAGAACAGGTAGCCTCGCCGGTAGGGTATCCCGCGATCGCTGTACCATCGCATGGTGCTGGGATGGAGATATTGCTGGACGTCTCGAATGAAGGTGGTCTTCTCCTCGTGGTCCAGAATTACGGTGGACAGAGGCCTGGCGGGACGCGCAGTTGACCGGGCCCAATAGAACTCGTTGTCATAGGCCCTCTTGGCGCCACGATAAATCACCGTCTTGCCCTTCTCCTTCTGCGAGTATTCCACCCGGGCTTCCAGCATCAGTTGTTTCAAGACGGATGCGTCCCATCCGAGGCACGAGATGCGTAGTTTGTCCGTGCGCGTGTAGAGCATCGTACTGCGTTCCTCGATTTCTCTGGTGACGGCCAGGTATCGACCGTGGTACCTAAAGTAGTGGGTGCCTTCTGAGGGCGACCACAGCAGCTGACGTGTATTAGCCAGCGAGGCCTTCCACCCGGAATCTTTCGACTCTTCGGCATCCAGCATGTCGTCTATGTCGCCATCGTCGGAGTCGCTGTCGTTCCAGTAATCGAGGCCACTATTCAGGGAGGTGCTCGCAATGAGCCGGTTCTTACTTTCATTGAACCGTTGCTTCGTTAACCAAAACAGCAGGTAGTTGTAGGCATCGTCGTGGGATCGCACTTCGATAGTGGAATATAGCAGGTCCAGCGGTAGGCTGCCCACCTGGTCCCAGAGGCTCTTCGCAAGATATGATCCTACGGCGAAATAGGAAAAGTAGAAGAACTTGCCGAAAGACGAAGAAGGCTCCATGCTGGCGATGACCGGTGGGAGCGACCAGTACTCCCCACGCCAACTGAGTGAACCAGTGACGATTCAAAGGGAGACAGAGAAGCACGATCCAGAGATGGTGAAGGCTTCACTATTTATGTGTTCGGCGATCTCAGCCTCATCTAGCGCCTCAGGCCGCAAGAGGCGTCACCTTTTGGTGTTAGTGCCGTTGGTTGCCTAGCCTCACATGACTTTTTGTGTCACTTTATTTTATTTTTTTTTTTGCCTCCTACTAGTACTGGGAGTTAGGGAAAGGTTGGACTGTCTCTTGGCCCTTTGGAGAGTTGCTTGCAGTGTTGAGTTGATCCCCATCCCGCCTTGGCCATAAAGGGTCTCCGCTTCATACAGTACATATAAATAGATATACCATACATACCATACCTATTTGGGTCCGGGGCCACGTGAACCCTCCAATATCATTCATGTAACCCTAGTCTGATAAGCAGACCGTCCAGAGCGACAAGTCTCGAGAACTGCTGCAACTGATTGCATTCCTGGCTGCCTATATTGATAAACATACCAAAACAGTCAGATTGATTTCTACATCCAATATTGGTCTATTCACCTGATCCCTAACCTCCGGTAGTTCCATCTGTCCCCGTTATTAACGGCTTAGTGGCCTTGAATGACACTTTTAGGGTAATGAAGTTGATAAAAGATCATCTACTCATCCCAGCTTTAGCTGTTGAACATATAACCGAAGTATATTAGAAAGGTACAGTAGGTTGATCCTTGGCTCGAAATATATAGTCACGGTCCTCGCGTACGTATAAACACCACCAACCATATCCTTGCCTTAAGTTTTGAACAAGCTTCGAGTAGTACTACATAGGCATAATATAACCGAGGCCCCTAGGAATGTACAAGTTTGTTTAGAGACCACTATTGGTTCCTCAAGGGGCGTTTGTTGATGACCACCCGGTGGGTGCCTGAGGCAATAGAAACCCCCACGTGCCAAGTCTTCTGAAAAGGGGATAGTGTATCCAAGCACGCAATCGGCCATTTGTGATATCATGGCAGTCAATCCAATCTTCCCCCTCCCAATCCTTCAATTGACCTGGTCAACTCCAATTTCACGCTTCAAAATGGTATCGATTCTTCCCCGTGCTGGTTTCCGAGCTTTCACAGCCCTTCCCCGGGCTGCTACCCTGCCCAGGGTCTCCCTCTCCTCCAAGCTTCCCCGCACACAGCTTCTGGCGCAGCCCATTGCTCGCCGGTTCGTCTCAAACATTCCCCAGGAGCAACCTCGCCTACGTCTAGGATCTACTGGTATACCTCCATACATCTGATTGAGCTACTCACGTCTGACCGTCAATATAGCCCCGAATTTCAAGGCCCAAACCACCAAAGGCGAGATCGATTTCCATGAATTCATCGGCGACAGCTGGGCCATCCTCTTCTCCCACCCGGCCGACTTTACCCCAGTCTGTACAACCGAGCTTGGTGCATTCGCTAGGTTGAAGGGCGAGTTCGAAAAACGAGGTGTCAAAATGATTGGACTGGTGAGCTTGGCGTGGTTCCTTTCCGGTTCTGGAGGTGACCAGGCTAACCAATGCGACTGACGTGCATGTAGAGTGCCGACGACCTTAGCTCCCACGGCGAATGGGTCAAAGATATCAACGAGGTTGGCAACACTAACGTCCAATTCCCCATCATTGCCGATCCCGACCGTAAGGTTGCCTTCCTCTACGACATGATCGACCAGCGTGACTTGGACAACATCGCCGAGAAGGGTATTCCCTTCACCATCCGTGCAGTCTTCATCATCGACCCCGCCAAGAAGATCCGTCTGACCATGCTCTACCCGGCCTCCACCGGCAGAAACTCCGCCGAGGTGCTGCGCGTCATCGATGCTCTGCAGACCGCCGATAAGAAGGGAATCGCGACCCCTATTGACTGGACTGTGGGCGAGGACGTGATTGTGCCCCCGTCCGTGTCGACAGAGGATGCGAAGAAGAAGTTTGGCGAGGTCCGGGAGCTGAAGCCGTACCTGCGCTACACCAAGGCCTAGATGTCAATGGTCCTGTATTAAACGCTGTACGATAAAACATAATTCAATTGAAGGGGTTCGATCTCTGACTCCGTTGCGCGCTGGTCGCGTTTTTGGATCGATATTTGAAGTAAGATGGGAGTGGGGAGTACGATGCGGTGCGATGCTGATCTTGATGGATATCCTGCGGCGAGGATCAATAAGAGGGAGAACACAAAGGAGTCGGTGATCCGAGTCTCAGACTGAATGGACGCTTCGCTCTGTCGGGCCGAAAAGGCCTTCCGGAAGAATAACGTAGAGAAGCCAAGGCCCGAAAAGAATGTCCTCCGTAGCTTCCCCCACACCCCCGCAAGTCCCAAGCTGAAGCTGTGTTTACCGGAACCGAGATAGCAAAAGGCGACTGACTGTTCCGCCGGAACCGTGGCAGACCGATGTACTTATTTCGATCATGTCCTTTCAGGCCATACGATTCAGTCCATTTATTATTCTGTCAATCCGATCATTTTTCACACGGTCTCAAGCTTCAAAAAATCAATATGTCCCTAGAAAATCACCCTGTATTCACACCCCGATGTCCTATGTTATTCCATCAACTGACCCGGCCTCGCAGACCGTCAACAAAGCCTCCGTACTCCGCCCAGGAGGTTCATTCTACTATGAAGATAGAGAAATCCCTTCGCTACAATCCGATCGCGATGTGATCGTACGAGTCGTCGCTACCGGCCTCTGTGGTTCCGATGTAAGCACCTATCGATCCAACCATTCACCCTTATCCGCGACGACAAATAACAAACGAGCAGGTCCACTACTGGCAACACGGCCGCATTGGTCGTTATGTCGTGGAAAATCCCATTGTCCTCGGCCACGAGTCGACAGGGATCGTCGTATCCCGCGGCGACAAAGCTTCCGGCATCGAAGTGGGCGATCGCGTTGCGATCGAGCCCGGAATCGCCTGCAATACATGCAACCCATGTCGCAGTGGTCGCTATAACCTCTGCAAGGACATGCGATTTGCCGCGACCCCCCCGTATGACGGAACCCTATCGACATATTACCGCGTGCCGGTGGAATGCTGCTACAAGCTGCCGGCGCACATCTCGCTGCGCGACGGGGCGCTAGTCGAACCACTGGGCGTCGCGGTGCACGGCTGCAGACTTGCGGGCGATCTGCAGGATAAATCGGTTATTGTCTTCGGTGCCGGCCCGGTCGGACTGCTTTGCTGCGCTGTTGCGAGCGCGTTCGGTGCGTCAACGGTTGTGGCTGTGGATATTGTGGCTGCTCGGTTGGAGTCGGCGAGGCAGTACGGGGCTACGCATACATACCAAATGAGCACAGAGAAGTCTCCCGAGCTGAACGCCGACGCGCTCGCAGCGACAGCTGGACTTAGTGATGGCGCAGACGTCGTCCTCGATGCTACGGGCGCTGAACCTTGCATCCAATGTGGTATCCAAGCCCTGGCACAAGGCGGGACATTCGTTCAGGTGGGACTGGGGAGGCCAAACCTGTCTCTCCCTGTTGGACAGATCTGTGACAAGGAGGCTGTCTTCAAGGGCAGCTTCCGGTACGGTCCTGGGGATTTCAAGCTGGCCATCGGGCTGTTGAACTCACAGCGCATCCGGGTCGATGGTCTAGTCACTCACGAATTCTCTTTCTCGCAGGTCGAGGAGGCGTTCCAGCATGTTGCTGGCCGGGGCGGTATTAAGAGTGTCATCTACGGGCCGGACGTGGATGCGGACGTCGCGAAGCAATCTGCATAATTTTTCCTTTTGTTTCATTCGGGTAATATACAGGGGGATATCATTCTATAAAACTGTACATTAGAAGTCATGACAAAAGTAAATAAATAAAAATAAAAAAAATAAAAACCGATAAATCGCATCACATCTTAACTAACTGCCCACCCCGTCCCATGTCATGTCCCATAACCAGTACATCCCACTTTCGCCATTCCCTAGATACGGGTCTTCTACGCTCATGGACACAGCGCCCGCGCCGTCCCAACCATAATCCATCGGGACCTGGAGTGCGAATTGCGGATCGGCGTTCTCGTGCGCCAGCTGATGGTTCGCCTGACCATCACCAGAGAGAACATTGACCGAGCGATCATTTCCCGGCGGAAGAACTGTATACAACACAAGAACAATCAGCAACATAACCTCAATCCCAAGCTATAAACCCTAATTCAGGATAATAAATCAACATACCGTGATGAACAGTACTCAAACTCTCGTTCAACCGTACCGCCCTCCCCGGATCCGGCCTAACCTGACTCCCACTCCCATTTCCATTCCCATCCCCCACCGTCTGATAATCCGCCAACGACACCCCCAGCGTCCCATCCAGCGGCAACCGCAGCGTATCCTCAACCGACATCCGCGGAGGCTGCGCGACATGCGGCATCGGCCCGAAGATAACCTCCGACTCGCGACGGAGGAGCATTGTCACCACGTTCTTTAACACCGTCGTGCTCTGTTTGGATAGCGCGGATCTCGTCCCGATTAGATCCTGGAGACGGAGAATGCGGGTGATGGTCCGTTTGACGACCTGGGCTGTGTCGGAGAGGGGTTCCGAGAGGGCCATTACCACCAGGACGATGGCGGCGTTGAAGAGGTTGATTGCCAGGAAGGCGACGAGGTGGCTGTCTGTTGCTAGTTGGGCGAGGACGGGCATTTCGGTTATGCGGGCGGTGCGCACGGCGGCGTTCATCCAGAGGTCGGTGGTACTGGCGGGTTGTTGTTGGGTGGGGGGGAATTGGACTTGGGGGTCGAAGGAGAGGCCCGGGGTTGGGGTTGAGTTTGAGGTTGTGGTTGAGTGGGTGGTGTTGGATCCGGTGGGGGAACTGTTGTCTTCGCTGGTGCCGTGGGGTCGGGTGAGGTGGTCGACTTGTTTTGCCAGCAGGGGTCGATGGAGGACGATGAGGACGTTGTCGTAGGTTAGTTGGAGGGAGAGGGATTGGAGGGCGTGGGCGCGAGACCCGGACTCGCCCGTGGGGTGGTAGTCGTGGTTGAGGTCTAGGGCTAGATGGGCTGGGAGACTGACGCGCCATCTTTGGAGTTCTTGGGTGGCGTACTTGACGAGAGAGGCGTATGTGTCGCCGGCGAGCTGTTGCGATGTTCGGAAGGTTCGTGAGCCGAATATTGCTTCGAGGGCTGGCGAGGCGATCAGGTAGAGGCGGTTCAGTTCGCGCTGGTACGCGGAGTAGCAGATCAGGCTGTTTTCGTCGGATGGTGCAGCGAATGATGGGCTTTCTAATATGTCGGCCGGCATGCTGAGATTGCAGTCTTTGTCGTTGATCCCTAACGGTCGACCGTATGTGATGGACGCAAATCGGTCCCAGGTGTAGATCGTCCACCAGACGCGTTTTCTCTCCTCAATGTCGCCGAATTCGCCTTGCACCGGTTCTCGGTGCATGCCCAGCGCTTGGGACATCTTGATTGTGGCCCCTAATAACGCGAAGGAGAGGTTTGGTCGACCGTGGTAGACATGATGCGATCCGAGGAGAATGCAGGTCTGCACGGCCGTCACCGACGGCTGGTCCATCAGTTCCACCAGGTTCGCCTCGATGATTCCGATCAGGTCGGCGCTCCATTGCCGCCAGTGATCCCGGTTGTCATCGGTGTTACTATCGTGTTGAGATCGGTACCACGCCGCCATCCCAAGCATGACCGCCAGCAGCAGGAGGAACGGCTTCTGGGAGGGATACGCCGAGCCATCTTCAATCGAGCGCAGCCTCCTGCGAAACTTCGGTTCATACACAACCAGCGAAAACCAATGGATCGCTTCAAAATACTCTTCCAACAGCTCATACATCAACTCGCCGATGGGTAATGGCCGGCCCAAGATCGAAGCGATCGGGAGCCGTTGACCGGCGACCGCCGACGGCGCGATAGGCGCACTGGTGCTTGCGCGATAGCCTGGGATGGCGAAAGTATTCCGCTCATCGATATGTTGACTGCCCAGTTCACATATTTTGCGCGCCAGGCCCATAGCCGACTCGGCCTCGCCGCAGTCGATGGCTGACCGGGCGCTGTGCTCATCCGGCGGAAGGAAGTCTGCGTCAGCGCCGGGCGCATTAGTGACTTGGTCCGGCATGTCCACTTCACGCTGAGGACTGTCCTCGCGATCCGGCGGCTGCTCGGCCGGGGTCATGTGTGGGGGCTTCGACTGACGCCGAGTATTTCTCGATGTTCGTCGGGATCCCACTCGACTGCATCGCAGCATCTACATATTAGCCAAGCCGAAGCAACGGGAGGAGAGGAATTCTGCCCACGTACTTTCGCCCAGCATTCTTTTGCTGGCTTGGTAGAGGTTGACAGTTCACATTGGCTCTTACACAAAGCGTGCAAGGTCGGAACGGATCGCACTGTCATATATTGTCCCTGATGTTCAGCGAAACAAACCCCGAGAAAATTTCAGGGTATTCGGCTTACCCGGGATTTATGTAGACGGCATCGCTCACACGCACTGCTCACCCGAGTCGGCAACGACGAGCGTAGATGTCTTCTTGTTCTCGTGGAACGTGGACTTTCTGTTGTTCCTTGTCGCATTCGATGATCTACTAGATCGTCCATTGCATGGTGGTCCGACGCCATGGCGGGTTTATGCAACAGTCGGATGATGTTTTGGAGATTTGAGTGATTTTTGACCCGATTCTTGGCTGGTTTTCCCCACACATCCCCGACTCCACGGTGGACCGCCGATTAGTGAGTGGTAGGTAGACTTCATGGTACTCCCTCGTATTGATTATAGTATGTCGAATTCTGGTGGAGGCATGATTTTGGGATATAAATATATATTATTTATTCTTATTCAACTTCTTTTCATACTACTCTATTGGTGAGTGTGCAGGTCTAAGATATAGATTAAAAGAACGTAAAGATACCTACCCAACACCTTCACGCCCTGTAAACCCTACTTTAACGACCATAGAAAGAAGTGGATCAGTAAGGCTTCAACGTAGCACAGCATGCTCACAATAAACCGCATTCAGATAGACACTCGTCCTCCAAGGATCTGAAATTCCTCTATTTCAACGTCAAAGCATAACTCCAATTGACCGAAGAAACTCTAACCCCAACCCCAACCCCAACCCCAACCCCTCAAGACGGCTGTCTAGGAACAACTTTTGAGAGAGCCTACTACCACCAAGACAACCTCTTCATCAAACGAAGCTTCCGTCCCAGCGAATTCCGCACCGGCTACAAAGGCCTTCACATCCCCCTCCTAGGCAAAGAGCGCCTCCAAAACGAAGCAGCCGCACTCCACTTCATCCGTTGCGTGAGCAATATCCCCGTTCCGCAAGTCTGCGTTGCCTGTGAAATAGAATGGCTCTTTTATTCTCAATACGGAGTATATGTCGACGGTATATCAATGGCTAGCCTACATGAAGAGCAGAAGGGAGTCATGTGCTCTGAGTTGAAGCGGCATTTGGATACTTTGAGTAAGATTACATCGAACCGTATCGGTGGGCCAGACAGAATTGTGATTCCTCCGTATCGGATTTTTGCATCGGACCACGAAGGAGGATTGGATGGTTCGGTTCTCGAGTGGGGAGGAATATGTCTTCTGTCATAATGACCTGTCGCAGAATAACGCTGTTGCTCATCCTAGGTCATTGGCCATTCGGGCCACTGTTGCTTGGGAGTATGGGAGTATGCCGGTCTTTTCCCGGGGGTATTTCGAGAGGTCGTTTTATGAGAGGCTAGGGCCTTCGGTGGCTATCAAGGGGAGGAGGGATGGGTTTCCTTTATGGTAGCAGAATTTATAGGTGGGCGGGTAGAGGGTACTCTGAAGCTTGTGTATATGTGGGTTTGTCGGGGAATGAGATATTGTAAGGTGCGTAACTTCGTTAACTTTGTTTTGCGGCATGATCTAGAAACCCAGAAATACATATACATATACAGTAGCTCAACTACGATCCCTTATTCCTAGGACCCCGCCTAGACATTCTCATGGTACTCGATTTGTCCCTCGCTCTGGCTCAACTCCTGCTTGGCCTTTGAAATGGACGCGCTCTGGTTTGTGAGCGCATGTTCCATCTCAATGTACCGCAGTGGCCGCTGAATGCTGATGGCCTCAGGATTACCATTGACAAAGATACTGTGGTTCTCGCGGAAGAAAATGTCGATATCCTCGAGAGCACGGTTGGCGGTCTCGGGGTAGAAGAAGTAGACAATAGGGATGAAAGAAAAGTTGAACACGGTCCAGATGATGTAGAACTTCCATCCAAGATTTTGGATACCGACCGGAGTAACTTCAACGACCATGAAGTTCATCGCCCAGTTCGTCGCGGTACCCAACGCAGCACCCTTAGTCCGCATACTCAGCGAGTTCAGCTCCACGGGGAGAAGCCAGCCAATGCCCTGGTAACTGCATCCGAAGAACAGGTAGTAGCAGAAGAAGAAGGCAACCGCTGCGGCTGCCACCTGCGTCTGGTGTGGATAGTCTGGCTTCTCGCTAAACCGGAGCAAAACGGTGATCATCAAGTAGCAGACCCCCTGGCCTAAGGCACACCAGATCATGAGCTTGCGTCGACCCCAGCCGTCGATCTTGGGGATGGCTAGCGTGCCGGCGATGAGATATGAGACGGAATTGCAGGCCGCGAGGAGTCGTGATAGCGTTTCGGATAGCTTGACGGATTCCATTAGGACGGTGGGTAAATAGTATGAAGTCACGTTGATACCCGCAAGCTGTTGCATGGCTTGCGCGCCGGCTCCTAGTATAAGTCGGCGTACCATGCAGGTGCCTCCCTGATCGCCGGTCTTGCCACGCAGAAGGTCTCCCCAGGAGACGCCGTGGTCGCGCTCGTACTGAGCTGCAGTGATGATTTCCGTATAGGCTGCGATGACAAAGGGATCGTTGACATCTTTGTCTTCGAGGTCGGCAATGATTTGCTGGGCATTTTCCGTGTGATCATGGCCGATCAGCCAACGCGGTGACTCAGGCAGCCATGGGACGGTGGCGTAAAGAACAAAAATGAAGACAAACTGGAAAGCCAGAGGGAACCGCCAGGAGGCCGGTCCAGGGACAAAGGAGAAGCCGAAGGTCATCCAGTTCGACAGGGAGTAGCCGGCGATGTTGAGGATCATCTCAATAATCACCAGCTTTCCTCTCCACTTGATTTGGGAAGTCTCGCCCTGCCACACGGGGGCCGTGGCCGTGTTGATACCGTTACCGATGCCAGCAACCACGCGACCAACAATCATTTGAGGGACGCTGTAGGCTGCGGTCTGGAGAATGGCACCGATGGACATGATTGTCGTGCCGACTAAGATGGTCTTTTTCCGACCCCATCTTTCTCCGAAGTACATTGCGGCTATCGCCCCGACTAGACATCCGACATCGTACACAGCTGTGATGGTTCCAACCAGGCTTGCGTTGTTATGTAAATGTAATACATCTAGGAAGTCTTTGGTTACAATGACGCCGCCTAAATTCGAGAAGGCAACAAAGTCAGTTAATTCTTAATCAAAACCGCGAGAGAAGAGAGAGAGAGAGAGAGAGAGTCATACCGAAGACACCCTGATCGTAACCAAACAACATCATATCCGTTGCACATGCAACCGTGACCCAGAATGTCAGCCATCCTCCCTTTAAGCCAAAGTATGGCTGATTGAGCCGACCCTTAGCCATCTCAGAGCTTTAATCATAGAAGATATATGTATGTTGCGAGGATACAAACAAATTGATCTCTAACTTATACGTCGTAAATCCTGGGGAGACTATATACTAGTCGCAACATACCCCAGTTTACTGATCTCCACCGCATGAGGAGCTCAACCTTAAGTCACAGAGTTACTGGAGCTCCACAAAGGGTGGCATATGAGGAAATTACTCAACAGGCACTAAACTAGAAACATAGTCTAACCCGGAGTAAAAACCTGGAGAAGCATGCCTATGGGGCTGAGGACGTTCGGTTCCGCCGGAACTTGAGCGTTCGAATGGTCGGTTCCGGTCTGCACACATTTCCGCCGGTCGGTACAACGTAGGAACAAAAGGAAACTAAACGTCATGATCAACCGGGACGGCTTGAGAATAACCAACATAATTATGAGTGATTTTTGGGTCCTTCGCACGCAGTGCGTCATCACGAAGGTCGTAGAAGCTAACATTTGTGGATGATCATCAGGAGTGCGGCAGTTGCTTCGTTATGTTATCCTAGTTCGGACTCCCTTTTGAGACTCAAGGTTGAGTGTGAGTTCAGAACTTTGAATTATCACTTCGCAACCCATTTTAGTTGACCATATTCGCGCGATATCATGTTCTCTACTGGAAGGTGAAAATACGGCTTGCCGTGCTGGCCTGTCGGCTTCCCGACGCGTGGGCGGCCCAATTATACCTACGCAAAGGCTATTCCAAGTTGAGCGATATTTTTACTACGATCCTCAAAGCCTGGTCCAGTGTCGTACATTGAAGTGCATTGCCAGATCAATTACAAAGAATTAAGTATGTTGCAAAATTATAGACTCAACCGCGGGTTTTCCTTTCCATAATCCAGCACAAATACACCAGCAACCCTTCCCCGGTCAAATCATGAAAAGAACTTATGAGACCATCATTTTAAATCTAGACACGCTCGGGCCAGGCTTCGAAGAGACCTTCAGAGACAGTCACGTTGCTGAAGGTCACCTCACCCGCGCCGTTGTGGAAGAACTTGATGTCAGTCGAGTTTTGATACCAGGAACTGCGAGAAACTATTAGTCAATCCCTTGTTGCCGACTGTGAGGGTAAACATACCGAGCCCAAGTACCCAAGGCGAAGCGTCCATTGGCATAAACCTCAATGACAGCGTTGTCCACAACGATTGTGAGATCCAAAGTCTCGATTTCCTCACCCTCACCCTGCAGATCGAACAACCGGAGACGTCCGGATTCATTGGTGCTGACGATTCCGTTGGTGGTCTTTGCAGCAGCGCTGGTGTGGCTGCGGTCAACAATGATTGACTCATTGGAGAACTGGTAGTAAATGGTGGTGCTTTCGAGGTCAGATGACAGAACTTGGAAACCAGCTTGGATGTCGGAGTTACGGGCAGAACGGGGGAAGGACAGCTGGGCTGTAAGGGCATAGAACTTGGTAGTAGGGGAAATCTGGAAAGGCACAACGCCCGCTTCCTTCGACGTGCGCTTGGGCTCTGTGATCTTCGGGCCAGACATAAGGGCTTCACGCGTCTCCCGGGCAATTTCAATTCCCATGGTCTTCAGTTCAATGCCAGATTGGCCACGCTCCACACGCCAAGAGGTTCCAGCCTCACGGGAAAGCTCGTTGTCAACCACGTTGGAAATAGTCTGGACACGGAGTTCACGGGGAAGCAGAAGGGTGCCAAGCCAGTTCTGTTGCGCGCTGGGAAAACCCTTGGCCTGCTCGAACAGGTCTCCAGTAAGCCAGACGAATGAGATGAAGCGATCAGGAGCGCCACTCTTGATGGACGCCTTGGACGTTGCGGGAAGGATCTTGCCAGCGGCGGCATAGCCGGAAGCACCCCAGTCGAGAACGCCAGCCATGGAAGGTGTGAAAGTAACGTTACCGTTGTTAGACACATTACCAGCAACCCAGAGCATATCATGAATGGATGACAGCTGGGGCACGATCGGGGTGCCAGACCCCTCAGTACCCAAGGTCATGAACATCTCACCATTCAGACTGTATCCCTCGTCATTCAGACCAAAGGTATTGCCAACTTCAAAGTTGAAGCCCCAGCCTCCAGCCCAGTCCCCGTTACCCCAGGTCGTGTTAACCTTCTCATGCCACCACTGACCGAGATATTCCCAGTCCTCCAGGTTCAGCTCTTTCTGATCCTGACGGTAGAGGAACTGACCGGGACCCTCTTCATGTACGCCACCAGAAATGGCTGCGTACCAGGTGCCGGGGGCACTTTTGGAAGCGGCGTCTAACTCTGGGCTTTGGAAGGCGTACGGATCGCGGAACGCGGTCACATTGAGGTCCGATGGAGGAAGAGGAATGACTGGTGGTCGATCGAGCTTGGTAAAGTTGCGACCGCCGTCAGTGGAGACGGCTAAGGACTGGGTCTCGGCTCCTGGGTTGTACGGAATTGACCAATGGATGGGCAGGGATGTGACTGAGGTATAGAGGAGGGTAGGCTTGCCGTCAATACCCTTCTCAATTATGGAACCATCAAACACCGCTATAGGGTCGTTCTTCCCTCCCGGTGTGATAAATTGGCTTCCATTGGGGTTAATATCGTGATATCTGACCAGATCATCGGTGGTGGCGCCTGAGATGCCAGTGCCATTGTACAGCCAGCCAACATGGAATAGACCAGTCTCCGGATCGGAGTAATGAGCACACGGGTCGCCAATCTTCCCAAGAGGCGGAAGAACATGAGCCCGGGGTCTCCATGTGTCATATAGAGAGCCATTGGCCAGCGTTGAAAGGTTTGGAGGAGCCGCGTTGTAGTCGATGGCAGAGGCAGCGTAGGCCGCCTGGCTGGTGACCAGAGGCACTGCGGTTGAGGAGAGCTTCATGGCGGTGTGCTTGCGAGAGTTATGAGATGGCCTCGTTCTCAAAAAGCTCCCGGGGAGGAGTTTAAGTAGTATTTTTTTTTAATTCCATACTGCATAGTTCCCCTTGCCATCGGGTATTAGTCGAGGATGCTAGATAAGGTATGGACCACTCGGTGCCCCTGGAAGAGTCACATAATGTCGGCGAAATGCCCCATTTCACCATCTTAGTAGACGGGGTAGGTCCTGTTTAATGGTTACATCGTTCGTCATTAACAAGGGCATGCTGGGTACACTTTGTGCAATTCTCCGAAATAACCCCATTACCCCGAGGGTTGGAGATCAGAATTGACAACTTTTCCCAATGCAGCAACCCATGAGGGGCTACAAGTACCTCATGGATCCGCTAAGTTGTTTTGTTTCTTCCTGTTCCTGCAGAATGGTGGGTAATGGATCTTGGTAAGCTCCTCAGCAAATCTTTCAGAGAACCGCCTCATCTTTTTTTTCCTCCCAGAGAAAATCTCCTGGTAGGCGGCTGAAACAAGGAACATCCGATCATTTTGTTGTTGTGGGGAATATGGTGTTTAGATATCGCGGGGCAGTCGTCATCATAACGAGTAGGCTAGCCACTTGACTGTATATCGAACCACATCTGCATGTCATCTGCAAGGCTCTGTACTAGGTTGTTGTTCAGATGATCAAGTCCATGGCATCTGCCGAACACCCGGGCACGTGAGATATGGCTGTTTGCTCTGTTTGTTCAATCTATCAAGGAAAACCTTCCCGTTTGGGGAGATTCGGGCATCAACTCCGTCTTCCCACATATGGAAACCATTGATATCCACTTGGCCAGGTGAAGGCTGGAAAATCGGAAAAGATCTCCATTTGGCGAGGCTCATCGGACTCTCCTTCGTCGTTCAGGGAAAACGCTTGTAGCCAATCTACAAACCCATGTTAATCTGACCGAGCTCGTTCCGTGTATAGCCATACGGGTGGGATATTCCTTCTTTCTCTGGTTCTAGAAAAATCCGTTGAAGATCGTCATTTGATTGATACATAATGAAACTTACGGTATTCAGAGGAACCTGCCTTTATGTTTAAGTTTCCACAGTTTGCCCGACCATGTGGAGTATGGCTCTGGAGCTCACAATCACGCTTGCCAGCCTCTACTATTGCCAAGGGAGGGCCACGCAAACAATCAGAAACATACTCAGCTACTTTACAGGGGAAAAATAGATCTGTCGATTTTGCACGGATAGAGAAAGGGGGGTTAGATGGTGTGGGACAACACAACTTGTATCATACGGCTTGGAGATTAAACCTCCAAGTGATGGCCTTTTGTAGACTACAGCTGATGATGGCCTGTGTATAACTGTGTAAACAGATATGCTCAGTTCCTGGGCTGAGATCTATGTAGCTTCCATATATAATTTACGGGTAGAGTACTGTTAATCTTCCGCAGATAGTCACCTTTAGTGCTGGATCTCCACTTGTGCCCTTACTAAGTATAGATTTTATTACAGATCAATACATACTATCTCCCTTGTCAGAAGCGGGTGAAAGAAGTGGTTTAATCTTGGTACGCGGCAGCTTTGGCTAATTGGTCTACTGTATCATTACCGAGATTGTCATAATATCCTGAAATCTATTAGAGACAGAGTGTAATATTCTTTACCTGAATCTCAGCGGCTGCTTGGAGGACTGTATAAATGATCTGTTATCCTGATATATTCTTTATATTTTGGATTACTTGCAAGACTAATTTACTATCACGCAGAATAGTTATGATAGTTAATCCGCTACCTGTATCACTTGAGCGCTGGTGAAATATCTTGAGTACTGTACTAATAGCGTAGAAAATGCCTATAAGCTCCGCGATACAGACTGACAAGTGATCTATCAGCCTTATCTGTACCTGTCGGATTCAATGATCTTCTGGTTGTTACCAAGTGCGACAACAGCGGCCCCCAGATAGGTGCCTCACCCGGAGGCATCCGAGTAGATAATAATATCAGATATAAGGTGTACAGTCTCCACTCTCTCTCTCTTACTATCTCTCGGTCTATTTTAATCTTAATCTCTGCAAAGGCCTTAATTTACTATGGTGGCAGCGGCTATAAGTTAATTATTTCCAATTCAGCGCTTCGGCTAACGGAAAGTGTGCACTCGTTCCAACATTATTTCTATAATTCTGGGCCCGGAGCAGTGCATCTCAAATAGGGTGGTCGCGAGATAGTAAGTGTAGCCGGATAATAGTATGCTGGGCGGTGGCGGAGATAAACATATATAGGAAAGATATAGGCTTTCACTTTCAGTGTTATAGTCACCACTGTCTTGAATGCTAAGAGAATACGGATTAACGGGGCCCTCTATACAGTGTTCAAGTGTTACAGATGCATCTTGTCCCGCAGCAGGTTATGCCAGACTGTCAATATATGATCTATAACAGGCATGACACTTGCTTGATAGAGTTGGCACATCTGTTCAGGACACAGATATTGTAGTCTACCCAGGGCAATAGTTGTTTTGGTTGCGCATTTGATGGCCTGTTATATATGCTCCTTCCATCGCAGCTCTTAGTTAAACACCACCCCCAGTAGCTTTGCTATAGATAACGGTCGGACCGTTATGCTATTCAGGACTACCTATCTCTCCAGATATTTGCCCTTCTTTCTAGTAAAGTGGATAAGCTCAGTTTTTCTCAGCTGTAAAGCAAGACCTGGTTCGCCGCACCCAGATCTTAATTCAAGGGATACCTTCAGATTATATCCGGGCTAGGTTTTCCTCAATTGTATTCGAGAGCACCAGCAAAGCCTGCTCGGTGGTTCGACCCGGGCGTCCCCCGAACTGGCTGTTTGGCAGCAAACCGTGCTTTTCTGCCAGGTATGAGAGCCGTCGAGCCTGTAGACTACAGTTGGATGCAAAAACGGTGCACGCTTTTACTCACTTCAATTGTTTCCCAACCCCTGTCGCAAAGGAAAGCTAAACTATATTCGTAAATTTATCCAAAGCTCCTGTTTCGGGTGCAGTAATGGTATGTATCACAGCGCCAGAGTACCCACTACTACACCATTTCTCTTAACTTCGTAGCCGATTTTGATTTTTTGGCTATGAATAGCCAATTAAACACTCTTAAGGGACAAAATGAATCTTCATACCCTATTGTAACCCGAATCTACGCTTCTACGGGTAATGATGGTGTGGTAAAACGGATCTATCCAACTACCGCCGTTCCGTTGACAGTGTCACCTCCTGGTAGGGTACGTATCCCTGTTACTCAGTGTTACAGCCTGAAGCCTCATAGACAGCGCGGTTACGTGATATCGCAGGAGCCCACTACATGAGCCTGAAAACAAAGATAAATGACGACTTGATTGAATCGAGGCGGTCATTAAGCCTATGTAGTCCCCGCGATAATTGGACGATTCAGTTCAGAACTCTATCTCGGAGAATACATACACCTCCTAAGGACCAGTCCATCCGCTACGCCTCAGCCAATCTTCAAAAGAGCTACCAGTAAGGCCTAGCTCCTCGCTAGATTGTTCAACCTCTAGCTCGAAGGCTCCATAGCAGGTCTTGTCGGTTGGAGCTATAGCAGCCCATTGCATCATTTCAATAGCGTCTTCCTTGAATGCTGGGCCAACGAGCGCAGAGCTCAAGTGACCGAACTCCTCAAACGAGATTGGAGAATGAACGGCCGGTTTTCCAGTAACGCGCGTGAAAGCTTTCGCCATGCCTTCGGGAGTTATCCTAGGACCTAAAGCAAGATAAGTTTTCCCTTTAGTCTTTTCAACACCTAAGCCAAATATCTCTTCAAGTGATTTGTCAGCCTTGACTTGCTAGGGGAAGACAGCTGTTGAATGTGGTGGTGAGCTCTTACTTGCGGAAAAGGCTCCCATGTCGTGTGCAGGATCCGTCCACTGGACCATTTTATTCCCGGGTAGGGGCATACAAAATTGTACCACGCCGTCCTCTGAGGAACAAATGCATTAGTTCTGATGTCGATATGTCATTTGAAACTTGGAGAATAAGAGAGGGACACAAACCACGAAGCCGGCAATACTGTGACCAGGCCAAGTTGGTGTAAAAAAAACCTGTGCATGACGAACACATCAGTAACCCCACGAATGTTTTCGAAGTCGTAGAGATACCCGCTACTCACCAGGCATCAAGGAAGTAAAGCCATCAAGCTCCTTTCTTGCCAGTTGCTCAATAGTATGCTTGTTGTTCATGTGATGTATCCGTTTGAACTGGCCGTCGCTCGCTTCGACAGTATCAGGTAAGCTGCTAAACACCAAATGCTTGATGCAGCACTCCTTGGCAGCGGAGATGATGTTACGCCCTGCATCAATCTCGTGTTTCAACTCCTCCTCTTCAGTAATACGTTTACCAGGGTACCGTTCACTGGTCATGGCGAAGACGCCGTGCGCACCCGTAAAGGCGCTCCGTAGGCTTGTTTCATCGTAAACATGGCCACTGGCCAAGCTCAGACGATTGTCAGTAGTTTGGTATTCTGACAAAAGCTTCTGTGCTTTGCCTGAGCTGGGATCTTGGGTAAGAGCTCGGACAAGCCAAGGACCACCATATTCGTCGCTCAATAATGCTCGAACAACGCCAGAGCCTTGGATTCCCGTGGCGCCAACGACGACGATGGTTTGTTGCGACTGAGTGGATGACATGTTGTTGAGACCTTGCGCCAAGGACGGGGTCAGAGTATGGGACAGAGTATAGGACGAGGAGCGTGTCCGGTGGATTCTGGCTGACCTGACGTACGGTACTCTGTTGGCAGAACTTGGCTGATCCCGCCAGGAAAGATTATATATTCTTACTTATAGGCTAATAATTAGACTATAGGAAATGAGCGTAACGTTAGTGTCGGTTTAGGTACGTCCCGTATCACGAAGCGTAGGATATCGTAGCAAGGGCCGTCCAACTGCCCTACGAGGTGAGCCTGCTTATAAGCACGAATATCTGCACTATAATGACTGGCCCCCAAAACCGTAGGGGGATTGGCGGTGGAGAGCTAGCTAAATAGGAGGTCTTCGGGAGCGCGCTAGAAATACCCGTCTTTCCTGTTCTGGATCCGTACATGCGGCACAGATCATACACGAATTGCAGTACGTTCAGGATCGCGTTCAAAACAGTGAGCATTCCAGAACTCTCGCTATGGATTAGTAACCACAGCCGGAGTCGCCGAATTTATGAAACCCATGAACCAACCTAGGTGGCTGACTAGTGGGCACCAGAACATATGTGGAGCTGTACAAACAAATAAGCCTGTTTATAAGTGATTTCTAATCCCAGTAACTAACTCCTGCTTTCTAATCTAGTCTTTAATAAATAGATCTATATTTACGCCTAGGTGCATTGAACGAACATAAGCCTGTTTATGAGTGATTTCTGATCCCGGTAACTCCTGCTTTCTAATCTAGCCTTCAATAAATAGATCTATATTTATCCTAGGTGCATTGATCAGGAACCATGAATTGTTGTTGAAGGTGCACCCGATGTCATGTTATTTCACGGTAAGTTACGGTTATGGGAACCTTTTAGGACATCATTATTCTGACACTTTGCCTGTTAAAGGTTAGGGTGAAACATATTAAACAATTGAAGTGAGCAAAAGCGTGCACCGTTTTTGCAAACAAACTGTACGTAACGACAGAACACCAGCTTCTTTTCGAGGAACATTGCTCGGTTAGTCTCTAGGCCGTCCGTAACTAATGCCACCATATATGAGGCAGCTATTGCACCCAACAGCGCGCATGGAGGACAGGAACCGGCAGAAGAGCTACATGGGCAAGCCCCGAGATAGACTATGTGAATATAAAATATCCACCGCCAAAAGGCACTTCCACTTGTCGTTCTAATATGATTCCTACGGGTGGCTCACTATGAGACTTCTGTGGTTCGCTCTGGACCCATGGAGTAGCAGATAAAAGATCCACAGGTTAAATCGGCGAACTCCTTCCTAACAGTGCACCAGGTCGACAACGGTCTTCTGTGTGTCTCCAGTAGCTCCCTTTGACTCAACCCCGTTGCCGATCTAAGCTTTACCATCTGCCGCTATCTGATCTAGAAAACCCATCTCAGATTTAACCGGATCTGCACATCGACAGATTGCTAGAAGGACTCATGTATGTCACATGCATTTTGGATAATTAAAGACACAATGAAGCTTAACTAGAAATGATTGCCCAGTTTGAAAGTCTAGACTGCTCCAATACGGCCTCATCTAAGAGGACATAACGTAGACACTCCGGATATCCACTCGCGTAAGAGTAGCCCGCCCTATGCAAAACACATAAGCGACAGGACACAGCCAGATGCTGTCTACACATTAGGCCTTAGAGGGTGTGCATCGTGAAGTAACATCCTTTCTACTCTACTATAACCTAATGACGTAAAGAATGTCCAAGGTCAACCCTCATCGACTCGAGATCTAGGGGATATCTAATAGGATGAAAATCTTCTATAGAGGCATTGTGCGATTCTCTGCGGTCTCATCCCATCCTTGTCTCGAATACATTTGAGCAGTTTAACCTGAACTTATCATCAGCGTAGGCTTACCACGAGGATCCTGGGTCCCAAAAGCTGCTCCATTACTAAACTGGTCAGTTCTGAACCTCCTGTATGTTCTAGCCATGCCGCTGTCCCACTGAACAACAGAGACTCGTACTCTTCTTATGCACTGCAGATGATTTCCGCCGCCAATAGACACTACCTTTCTACTCTATCTGGCGTCAAAACGCATCTCTAAATATAGGGCTTGATACTAAATTAGAGGCGGAGATGCGGAGATATTCCCGGTACCGATGGAGGATGGGGACGTGTGCCAACAGGGGAAGCCTGGAAGGATATAGTTTGGTCGTTTGACGGAAGAGATACAAGATCATTCTATACGACGTAATTCTGGAGATTCGGCTCACCGGGTCAGCCCCACATTGGTGCGCTAAAGACTAGGACCATCCGTATATTAATTCCAGCCTGATATGAATCTATACGAGACACGTGATCGCTCTAGTGGCTTGGCCGGATCACCAACTCTTCAGCCCCTGAAGGCTTTACCCATTAGAAGACAGAGAGGATGAGCTCAAGATAGTTGATATAGTCGTCCATAGAATTGAGATCTATCGGAATGGCATCCGGTCCTCAGTAGGCTACGTACGTGTAGCTGATACAGCATCATTCTGCCCATCTTTCCCCTGAGATCACAACACAGCCCATTGAGGACCTGGCATTACAAGAGCTCTCGTGGATACGCAAAGCTACCTCACTCGGGCTTTCCAAACATCTCAGAAGGGGGTAGAAATAGACGAAGCTAGCCAATGGAAGTAATCGTCCCAGGACTATGTCAACTACGTGTACCCAACACATTAGCAGCTTTACTCCGTATGCCGAGAACGCTTAGAGCGGATGTGAACTCTCTGAAAGCTTGACCCTTTTCGGGGTTGGTCCATGGACCTAGAGTTCATGATACCATTGGTGAAGTCGACTACGAGCATCGTTGCCCTGAATAGCCTCGATAATCCTACTGGGGCATACCTGTCCACGGATACACAGTGGAAGATAATTCGGGTAGCAGCAGAGCATGGTTTAAGTGTTTTTTCTGCGACGAGGTCCTCCGCCCTGCCCTCTTTTTCTCCCGGGGAAGGAAACCCCGCCTCGGCCATTCCTCGACCTTGATCATGAAAAGACTGAGACCACGTCTTTCTCGGTAAAGCCTTTGGCCTCTCGGGGACAAGAATCGGATAGGTCGCATCCAAAAATAAAGAGGTACTCGAATTAATACATATTGTTGCCCATACTGTTCATGGAACGTTCACTACAGTCGATAACGTTAGACATAAATAATGTCGTGAGTTTTTTTTCCTGCATGCCGTACTCTATAAGCGATGGTTTGGCATTGTCGAAGCCTGGGCTTTTGAATCGTTGTGGTTAGGGTTGATACCAGCAGAAGCCCCTTTACTCGGGATTCGAGTGATCAATTGCCAAGCCATATATCAAATAGGATCTACGTTCCCCCCCCTGGATTTGGTATAGTGGAATTGGTATTCTTAGCTTCGAAAGACTTTCTGGGCCCTTGACTCTTGGGCTCGTTCGCTTCAAAGGATCATATGGATGCTTTAACGTTTATTTATGTTTATGAGGAATAGACTCAATAAAGTCGCCCCTCAGGACGGTTTAAAGCCCACACCCCACTCCGTAGCTGGATAACTAGCTTTGCAAGCCAATCAATCAGTGGGGGACGAAGTGGAATACATGCCATGTATAAAATTAACTGTCGGCCCTGCATGTTTGGCGTTCACGACAGACACGTGATATCAAAGACTGGTGTGGGGAGGGTTAAAAGAATGAGGAGTTAAATCCGGCGATGCATGCCAATCTGCCAACACCAGGGAACGACATTGCGTTGAGTTGGGCGATTCATGTGGGACGACAGAATCTTTAATTTCCAGTCGAAGCCTAAGTAGTGGAAGGATTGTCTTCCCTGTCCCAAGGTCAAAGAGGCGCGGTTTGAAACTAGATCCATAAGGGTTGCCAATAAAGTTTGGTGCGAGAAGCACAGCCGCCACCAGTGTTACCTAATAATGGCCCTGGAGATGAGTCAAAGAAGGATAAGGAGGTACTCTACCGTCGAGGTAACCTTTTGGAGACGAGACACCCGTCAGTGGGTGAAATCCTACAACCTGAAACTCTGTACTGGTTCTTGACGTCAAACGCAACAACGAGTTGGTGGGAGTGACTGCAGGTTATCTTTGAGCAAAGGAAGGCAACCGAGTTGTCCAGACCCACTATCCATGACTTGACGGTTGGGCTCCACCCATAGAGGCGAGACCCTGTTAAGTTTTAAGGGAATCCTCGTAAAAACCACCGCAAAATCTCACCTCTTGCGCGTCATACATGTCGTCCCTCTTCCCTATCTTAATTCACACTCCTGCTTGAACGCATCTGAATAATTGCTGGCTATTTGTCGTCTGTATCGCACAATAATCGGACAGCTCATAGACGAACTGGGAAGGCTGTCTAGAGTGCTCTCTGGAGACGCTGTGATCCCATTGCGGTTCCGCCGATCAGTGACTCTCGCACTGGCAATGTTCCCTATACCGAAGATATTGGGTGCCACTAATTCGTCTGTCCTTAATAACGTCCATAATGCGATTCGGTAGTTAGCCAACAAGCAACCAGGATAAATGCGACCATGGAAAAGTTTTATCGGCATGCGGCGCAGGGATCGAACGCCGGGCTGGCGGCCGGCCACTCTTCGCGGCCCGTACTTGGGCTCGTTGGGTGGTCTCATGTTAGCAATGCTGATCTCATTAGGAGGGGTTTACCTGGGTAGTGCTGCGAGAGGAGGCCTTGCGGTCTTCAGCTCGACCGAGGACATAGCTCCCGCCAAACAGGTGGCCTACACCTTTGTGCCCATGGTTTTGGGCGTCATCATCGGTGTAATGTGGTCCTTCACGGAGTACGACGCCCTTCGACTCGAGCCATACTTCTTATTGTCGAACCCAAAAGGTACATCAGCCGACGTACTGCTTCTCAACTACGTGTTCGGCCATTTTACAACCACCCCCTTTAGGGCAGCTCGGAACCGGCATTGGGTGGCGCTTTGCGTGTCGGTCCTGAGTATTTTGCTGCAGTTGGTCCTTCCAGTGGTCTTGGGCAATCTTGTCAATGCAGAGGTGGTCTCCGTTCACGTCCCACAAACGCTGAAAACGTGGCCCAAACTCATCAACCTAGATACTCACGCCTACTGGAGCTTTCGCGAGATGACTTACAAAGCTTTCTCCGCCTATCATGCCCAATCTCCCTTTGACCCAATCGGACCCAGAAAATATACTATTCCCCCAGTCCTAACATATTGGGATAGTGGGTCAGAAGAGGATATGTGGAAGCTGAACCAATCGGTATATTGGGCTGAGGTTTCCTGCGCTTATATCCGGGGCGATGGCCTGTTTCATAGCCTGCAATCGGGGATAAACGTATCAGCCGGGCCGGAGCTTGTTCTCTCAGGTGGCGATGACGGCCAACTGGCAAGTGCTTCCAAGGCTTTCGAGTCCTGCACCGTGCGACCAGATCAGGAAGAGTTCGCAAATAATACTCAGGCACGGTCTTGGAAGTTTTTACGGTGGAGTGCAAAGTCACAACTATGCGGACAATTTGATCTGATCGGAGTAGCAGTAAATGTGGGATCAGATGAGCAACGCAGCTCCAATGAACCCTCACGCCAGCTTAAACCATTTGGCTGTAGTGTCAATTACATGACAGCCGAGGCGGAGGTCACTCTGTATGCGAATGGCTCGGTCGCTAAGATTGATATGGATCCCGACGCAGCCTCTGACCTGTCGGAATTGGATTTCGATACGACCAAATTTAGCAGCTCCTTGCTACGCATGGTCCTTTCCACAAACAATCCGGATCTCCAAGATGATTCCCCGGCCTCGCAAATACTATATACAAAGGACATATGGTTCGAAGTTGATCAAGCCGTCAGTCAAGCCTTCGTACCATTGATGAGCCGTACGTTTGATCTTCGACACACCGTCCAGGTCGACGGCATTCGTATCGTTCAGCGGGTCGCATTACTAGTACAACCGAGCAGTGTCCGCATAGCAGGCGTGATTCTAGGGTTCGGAGTGATGGTCGTTGCGGGTCTTCTCTATCTATACCCTCGTCGCTCGAATTTCTTGGGCAGCAACCCTGCTTCTATTGCGTCGATGTGCTGCATAGCAACGGATGTCCTGGACGAGGCAAGCCTGGAGAAGCTCTCCCAGATGGGACTGGAAGTGCTATCAACCCGGCAGCTTCGACTCATTCTACGCAAATGCAGCTGCCGCTGGCGGGAAACCATGAAAGGGAAACGTCTAGTGATAACATTTCCTGACGGTGAGTCAAGCTTGCCTTCAACTTCAACAGGTCTAGTGCGATGCCATGGTATTAACGTTCTATAGAATCCACTCCTCGAAGCACACGGAAGTTCCGGCGAAGAACCGACCCACCACCACCTTTCCTCATGATCCCCATCTTCATCCTTGAAATTTCTGCGTTTTTTGCCGCCTTAGGGGGAATACTGGTCATCCTGACGAAGTCCTGGGAGTACGGGTGTTTCCCTCCTCTGACCGATATAAAAGTGGATGATTTAAGAAGTCTATGGATGCTACTTCCTCCTGCGAGCGCTGCATTCATGCGGGGATTATATATATCAGTCTACCAGAATTTCACGATCCTGGAGCCCTGGTTCATACTCCAAAAGGGGAACGCAACCGCTCGGACCTCCCTATTGCTGGACTACGGCTCCCAGAGCCCATTTGCGGTGACCCTAAAGTGTTTCAATCGTCGCTATCTGCTCCTTGGCCTTGTGTCCTTGACGTGCATCCTCAACACGATCCTAACGGTCTTAGCGAGTGCGCTTTTTGCTTTGGAGTACACCCCAATGGCTACGAAGGATGTGGTTAAATCCGTGTATGATGATCGATCCTACACTATTGGTAACCATACTTGGATCTTGGCTGAGGCCGATGTCTTCCAGAGTAGCATCTACACTGGGATATCCACACTTCCTTGGACCACTGCTACTCATTCCCTACTGCCTGTGCAGACAAACATGACCGAAGACCAATGGGCCACAAGTCCGCTAATCGGCATCGGTGCCAATCTGACATGTCAACCGCTTTCCGTGGCAGACCATCGGTCCAACGACATCCTTTCACACGCAGCGTATTGGAAATATTCTCCATCCGGCTATCCGAACACGACATGTCAGATCAGCGCCCAAGAATCCGCTCTCGGCGGCTTCAAAAGGATTTTCAACGTTGATTTTATCGCTCCGACGGAGTCTGACCAAAGCCATCCTCTATGCCAGAGGCCTGGAATTATTGTGGTTGCGCAGTCAAACGAAGCCGGCCTTGATGTTGTTCCGCCGGAAAATACTGCGGCCTTGTACTGCGAGTCCAGTGCGACGATTCAATCTTTCCTTTCCACCTTCGACCTTCGAGGATACATAGAAACCTTTAGTCCCATAAACGAAACCTCCATCGTGGAGGGCCCCATGTTCGCCAACGTCACGGCTAGTCTAGCTAATTATAATCGAGCATTTGCGAACCCGCTCGACTCCAACATCACACATTATCCACCGAAAGACCGCCATAAGATACTCCAGAACTGGTTTGGACTTTTGGCGGCCCATGTGTACAAGCAGATGAACACGAACGACCTCAAAACGATCGATATCGACCTTTTGATTGAGGCCGCGACCACTGTGTATCAAACCGTGTTTGCCACGGATGTCACACTTCACCGGGATTTCCATTTCAAGCGTCTGGACGCCCCGGTGCTTATCCCCGATGCTACCATTTTCGACACCTTTATGTCGTTTATACCAGTGCGACCGGCTTTTCTCGTCGTTTTTATGATCATTGCATATGATACATTTGTCCTGATGTATGTATTTATCACGCGACGGAGGCGATTCGATTTCCCCCGGAGTCCACGAGCCATTGGCTCGATGATCCCCTGGATTGCCAAGAGTAAGATGTTGGACGACTTCAGGGACATGTATACGTGGAGTGTGTCTGAGCGGGAGGCACATCTGGCGAAGTTAGATAAGACGTACACTCTGATCAGGACTGATCTGAGTGACGGGAAGTGGACGTATGCCCTGGATGAGGAGCCCAGCCTTTCTGGGGAGACCGTCGTTCGTGAATCGCCGTCTAAGGACCCTGTCATTCAGATCACGCCTATTCATGTCAATAGTTAATTCTAGTATATAGCTATATCTGTATATATAATTTCAAGTACATTAGATGCCAGGGTCTTCCGATATCGAGGCAGCACAGGTCAGTCATCCCACATTGGGATGGTATATATTAAAAATGAATGGGGTAATTCTGCGTAAACCAAGGCTATGAACGCCTAGTCGAAGAGTTAGGAATATTGCTCTCGGTTCCGATCATTATATATTCATTCCAGATATTTCTCGAGGTGACGGACATTCCACTAGACGCAACAGTCAGGGCTACGTGTCAAGTAGACACACTAAAGCTTTTGGGCTATGTATCATAAATATTGGAAATCTTCCAACAAGTAGCATCATTGGTCTAGTGGTAGAATTCATCGTTGCCATCGATGAGGCCCGTGTTCGATTCACGGATGATGCATTACTTTTTGTATTTTCCCTTTTTTTTACCAACTCATCTTTCCCTACTTTTCCCTTCTTTTATTTCTTCTCAAAAAAATAGTCTCTCAGATCTGATATCCAATGGTATAATAAACGTTTATTAAACCCCAGTACCCGCCCATGTGTATACAAACAACTAAATGCGATGAAGGTCCGTGGGTACAGAACAGCGTTTGAATTAGCATTTTATAATGCCATCTCCAACAGCCAGCGTCATGCTGCAGAAGAAATGACCAAGTTACCTCACGAACAAGGCACACAGACATGGTCTGGCTATGCAAGTTCGATCCTCCTGCACGGTGCGGACGTCATTATGTTACACCGCAACTGCGATCCAGCAGGGAAGCACTGCCAGCAACAACCCCAATTTATATTATAAGTCGGGCGAGATCCGAGCTTGGCTTTCGGACACGAAACGTAGTGAATCATTTGACATGCTTTCCTCAGGCGAACTGTCCTGTTCGTCGTGGCCAAATCGCACGTCCTGGTGATCATGCAGCATCACACCGCTGCGAGGGCGAATCCATATGAGACGATAAATCTGCAACGCGGGCGTCTGGCATTTGGAGAATAGTAATAATTCTGTTCTCCCATCTTCTACCGGACTTCACGGCAATGGCTGTAAATCTGGACATACTATTTCCCAACGCCACCAGATGGACCTCTCCCAGTCATCGAGAAAGCGGAGAGCTTCCTGCCTTTGTGAGTGGCCGCGGAGTGCAAGGGATCATTGTTGTATCGCCGAAAAACCCCAGGAGGCCTGTTTCTGGAATGATTAAAGTGGCGTTGGAAGGTAAACCGCTGTACTTATCGTGCTAGACGAACGATGGAGCGAAGATAGTATATTTAAGAGAGCTGACTGGTTCGAACCACGATAGGGACCCTCTATAATCATGTCGATCTCATAGGCCAATCATCGGGAAGGTTGTACCATACATATATTTATCAAAAGGTATTAGTTATGAGCAATAGTATACAAAATTAACCATGGCTGACTAGCGCCGAGGGGACTCGGTAAATTCAGATCATCAACTTGAACGCGGTCTATCCCGAACAACAAATCATTAGCAACGGGGATCAGCGTTACAACTTCAGCTTTGTGATACCCAACGACCTGGCCAGGGCTGCGCCAAGTAAATACGGCCAAGGTATCCCTCCATCGCTCAATATTCATTTTACGCGGACGAGTCATCGTAACGCTATCTCATGCTCCAAGGGAACCTGCAGTATTGAGTATCGAATCCGCGCCCAATTCCTAGCTGAAGGACATCGCTTGGTGGAAAAGATTCGGTCGTTTACATTGTGGACTACGCAGGGGCGACAACCGCCGGTTTGCACCGAAGACTTTCCTGGCGAATACCAAATGTCGGCCTTCAAGACACTTCGTAGTCCGCTATTTCAACCAACCGGAAGACTCCTGGTCTATAGCCATGAACCACCGCCTCTGGAATTCTCCCCTGAGAAAGAGGGTGCTGCGACATCAGTACGTTTGCGGCTTCGCTACGAGTCGTTAAAGAATGGCAGCGGCATGAGAATCCCTCCACCACGGTTTCATGGAATAGTTCGCTCCAATTTGCAGGCCAGCACGTTCATTTCAGTCGAACCGCAAAAACGATCGCCGGCAACTAGTGATGCCCCTGTCTTTCCATTCACCTTTGAAACCCGCGAATCTTATGCTAGCCAGTTACGGAAACTATGCTTTGCCCGCTGGACACCGTTGGAAACAGGTTTGTACTACCCTCAGACCAAAGAATTTGGCATCCCTGCAGCTGGAAGCTCGCTAACATGGCGGGATTGCGAATTGGCATTATATAGCGACTGGGACTCTCTGGGAATCCGAGGCAGATCTAGCTGTCCCATGCGACTATCCCGCTTATCTTACACCCTCGTTTTCTTCCCTGCTCGTTTCTAGAAGATACAGTCTGAAAATCTACATGGTTATTTCAGGACTCGGCCACGCTGCACTGAAACTGGAGTTACCCATCCAGGTGGTGTACACAGGCGAGGGACACCTGCCACCGGAAGAAATTTCATATTCGAATGGCCCTACAGAGGATATGCCGCCTGCATATAGCCCCTAGTAGACACTCATATTGTACGCTTTACGTATACAATTCACGATGTTCTTAACATATTTAATTATATTTTGATATATCATATGTGCTATTTCACCAGACGGCTGAGTCGTTCCTCTCTAATGTGTGATGTGCTGGCGTTGCATTATGGACTGGATGGTTTGCTTTTCGCATTTTGTTTGTTTTGTACTTATGTTTTGTCTTTCTCGAGAATGGAAAAAAGAGATGTACTCAGTTTAGGGATTGTATCTTTGCAAGATCAGTTCAAACCAGACCCTTTGAGGACCGTGAGTCCGGTGAACCATGGCGAGGCAGTATAGAGAGATATGTATTTCAATCACTCAATCAACAAAGCCCTCAAAGTCAGTGAAAATCCACCAAAATCTGCCCGGGCAGCACAGCAATTTGGCTGACCCACCAGACCAATTAGCGTCGAAGCAGCTCTTCCTTGGCGTCATTGAATCCCCACCTCGGGAGGCAAGAAATGTGAAGATATCACTCTGATTCCAAGCCGACATGATTTTCAGTGAAGCTCTTTGGATTAATGTGCCTGTGTTGCTGTTTCCCTTCAGTTCAGTGCTATATGATCTCTAGCAACAGTCATATAAAAAAAGTCTGTTTGGATGAATGAATGAATACATGTTGTATTCTCCAGGGTTTAGAGAGGCACGGGATCTCCCGAAAATCCCTTCTCTCCACCCCCATTCTTGTGAATATTCCGGACTCCAATAAGATCAAATCCTGTCTAGCCACCAATAATTTCTTCTTAATGGACCAGACCAGAGATTTAGCTTGGGATTTCCCTCTGTTGGCAGCGAACTAAGGCACACCTCCGCCGGTCTTTATTCTGTCCTATGCCGTAGAAGAAAGGATGGGTGATTCCGAGGATTAGAAAAAAAGACATTACACCCCCCCGCGAGTCATATAGAAGTGTTACGTCTCGCCAACGGTGCTTGTTTATCTCTTTTTTCTTTTCCTCATAGTGATTGATATTCATCGATTTGCCTTCGCGTCAGGATATTTCCACCCCCCATCAGATCTCACTACCGGAACTTACCTCTCCGACATATCGTTTACAATATTTCGTATCCTTTCGTGGAAACTGAATGATAGCATCGTTATTCCTCATTCCCACTCAAACTTGAGGAGGCATTATCGTGCTGTACAACGGTCTCAGTGGCCGTGCCACAATGCTCGACACCAGTACATCTCACTATCCTTCCGCCCAGGAATCAACATTCACACCACCCGGATCGCAAGACTACGATGCCATACACTCCGGACAGACCCGTAGGGACCACGAACGCTTATCGCGACACGCCAGTCATCGATCTGAAGTGTCGGCCTCCAAATCGCAATGGTGGCGCATTCACTTTTTCCGCGGCATGATTCGCGATGTCAAAAGAAGGGCTCCGTTTTTCTGGAGCGATTGGACGGATGCATGGGATTATCGAGTGGTCCCGGCGACGGTTTATATGTTTTTTGCAAAGTAGGTACATCCCAAGAAGAACGAGAACAAATTAGTCCATGAAGTTGGCCTGGTGGCAACCCAAGTTAGCTCTACGTGGAGGATACATTTTTGGTTCTATGCTGACGCTTCCGTAGCATTCTACCGGCCTTGGCTTTCTCTCTGGACATGTTTGAAAAGACGCATCAAAACTATGGTGTGAATGAAGTCCTACTCGCCTCGGTGCTGGGGGCTGTCGTCTTCTCGTTATGCGCCGCGCAGCCACTTGTGATTGTCGGTGTCACCGGTTAGTGTTCTCTCTTTGTAGATATTGGCCATCTTTCGTAAGCAATATGTGGCTAGAGAAGTGCTAACGGAATACGAGGCCCGATTACCGTCTTCAACTATACAGTCTATGACATTATAGCGCCACGCGGCACCAGCTACTTGGGTTTCATGGCCTGGATCGGAATGTAAGTTCGGTTAAAATGCTATCAAGGAGTATATAACGTGCTAATATCATTGGTTGCTTTACAGATGGTCACTAATCATGCACTGGATCATCGCTGTCACCAACATGTGCAACGGATTGACCTACGTGACCCGTTTCTCATGCGACATATTCGGGTTCTACGTCGCATTTGTCTATCTGCAGAAGGGTATCCAGGTTCTCACCCGGCAATGGGATTCGAATGGTGAAACGTCCGCCTACCTGAGCATCATGGTCGCATTGCTGGTCCTCATGAGCGGCTGGGTCTGCGGCGAAATCGGCAAAAGCAGCCTCTTCCATCGCTGGGTTCGTAAGTTCATCGAAGACTACGGCACGGTGCTGACCATCGTATTCTTCACGGGCTTCGTCCACTTCGGCCACATGCGTGACGTGAGTGTGTCCACTCTTCCGATCAGCAAATCTTTCTTTCCTACTGCAGACCGTGGCTGGTTGGTACGCTTCTGGGATCTTGACGTCGGTGATATCTTTCTCGCCATCCCTTTCGCCCTCCTTCTAACCATCCTGTTCTATTTCGACCATAATGGTAAGCATTATATCGCCTTTCCCCCCCCCCCCCTTTTCCTCCCCCAAATTCAACAGCACCACTAACAGACTTACCCAAAATTGAAGTCTCCTCCCTGATCGCCCAAGGCAGCGAATTCCCCCTGCGCAAACCCGCCGGCTTCCACTGGGACATGTTCCTCCTGGGCATCACAACCGGCGTCGCAGGAATTCTCGGCCTCCCCGCCCCCAACGGCCTCATCCCCCAAGCCCCCTTCCACACAGCCTCCCTCTGCGTAACCCGCCACCTGGCCGACCCCAACGAAGAACTAGAATCCAGAGACAAAAAGGTAATCAGAGTGATCGACCACGTTGTCGAACAACGCCTCAGCAACCTCGCCCAAGGCCTCTTAACCCTCGGCACAATGTCCGGCCCCCTCCTCATCGTCATCCACCTTATCCCCCAGGGCGTCCTGGCCGGCCTGTTCTTCGTCATGGGCGTCCAGGCCCTCGAGGGTAACGGTATCACCCAGAAACTGATCTTTCTGGCCCAGGAACACAGGTTCTCGGCCCACTCGCATCCGCTTAAGCGGTTGGAAAGACGGTGGGCGGTTTGGTTGTTTGTTATCATTGAGCTTGTGGGCTTTGGGGGCACTTTTGCTATCACGCAGACTATTGCTGCTATTGGGTTTCCGGTTATTATCCTTCTCTTGATTCCTGTTAGGGCGTTTTTGTTTCCCCTGTTCTTTAGTGGGGAGGAGCTGGGGGTTTTGGATGCGCCTACTGCTAGTCCGTTTACGATGGAGAGTGTGGGGGGTGAGGTTGGGTTTGGGACTGGGGAGAAGGGGGTGGGTAGTGTTAGTGGTGATAGGCGTAGTGGGAGGGTCTTGGAGAGTGAGATTGAAAGGGGCGAGAGCTATGAGGTGAGGGCTGATGGTGTCGCGAGGAGACGGAAGAATGATTCATCGGTTTAGGGGGGAAGGCAAGGAGTTCATGGAAGTATCGAGCAACATGGAGGTTGACTATGTGGTGTCCCTAGAAGACTTGTTAAAGCTCCAAAACTTGAGTATTTGTTTATAGATAATGTACACAACCCAACAGGTTCGGCATATTTGGTCATTACTTCGTAGGAAAGCCCGTCCATTCAATCAGCCTCTTTGCAATCCACTACTGGACCCTATCTCATACCCCTACTAGTCGATGGCATGCGATGGTTACGGCGAATTTGCCTAATGCAGTAGAGATGGCTGAGCCGTGGTTTAACCTTACTAGAGAGACACGTGGGACTAAACTCCATGGTTCGTGCGTTAATCACATCCACTCTCGTCATCCTGTCCGAAGGGATACACCGCGCAGGATCCATGAGTGGCTCAAAAACCAGAGATCTACAGCGCGATAACGAGTGCATCGCCACCTCTTGGCATTCGTTCGACCTGCCGGGAAGGTTACTGCGTAGTACGACCGGAGACCTAAAGGATAGGGATAGTCTCGAGTAATACTAGATGTTCCCATCAATTCGCATAGCGTATTAAGACTAGTCTTCTATCACAAGGTATCAAGGTATGAAAGCTAATCGCTATCTAACAGTCTATCTAATGTACATGAAACCGACACCAAAAAGAAATCACTGAGCGCGGCACATCCGACCGGACTCGGAAACCGTCCAGGCATCACTACCGACACCCTTGAGGACGTAGAAAAAGTTCGTGGGGTCCCACTTGGACTTGACCGAGAGGAGGGGGGAATAGTTGCTGCCGAAGAAGGTCTCCTTCCAGTTGGGCTGGCGGAAGTTGCCTTCATTCTGGTAGCAGCCGCTGCCCGGAGTGACAGCCTCAAGCTGGGGTACGTATTCGTCGGTGATCTTGTACTGGTCGGCGATCATCTGGGACCAGGGGGCGGTTTCGTTCCAGTTTGTGCCGATTTGCATGGTGACAGCAGCGTTGCGCAGAGCAGGGAAGATGGCACTGGAGACGTCGCCGGGCTGCGAGACGTTCATGCCAACGCCGACGGCGATCACACCGTGGTTGGTAAGGTTGCGCAGCACGGAGCTCATGCCCATGGCGTTGGTCTCCAGCAAGTCGCGGGGGATCAGGCGGCCGCCGTATTGGTAGGCGGCGACGGCGAGGTTGCCGTAGGGCAGAGGGCCCATGTACTTGTTGTAGTGGTCATAGTAAGAGCCATACTCAGTGTAGGAGACCTTGTAGGCGATGCCGAGGTCGGTGAGGACGGTAGTGAAGGGAGCCAGGATTGCCTTGACGTCGTCGGCGGTCTTGTTGTATGCGGTCATGGGGTTGATGGCAAAGATGCCCGCCACCATCTGGTAAATGACGGTGACACCCTGGTCCGTCATCTGAGGTAGGAGTGAGTGGAATTGGGTCACAGCCTCCCAGAAAGTCTCGGTGGTGTTAGCGGTGGCTGCGAACTGGAGGCCGGCGCCAGAGACCTTGGTGTCGGGGTGAGCCTTGACGGTGACGGACATGACCACACCATAGTTACCGGCGCCGCCACCGCTCAGAGCCCAGAAAAGGTCTGAGTTCTTGCTACGAGTAGCAGTCACCAGGTTGCCGTTGGCGGTAACAACCTCGAATGCCAGCGCGTTGTCCGCTCCAAGGCCGAATTTGGTGCTGAGCGCAGAGTGGCCACCACCCTGGATGTAGCCACCAGCCAGACCAACGGTCGGGCATTCACCAGTCACGACGGCGAGCCCCTTCGCATGAGCGGCGTTGAGTATCTGGTAACCCATCACACCGGCGGCGACCTTGAAAGCAGGACCCTGGTAGTAGGAGTCGGACCAATCCTCGTACTCGACATCATTCAGATGGTGCGTCCACACTGAGAGCGCACCGGCACCAGTAGAACGGCCCATGTAGCTGGAAGAATGCGGTTAGCCTTGCTCCTATCATACCAAAATGTCCTCCCAAAGGTAACTCACTCATGACCAGTGTTCTTAATGACAAAGCGGATGTTGTTCTCCTTAGCAAATTTGACGGCGGCAATGACATCGTCGCTAGACGAGACATTGACTGCATAGCTCACATAGTTACCCAAGACACAGGGCTTAGATTGCGCAGTGAAGGGATCGCAGCTCTGGTTGGCAAAATAGGTCTGCATAATCGAGGAAGGCGAGTCAATACTATTGACAATTGCAGTTAGTCCCCTATTATTTTCGGGATCGCAAGCAATATAATAGGTAGTCAATGTGCCAGGTAATTATACTAGTAGCACATACTGGGGCTGAGGAACCGTCCAATTCGACTTCAGCGCCGCACAAGCAGCGGCATCGTAGGTGGGATCATGGCAGGGGCTGCCAATGGGCACGGTTGCGACCAAGCGACCGCCAACCGTGGAGTTGAGCGACTCCCAAGATGATGCGGACGGCCAGCAGCTGTCTCCAGGCAGACAGTGGCAGCCCGAACCATCAGCGAATGCTGTCGAAGTGAGACCCGCAGCGGCCAGCATCCAAGTGCCCTTCATTGTTGTGAGAGAAGGGGATGAAGGAGAAACGAGGAAAGAATTTGCAGCGGATACAAGAATCTCACGGTCGCACCGGCTAGGCGAACGGTGAATTTATATCGTATACTAATTATGCGCTTTTTCTGACTACACCGAAGCACCAGGGGAGATATATTGATCTAGTCTGTGGCGGTGGCATCTTCAACAAGGACCTCATGAACAGCGCCCGGAGATGTTTCCCCAAGCGCGTCTAGTCTGAGCGGAGGAACCAAATAGCCCATAATGGTGGATATGGGTCAGGATCTCGCCCGGCATTCCCGGTCACATCCGACCAGTGCTTCAGATATATCGCCCGGAGCATTGTCTGTCCTGAGTTACCTCCGTCCCCAGATCGATCCGCGCCTGTGTTAGGGCCAGGCACCGCGTTGGAGTGTCAAGTTTCTATAAGGAGACCCTTTTCAATTTACATCCTCCTCTTCTTCAGCACAAGATGGCCATCTTCTTCCTCCCTTTCCTCCCTCTTAGATTCTTTAGCCCTAAAAAACATTCCGGATATGGACCGAAAACTCTGATTCTGCCTACAGCGGTGTGGGCCCTGGACCAATCAGTGAGGGAGCCGTTCGATATTCTGTGAGAATTCGTCAATCTGGCACAGAAGTCAAGTCCCCAATTTTCGGCACTATTTGATAATTTGACCCAGATTCACCCAAGTTCCACGGAGAACAAGCCTTTTCGTGTTCATCTACCGAACCGGGTATAGTGGCTCCGTTTCTTGCTCTCTCGTGTTCCTGTCCTTGGCACCCTAAATGGTGCCCTAGACCCCCTAATGGCTCAATGCTTGGTCTGAGCAAGGGCTTGGAACAACGGGCGGATCCTGGATCGAAGTGCCTAATCTCCGTTGTTCCGGTGGCGAGAGGCCGTTGTGTAGTCCAAAAATGAGTACGATCAGGGTATGATCGACGATATCTAGTCCTGTGATCGGCTGGATTGACATTGAAGTGAAATTTTGGCAGCCTTTCAGTTCCACTTCTGACTGGCAACGTCGATGGATCTGTATAAAACGTCTGCTGCTCACGGTTCACCACGCGAACAACAGCCGAAGCGTGAATCATGAAGACTTCTGCAGTGGAGCACACCCTCCGGTAATTTCCACTTTTCTACTTTGATGTCTCACACTGGTTGGTAATCGACTGTTTTAAGGTTCAATAGAAGGCCCACGCCATGATTTGGTTCAGAGTGACTTGCTCAATCCTCAGCTTCCGGATGGCTTCCATGCAGGAACCCTAAAGTTGAGCAGCAAGTCCAAAGATCCGTTCAACCAGCCACAGCTGGTTTCCTGGTTGCTCTTTCGACCCGATGCCGGCAGTTCTATTTGTCAAAACCTCCTCTTCGTCATAAGAAAAGCCGGAACCATGGGAGGTGCGGGGATAACCTTGGATTTCATCTCGCTTGCTCTCAATTTAGCCAGAAGTCTGTGTCCGTTTTCGACCTCTTCTCCAAACTCTAAAATGTCATAATTATTATAGTTGCTATTTCCAACTATTAGGCAAAGGTCAAGACCAGCTTGATGCAGTTGTCGACCATGCTTTCCTCCACTTGAGCACTGTCAATAGATACACTTGTAACGCTCTTTCATCTTCCAGGGCAGGTCTGGGGCACACAACATGGCTCAACGGGAGCCAGATGACGGCCCAGCCTTGGAGAAAGGGATCTGGGCCGCAATGGTCATTGCGGCAGTGATTGTCACTCTAAGGGTCTTTGCTAAAGTGAAGATCGGCCAATTCCGCGTGGATGACATTCTGATGATCATCGCCATGGTATGCGCTCTATACACAAGCTATTGCCACTTATTAGTCCGGTTTTGTTTTGTTAACTTTGCTAATTAAACTTGAACTGACTCGTTTAGCTTCTGGCCATTGTCGCAACAGTATTCTTGAGCTTGTCCGTGAATCGCGGGTTTGGCAAGGACCTGACGACCCTTCCTATCAAGGACAGCGGGGCTGTGTTGAAAAACATCGCCATCGAAATCCCTATTGTCACCATGAGCACCACCATCGCACGCTGCTCGTTCATCCTATACCTCCTCGCTATCCTCGGCTCCAATAAAACATACAAATTTGCATTGTGGTTTATTATGATTTGGCAGCTATCGGGCAACATCGTGTCTGCCGTGCTCCCTCTCAGCATCTGCCGCAATGTCAACATTCTCTGGGATCCCACCGTCAAGACGACCTGTGGAGACACTCAAGCAGTGATCAAGTTCGCCTATTACTCCAACAGTATGTTTCCATGCGCAATTCCACCATGTTTGGGAGCTATGTGGCTAAATCCCTCACAGCTGTGAATTCAGCCACCGATTTGTTTCTAGCCGTGTTTCCGATTCCAATCTTTTGGAATCTCAATCTCAAAACCCGCGTCAAGATCGGCTTGATCGTTCTCCTGAGCTTGGGCCTAGTGTAAGCCTTCCAATTCCCATCGCTTAGCGAAACGCAGCACCTCCTTACTGACCTATCTTCTAGGGCAATGGTCGCGTCCGTCGTGAAAACCACCAAACTCAACCAAGTCCCCAGCATCACCAATCTCGGCGCCAGCGGCGGCGGCGAGCTCATCCGCTGGGGCTACGTGGAAAACGCCATCATCATCATCACCTCGTCGATCCCTTGCATCCGCCCGCTCATCATGTCGTCCGTCAAGAAATTCTCCAGTAACGGCTTCTCCCGCTCGTATGAGTTGCGCAGCCCCTTCACAGGCAATCGTCGCACGGGAAACAATGAAACGGCACAGTCGCGTCGCAAGTTGGCTACGAACCATGATGTTGAGACCGGTAGCATTGAGCGCATACTTGATCCTTATACGCATAACACAGTTGTTACTGGCCATGGGGCGTCGTCGAGTCGGTCTGAGCAAGGAATTACGAAGCAGGTCGAGTTGACGGTTTATTCGAGTGATGATCATGAAAGGAGTGTTTGATCTTGTAGAATCAGTCATGATTTCGCGATGTGTTCATTGGTTTAGTTAATAGAAATACCCATTCTGTATGGATATGTGATTTGCATATTGGTAAATTTAGGTGTGTTCTAGTTGTCGACTGCAGCCGATCGTTGGAAATTGTAGGATTGTCTAAAGAAATTCAGCTCGAATCCGAGTCATATAATTGTTACTTGAATATTGGTGAGTATTAAATAGGAGACTGTACGCGATAATACAGGCTAAGCTATTTAATTAATCTTTTCGATAAGTGTCGTTGTATTCCTTCTTAGTTGTTAGGAAAGATTGTGGTTAATTATGCTTTTGGAATATATACTAAACCTGAGCTTGGGATTACTACATCAGATGAAAATATTATAAAAAATACAAACTGAAAGTTAACAAGTCAATGAATAAGAACTAATCAAATAGATGATCCACAAATACACAGAAAACAAACAATTGCACCGTTGATATGTTGAATATCAAGCATAGAAATGCCCTCTTCTCCAGTGCCCATAGACCCGTCCCAAAGAAGATACTATATTCGCCAGATCCTCTCTTAGGACATCAGTTATTAGACGGCATTCCCATCAGTTCCCTGCAGATGGGCACTGCTATAGCCCGACTTCTTCGAGGGAACACGCCCAGCCCGTATCGTGTAAGGCCTGAGCCAACAACCTCCTTTCGCATTCGAGGCTAAAGCAGTAGGCCAGATGGCACGCTCACACTTGGGGGTATCAGTGCAAGCTTGGATACATTCTTTCGGAGTCCTGTCGGGCTTGAAGCCAACGTTATCCGCGTCCCAACCCTCATCGTCGACTAGATAAAGCTCGAGTTAGATTATATATCCCGAATGAACATGAAAAGGCTGGGTTACTCACGCATGCCACAGTAAACCTTGTAATCGTGTCCTCTATCATTGACATGTTCCTGGTCCCAATCGGGGCACTGGAAACACCCCTTTGTGCAGCCTTTCTCACAGTCCTTCAATTGGCGCTCTAGACCATTAACCCTGTCCTGCAAGCGGTCGATGTGGGCCTTCTCGTCACTGCATTTATCATTGTCATCAGGGAAGAGACCACCATTCTTTACCTTATATGTCATGTAAACGACTTCCGATTCAGAAATAAGCGGTGCGTCAAGACTGTGGTAGAGAACGCAGGATTTGGGAGTGTTCGAGTTTCGACCCTCAGTGGTTTCTTTACCAGCCCATAGGACGGACTTGCAGTCGGACCTCTTGGAGCAGATGGTAGCGCAGTCATCTGGGCTCGCGGCGGATATCACCGCTAGTTCGCTGGTGTCCGGCCGCTGGTTACAGTGGTACGTGACGTAGATATTGGAGTAGACTTTTTTCTCCTGACCGTCTTTTTCGGGACACACCTGGTTGTAGAACGCTCTTGGTGTGCTGGATGATTGGCCAGCAGCAAGGCTGGCAAGCAGTGGAAGGAAGGGTACGAGTGCTTGTAACTGCATTTTCAAAGTGGGAATGAACTGGACTTTAGATTGGATCTTGGAGCTGAATTGATGATGAGTAGTAGTGTTATGAGCGGATGGTGATGGCCTGGATTTATAGCTTTTGGGTATCTCTAAACGTGGCCTTTGAATAGATCTAGTTAAGGTAACATTGGAATACCAGCCCTTTCGTCAGGATTCTACAGCTGTTAGGTTGTTGTAAATCCAATATGGGTACGCCACTATGTAACCTAGACATAGGTGGCTCTATTGACATTCAGCCAGCCGAGTCTTCCACCAGGTTCAGTCCGAGCTGAAGTTTTTGAGATAGGGCTCACCTAAGCCGTTCGTATAATCCTGAGTGTTCGTTGTGCGTGCCATCATTGGTGACGTTTGATACTCCATCTCGGATCGCTAGATGTCTACAACTATAAACGTAGCCATGAGGTGGAGTTGCGTGAGAAAAGCAACGTTCAATCCGGTAACTAGTGTATTCTTAGAATCCAATGGTGTTGTCTAGACCGTTGACCGAGCCTGAGGACGATGTATCTTGTATCCAACACCTGAAGAGACAGCCGTATAGTGGAGCCCCGCAATAGCGTTTTATGAAATCATGCAGGTAAGACAGACCACGGATATGCTAGGATAGGGGTTCACATGGTTAGCACAAATGAAGTGGCTCGGAACTGAAGCTTTGTCGTGCGGCTAATGCATGTACAGATCCCGATGCTAGGAAAGTTCACGTCGGCAACTTCCGAAAGTGCCCCGAAATGAATTTCTCACTGAATTGGCCGTAGATACCTTAAGGGACATCATGCCTTATTGCTGTACGTCTAGTCGAGAGCTACATTTTCTACAGCTCATCATGCTAGCCGTTGAGTATCTCGGTCATCAGGCAAGGTTAAACGAGAAGATCAAAATGGAAAAAGAAAATATAGACTCGATTCGGGGTTGATGCACGCCAAGGGTCTAGCTGGCAGTTAGTAAGTAACTTCCTATCGAGGAATAGATCATCGAGGCATGGATGTGGCTGGCTGAGAGGATATTACGTACTGAATCAATTCCAGACCCATCCAGGTCGCAAAGCATATCATCTCAATCTCTAGCAAGGCCAGCGTTCCCCACTGTATGACACACAGGGACTGGGCGAATATGTAAATATGAAGCGTGATAGTGTGTTTTAGGCCGTATCTTAACTACAACGTCCACTGGAGTATTCTTAAGTAAGCTGCCTAGTCATCCTAGAAAGTAGTTACAAATGTCTTTCGCCTTGATAGAAGAATGACGAGAAGCACTGAATATTAAATATATCGCTCTCTAGCTATTCTTGCGTTGAAGGCAATGTCGGTGTTTTGTGAACATGAAGATATCTCGGTAGCACTTGATGGCAAACATGTAGGAACAACTTTCTAGCTAAGCCCTCATTGAACAGCCCCGCCTGAGTGATAGTTCAATAAAATTAGTCCACGTTTGGTACATGCACGTAAAGGAGCTGCTCTCAGCAAATTCCTTTTTGAGAAAGAAACTCGATTTATTAACTCCATAATACTACGTATCATTACTCTTAATTAGACACTAGGTAAAGCCTTCTCTCTCCGTACATACGTACCTTTCGACTCAAGCAAAAGAAACTTCACATGACTGGAAAGAAATCAGTGGCATTCGAAGGCGTGTTATATTAGTAGAGTGGGGTTTTGATATAGCTTTACTCTCCACATCAATGTCTTCATCGTAGTTATGATGAAAACTGGATACACTTACCATGGGTTCTTTCTTAAGAGTAATATTGCAGCTGACATACTGCGCTTCTTCTGTTTATGGTGATGAGAGCAACCTTTGGAACTGGACTGCCACGGCTGGTTTCCTTGATATCTGGTGGCGAGGCAGCACGCCCTAATGCATGACTTGCCTCCGAGACATGACCGGCCAATGAAGAACTTCATGCAGCCTCGAGCTCCTCACCCCCTGGGCATCCATCGCGGGATAATCTGTCTATCATCTCTCCTCATCAGTTACTGCCTGGATTCACCCTGATCGTGTGAGCGGAACGGCCCGCAAAAGTTGAAGATTCGGGTTACCAAAAAAGGAAGCAATTTTGGAACAGACTGTATATAATGCCCATGCGTCAACCAGTCACGCATTGAGAGAGTCGATCATTGACCGGCCAACGATCATTTCGATTGATAATGGTTATGCACATTGCATTACCTGTTCACTGCAGTCCGTAAGGAAGGGGAGAAGTACGATACAGAAAAGATCGTACTGTGCAGTTGGCTCTTCCGATTATCAACCAGACAGGCATGTTTTCGTCATCATGCCCTTAAATGAGACTGCCGCCGTAATGCTAATTCTCCACCTACCTACTGACCAGGGTTCCGAGCTGATTCGCTCGAGGTGCAAACAACAAATACATGCATGGATAATATTCTCCAACATGGTCCACTAGGATATTCGAAAGCCTATGAAGTCCAGAATGTGGGACGAGAATCTCGGCCTAGTTAGAGATTGCTCAGCCGTCCAATACTATTGGCACAGTTAGAGTATTCTCGACAGGCCTTTTACTTCGGCAGCCTGTGCACGTATCACGATGGCATCATTTTTCGTAAGCCATATGCGATTGCCTCGCAGCTTGGACCTCTTTAGAGTACACAATGTGGAACCATTCTTGCATTTTGTCGCCTTCATAGCTGAAGGCGACCTCGCAGGGTTACCTCTGTGAAGATATAAAGCCGGGCCGTCTCGTCAGCTACCTGACTCCCAACCAAGCATCCATTTTCCATACCCCATAGAACGTCTAGTCTCCCACAATCAATCGTACTTCCCACAATGAGCTCCCTTGTCAACACTGCCCTGGCTGCTGTCACAACCAATGGCAAAGACAGCTATCTCTACTACCAGAGCGGACAAGAAATCCGTGAAGCTCACTCCGAAACGGGTTCGAGCTGGACGGCAGTCGCTTCCACGGTTGCCACCAATGCGTCTGGCGGTGGATCAGCCTTGACTGCATACTATGTTAACCAAGATGCCGATTTCGGTAAACAGGCAACGGTATGGATATGCTCCACTGGCGGTAATTTAAGAGGCTAATTAATCATTGTGCTATAGATTCACGTCATCTATCTTGACTCCAGCGCCAAAGTCGCAGACAAAGTTAAGGTCCTCTCCAAGGGGAAATGGGAGGACGGGCAGACAAGTGGCATCGAGACAAACCCTGCGTCGGTTTCACGCATCACTGGCGGAGCTTTCAATGGCACCACTGGTTGGAATCCGAATGGATCCCAATGGGCTTATTACAACACGTATGATAGGTCTCCAATCCGGGATATTCCTTGAGACCGTGCTAACAGCCCAAGAGACCCAATGGTAATGAGTTACAAATCACGGAGATTCGCCGTACACCCAACAGCCCGTGGCACACCGAGACAGTGCTACCAGAAAAGAAGCAAGCACTACCAGGAACCGATCTGGCAACTAGCATCGTGAATGGGACCATCGATCTGTACTATCAGGACCATGCTGGTAACGTCAATCACTGGCTTAACCAAGGTAGCCAATGGAAGGGTAAACTTCCCCTCTTCAATTATTATTTACCGGACGTATCTTCTGACCTGCATTTCCTTTCTAGACGACGGAGTACTTATCCAAGCCAGCAACGTCCAGATCAGTACTCCCCTCGCTACAGTGAATACTGGCAAGAAACACGTTTTCTACGTGGATAAGAGTAGCCCCAGCAAGATTAAGGACCAGGTCGATGGAAAGGATGTCGAGGTTGCAAACTTTTACCCCGGCACTCGCTTGGCTGCTTTGTCTGTCGACAACAAGGTGACTTTGTTCTACAAGATTTTGAACCCTGCCGGTGCCATTGCGACCAAGGCTTATAATGGCAGCTCCTGGGCTGATGGCTCTACTGTCGTCCCTGCTTGAGACAATGCTGGATGGCTGGGTCTAAAGTGGAATCTGAACGATGGAAGCTCATAGCTGACTACAGTAATTGAAGGATAATTTAACAGACGAAATATTACGCAAAATTATCTTGACATGAATGTATTTCCGTAGCCCAGATCCTTCCTTTCTTGTAGTATTATGTCCTAGTTATCTTACATTCCTTTGCAGCATCTAATGCTAACACTGCTGAAAGCTGTCCTGTAAAGCTCCAACCTCCCAGGCTGGAGGCCTGCGCCACGTCGCAGACTATTGTACGGATGGCATTTGACTCATCCACTTAGGGAGGCCATTTTTGCGACAGTGTTAGATATGAGCTGAGCTTTGCATATTGCTCATCGACTCGCTGGCTCAGTGTAGCACCCATCTGTTCTAAGGTCTCATATTATTTTTTCATGTTTTGCCTTCCATCAATCTCTGCCCCCTGTAGCTGACTTTCCGCCTCCTGAAATGCTTCAGAAGACCGTAGCGTCGTGAACGAACTTTGAAAATATTGCTCTATGAGTAGAAGCCTAGCATCTATACCCCTTAATATAGCAGCTATTAGATCCATTTGATCGGAAAGTTGATCCACCCTGGTAGTGAACTGGCCGACACTCTCTTTGATTCCTCGGAATCCATCCGATACAAAGCGCTCCATTTCTTCTTGGGCAACCTGGAGATTTCCATGATATTGTTCGTCAGGACGTATTGTAGACAAAAGTAACTTAGCGTACACCGCGGCGGCAAGTGCGGCATATCCATGCCATGAGTCGTTTTCGTGAGAATCGGAATAATCGCATACACCGCGGATCGGAAGACAATCAAAATTGTTCATAATACTAATTGATTCCATCTCGAAGCATATGATACGGTTGTTCCAGCTTAGCTCGTTTCGCCTTCTAACATTCTTCATAACTTGATCGGCAGAAGCAACATTTCCGTAATGAACTCTAACCAGATTCCCTTCTTGCCGACGCTTTCGTTTTACGATATGCGTCAGTCCCTTGCCATGGGGTCGTAAACACTCGCAGCGATGCCCATGTCCATAGTTAGATTTACACAGGCGATCTTTGGACTGGGATGGTCGCCGAAATACATTGCCTGTAACCCGGGAACTTCCGAAGGCGTGGTCAATGGATCGCTGAAGACGCGGCCCTCGCTGAAGTAGCTCATCAAGCGGACTGAGCTTGGAGCAAAGGGCCCGGGATGTCCCCTTACTATTACCAGTGATTTTGAACCCAGTGTCAGTCATCTTGCCGAAGCCGTAGGGAACGACTGCAGTTCCGACAACCACATCACCGAGTCGGATATCAATATCGTGGGAAGGGGCACCTCCACCCAGGCCCACCGTAAGCACAAACTGAATACATGGAAAGCTACTTTTCATGTCCCGGGCCATCCTTGCGGCATTTATAGACCGTAGGTGCCCGCAGGCGGAACTGGAATCACGATCCTATGCTCTCCAATGCGCCCAAGTTTGTATGTGTTTCGATCCCCCGTGGCTTTTGATATGATGGCATTATCATATTCTTCGTCAAGTATCTCTGTGGAAGCCAGATATTCTATCGGGAGAGCACTGATCCATCCAATAGTGAATTGGCAAACCTGTGTGATCTGGGCTTCCTTTGATCCTTGTCGAGCCATAAGTTAGATCGGTATGAAATATTCTTTAGAATTAACCGGACCATCGTGTCAAAATTGCTGAACCTGGATATCAATATATATGCTAGGAAGGTAAGACATGTTTCCATTATAGCGTGGACATCTTGTTGCAGTAAGGTTGATTTCCAAGTATGGAACGAGAGATTGACTGGTCAATATTCTGTCTCCAGATGGCGCTCGCCTGCGTTGCATATACGCCAACATATCATGAACGGTCAGCAGGAGAGCCTTCCAGCCAATAAATCCAAGTAGAGTCGCCGATCATCAACACTTGACCGGTTCTGCCCCACAGGCTCGGGAAAATCGTTGCGGCCAAGAAGACCCTCACCCCTCGGATTTCGCTGTGAACGCCCCTGTCAGCCACCCAATGACTGGAACAGATAAGGTCTAGACAACGCACAAAAAGATTAAGTTAATCATGAACACTCTAAGTCCACCGTCGACGGAACGTCGGTCGCGGGCGAGTCGTCCTAAGGTACGCACGGGTTGTGTGACATGCAAGTAAGAGCACCCAACGCTGCGCTACAATCGAACTTAGACTATCGCTGCACAGGCCCAGGCTCGAGGGCATACGGCAAGGTGACTGATTTATAGAAAATGAGGAAACTAATGTCTAGCTTGGTAGGGCTCGGCGCAAGAAATGTGACGAGGCCCGTCCGTACTGCCATATGTGTACCAGCACGGGGCGAGAATGCGGTGGATACCATGACACCATCGACCGAAGGACTCGAGCTGCGCGCAATAGGAGAGCAGCTGTCGAGGGTTCCTGCATTATCACAAAGGTTGATTCCCGGCAGAGGCAACTTTCTTTGGCAAAGAAATGCGACTCGTGGATATCCCGGCTTCTAATCGACCCCAGTCAGACAGATCTGTCACTGTCCGAACGATGGTATCTAGGCTTTTTCCGCACCGATACGTCCGCTCAGTGCGCTGGATATTTCCCGCTTGAATTCTGGGATCGAATGGTCCATCAGATTAGTGAGGAAGAACCAGCTGTTCGTCACGCTATCATCGCCATCAGTGCCCTGCATCGAAGCTTCGGGACGAAGGATTCGCGAGCTCTTGAACAGAACGACCGCAATTCGTTCCCTCTTCGTCAATGTAACAAGGCCATTACTCTTTTACGGCAAAGGCTGCAGGGCGTAGACTTTCAGCAAGACTCTCACGTGCTCATCACTTTGGTCACTTGCGTTCTCTTCATATCGTTTGCTTTTCTCCAGGGAGATATCTATGCCGCTAGCTGCCACCTTCGACATGGGGCCAGGCTCCTCCAGGACTCGCAATTTGGTAGTTCTAAGGACGTGTGGAGTTATGGACCAGTTTTGACGGACGTATTCTACCATTTGGAACTGCACTGGTCGAGTCTCAAGGCGCCTGGAATGGCTACTCTGAGACACGAGCACTCCCTCGTTTATTCCATGGCAATTGGCAACCCAGTCTGGTCGAAGCCTATACATTGCCTGAAGGATGCATGCAATCTTTTGGTCGGCCTTGCATGGCTCATCTGCGAGAATGACCCCCATGACAAGGAGAAAGATATGGCCAAGGAAATTCTCGACAAACACCAAGGGGCGATCCTAAACAAACTTCAACTTTGGAAAACAGAGTTAGGAACATCCCTCGCTCGTGAACAGGCAGTTCTATCTTCAGGAGATTGCCATACATTGGCTGCGCTTGACCTCTGGACTGAGATCATCTACATCCGAGTCTCAACAGATAGAATGTCTGCTTATGGAGAGAGTAGATTCGACCCTTTCAGATCGAATTTCCAGCGGGCAGTCCAGATCGCCGGATCCATACTCGGCGCTGACTTCGACCACTCCCCTACGCCGACATTCTGTGTCGGCATGGGCATGATCCCACCGCTTTACCTTTGTGCTTTTAGATGTCGTGACTGGCATATCCGAAGAGAGGCGGTGGCGCTCTTGAAAAAATACAATCTTCAGGAGGGAGTCTGGACGAGTTCTGGAACGGCGTTTGTCCTGGAGCGTCTTATTACCATTGAATCGGAAGGCCTTACACCAGACGACAGGGTTCCTGAACATGCGCGGATCTATTCAATGCGGGGGAATCTTCTGTCAGATGGGTCGGGCCTACAGCTGTGGTATCGTCGATCTCGCTGTGGCAAGTTGAATGAAAACGATCGTGATGATGTTTGGGAGACCGAAATTATGCCTTTTCAAACATAATATACGACTAACCCAGACCATGATGCTACATGAAAGTATAACATCGCCTGTTTGTCATTAGGCACCTCTATCTACTGTACCCTTTTCTTTTCCTTCTTGAGGGGGTTTTTTTTGCTGGCAAAAAACCAATAATAACAATCAGAGCTGTGGAGACCATATTGATCATGATAAATATACAACATACACAAATGACTATACTGGCCGTGAAGTACCTGGGGAATAGTCAGCTATGATTTATCATAGCTTATAGTACTATCAGGAAGTGACACTTTACCCCTTTCTTTGTTCTATTTAAGAATCCTCTCAGGACCCATTCCTAAATATCTTTCCAGTCCGAGCTATAGTTTGCTTTCGAATGAATATTAATCCTCGCGCCTATGTATGTAACTGAATAGTGGGTGTGATTTTAATAGTTAAATCCATAGTTCTTCTAGTCAGCTGCAAATACTAGTTCTCCAGTCTTAGTTTTAGACAGGCCTAGGCGAGCATATTAGCTAGACTTTATGCAATCCAGTCAATAATCTGTCGGTCTATTGATTTTCATGCGGACAAGTATCACTCAGCATCAATCTATAACTAGTAAAGAACGCCAGGACTTCACAAATTGCATATGTGTATTTTAACCAAAAGCTTATCATCCCTCAGTCTACCCTCAACAGCTCATCTTCATTTCCATTCCAAAGTCAGCCTTGCTTCGTCGGTTTCAACGAGTAATCATGAGGGCTTTGGTTATACTTGTAAACCTTCTTCATTTATCGTCCGCGATCTTTCTTTTCGCGCTTTGTTGCACTTTTCTCTTTATTCAACACTACATCCAATCTAAGATAAATAGTCGGGATGTCCACACTGTGGGAGGGGCCAAAGCGATATGCGACAGCGTCGATGTCGTGAGCTAGACGCGTTCAATTCAGTGCTGCGAGCGAGATAACGACCAATCTTCCCCAGGGAGCTATGGTTCGCAAGTTTTGTTCGCCTCTGGATGAGACTAGTAACTCACCCAGCTTGCCGACAATTAACTTATATCACTAACAGGCAACCCCGAATAGTGTTTCCGGACGACACTCCACTCCCGTCGTACTGTGCGATTGCTACCTGCGCCATGGATACTGTGAGTAGATCATCCCCGTAGGTGTCGATTGCTAACGAAGTCCCTCTTTAACAGGGCGAGGATGATGGCTTCATCAGATAAGTACAGCCCAAATTAACATTCGACTAGAGGGTTTCGAGATTCACTGCTTGAATTCATCCTGAGAGGGCACTGGCACATTCACTTCCAGGCTACTCCCCAACTTGTTCAAACGGCGGCTACTATCGCTTCAGAAAGCATTCCCTTAAATGGCCGAATGACCTGCTGTATCCTTGCTTGAGAGGAGCTCCTAGTGGAATTCTAGGAGTTTATGTGTGGGCTTGTGTTTCTATCAGTGCTGATTGTTTCGTCATTCAAATTAATAGCTTCACAAGCGATGATCACAATTGCCAGGTATATTTCTCCACTTCCTGCAAGCCATCTTGCCCGCCGAGTTCTCAGGGGGGACCCACTTTGAGATAAATCAACTGATGGGCGAATGGATCCCTCACAATCAATCTATTCGAAGATCCTTCATATATACGAAGTGGAAAGGGAGCGGGTTGATAATGCCCATCATACCCACAATGGCATTATTCTAGTGCTATAGCTCTCCTTGGGGTAGGAATATAGACGGTCAAGTAGGGCGTGTGCACGGAATCGAACGGCGTCTTGTCCGCCACGTGACCGGTATGACTGGAAACTTCGTGAATTAGAACATATTGGGACTAGTGGCCTCAGTCCAAGTGGAGACCACGTGCGGGCTGACGGAGAAAACGGCGACAAAATCCGTTTCACGTTATCAAGATGTTGGTTTGCTCCCCAGATTCTCCATGTTGGGGTTGAGAGTGTAACCGGTAACCTAATCCGGGGTAAAATTATGGAGAAGATATAAGAGCGATGGTTTCCCCCGGATTGGGTAGACATTCCTTGTATTGCAGACCTCTACACCATTTAAGACTGTGACATTAGTATCCGTCTGCATACTCACCATGGGTAACCAAATCCATGGATGGAATATTGCCCACAAGCTGGAGAAGCGAAAGCTTCTCATCGCCATTAACTGCGTGGCGGGCTTATCAATCTTCTTCTTTGGTTATGATCAAGGGATGATGGGTGGAGTGAACAACTCTAGTGATTATCTTGAGCTCATGGGAATGGGCTACGGGGCTGATATCAATGGCGATGTCAATGTCCCTGTCGTCACAGACAGCCTTCTACAGGGTGGTATCGTCTCCGTCTATTATCTGGGTACTTTGGTTGGTGCTCTTTTCGGGGGCTGGATTGGCGAGAAGATAGGACGATTGAAGAGTGTTGCAGTTGGATCAGTGTGGGCTATTATTGGTGCTGCGTTGCAATGCTCGGCTATGAACCATCAGTGGATTATCTGCGGTATGTTCTGATCGATCTTATTACCATCTTCCTCTATTCTTTTCCGTTATACTGACGACCAGAATCATATGCTAGCCCGGTTTATCAATGGAATCGGCACAGGAGTTCTGAATGCAATTGTCCCTGTGTGGGCGACGGAGACGGCAGAGCACACGTCTCGAGGTCAGTTTATCGCAATTGAATTCACGTTAAATATCTTCGGCGTGGTGGTTGCATATTGGTTAGAGTTGTGAGTCATATCCACAGTCTTTCACATGTTGAGATTATACATCGTATGGAACTAAATGCATGCTAATACCATGACTCAGCGGTCTTTCCTTCATAGACGGGGGACGTTCAGCATTCCGTTGGCGGTTCCCGATCGCATTCCAAATCATTCTATTGTTTGTATTGCTCGGTGCCGTATGGTTTTTCCCCGAGTCCCCACGATGGCTGGTCAAGGTGGGTCGCGAAGAGGAAGCACGCTACATCCTCGGTCGACTGCGTGGAACAGGCCCCGAGGATGGGGACAAGGCGGAAGCAGAATTTCGAGACATATGCAATGTTGCTGAGTTGGAAAGAACTCAGAAGTACAGCACTTCCTACTTCTCCATGATTACCGGAAGAGGTTCAGGCAATCTTCACATCGGTCGCCGCGTACAGCTGGTCGTATGGCTGCAAATCATGCAGGAGTGGGTGGGAATTGCCGGCGTAACAATCTGTGAGTAATTCTACCGCCGAGTACCAGGTTGGCGTTAAAGTGAAGGAAAGCAGAACAAGAGTCTAATTGAGAGCAGATGCACCCGTTATCTTCCGTATGGCTGGCTTTGATACTGAGAAAAGTCAGTGGGTGAGTGGCTTGAACAATATCTTTTACATGGTAAGTACATTCCATCGAAAATGTCAATGTTTATAGCTGATCCCTATCCCAGTTCTCAACCTTGATCTGTGTCTTTACTCTAGACCGGATAGGCCGTCGCTGGACCCTGTATTGGGGATCTGCAGGGCAAGCAATTGCAATGTTCCTTGCAGGAGGCTTCTCCTACCTCTGTAAGCAGGCAAACGCTGCGGGGGATGCTAGTAAAGCGTCATCGTACGGCGCCGCCGCAGCCTCCATGGTCTTTATTTTCACTTTCATTTTCGGTGCGACCTGGTTAAGTAAGCTAAAGCGATATTTGCCCTTGTCGAATTTGAAACACTTGAAAACGCTAACAGTGGTATTACAGCGGTGCCGTGGCTTTATCCTGCTGAGATATTCCCGCTCTCCGTTCGTGCTAAAGGCAACGCCTGGGGTGTAGTAGGATGGAGCATTGGAAATGGATGGCTGGTATGTGTGAAGCGAGAGCCCAGACCTGCTTAGATACTAATCTCGCATCTTCCATAGACGCTCCTCTGTCCCATAATGTTTTCTTCTATCGGAGAAAAAACGCTTTACATCTTCGGAATCGCCAACGTGATAACCCTCCCGATGGTCTGGGCTTTGTACCCCGAGTCAAATCAGCGTACATTGGAGCAAATAGATATGCTATTCGCGGCCGACAGCATTTGGGTGTGGGATGCAGAGCGAAACTTCAAGACTTTGGTGGAAAATAACCCCGAACTGACTCAAGCAGCGCGGGCTCGCAACCCATCAGAGGCAGAGAAGATCAAGGATATTGAACATCAAGAGAAGGCCACATCCGAACATTTATCTGTCTGAGAGAGCCGGTGGTGAAATGGTTATTAGCCAAAAGAGGATTTTGATGATCTTATGTGATTATGATCTATGTATAGTGCAGGATAAAGTTTTCATGGAGTTATAGGACACTAGAAAGACGCATTAAGGCGGACGAATTAGCTAGCCACTTGGTTGCCATTATAGTGATAGTGATGATGATTAGCTCACTTCTGTAAGCAAGCCCTCCAGGGTACGGCGGGCCTTCTTAATATCCGGAGCTTCATCTTCCCAATAGCTGAGAGCTTCCAGTATACTATCAAAATGGCTCTTTAGATGTATCCGACGGTCAATTCCGGGTACTTCAAGGTTGCCACTCTTCACTGCAGCGATCACTATAAGAGAGCTAGTCACCAGCGCGCGCAAATCGAACCAGATGCCATGATGACGGTGGCGAAGGCATCTTGCTTCTAAGATCTTCAAGGCGCAGTTCATCCCTGACTGGACAAGAGTGGAAATAGTTGCTAGCTCCTCGCTAGTAAACGAAGAGTTTTGAGCTTCTTGCGCCTCCGGTCCAGTGCTGAGTGGATAATGAATGATAAAAAATAAAAAGGGTTGGTACAGCCAGAGGCGAATCTCCAGCAATCGATTCGCGATCGCCCAACTCAGTTCCAGCGATATGGAGTCTTGTGCTTCGGGGAAGCTATTCATAGCGTGACCAGGACTTGCGCTGTTCTCGTAATGTCGCAATCCAGGAGGGAGGTTGGCGGACCATGCATTTATCTGAGTTTCGAACTCTAATGCCAGAGGAATGAAAGGCTTGATGTCCGACCACATGGACTGTCCCCTTCGGTAAAAAGCATTAAGAACACGGTTTCCAATACGTCGAAGCGCCACTTCGGTAAGGTAGTAGTACCAGCTTTGTTCTTCGTCGAACAACTGCATTATGTGGTTTCGTACGCCGAATGGTGTCGGGGCTCGATTGCCATGGCTGCTGCTTGCTGGTCTGGAGGGATTCCAGGATGTTGACCATCCAGTCCCATTGTATCCACCTTCCGGATAGTCATCCGACAGATTAGGAGGGGTCGGAAATAATGCCGGGTATTCATACTCGGCAATCGCAGACTGTGGCAATGGGAGCTCAACTCGTATCTCGACTTCAGATTTAAAGCATGACCAATATAAGCTCTGTTCCATGTGTCGCAGCACTGGGGTCTCACACTGGATAACTTCATCGGTGGAAGCATCATCGTCCATGTTCAACCCATCGATCATTCTCAGACGCAGTCGGTAATATGTTGATGCTTGGTAGAAGTGATTCCAAGCTGCTAGCGGGCGAAATGTATACATAAGATAAACTATCGATAGTCAATATCCTTGAAAAATGGATAAGCGAGTGAAGCACATACCCCCAGCAAAGAAGTGGCATTGAGCACCTAGCACAGAGTAACGAAGAAGGCCAACCCTCCGGCAAGCCATCACGAAGAATGTTTCCCCCTCTTTCAAGCCTGAAGCTAATGAAGATGTTCGGTCAGAGGCACGTTCTTCCTGCAATGGCGCTTTCATGGAATGGGTGAAAGGTTTTGAGATACAGCCTAATGCACAAGCTAACAGGACAAGACAGGACTGGGCATCCCATTGAAGTCCAAACTCCGCAGCGTGGCGGCCCCAACGGATTAGGGCTTCCAGATCTAATATAGGATTTTTCGTGTGCACATTTTGGATGAATTGGTCAACCAATGCTGGAATGCGTTCCTCGTTGGTTGGTTGGAACCCGTCTGGAACAACCCATGTCTCTATGGCGGAACTCTCCGCCCCGTGAGGAGACTGAAATACTGTGGTGATGAGTGCATTTTCACGAAATCGTCCGTGAAAAATGGGCCATGTGAGAACCGTGTCCGCACTACCGCGACTGGATGGAACTTGCAGGTAGTCCTTGTACGGCTCTGCGTCTTCTTCTGAAACGTCGAACTCTTTCCCCTTTAGCTGCGGTGCGGACGGCGCACTCGACGTTGGGGTACCTAGTCTTCGGTCAAAACGTCGTATACGTTCGATACTTCGAATAAGAGTAGAGTACCATTTGAGAAAAGAAATGACTGTATATTTTCAACAGCATGTGACAAATTATCAAGTCGCTCAATCACTTTCCCCAAATCCCGGTCCCTGTTTTATTTAGCAACGGTCCTCGTCCGGTTAAATGGAAATTAATCATACTCCTTGGTCAGTTCTCCACGTTCAATATACACACAAGTCATGCCATTTCCTTGGCAGAAACCACACGTTGGCCTAGCATTATCACAGCGGACCTTTCTCCTCCTGCAAGTTTGGCAGGCTGCCCGTCGACGATTCCCTAGTGGTTTTGGGGGGGCAGTATTTGTCGGAGGTCTGAAAGCGGGGTCGTCCTGACTCTGTGATCTTGACCGTGTGGGAGATAATTCCACGGGTAAGTCTATGTCCATAACCCTGCTGGGAAGTCCTAGTATTCCGTAGGCAGGTTGAAGAATGATGAACTGATGGAGTTCTGCCAGACTGCTCCGATCTTATTGGTCATGTGTCCCATTTCTACGCCTAGATAGGCTTAGTGCAGGCACTTTAGACACCATCTCTGAATGTGGCTTAGCGTAGAAAACTGAAGGTTGTGACAAAGAATGTGGCATATTATTCATTATTCTTATAATATGGTGCTGGATGGCTTGAGGGGCTAGAACTTACTGTATATTAGTCCTACTGTCTAATGGTACAATATATAGTGCCCCAGAGCATTGATACATTGGTTCATCAGTTTTGTAAAGGTAATATAGTATACGCCTATATATATCCGTCTATTCTCAGCAAATATCGACTGACTCCTTTAGGTAAGATTCAAGTAGCAAGCTATTTGGGGCTCATTGGACAGGTTGATAAAGTACTCCAAGAACGTACATATAGTAGCACCCAGAATTTGCTTATCTAGTATGATAATATGATCTATTCTATACCCCAATCTCCAAAATCTCTCCAACCCCCAAAATCCCAGAGTGGAGCCCATCCCTCCATCACGTGTATCCGACAAGCCCTTCGCTATCAAAATTTGCTCCACTAGAGGTTAATAAATTTGGGGCTGCCGAGTGTTTTGTCTCCGGTGAGTTGGTCATCAAAACTCTCTTTTTCAACTATCTACTCCTTGTTGCACGAGAGAGACCCACCCCGGTGATTGCATACTGCACTCTGCTTAGCGTTTGGTTGTTGCAGCGTTCACTTTCTTGCATCTAGTTCGGCGATTCATGGCAGACTCAGTGTTAGACACCACGCAACATGTCAATGATGAACAACCCACCGAGAATGGAACGGAGCAGCGGCCCCTGAAATCTTTCCGTAGTGCCATCTCGAGAACCGTGGAAAAAGCAAGATCAACACCAGCTGAATACCAAGATGCCAAGTACCCTGAGGGCGGTCTCCGTGCGTGGCTCGTTGTGCTGGGCTCCTGGTGTGCTATGATGCCTTCGATGGGGCTGTTGAATACCATAGGAGTCCTCCATGCTTGGACCTCAAACCATCAACTGGCCGAGTATTCATCTTCAAGCTTGGGATGGATCTTTGGTGCTTTTAGCTTTTTTCTCTATTTTGGCGGTGCTCAAGTTGGTATGCACGATGCATATGGATTCCGACTACGTTGCGTAGAATACTAAATGGAAAAAAAACTATTGACAGGCCCTATCTTCGACAGCCGAGGAGTGCTACCGGTGGTCGTGCCAGGATCTATTGGCATAGTACTATCCATATTCTTTTTCAGTGCAAGTACCGGTTAGTGTCCCATCCCGTTAGTCGTAAATGGTGAGCCCCCACTGATCCACTATTAGAATACTATCAGATCTTCTTATCTTTCAGCGTTCTGGGTGGTATCTCGTCTTGCTGCCTGTTCACCCCAGCCATCTCTGCTGTGGGCCACTGGTTTGACGTACGCCGTGGCCTTGCAACCGGCATTGCTTGCACTGCCGGCGGCCTCGGAGGCGTCTTCTTCCCTCTAATTATCCTTTATGTCGGACCGACACTCGGCTTTGCCTGGGCAATGCGTATCATCGGGATTATCTGCTTCGTCCTGTGTGTCTTGGCGTGTTTACTACTCAAGACTCGGTTACCACCCAACAACCAAGGTGGCATGGCAATTGACCTAAAGGCCCTCTGGGAACCGAAATACGCCCTAACCACACTGGCTGTATGGCTCGTCGAGTTCGCCGTCTTCATCCCATACACATATGTTGTCTCATATGGGTTATACGCCGGGATGGAACCTTCGATGGCATACAAACTGAACATGCTTTTGAACGTGGGGGCTATCCCGGGACGAGCGTTGCCGGGAGTGCTTGCCGACCGAATGGGACGGTTCAACGTAATGACTCTAACGGCTGTTGTTTGTGCGATATGCACACTTGCTTTGTGGTATAAGGCGGGCACGAACGACGGTGCGATCATTGCGTACGTGGTCCTGTTTGGATTCTGGAGTGGCGCGGCAATTAGCTTGACGCCGGTGTGTATCTCGCAGGTGTGCCGGACGGAGGATTATGGGAAGCGGAATGGGACAACATTCACTCTGGTCAGCGTGGGAACATTGATCGGAATTCCTCTTGCTGGTGCCATACAGGAAAGTAACGGAGGCGAGTACTGGGGGTTGATTATCTTTGCCGGGGTTTTGTATCTGGCGTCGGCTGTTGCGTTTGCGGTCGCTAGAGGGGTTTCTGGGGGTTGGGGATGGAAGATCAAGTTTTAACATTTCATGATATATAGAGTACTGAAAATATAGAATTATCGTAGACTTGGATACTAGAGTACCAAAGATTTCTTAAGCTGGAGCCAAAGATTATACATGGGTGATCCTTATAATCAGGCCTGCGTACTAATTCTCGACAAGATACGTATACAGGATCACAGATTAGCCCTTCATTACTTCTCATATCCTCAAACTGGTATATAACCATGTTTAGAGCATTGAAACTGGATCAAATCAAATCTCTCTTGCACACGAAAGCGATACACCTCACCCCCAGTCCAGATAGACCACATCACTGCTCAGGCCTGCCTCCTCGACCTGTTTCCGGAAGTCCTCCAAAGAACGTGAGAACACGTCGTAGTCATAGTAATGAATCGGGATGGTTACATCGGGCCGTATTAATTGCATCAGCTGCACCCCTTGCTTCGCATCCATCGTCACCCTCATCGCCAAGGGCCCTAATGCCGGAGAAGGCACTGTGGTCCCACCAAGATGTGTCAGCATCAAGTTGATCTTCTGGTTAGCATAGCGCTTAGGAATTTCGTTTAGATCGTGGACCATCAAGGTATCGCCGGAGATGTAAATATGATGTCGGACCGTGAAGTCCGAGGTGGGGCCTTCGCCGTCGAAGCCCAGCTCAACCATCCATCCATATTTGTTGGGGGGATCTGGACCGGTTCATTAGTACCTGATTCAACGTTTATAGCGATAGATCTATCTGATTATATGGTTAGAAATTGGAGATAAGAGACACAGCGGAGACCAGATTGTTCAGGTTATCAATCACTCTAGTTGGAGCATGTTTCCCAAGCACTCCGGTCACCCGCATACGACCTTTCTTCCTCGAGGTATTCCCAGGAATATATACAGTAGCTTGTTGAAACGGCTCAAGATCATACACCTTCGTAAAGAAGTCACCCCCCTTGGACGTTAATATCGACTTGGCGTGGGGAGTAGTGATGATTGGCAGATTGCGACGGAGCGAGGATTCGACCTTTTGGTCAAAATGATCACTTGGAGATGTATATCAGTAAATATTCCACATTTATCCAAGATGAAAAATCTTTAATCAACTGGGAAAACGACCAACCCATGATAATGAGACAGGAGCACCACGTCAATCCGGGGCAACCCATACAGGTTTACGGCAGGATTCGTCCTGCGTGCACTCGACACACCCGGACCGAGATGGACATGGCCTCATGCGTGTAGGAAGTTAGGCTAATGGGTTGGTTAGTGATTAAGATGGATGTCTGTATCATGTTGATGGAGAACTGACATCGGTCATGACCCGAAGCCCTTCCCATTTTCTGTACTCTGTGAGTCTTGGGTTCCATCTGGATCTGAGACTGCCTACATGATAGTTGTTGCTGTACCGATAAAATAGACTGATGCATTTTATCCGCCTGCTTGGAGTGGATGCTGCTTGCTGTCTTTTGCTGGAGGGAGATGGGCTGGCACGTCTCCCGGCGAGTCGCGGGTTGGGGCCTCGACGTTATGAAGATCAACCATCAGCTGATGCATTGTGAATGACTTACTAAGTCTTCTGTAGATATAGAGAGTCAAATATAGTTGATCCAACGTTTTATGTTAAGGCAATATGTGGAGATCATTCTCATCCAAATCATGATTTTTATTCCTACTTGCGTTCATCCTGACTAACATGTTTAGCTATCATCGGCTTCACCTTGTTTCACAACATGATTGCGCGGAAGCACATCATCCCAACAATATGCACATGTGTATCAAACAGACAGTTTCATTCGCCGGAGTGGCTATCTCTATCTAAGCAGATATTATCAACCAAGCATGTGAGGCATGTGTGCTCTTCCGCACATAGATATCAGTTTGTAGAGAAGACAAAAATATATAAATTTCGCACCCAAATTTCTGATCTGGCTCATTAACAACCCATTCCAAACATTCTTCTCTTCTACACACACATTTCCTCTCTCTCAAAGCATGACAGTCAGCACAGAACTCAAAGACTATGTTCTGGATCCCTACCATCCAGATGCTCTCGACCTTATTCAAAACATTCCAGGGATCCAAGCCATTCTCCCCGGCGATCCTCGCATGGGAACCTGGCACTCAGACGCCGACGGACTCATGGTCCGCTCCGACTCTCGACTCACGGAGAGAGACTTCGCCAAAGCCCAGCGTCTTCGCGTGGTGGTCAAACAAGGCGTTGGTGTCGACAACATCGACCTCAACGCTGCCAAGAAACGCAGTATCGCCGTCCACAACACCCCGCTCTCAACAGTGAGAGTGTGACCGAGCTATCGATGGCTCTCACACTGACTCTAACCCGCAGGGCCACTGAGATCGACCGAGCCGTGCGTGGCGGGGCCACAGTCATCCGTTCCTAGATGCTCAGCACCAGCATGTTCCGCAAGACCGTTGGTGTGGTAGGCATGGGCAATATCGGGAAGATTGTAGCCTAGAAATGGATTGGCGCTTTTGATTGCTCTATTGTGGCATTTGATCAGTTCATGTGGCCCGAGGCGTGGAGTAATGTAGATCATACTCGGGAGGAGACGTTGGATGAGTTGCTGAGAGTTGCTGATGTGGTGACGCTTCATGGTCCTCTTGTTGAGGATACGAGGAGTCTGGTTGGCGAGCATGAGCTGAGCGTTATGAAGGATTCGGCCTTTTTGGTGAACTGTGCCCGGGATGGTGTCGTCAATGAGAGAGCATTGCTTAAGGCTTTGGAAGAGAAGCGGGTTGGAGGTTGCGGCGCTGGATACTACGGAGATTGAACCTCCCACTTTGGTGGTGCACGGTGCGTTTTTGAAGCATGACAATGCTATTATCACTGCCCATATCGGAGGAAGCACGAAGGAGAACCAAAGTCGAAATGGGATGTACGTGGCGAAGACTTTGGTGAATGTGTTACATGGAAGAGAGGCAACTGGAAAGTTGGTTTGAAACTCTAGATAGCAGAACCCGATAACATGTACTGGACAAGGATTAAGATAGTGTCAATGGTCTTATTACCAACCATTCTTTTATCCAACATCTGCTGCCACAAGTAAGCTTCTTTACACATTTGAGGAAGGGTTTGATGAGAGCATAACACTGAAATACCGTAACTGAGTGGTAGGATCACAAGTCAACTTGATATTAGTTCAGTATAGATAGGTATAGCTAAATACACAAAGATAATAGCGATATGGAGCCCCGAAATCGAAAAAAGAAAAGAACGAAGAAAAAGGGAAATCGCGCTTGGGATATATTCTAGATCGTAAACAATTATGATGCAAATGTGGCAACCGAACTGGGTACCTGCCCCTCCTCAGGATGATTGTCGGTTGATATTGTATGACAGCGTTCGGCCGTCAGGCCTGACCCGCAGGCTTCTCGGTATTCGAATGAGATTGTGCTTGCGGAACGAAACTGGCCTTTCCCGTAACTCCGTCGAAAATATGGTATCCATAATCGGCCGCATTTGGGGGAGTATAGACTAAAGTTAATTAGTATCATACAGATCCAGCAGGCTTTCAAGTCAAGCTTAATGGTAAAACACTCACTGTGGAGGGACACCGCAACTTGGTTTGGACTTGGGTTATGGACACGGTGCAGACCAATATCATCCGAGATATATGTCACCTGGTTGGCATGGTATCGGTTTTGGTGTTTGAGCTTGAGAGGACTTGTCTGATCGCCTTCAAGCTTTGGAGGATGGTAGACCGTTTCGGTCAATTCGCCAGCCAAGACTTTCATGATGCAATGGGCATTGGCATGGTCATGGATAGGAGAGCCTTTGCCCGGATTCCATACTAGTAGAAGCTTGGGTAAGTCAGCCATGTTATGACCTTCGTGGAGCCACGGTAGGAGGTGAGCATACAATGTTTGCCTTGCGGTTGATGTTCTCGATTGCGTTGCGGGTATAGTTCTTGCTCGGGTCGTTGTGGTAGAACCGCAGCCAATCATTGGGATTCGAGGCGTATTTTCGTGCTAGTGAGACCAAGTGTTCATGGTCTATGTCCGATGAATCGATTCCTGAGGAATCCCCCAGATAGGACTTGATGTCATGGACTAGATCTTGTAGGTCATAGGTCGCTGGTAGGAATCGGCGATCGTATGGAGACGGGCCTTGTGGCAACGGGAGAGGCAATTGAATAGCGGAGGCCAACATGATTTTTCTCTTTTTCTTGTTCGTCCAGAAAGTGGTTGTATGAGTTGAGAGATTCTGAGCAGTGAGTGAGCCAGCCCAAGTATATTTATTGACCGCGTAATGGGTGTTCATATAATGAGCTTCAAACACCCCCTGGTAGCGCAATCGCCGATTGACAGCTTCAACGGGTAAGTTGGATCGCCGATCGACGGTGGATCGGCGAGTCTTGGCTCTTCAGCGTCGTACTGATGATGCAAAGTACATATTTTGAGAAAATTGCGGTGGGCTGGATAGCCTCTAATTGGCTCCAATTGTATGTCATGGTATGATAAAGAAGATTGAAGGAGATATTGCTGCTATCTACTACATACTTGAGGGCAATCGCCGAGTGCGACGCTATCCGCGCCATACAGGGGCAGATCACCGACGGAAGCCGGCCTGTAACATTGATACCCCGGATTCTAATATTGGCAATCTCATTTGCATTAACGTTATCTTATGTTTCACTTGTGTTTCCCGTCTTTTCGAGTCTCCCAACCCGTGTTTTGTACTCCATTGTAGGGCATCCTTATGGGGCTAATCCTCTTCGGGGACTACTTGGGGACCGCACACAAACCAAGAGCGTAGACCCGAAATCCACCCGAAAAATCGGCAGAAAATCGGTGGTTGGCTGTCCGTCAAATCCCATGACTTTCAACATCCTTTGTTCATCCACAACCCTAAATTATCACGTCAATATCTCTATTTCCTCACTCTCCTAGGATGGCGAGTCAGACCCCGATTCTCCCCCGACCCCTGTAAGATGATGATCATTCGTTCTTATCCAACATGACCCCCAGACGATCCACTCGGCAAAGTGGCCTCGCCGCCCTTGCTTGTACGGAATGCCGGAAACAGCATCTAAAGTGCGATGCCCATCAGCCATCATGCTCGCGTTGTACTCAGAGTGGCTTTGTCTGTCAGTATCTTCCTTCGCGACGGGGTGGTCGCCGAAAGCCACGTCATGAAATCCTTTATCACCATCCGCAACACCGGCCCTCGGCTTCCAAACTGGGCGATGCGTTTAGTGTCAGTGCCACCACTCAGTACTCTCCGGGGAATGCTTCCGGAAGTAACATTCAAACTCCACATCACACGACCGGACTGCCCCTGCAAGTAACTAGTGCTCCCGGCCCAATGAATACGCCGGACAGTGGAGTCTCCTTGCAACGGAGTACTCGTCCAAGCCTCGTAGGCATTCCATGGCCTGCCATACTGTCGCACAACGATGCCAGTCCCAGTCGCCCTGAATCGGCAGGCAGATTATGGGAGGAGGATGATCGCTGTGTCCGCTTGTTTTATGAACATTTCCATGTTGCGCATCCCATTCTAGTCCCCAGCGCCTTGTACAAGGACCGCGACTACCCTTCTTACCTGCAACTAGTGGTCGAATTCGTGGGGTCCCACTACCTGCCATCCGGTCCTCGCCAGCAGCTGAAGGACAAGGTCGACGCAGAACTGACGTCTAGCCCAGAGCGATCGCCATGTATGGTTCAAGCATGGCTGATCTACTCCATTGCTTTGTACGCCCGTGGCGAGCGGCAAAAAGCCCAAGAGGCTTTCTCGCAAAGCGCGGAGATTGCCTTTCAACTGGGTATGCACCGGGGCGATTTCGCGTCGTCTGCTCAGCCTGAGAGGTCAATTGAAGCGGAGAGTATGAGGCGAACATGGTGGGAGCTGTATATCACGGATATCTTCATGGCCGTGCCGCTGAAGACGATCACATTCCGATGTACCACAGTCGCGCCGGAGGTCGGATTGCCTTGCGAAGACTCCGCATACACTGGGTGTGGCGATATCCCTCCCCCGCGCCGGATGTTGGACTTTAAACGCAGGGTGTTTGTTGCGGAAGAAACTGCATTTTCGTCCTTTAGCTATCGCATTGAGGCCGCAACAATTCTATGTCGCGTTTTGGTATTGAACCGTCTGCGGGATTACCACCGTGATCATCTCCAAGCTATCGAAAATGCCCTCGTCAGCTGGGTCAATCATTTACCCGCGCGCAAGCTGGACATTGTGGACTCGTACGGTAATGCGGACGAGATGATTTTTCAGGCCCACCTCATTGTGGCGTATGCCACCATGCTGCTGCATTTACCGCGCAGCGATCTGCGCTCTCTCCTCACGCAGTCCGATGACTGCTTTTGGCCGTCGGCGCCATGCCATCTCTCTTCGACATTTCCACGCCTGGTGCATAGTATCAAGGCGACCGAAGCCTCGCGGCGCGTCTCCGACTCGATTTCCATCTGTCCCAACATCCAGAAACATACTCCTTTCCTGATTCCCGCACTTGCTCTATGTGGGATGATACAGCTGGCCACATCCATCAACCATTCTGAAGAATGCTTTGACCATCACTGCAATCGCGTCACACTTATCCTCGGATGCCTAAAGAGCACGAAACGGATTTGGGGCTCCGCTGAGTGTGCATATGATTGTGTCCGATCGACTGCGGCCGACATTCTATCGGATTCGATCGAGAAGTGGAACACAGAACCCTTGAAGTCGATTCCGACTCCTCAAGAGTCGAACGATATGGACCGCACGAACCATCATATACCTCCAGCTGTGACTGTTGCAGAAGGGCAGGGCTTAATGATTCCCGAACTTGCTCCAGGGTTTATTGATCCGACCTGCTACAATGCCTCGTTTTTTAATTGTTTAGCAGATTTTGACCTCAGCTAGAACGTATTCTTCCCAGTCCGAAATACCTTCTAGCCATTGACCGAGAGGCAAGGTCACTAGATGCTTAATATGTTCAACCTAGGAACCCTCTGTCAAGCGTCAGGGGTACCGACCGTCGACCGCAATATTACCAGCTGTTCATCAAGCTACTGATAAGCAAGCCATTTTATATGCTGGATGTATATCGCTAGAGAAAATCGGTCTTTACGCGACCGATAAATCGCCCACGTCCTTATGTTTGCATCTACATTGTCTAATCGAGTAATACCGTCTTAAACCCATAAAAAAAGGGCCGTTTATTAAGGTTTATAAGCGAAAAGGTCTATGATATAACCTTTTCCAACGATACCAAAACCGGGTAATACCGATATTGCTACCGTCCGAGACATGTTGTTCAATCCCGCTTAACCCGCCATGGACAAGCCGAGGGCGACAATATGGGGATTCAGCATAGTCTGGTTAAACGGAGTAACGAAGAGGTCTAGGTCGGTCAAGGCGACAGCCATAGTGCCGTTGATAATACCATCACTGTCATACACGGATCCCTCGGGCTGGTATGTATAGCCAGTATGGTCACCCGTCACTCAATGGGGAGTAGGTCAAGTTCAGTTCGGAACTCCACACCACGAACTTGGGCTCGCCGGCGGTTGTAGTCGTGATGTAGGAGCTATTTGGTCTGACACTCTTGCTTGGTGCTTCCCATTCAAAGAGGACCTGCTTTCCGGCGTATGAGAGAGGCTCAGAGCCGTTGTGCGCAATTGCTGGGCCACATTTTATCTACCGCATGTTGATACAGGCAGTTCTCATCCCTAGAGATGTCAGATACAGATGGATCGGTAATGCGCTTGCCGACTGTCTCGCTACCGTCTTTGGGCGTCTTGTCTGGGGACACGGGGTTGATGTTCGGGTTGTTCAGGATACGGAGAGTTGGGAAGTTCTGCCATGCGAGACGGGTCGTTCCCTCCAGGCAGTAGCTGGTATATGGGGCAAGTATGGTTCATGCCCAGGACGGGGGCCATCTGTTCTCGAACCAAAACATCCGTTGGGTTTGGGCCTGACATCTGTCGGAAGATCATTTGTTGGCGAGCTTCGGTCGTAATCGACAGGGAGAGTAGATTGGGAACTTCTCGAGAGTCTAGATGGGAGTTAGACTCGATTCGCCGAACCGAGTTATATGCTGTATGAAATCTACCCACGTGCGAACGTTTTAGTACGGATAGTCGTATACGCACATCTTTGGCGCGGCTTCTGCCAGCATGTTGCCCAGCAATGTCGCGTGTCCGGTCCCCTGGTCCCCCATGAACTCGATCAGCGATCGTGCCTCTGGACCAGGCCGGCCTCCAGCCGGCCTCCAGGAACTCCTCGTCGGTGAAAGGAGCAAAGCCATCAAGGAGTAGATCAAGCTCGATGTACTCTTGGTAGACACCAAGGGCAATCGACTTGAAGTCAAAGTCACTTTCTACCATGTAATGAGGCAGGGTTCCATTTGTGCCCAGTCCACCAGCTGGTGTATATGGCGCTGTCATCGGGTGAAGGGGTACACCCTGGCTATTATAATACGTCGCGGTCGAGTTTGGTGGTTTAGGTTCGATTGCCGCAGCAAGTGTCGCCGGCGCGTTCACAGCCCCGGTGGTGGTAGGAGTCCCCGTGTGCGGACCATGATACGGATCGCTCATATAGCCTTTCTGCCCCACGATCACTGGACAGCCCGCCGGCTTGGCTGGTACTTGGGTTGGAACCGGTGAGGCAAAGGCGCCAGCACTCAAAGGGGCAACGGCAAGGATAGACAAAGTCGTCATGGTTGCGGTGAAGTACGTGGACCTCGGCGAGCAGGATAAAATGGCATGTTTCCATGGCCATCTTTGTAGCCCAGACCTCGCAACGTACTCAGCTGTCATACACAGCCTCAAATAATACCAATATCACAACCCTTTCTCACTAAATGTATCCACCACATTCAGGACTGCGGGTGGTATTCTGAGTCATCAATCCCTAGTACACATATGGAAGGGGATATTGATGCCCATTGATAGTACATTTGATGTAACAACTACCATGTATACGGATAGCAGTTTAAGGATAACCTTGCCTTTGGATCCGCTGCCAAGTCCCATGACAGTATGTGACAGTTGCTCACAAACGGCATATCTAGCTCTATTTCGTAGCCCATGGCAGCTCAAGTACAGTAGTCAATACAGTATGTGGGCGTTTCAAATCAAATGCATTTTCCAGAAGGATAGAATCCGAAATCAGGTCTGTCAAGTGCCAATAGTACTCTAATTTTAAGTGAATATAGCCAGCAGTATTGCATGTCAGGAACAGGTAGCATGAGGCAGGATGCGTCATTCGGGTTTTAGGTCATGTAAGGAATGCTAGAACTCCCTTCTAGGGACTGACAAGAGAATACCAGTTGCAGCCGACTCCTACTTCATCCAGAAACTCTGTCAGGTCCTACAGCTCGGCTAAAATTCGGCTCGAGTTCGGTTCATGCAGTTGAGCATGTTTTCAATCCCACTTCAATATCGATGTCCCGGGATCACAATCCTGAGAAACTTAGTAAATCGAGCAATGAGCGTACTAGATCAAAATTCCAGCTTTTCTGAGCTTATCGGGGGAGATTGAGATTTCTAGCTGATCTTCCATCTGTTTGTCGACGAGCTATATATCTCAGCAGGTAAAACCAGTTGATCTTTTATACAGTCAAGTGCCCGGAGCGGATAAAACCGAATATCAGTTGGAAAGTGTCGGAAAACGCCTCAAGGTTATTAAATCAACTATTGTGCTCCTCGGCGATTTTTCTAAAATCTTACGATGCTCATCGGAGTATCTAGTTGGGATTCTGAAATGGTTCAACTAGGGTTCAACTGCACCACCCACCAATCGCGTCACATTTCCTACGCGTCCTGCGCGCTACAACAACGTGATCGATGATATACACTGAGACAGACATTTCTGGTCTCCTGGTGAATGATAGTATGTATGTATTGAAGGGTTAGGAGATGTAAAGTGTTCGATAATCTAACCTGATAACTATCTTCTTTCGCCTCACTTGCGCTACTAGTACTCTTATGTGTGAACGTCAGCAATATCGTGTCTGCCCTCAGAACATAACCATCTCACATCTGTAGATGCTGAAGAATCAGAGAACTAGCCATTACTGTTACTGCTCTACGCGTAATGTACTTAACATCACTTATCCAGTACCCGAACGACGATGGGACTAAAATGAAAAGAATCCCGACGAATGGTGAGGTGTACGTCAACGCGAGCAAAACGGCTTGAAGGCGTATCTGCAATAATCATCTACCAATCCCCTTCCACTGCAAGTACTCTTGACCCCTCAAACTATGGGCACCTGCCTCCGGAACTTCGGGCTATGATCATCTCGTATCTTCAATTTGGTTGGTTAGTTTATGCATGCATATCCCGACCATGGCAGGCTTTGATAGAGGAACAGACATTCCGCACTTTGCACATCACCTCGGCGCAACTCTAAGGGTTCGTGCAAATTGTACGCCCCTCCACATGGGACTAGCGAGGCTATTGTGTACGTTGGTTGAAAGTCAATGTTGTCTTACCCTATGATGTAAACGACCGCATTCAAGAGGAAACGGATGAGGAACGCGAAAGTAATAACGAGGTATTCACTGATTCACTCAGAGCACTCCTTGACGCATTGAGCCGCTGGCCAAACGATGATCGATGTCATCTATCTCTGTGTGTCAGTGCACAGTGCCCAAGTGATTGGCCTAACCGACAAGCTTGAGCGACTAAACTGTGCAGTCCTACATAAAGTAAACTGGTAGTTTCTCCCTTGTATTACAACGATCCTTCTTATGAGGTAAATGCCGTGCTCATATTTGATATCGAAAGAGGAATGGGGACACCAAAAGTATATAAATCTAACTAGTTATCCAACGCCCGCCTTGCTGGAATGCAAAGTGATCTACACATGTCCGACGCAATGTGGTCGGCGGGCATATCTCTGTTCTCTGTCGGCTACATCATCTCGCAGGTACTTGCAAATGCTCTCATTCCAAAGTGGAAACCAAGCATTCCCTTTCCATGCATTGCGTTAAGGTCCGTGGTGATGATCTGTATGCCTGGTCTTCCGGCTGATCCACCGCGCCATTCAGTGGGCTGTCCGATGCATCTGAGGGAGACCGGGATGCAGACATATATCTGGGCCCGGATCACTAGGGGAGTTGGATAGAAATCCATTTTCCACTGACTGTTAAATTAACGCACGAATGATGAAAAGCATAGCAAGGTCAATATATAAATCTCAGAACGCTTTGCTTTTCTCCATGAGGCTGTGAGTCCGGTAGAACATCGGATATTTTCCGATGATTTGTCCACGAATTTTGATAGACCAAGGCACGACTTAAATTCGCTATATTATTCACCCCTGGAGGCGCATTTTTCATGCCTTCAATCACCAGGTCCTTTTTCGAACATTCTCATAGGAATGGGACTTATCACGGATACTAAAAGGGCTATGAATAATGCTCCCAAAAAAGTTTTCAACAAGTATGTCTTGATCTGTACATGCTTCTTTGCTCTATCCGGTGTGTCGAAAGGGTCTGATCAAGGCAAGTGATAAACCGCTATTTCCATGACTCTCTCGCGTCTCCAGTAGTATTAATTTGTGAGCTGATTTCAGGCAACATTGCCTCCATCATTACACAGGCTCACTTCAAGGCCGGATTTGGCGTCGACACGCAGTCAGAGGAAGATACATGCAAATACAAAGGGATGGTTAGTATCTATCGCCACAGCTGGGGCTGTGTTTGGTTGTTTCGGAGTGAGTCCTGTACGCCGCTATTAGGAGAGAAAAAGGTCATCCATACTAACGACACTGTTCATCCAATGTTCTCCCATCAACGATCGCCTTGGTCGACGTTGGACATTCCGCATTGCTACCGTCGTTTATATTGCTGGTGTTTTGGGCTAAGGGCTCTGTGGCGGTAGCCTCTCTGGCCTTTATGCCCCTGCAGGGCTGGGAATCGGTCCTCTATCAATTGTTCCTCCTGTCTATATCATCGAGGTATGTCATATAGATTCTGGTCGTTCGATATGATGGCACATTCTCACTCAAACCTCACGGATCTCCCCTAGAGCAATATGTGGTCTGCTCATGGTGCTTTTCGCGGCTTATCAGCAGTTAGGTGTGGTGCTGGGGTTCTTCATTAACAATGAGGTGAGGCGACTAAACGATATCCGGGAGTTGACAAGCAGTGGATGCTCACTACTCTCCTCCAGGTTGTTCCCACCGCGTGCTGGGGGTTTGGAACTTTCCTTTGCTCAGAGTGCCCTCGGTGGCTTCTTATAAGGGCCAACGAGATCAAGCAGCAATGACGATGTCTAAGCTCCGCAAGTTGCCTCGTGACTACCTAGGGGTCATTGCCGAACTAGCTGGGATGGACAGCCAGCTTTTACACGAGACAGAAGCAGTTAGTAACGCGACCGTATGGGATTTACTTCACAAGACTTCCTTTCCGGTTGAGAATCGCCGTCGTTTCTTCAATCTTCATGGCCACACTGTTCTCCCAATGGTCCGGCGCCAGTGCTATTACCCAATACTCGCCCACAATTCTGGGGTATCTGGGAAATTGATGGGGACGAGTCCAAGTTCCAGGCTACTGGAATCTATGGCGTGGTCAGGTCCGTGAACACGGTATGCTTTGCATTGTTCATTGTGGATTGCATTGGTCCACGCCGATCGTTGACGATGGGAATTGCCCTCAAACTGATCCCTCTCATTTTTAACGGCGCATATCTCGTATCACGAAGAATGTCACAGCCAACGAAATCGGTGTCACTCCCAGTGCCTCGCGCGCATCTACCGCTGCTATCGTTGCTATCTTCCTCCATGCGGTGGGCTGGAGTATCGGCTGGTTCAGAACCCCTTACCTTTTCGGCCCCGAGAGCTTTCCCATTCAAATTATTTCATTGGACGTACCTATTTCCATGGCATTCTATTGGGCGTTTTATGTCGGATATATACGTGCTATACCTAGTCTTCTAGCTACTGCCCATAAATGGGGCTTTTGTGTTCTTCAGCTGTATTTGCGTGATATCCTTGGTTTATATATTCTTGCGATGCCAGTGAGTATACACTTTCTGAATGGCTTTCGGCAATTGACGTTGGCCATTGCTAGGATACGAGAGGAAGGCCTCTCGAAGAGTCGGATGGTCTTTTTCAGCGCGCGTCGTACCCTGCTTACCCATACAATTGGAAGGATATGAGAACAAAGTACCACTGATTGAACAACCAAGCACTTTGGACGGGCTTAAGATATTATAGGCGGCGCGTAGTTCGGTGGCCGGCGGGTCTTGATATTATTTAGTGCAAGTCCAGTGACAGACGGTGCCTACTCGACACGGGTCACATAGAATACTCGAAGAGAGAGTAGCTTTACTGCCCGTATTTAATTCAAGAGCAGACACCAGTTGACTATCTACCCTACGAATAATTGACACTTGAAGTGGGGTATCATCCTGTCATATTGGTGGATATGGACTACATTTGGCGTATGAACAGTTGGAGGCACCTCTATCGTGGGCCCGGCCCACCTCTCTCCCCACCGTTCGTTGACTGTGGCGTTCGATTGTACGATCAATGGCCAGTTTTAGAGAAGAATTATCATTTTTGGGACTCTTTCAGCACCATTGTCTAGGTCTACGGGTGAGTCGCTTTAACCGCAGGGAGTGCTCTGATAATCTCCCCGCCCAGTAAGCAACTACCAAGCGCCAAAGGGTCTGTATGATCCAGAAAAGGCATTTTCGATGGTTATGTGGCATTGTGGCAACAATTGGCTTTCAAATGCCGCGCTTATCCCGTTACCAAAGATCATAAGATCCGATGCATTGGCCCATAGTTTGAGGAAGATACCGGGAAATAGGCTAAGTGAGGGGTTTAGGAGTAGATCATGTTAATCTTATCATATTCACTATGGTATAACTCGGTCTCTCACCGAGGTGGTTCAGAAGCCCCTGTCTCCTAGCCAACGTTGGATCTTCGTGGACGATAAGCTGAGATCTCTCAACGCGCGAATCCAACGTCTCAAGCGGTCGCTCATCGATCGAGAACTACAGGTAGGGTTTTGGAGAGATTTATCCAAAAGCCAAGAATTCCCTAAGAATTTTTAATCGGGATGGGGAGGAGTTCACTTGCTTGAAATAACGCTCTTTTCCCCCGCGGATATTCCGAACGCCTCTGGCCAAGTCTACCACTTGTTGGGAATTTTACTAGGAATTTACCTGAGTCGTTGTATCACACCATAAGCGAAGTCGTTGTGTTCAGGGGTTCGTGTTAAGAGTGGCAAGGGTTGGGATTATGGCTTGCGTTGCGTACGAGCCGGCAGCACCAATTAGGAGGACCACTTTATATGGGACTTCATGGCGAAGGCAATAAAACCAATGGCACCGCGGTATTGGGTTTTCGAATAGCCTTCACGCCAAACATGGTTGTCTCAGGATAGACCTTTTGGTTGATGTGGTATGGAATCTGATAGGCTCATCCTCGTATATTCCACGAGTCCAGTGGAGACTCCAAGGTCCACCCAGCACTCCCAATCACCGACTGGCACTGCCTAAGGCCTTTGTCTTCCAGAACAAACCTGGAAATCGTCCAGGTGAGGGTAGAAACGGAGCTACGATCCCCGGCCGGTGCTTTCTCCTTCTGACTGGTGCGTTTCACGACTCTGCGGCTTTTGATTTAATTAACTTCTCCTGCGCCGTGGACGGTTTTGGCCCAGTTCCTGCAGGGTTGCTATATTGACCATGCTATACGACCAGGATTCCGTTTCCACTTCTTAGCTTCGATTTTAACCCGGGTGGCCCGAGAGTTATCATATGTAATCATCGGTGCGCCCATTTTTCTTGGGCGCAAACTCACTAGGGGGCTGAGATTAGTTCCTTGCACCAGCGATGCAGGGAAGCTATGTCGGACTTCAAAGTGGAATCGTGGATTTGGTATGGGTTCACGGTACTAGTCATAATCCTTCGATTGTGAGTGCCCTCAGTTAAATACGGACCAACGATGGAAACTCTAACTCTTTCATGGCGCAGTATATCACGATTACAGCTAGTGAAGAGCGTTAAAAGCCTGCAAGCGGAGGATTACCTTATGCTCCTGGTATTGGTATGTCGCGGCCGACAAATGTGGTTGGGATATATATTCTGACTTGCAATTTCTGTCACAGTGTTTCTACACGGGATTGGTCGTAACCCTGAATCGGATCGAACATGCGCAGACAAATTTAATGACAGCGGATGACAAAGAGGACCTGACCCCGGAATCAATCAAAAACCGCATTTACGGCAGCAAACTGGTGTTGGCAACCGAGCAATGCATGTTAGCGACGATATGGGGATGCAAGGGCTGCCTCCTTCTCCTCTACGCCCGGTTGACGTGAGTTACCATGTCCGCGTTCACGAATCATAGCGCTAAGAAGGCGATAGGGAAGGGATTAAGCAACAGTTGGCCGTTAAGATTCTGGCTGGATATGTCGTTGCCTCTTACATTGTTTTGGAGATCCTCTATTTTGCGGTTTGGTGCCGGCCATTCCACAACTACTGGGCTGTGCCAACTCCTAACGGTATGTTGCCGCGTTGCATATAATGGCTGTTTTTCTAATTGGAATTTTAGAACAATGTTCAACCGCGACGCATCATCTCATCATGACTATGGTGTTCAACATTTCCTCGGACATTCTCATGATATGCATCCCGTTACCGCTGCTCATATCGGCCAGTCTGCCCATACGCAGGTACGTACTAGGTTACGTAGGCTTTGTCTCCCCAATTTTAACAACAGGAATGTAGTAAAATCACTCTTGTGGGTGTTTTTAGCATGGGGACTTTCATCGTATGACCGGCAACCCCTTGCAACTCTACCGATCGCGACTAATGACCCTCAGATCCTATGCGCCACTCTTAGCAAAGTATCGAGCTTTAAAAACCCCTTTAGCCCCGAGTGGCTCTTCTGGTACGTCCGCGAGGCTAGTACCGCCGTCTGCGTTGCCAATATCCCCAACTGCTGGAGTTTAGTCCGTCGTGTCTTCAACTTGCGTTCCTGGACAGGCAGCTCCCACAGCAAAAACAGAACGCACCACTACAACCCCTACGGATACGGAACAGGCACACATAGCCGGACAAGAAGAACGACTGCTTCACAGAAGAAGAGCCTCTGGACGTCCGTCACCATGTCGGCGGTGGGAAAGACCGAGAGCGTCGAGGAAATCATGAGAGACGACACCGAGCAGGGTAATCAAGGGATCCCACTCGAAATCTGGCATCAGACCAGCATCCACGTCACGGAAGAACAACCCAATCCCAATGATAGTCACAATGGGCCATCTACAGCGCCTCCAGGTCAGCGTTAGCTCCCGGAGTTTGCGGCTGATATAATGATAGATAATCAAAATATACGAATACTAATGAAAATTTCACATGGATCGATGAATGCACTGGTGGCATTGTAGCCAGGCTAACCGTAGCGAGCTACTCAGGGGTCAATATCCCAAATCTTCTCGAACCCTCTAATGGGGCTGACTCGTAAATGAAGGTTCGGTGGAAGTCAATCCGGCGTACGTAGCTTCGTATAGCCTCAAGAAGTTTCTCCGAGATACGGCCGAGATATCGCGAAGACCAATTTCCATGATGGGAGGAGTTGTGCTTTTGTTTATTCATCATTCTTCGGCTCTTCACATACATTAGAGTGTCGAGGATAGCCCTTGATCTATGCCAGGAACTTGCATCAGATCAACACTCCGCCATCAGTTGCCTCACACATCACGACAACTCTCTTTCCATGCTAGGCTACCCTGTGGGGTCTGAATGAAACCTCTATCGTGTCGCTATACTATTTTGGAACGAGGCGGCAGGCGATGCATCCCCCACCGCGATGGGGGAGATCGGCACTTGCCTTTCCGTGTCCAGTGTGGACAAAGATGCCTCCACCGACGATCAGATAACCGAATAGTATTTTTCAAGCACGTTTGCTCAAGCCGGCAGGAGTTGGGAAGCTGAACTTCAGGAACTCAATTGTTGTCTCAAAGAGGCGTAGAGATTAGGACTTGGTATCCTCCCACCACTATGGTTTAACTTGCAGAGACACAACAAACACTGTTCTTGGCACACCCTTGTTTCGTCCGATGAACTGAGAATCAGGGTAGCCGGCTTGGCGCGGCTCAGTATACCTATCTCTCGGGTTTGATTGATGGGTGTCTCGGCTCGTGTCCTGGGCCCGCACGGCACGATGACAGGCTTGGAGCCACGAGGCTTGATGGAGATGTAGATACGACTGATACGCAGATATCAGAGGCCAAAGCGCTCCTACAGGATTGTGCCACGTGGAAAGTGATAAGAATGAGATTGCCCAAGCGTGTCTGGGGAACAGTAGCCCCCAAGGGACAGGATCTTTACTGTACAGTCTGAAGATGAAGAGAAATCTGCATGAAGATCTTGAATCATGACACATTATTTCCACCCTGCCTGGTAATCCAATACACGCAGCTCACTATCGCTTTTTGCTATATGTGTTCGTAGTATACTTTCCCAACTCGGCCTCTCCACTTCAGCAGCGATAACCCAAAAGACTGGCCCAACCCTAACACGACCATATCAGCTTATGAAACTAAGCCCCATTTGTCTTTTGGTCCGTAAATGATAGACTCGATTAAGGTTTGAGGCCAAATGACAGGGGCCTGCCCATGGCATGGAAGGCTACTACGACCATTTTCTAATTCCCTGGGGACGATCGGTCGACAGGCTCATGTGGCACTTGCTGGTTTTAATTTTACATGCGGCCCAACTAAACCAAAGCTTGTCCAGCTTAGCTTTAGTGTAGGAGCCACCGAATGGATCGGCGAAAATGCACTAGCATATATGAACCGCCTCTAAGACCCCTGCTGACTCGAAGTTGAACTGGGTATTTCTTTGTCTGCGATGTACCCTTTCGCCAGAGAGTTGGCGATTGAATCATGGATTCTATACGTAGTCGGTAGGTCATCCCTCATTTCGTGCGCAGGGTTCGTCTTAAGAGGCTGACATTGTACGTGAATAGGAATTATCATCATCGGATGTCGCCTGTTCGTCCCCACGTACGTTGAGTGTCGCGGAGGAAAATACTTACCAGAGATAGAGTCTCGCGGCGCATCCGGTTAAAGTCATGGACAAAGCTACAGACTGATGATGTGCTCATGTGTGTGATTGCGGTAAGGGCGCAATTGAACAGCTGTAGGATGTCCCAGAGAGATTGACAATGCAGTATAGCTCACGTTTACGGGTGTCGTGATCACAGCAAATAACGTTGCTCGTGTCAGTAGTGACCCAATTGTTCATGAGGAAAATATGACAGCTGCTGCGCAATCGCTGACAGTCTGGGGGAACAAAGTGGTCTTTGTGATGGAGCAGTTCTCTATGGTTACCATATGGCTGGTCAAGGGCTGTCTTCTCATCGTCTACAGCCGTCTAACGTATGCCAATATCCGAAGCCCCAGCATGCTAAGTGGCTAATATATTTCGTTGGTAGTCTCATGATGAAAGAGCACATCATCGTGAATATAGTTGCGGTTTATGTAGTAGTTTCGTTCATCGTGATGGAGGTCCTCTTCTGTGCAGTCTGGTGCAGGCCGATCAGCAACTACTGTACGTCCTCTGATTTTAGGACTCCTGAATCTTATACTAACTTGCGATAGGGGACCTTGCAGGGGCTAATGACTGTGGGTTGCAATTCCTGCGGGGGCTCGTCAATTGGGCTGACTGTTGAATAAATTCCATAGACCAGTGCGGGACCTACTTCAATCATCTCATTACATCGACCGTTCTTAATATCTCTTCGGATCTGATGATGTTATGCATTCCACTGCCGCTGTCTATTCGATCACACTTGCCTTTGAAGCAGTGAGGGAGCACAATTCTGTGGATTTTGTGATATGTCTGGCTGATTTCAAGTATAGGAAGGTTGCCGTGTGTGGTGTCTTCAGTCTCGGGGGGATTGTTGTCTGTTGAGCCCTCATTCCTCATCCCTCTCCAGCTGGGATGTATAACTGACCGGTCCTTAGATCCTCATGGCAGCTCTTAACAAATACTACAATTTCAAGCAACTCCAAAATGCCCGCTATCTGGTTAGTCTGCTGCCAAGAACTTATTCAAAATGTTTGCTAAGCAAGGGAATAGAAATGGTATGTTGCAGAGGTTGCCACAGCAGTCTATGTCTCCAATGTGCCACTTCTCTGGCCTCTTCTTCGGCAGGCCTTCCGCTGTCTGCGCACTACTGGACATTCCAACTACACGTCACGAGGTCCGAAGCCAAGTGGGCTGCAGCGAGGACTAGGACCGATGTCGTCGCGTTCTCGACATTATACTGGCTCCGCACATTCTATCATCCGCCATTCGCAGGAGGGCTCGAGCACCACCGAAGCTCATGAGCTAGTGTTGACCCCAGCAGAAGAGCGAGGATACAGAGCCGATATCATGGGCGACTTCGACTCAAGTTTACAGCACTCCGGGGATATAACTGTTCATAGAACGGTGGAGGTTATCCATGAATATCCAAAATGATAATACGGGTGCAAACTAGGGCTATGCCTGTTGATTGTTATAATAAACGACGGTCATACTGTACGAATATGTACTTTTCTGCTATAATCCCTCTTGATATTGACACCCATTGCTGTGATTGATAAAGTAGCGAAGCGATAAACCATTTATCACTCTACACTTTGGTTTGTTTGACAAGGTTTGGCGATAAACTGAACACAGGCTACTCTTCCAAGCGATTTTCCTACACCAATGAATACCCAGCAGCCACACTGACTTAGGCACTGTGATGATTTAGAGGATATCCGGACGTTCAATCATATATACACAAGCCCATCGGAGGGGTAAAACTACCTATCATTCAGAAGATGTCTTTGCCGCTCCCGAGAACGGACAGCCCCTAGCTGCAGAGGCCGTATCGGCAATGGTTTCCGCACTGTCGCGTGCAATCTGGCGAAACATATCCATCGGATCATACCAGACATCAATGCTCTCCAGCTCAAGCTTGTCATTCACCTTGGCTATGACAATGCCTTGGATATCAATGAGCCCACCATGCGCCTTGACGCTGACCTTCTCCCCGCGACTAAGTGAATCCTATCAGCCAACTATTCAACCAGGCCAAACGAACAAACTCACTCATTATACCCCACATAATCATTCGCCATGTTTCCCCAATGCCTCCATTTGAAAATCACCGTTGGTGGTCCGCTGTACACTTCCTTCACCTCCCAGGCAAACGTAGGCATCATGCGCTTGAACGCCTTATGGCTCGTTTCGAAATCATTGTGTGCCGGATCATAGTACGAGCTTGCGGTCAGGAGGGCGTTATACGTGCCAACCTGGAGCATGTGTTCGCCGGACTGGGGAGTGCCTCCGTTTAAAGAAAATGTATACTTCTTTTGATCGATGGTTCGCCAGTCGGCGAGGGAGGTCTTGAATGAGGCTTCGATTTCCCAGTTTTTGACGAGTTTTTCAACGAGGTCTGGTAGGCTGCCGGCCTCGTGTGTCATTGTTTTGGCTTTAGCTAGGGCGTCAGTGGTTGATCTGTTTTCAAGATGCAGGCATGAGCGACGAACTCTTTTCATAGAACTCTCGGGTTTTAGAGTAATTTGGGGGTTGGCCGTGTCGCCAGGCCGCCTCTGTATCTTTTAGGACTGCATCTGGGTCAAGGACATAGTCAGGGAGTGCTGGTGTGTCGCCCATGTTGAGATTGTGGTGTTTGGTTTGAGGGAGACTCTGTGTGTGTTTTGGCGGGGGAACGAAAACACGGAAGTAGGATTCAGATTTATTTATTATCTGGGCAATGTCAGACGACTGCCCTTAGCAAGGCGGTAGTGGCCACTGGCGCTGTGGCTACGATTGTTTCATATCCACCATTCATACGCCGTCGATGACGGCGGCATGCCTCGGTAAGTAATTCAATGCGTACAGGGGTTTATGCAGGGGTATGTTAGCAACGGTAAGTTAGTATCTATTCCCAAGAATTGGGATAACCAGACGCCACATCGTAAATGCGGATAGCGTGGTGTTTCATGTGTGAAGGGAAGGTTATATTTTCCGAGACCCTGAGTACGCATCTACCGCGATAGCATCTTGATAAATGAAGAGTTTCCATGATTAGTCGTTGCATCTCCCTGTTGGCTACGGTACCTGATGGTATCAAGTCACTGGCTCGCACAATCGCGCGGGTTCTCGGAAATAGCACAGGCCAACGTTCGGTGGGCGCGATCGGATATTGGCCTTCAATCAGCGATTCCAGCTGGGAGCAATATAAACGGGGCAGATCCCATTGGATCCAGAGATCGAGCCAAGGTGGACCATTGGGGGTCCAGACCCAGCACTGTGGCCATGGAATTGTCAGAAATGCCTTTGAAAACAGAGAGACTGTTGATAAGGACTTTGGAATATGAGACCGGACGCTTCTTTTTCTTTTGTATCTCGCTACTCATATGCAGCTGTCAATAGCTGCCGAGAAGACGGTAAACCAGTAAACCATATCATGGTACAAGCACGGATCTCACGGTTCAATACGAGGATGCCGTTCTCGTCGACGCAAGGATGTGGAGAAACCTATTAGACCTGGATCAATTGAATGGCATACCCTGCACTCTGGATTTTAGTGGCCTGGAATTAATATATGTACCGGAGTGTTCTTTGAACTTTGTGTATATTAATCATCGGCTAGCCATTGGTGGGGCTCGAATGTAACCAAAGTGAGACAACAAATCGCGCAGTTCGCGTCTGAGAGAAGCGACAGTTTGGGATCCAATTTTAGTTCCTGTTGATATATTTGATACACGGCGATCCAGGAAGATAATTAACTGTGCATAGCACATCATTTGCAAGCCAATGCTCTACAATTACACGCATTAGCTAACTGAAAGCACCACCAGGAGTAGAATGCCAATGTTAGCGAGTCCGGATGGGGCCAATTGCACTACAAACTCTAATATATATAGCTATCTCCTTCCTCAATCTTCCTGAGGACCTTCAACGGCATAGCAGATAATATATTTTCTATCTAGTACCTAAACTCCTAGGAGCCTTCACCGGACTCCCAGTAGCCAGCTGATTGCCATCGTATTTAACAACTAGAAATGACCCCCTAACCACTTATCTCATTATCGGGCCTTCCTTAAAAGTCTCTTACGAAACATGAAGGGCTGGCTTGGTTCTCGTGTCTCGCCTAGCGTTGGTGCTAGGCATCCCCACGAAGGGTCTGCCGTACCCACTCTCATCGGAATGGAGGAATATAGCGCCGTCGCCTCTTCTCTCTTTGAGTCTCACTCTCGACGATCTTGTGGATCGTCTTCCTTTGGTGGTTACATTACGCGCTTGTAACATAGCGAGGATCAGAAGCTGCCTTGACCGTCATTGATTCTCACGTTTAGGGCTGCCAACACCGGTGACGATGAACTTGGATGGATTAGGTTAGTCCATCCAAGCCGTTGCCAATCAGTAGGCTTACATCTCTTTGAGCCACCATTTAAAACCGTCTTTTTAAATAAGTACTCTGTTACCGGTAATCTCTCCTAATAAAATATCACTTGAAATCGCAAAGAATTTCGAATGCGCCCTATAATGATTTGATTGCAAGTAAACCTAGCCGGTCCTTGAGGCCGCAACAGCATATATCCTTCTTATATAGAATAATGTAATTCCGATAGCAACAGACATCAAACTCTATGCAAAAATTATCTATTTGAAAAAGTGGTATCGAATGGCGGTAGAAGGGTACATATACGACCTAGTACCTGATTCGAATGGAGAGAGCAGCACATTGATCACTTACTGAGAACGGATTGAAAGTATAGTAGTAGTGAGCTCTCTAAACTGTGACCGACATGTCAGTGGCCATAAGAAAGTCTAGGGTCAATAACCCTATCTAGTCACTTTATACTATATCTGTCTTAGGATGATTTGAATTCAAGTACCGAAGGATGCTTAACACCAACAGATACTAACAAGGATTATACTCCCATTGCCAATATAAATACGCCTAGGTGCGAAGGAATGTGTCTAGATGCATTCTCACAAATGATGTAACTCACTTCAGTGCATATTTGGCAAACTTGATATGGTGGGCCTATGACTCTAAAGGCGTGTCCAAACGTTGTATCCAAGGATTTATGTTAGCCAACAACACGATTTATCGTGTTTTAAAAAAGACCTATAATATTACTCAGTATTGTATTATTAAAACTACATAGTATAAGTAGTTCTTGCAAAAGTACGCGGAATCTCTTTTGTATTTACTTTCGGCCCTGACACTAGAACGATAATTTAGTACATACATACAGTAACCCGAAGTGAGACGAGTATAAGCATATACTTAACATAGTACCCTATATGGGCATCTCTTCAGTCTGCCTGACAGGTATCCGAAAAATCCTCCACCATGGATATGTAAGCCGGGCAGGCACATCATTCTTATTTTTATCCCATATCTTCTCGTCTCACCCAACCCACTTCTCCCCATTTTTCTAACTTCTAGTCCATCAATGATAATGTCTGCCAATATCCTATCAAAGCTGCCAGCTCTCCAACCCACCGTTGCTCCTGGCTGCGAGATCCTGCACGATCCCCAGGACCCTCGATTTCACGAACGTCTCAGGCATTAAACCGACATCGATCGGAGGGCACCCACAGCCATCATTCTCCCTCAGTTCGAAGAGGACTGTCTCAAAACAGTAAAAAAAGCGTCAAGCAGAATAATGTTAAGGAACTGGGATGCTTGTATGTGCTGACACTGGTACAGGTCCAATGGGCGCTTCAGCCATCCGTACCCTTTGTGGCTACCTGTGGGGGCCATAGCGCCTGGTCGACGATCAGCGCGGAGGGAAGTATAATAGACCCTAGTGAGTACGTCGACATGCGCGTGGATGTAGACGCAAAGACCGCTACCTTGGTTGGTGGGGTTCTATCAAAGCAGGTGGGAATATGTCTGGCCGAAGCCGGGCTGTTCACAGGTATACACATTCCTTCATTGACCTCACTCTCAGCCCCTGCTCACAGCTTCATATACCCCTCGGAAATGGTAATACAGTTGGCGCGATACCCTACTTTCTTGGGCGGGGCTTCCATCACCTGATCTATTACGGGATTCGGATTCGACCAAAATTTCAGAGACGGTATCGCGGGGAGGTACAGCTGGAGAAACTATGCAATTTGAAAAGAGAGGGGGTTGCACAAGGAGGGTTTACCAGACAGAGTCACTAGATATGAGAATTGGACTAGTCAGCGGAATATATGGCATAAAAGGTAAATCGGCATGTAGCGCTTTACTATGACTAGGTCCCTATATGAAATACTGACTGTAGCAGACGGGAGATTGCTCGTAACCTAAACCCTATACGCAGTTCGTGAGCAAAGCTCGAGCCTCAAGCCGAAAATGAAAGGGCTCAAGTTTCCACAGAAGTTCAATTCAGTAGTCTTCCTACAGCCTTGTATAAGCTGGTTGTCAGGAAACCCGCCGCGGTAGTTCATGAATCGCCCAATCGTGACTTACGATATTCCATCGTCCAACCCCATCTGCTACAGCAGAGAAATGACCAGACAGAGCAGGTCAGTGAGATGCGGAAATAGACTTATGTAAACACTATCATGGTCTGTACTTAGCTTCTGCTTCTTGTTTCTCATTGAAAAAGTATATATCAGCCTACCTTTCAAGTTACGCTTAAGCTTCTGCATTATCCTCAGTACCTTAATCTATCCAGAAATCCAGAATATCCCCGTCTTGTGACGGATCGGATGGCCCTATCTGCCGCGGATCCATTATATATGCTGAATCTAGGTACGTCGATATATTAGATGATTTTTATTGAGTTAGTAGTCTACATAGGGAGGCGAAGGGCCACTACAAGATTACTTATCCTGCCATCCGCTTTGTGAGAGGAAGCCTAAATATACTTGTCTAAAACTCATACCATCTCTCCTAATACACCATTGGAGCTTCAAAGTCGTCTCTTAGTGACGGCGTTCCTCTTTTTCTCCTCAAGCGGGATGGGAATGATGGAAGAAATCAAGGTTCTTCAGAATGCTTAGGGGGTTTGGAGACTTCAAGACGTAAAGTCTCTTCTTCACGATACCTAGTTCCTTCCCCAGGGCTTCCAAATCCTTCTCTATCTGCCAACGGGTATAGCCCGTGTCAATACTTTCTTTGAACTGCCGTCCTTCGATCCGGTATAGTACATATCGTACTGCGTCCCGTCTATATTTAGCGGAGCATGCACGAAGCGCGTTGACAAACACGCGGGGAACTATAGTTCAACAGCATCTTTATTATACCTCTTTCGTCCACAAAATGCCCTCCGATGAGAGTCATAACAAAGCCTACCTCAATTTGGGCGACGGCTTGTTTTATGACCCTCAGGTCAATGTGTTCCTCTCCAGTGAGCCGTTTCACGTTGACCTTGTAGTCGTAATCTTTCACCGAGCTCACCATACATTCCTTGATCAGTGTGGCTTGTGCGGACCTGTGCCTGCCCATTGAGCTTAAATCCTTCTCAAAAAGGAGGGTCATCAGCCTGTAATCACACCGTGCTTGTGCGACTAAGGATGGCGCTAAGCTGCTGTTGCTTGGGTATATGCTGGCTCCCATCTGGATAAGCCTTTCACATGAATACAACCTATCATTCGACTCTCCATGTATGTTCATACTGCCTCTACGGCATACCATTGACCGAGGGGTATCGCCGTGATCGTCTAGCTGGTTGACTGCAAATTTATAAGATAACGAGACTTCTATCAACTCCAGACGAGTAGAATGCACTGCTACAGAGAGGGGCTCGAGGTTGGCTGCCTCCTGTAGGCTCATCTCCGGTGGTACTTTGTAGACGAAATCCTTGGGGACACGGTAATACTTCGTTAAAGTGCCGTGTACATTGGGTGGTACAGCCGCGAACCTCATCTCTTGACAGAGGTTGTACGTGCCGCGTTTACTCGTTTTGCAGCGTCGACAGGGAACGCTAGGCTCAATGGCGATGGGATCACCGGCTTGGATGGAGGAGACGGCTGTTATGACCGCGTGAATGGTTCCAGCTCCCTCATGGCCTAGTACCAGTGGTTTCTCCTTACTGACCTTCCTATTGACTCCGCCATGTTTCCAGAAATGTACCTAGGCAATTGGTCGGTGAGCGAGAGGGACATTCAATGAGTACTGGAGATAGTCCCAAGAGACATTGAATTCGGTGTCTTACATCATTTCCACAGACTCCAACGTAGGCAATGCGGACGATGTCATCGCGGGGACCCCGTATTCGCGGCAGTGGGTGAGGTTGTAGACGTGCGTGTACAGGCCCGTAAAGGAACCAAGACGGGTTCTCACTATCTATTTCAAGGTTGTTGTGCTTCCGACAGCCGTGAGCAGAATGACACATAGGCAACATATGTAAAAGCCGAGCGCACCGAATCGTCCATTGAACCAAAAGGCTTCAGATCGGCACCATCTCCCCTTCCCCCACTTATCAACACAACCCCGCAGTGGCTCGGATCGGACAAACACCGTAGTATCGTTAAGGATTAGATTCCTCGGCCCATGTCCGCGTCTTATGTTGCCTGCAGGCCTGATAATGATAGCTTGACGTGGTTGCGTGCTTTTTAAGATCATGAGCCGGTTGGAACATATAGGTAATGTATTGGCTCTCTACGACGAACGGGTGAGAATCAGCGATGGCCAACCTCAAGGCCCGTACGCGAAGAGGATTGGAAGTATTCTCCCTATTGTCTACGAAGTGCTTCGAGTGAAATTGCGGAGGCTCGTCGTAAGTGCCACGTCTAATATTGTGGCTGAAGCTAGATCTGCATGGAGATGTTTCAAGATGCAAGCATCAAGGACCCCCACCAGCCCACCCCTTGCGTCCCCTGTTTCTCTTTGCTGAATCTAGGACATGGTGAAGACCGACCGCGCTTTCGACATGACCAGATCTTGAACTAACGTCATCCGGCCTCCTCCCAGGCCCAAGCACTGGGGTAGAATATAATAGCAAGCAACAGGCGAGGGGATAGTTACGCGGCTTAAACTTGGCCGATTATTGGTGGCTGGTATATAATTTGCGTACCCATCGAGGATCGCCACTTGATCCTCATTCCCAGTATATTGCGGGATATCTATGCTTTCCCCGGTGGTTTGGCCTATTCCACTTTTCTCCTTTGATTCCACTTCCATAGGCCAAGCCACAATGTAGCAGGACAACCCAACACCAGCTAATATCTACGTTCAAATCATATCTTGGGAAAGGTCACTACCTTCCGCGCATGTTCTATTATAATATTGCTTAAAGGAATGGAAAAATATGAATCCTAGCGTGATGGGTAACGACCCAATGGTCGCATCACTGCTCACTGATCCTAAGACTGAAGACCATCAGACAGCCTGATAGCAGGTATACAGGAGAGCGTATGTAAATAGAATAGCAGCAAATATGGAGCGTAAAATTTCCTAATGTACTTAAGATAAGAATAAGAATCACATGTCCCACCAATTAGTAGTCTTTGTTTGTGGCGACTTCAGTCGCATTGGTTTTTTGACCGCTGGAGATTTCGAAATACCGGATTCAGCCGTGAACTGAAGTTTTCTCTTAACGTTGGAAGCCAGCCCGGGCTCTTGAGGCTCGTGCTGCCTTGGCGCTTTGCGAATACATGGTGACGTTTCCTCCGAATGGACTATCTGGGGGAAAATCTTCGTATCCCCGGGATCTGCAAAGCTTGTACTTGGTACTGCTGGCTTTCTTCGCGCATGTGGGACATCATCCTGGCGCTTTGGAGTAGAGAAGCCTTCTTTTGGCTTCAGTCGTCGAGATGATGAGGTACATAACGAGGGCTGTGTAGACGGTTCTGGGGAGAGCCTTGTTCGTGTAATATCATTCTTGGGAAGTGAAATGAATTAGAGGCATGTTCGGAATCAATCTTTAGGGCAGATATTGAACTAGATTAGGGATTAATGGAAGTGAATGATGAGAAGGAACCACATACCCAAGCTGGGGACTCCTGTACTGACAGTCCAGGATTAGTTGTGTCTAAACCTTTCTCCTTAACTGGTGTTCTGAAGGGCGATCCTAGTTTCGTGCTTTCCGCCATGGCTGAATAATAATAATGTGACGTTGTTTAAGAAACGATATTTTCTTTCTCACTGTGGATTGGAGAAGATAGTTATGAAGGATGCATATATGGAAGGTCAGAGAACTGTGATCTCTACCCTGCTGTATTGTTTTTATCTGTAGATACTGATCTAAGTGCCGGAGGCCTAAACTGAATCTCACATTCCGCAGACTTTCCCAAGGAAAGCAAGGGATCATTGTATCTCAACCCAGCGGTTTTGCCTTTTCCAGCAAAATTAGAAAGCGCAACTAAGTAGCTGGAAATACCGGGGGCTGCTGCTGCTGCTGCCAATTTGTGGATTCTGATTGGCATGCTGGATGAGCATCTGCAAGGAAAATGCCACTGTTGTAAAAATGTAGGCTTGCAATCTATAGACTCACAGTACGATCTCTCGAAATAGATCCGTTTCCCAGCTCGCGTGAGTCATGGACCTTTTTCTACGGCGCATGATTGACTGGTTTCTGAACATGGGTATGCAAGGTATTCTTTAAGCCCCGGAAGGCTTCGGCCGTATGCTTCTATAATTATGAGCTGATCGATTAAGTTATCCCTCGCAGGCCAACCTCTTGCCACCTCGGATATGCCTTCCGCACGTATCCTTATTCGCTCATCATATTGCTTACGCGGGCCTTGGTGTTTCGGGCGGAAAGCCACCGTAAATTAGGTTGAGATTATATCCCACTGGGAAAATGAAGAGGCTCGACATATAAGTATCCTTCTGACAGAGCATAGGAGTAAGGGTATAACGGTGGGTATATGATATAGGGGCCAGTAATATCTGACGACATCTGGAACAAATTGTAAACTAGGTGTATTCTGTATGGGTCAGATACTCCTTGCGATCAAGCCTAATCTTAAATTTCTTGCAGTAGATGTAAAGAGTCCTAATATCCAGCGGTTTTGGGGTTGTATTCTTCCAGGCCTCCATTATTTCCCGCAACAAGATCATGATAACATTCTGAAACCTGATCTGGATGCGGCGCGACATCCCATTCCAACAAATCCAGTAATTCCAGCTCTAGAACCGCTAACTCCGCGGGAGGGACGCCTCCAACGTCGGCAAATGAAGGGTTGGGCCAGGCAAAGTCACTTAGGCTCTTGCAAGCAACTAAGACACAGCTGAGAAGAAGCCGATGAACGGTGAGGCTGGATATATTGAACGAGGTGTGTTCTCTGCAAAGCTGTTTAATGTAGGCAACCGTCATCAGAAGGATCGGAGACGTAAGAGACAATCGACGAGTTAAGCGCTCAAGATAGTCCCCGGCAGATATCCGAGGCGGCCTCTTCGAGTGAAATCGTGTAACGGCAAATCTTGTGCGGGATACCATATCATTCAAAAATGTAAGTCGTCCAAGCGAGTTCGAGATCAACTGAGCTACTGCAGATGGATCGGCGAGGTCATACCGCCATGGCAGCCGTTGTGAGAATGGCTCAGGTAACAGATCTTTAGGTAACTGCATGGCCGTACCAACTCCGTCGCGTTCGCAGGGAGCATCAAGCTGTACCGACCGATTGGATGACCCGCCGCCGGTATCTGAGCGCCATTCTCCATGCTGGCGTAACCAGCGCTCGAGGCCCTGTTTGATTTCGGTGTCTCGTTTCGATCGCTGCAGCCTCGGAGACGTACAGTTTTGTGCCCTGGCGCGAACGCTACTCTTAACGATGGGTTGCTGGTGACCGGAAATATCTTTTATTAAATTCTTGTCCAAGCGACAAGCCGGGCCTGTGCTATTGGATACTACTGGCGGTATGTGTACCCCTCTACCAGGACGCCTTTGGGGCGTATATTGAAGCATGGGGTCTTGTCCATGCTGAGTAGAGTCGCTTGGGATTGAAGTGATTGCTGTAGAACTTGCCATCTTGAAAATATATTTAAAGACTGTGAGCGAGGTGCTCTCCTATGAGCCCACAAACACTGTACCACGAAGGCTATATAACGCCTCAGCGGCCCAAGAAGATTGGGGATATAGTCTCCGTGAACCAATAATCGCCCTTTCCCAACAACGATAGTTTGAACCATAGTTACGACACGCAGTCAACCATTACACGTCACCATCAGCTCATTTGGCGATTCTATAAGGGAAAGCGCACAAGCGGATTCATGAACTGAAGTGGCGATGTCATCAATGGCTGCCGGATGGCTTATCTTTCACCACTGAATGGGCGGTCTATCCTAGTAAACTATGTTCACGTCGAAGCAGTCTTAAGGCCCAATCTTTGAATACGGCGATACTAGGAAGGATATTTGGCTAACTGTTCTAGGCGGGGCAAAAGAAATACTAATCTACCGGACAGCTGGTTGACGTGTCCGACTATATCTATATCGCATCCCCACCGTGAGACTTGTTATTCTTGTTATTTCCAAGCTTCTAAGCAATAATGTCCATCACAGCAAAGCATCGCATCCAACATCCAGGGATTTACCAGATTATCTCTTTATTATGCTCATTGATGGGTGGCAGGTATGGTTCAACATCCTTTATCATTTCAATCTGGAGAATTCCTTGCTTTCTATTGTCATAGGCACCTGACCGCATTTATGGAAATAGGTCCCACTCGACGGCACGCTCGCTCTTACGGTAGTATTATTTATTGGCCATTTGTAAGTGTTATTGTTAGTAGGCGAAGGGTTGAAAAGCTTAAGGCAGATATGAAGCCATACGAAGAAACACGCGATAGCCACGTATTCATGACATAAATTAACAACTACGCTAGAAGATTCGTTTGCATGCAAAGCTCATGGAACGATAATGTAGATGGCTGCTTGGGTCCTACTAACGGCAACCTCCCATAGAACCAGGAGAATATATCCGGGGCATCCGAAGCATTTCAGAGGAAGAAAGATTCCGTCCGTGATGTATGTATGACTGCTCCCGAGGCCTATTAATAGTGGCAAAGGGGCAAAACCAACCACATTATTGTCGATTACATTATAACTATATCGCCACTGTTAACTGTTTTCTTCCCCGACACCGGATTGCGGTAAACGTGAAGAAATGAAAAACTAAGCAGAGATCGACCAGGCAATACCCGCACCTACGGACTGGAACATGACCTCCACTCAGTCGTTGTTCGGTCTTCGGTCGTAGTCGGAGGCCGAAAAATGCAACCTCGGCGTAGAGATAGTAGATAATACTGAGATGTTGCTTCGACCAAATCCCTAAATCTCTCATTCTGAACCTTTTGGCCAGACGCAACTCCGATCGCAACCATGTTGACCCTTAATATTGCTTATACGGAACCAGTGAACAATCCCGCCGATCCAACCTTACCAGTCCTCACGCAAGAGCAGGTATGGGACGGCCTGAAACTGAAGGCCCGGCGTCCCCAGGATTTTATCCCGTCCTTAGATGACTCTCGGGTCATTGAGGAACGGGAAGATGGAGCCTTCATCGTGAGAGAGGCACACGTTGCAACGAATCTCCACCAATCTCCTATGGCTGGGAAGTGGACTAGAGAGGAATGCCGATTGCACGCGCCGGTCAGGGTAAGGAGTATAGATATACGAAATTTTGTGCCATGTTAATTAAAACTGTCCAATGCACTAATATTATAATAGACTTACTTTATACTACCTGGCGGGTCGGCGGTTGAGAATATAGTCTCTGTCGGACATGACCAAAACCTGTACCTCACCTTTACCTACGAGTGGAAGCTGCCTGATATTAAACCCGGGACAAGCGAGGCACGGAAGGCAGAGGGTGACCATAGGCAAATTGCGATATCGTCTGTCCAAGGGACTATCCGAAGGTTGAGACAACTTGCTGAGGGAAAGGCCTTGTGAGCCGCGGACAGTAAATGCTTAGGGCGGTTGTGTCTAGGGTTGAAACTAACCTGTGTAGCTATCTTACCAGACATGTCCGTGGTACAGAAGAATGAGGGCGATAGAATGGCAAAATATTGAATTGCAGGGGTAGTCCAAGTACGAAACAGATATTGAACTATGAAGTAGATAGCCAAATAGACTATTACCCGCTTCTACCTATTACTTGTTTATAATATGGGCAAGTGCGTAAAAGAACGAGAATACATTCTTTCTGCGAGATAAAAAGGGCCCAGAAGGATTGATGCTGACACTAATACTAGTTTCACCAGTATCTTGCTGCTGTCCATTAAGATTAAGGATCTGAATGTGGCCTTGCCACGCCTACCTGGGACAAGGGACAGACGCCCCTACTAAGCACCCTTGACATCCGCATTCTGCAAATGAACGAGTTCGTAGTATCGCCCTCTTTGCCGAAGGAGTTCCCGGTGAGTTCCAGACTCCACGACCTCCCCTGAATCCAGGACGTAGATTATATCTGCTCGCTGGATGGTACTCAACCGGTGAGCAACCGCAATTGTTGTGCGTCCTCGCGCGGCAGCATCTAAAGCCGCCTGAACAACCTTTTCTGACTCCGAATCTAGCGCGGAGGTGGCCTCATCCAACAGAAGGATCTTGGGGTTTCGAATGAGGGCACGAGCGATGGCAATGCGCTGCTTCTGGCCACCGGACAGCATGCCCCCTTTATTCCCGACGATTGTGCTGAAGCCTTGTCTGCAAGCTGTTAGCATATCTTCGGTACAGACCATAACTATAACCCGGTAGAGCTCACGGTAATGACAATATGAAGTTGTAGATGTTTGCGTCCTTACAAGCCTGAATGAGAACACCATCGTCCACATCCGGTGTGTTGCTCCCTAAGAGGATGTTCTCACGGATTGTTCCCTGGAACAAGGTCGGCTCTTGGCTAATGAGAGCCAAATGGCTGCGATAGGAAGACATTTCCAGAGTGATGATGTTCTTCCCATCTACGTAAACACCGCCTTTAAGGGGGTCGTAGAATCTCTCTAGCAACGCAATAGTGGTACTCTTGCCGCTTCCACTTGCGCCTACCAGAGCGACAAATTGACCCGGCTTGATGGTCAGGTTTAATTGGCGAAGAATTGGCTGTCCCATACGAGCGGGATATCGGAAAGAAACATTGCGGAATTCGACTAACCCACGCATCGAGGAGACTGGAATACCCTTGTTCCGTGAAGTATGCATGGTGGTGCTGCTGAATAGCCGTTTGAATTCACGCGCGGCGTGCTTTGCCTTTCCCATATCTGGGGCATGGGAAAACACTGTTCCCGCAGCCTGCGCTCCGAAAATCACTTCGCTGAAGCAAACGTAGAATTGAAAGAGAGAATATTCGCCGCGTCCAAGCAGGGACCCGCCATACCAGAAGCCCAGCGCCATACAGAAAAAGGGTAGCGCCTGAGAACTGGCGTATAGCAAGGATGACTTTATAATAGGGAGTATATCGCTCTTGAGCTGCTTGCGAAGCTGTTCTTGATAGGCCTTCAATGCCTCCTTCTCCATTGTCAAAGAGACCACCGTACGAATAGCGGATGCTGCCTCACATGCGGAACTGGCTGATTCTTGGTATGCCTTTTTAGCCCTTCGTTGGAATCGCTCTAGCATCCAGACACGGACGAACCCACACATTAGTAGCGCTGGAACTGCGGCGATGCAAACTAGAGCTAGCTTCCAGCCGATCACGAGTGCTACTCCCAATGACGCCACGAGATTGACGGAGACAATTAAGATGGTTCCCAACGTGATGCCGCTTATGCCAGTTAGTTCCTTCGTTCCCGCGCTCAGCGTGGCTGTTAAAGCGCCTGTTGTGTTCTCCGGCTGGTCGAAGAACGAGATGTCCTGGTGTAGTATCACTTGGAATGCGCGGCTGCGGGCGCGGTAGACCATCTTTTCCGAGCTATATGCAAACAACGTCCCCTGAAAGCTATATAGAACAAGTGCCACGAGGCCAATCATTAGGAACATCAGACTCCAGAAGTTAGCATCATGCCGCAGCTTTGGATATTCCATGGGTGGTAAGCTGATAGTGCTGACAGCCTTCGCAAACAACACGGCCTGGGATGGTTGGACACCTCCGGCTAGTATTGATGCGCCGAGGCCTAGCAAAAGAAAGGGCCACTCTGGACGGTTGAAAGAGGCTAGAAATTTGAACAAGGTCCACAAGGAATACGCCTCTTCGTTTGTCGGTTGCGTTAAATGAGACAATGTCATTGTTGAACACGGCCGCTGTTTCTTTCCTGAATTTAATCCAACATCGGATGCATCATCACTTAGGAGGCTTTGAGTATCGGATAGATCATCGTCTACGAAGTCCTTATCGAACAGGAATGTCATGTTCTTCGAGGCCCGATTAATGACAAACTGAGAATATCTTTTGGAGTACCTCGAATACCTCTTCTTGATTTGCTGTGCTTCCACCATACCATAATAGACCCCTCGCCGCTCCATCAGTTGTTCATGCGGACCTTGCTCAACGATCTCGCCATTGGCAAGGACGATTATGTTATATGCCGATTGGATGGTGGAAAGGCGATGAGCGATGACAATTGTCGTCCTGCCTTTGGAAGCCTTGTCGAGCGCCGCCTGAACAAGCTTTTCAGACTTCGTGTCCAAAGCCGAAGTCGCTTCGTCTAATAGCAAGATCTTGGGGTCCTTAATGATGGCTCGGGCAATGGCAATGCGCTGTTTCTGTCCACCCGATAGCGAGAAGCTCTCGATATTAGTATCATATCCATTTGGGAGCGCCATGATGAAGTCATGTGCATTTGCCATTCGCGCTGCGGCCTCAATTCGCTTGCGAATCGCATACGTTGATTCAGTTTCGAATCTAGAGCCAATAATGCCAAAACGGATGTTCTCTGCAATCGTGGTGGCAAACAACCTCGGCTCCTGCGACACTAGGGACATTTGCTGTCGCAGCCATCGCAAGTTCAAGGTCTCGATATCCTCCCCATCGAGCATGATCCTGCCCGCCACTGGATCGTAGAACCTCTCCAGCAAGCTGATGATGGTACTCTTGCCGGACCCCGAGGGACCCACGAAGGCAGTTGTCCGACCAGCGGGGATGTAACAACTAAGGTCGTGGGCAACAGTGACTTCGGGGCGTGAGGGATAGACATGCCGGATATTCTGAAGTACAATATTCCCTCGGACATGATCCAGTGTCCTACCCTGGTCGGACATTGCATCCAAGGGGGACTTGCGGTCAATAGTGCTGTATAGCTTTGAGGCCGCTGCCACCGCGGTAGATAGGGCTTGCATATTGGGAGCCACATTGCCTAAATTGTAGGAACCGAGGATAATCGCCATCATTATAGTCAGGACATCCCCGGCCTTGATATCACTAACCCCTTCGACGAGGAAGCGAGATCCCATCCAGAACCCGAGCCCATAATTCAAATACATGATGCACAGCAATGCCCCAACCATGACAGCGAAAACGACCTTGGACTTCATTCCTGGCCCCTCGGCGCTCTTGAGATGCGATTCATATTTCTGTGTCAGTGTTACTTGTGCATTAAAAGCAGCGACGGTCCGGATCGAGTCGAGTATATCCTCCGCCATACTGGCGCCGTGGCCTTGGTGTTCCAAAGCTCTTTTGTTGAAGATCAGCATTAGGGTGGAGCAGCCACCCATAATCAGCAGCAATGCAAGCAAACTGGCACTACAGATCAAAGCGAGCTTCCAGTTCTTTATGTAGGCAATAACAAAGGCCGTCACAAAGGTTGAAAGTCCGGTCAAAGCCAGGCCAACCTTCTCGGAAATGCCGTCTTGAATCAGGTTCGTGTCGGCGGTGATTCGTGTTGTAATTTCTCCGGCACCAAGAGTATCGAAGAAAGCGATGTTCTGTCGCAGGATAGCCTGATAGTATTTCACACGGATTTGTTGCACTACATGGTCGCCGGTGTAAATAAAGCCTACCGTTGCCAGATAGATTGTAACTAACTCAGCGGCTCCCAGGTAAATGAAGTAAACAACATTCTTGATCAGTTCATCATGGAAGTGATCGTAGGTGATTTGATGCGTCGCAACATCTTGGAATGTCGACGACAACCTGCCAAATAATACCTAGAAGTTTCGGTTAGCGGCTGTGCCCAGGAGCCAACAGCTATTTTCAGGGCAAGACGTGGCGTACAGTGAAGAGAGGCAGTGCTGCACCACCTGCAATGGCGGCAAGCGCACTGCCGAACAGGATAGCAATATCCCCTCCACTCGCATATCGATAGATGCCAAAGAAACCTATCTCTGATACCGGTGCATGTAGTTGTCTGTCGAGGACCGCCTCAGCATGGGAGTCAGAGATACCTGTACTTGTAGTGCTTGTCCCAAGAGACTACGAAGCTCGAGGAGTTAACCGCTATGTTCTTGTGGGGGGTATAATTATATGTACCTTTGGAAGTGTTTTCATCGGTATGTCCTTGTCCGAATTCATGGTGCCGAGAGCGCCTAGTCTTCACATCTGGTGCAACAACAGAGCCCCATTCCCCGTATTCAAGGTTCAGAGATGGCACCAGCGAAAGCCGGTTGCTGGATGCTGTGAGCGCGTCAGGGATAGAACCAATGCAGGAATTAAACAGCCCCTAGGATTTTTGCGACTCACCCCAGCGCCTCTCACGCTCACAGATCCTTTCCAGCTAACCCCACTACTGTTGTCAATCGGGGGCTGACTCGGCAGATGCTTTCCCGGGCTGCAATAGAAAGGGGTTCAGGGCGAGAGACCGATCTCTAACATTGATAACTCAACACTTGGTACGCGGGGAGAGCCTGGGATGGGGTTGTCAAGTCCCGAGGCACGATGGCAAGCGACGGAGTATCCTCGGACGAGCCACATCCGCCCCCTATTGCAGCGTTGTGGTCGACCTGATAGATTGCGATTTTCCTTGCTTGCCACAAACAAGATTTCAGATTCTCGTTTAGGACTGACTGATCACCGATCCTTCTTGTCAGAAAACATGGACTCAGCTCAATTAAGTGGCACGTGGTGCGTCCGGTGTTTCACAGCCCTACAATGATGTCGTTGTTTCAGAGTCCGCACAGATCATATTTTGTTGAGAAGGCGCCATTGCTCGTTTTGATCGACAGGAACAGATACTATAGACTTTGTACTAATAAAAGAAACGAACTCAATTGCAGGTGAAAACAAGCAGACATTGTTGGTTCTGTTAGAAGCTAGGCAGGTACTGGAATTTGGGTTTGTTGGGAGTTGATTAATAGCATAACGGACGAAGTCTCAAATTTGAGTCAGATATAGGGAAACTTAGGCCAGCCCAAGTCTAAAACATAAGACATTTGATTTAATTACTATGAAACATTTCGGCCAAACCCCCGGCATTTAAAAATCAATCTTATCAGTACGAAGAATTGAGCCGTTCAAATTGCTATTGGTCCGTGTATAGGAATGGAGTCCTTGGGAATCATGGGGTTACGGCTGCCCTAAACTGATGCCACTCTTATTTGATTCCAGTCAAAACCTCCTACGACTGGGCACCCAGTCCAACACTTTTCTTATAAAAGAAAGTGAAAAGAAAAAAAATGAAAAGAAAAGGGAAAAACATACTAGTATAACAGAGCAGCAGGGATATATTGTAAAGTTATGACACATCAAAAAAATAATTAATAATGAAAAGAAACGAAAGGCAGATTCCAAAACATTAGACTCGCTGCCGTGGACGAAGTTTCACCTTCAGGTCTGGCAATTCCCAAAAGGCATAACACCGACTCTCTCGCTGCCAGTCCTTGACTTTCCCCACGTATTCCGCTTCGTAATCCAAAAAGAATCCCGCAAGGGTTAATTGCATCATTTGTCTAGCAAAGTACTTGGCGATGCAAGCGCGACTACCCACTAAGAACGGTTGAACGGCCTCCTTTTTGTCTGTCGATCCCGGCTCGGTCCAGCGTTCGGGAATAAATTCGTAGGGTTCGTTGAAATATTCCGGGTTGTGGTGCAGCGCGAACAATGATGTGCAGATCTCCGTCTAAAATCAATTAGAGCCGTTAGTTGGATCCACACCATTGAAGAATCTGTCACGAAACTTACCCCGGCCGGGATGTAGACCCCATCCACATAGGCTCCTGGTGAAACTCGGGGTCCCCCTAGTGGCACAGGTGGATAGAGTCGCAACGCCTCCGTGATGACGGCATTGAGATATGGTAACTCCTGAACAACGTCTCCCGACATTTCCTCCGCCGAAGGGAATGCGGACAGGAGTTCACGGACCAATTTGGCATGGGCCTCCGGGTGGGTCAGCACGAAAAAGATAACGGCGCATAGCGCGTTTTGTGTTGTATGGAATCCTGCCAACATAATGGCTGAAAAGTTTTCAGCAATCTCAGACTCAGGCAAGCCACTAGTCTCCGCTCTCTCCATTACTTCCACCATGATGTCGCGACGGGTGTGCGAAGCCTTCAGTTGTCTGCAGCCGTGTTAGGTTGTATAGTTATCAATGGAGGATGGTAGGTACAGGGATGAATTACTCGTGAATTAATCGCATGCGGGCCTCTTCGCTGCGAAGACGAATACCCTTGCGGAGGAAACGACGGAGAAGCCATTTCATCACCGTCGGCACTCCCGAGCCGTCAAACTGATCACGGATAGTAGCCCAGTAAAAGATTCGAGGCAGCTGTGCAGTCCAGAAGTAGGGCTTGCCGCGCTTCAAGCAGCCCAAGGGCTTGCCCAGCAGGACCTCGGAAACAGTATCGACGGAGTGGCAGTAGAGAAGCTCATTGAGCGAAAGAGTGGACGTGGTGTCAAGCTTAGAGTTGATCACGTCGTGGAGTCGCAGAATACATTCACGAACGACTCCTGCATGTGCCTCCATACTTCCGGGTGTCATTGAGGGACCGAAGAGCTTACGGGCAGACAAGTGATAGGCAGGGTCAGAGGCTGTGAACATATTGCGCCGAGAAATACTCTTGTAGAAACCCGTTTTGAGAAATGCAGAGCCCTTTCCAGTGCCAGAGCCGTAGATGTTACGCAGGGCTTTGACTGTATTCGTCGTCGCTTGGCCCGGGGCAAAACGGACTATCTTTCCTGTGGAGCCGAACGATCAGATCAGCATTTGGTGGAAACTGACACAAACCGTTGTCACTTACCATAAGTCTCATGTAATGCTGTGAACTGGTATGCACTTCGTCCCGAGATGAAAGCGAGTTTGGTTGCGATCTGTGTAGCCCAAAATTAGATTCTCTGGCGTCGACCATTCATGGAATGGCGAATGCCACATACACCGCAACAGAAGATGTCGAAAAATGGCCCTGGGACCCCCTTGATGACCGGTCCCTTTGGCTGCAGTTGGATAAGGAGAAAGACAAGGAAAAATGACTGTTACGGTCAGTCAATCTGCATCTTGTCCAGCATCTTTGCCATGCAAACTGGCAGCTTAGCTTACCAGGACGACCGCCAGGGCCGGGTAGGGTATCAATATCGGAGAATAACCCTCGGGCATTTGTCCAGAGGGTAGGTACAAAGCAACAAACACCATCTTGACGACCTTTATTCAATGAATGAATGTATGGTACTTTCAACCCAGAAGCCAGTAACAAGGTCTTGGGCAAACGAGGGGCTTGGTCGGGAACCTTTGGATCATATCAGACATACGCAGAGGGTATATAACGGGCCTTATTTATCCCATGGCTGTATAGCGATTTTCGATTTTCGTTCTCTAGAACCGGTTAAATGAGGGTTAAAAACTATACTGCACACGGCGGTTGAGATTTTTTATTATTATTATTAAATTTAACTTTCTTCCGCATTTTATGTTTCAGATTTTATTATTATTTTTATGTTTTTATTTGCCTCGATCGGCTTTAACCACCAAGGTTTTAATAACGTTCCCACCAGAAGCTTTTTCTTTCTAAAATCCAATCGAGGCTCCTCAAAGTAACATGCGATATGCCAAAGGGACGTAGTCTACTCACCATGTCTTGGCAGTGAGCTCCGATGTTTGAGGTGGTTTGGGGAGACCGTAGATCCAGGTTAGGGCCCAAATTTGGTGTCGCAGACATAGGGATCGGCTCTTGAGGACTAAAGCTAGTGTGGTCTTAGTTTTGAGTCAAAATGACTTATCATTTAACCCTAATGTAATGGCAGAGCGTAAAATGCCCCTGTATGTCTTAGGGGTTTACTATATATGCCAGACTGTCTCAGGATCATATGTTATCTCTTTACCTTATGAGCTGAGTCCTCATGTATCATCTGGTAGACTTCACACAGCAACCTCATTCGTCATATAATCTTTACTATGGCTGAACAGCGCACAAGTGTGCTGTTCCTCGCGAACAGCGAGCACGGCCAAACAAATATCATTCTAGCTATCACGCATGAGCTGCTTGTGCGAGGCGACATTGACGTGCACATAGGTTCTTTCCCTGTCCTTGAGCGGCGAATTGAAAAGCTTTTGGTCGACAATTCCTCCTCGTATGATGGCTCTTTCCGGTCACGTATTCACTTCCATCCCATTCGTGGACCCTCTAATACAGATGTCTTTATCCGTACGGGCAAACGAGGTGCTTTCCATCCTCCTGGGTATCATGGCGCCGTCCTCGGTTTCCAGTCTCTGTGTGAGGATATCTGGGGTTGGACGGAAGAGGAGTACGTCGACATTTATAATTGCTGCGTAGATATCGTGAAAACCGTTCAACCGTCGGTGATCGCAGCCGACTTCTTCTTCTTGCAGGGGAGAGATGCCGCGTACAATACCGGATATACGGCGATTCTGATCAACACCACGTCTCTCTCTCATATCGTCCTAGGGTTACAGCCACAATCCGCTGCCTTGTGGAAATACCCGCTGTAAGTAATGCGCGCATCATACAAGATCCTGCTATTTCTGACTATCGACAAGACCCGGGACGGGATTTCCATATCCTCTGCCATTGCATTTAATCCCACTAAATGCCCTCTCGGTGATTAAAACGGCCAAAATGTACCACGGAAGCGGCCGGCGTCGAGAGATTCGCGACTGGAGAATCCGGCACAAGATCCACGGCCGGTTTCCATTTGCCGATTCCTGGCGACCCGATCGGTTCCATCTCTCCCCTGCTCTGAAGGAGCTCGATTGGCCTATGGATGTGCCAGACAACATCCTTCCATGTGGGCCAATTTTACTGCCCACAGCTTCGGTTCTAAAGCAAGATCCCGAATTGGCAAGTTGGTTGGAAAACGCGCCGACCATCTTGGTCAACCTTGGAACTCTTTACGCGCCTGATCCTAATGTTGCAGAGAATCTTGCACTCGGACTAAAGTTGTTCCTCAATGCTTGGAAGGGCGAGAAGGTCCAGGTTCTGTGGAAGCTCCCCAAGCATCCGCATGATGAGGATGATGTCTACAGTCAGTCCATTGAGCCGCTCAGACAGGAAACAACAGATGATCGCGTTCGTATTCACCCGTGGTTCACCGTCGAACCCATGGCCATGCTCCAGACAGGACGGATTGTCTGCTCCGTTCATCATGGTGGAGCAAACTCGTGGTACGAGGCTATTCAGTATGTCTTCTCCTTCACTTAACCGATGCATAACATGTCAGCTAACACGTCTAGGAACGGCGTCCCCCATGTGGTTCTCCCTGCGTGGCAGGATTGTTATGAGAACGCTGCTCGAGCCGAGTGGCTTGGAATTGGGGTGTATGGCAACAAAAGTCGAGCACCCAGCATTGACGCCCGCGAGTTAAGCAAAGCACTCTTGCAGGTTATGAGTAATCGGTCGTATAAAGAAAAGGCGCTCAAGTTCGCCAAGCTATGCCAGAAGAAAGAAGGGCGCGTGGCGGGCGCAGAAAAGATCGTTGAACTGGCGCGCAATCCAGGATTGATGGACATGCATATTCCGGATGTGAAGATCGATGACCAGCAGTGTCAGCTCAGCGAAACCCGGAATAAGTCAGGAATGGTTCTTGAGTCCCTCCGGCTGCCTCAGCCACAAGGTAAATCAACGGCGAGGTATGCAAATCCAGTCCCTATGTCAGTTCTACATACCGTGGCTAACCTGGGAGTGACAGGCCCTTTCTCATTGAGCTCGCCGAGGCAGCGCTTATGACAGCTCTCTGCAACTCCTGGGTGATTCTACCCTTACTCGGATATTCACTCCTTCTGGTTCCCCGTTTGCGATTCTTAGTTGTACTCTACCTCATCTATATCAAGTATTTTGCTAAAGCACACAAAACTGGCACTCTGTTTCTACGGAATAATGAGTTCCGGACGTGCTGGATCTGGAAGGCCTTTACCTCCTACTTCCCCCTGCGACTCTATCGTTCTGCGCCTCTCTCACCCCACAAGAAGTATATCTTCGGCTACCATCCCCATGGTGTCGCTATTCGAGGCGCTGTGGGCGCATTCGCGGCAGACACGGCTGGATTCTCACAGCTCTTTCCAGGGATTACCAATACCCTGTTAATGAAGGACGGTGTATTCTACCAGCCACTTCTTCGAGAGTACCTCCTCTCCCTAGGGCTGAGTGGCGTCTCTCGGAGTTCATGCATCAGGCATCTGACTCGCGGCGGTCACGACGGTCGGGGAATGGGCCGTGCCATCACTATCACGGTGGGAGGAAGTCGTGAATACAACATCGCCCGACCGGGGACGATGGAAGTCGTGATCAAAATCCGCAAGGGTTTCGTCCGGGTGGCAGTGGAAACTGGCGCCGACATCGTGCCCGTGGTCGCTTTCGGGGAGAATGAGATCTTCGACCGCGTGGACGTTCAATCCAACACTTGGCTCCGTTTCCCAGCCCAGCTTTGGGAGTGGGCCGTTGGTCATAAAGTGGCATTTTCTGTTGGTCGGTTCAACATCTTCTGTCCATACCGTAAGCCGTTGAATGTGGTAGTAGGGAACCCCATCCCCGTCACACAGCAACGATGGGATCCGGATCAGAAATATATCGATCAATTGCACCAGCAGTACATGAGGGAGTTGGAGAAGCTTTGGGAAGATTGGAAGGATACCTTTAGAACGGACAAGTCGGTGAAGTTTGAGATAGTGGAATAATTCTTTGGTCGCCTATCCCAGGTTGTTCTATTCTATGTTCCTCTCAGCGCCAGGCATTCGTACCAATATATTACCAGGGGCAAATAATAACTCCGTCCGCGGATTCCTGAAAGTCATGGAGTCTTCTCCTTCGTCTCCTACCCAAGAGCCGTGTAAAACGACTCCTACTGGCTCAAACGTGTATATTGAAGAAGCCAACTGGGGCCGTGGGGCGAGCTATAATTGGGCCAAATCACTTTGAGAATTATCGTGAGGAGGAAACCAGTCAGATATGTAATTCTAGACTCTTAAAGAGTCCACTAAAAACTATTATTGGCTACGGAAGGGGAACAGGCGAAGAGTGAGCACTCGCAAGACGGATACGACTGTGTTGGCCATGATATTGGACGCTTGGAGCGTCCAACCAAGACTATCAAGCAAGATCATGCATAGGTTAGAGTGGCTTGGCCAGCTCAAAGCTTGGTATCTCTATGGTGTCAACTCATGATTTAAGGGATTTAGAAAGGTGAGAGGCTGAACATAGCCTTATAAACAGGTTTAGCCCCAACGTTCAGCCCTGGCAAGTGTGAAGATGTTCCTCTGATATTTATAGCCCGACGGGGTCTCCTGAAAAAAATCCTGCTGGGAGCAGTATCATATGCTCATACTATCTCCTTTCTGGTAGCTTTTAACAAGCCGCACTCCTTCTCATGGCCAAGTTCGACCGGAAGATCACTGTGAAGAGCGCCTCTGCTCCTTTGTCCAGCTTACCTGGCCAAGATGACACTTCATCTTTGGGGATGTCAAACCATATCGCAGTAATCACTTGGAGCTCTTTCGTTGTCACGGTCCCTATCCTAGCACTGACGGTGACATTGCTAGTGTTTGTATTCCATTACTGCATCTGCCATGGAGATGCACCATTCGATAGCTTTCGTACACCAGCGGGGAAGGACGAGGCCAGCGCCATTTATATCAATATGAACTCCAGTATAATCCTGTTTCTAGCCTCCTAAGCAAGCTCCTTAGCAGCCATGCTTTTGGGGTCATGTTAACTCTGGGCTCATTCCCCATAGCACGCCGATTCTTTTAGGACGTCCAGGATTCTCGCTTTGATCGTCTGCCGACCCCATATCAGCTGGCATTAACGCTGAAGTTCTTAGATGGGAGTACTCTAGCTGCTATGTGGGGTTGGCTCGTCTATTGCGCTTCCTCGAGGGAAAAAAAAAAAAAAAAAAAAAAAAAAGCCTGCGCCCCAGACACCACCCCCAGTAGCCGCTTCATCAATTACGCTTCTCACAATACCGCTAGAGTACGTACATCCTGCGAAACTACAAAGAGGATATTTGAATCATCTCTAGCTAACATTAGGCAGCCAGCTTATCGCCCTAGCGGATACTTGGCTGCATCTTACCTACCATGGAATGCACTCAAGTCACCCCTTATCCCGACTCAATGGCCTACAGTTTTGGCCTCATACCTGACTGTCTCACGAAAAACAACTCGGTGACGGCTCAGACCGATGGTGGTCACTTCTGCAGCATTAACCTAGTCGTCACAAATACGTTTCTTAAAGATGAGACGACATCAATGCAGGCACTGAACGGCACGTCCAATGAGGTTACCGTATCCACATATGGAAATACGCCTACCTGCAAGGACCCTCGGTATCATTGATATCTAACCAAGACTATACAGCCGAAACTTACGGCTTCTGCACGCAATGTGAACTGATATCAAGCAAGTGCCACTTGGAAAACAATGCGGCAATTGTCCACTACAACTTCCCCGATGCTTCCGCCGGTGACTTCACCCAAACAGGTTTGCAAAAGGTGTTCTTCACAAATGCCAGCATGAATGCGATGATGGGTACGAGTATGTACGACACCGGTGCCGGTAACCCCATACTACTTTGCGGCGGACGACAGTATGAGTTTGGCTGGTAGGTCGGCGCCGAACTCTACTGAGTTCCTGAAGAGCCTTCATGGCGCCTACACGTATATTATCGGTTCCAATACCACTATCTACGATATCCAGTACGACTGAGTTAACAACACCGTCACCCGGTTTGTACCAACCATCAGTCACACGTCTGCGAGCAACGTCTGGCAGACGACTATTTCACACCTCAGAAACTGATATCCCACCAATCCAACAGACAGCAGGTGCAGCCACCTTTTAGTGCACAGCCCAACAGTGTGCCGACCAGGTCACCGCATCATTTAGCAAAGTGACCATCGCTCTGAGGACCAGTTCTCTCAACGCACAGTCAGCTCTAACGGCGCAAGCGACGAGAAACATTACTCGTAGCGCAGACCGCGAAAGCACCATTGATCACGCTGGTTGTGGTCAGTTTGCTGTACACCGTGCGTGGCTTAGTTTTCGCCTGCCTTGCGGTCATGGCTGTCCGACATCGATTGCCTGACATCTAGTCCCGGTTGAGCATTGCCGGCCTGGTTGCGGATCGATTCGAGGATTCTCCTACCTGGACTAGGACGAGAAAGGAGTACCAAATGTTTGATGAGTCTTCGGGCAAACCGGCGAAACGGATTGCTGTCGAATCGCCGGACAGCGATGGGGCTTATAGATTTACGACCTGGACATCTGAGTCGGGCTCTACGCTGCAGTAGAAAGTTTTGGAGTTCATTAATACCTAAATCAGGGCTGTGGGTTTTGCTTTAATGCGGCAAATACGCGATCACTCCGTTGAGGTTGATGCTAATCTCAAGGACCCAAGCCACCCAAGCTCAACCATATACGCTCTAAACTAGAAGAGAAAGCAGGAAACAGAATAAAGTGGAATGAGCTATTAGGTCTAAAATCTAATAGAAGAGCTTTTGGAAATACATCATATTAAATATAGTTTTTCGACGTTATTGACGTGTTGGAGAGTTTATTATGCACTAGATGACAGAATATTGCATGACTGATGTTCATATTATGAGCAATGCCACCTTTATAGTCATTCGATCATGGTGGTGTACCTACTACCTCTTGGATTCGTGTAGATACTTACTAATCTGTTGTAAAGAGTCCTCTCAAGATATATATTTGTCTACTTTTGAGGTTCAACTCCAAAGGCTACGCAGCCTTAGTAGCTAGTATTTCTCCATGGCATGACATGATCTTTGCCTTTGAAGACATGAAAACATCTCTCTAGACGGCTAATTGTGTATCGCAAATCTTTACTTCATACTGGTGCGTTGTAGTGGTATGGAGACTGTTATCTCTCTCTCGTCTTGATTGGAATGTGATAGATTCTACGGCCGAGACAGCGAGATATCAGCACGGTGGCGACGGATGAACGGGCTCGCAGATCATTTCCCCATGGAAATCCAGTCAAGGGCATCTTATTGGGGGTATTCTGGCTCCTGAGATAAGGTTAAACTTGAATCCATGGTTTCACGATGAAGCAGCTCCAGTTCTTGGAGAACCAAACTCCCAATGGAGGGGTCCCGAAGGAACGTGCTATCAGTCAATGGTCTCCCATATATAGACTTTGCCAAGCTGTCGGAGGTCAAAAACAGCGCCTCAAGAAATATTCGTTCGCCTCGTATTCTTTTTCCCGTTGACAACCGAGACAACTGAACCCCAATCCGTCACATTCAGGGGCCAAGCTAGCCTGATGCCAAGAGGGGACTTAGAATCCTGCCGTCTCGCCTTGAACAGTTTCGGGTTTTTCTTCTCTTTACTTTTTTTCCTTCGTGGTCGTCGATGTTTTTTGTGGTCGTTGTGAGCCAGTAGTGGTCAAACGGGGGCCCTCCAGTGGCCGAACAACATGCCCTGATGCCTCTTACTGCGCGAAGCGACCACACCCAGCCCTTTCAGTCTGGGGAGTTCGCGTTGGAGTGTATCGTGGCGACTTGCATTGGCATCGCCTGGTATAATTGCATTGAACTCGTGGTCTTGTGCTTTACAACGTTCAAACGATACAGCGGATGTTATTTCTGGAGTCTGGTCATCGCCTCGATCAGCATTGTCCCGTTCGCCCTAGGCTATGCCCTGCTCATCTTTAACATCTTCCCTAATTATTTCGCCGTCGCGATCGAGGTTGTAGGCTGGTGGGGCATGGTCACCGGCCAGTCTATGGTTTTATGGTCCCGCCTGCATCTCGTCGTCCACAATCGGAGGATCCTGCGCTGGACGCTGATCATGATTATTGTGGATGCCTTCTTGTTTCATATTCCAGCCTCGGTCCTCGAATTCGGCTCCTACTCGCCCCACGCGGAAAAGTTCACCCATGCTTTTGACATCTTCGAGCGCATCCAGTTGGTGGGTTTCTCAGTGCAGGAAATAGTCTTATCGGTCATCTATGCGTGGGCAGCTGTTGAAATGCTGCAAATGCTGCCTCGGGGTCATTATAAGGGCATCTTCCTCCAGCTCTTGATCATCAACTTCGTTATGATCTGCATGGATGCCGCGGTGGTGGGGGTTCAATATGCGGGGTTCTTTCGCATCCACGTCTCCGTGAAAGCGATGGTCTATAGTATCAAGTTGAAGATGGAATACTCCATCTTGGGGAGGTTGGTTCGTGTCTCCGTCGTTCCTGTGCTATCAGACTATACTCCGAGCGATCAGGCCGGTTCTATGTCTCACATGTGAGGTGGTTTCTGTATATTGGAAGGCTCTTTGTCAATATTTCTGTCGGATGTGTATATGCAGTCATGATAATTACGGTACAAATATAATGGAATCTTCATAAACTCGCTGGTGCTGATCCTGACACCTAAGCCAGGCAGATCTATATGGCTAAAGTCGGAATCAAACATTGATTCATAACACTGTATCTGACGCGTGAAACTTGGGCCAAGGATCAGGTACCGTAATATCTATCGCCAAAGTCGCCCAATCCGGGATCAATATATCTGCATGAGCTAATTAGCGAGCAACCAACGCACAAGAGCAGCTCTCAATACACATACTTCTTGGACGTTAAACCACTATCCACTGCGGCAGTAACGATCCTAAGTGATGGAAACTTGTCCGAAACAACGCCAAGACCCTCCTGCGAGGCAATGACATTGACCAGAACGATAGAATCCTCCGACACACCATGACTGAGAAGAGTCTCGACTGCTTTGATGACCGATCCGCCAGTTGCAAGCATCGGTTCTAGAAGGAGCACAACTAGAATTGTTAGATTGGGAGAATACCTTGGAGTTGGAGGAGACCGTACTATTGTCCATAATGTTAGATGGCAACTTGGAGTAGTAAATGCGAGCTAAACTCGTGGACTCGTCTCGCTGAATGAGTAGCTTGCCAAAGCTGAGCGGTCCCCTAGAAGAAGTGAGGGAGTGCTATAACAAAATGTGGGATTGCAAAGGACTGACATCCATGTCTGCCGCAGGGCTTGCTCCATGCTTGCGCCTGCCCGTAGAATACTCACACCACACACCCCCTTGGTGAACCGAACACCCTCAAATGTGCTGTGGATAGGCGTTTGGACAAGGTACCTTTCTGTGGGGACATGGTTGAGCGCTTAATCAACATCATGTTAGCATAGCGTTCTATCTCCCTTCGCACTCTTCCTGTACTCCTGATGAGCTTTTAACGGGGTGTCGAAGTAGCTCTCCATACCTTGGCCAATGAGCTTGGGAGTCACCCTTTCCATGGCGGAACAGAAATCCCGGTGATCTGTATTCATATCGCGAATGATAGTCATCAGACTAAGAAGCTGTCGATCCTGCTCCAAGACGGTGACATGCCGAGGTCCTTCAGTTGGTGGAGATGTCGTCCCGTTGGCTGGTGTCATTCTGTGTCACAGATGTTTCCACGAAGCCTATGTGAGGAGGGAATATTGGGTGAAAAGGCCTCAATATATTTCGGAAAAGGCTTCCTAAGCTGCAATCAAAAGTAAATAGCGATTTATTGTACACCGACGGCGAAGCAATAGTCGGACTTGGTGATCCTCTCTGATACCTCGGATAAGATAAGGCTTATCAGACACAACAGAGAAGATAAGATACTTGATAACGCCGGTCTATCGGCCAGCAGTTCAATCTTCGATTGTCTTTCTTTAGCGTGAGATTGAATAGATATATATACAGCAAGTCACCGTACATATCCTAGGGAAAGAAGAATTGTAGAGGGGTTGACATACCTCTTGTCCTGCCCTACAGCCCTAAGTAAATATACCAACCATAAGCCTTACTACTTACCACCTGTAATGCCGAAAGGCTGCTACCATCGGAGGCTTCAAGATCGCAGTCGAGGCCAGCAGAGTGATCTCGAGACTAGTGATCTTCTTCCCCCCACAGTGAAGGTAGTTATACCGGAAATTGTTTGCAAGGTGATATTCAGCGTAAGATGCTTGGTGACCCCACAAAAGGACGATCAGCAAATGAGGGCATTGAATGGCCATGTGATTATCAGCACGTGTTATGTAATAGCATAGCGACTGATAAGCCCCAACTCACTTGCTCGAAGCATTTATTGTCTTCACTTCCGTGCTCCCTAGCAAAACCAAGGAAATGCCAAAGGCCGTGGCTCGCTCCCGTCGGGTACGGTACACGCCGTTTGGCCGAAAGGCCTCCAATGCGAGCGACGATACAGTTGTGTCGTCCAGCAATCATACCGCCGGTCAAGATGGGGTATGTTATGCTAAACAAATTGATCTCTGCGGTGACACTGAGAGAAATCGTCCTGGCTATCTAGGATGATCCGTCGGCGTGCAGTTCCGGATCGAGTCCGGCCAAATGCAACGGCGCTGGGTCCATTGAATCGGATAATGATTTAAGCTTAGCGAGTACCCAGTCGCGCCCTACGGTGTTGCATCTATTCATCAACAATACACGCGTGATGTCCAAGTCAAAGGACTGGACCAGTGTCCTAGACCCGGTGAGACCTGCCGAAAGGCGAAGACGGCAGAGCGCCCGGTTCGTATAATCCGCTAATGCTGGCGGAGGCCACGCAACGTCTCGTATCTAGGGTACCGGGGAGTACTCGTGAAGAGATTCAAAGTGCGGTCGATGTGGCCCAGGCAGCACAGCCGGAATGGGCCGCTTTGGGATTTCAAACGCGGAGAGAGCATCTTCTGAATCTTGTAGATGTGCTGAGGAAGATGACACCGGCTATCGTACGATCCTGACCCCGTAACCGAATACAGTGACACTGGACCTCCATGACTGACGTATTTCGCTACTTCGGGTGGGTAGGTGACATGTCTTTGCCGAGAAGTGGGCAAAACCGTTGCAGACGCAAAGGCAGAGGTTTTCCGCGGTCTTGACTGCATTCATGCCGCATGTTCTATAGGCCCCGAAATGGCCGGCATGTATCTGGGATCTGACCCTACCTTACTTCAGACCTTCTACGAGCCATTGGTGGGTCCGCCTGCATCAGCTCGTTTCCGATGAGAGACATTGACAGGGGCTTTTAGGGCGTATGCATGTCCGTTACTCCGTTCAGCTTCCCTTTTATGATCCCTTTGTGGTCCATGCCGTATGCACTGATTACCGGAAACACGGTGGTCTTAAAACCATCAGAGAAGGCTCCATCGGCCTCATCATTCCTAGCAACGGCGACCATTGAGGCCGGATTCCCACCTGGAGTGTTCAATATTGTCCATGGAAATGCGGCCGCCGTGCAGATGCTCATCACCCAGCCCGCGGTGCAGGCCGTGAGCTTTGTTGGCTCTGAAGCGGCTGCGAAGCAGGTCCATGACCTCGCGCGCAATTCAAACAAGAGGATTCAGGCCGAGTGTGGAGGCAAGAATCACGGAGTGGTCCTGGAGGATGCGAATGAAATGTCAACCCTGTTTGCGATCGCAGGAAGTGCCTTTGGGGCAGCGGGGCAACGATGCATGGCGATGAGCGTCGCGGTATTCGTGGGAAGCACCCGAGAATGGATCCCTAAGTTAGTCGATTTGGCTGAGTCCATGCTCGTCGGCTGTGGTGTGGAGGCTAAGATTGGGCCACTGATTAACCGAACAGCGACGGCAAATGTGACTGGGTTTATTGAGCGCGCGATCGAGGAAGGGGCAGTACTTCTATTAGACGGACGGGACGTGGAGATTCCGGAATACCCTCACGGGAATTTTGTGGGTCCGACTATTCTGACTGGAGTGGAAACGTACATGGAGTGCTATCAGAAGGAGATTTTCGGCCCAGTCTTAATCTGCATGGAGGTCGAGACGATGGATGAGGCGATCGAGCTGATCAATCACAATCAATGTACGGGTGTGGTGACAATGTTTCCGCAAGCTCACTGACATGATACAGATGGTAATTCTTGTTCTATGTTCACTACGAGTGGTAAGAACGCCAAAGCCTTTCAGCAACGCGTCAATGTTGGGCAGATTGGAATTAATATCCCATTAATCGGTAGGTTCACCGGTGGAGTATGTCTCTGAACAATGTCTGAACTAATGGAATCAGCACCGTACGGACCTGCTATTAGAACGAGTAATAAAGACTCTTTTCTAGGAGGTAAGCACCCTTCACTATGAAATATAGGCCACGACTCACCAGACTTAGAGCGACATACTCCTGGGAAGACATACTGGCCGTTTTTCACCAACACCAAAACTGTATCCTCCCGCTGGGATTAGGAAACAGTACCCCGATATTAGGAGGGATAGGCTGGGGGATAAGGTGTATATCATGGTTAGATCTCATCCTAAGCCTTCTTTAGTGTAGTGAAATGAGTGCATCGCGGTTAACTCGAAAAGGACAATGGTCGCTGTTGATTGGGTCTGCTATGAGTATCTGAAAAGTGTACCCGAGAGAGAGATAAATGGGATAATTGAACTGACCAACCCCCGAATGAAGAGGAGTGAGTAGTGTTGAGTATGTTTGGATACATGATTGCTCTAACTGTACCTTGCTGAGGGCGCACAATCAGACCTGACCATAACTCACGAGGCAGATAATCATGAGAAAGCAAACAGAATATGCACCTAAGTCCCGTTCTTTTTGATAAATCGTGAACCCCATTGTTGACGTTTCATAAACACATCTTATTCGCCGCCTTATTGTCTTATCTGCATGGTCCGGAGCCTAACCTATTGGCTTCAGTTATTCTGGCTTATCACTAATTCACCAGATCGTGCAAAGAGGTCCAGCGCTCTTCTTTTACTACTTAAGCAGTGGGAACCCCTCGTCGTTGACAAGGTGCGTGTGCCTAGGGATATACCTGTGTAGCCTACTTTACGTTGAAGTTGCAGCAATACACCCTCTGGAGTGACCAGCCATGTTACGATTCGCGAAGCATGTCCGGGAGAGCACCAAGCTCAGGCCTGTGCAGGATAATGTTGAGGCCTCGCGGTGGGTCAACGAAGGTAAGTTGCAGAAGGGGCATTAATTGAAATCGATAACTAAACATGGATCCCTAGATCTGCTGCCCACACCTCTTGAGAAGCAGAGTACTCGACCCCTTTCTCTTTCACGCGCCCAGACGAACTGATCGGATATAGCGTGGCACTGGTGGAATTATGCGACCTTCTACTGGTCAATCTCATTCACGAACTGGACCCTGGGATCAGTATGCTCTCGTATCGCTCTCTAGAACATTCTCTGACTATGCTAGACAATGGTCGGGATCGGACTCAACTGGTGGGCTTCGATCCTGGTGATCTTCATCTCACAATCTATTTCGTCAATCGCCATGGCGTTCAATTCCCGGGCGGCCAGTGTTTATCACATTGGCTTCCCTTGTGTCGCACGCAGCGTCTTTGGCATGTGGGGAAGTTACTATTTCGTCGGTGCCAGAGCAGTCATGGCCGTCATTTGGTACGCGGTCCAGCGTAAGTGATATCCATGATCTTGAATGTAACTTTCATCGTAACCGTCCCAGTGTATTCCGGGGCGCAGTACATGTCCAACATATTGCGCTCAATCTTTGGATATCACTACACAGGTATCGGCAACCGGCTCCCAGAGAGTATCGGTATCAGCACGTCCTTGATGATCGCATTTCTTCTCTGCTGGTTAATTCATTTGCCATTCTGCTACTTCCGGCCATACCAGCTGCGGAAGTTCTTCTGGTTTAAAACGGCCGTCTCATTGCCATCGATGTTTGGCTTGTTCATTTGGGCCATGGTGGATACCAATGGTCGCATAGGGAGTCTGTACTCTTCGTCATCACAGTCAACCAGTGCGACAGCGTGGCTGATCCTCGCTGGCATCAATAGCGGTCTGGGGTATATTCACCTAGGCTAGCCCGAATACTCCTCCCATGTTGACTGTCAAGTAGGAACACTGCAACTCTGATCACGAACCAACCTGACTTTGCTCGTTGGGCTCGCAGCCGCAATGCCCCTGTTTGGACGCAACTTGTACGTTCTGCACTGCCTTGAACGTGGCTTAGGTAGTAGAGCTGACACATCTTCGCGTTATCCCTATCGCAGGCTGTGAACCCAATTGCAGTAACGTTGTCTGCTAGTCTGGGAATTCTGTCCACGAGCGCCGTCAATGTCAAATACGGCACCGACATTTGGTGCTCCCCCCTCTTCTCTGTCCACCGGGGTGTTTGCTAACTCCGCATAGGAATCAATGGGACATGCTCAGCCTCATTCTTGACACGTACTGGTCACCGAAGACCCGATTCGCCGTATTTCTTTGCGCATTTGCCTGGCTGGTGCAGATCTTAGGAACCAACATTGCCGCGAATATGATCTCGTTCGGATCGGACGCGGCCATGCTCTTCCCTTCGTACATCAACATGCGCCGGGGTCAGTTCCTCGCCCAGTTGCTCGCTTGGGCAGTGTGTCCCTGGAAGATCCTTGCGTCTGCGGCCAAGTTTCAGACCTTCCTTGGCGGGTACGGTATTTTTATGGTGCGTAGGCTAATTTCGAAGGCTAATAGACAATTCACTGACAGCTGTTTAGGCCAGTGTTGTTGCTATCATGCTGTCCGACTGTAAGTCTCTCGGATCTCGTACTACCTCTATATAGAAGGTTGTTCACGGTCGCTGATATGTGCAGACTTTCTCTTAACGAAGGGGAACGTTTTCGTCGCCTCGTTATATACTGGCAACCAAGCAAATGAGAACTATTACTACCATCGTGGATGGAATCTGCAAGCCGTGGCAGCCTACATCGTCGGCATTGCCCTCCCCTTTCCGGGGTTTTGTGGTCAGCTTGGCGCTACAGTATCTACAGCTGCTGCACACATGATGAACCTTGCCTGGATTCTTTCATTTATGACATCCTTCGTGTTGTATATCGTGATTTGCTCCATCTGGCCGACGCGGAATATGCGCTACGTGAAAGAGAAGGAATATTCCTTTGAACAGGTCGCGCCCGGAGAAGCATATCATGACTCTGAGACCCCCAGAGATGAAGAGATTGTGTGTGAGGAAGTAACTATGAGCAAGGGGCTGCCTAACAACACGCAGTTGTGAATATCCTGGGTGTATTTGGCCATGAGACATTTTGTACAATTGAAGTACACGTAATCAATCTCTTGGTACTCATTCAATGAGGCGTATTTTACAAATATTCGTGTTTTGACTCTTTGAGAATCATTCAAAGGCATATTGGGAGATAGAACACGCCGGGAATATGTAAAACAACTAGAGATGCTATCGCAAAGAGGAATTACACACATCTACATACTGTGGCTCTGGATATTGCCACACAGTCTAAGTATTTCGAATACGGTATCTCGATCTCCTTTCCACTCACATGTCTATCCAGGACCTGGCTTTTTCGGCCAAGTTAGAAATATGGGTTCTGCCTTGGTGGTGGTCGAGAACGGTCCAGCCATCCAATATTGGACACTGGTCACCACTGGGGACGGGGTCGTCAAATGGCCAGTTCGCAACATAGGAGGGGGTTAGAGAGACAAAGGAGAAAGCAAGCTAAGGCCACTGTGGCTCACGCGATAATTCACAGAGCATTTCATAAATATATTTATTGGTTCATGGTGAGTGGTGGTCGGTAGTTGGGCCTCGTCTCAAGTTCCGAGCATATTACCAGGGTCTGAGTACGACAGATCTCGCACCATGTTTTCGCCCGCTCAACATATAGAAATTGCATAGGTTAACAGTATCTGGGGCATCCTGTCCGGGTATTGTAGAGCATCAAGGTACCCAAAATAGACAACAGTGCTTCACCTCACAACTCGCTACCCAATGTAGCAAGAAGTGAATGAACGTAACTTTGTCCCTCTGGATTTTCTTTGTCTCGGCGTTCTACAATTGATGAATCAATTCATTGGGACCCACCGACATGCAACTATCCCACACTAATATCTGCACCGGTCCCAATGGAGAAAGGGGATGGACATTCCGGGAGTAAAGTGGGCCTTTCAACAAAGGTACTCGCTGCTCAGCCGAAACCAGATTTAGAACTTCGTTGTTTGAGAATATGTGGCCACCCAAGCGAGGTCCGGAAAGAAAACCAATAGATAAATACATACTCTGGATCTATCATATTGGACCTGGGGCGTGCGGGGGCTGATCCACTATTGCCTGATACCAACCACGTTAGTAAATAAAAGGAACTATCGGAGATATTGGCCCTTGGCCCCTACTCTCCTCAAGACAGCAGTTGGAAATTTATCTATGGCTTGGGTGGCTGGCTGGGTGCATCGATTGTTATGTTTGACAAGAGGCCTCCGTGACAAACAGGTCTCAATTGAAGATGGAATTGGCCATTCTGGCTTGCTACGAAATAATTCACCAAAAAGAAAACAAATCGAAGTGGGCCTGTAAACGTGTAGTTCGATTTCATAGAGGGCGGCTCTGTTCGTCAAAAATAATAAATATAGTAGAAGCGTAAAGGATAAGAAAAGGGCAAATATATAAGATTAAACGTGGATAGATAGATCCGCACGCTCCCTCATATGCACAGGAATGCTCTCGTGTCTCACGAACCACGAGTTGGTGACATGCCACCGATGATCCGGACGAGGAAGTTCCATCTAGAAATCCCCAGTTAGGGAAACGCTGCGATCACCCCGGGGGGGGGAGGAACACTTACCTCAAAGGTGCAAAAGAGAGTCGCGATTAGTTTATAGCTCTCGAGCTGGGAGAGATACCGGCCCATACACATTCGGGGGCCAGCCCCAAAGGTAAAGTCGGTGCCCTTCATTTTCGAGAATCGTGCTTGGTAGGCTTCGTCAGTTTCGCCAGGTCTTGGCAGCCAACGCTCCGGAATAAATGTGTCGGGGTTTGCACCAAAGACACCCTCGTTCTTATTGATTACCCAGGGGTTCATGCCGACTATAGTGCCTTCGGGGATAAAACGCCCATCGGGCAGGGTAAATCCACCCTGGGGAACAACCCGCTCGATCATGAGGCCGACACCGGGGTTGACTCGCATGGACTCTCGCATCACGGCGTCGAGGTATTTGAGGCTCTGGAGGTCCTTCCATTTGGCTGGTAAGGGGAGCTTGGCGGAGTATAGTTCGTCGCGTAGCTTCTTATGGACGTGCGGGTGCTTCAAGACATGATAAAGCGCGGAGCACATGGCGCTACCGGTGGTATCGCTACCGGCCAGAGTATTGGACAAGAGATAGGTAACGATCATGTTGTTATCTACCAGATCGGGATACTTCTCCTTGGTTTCTAGGAACTTGTCGAGGAAGTCAGCGTGACCGCTAGGGGGACTTCCACCACTCAGACGTTTCTGGAGCTGCTCTAGACTGAAGATATTGGCCCACACAAATGTGGGTGGACCGAGACGCACGATTGGGTTCTTGTCTAGGACCAAGTCTAACAAGGGCATTTGAGAGACCTGCACGGGTCAGTCGCTGCGAGGTGGACGAGTGGGATCGAATGAACCCACCGAGGCAAAGTAGTCGAGACTTTTGTTCGATCGGCCCAGGAAGCCTTGATAGTCCGATCCTGCATCTAAGATTCCCAGGTTCTTGGAGAACGTGATTTGACTCATCACGTCCCATGCAACTAGGCGGGGCACTCTATTAGTACTGCTCATCCAGGAAATATTCTTGCTAACATACAGAAGTTGAGGTAATCCGCCATGTCGCAAGGGGTGGCCTTGCCGACAAATCTCTCCCGCAATTTATCCATGAAGAGGTTAATGGTCACATCTACACCTGGTTCCATGTCCTGGACCTTGGTCATCGAATAGAGTCCCTTCACCGGTCGGATGTACGTCGAGTGCCACTTTTCATCCTGATGCGAGAAGAGGTTCTTTAGGCGCACTCCGGAGACAACCACATCATTCACATTGTACATATTACTCTGGTTGTGGGGCCTGTTAAAAGGAAATCATCAGAGGCCAAGGCAGAAAGGCCTGCTCACCTTTATCCATGGATTCTTGGAATTGAAGACCTGGGGAATGACGCTTGGGTCTGAGATACTGAGAACCTTGGGGCCCATCCGCACCGCAGCGCCATATTTACGGTGCAGTTGGTTGTGCGTGATGTCACATCGGCCCTTGAAGACATCGTGGAGACGCCACAGATTGGTGAAACTGGCCCAGAAAGGCCCCGGAAAAGACTTCAAAGGGGAAGACAGATAGTTCCAGAGGAGATGGGAGACGACGAGTATACTGATCGCCAACCCTAGGTCGGTCATTAGCCCGTTGATAGATAACATTTTGCTTGGTGATTTGTTTCAGTGCACTGCACTAGGTATGCAGTCCCAAAGGCACCTCCTAGTCGCTTGACCTGTCGACCCTTGGGGTACATATAGTCCATGTCGGGCAGGGAGATGTGGGGGAGGAAGAAATGATATGACACTCCCGGGCCAACGCAGCACGGTGCAAGAGCTCCACAAACGGGGAAACGGTTGTACAGTACGCCTATGCGGCGCGCAATATCCACCCTATTCCAGGCTACCTAGTCGTTCTCCCCGGTGCCACAGGGAGGGGCGGGTTATGCAACCCAGGTGCCTTCAGCGCGGGGGCATTATCAACAGGACTGGCTTTCATGATTCGCAAACTTGTTTCATGTAAGAGAGTACATTGGGAAAGTGCCCATATCACCTCCAAACGAATCCTTCGTCGAGGCTGCTACAGGTGTACCAAAATCGATTATGTAGGGGTTTACCCGAGATATTCCCGTGTGGACATACTATGCACTTGTCGTAATTCTATCGACAGGGGTCAAGGCTCCTATCGACCAAGATGTTGTCCACTAATGGTGTCGATTGTGTCATGTAGTAGTCACCAGTCCTAGTGAGGTTGAGGTCATTCGTTAGCTGGTTTGGCAGTCCTTCTAGTGAAGCTAGAGGTGGAGCCCTAAAAAGGTCCGACCCGCTTGTCAGAACGCTCTGGACAGCTGTTGACCCTTGTCAATGCAACCTCCTCAACGCTGTTCAATCAAATGTATTGGTTAATCTATTTTAATTTGCCATCCAGTGGGCCTTGACAGGCATAATGGCCTCTTGCTGATTAGTCGCAGCTTCTCAAACGTTCTCATGGCACATAATAGCGTCTGCGGAGTATATGATATTGATCAACCTTGATTCGTCCAGCTGGGATTCCTTGCCCCCAATAGCCACTCACAAATGAGGTACACGGCATGGGAGCGGCCTTGGAAAGTGCCGTCATGTTTTCTTTATTCTTCCCGTTTTCAAGAAAAATAGACTGAGGAGGATCGACATCCGTCAAACCATACTATAAACAGAAAAAGAACGAAAACAAGTGAGAGAAAGAAAGAATGGGGGGATGGGTGGGTGGGTAAAACAAAAGTCCAAGATAGAATTACGCCTTGCGTAGCCCTTTAATAAAGACCGCAACGCCGGCACCTAGCATAAAAGTCGGTTCTTCGCGTAGATCGATGATTCGCCTCATCCTTCAGGAGCAACTATAGTCATGGTTCATCTGTAGTTGTTCCAGACTTTGCGGCCATTCAGCCCCGGTTGAGCGTCCCTGCTGTTTCGCGATTGGATGTTCCTTGGATTTCCTATACACACGCCCCCGGAGTTTTTCATGAACGATGCCGTCGACACCAATTGACGACCAGGGTCCGACCATTCTGGCCGTGTGCTGGATACTCGTCTCGACTCCGGCTCTGATTGTGATCCTTCGGATGTATTGTAAGGTCAGACTCAACAGAGGGTTTGGATGGGATGACTTGGTAATATGTCTCGCACTGGTCCGTGATCCTGGCGTTTCGCCCTGCTCCACTATTACTTAGCTGATTTAGAACCAACAGGTACTTCTACTTGTCTATACAGGTCTCACTACCCGAGGCGTGCAAATGGGAGTAATCGGAAAGCATGCTGGCAATATCGACGACCCATCTAAAATACCCGGAGCGCTGAAATTGATATACATTGGGATGGTCATTGCCATTATCAGCTGTGTGCTGAGCAAGACCTCTTTCGCTATCACCCTACTGCGAATTGTGACGAGCACCTGGCAGAAGGCTATTCTCTGGTTCATCATTATCTCGATGAATATCATCATGTGGCTCTGCGCCATTTGCTACTTACTCCAGTGTAAACCGACCGAGGCGCTCTGGAACTCGGAGCTCATGCCCACGGCGGACTGCTGGCCAAGTCATATTTTCGAAACGATTGCGCTCACCGCCGGAGGTACGATCGATGATACACTTCGGCCATAGATATGTTCACTGACGAAAGTTGTAGCCTATTCCGGTTGTATGGATTTCATCCTGGCCTTGCTGCCGTGGTTGGTGATCTGGAAGCTCCAAATGAGACGACGCGAGAAACTAGGCATCGCAATCGCCATGAGTTTGGGTATCTTGTATGCCGACCTGGATTTCCCCCGAACTGCGATAAACTCGAGACTGACAGATTATTGATCAGTGCTGCCGCGACAGCCTTTATCAAGACAACGAAGCTCACCAATGTATCGAACCTGGCCGACTACACCTGTAAGTCTTTATCTCTTTCATTTCCCTGGACCTTACCTCGTCTCACTCCTCCGTTTCTGTTCTAATGCGACCGTAGATGCTTGCTCTGAGATTCTCATATGGGCGTCGGCTGAAACGGGTCTCACCATCTTCGCCGCGTCAATTCCTTCCCTCCGCGTACTTTTTGTCCGGATGCACTCATCCTACAATCGAAGCGACGAACCGTCTTCATACAACAACTGTAGCAACTCCGCTAAGAAGGGTCGGACCCGTCGTAGGCTGTCCGGATTCCGGAACCGTGACCCTTACTACTGTGACGAGCCCATCACTCTCCCTGATAGACGGGACGATAATAGTTCTAAGAGTATTCTCAGCAGCCCAGGCATCAGGCAAACACAAGAGATCATTGTGACCTACGATCAGGCCCCCAGTGAGAACGGAAGTATGGGGAACAGGCTGGATGTCCGGCAGCCCAGTCCGCACCGTTAGGAGGGAGAACATCACACTCATCTATTGTATTAATAGTATCATTGACAGGCCGGTGGACCACCTTGTGCCCTTTGAATACAATTGGAAGACCAACAAAAAGATGGTCATAGTGAACAGACGCTAGAAACTATGAATGGAAACCACCCTCCCCGGTCGACTTGGAACAGCCCTTTCGCAGCGTCTCAAGCCCGTGACTATATTCGTTGTGGCTACAACTCCCAGGCAGAGCGATAGGTAAAAGTGCTTTTCACAAGCTCCTCATATCCACCAGGGGATATCCATGTAAGCACTCACACTCACCTTGAGATTCTCATCGCTGAACCTGGCTCTTCTGGGGAAATTTACGCCGAATGTCAGCCTCAGTGAATCTCCGCGTCTTGGCCTGCAGCATTTTCGCGATCTCGTCCTCATCCATGCCGATCTGATTGCCAATTGGGACCAGACACTTGGCGAGATACTTGTAATCCTTGCGCAAGAGCCGGACGGTGATCATCATGTAGTCAATGTTCCGGAAGACGAGCGCATGCTCGTTCGCATAGCGGTCCTTTTGTTGCAGAAAGGCCACGGGATGTTCACGCCAGTGACGGCGAGGATTGAGATGGTGGGATGTATGGTAGCCATCGTTGTAGCAAAAGCGGTTACTCTACTCGACTCAGTTGACTATCTCTGGGACTATACGGGGAGAATTTGCTTACCGCTACATCGATCAAAGTGATACTAGAACGAAAGTCAGAGTCGGGGTCGATATCGTCCACCAATGCGTGCTGGCCCCAATTTCCTATCATTAAGCCGATGCGTAATTGTGCGAGTGGGAGGACTAGGCAGAACAGGGTTGCGCGCCAGTTCACGTAATTCCATAGGATGAAGATAGTAGCCATGTTGGAGATCTCCCAAAATCCTGCCCTGGACGCACAGTGCATGTTTCCCTTGCGAAGGAAGTAGAGGGGCAACTCGAGCCAGATGAAGAAGAAGAATCGGCCGACATAGCAGAGGAAGTCGCGTAACTCGTCGCGTTGATACCGGATGGTTGACGAAAGGTCATCGGGTCCATTTCCTTCCACGTGGTGATGCTTGACATGATGGTAGTAGTAACTGTTCCAGGTGTGTCCCATCAAGGGGTCGGTGATATACGGGAAGATCGTATTGAACCATTGATATCTGCTCTTGAGGATTCCCCCCATGTGTATATGTTGGTGCATCATGAGGGTATATGTCCCTACATAGTAGGTCTGCATGATCCAATGGAGAACGCCATGGATCCAACTGAAGTGGCTGAAGAGAAGAATTGCACTGGGGACAGAGGTGGTGAAGTATAGTAGGAGATGAGTGATCATGACTACATCCGTCTCAACTCGGACAAGTTTTCTTGCGCGTTCCCTGTAGGGCTGCAAGACCCACTTGTCTAGCCAAGGATAAAGGCGAACCAGATCTCTGAGGTCCCAAGTAACGAAGAGCGTGGGCTCGAACTCCGGGTCGCCGGGATCGTTCAGCGCCTTCATTTTTTTGATCGCGTTGCTGGCCCCATCTGAGTCCATATTTGCGGGCACTGCTTAACATTAGCCGAGACTATCCAGAGATAAGGGTAAAGAGCAATAGCTAGTGCATTTACCTTGCCCGTTGGTCCGTTTCCGCACATCCACATCTGCCAGCAGGGTATCCAACACCAGTACATCTTGAACCGTCAGGTTCGGATCCTTGAAGGTTGCCGGATCCATGGTGATGAACTGGCTAAGGAACTAAAAGTCTTCTCTGTTGCAAAGGGGGTATTGTGGCAAGGGTTTTATCTAGTTGGTCTGACTAGCGATTTGTTTGGGATATATCAGGGGCTAGCTAGCTCCCCTTTTTTTTTTCTGCTATTATTATTCGTTCCTTTCCCACCTTTCCTCGTGCTTTTGGGGCTCCGGCCGATTAGCTGTTTTCCTCCTCTTCCGTTACCTGGGATATTGTGCCCTCTGAGCCAGATACGCGTCAACGGTCAGCATTGATCGGTCAGCATTGATATGTCGGAATGTTCGGGTTTCCACTTCGAAATTCGGCTCTGCCAAGAACTCCCTCGACGTCAGCCAAACTAGTCTAGAAAGAATTTCTCATCTTTCGACGTCTCTTCGGGTAAACTCTTGGCATAGGCTCGAATAGCCCTAATAGCTACACTATTTATAGCTCTCTGATATTATCGCCGAACGCTGTGGGATTTTCTAAACGGAAAAAAAAAATACCTAAAAATATATCGCCGTATGATTATATGTACATAGACTCTTCTAGGCACTCGACTCCAGGGAAGGGGATTGGACAGACTGGCAATCAAGCTCTTCTAGAATCCAAGCCCCTGAACTAATCAGAACTGAAACAGTCGGTGGGTCCACGGGAATGCATGTCTTGAGAATGCTGGACTATAGTCAGTAGCTATGATGATTGCTTACTTGAATCCATAAACTTCAGACGATTTCCGAAGCTAAAATGTCGTGATATCATGGCAGAATAACTCTATTCCATGTCACATTCCGAGTCAATTGGATAAACGTTACCCGACGAATTACCTCGGCATTGATGAGTCAGAAATGTAGATATAGTTGAGCAAGAAATCCTCTTTTGCAGCCGGGGAAAAGGTCAAGGGAGCCAGGAACAGACGAAATTATGTGTTGCTTTAGGCCTAAAGTCACTTTTCTAGTGTTTGCCATGGCGATATCAATAGCGTCAGCCATGGCGACGACAGAGACAGCCACGGAGTTTACCTTGATCGTAAGCTAAATGTTCACTCCCCTGTCCCGACGAAGCTTATAGAGCCCATAGTACAGCTACCCTTTGCTTCCATACACTCAATTCGCCCTCCCCGCCGTGTCCAATGAGCAGGGTACAAACCGCCTTAAACACAACCGACAGCCAGCCACCCCCGATGACCAATCCGTTGTGCGTCCAAATGTTGATACGCTGTACTCGCAGGCGGTCCTAGACCTTTCGGGTCATGATCTGGTGATCGAGGTGCCTCCGATCACTGACCGCTATTGGGTATTCCCATTCTATGATGTGTATGCTCCATCGATAATTGGGGTAAAGAAGTAGTTCGCTTACTCTAGACGTACTGATCAGCTACGGCGACAATTATGCAAACTTGGGAAGCATCAATCAGAGTCCTCCAGGGAAATACCTCGTTCATTATGAGAACGATACAGCACGCAAACCAGGAGTGTATTCGTGTGGTGAGCATTCAGCGAGCGGCAACGACAATTGTGACGGGTATCAAGGCATCATTACCTCCCCGACACCATATGGGGGCTTTGTCGGTCGGATCTTGCTGAAGAACGGTGAGCGGGACCTCCAGAAGGTCCACGCCATCCAGAACCAAACGGCGTTGTATCGCATCGCTCGCAAGGGTCCTCATGGTCCTCGTTTAGCACCAAAGCTGACTATGGAAATGCTGAATGGGTCTCTTTCCCGCGATATTCCCACCCGTATCATGCAGCTATGCGCTCGCTTTGCGCCGTTCAGTCCCCCTCGGAATATTTCTGACAAGCAACACGTAGATCGCATGCTTCAGATGGCCGGCATACACAATGGCCAATACCACCCGACCGTGACAAACCTGACGGCCGTGGCTCAAAAGGCACGGGAGAACGTCCGTGCGATTGCAACCAAACCCGGCAATCTAATCAACCTGAAGAATAACTGGTACGGACTGAGTCCATCCGGTCAGGGCGATTACGACACCAACTATGGCATGCGAGCCTATGTAGCGAAGAACGGCTATCTCGCACTTGTCGCCACGGAAGCTCTGTACCCTTCGTATCAAAAGGGAAGCTCGCTGACACTGGGCCCCAATGAAGCTTATACCATAACCTTCAACAGCAAACCACCGCTGGCTGACGGTGGATTCTGGAGCATCACGATCTACAACGTCCAGCAGTATCTGGTGTCAAATGATCTGAACCGGTACGCCCTTGGGGATCGGTCTGGTCTGATTTACGATGACGGCTCTCTTGTATATGCCAATGATGCCAAAAACGAAACCTTTAGAATCCTTGTACAGCCATCCGATGTCTCGCCGCCGAGCAACCAGATAGCGAAGTAACCTTGCCCCAACCTTGAGTCGCGGGTTATCAAACAACTAACAGATTATCTAGCTGGCTTCCTGCGCCTGCCAAGGGTGGTGAATTTTCTATCACTTGTGAGTTCATGCTCAATGCACAATGCGATTATGAGCTGTCACTAACACTGCCCGTTGTCCTAGTGCGCTTTTATGGTCCAACCAATGTACTGGCAGACGGCCACTGGCCCTACCCTGTGGTGGAGAAACATGGAGCGATACGGGCAGAGACGGAGAAAGTGTAATAGAGTGTTCATATAAATGCCTCCGTATCGTGTAAACCTTTCGTATGTACTGTACATTCAGTTATTCATGATTAGGATTGTAATCAAGTCTACGCCCAATGTGTCGTTGGCAAACAAGCGGGTCTTGCGAAACGCTGGGTTCAGCATAATGGACATGTATCTCGAAGTCTCCATAACTATATGTTTTCTCGCCAGATATATGTTTCCAGAATCCCTACTTAGGCGGTAGCTTATGAATAGAGCCGCCATTAGCTCTGATATCTAGCTTTAAGGCCATGAAAAGACAGAGACTATATTAATAAAAATCTATCCGTAACAGCGCCGTTGAAAGTCATCATATATTATCCTATTAACATTATCTGAACCCGGGGTCTCATAAGTTCTCATATCCTCACTGAAACTCAATACCAATTTTTGATAGGGTGTCTCCCTTCGTATCATTCCGATCCCTGATGTCAGCCAGGACAGATTGAAGATCGGAACTGTTATCATGTAGTATCCCTTGTACTGAGTTGATGAGCAAGTCATTGACGGGCACCTTCGCCGAAAGGACCAAATCATGCATGACTTCGGTGTAGTATGGGATCACAGCGCCATCGTATACCACTTCTCGCGTGACAGCATCGAGGCTAAGATACCCATTCCGCAGGGAGCTTCCTTGTGCCTGTAGAAGAGGCAGAAGATTCTCTATAATTGTATGCATATCCACCACCCCCTCAAGTGGTGTTGAGTGGTTTCCGGGCCGCAACGTCAGGTTCTTGATGGTTGCATTCCCTACTACGAGATCCTTGCTTTTTAAGTCCATGGTTATGGTTCCCTAGCTTTCAGTTAATTCTCCGTTCGATAGTCCGGAAGGGTAGGTACATACAATTTCGATCGTCATGACCGATGGATTGGGTAATGTGGCATTTGCAACCAGATTCACCCCGTCGTCTCGCGGTGGGAAAAGCATTTTGGGGTCGTCGATCGAAAATCCTGCAAATGAATTGAGGGCTACAACCTTAGCTCATATCCTCTTCGTTTCCCATTTTCCAGCCGTCTTCTCCTGGATCAACACTTACTGTTTTGAGGGAGGTCCTTCTTCATTGAGATATGGCTCTTCAGCTTGCCCAAGTATATGTTGGTCTTTCCAAAAGCCGACAGCGGTGCATGTGGCTCGAAGACCACACTGCGAACATAATGCTTCCATGGCTCGGGATTCACTGGACTCGGCTGGTTCTGAACCCCAATACTCGTATTCCCATTGATAACTATAGCATCATTGTAGACCTTTAGATACGTACTATTGCCCGGCTGGTCATTGTTGAATAAGTGGAGAACGTTTGGGTCAAGGCGCACGGGGACGTCGACGGTGAGCTTGAGTGCGGTTTGGATGCTGAGCAAGACTGATTCTGGCCGGGGTTGCATGATCTTAGCTTCCACTAGGACGAGAGATGCGTTGTCGATCACACGCTGGGAAATTGCTTGGATGACGACAGTGAAACTGCTTGCATCAGCTATGACTCGAGGGATTGATACAAGTCCGTGAAACATACAACAGTGGTAGAAAAATAGCTAAGAAGATAATGGCTCCGATCAAGTAACAGCACCAAAACCGAGTCCAGTGCCGACGCATTTTCCCTCTGCCCTTTAGCGAGCTAGCATCTGCCAGCTCGACATGTGCGACCTGAGATTCGTCTCCATACTCCTGGGTCAGAGGTCCTCGATTCGCTCCCAGGGCATATTTGCCAATCTTGGTTGTGAGATATGATGGTTTCTCAGCCATGGTCATGCGTGTGACAGTGTCTAAGTCGCTGAAGTGTTCTACTCCAGGCATTAGCGAACATGGTGGTCAGCATATATGTATATGCGGGCCTCCATGAACCCTTCTAGGATCCACCCAACTAGTTGACTCCATATGAAATTTGCTAATAAGGTATGCATGTGATATTCATTGCGATTCTCATCTTCCTGTCTTTGAAGGCAACAAGATCATTACGTGGGGTGATAAATAATCAAAAATGGCCCTGAGATAGCTCCCAACAGATCCAAAAAAACATCCCTAGCATCCACAATGGGAAGCCGATCAACGCCGGGTTATTTAATGCTCCGTGCTGATCGGCAGAAGCTGCACAGAAATGGTAGGCATTGCGAGTCGGGTCCCGAGATTGGGATCCACCTTAGCAACTCGACGTCTTGTCCACTACCTTCCTTTACAAAATGTTCGTCCTGCAACTGGTCTCTCGTATTTACATGGGCGAAGTAACTTGCCTATTCTAACCACAGCTAGTATTGCTATGTCACTACTTGGGCTGGGTTTCCAAACCCTCTAAGAAAGCAAGCTACTAAGAGCGGGAACTAAACCGGATTCTTAAGTTTGAAGCAGTGAGCATTCTACCAGCACCTTTACTGGCGTGTATTTTTATCACGAGGAGGATCGTGGAAACCGGCCCTCTGCAAATTCATCCCAACAATCTGGCTTCTCTCAGTACGTAAAGCATACGACAGCCCTTTATCAGCCGAAATAAGTAGCAACTGCGCGTCTGAGAGTGATGACACCTTTTATCAATTCAATTCAACAACCCCCAGCTGTAGTAAGAGCTCTGAAGACTCCCAGTGTCATGGCTGGGTGCGTATAGTAGCCCCTCTTGACGATGACAAGGCACATACTCCGTAGTACTACTATAGTGGCAAGGATAGTAAAGACCCGGCTGCAACGGGCAGTCCCCATGTCACTTCCGACTGCTAAGCTCCCAGAATCCTTGAAGGTATATGTTGCGAGAACCAGGGCTCCCGATCTGATGTGTGGGGCCTTCACCAATGTGATACCCTTGGCATGGACAGGTCAGCATGTGAAAGGATAGTATGGATGTCACTCGTTATGTTGAATGTGAATCAAGTTTATAAGAACTAATTGAAGCTTTCCAAGGGTTAGTCCCATCCGAGTGGTATCACCTAGCATATCCGTTCTTCCCATCCATATCTCACTTTCTCGTCAAACCCCATAGTATTCTTTCTCTGCTGGCCATGGTGGATCCCATTTCTTCTCACTATCAAGAGCTTGATCAGATGGACAATTCTGTAATAGTTGGCAACCCCATGCCAGGATTATAAGACATAAAGAGACACAAACTTCCACAAGAATTAAGCGATGCCAGCGAGCGTGAGATAGTAATTCGACAGCTCACACTTTACTCTAGTCGGCGGCTATAGAGTACCTTGCTTCGATAATTGTAGACGCGACCCACTTTTGAAGCCTGTCTTCCAGAAGACTCTACAGACGGACCACTCCAGAGCATGCTGAAAATATACGGGTACTGCTTTGGGAGACGATTCATTATCCAACATCCTGCCTAGGGCAAAGACGTACGCGACCCGTCAATCTGTCTCTGGGCAGGCTACAAAGTAGCTAGTGAGTTCATTCTGTCCATTAACTGTTTACATGAAAGGCATATTTGGTGTTTGAAGAGAGACCGTAAGTCTCGCCTGATACTTTAGTCAACCAAGGTGCAAGAATTGCCTGACCAAACTACGGGGTCTTCTATCGTAATTTTCGTCCCAATAGACATCATCCGGGGTAAAGGCCATTATACGCCTAGAGGTACAGAAACATACCTCAAGGCGATGTGTTTCATTATCGTTGACCATCGCCTAGTAGAACTAAGTGGCTGCTTCTCTTGGGAAGTACATATAACCATTCATCTACTCCGTCAATTGGCCGCAACCCGGCCCTAACAAGACCGAATTGTGGATTTATGAGACTCGGGTGATGTTCCTGTCTTTGCCACTAGGGCACTAGCACGCACCTACTCCCATCCTGGAAGTTATCTCAAATGCGATGGACTCTAAGCAGAGTTCTTACCATTAGCAGAGTGGCAGAACCTGCCGACAAAGACACTGATTCTGACTTGGGTATGAAATCTCCACCGTGGTGGGAGGGGCTGTTTATCGCGCGAAGCTGTCGTTCCATATCTTTTTAGTGGCCAGAATGAACAAAAGGTTTTGCCCAGTGCACTTACACTAACCAATCCTGATTGATTGATTTAGCTGCCGGTTTTCAAGTAGTAGCGTGAACATACAGCTCGATGCGCCCAGCTTAGCATCAAAGCCTTCTAAACCCCTAGCTCCAAAGGCTAAAAGCAAATAGAACAACCTACAGATAGATGGATCTGAATTTCAAGCAGCTGCGACTCTATTTTAACTGATATACTTATTATCATAGACATTAGTCGTCCCTCCCACCAACCCCTGGAGCTTATCCCTTGATTTATTCAATACTAAATATGAGGATACTAAGTCAATACCTAGTACTATTGCCGAATCCTGCCATATAAAGTCACTTCGTATATGGCTAACTTAATTTTATTACTCTTTCTTAGTATACTGAAACTCGGCCAAAGACTGTTTTCTGCTCCATGTTCTTTAATCCAGTTGTAATGTGTCCTCGGGTTAACTAATAATTAGATAGAAATTTGTGGTTGTTTCGTACGCATAAGCAATAAATATCAGAACGACGGGAAGGTCGATCCGAAATCAAACTTTTAGCTTCCCATCCATCTACATTCCACTCCTCTATAGTTAGAGATGATGCTTACAAATGCACCAGATTGACCGTTTACAATTACGCCAAATGTGCCTCGATGTTTGATCAATGGCATTATATACCACATACAACTGGCTGACAAATGCCTTGGTTTGCTGAATGAAGACGGGTCAATTGCGGGTATAAAACCCACCCTCTGGCCATTCCAAAGCGCTAATACTGTAGTCTACTTAAATTAATATCAGGTCAGCAAAGGAAGCAGCTGTGGAAACAATGTCTCAGCCTCGTATCCTTCTCACTGGAGCAACGGGCTACATGTGAGTCTATCTTGCCATAGATCGCAGGAGTATGATATTGATCTATCACAGCGGTGGCTCAGTCCTAACGGCACTCAAGGAAAGTCTATCCCAAGAAGTACAAAATATGCAGATTGATGTCCTCATCCGAGGAGCTGAGAGAGGCCCCCAATTCCAAGAACTGGGTGTTGGTGTCATTCTTTTCGACAGCCTAGACGAGACAGAATTCATCCGGAAGCTCGCTCGCGAATATGATGGTAAGCTTGAGGAATCCACTTTAGACGAGAGTGTTCTGACAGCTTGTGGGAAGTTATTATCAACACCGCTTCGGCGTTTCACACCGAGTCCGCCATCGCTATGATCACGGGTCTCAGTGATCGACAGGCCCAGACAGGTCGTAAGACACATTTGATTCATGTGAGACTATATAACCCGGACACATATGACCACTATCATCCAATTCACTGACGTGTTAATAGACATCCGGTACATCCAGCATCGCTGACCGTCCGGTCAGTAAGGTCTACCTAGAATCCCGCGAGCTGCATGATACCGACGACGTATACGCATACCAGCAGAGTCGCGAAGCCCACGAAGCATATAAACAGCGCACCACCGACCTAGCCGTCTTCCGCACTGGTCTCGACCTATCCGTTAAGACGACCATCATCATGGCCCCGACGATCTTCGGAGTCGGCACGGGCCCTGTCAATCAGCTCTCGATCCAAATTCCCGCTCTCGTACGCCGCGCTTTGCATTATGGGCACGCCGTGGTCATCGGAGATGGACAAGGCGAATGGGATCATGTGCATATTGCCGACCTCGTCGCTCTGTTCGAGCTTGTCCTGGAGAAGGTGCTGGCTGGGGCAGACGATGTGCCATATGGGGCCCAAGGCTTACTATTCGCGGAGACGGGTCGTCATTCGTGGATGGATGTGTCACGCGGAATCGCAGCAGCGGGATTTGAGATCGGGTTGTTGAAAACTGACCAGGTCCAAAGCGTGTCCTTGTCGGAGGCAGCGTCGTGGGCTCCCAATGGAAGTGCACAGGTGCGCGAGCTGGGATTTGCGTCTAAGTGAGTTCACTCAACCTTCTTTGTCCAATATTCCTATACTGACAAAAGCCATAGTGCTCGATCGAAAGCCACATTGAGCAGAGCATTAGGATGGCAGCCAAAAAGAACCGAGGAGGACTGGCACCGCGCGTTCAAGGAGGACTTTGCGGCTATTGCTAAGGCGATAGCCTGAGTATCATGGACAATGACAGGTATGGCATGAAATGGCAAAGGTGGAAGGGTTCTAGAGACTGCTGGTTTTCTTAGTACATACTCAGTGGTTCGACAGTCAAAGCCGATGATTTTTCCGAGAAATCTCTTCCATTCATAGTTGAATAGGGCTATTTGGGCTATCTTTTTATATTGTTTTCTAGTAGGAGTTCATCTTGGGATTGATGTCGTTTATATATATATATGATCTGAGACTTTCATCCACACTCGAAAAGACGTTTGCATCCCTATAGCACAATATTTATTTTCCCAGACTTACACACTCTTTTGTTTCTTAATGTATGCCGGAAAATGACAACTTCCTCTCCTGAAGAATTTTAAACGCAATTTATTAGGTCAGGCAGCCAATCAGGCCGCTGAAAATTTAGACTTGAAATTTACAAAACCGGAGCCCATCGTCGCGGATTACTAATGCATTTCCATGACTCCATTTCAATCTTAAGAGAAAGAGATATCCATACTTCTACATTATAAATAGACTGCAACATGCCGCAACAAGATCATCCGCCTAAAACACGAACCCGCAATGGGTGCGTCAACTGCCGGAAGAGTCGCGTGAAGTGCGATGGGAAAGAACCCTCCTGCACGCGATGTTGGCAGAAAGGCTGGGAATGTTCCCGGGAAAAGATGACCCTGAAATGGGAATCAGATTACCACAGCCGTGGGCTGGCCTTTGGGCGAGAAGGACGGTGGGGGAAATCCGCTGCTGCGAAGAGAAAAGGTCGAACGATATCTCCAGAGGAGCAGACATGGTGTCCGAACAACACGGTCTATCCGTGGGGGTTTCTACATCAGAATGTCTCGAGCCTACGGTGGCTGTACGAAGATGAACGAACGCCCGGCCAACCATCCTCCATGGATATCAGCTTACTTGTCCCTAGAGTGGACGGGATGGAGATGGCAGAGAATTCTCTTTCCTGCTACTCACCACCGCTCTTTCCGCACCCACAAGGACAAAAACATGCGATCATGGTGGAGTATTTTATCGATCAAGTATGTCCTCGGACTACGGCAAGTCCGAGCATTGCTTCTCCTTTCATATCGGTGATCCTCCCGTTTTGCCTGAACGGTTCCCAGGGACTTGTGGCGCTCCAAGCCCTGGCAGCGTGTTATTGGTCGCAGTCGAACCCAGAGCATGCCAGCGTCGCCGTGAAGTTAAAGTCTCAGGTTCTGGGAGAGTTACGTCGTCGCATCTCGACTGACCCGTCCTACGCCATATCCCCAGACCCCGAGATTCTCGTCCTGATTATGATGCTGAGTTTATATGACATCGTCGACCGTTGCGACAAAGGATGGGTGGTCCACCTGCAAGGCGCCAAGGATATCATCCGGCTTCGCCGAAGACACCTCTCTGACCAGACGCAATGTCCAGTCACAGCCTTTGCGGAGTTATTTTTCGCTTTTCAGGATGTGATGGGCCGCACAGCATGTGCAAAGGCAGATTTGTTTGGCCCTTCCTTCTGGGATCAGAATGACCGCAGAGTCAATTCGTGGATGGGGTGTAGCCCCGAGCTGGTCTCCATCCTCTTCGCCATCCTCGATCTAAGCCGAACCCGGCCGCATATTAACTCTGATTTGGATCAGGAGGTCGAGTTTAGCATGAAAGCCGCTTCATTGAATGTCCGACTGAGGGACCTAGGGCAAGTTTTACCGGATCCAGAAAACCGCGCGCTTCATGCGGTGGCAGACCTCAAGAGGTTGGCCTGCACGATTTATCTTCACTGCGCCTTGTATAACGCGGGCCCGTCCACCCCAATCATTCGCGGCCTCGTTCGGCAAATCCTCCAACAGCTCTCTACCCTACTCAAAGAGAATCTCGTGGTAAATGCGACATGGGCGATTTTTGTGGCCGCCGTCGAGCTGGATCCAGCAGATGAGGAGAATTGGCAGGACCCCGTCACCGGGGACTTTGTCGATGGACGTGCCCTGATCTTGAGATCACTTGCCACGATGGCCAATTCCACGATTTCCAGTGTGGCACGCGTCCGATCCATCATCGAAACCGTCTGGCAATCACGAGACTCCGATCTAGCCGCAGGGTCGTCCCGACCGCAATTGTCTCGATACAATGACTGGGAGTGGTATGTTGTCCCGTTGAGCGACGCATTAAGCCTTGTATAGTTCGTAAGACTATGAGTCCTCTAACAACATCAAACCACAAGAATAAAGCCTTTTGATTGGCTGGAGAAATACTATTATCTCCGAACTATTCCCACCGTGGATGACGTCACGTCTTATATTGCCAGAGATTCTTGTTATATCAAGAATGCATGCTACGCTGCTAGGAACATCCTGGATTGAACTCAAGGAATTGAATCTCTTCCACTATGACCTCTCTACCCCACCGCTCTAGGTTACAATCTTTTAGCGGGATAGGCATTCCGAGAGGTCTACAGAACGAGCCCTGGCTCCTGATTGCAGGCAGTTGTGTCGTTGGAATCCTTTTGTGGGGGATCTGGGACTATCGAGATTGGGTAGACTTTGGTGAGCGAGCTAATCCGTGTATATCCGGTTTGATCAGGAACTGAAGTCCAGGATAGGAACCGGTGGCACACCACCAACGATCCGCGGGTGGTTCAAAGTCAACCGACTTCGAGTTGTACGCGCCTTCAGCTATCTATGTGGCGATGACCTCCAGGATGCATCCGCCCTACCGCGAACCGGGCCGCGGTATCTTTCTTCCCCAATACCGCGGAGGCCAGGAGGGCGTCCGTCTTTGAAGCCGAGGTGGGAATATCGCTTTCTAAACACAGTATCCCCCACACTCTAACAAACAGTCCATGGTATTTAGGACCCTTCCACAGCGACAATCTCCGGAGCCCATTGAGCCCCAAGCTAGAGAAGTAAGGAGCCCTGCCAAAGACAGTATCGCCATATCTCTAACTGGGCGTCTAGGCATTATTCAAACTGATGAACCATTTCTACCTCGAGTACCCCGATATCCTCCGCCTAGGCTTGTCTAAAACAGAGGGTGGCACTGCCGACGCCATCTACGCCCGCTCGGACCGGCCAACTTGCAATCCCGAGGCCGCACAGGTCGGCTACGAAATCGCGCACATTCATCCAGCCGATAAATCCCTCCACGTACTGCTTTCTCCGGCCGACGCTCGCACGGTGATCGAAGCTGCATGGGGTCAGCGATTTGCAGTTCCGTCCATGGTTCCGCCCGGATGGGTAAGCCTAGCGAGGTCTTAACCAAGAAGCATGATACCAAGATCAAGGCTAACATGGCTGCTGGATAGATCATGGTATACGCGCCACGCAACAGTGAAGAGGTTGAAGTCATGGCTCAGATAGTCAGAGCTGCGATTCAGTGGACAACGGGAGCGAAGTTGGATTAAACTCCCCGGTCGCGCCATGTTGATAAGGGGGTGTTTAGGAAATGATCTTCGTTTTCCATCACCATTTGTATATCTATTATCTGAGACTCATCCAAGTGTTTCAAGGCATATATGATCTCATCTGTCAAAAATCTCAAAAGTCTCCCGTCTTGAGCACATCTGTAGTGCTCGCCCAATGCACGAGTGTAAATATTAGACCAATGCATTCATAGCCAAATCAGAAGTATTCATCACTCGAGTGGATAATGTAAGATTTTAGAGCAAACATTTTGAGTTAAACTCACCAAGTCCGTATAACGTGGGTCCCGGGTTTATAACACGGCGTTCGGAGATAATGATAGAATATAAGTATTCTTGGGAACATCCGCCAAACCCTCAACTAACTTAACTTCTACAGCAGTAAAAAAATCCCACCTCGCCATCATGCTTCCCCTAATCACCCTCGAAGAACACTACGTCTCCGCCAAAGCCCGCGAGGCAAGCCCAGAAGCCCGCGCGCATTATGCCAATTTCCCACCCCACATCCTCACCAAACTCGAGAATCTAGGAGACGAACGGATCCTAGATCTCGATAAAGGGAACGTATCGCTGCAAGTCATATCCCACGGCCCCGGAAATCTCTCTTCCCCCACCTGCGCGGCCATAAACGACGATCTAGCGTCCGCGATCGCGAAAAACCCCACTCGACTGGCCGGGTTCGCGATGCTGCCGATGAGTGAACCCGCCGCCGCCGCCACAGAGCTCGCGCGCTGCGTGACGGAGTTGGGCTTTGTGGGCGCCTTGGTAGAGAATCATCTGGACGGACAATTCTACGACGATGATCGTTTCTGGCCCGTCTTTGCGAAGGCGCAGGAGCTGGGTGTCCCGATCTATATCCACCCGACGTTTGCATCGGACTCCATGATGGAGCATTATAAGGGGAATTATAGCGATTCGGTTGCGCTTGCTTTGAGTGCCTTTGGTTGGGGATGGCATGCGGAGACAGGGCATCATGTTATCAGGCTCTTTGCGAGTGGGCTCTTTGATCGCTTTCCGCGGTTGAAGATTGTCATCGGGCATATGGGGGAGATGCTCCCGTTTCAGATCGATCGCGTATTCGCGGTATCGGAGCGGTGGGGGGAAAGGCAGCGGAGTTTGAGAGAGGTTTGGAGGAGGAATATCTGGATTACCACCAGTGGCATGTTCTCCCTGACGCCACTGGCGTGCCTGTTGCAGACGACGGATATTGAGCATGTCTTGTATAGTGTCGACTATCCGTTCTCGACCAATGAGAAGGGGCTTCAGTTCTTCAAGGAGATTGAGAAGAGCGGATTGATTGCGGAGAAAGATCTGGAGTTATTTGCTTACAAGAATGCAGAGGCTTTACTGGGTATTAAAGCGAGAAGCTCATGATTGTCTGAGAGATTGAAATAATGTGTACATCGCTATCTCTTTCTCTATATGTATATACCAAATTTGACTCGTTAAGAAGGGCATCCTATCGCGTGCAATTTTGACGGCACAACATCAGAACATTAAGAAAGTGCAGTGCTGATATGACTTTTCTATTACTAGATCTAACCCGACCGAAGGCGAGATAATGGTATTATATGTGAAACAGTCATGCAAAAGGAACCAAAGGCTAGCCCTATGGCACAACCTCCATAGATGGCGGGTATGTCTGATACTGCCTGGGGTGACTAGCCTCTGTAGATTGGCTGTAAGCATCCTCTCCCCCGGATCGGCTTTCTGCCGGAGCGCGCCGCTTGCTCAAGACGAGCTGGGAAGGCAGCAGACTGTGCTGGCTTGGAATGGCTGAAGTGACCCGCGAGCACATGCGGATAATCGGCCGTACGGTCGCAAGACTACCGGCCGTGATTCCTAAACTCGCTTCGATATTCGACCAAATGGAAATTTGAGTCGTCGTATCTACAAGACGTTAGCAGTGGTCCAGACAGAGCAGAGAAAGACAAGGCTGACGGAGAAAGTCTGGACTCTTTGCATGCTTGAGAAATGGGATGCGGATAATGACGGCAGTACTGGCTCTAAAGGAGGAATTAGTATCGAATGTTGGGTCAGACCTGAAAAACGCGGGAAGACGAACATGCAGGCAATTCCTAAGATGCCGGACACGGCGACTTTGGTCCGACGGTCCATTTGGAGATTCCAGATAAGAAACACCGGGAGGATGCCCATGGTGAAATCGCAGACGGCCGCCACACCGCTGTACATATAGACGATGCCGAGGAGAGAGCCGACGTTGAGACAGTGGCCTTCGGTGAAGAGGCGATTCCAGTAGTAGGACACGGGCTGACATTGGAAGATCGTGAAGAAGAAAAAGACCGCCCCGACTACGGTGGAAAACGCCATGACTGCGTAGAGGATCCACGTATGTATGCGCTCGACCGTCAAGCGCAGCAGGGTGATGGCAATGGCTATCCTTCCGACCGTCACCGTGATGATGTACAGGAGCTGGCCCAGCCACCAGAACTGAACCATTGCTCCAGTCAGCCATAGTCGCGCAGGGAAAAAGGGAAACACGTACCAGCATGCCGCGACGGAACTCCTCGGGTCGGTCAGCAAGGTATTCCACCGTCTTCCCCATGCCAGAGGAGGCGCCTAGGGTTGTGCACACGGCAAATCCCACGTTGAGGATCTAACTCAGTTGTCAGTGCTAACGTCCGAAGACCATCGATGCGAGACTTTACCATCGCCGCCACGATCAACGCATCGTCGCCCCCGAAGGCGTTCACGATCCTCAAGCGCACGAAGCACCGGAGACAGACGGACACCAACGATATCCATAGGAAAACGGCGGTCACTATTATAATGGCATTGCTACTCCCGTATCCCATTGTCCACTGACTATGGAAGAGTCTGAAGGTGTAAAGACAGAGCTTGGGGGGGGCGTGTCAGGGTTTGCATTCATTGTGATCTAATGATATAATCTCCGCGGAGGTAGCGAACTCTATCACATTCCCTGGAGCCGTTTTCCACCCAACCGCAAAGCCACCTAGAATGGACCCATGGTTGCTTCCGTGCTCGGCCGTAGAGTTCTGCAGAGTCTAGAATACGATCTCATAGCCAATGGAGTTACTGTTAGGTAACCTTCGAAGTCAGAACCATGGAAAGGGGATATGGCATTTGGGTATCCCCTTCCTTCGGGGAAGGGGGCGATGATCGAGAGGGGGGGGTGTTTAAAGAGGTCACTGATCGGCTGTTTAGGGTTCAGGTTCTGCATGACTTTATATACCTGAGAGGAACCAGGACTGTCGATACTGATCAGCGAATGTTTCCCCAATTTCCCCTCACCACCGATCGAGCATGATATGCAAGGAATAGGGTTCCAGCTGAACCGTGACCCGATCAGTCCACGAGGCAGAAGGTCTAGCCATGTATCATGCTAGAAAAGGAAGGCGGCTACACTCCTCTGCTCGCCACGACGCTGAGCCGTGGATTTCCATATAGTCTTCTTCTGCACTCTACCCTGTCAGCCGGCAAGCTTGCCATCCAATTTGGGTTATGCCATCAACCATGTGGATCGGCGGACCCACCCCCAGATAGTGTGTCAGAGCTCTCTTAGACGCTAAGCGCCATCAGTCTCAAGAATTTGCGCATCATGAAATCTACGACTTCAATATTGAGCAGGTTCGGTTCTAAGTTACCGTTCTCTACTACCTACGGCGATTGCCTCAGGATCCAGGTGCACGACTAGGCCATGCGGTATCAGGTCTCCTTAGCTGCGCCACTGGTGGCAATGTTTTTTTTATCGGCGCTTCACGACGGGGCGCTATTATCTCGCCGTATAACGCTAACTGTGAGTTCTCATTAGAGTAGAGCCCAGCGACAGCGACTACCATCAACAGCCTCCCCCCGGTATTTACTCGGACCCGATACTGCAGCACTTGTTTAACCGCTGGTTGATCGGTTTGGGGGTTGCTTGTACCAATGCGTTCAAAACTGAAGTTTGGGCTGGCGCGAGCCCACTGGTGCTTGGCTGGGCGCCGTCAGCCAAGGGCCATGGCAACATTTTATAGACATATCTCCATATGTTATCTGTCTTTCGGATCTGAGCGACATCAGAGTAGACTCGGCCATCGGAATGCTGATTGTCATTGGCCATCTTCCCAAGGGGATGGGGCCTTTGATACCCACAAAACAAGGAACTGCGATGGGGGGAAAAAAAATGGGAAAAAATGCGGCGATCATTGCGATGACGTCATTTTTGTATATCCCTAGCTGTATAGAAGAAGAATGAATAGGTGAAAAAGTAAACATGAACACTGGTCGGGACCACGACTGAAAGGGGATACTAGCACCAGGTACATACTAAGTCAGCCGACGCGATACCTTAGGCCACATCATTGTTCAAGGCAGAGATTCGGGATACTTTGAAGGGAAGGAAAGCCAGTGACCTGATTGGTGGGGATCCTCAGGCCTTGGTCTCGGCTCCCACTTCCGACCCAATCGAGGGCCTTGGACCCCGTGGCGTTTTTACTTATTAATAGCTGGAATTCTCTTCTCTCGTCACCTGCGCAGCTTTAGTAGTGCTCTTTGCCAATGTCGGATAAAAGGTGGTATGCCGGTGCTTGGTCGGATCACTTCCACTGAACACGACTGAGCGGGACGAAGAAAATGTTTGGCAAGAGGTAATTTGATGCTTGCGCACGAGCAAGTCTTGCTTAGTCGTGGCTGAATAGCTGAATAGAATGCAGGAAAACGTCGCAGAAGCCGGATGAAGGGCTCATTCGAGATTTTCGCAAAGACTTTCCTCATGTTATCTCCGAACCATCGGTCGCACAGACTCTGGGGCATGCAGGACTGGGTGCTGCTCAGTATTTGTCATGGGACCCCAATTCCGCCCAGTCAAAGTTCCTCAATCCCATGACCCCAACCAGTCAGCCTCATGGCCTGTACACGCCGCTGCCCGGCCAAATGTGCGCCGTCCTACACAGCCCGGCGGGTGACTTGCACACCCCGACCGTGGAGTGGAATCTGGCCAGCTCGCCGTTCCTCTGGACGCAGAGGATCGGTGCACAGGTGGCGCCAAGCCAAAATGAGGCGCTCACGCAGAGCATTGAGGCATTTCAACCGATGGATCAGAACCAACTCTTCCACAATGTAGACCCCTTTGGGCCAGAGTTCAAGCTTTCCCCCGGCATTTCGCGCCCTTCCGATCATCCAGAACACGTTGCGCCAGATAATTGCGAGCGTAAACAGTCATACTCGGAGTCGGTCCGCGAAGTCTCGGTGGACCAGTCCGTTTCGCGGTCGTCCAGTGTCCCCGAGCACATCGCTAGCCTGCCGGAAATCCCGTAATTGCCCCACAGGTCTGTCGCTCTCGAACAGTGGGTGCTAACATAGCAGGTGTATGCAGATTCCGTTATCATGTCACCCTCCAGGCGCCGACCGCCATGTTCGACCACACGCGCGAAATCCCCATGACCTACCTCAATAAATCCCAAGTGTATTCCATCACCGTCACCGATTTGCGCCCGCCGGCGGCGCGCTCCCAGTCGGCCCAATATCGCACCAGTATCGGAATCTCCTTCGAAGAAGCCGCGCACCGATCCCATCCGGCCACCTGCTGGCAGCTCTGGCACGACGCTCGGGGCGGGAGTGACGCCCAGCGACGCAGCGGTCGCCCGTGCGCGGTGGAATTTGTGGCGCTCAAGGGGCACGGGCGCCCGACGCAGGATCTCGCATGGCACCTCGAAAGCGCCTCGTTCAACCGGTTTTGCGTCGCGTGGACGACCGGCGCCGATGCGCGCGCGTCGGAGTGTCAGATTCTCGTTCGCTTTCACTTCCTGTCCACGGACTTCACCCAGTCCAAGGGGGTGAAGGGAGTGCCGGTGCGATTATGCGCCAAGACGGAAATGGTTTCCGCGGGGGAGTCCCCTGGGGAAGTTGGTCCGGCTGAGGTTTGTTACTGCCGCGTCAAAGTCTTCCGGGATCACGGCGCCGAACGCAAGTTGTCCAATGATATCGCCCACATCCAGAAGTCAATTCACCGCGTGGAAAAACAGATCGCCCGGGCGGACTACACGGGGGTTCCGGGCAAGAAGCACAAACGCCGGCACGTCCTGCATGACCCCACGGGATCGACGAGTCGCTCCTCCAGCGTGTCGACCCCGGGCGACCTGTACAAGGTGCTGTTCGATCTCCAACAGCGGTTTTCCTCTCCCCTTCCGATGAGCGTCCTTTCACTTGCGGGGAATGAGCACGACGACCCCGACCAGTTCGCAACCACTTTGACCGTCGAAAACAATTCTCTCACACCGCCAGATGCAACCGACACCCGTTCTGATGACGGTCCGACCGATAACGGGTCGCGTGGCCATTCTCCCTTCCAGGCGTGGCCCGGTCCCCCTTCTACGAAGGTCGCTCCCAGCGACCTGCAGCCCGGTGAGCTTTGTTCCTTGCAATCCTTAGTCGACCGACGCGCTGACTTCCCTGCAGTGGCGTGCTTTTATATTAAAATCGCGAATGACGAGGATCCGAACGACCATTATCGTGCGGCATATCTCAACGCGAGGACGGTCCGTGATCTGTCATGGCAAGTCTGCAAGCATGCGAAGGTGGACCCCAGTTCCATCGTTCGCGTGGTCCATCTCAAACGGACGGGATTATCGATCTTAGTCGATGATGATGTCGTCCAGCATATCCCCGAGGGGCAAGACATGATTGCGAACTTCGAAGAGATCCCCACATCATCCGGTGACGCTCCAGGGCGATCTCGCTTCGAGGTTCAGTTGAGTTATTGAAAGTCACTGATATAATCGAGCCATCACGGGAACCATTTCTCCGTAGAATTCTCAACCGTAACTGACACCGGCCTCTTCCATCTACTCTTGAGGACGCAGTATCTTGCGTATGACTTCCTGTAGATACAACGATGTTGGTTTCTCGTCACTCACTGCGCCGAATCTGGGTGTGTAATTGCACCAGAATGATAGGCAACGGACTGTCTCCCTTATAAGATAAGGACTGCTTGTCTAGAGCAGAGAGGATATTTATAGTAAAGTTCACTAAAAGCGTGCTATTTTCGGCTAGGTTTTATGGGTGGATCAAAAATATATATTCAAATGTTAGTAAAATCCGGGGAAAGTCTGGCTGCGGCTAAAACATCCGCGCAAACCATGGATCATTGCTACCATATGAATCATGGTCACCGGAGAAGTACTAGACTTATTGATGTGCTTCTTCCAGTCCCGACACAGAGTCCAGTCCAGTCATGGCCTTTCATCTCGAACACATATCACGTGCCGAACATCATGTGATAATTTATACCGATCAGGCAGGTCATCCTGGAGCCCGTGACTGAGTTTCTGAGGTGGAACACTGCCAAGCCACGACACAGGATTCTCCTGCACCGCCTGGCCTTGCTGCGCCCCAGTTGTAGGGCCAAGATAAAGTTACTGGGATAGACAAGTTCTGATTGGTTGAAACCCTCGTATATGACGTCAGCCAAATCAGGCAGTCACCTGTAGCAGGGCACTAGTCCCAATGCGGTCTGGTATGGGCCAGTTATTCAGTCATTCCAGCTCACGATTTTATTATCCTTCAATATATTAGTATCTTCATCGTCCCACTCTTCCCCCATATCCTGCGTGTTGTTTTCAACTCAGTATTGCTTGATATTAGACACTCTTTCGTCGCTAAGAGCGCACTTCATTTGTTGCTACTAGTTTGATCTACGAGACTGTAGATTGAGACTACCACTACCATGGTCACCTAGTAAGTCCACAGTCGTCATTGTGCCAGCATTTTCTGGACTGTAAACCTAGTTCTCCAGAGAGTCTGCGTACCTCGCTTCGTTCATCTGAATTGGTTCTGACTGCTACATAGCTGCCGCGATCGGTGGGGAAACACATATCGATGTCGGTCGTCGTGGTATCACTGGGGCCGCTGGGTATTACTAGGAGTTATCCTCGTCGTCGCATTTGTGGCATTCTTCATGTTCGCGTATGTGGATCTGATCTGTTCTTCCTCCAGGCTCCTGTACTAACATGGTGATCGCAATAGATGTATGTCGGCTCGGAAGCGTCGTCGTCGCGGTCAGCAACCTTTGTATGGCACAGGCTGGACCGCCGCGGGCCAACACCCTCCGCAGGGTCAGTGGCAGCAACAACCGCAATATCCTAATCAAGCCCCGCCTGCACCACCTGGATACCAACCGTCTCCAGAACAAGGCTACGGGCAGGGATACAGTCAGGATCAGGGGTACTACGGTCAGCAGCAATACGGAACCCAGCTCCAGCAGCCACCCAATGCCTATGCCCGGGATGGGGGATTTTCACCCCCACCCGGACCGCCCCCGGGAAACTATAAGTAGGCGAGGATATCCTGCTGCGACAAAATGACAGAGACGTATAAAGATAATAATACATCGTGATGAAGGGACGGAAGCTTTACTATCGGGGTTTTCTTTGGGATTTCGGCGTTGGGAATGACGGGCACTAGGACGGGGAATCGGCACCTCTCTGGCGTCCGATCAGGTTTATTAGGATATCAGATAATTTTCCCTTACAACTTAACGAAGACTAATTTCACCCTTCTCCATGCCCAAAAGAGAGCAATGTAGAATGTCATGTGCGTGCCGTCCACGTGATGCAGGAATTGGTTGAAAGTGGAAGACGCGACTTGAACCATCATTCTTGGATGCGATCACACAGTATACTCTGGAGCTAAATAGACTATAAAGGATATTTACCTCACCGTTATTCAAACAATGAGCATAGCAGCCACAGTTGATCCGATGGAAAGTCGCAAAGGGATCCTCTGATAAGCTGCAGATGCAAATTGCAAGGTTATAAATAAGTGTACACTTCTGGTATGGGAATGCGAAAACATATGCAATATATTCGATAAGCATGGTGTATGCTACTGACGAGAGTAGAGTGACATTATCTCCTCGAACAAAGCCATCCTCACTATCCCTTACGACTCCTTCCTCGTCAGCGCACCTGCCGCCGTGAGCGCAGTATTCCCTTCGTAGTTCTTCTCATCAGTCATAAATTCATCATGGTTCAGCGACCGGAAGCGGAACCAGAGGAGAACCGTCTGCACGGCCAACGCTACCGCCGGGGCGTGCGCCCCAGATCCAAAACAAGTACGGGTCCTACGTGACAGAGATTAATACCTCACCCAGCGCACTGGAAAACGCGGTGGTGAACAGGGAAATGACCCTGACCAACCCCCGCATGGAGGGTGGCGCATGCGCATGCGCTAACTCGTACACCGTCATGTTGTAGAAGAGCTCGGATAGTGCCCCTAGGATGACGTTGGGCAGCTGCCACCAGATCAGGAGCAGGCTGACACCCGCGTCGCAGGAGGAGGCGTGGTACCTGCAGGGCGAGGCCTTGTACATGCGCCACTGCACGATCGCGCCGATATCGCCTGACACGATGGCTAAGATGAAGCCAAAGGTCATGCGACTGATGCAGCCGAGCTTGATGTTGTATCGCTGTAGCGTAAGGCACACGATGTGACTGGCAATGGGCGTAGCTATGATGAGCGCCAAGGTGTTAACGTCGTTGAGCACGTCGTTCGGAGCGCCGTTGATCGTCATTGAGGCGATTTGGTTACTCTCTACCGAGCTAATACTACCGTCGTTGATGTTGTAGATGGCGAAGTAGAGAAGGGTTTCGGTTGCTAATTGAAACTGTTGGTTCATTGTACGATATTGGAAGGGGAGGAGAAGAGAGACGTACCCAAATGTCCGACTAACATCGTCCACCAACTTATCGGTCCAGTCGACGTGGATGCCCTCTGAGGCCAGCACGCTCGGTCGTGTCGCATCAAAGAAGTTCTTGCGCCAGACTTGGAACTTGTTGCATCGCAGCACCGTCGAACGGATTTTCGAAGCCTTGTTGAGATCCGAAGTCCCACTTGGCGGCTTTTTATATGTTTTTTTGTAAACGAGGGCCAGCACGATAGGCAGAAGAAAGTGAATAGTGCCGGCTAAGAGGAACGACAGCCAGCAGCCAACGTACTTCCCCGCGTACGTAGTCGGCAGTATGTAGAGGGAGCCAATGTTGACCACCCCGGAGAAAGTCAGCTCGGGGTCGACGATGGTCTTTCCCCGGATTTCAGAACTTTCGTGTTGGCCCGATGGGGCTTGTGTGGCCTGGGATGGTTGGCGCAATATTGGGCTTCAAGATGCCCACACCGAGCGCCAGCACCAGTAAGCTGATAATGAAAGGTGGCGCCGAACGCGCCGTCCCTTTCTGCAGAACGGACGGAATAGCACTGATAATATGGATAACGTGGGCAACACCACAGATCAGAACTTCTCCGCAGATGGCCTTGTATCGGCCTTCATAAATGTCGGCCCCCCTTTGATCGTTAGCAACAGTTCAAGATTTGCTAGAATCAAACTGGAGCGAGACGGGAAATTCTGCCACCCAACGAGAATGGGCAGCACATATGTCAGGAAGGAGAAAAGCAAGACCAAACCGAAACTGGCTTGAAAGCCCATTCCCAGTCCACCGGCAGTTTCTTGCGTACCACACGGTGGCACACCTGCACCATTGCCTTCTGTGGATTCCGGTCAGCCGCTGCCCCCATACCACCGTATGGGGAAGGTCAGCATACCTTTGGGTAGCGGGAATTCAATAAAGTTGGACAAGAAGGGTTTGGGAGCCAAAGTAGGAGACTCGTTCCGCAAACTCGACTAGACATGGCGAAAAAGGAGATCAGGGGAAGATTTCCGGCGCCTTTGCGAAGGGTAATATGTTCCTCTTCCGTTGGCTAAAATTCATGACTGTCCACGGAGCTGGTTGACGTGGCCCTTACTTCGTACGTCTGCTTCTCCGCGTCGAACACTGGAGAGCTGTTGACGGTTGAGTCGAATGCCTCGGCTGGTCCTCTAAAGGAATGGCATTGTCCACGATATTTTCGCTGCTTGTAGGTGCTGTGTTCCATGGCTGTGTTTAGCCCTGAGGGTATACAAGGGACCTATCCATTATACATACACATCGTGGTGCACCATAGGTCTCTCAGAGAATCTGCTTCTGTGGAGACAGAGCTTGTCGATCGGAATATCCCAAGGGATAAACGGGTGGGCTGCAATCATCTTTATATGGTGTTTCACAGGTCTCACTAGTACGTGCGCTCGGAGAAGCAGCGGGCGGACTCCCGGCGGCAATATTGATAGTGGAGATGAGATAGCATAAAGTGCAGCTGTCCAAGATCAGACGGAGGGACTAGTCCGTCAGGTTGGCTATGGCGCCTCTCTTCGCCATGATGTCGTTTCAGGTAACATTGGCTGCGGTGGGCTATCTCCTGGCCCTAGTGTGCCAACGGCAATCTTGGCTTTCAGACAAGCAGTGCGCTAAATGGTTCCACGATGGTTCTCAGTGCCAGTCTGACCCACTCTACTTTGCCTCTGGGCTGGTAGAGTCTCATTGATGATCATACTAGTCTGTTATCGCGTCAGCTCCTACTAACAACGGGATGTTATATTTACCTAAGAGCAATTCCCCTTTGTCTTCTCATATGACAGACAAGGGGCAACGTTTGGTCTATTATTATTGCGAACTTATATTACCGCCCCTATGTGCTGTGCTCTTTGTTCCTCCTATCTGAGCGTTCCTGGGGCTAGATAACTGCCAGCCATTGAGAATAGCCCTGGGATATTAAATCCCCGCCACAGCACGACTAGCCGGTCATGAGGCCTAGGAAATTTGATTATATGTCTGTCTGTCCCTTATGACTTTGCGATCTGGCTTGCAGCCCACATAGATCGGGACAACGGCTCCAAGCCCTTTCCAGTATACCTGTACGCATCCGACTTCTTTCACACCAAATGCCCATGTATATTATGAGCGGGTAGACGTGCGGTCCAATAGTCAGTCGCCGTCCCGCTCCCCCGGCGTGCGTGTCCGCTGATCCTTACCTGACCTGTTCTGGAAACCTCTATATGAATCGCACGTCTCCCTAACGCGGATGCTACGCCACCCCATGCAATATTTGGGGCTCAATGAAGTCCGTTAGACCCGACCTGGATGCTGGCCTGTGTCACGAGAGGCTTCGCGACGGGCGGCCTTCGTACTACATGTAACCCAGTTGGGCTATCTTGAAAGGGGTAGGATGATCAGATGAGCATTGAACAGACTAAGAGAAAACAAGATTAAGTATGCTTCTCAACACACACAAGACTGGGACACACTTCATCGATTATATTCTATAAACCTTGAGTTGCTTCGCTGGTAGAATGATATGGGATTCACCTGAACTACTCAAAGTACTTCCCCCAACCTCGTTTAACACGAACATGTTTGAAAGAAGCGACATATGAAGATCATCTGTGTGTCCTTAAGGTTCAATCGTGGGTAATCATACGCCTGGCACTTAGTATGGAGGCTAGAGCTTCCTTTAGATATAAGACTGGATTTCTAACATGTATGGCAACATAGCTCAAATTTGATCCTTACTGATATCCGAAAGGATAGCGGATGTCCGAAATATACGCACGTATCCTAATTTGACTTCGTGAATATATACTAAGTCTAAAAAAAAGAATGGCTTTTTGCTGTTTAGCTCCTACTACCGTAGGTTCTGGGCCACCCTAGTAGTTAATACCTCCCAGTCCATATATCACATTACATAGCAGCATGGTATCAATGGAGTACAATAGAATAGCCCCAAGTTGGGATTTAGATCCAAGTAGTTAAACATCAGTCATCACATTGCTTCCTACTAATCGCTACACCGTTCTATTGGTTTGCCTCCTGACAGATGCTCCTAATCAATCAACAGAGATAAAAGCCTTAGAGATAAGAGAGACAAGATAAAACAGAATAGATACAAATAAAATGCCTTAGTAAGTATCAGGATTGGTTTGTCTATCAGTAGAAACTTACATAAAAGGGCAAAGGAAGGCCTAGACAGTTCCGTAAGACCTCAGCGGATAGCCGTCGGAAAGCAAATACGAACAGTCCGTGTAAAAACGGTTGAGGACGTATGCATTATCCCTGTCCATGGATGCCCCTCATTTATTGAGTGTTAGTGTTAGCATCGAGTAAGGAAGTATAATGGAAACTGGCTTCTACTGGTTTGCTTGATTTCGTTCGTGCCGTATATGCTGCCTATCGAGTAGTCACACCATGTCGTCTTTCAAAATACGAAGCTTAGGTAAGACTAGAATAGGGATCTAGATTCTTATGGGCTTCTGCTACGCAGATGGCCTATCATAATTGATATCTCCTGTGCTGGAATGGATTGATCCTGATTCCCTAGCTCTATATCGGACTAGGAAAACCTTCTTTGACCACGGGGCTGGTCTACACTTAATCTTCTGCTCTCCGAGAGCTCTAGGCAAGGTTATTTTCCTCAATGTATGGATGTAAGCTTTCTAAAATGCTGCTTCTAAGTGGCCTGACGCCAACTCTCAGGTATAAATTCCCGAAGAATCCGTACAAACGCTTCACATTTTCAATTCGGTATTTCGAATTAATCGAAGTTACTAAGATATTCAACACAGAACATCTCTTTAGTCATCAGACCTTGCAGGATGGGTTTCCTCCAGCTGATTCCAGCAGAGCATTTGTATGCTTTCTATAAAACCGAAACACGCATTCTCACCCTGGTTGCCGAAGGCCAAAGCAAGGAGTTCACAAGCAACATCGAATTTGCTCAACAGACTGTGCCAGGCCTCTTCAAATTTGATTTGGAAGGGTGGGTTGGACCTTTGACTGGAAAGAGCGTGTCTTACAAGCGTGAACAAAACTTCCATATTTCAATTCCCAGCCAAATCCACAGCGTCATCATCGTCGACGCCAATCACCCACACGGCCAGCAAGTTCCAATCCAGTACATTCCCCGCCCGACTGATGGCAGTAGTGACAAATCTACAGTCAAACACACTGCCGTGGCAACGGAGCAGCCCGCCATGATTCCTGAGACGGAACACTTGTTCGCGCAGCTGGGCACCCGTTTCTCCATCAAGGAGTCAAAGAAAACAGCCAGCTCTACCGGAAGCATTTCCATCAAGTTCGACAAGGACTACCTGAAGATGACTGATGCTGCCATCAAAGGTGAAAATATCGTTTGGACCTTTGACCCGATCAAAGTGGGAACTACCCAGGTAGTGGTTGTCGAATTTGGGGGACATCCGAACTATGTCACCAAGAAGACATACGACGTTAATATCATTGTTGCTTAAATTTTGTTTGAATATAGGTCTATCGGTTGAACGTCTTGTATGTGCGATGAGGAAGGGAGATGGAAATGCTCTCAAGTGTGGACATCAAAAGAAGTCGGGAGATTGTCATTTATTAACGCTTTTTGTACTTGACCTGCGACAGTATTCTGTATCATCTTGACCATACTGTTTTCTTGATGCATTTAGTTTCCAATGAAAGTCGGCTGGATAGTTAGTTTCTTTGGTCTGTTCTAAGATAATCTGGCTTTCGTGGACCTGCTCCCTTCACAAGTGCAAGGCCATAGATATCATCATCCACGGCATTACCTAGACAGACAGACAGATAGAGGGTAACATGACATCTTCGACGATTCCTGTTGGGTTCACGTATGATCAACCCAAAGCTAGACCCTACTCACGTAGGTGGGGCTGAAAACGCTATGAAGTGGATTTGTCGCCCTTTGGAGAGCGTTGTGTAAAATGAAAATCGTATTCTGGCTCATGACCACTTATATCTGACCCTAGATGTCGAACAGCTCCATATCTGTGTCGGTGGCAAAAAGGCAGAGTCTGATCAATTCCCAAGGTTCAAACGCCACAACACGGGGACATCCAAGCGTATATGGTGACAGTTATGCTTGAATGTCCGCAAACAGCGATTAAGATGTTATACATGTCTATTTGGGCTCTTAGTAAGAAAGGCCTAGCCTCTCTGCCACGTACTACTTGTATAGGGTTTGCGAGCTAAACCATGGTTCTTAACCTCGTGATGAGCCACCTCAACCTTCTCCCGATTGAAAAGCTCTCACGTATCTTCACGAGGTTTCATCGTTATTCTTGTTGGTGACATAAAGAATCTAAGATTGGCCAACTTGGAATTGTGTGTCGTGACATGGTCATACAAGTTCCACACCACTTGGAAGCATCTTGCGAGGTATGACATGGGAAAGATTCTAGATCTGCGCCTCCATACTAGTGGAGCAGTGCGCCTTATTCTTTGGACCACAGAATGGAGAGTAAGATGTGGAGAAGTATCGAAGGAAACTCATATTGGTCCGTCAGCGCCTATGTGACGATGCCACAATTTGGCTCTAGATTGTGAGAGGATGGTAGAGTCGTTTCCATACCTATTCATGGCTTCAAGACTTCAGATCTATCAAAACTTCCGGATCTAATGCACTGTACAAATCATTCAAACATCAATTTTCTTAGAGAACATCAATAGCCTAACTTAGTGCTCTAACAGCTTCGTTACTCCAGCCAGCTCTGTCGATATCCCACCCCGAAGGAGACCGGATATCTCGCTGACGCTTTACTAAGCTGCGCACGTAAAGGGCTTGCTAATTGAGCCGGACTGAAATTTATGAACCTGCCGAGGATCAGATTAGCATGCGCTCATTAATTGTCGATGAGGAATTGCTAACCAGCTCGGCAATGCTGGCGTATGTGCCACATCCAAAGACAATCATTCCAACGACGAAAACCACAGCATTGCAAATGGCTGTCCTCAAGTTGTGTTTTTCATACCACGCGCCTTCCCTCAGCAGCACGTACCAGATTATCGGCGGAATATAGTAAGACAGACCAGAAACGAACAGCGATGAAATGATAGAGAGTAGCTCAGAGAATACGGGAATCGCCTCGGCAATAATCCAGGCGAGAAGGGTAACGGAAAGTACAAGCCCGAGCCATGTAGCCCAGCCCTTGGTGGTGTTGATAAAGCGGACGACTGAATCCCGATACATCTTTCCGTGAATGTATCGACAAACGACCGTCGTATTGATTGACCCCGAGATGAAGATGACGGGAAGCGCTATGCCAAAGACCACCCGTGAGATAATTGGACCCGCGGACAGTAGAGCAGGGGACTGCACCCCTTGCCCTACGAAGGCGTAGATAATAGATCCCGTCAGAGTGTAGATCACGATTTGAATACCCCCTAGCCACCAAAGGGTCTTGACATAGTCCTCCGGGGTGTGCATTTCTTCCATGAATGATGGTAAGCAACCGCCGAAGGAGTATGCAAAGACAATACTGTTGGTGGATACGATAGCCTCGGAGAAAGTGATCCCTTCTTTCGGCCAGGCGGACCACGCAGAATACCCTATGGCAGAGGTAAAGGACCCATTCGAGCTTTGGATGCCGGTTGCAATCATAGTCACCCCTATCGCGAGAATGATCGAAGCGAAATCGATGTAGCCCAGTATCGCGACATCTGCAAATGCCGGAGGGATAGCTAGTATCATCAGAACTGCAGCAGATATGACACTAAAGACGATCGAACACACATCGCTTTCAGTGATAGTCTTGAACGCAATAGCACCAGTCAAGCAATGCGATCCGACAACAAAGATGAGTAGAGCAACGAAGCTGCCGACAAAAAGTTTCGATCCAACGTTTCCCAGTAGAAGCCGTCCGACATCCGCATAATGAGCGATTTCTGGATACTTGAGCTTGACTTGTCCAATGTTGTAACTGGCGTACATGGCCACAAAGCCGAGCCCAATCGTCATGATAATGCCCGCAACCATACCCAGAGTTGCGAATGCGTAAGGCAGGCCAAGACTGCCGAGAGCAATTCCCTCTACTATCGACACGACGGTGAGCCGTTTCCAGCCGAGACGATGGAAGTGGGCATCGCCTTTAATAATGTAATATCTCTCGAGATCGGAACGGCCCTCGTCATCGAGGAGCGCCTTGTTGGCGGTGACGCCTCTACTAGACTGGGTGACAACCGTATCTCCTTTTTGGGCACTCCGGACGCCGTCATGCCCGGGTGATCTCGGCCTATTATGCTCCATTCGGCGGATGATGGCAATAGTCGAGGTTTTCCGGCGGGAGGAGTGAACTGGTAGTGATAGTGGTCAGTGCCTCGGCAATATATATGGGTACAGACAGGTGAAAGATTGGCAGAAAATTACGCTTAAATATATCAGAGTACTGGAGAGGGTGGAGCATGACCCCTCATTCCAAGCGCAATCACAAATTTCGAGATCCTTTCTCTGCCGTTCGCCTATATTGGTCTGGCTGTTAGCGGAGTACTCCGGTCCCGCAGGTGCCATGACCTCAAGGACAGAGACCAAATATCGGGGAATTGAACACTTTTTTGTCACCGTAGATGGATCCTAAATACAATTATCTAGCAATGAGTTGATCCCTACCGTTTCTACTCTACGTGAAATTCAGTCCTATTCAATTGCGGGGTCACAGCTTCAGTCCTTCAGCTAGTGTGATTAGATTCTTCATCACCTTCACACTAGTGAAATCCGGCTCGGGAATATGTGCTCCACCCAGTAATGACTAGGGTTAAGGCAAAGAAACAGGATGTGCATATGACATCGGCTTAGGCCGCAGATTTCCAACCATTGATTCAAGGATTTCTATTGCGCGGCGAGGGCGGCTACTCGTCTTCAACGCTGCACGGTATAGCGTGGCTCTCAAAAGCCGGAATCACTTGCGTGGACAGTATGAAGATCTTTCAATGACAGTTCCCAATACCGAATACAATGGCCTGATCGTTTGTTGGACGACCAAACTAGGGGCGTTCTCCATGGTAGCATACACGGTGGAGAAGCGATGGTCCGATTGATTAGAGCTATCGCAAACAGAGTCTCCTGCCATTGACATGCGTTAATGTTGCCATCACTACTATCCTACTTTTTCATTTTCTTTACTTCCAGCTGTCCAAGTGCAATATTAGGAATGTGGGGGAAAATGGCTGCTCCTTCGGGTAAGGAATTAAGGCTCGGTGATGGGTGTGTTGCCAGGATACAATGTATATGTATCTCTAATAGACCATTAATACACCTCTTCAAGGTTTTCAACATAGCTATTCTTCATGCGGACATAGAAACGAGCCAAGTCAACATGGTGGGACCCGATATTATCGAAAGCTTTGCAACGTCCTTGATCGCGACCCTGTCGTCCTTACCAGACCACAAGGACATCCTGTGGGTCAGAATCTATTTGGTGACAGCACATTATTAGGTAAAACCATCTTGGCTCTCGTATTTCGAAGGTTTAGCCATCTCTATCCACGACCAAGGCCATGGCTTGGCAAGACAGAGATAATCTAATCAAATGATCAGATAAGAGACAGCCCCACCCTTTAGTTTCTCACCCGTTCTCGGAAGATATTTGTCCGCGAGATTCAATCTCTGCAGTGTTGGGCTACGGGTGGTTTCGGGTGGTGGAGTAGGGTTGAGCTCTTATACAGGCCGTGATGTTGCCACAAGCGTGGGAAATGTGCAATTTTTATTGGTCTCCAATAATGGCGATCCGCCAACCTGTAGCTCTTATAGGTCGTCTAGAAATTGAACATAGGTAGCATATTCTATAGGGATATTCGATTATTCCAAAACATTTGGTCAACCCAATCCATATTCTTGAGAAAATGTCAAGGGAAAGAAGCGCAGCACTATTTAGAGTCATATGCTCTACATTAAATTAAAGCCCTTTAAAGAAACCTGCATTGACTGCCAACTGCTGCAGGCACTTTCAAGGCAAAGCGAGTAGGTTTTCTTTTCTTTTTCTTTTGCCTTCTCTCCGTCGTAGGATTTGGTGCTCAGCTGTAGGGCATTTCGTTGCTACCATGGTTAACACTCAAATTGCGCTTATATACACGAGTACGTGAAAGTCTATGGATGTGACTCTTGTGCCCTGGTAAATTATACATAGAATTCCACAACACCGATGACCTTTCCATTCCGTTACTTGCGTTCTTCGGCCGCGCCCCTCCTGCGACTGCTGCACCCGCTACGCTCAGGACAGGATCTTCTGGTTTGCTTTTGTACTGGTGCATGGAAAGTTAAGGTGAATGCTCTTGAAGCTGTTAGGCTTTACTTTTCCAGGTTGAGGCCAACGCTTCCGGCGTCTAGATTCGAAATGGAATGCCTAATTATAGTTTAACCTATTTCTTTCTTAGAAGCTATTTTTACTGTAAAAAGAACCATATTTACTTATTTCTTCTACTATACTACTGTTTCCGTAGTTTGAATCTCGGTGGAATTATTGTTTTAAAGTACACCTGATATGAACACTGACGCAGCTAGTAGAGATACTGTGCCTTTAGATTGAACATACTGTGCTAAATAGAGGAAAGAATTCTATATCATGAGACGTGAAAGGGAGACAAGCCTGTCGCTACTCCTAAAGACACATTGGCACAAATATCATCCCTCATTTGGGCTAAATGCTTGCAGGTGATTGTATAGCATCTATACGGTTGCCCTAACTCTAGAAGACATGGTATACAGCTCCTCACTGCCACTACATCGCCTTTACATTGAGATGCGCCAGCGATCCTAATCTCGAGCAGCAATATAGAGCACAATGAATGTGTCTAAGCCCGTATGCTTCCAAGCTTCTGACGATGGCTATATCTCCTTCAAGACAGGAATATCTTCATGTTCTCCGAATAGCAAATGAAAAAAGAGTAGACCTTAGTGACGAACGTGGTGACCTATCAGAGAAAACTAGAGACTTAATCCTTGCATTCTGTACGACAGAGGTCTCTAGCTGAACGCCTCCGAATATGGATTCAAGAAGCTGTCCCCCCGATCATGTGCGGATATTTCTACACCACCCTGTACTGTCCAACGTCCGCATTGTCTGAAGTGATCCACCAAGTTAATTTAAGCCTTCGAACCGCATCTACGGGTGATCTGTCATCTATTGATTGGCCAATCCGAGAATTGATCAAATAACTCCTTCCGGTATACGGATTAATCCAAGCGACCATGGTGTCTCTATCAAGTCTAAGGCTATGAGGCCGAAGGACCTGCGACTTAGCCGTTCACGAAGTATCCTATTCCAGCTCGACGTAAAGTACGCACGATGAAGCGAATTGACTTTGTCTAAGCTGGGAGAAATTAAGATCTCCTTGAAGTATTTTGCTGAACCAAATTCTCTTTGTTAGGTTGATAAATCGTCGCGATATCATTGGACAATCTGAGTATAGCCGAGACATCCAAGAGCACAACGTCCTGTCTATTATAGCAGGTGCTATAGATAACTTCAACTGCATATATCCACGTCAGCGAGTGAGCTGAAATGAGAGCCTTGGGAAGATCCACCAGTAGCCCCGAGACATGCATAGGTGCCTAGGTTTCGAACATACAGCGCCATTGCATGTCGTGATGGACCATGAAATGTAGTAGAATCAGCATATTATCAGTGCTTGTCACTTGAGCAATTCAATACCCTATCGCAGAAGATAGATAAGTTACCGGCGCCCCCTCCCTCCTTCTCTCCCTTCCTGCTCTACTCTTCACAAGCCGACAGTTTGCTAGACTTCGACAACTCCCCCCAAGCAAATAAAAGAATCGACAGAGAGTAGTGGTACTAACGGGGACCTTAGGGAAACTTCAACCACCACCATTAAGGTCGTTATCTGCAAAGCTACCTCTAGAATCTTTACCGTCCCGCAAAACACCAAGTAGCGGATGATTTAGGGATTAGCTTATGATATACCATAGCACCAACAGAAACAAGGGGCGTTTGGAGCATATGTATCATGTTGTCCTGTGAACTTGACAGCTGTTGTTCTGTGTCTGGCGGGTATTATCAGATACGAGCCAGCAGAACATACAAAGCAATCACATCGATTGTTCTAGATGCGTAAAAGGCCAACTACCAGAGCATGAGGGAATCTGTGACAAAAGAGCGCTTCTGGCATCACACTCCTTGAAGGAAACCAGATATGCTCAAAGTACAACTCGAGAGAAGGAATCGAACTATAAACGGGTACTCGCTGTGTATGGCTCTACATATTGCATTTGCTACTGAGGCCAAAGCCATCGAAATGAATCTTCTCAAGTCCCGTAACAACAACATCGACTGCATCCACGGCTTAAGGAATCAGGGAATGTGTGACATGTATATAACGAGCACATCCAATCCCGTCTTACCTAGTCGGGAGAGCTTATACCCGTAGCAAACGTTATCTGGTCCGTTTGAAGAGGTGTCTTCGCAATTCATTCGATAGGAATTATTGTCCATTCCGAGAGAGACAGACCAAGGGTATATGCCGAAGAACCGTCTTGTTGAATATGTTGGTTCTATGCTGCAATTGTCTGAGTTGTATGAGGTTTGTTGTTCAGACTTGCGATCATGTTCAAGGACGACATCCTCCGCACATATGCTACCTCTATCCTGTTATGACGTTCAATGTACGGCTGAGGATAGAGAGACATAGAATGGCTCACCACATATCTCAAGGCGATGATGACTTGGTCGGGGGACACTCAAAGGAAGGGTTCCCATTAGGAATCTATTGTTCACGATACAAAGGGAGTAGGAAGATGAGGAAGTGGTTTGGGCATTTCCTATCCCAGCGTATACATGGCAAGTAACATGCCCAGATGCCGCACATATCGCTAGGCTGTACGTATGGGCTCGGCTCGGGAAGTTTGTCCACTTTTTGCGCTTGCCAGAGCGTCTTGCTTATGTTGATATCAAGGTTTAGACATCCATAATGTGAGGACCTTTCTGTGACAAGAGTTCTAGGAACCCGTATGGTACGTACAAAAGCACTTTATCTAGACACATGTACGTTGCCTAACCTGCTTCAGGAAGTTCCACCACGAGGTTTATCTCAGCCCAGAGGGTCCAATTTTGTATTATTTGTTAGTCTAGAAATTAATATATATATATATATATATATAGTGTTTGTTTCCACCAATGACGTGGGGAAGATGCTAACAAGAATAATTAGAAATAGTCTGATTTTGAATACATTACTTATGGAGGACTCCCTGATGGCTCTTGCGCCACCAAGACCTCCGCGGACGGCGTTCAACTGGGTCTTCGATCCGTCCCGTGTAGTTTGTGAAAGGGCCAATCATAGTATTATCTACTAGGAGTGTTAGTGCTCTCTCTCGGCCCCCAAGATTGTGGGTTACCAATCTCCACGATGGCTTCGAGTCTGCTCCACTCACGCGGGCCGAGGAACCGCCGGGATGGACCGCATTGGCCGACCCCAAACACATTTCTAGTATGGAGATGGAGTAAGGAGTCCCGTGGAAGAGAATTGTCTGTAGTAACATGAGCACAGGGTGGCCAGGGCTGTCTTCTATTTCACTGCCTTCATGGAGGATCACTTGCCCTAAGGGAGGGACGAGAAAAATTTGCTGTTCCAGAACTGGCCCCTTAGTTACTCCTTTGGCAGGGATCTGGCATCGTGCTGCAGTGATAGGCCCATATAATGACCAATAACGATTCAATAATAAATGGGCTCATTGCTAGGTAATGGTCCCTTCATATCCGACTTGAACTCCACTCCGTAGTCTCCGTAACTAATCAAGGCTTGTGTGCCCGTTCATTGAGGGAGAGCATCCTCTCCAATATACGCTGTCTGACCTGGCCTTGGCTTCCCACTTCTTCGCTTATCGCCTTGCTTTTCCATTTCTTGGCCTTATCCACGCCATTCCTCACCGATTTGCCTCAACAATGGATCAGGCCCTCACGCTTTGGGAGGAATTCCTCGCCGAGAATGACCAGGTCGAGTTTGTCTGGTTACAGTTCCTGTCCTTATTGTCGACCCCCCTCGCCCGCATGGTGCCGAGGGCTAAATTCTCGGATATGTTAAAGCAGGGTCAATGGCTCTCCATGACCAGTGCCATACTACATCTTCTCCCGGGCGATCGGCTCGCCGACGGCGCCAGCCCCACGGGTAAGCTCCACCTGCGGCCAGATTTCAGCACCGCATACTGTCAGTTTGGTTCCAACGGGACTCGCGCCGTGATTAACGTGGACTGTGTGGATGAGCACGGCGCGCCAATCGCCGAATGCGCGCGGTCCAAAGTTCGCGAACTCCACGATCGGCTGGAACGTGAGACCCAAACCGCCCTCCTGGTGGGCTTCGAGGTGGAGGTCATGTTCGTGCGGCCTAGAGAGGATGGGGGCAAAGTTCTCGAATACGAGGCAATCAATTCGGAGCATTCGTTCACCAGCATGACGCCGGAAGACCGGACGTACCTGGATCTGATCGAGGCTGTGGCCCGTGCTTTGGCGACGGTGGGAATCGCTCTCGAGCAGTTCCATGCCGAGGCTGGTCCCGGTCAGTGGGAGTTTGTGCTACCCCTGCACAGCCTCTCCAGGCGATCGATATGCTGTTGCGGGCTCGCGAAACAATCATGATCGTGGCTAAGAGCTTTGGACTACGGGCGACAGTCTACACACAGCCCTTTCCGGAGAGGCCATGCAACGGCGCCCATGTGCACCTGTCCGTGAATCCATTGGAGGGCAAGGGAGACGCACGGTTTCTACGGGGCGCGGAGTCCTTCTTCGCTGGAATTATGCGGCATTTTCCCGCTGTTCTCGCGTTCTCATTACCCAGCGACATTAGCTACTGTCGTGTCGCAACCGGGGTCTGGAGTGGAGGTGAGTATGCTGCTTGGGGATGGGAAAATAAGGAGGTCGCTCTCCGGCGCATCCAGGAAAACCGGTTTGAAGTGAAGTTGGTGGATGGCCTGTCGAACCCGTTTTTGGTTCTCTCTGCGCTGCTCAGCGCTGGGACCGATGGGATGCGAGCCAACCTGCCTCTCCGAGGAGGCCACTGTCACAAGGGTGCTGCTCAACTGTCTGCCGAGGAACGAGAGGCATTGGGTGTCAAGGACATCTTGCCCACCACTCTCGATAACAGTTTGGCTTTCTTGGCAGGGGACTATGTAATGCGGGACTTGCTGGGGCCAGACCTGGTGTCAAGCTATATATCTCTTAAAAAAGGGGAGGCGGTATTTCTCCGCGCCATGGAACAGGATGAACGGAGGCGATGGCTGATTGCAAGACACTAGATGGTAAATTGTACAATTTTGTTCTTACTTACGGGAAATATATTGGATATTGCCATTATTAAAAGTCGATTCGAGAACAGAGTCGCCTTTATTGTTAGGATTGATTGTTTGTGGTTCCGCGTTAGGAGCGTTTCATACCTCCTTGTGTCTATAAGGGGACCACCTAGCTCTCAGACAGTATATACATAGTCCACCCATACTAGTGTATATACGTAAACAGGAGACCGCATCCACGACTCCTTCTGCTGATTTTCCAATCCCATATTCCCATTCAATTCTACGATAGCCAGGAAGGTGTTGACTAGAACTCCACCACTAGCTGGCCACTAAGGGAAAGCTAGGGGGTTATTGCTCAAAGAGTATCCTGGCACATACCTCTACGCGTAGAACAGTAGGAAAGTTGATGGCAGTCAATACCTCTTTGGGGCCGGAGTCTTTTCCTCCTCGACCACTCCACCCAGTGGAAGAACCTCGGAGGGATACTCTCAAGGATGTAATGAAAACAGGGATCAGCAGTCCGCAGTGGGTACATCCCATATAATAGGATCATTGTATTGGTCAACGAGTATTCCCATACTCACGCTAGGCAAGTCGCAGTGGGCCGCCGCGGTATAGAACTCAAAAGGGTCGTGTGGCCGTACTGCTCCAAATGCTTGTGAATATTCCTAAGACGTTGCTATGATTTGGGATCATGCCCATAGGAACACCATGTGCAGAACAATCTTTCGCCCCTTCGAGGGGACTAAGACTTGATGAGAGAAGTTCATGTTCGATTCCCTCAACAGCTCTCTCCGTCCTGTGTATTTGCGTAGACCAGTCATCGGTCGGGAGTGGCAGCATTCTCGAATGTTTGGCGACAACTCGCCCGATACTATAGAGCGTAGCTAAAACAATGGGAGGGCTGTTCACGGCCCACAGACTGGCTCCCTGATCATTGTTGGTGGAACCTATTGTCGGATAGAATCCCAGCAAAACGATGTCGTAGAGTATTCGATTTATTTACTGACAGACACTACGTGGAGGACATATGCATAGCCCTAGGGCATAAGGTATGAAACCCCTGCTTGCGGTTCCACGCGCACTAGATGATACTGGAATCTCGCCTCTGTTATACTATTTTCCATGTGGATGACCCTGGCTCCAGCTTTGGATGGCAAGGGTATCAATCCTTACTATGGTATGAGGTGAGTGGAGTTCAAAATTAGCTAATTAATAAAATCAACATACGTAACAATCTTGTTGCCTGCCGTGCAAAGACAAAATGACGATTCAACAGGAGAGACCGCCACGGTAGCAGACTTCCGAAGGCTAGGTAGCATGCGATGAATCCATTACCCAAGTGGAATCCCTCTCTTCCAGCACTGCCAGAAGTGCTCCCAAGCAGGGCGGCCCAAGTCCCTAGGCAGAGCGTGTAGAAGAGGGAATTGGGAATAACCGAAAGTACTGCAAAGACACTCTGGAGGAATTTCTTGCATTAGGGACACTAACAGCATATGCAGTCACCAAGGCTTTCCTCCTCCGCGCGGCGATTGACCAGAAGCCGGTGTGCTGTGGCGATACAATTGAGACCTGTTCGATCCTAAGTGCTGGATTCGTTGGGTGCATAGGAAGAAGTCCGGAGTTTGGCGATGAGAGAGGCTCGTGGAAGGGTTCCAGGACATAATGAAAAATGGCAGGGTTACCTTGATCACCCGCTTACCATAAAGACAATAAACGTTACAAGGAGTTGAAATGAGGACCATGGATACGAGATTGGTCATTGGGTATGTCTGTCGGTCTCTCATAATGCTCTGCTGTCATTAGATTCCCGGGTAATCTGAGCAATCACACATCACTCCGTTGTTGAAACTTTTAGATATATCCCACGATTGCAACCTTTGGTCACGGTGCGTCATCCTTTTGAACCGAAGGACTTTTCGTCTGCATCTCATACTCAACCGTCACATCGTCCGTGCGGTGGATGTGCAAGGGCCCACGAGTATCCTGAGCCGGAAGGATATTCTCCTGGCTGTGGTGCTCTATCAGGGTGGTAATCGTTAAGGCCTGCTTACCGGCTGCAGTTCGTCTATCCCGCCAAAACGTACGACTGCCGCTACCCTGTTGATAATTCTCATGGCAAGTATGGCTTCGGCTGTACGAGGACAGTTTGCGCTTCCCTAGTATGATATCCAACAGAGGCTGTAAGGTGGGAATGCAAGACGCGAGGAGGACTATGTTCGATTCAACGCTGTATATCGCCATTGATGTTAGTGCTCCAACTTATCAAGTGGTTAAAGCAACAAGGTAAGAAGGTGTTCTCTTACTTAGTCTTAGTCCAGACAGCGAGTGGTACGGTGGCGTCTGTTATGTCAGCTTTGGTTTTCATTATCGTGCGAGTTCCGGTCAACGAACAAGTAGGATCGCTTTTGTCAGCAAGGCCCTTCAACTGAACGCATTTAACCACAGCAATGGCCACAGCACTTGGACAGACACAAGCTGGTTAGTGGTGCAGCATGTTTAGAAAGATTCCGGAAGCAACCTACATAGAACCTAGGCCTAGGACTGTGCTCAAGGCAATCTTCTTCCGTAGAGACATCTGAAGTTTAAATAAGACGGTGCTTGGGTAGATGGCGAGGAACATATCGACAAAGCCGGACAAGACTGAAAGTTGAAACAAGGGACTACTTGTAAGCCGAGTATTCTTCCAGTTATAGGCCTGGTGGTCCTCTCTCGGGACCAGGAAGCGACCTACCTCCATTGAATGTGGCATAGTTGATCAGAATCCAGACATCTCTGCATGATGCTTGACCATTCAGGGCCAGTTCAGTCTTCCATAGAGCTTGCGGTGGGTCGCACGTTGTGATGTAGATAATGATGTTCATCAAAGCCACCGCCGTGACCACGGCCACCAGACCCCATATGATCATTCTATGGAGTCGACTAGGGTTCAGGAGGCGGGTTAAGAGGGCAGCTACACCTAACTTGGGCGTCGCGAAGGAAAGAATTCCGAAAATAAATGATATCACGTTCCATATCAATGCTCTCTCACGGGTGTCCGGTGGCAGGGCAGAGAAATGTTGACCGTAGCCAGCGGCCACAGATATCGTGGTTGTCACAACGTAAAGTAATCCTAGAATCTGTGGCCGTGAGTTAGGTAGACTATATAGGTTGGTTGGTACCCAAAGATGCGGTGGGTGAATATGTCGTAGGGGGAAAAGTTTCCATGACCATACCATAGCGATCCCAATGAGCCAATCGTCCAGCCCTAGATTGCGCAGCACAACTTGTCGAATGAATATTCTTGCGATGACAATCACTGTGGCCAGACTAGACAATGACCACATCACTCCCATTAACATTGGGCCTTTGTCATGTTCTTGTCCCGCCATTTTGTAGGCGATGGCTGTTGGGAGCTTGCAGTTGAATGTTGTAGTGTGAAAACCATTATAAATCTGGAAGCGTTCATGGTCACGTAACCATTAAGCTTTTGGTCTCTGTAGATTAGTTTATACTAAATCCTAAGATTTTTTTTCCCCCTGTTTTTCAGCCCCAATGTCATGCGAGTATTTCTATAGTGCATAGGCCTTAGTAGGACTAACCCTAAGGCTACATTTGTCTCCATTTCCCCACTGGCTCCTTCATCTATTCAAGTCTAAGAATCTCAGATTATCACCCCTGTCAGGGGCCATGTTGATAGTGAGGGTGGGTATAGACCCCAATGCCTCCGGAGGCCGGTGGCGGGTTCTCCCAGATGTCGTGTATTCGTTAATAATCTGACACTAGTCCTGGCCCTTGTGATATCCGTGGCCCTCCTTTGGCCTCCACTGAATCCTTTCCATGTCCCTCGGTTCGGCTCAGAGGAGGTCACCGTAAAAAATTGCTACCAATCCTTACCGTAGTCCGGCGAAAATCTCAACCCCACTGTAGCAACCCGCAGATGGATTGCCTATAGCGACGTCAGTTAAATAAGTTTGATTCTATCGCATGCACGCGTCAACCACCGGCGGAGATCTTTCCAGATAGATTAAAAATATCCGTTCTTCCGAGACCCCTGACGCAATGTAACCAAACAACGCCCCATCACATCTTGAGAAGGACGTGGAGCCCTCGGATTTAGGAAGCGCACGGTCAATCAAGTTTGGTCGATTCGGTCGCGGATATTGGCGGAATTCAATAGCGCTCAACTTGCTTCATAGCCTTTGATAGTGCGATGGAGTTGCAGCCATAGTCTATCGCAAGCTAGTACTCTTAGCAGCCTTCAAACTACCTGTGAGTATAGTGGCCCAACTAGCAGTACTTGATGCATATAGGAGCAGCCGAACCGTTGACCTACTCGATCAGTTGATATAATCTCGGGTTAAGCCATCCTAGGAATCTAACCCGAGATATTTGTCCCTCTTGCGATCCCTCAAAACGCTGCTTATCCCATATTTTGCTTAATATTCGTCATGCCACATATCAACAGGCAGCAGCCGAATGGGGCAACCAGCAAAACGGCTACCATCGATGAGAAAATCGCACTTGTTCCTAATGCACCACAGCAGGTAGACCGTCTTCTCAAGGAAATTAGTGTTCAAGGCCAGGAACTCTGCAATGGTCGGTCTGAGGCAAGGTTACGACTCGTGGAAGCGGCGCAATCACTAGTTTATGCACTGGAGACACCGCGAGAGGCGACTTTCCGATACTGCTGGTCTCATGTGCGTTGGGCCATTTTATTCCACCGGGCACATTTGTTCAAAACTGAAGGTTGTCGACAGGTCACGGCATTTCCTACAATTGAGGCATGTGTCGACCTCGGGATTTTCCCCCTGCTTGCCAGCAGCGACACGCCGAAATCCGTCGCAGAGCTCGCAGAAGCGACAGGCGCTGAGGAGGACTTGCTGGGTATTGCTACTCCGATATATATAGCAAGCGATTGGCTCACGCATTGCAGGGCGCCTGTTGAAACATCTTGCCGCCCTGGGGGTGGTAGTAGAGACCGGCCCAGACGAGTACAGGGCCAGCGGTTTCTCGACTGCGTTGGCAATTCCATGTTATGGCGAAGCATTCGCATGCTTGTATGTATCGGCACCACTTTCACGTACTCCCTTCTGACTAGAAAATGTCCTAGATCAGGATGCACGATTCCAGCACTTCAGGCGCTGCCGGCATGGTTAAAGGAAAATAACTATCGCAGTCCTACCGATCCCGAAGATTCGCCCTTCACCATGGGATTCAACACCGACCTCCATTTCTTTGAATGGATTAACACGGTCCCAACGTATCCTGCACTGCCAAGCCACTTCAACGGACTCATGTCGGCATACCACCAGGGGAGGCCTAGCTGGATGGACGTCGGCTTTTACCCCGTTGAAGAAATGCTCATCAACGGTGCACAATCTGGGAAACAAGATGTGTTTCTGGTGGATGTTGGTGGGAACAAAGGCCATGATATCATGGAGTTCCACAGGAAATGGCCAAATGCTCCGGGCAGACTGATACTGCAGGACTTGCCGGCGGTCGTAGGCGATATCCCGACAATTGATAGGCGCATTGAGCCAATGGCGCATGACTTTTTCACGGCACAACCTGTTAAAGGTATGGGTCGCCTTGCTATTTCCCGCATAACTGCCTTGTCTGACGAATCGTTCTCCTGTTTCAGGTGCCCGGGCTAATTATCTACATTCCATACTGCATGACTGGAGCGATGAGGCCTGCCAAAAGATCCTGACCCAACTCATGGCGGCCATGGTGCCCGGATATAGCAAGCTACTCATCAACGAAAATGTCATTCCGAGCACAGGGGCACATTGGCAGACGACTTCCCTAGATATTATCATGATGGTGGATGTTGCCTCACGGGAACGAACAGAACGGGCCTGGTATCAACTGATCGAGTCGGTGGGCTTGAAGGCCTTGAAAGTGTGGACAGTTCCAGACAGTGTTGATAGTTTGATCGAGTGCGAGCTAGCTTAATGAGACCGGAACACAATCAGGACTTCTAGCCGTTGCTTAGTTGTTCATCGTCGAAGGAGATTTCCTTGGATTATACCCAATCTACATCGTTTGTTTTTATTCGTTCTTATTCACGGCTAATCAATTGACTGCTCCCACATATCCCACATTAATGAAGACGGCTCGTATGAGCTCGGATCAATGTACATACACAATACAGTAACGATGCGTGGGCACCGGGCAGGTATAACGGTAGAGCCACATAGAGCCATATCTCCTGGTTACTGAAGGACATGCACCGGTGGTAGGATTTCAGCATCAGGTTTGAGAGTATGGCCTTGGAATATTGTCGTAGTGTGGCACAACGATCATGTCAGGCTGGAAAATTTCCGCCCTCACAGATGTATGTTCATGATTATTATATTAAGATCTGATATCTTAAAAGCCTGTTAGAGTTTATTAGAGTATTTAACTAATCTAAGTCCTAAGTATATAACTGTAGCTAATTATTTAATTTTACTTGGGAGATCATCAACGCAGGACTAAACATTCTTTAGCATGTTCTGTCTGATGACAGTTCCTAGACAGGGTTAGTGACAGGGCCCTAATCAAGTATGCCCTCTTCTTCTCATTGGGTCCAAAGCTTTCCAAATCCTTTGAGATTCCTTCTTATTCGACAAATAAAATGAAAAGCAATGGATTAGATGGGCGCCTAATGCGAACAGATAGTTGAGCCACAAGAGACAAGACAACGGGCTATCAATCGTTCTATCTGAAAGATGGTTGCCTGCAAAGGTAGCTGCTCTGAATTTATATGAAGTCGATGATTGAGGGTTGAAGTAGATTATGGCTGAGCGTCAGCGTCAGCGAACCGGGAGATGTGGGCACCGGCGTGCTGGCCGCCATAGACAAAGTACATTGGCGCTAGGCCACTGGATGAGGATGAATCCGTATAGCCTTGTTTAGGGTCTAACATTACTGATAGTAAAGATGGTTTCTTTCTTTACACTAGTATAGGTTTACATTAGTTGATTTTTATATAAATAGAGTGAGTTGGAAAGGAAATTAACAGCCTCAAATAACCAGCAGCCAATGTGGCGGCCTAATGAACAAATTTGAATCCCTGTTAGGGCTATGTGTATGTCCATTCATACGGTATAGATACTAGACGTCAATACTAAATATAAGTGTAGAATACATAGTATACAACCATGTAAGTACTATATACCTCGTACGGGCTCAACTTGCGCAATTCCTTAGTCAACTGAACTAGTAATGGTATTTGGTATTTCCTATATAGAAGGGTTGAGTTGGGGTTTGAGAGGGCATCCAATAAAATGCAACGTTATTAGAGTGCATTAGCGGAAGATTAACTGCTGACGGGATGGCAGGCTTTTTGCTCCACGCTATGCCCCCGAAGACCAGCAAGGGCAAGAGGTAAGGCTACTAGAGTATGTACAGGCAAATCCCCTCATCTATACCATCAGAGCCTTGGGTATATCCTAAATTCTATGAAACCCTAAGGTAGGGTAAACTGACGAACCTTTTCCTTGAACAGATACAACAGCTACCTATCACCTACGACTGACCGCGTACTTGTTAATTTAGCTGTTACGATACTTAACTCCCCCTTATAGGAGTAGATTACCACCGCTGGTCATCGGTTTCACGCACCTGGACCTGTCAGCAACATATGAAACAACACTCCAAGGTCCCCTCTTCTCCTTGGCTTCTTGAACACATGTCCAGAAGACATGGTAACAAGCTCTCGGTCACATTTCCCCGGTTATGTATATACCGCATACCCCATTTCAAGATCTGGGAGGGTTGATCTTCGCCGTACAACTCTGTGCGCGCTCTGCAGCTGCTCCATGGGGAGTCATTGGCATTGTAAGGACCTTCCGGTTGTACATCTAAACTCACACGGCTGACACCTCACGGGCAGGACTCACCCACGACCACCTACGCCGTAACCTGTGCGCCATCCCCTTCGACCAAGAAGTGCAACTTCGGACGGCGAGAAATTGTTGAGGCGTCACCCACCTTCCGCGAGATCGCGACTCTACGTAACGATGCTAGTTGGCGTGTAGGCTGTGAACTCGGCGAAGATTTCGCTCTTGACGAGCAGTCTGCCACTTGCCCCACGGCAATGGGTATGGCAATACGTGGAGTTCCAGCACACCGGAGCAGATGTGGTTCTACGATGTGACCATCACCGCTACGGAGATCAACACGTCACCTCCCACGGGGACAGCATCTTCAACAGCTACGTCGCATGCTTCTCATTCGTGCGCCACTGAAAGTGCTACCTCTTTTACGGGATCAACACCAACGCCAGGAAGCAGTGAGAGCAGTAATGCGGGTATTGCCCAAGCCACTGCGCTCATCCCCTGGGCAGCCCCGTGAACCCGAGGGGGGGAGCCTGAAAGGCTAGGGAATTTATCTATAAATCATGATTAGAGAAAACTGTTGAACAAATCAGCTCGCATGGCTTAGTTGGCAAAGCGCATCACTAGTAATGATGAGATCCTCGGTTCAAATCCGAGTGTGAGCATTTGTCTCGGATTTTTTTTGGCCATCTGTTTATCTCCTTCTCTTTTTCAGAAATGATTATTATACCAATAGACCAAGTATTGAATACTTCTATCCAATCACCTCGCATACACCGGAATTTTTTTTGGTACACTTCATAAGTGCGCTGGGTGAGCGTTTGATTTCCATTCGGATGTGGTGTACTGAATATATTTTCAATTATCATCCTGTCGGAGCACAAAATCTATGCGATAGTACCCTGAACACACTGTATATATTAAACATGACAGAGAAATTGAAACCCGATGTTAATCGAACTTTGGAATACGACCTTGAGAGATATACATAACCACGGAGTAAGAGAAGTATGAACAGATAGTTAGGTGAGATAAGTGCCAGAGATTCTAAGAGCCTTGGCAGAAAAACCCTTCGTTCTTGAACCTTTTGAAGTTCTCATCGCATTATTGTACTTAATGATTGATTTATCGATTAAAAATTTCTAAATACTGTTCTTACTTAGTATATTCTGAGCCGTAGGGTTACTGGGAATGTTCTTTTTGAGATGGTGGTTCAACACCAGAAGGAAACGGGAAGACGTACCCAAAAACTGCCCAACTCAAGAACGTAGGGACACGCGGGGCTATTATCGTGAAGAGAATCATTTGCCAGCAGGTTTGATTACAGAGGATCCACCGATTGAAACTGCACTGGTCAACCCACTTACTCGGGTGCTCGGGTGGCTTAGAGTGGATATTGTTTGATTTATTTATCAAATCTGGACCTCGTGGAGTAAACAAGACGAAGCTTGGCAAAGCTCTGACACAATTAATGTTTGTTGCTCTATGTCTCGTGAATGATCATCCACAGTTAAATAGAGCCATCCTGGCTTCGCATTAGGGTTACAAGCTCATCATCGTCGAGGCAAAAGGATCTTCTACAGCACGAAGCGACCAAGGTGCCTCCATATCCATCTACCCTGCTTGAAAGAAGTCGGCGTACAAGCCATAATAAAACATTTGGTTGGAGAATAAACTATTTCCCAGACCCATATCCATATACGCGTTTAGACGACTCAATGCTAGTAAGCTAGCATGCTTCAAGTTGTATACTCTTGTTCTATCAATTCCATCTCTCTCCTAGCTCTCAGGGCAACGTTTTTGGTATAATCGTCACCTTTTTCGCCGATATAACCAAAGCGACACTTCCAAAATCCCCACCTTTCAAGGCACATCACGTTGGTACCTGGGTATAATGATCCTGTTGCAGCCGAGAGGCGTTCCTCATGGCCTTCTGTTCCATGAATCGCTGCCCCGTAGAGGAATACACCACTGTGCTTGATCCATTCTGCCGCCGCTCTGACATGAAATCCGCTCCCGGGAATCTCAGGCGGCTCTTCAAGGGCTTCTCGGAGCTCCCATATACCAAAGACGGTCCATGATATCGCGTCGAGCTTAAGAAGTCGCGCGGCGAACGCATTCAAATTAATCCACTCCTCTGCCTCCTGGCTTGCAATGGGGCCCTCAGTGGATTGGGGTGCTATTCGTGTGAGCAATGACCCAAGGAAAGGCTACTATGAAACTCACCAACCCAAGCTTCTCTCATGCTGGGACCCAGCAAAGGTAGATCTGCCCAGAGACGGATGGTCGACTATGGATAATCAATACTCAGCCCAAGTGGCCTTCTATAAGTTAACATGATATGGAGATAACCCACCTGCCAAACCTCAATGCTCAACGGTGGCAACCGTGTAAGAGCCTCCACAAGGTCTACTATGCGGTCTTGAAAGGGGTGGGCGTGTGGAACTTGCCGGGCAAGACGGATAAAGGCATCCCACACCTGCCAGAGAAATTCCTCAAGTTCGTCCTCCTGGACTTCTTCATGTGCTTTCTTTGAGTGCCTCACGGGATTGAGTTTGTCAATTTCCTCTGTGGCTACTCGAATAGAATCCGCATCAAAGCTATGAAGAAGACCTTCGAGGGTATGCATCACTTTTAGTTCAACAACGCCTGTCTCCTTATGGATGAGGGCTCGTAAGGAGAGGTTGATCGACATTGTTAACGATTTTCCCTCTCGTTCCAGGGGTGAAAATATGAGGCTCGACTTTTGGTCAAGAAAAAAGTTTGAGAGCACGCGAATCGTCGGTTGTCCGGGTTTACGGCTAGACCTTTGTAGTTTGGCATCGGACTAAGCTCTACGAAGGTTCTAACAGCCTAGATAACGACACTCCAAACTTTGATGTTGAAAACGCAGTCGACTAGAGCACCTGTAAAGAGAAAATACCCCTAGCGAATCCACAGTGGTAGGGGTTATATCACCTAAAATGCACTATATTAGTAATTATCGACGGTAATCCAGCTATCTAATCTTAACTGCCTTTGTGCAGAATGAGACCTAAGACACGACAAGCCCAAGAAATTAAGTTATCAATTCACTAATAGTTGTTTCATCCAGACTCACCACGAATCAGCTGTCGTTGGGGTGGCCTGTCATCAAGGTACTACCGGAAACCCGATAGACGACGAAATTACACCGAAATCCAACTGGTTTGATCTGATGTAACCTCTTGTCTCCCGTGCGATTGCGTTTGGCTAGAGTGTGGCATTGGATCAGGGCTTGGCCATGGCAGGATCGACGAGACCCACAGAAAATGTTTTCCAGACCGTTTTAACCTCGAAATTTTATTGCCTAAAGTGCTTGGCATGTCGAGGATATTGCTACATCGAGGTCTTCCTCTGTGAACTGTTATTCTCGCCGATTATGGCCTCATTAATAGGGTGCTGACTACATATTCCAGAGAAGTGACCTTCCCTCACCTCCATTAGCCATGTGTGATGTGTAGATAAGTAGTTCAGCTGGGTCTGTCAGAGACGCCATTCATTACACCATATTCATTATGAACCTAGAGCTTGACTTCTTATCTGAAAATTGTGGAATCTTAGGAGATGAGCCACAATGGTATAGCAATGATAAACTTTTATTTTGAGTTGCCAAGTTTCTTTTGAGTACAGCCCAATGAACAGATATAGCAGGTTACCAAATGTAAGCAGGCTACTGCAGGATTCCTGCAGCTCCAAATGGATAGATGTGCACTTCTGTCACACCACAGTCGATCTGCAATGGGACAATTCGGGTGGTAGTCACGAAATCAATCTACGGCTCCCCTAAATGCCTTCCACCTTAGCCACACTCAACAACAGAAACCCGCGCAAAGTAAAAATACTGCTATTATTGCCTTTCGGATCCGATAGAGTTGAAGGGCACATTGAACCGTGTGATTGATCAGGTTTCCGCTGCGGTGAGTTAGTAGCCTTGACTTAGAGACATTTCGAGGTAGTTTCACGAAGCCCCTGACACGCCAAGGTTGTGGGAAATAGAGCATGTCCTTGTTCAGGTTGAATGTGAAGAGGCGTGGAAATGGCCCGTTCCGGCAACTGGACTTTGATTCGGAACTGGGGTCTCCTGATATATGGCCTGAAAAGAAGATGGCTTACTTGAGTGTTCTCCCCGGAGCCTATATATACTGCAGTCAGCCCCTACGATACGTACCCAAAATTTCATAAGCTATTCTCCCAACCAATCTTCCCCCGCCTGTGACAATTGGATTTGACCTTTTACTATGCGTCCCTTTTTCTGGCTTGCTGCCTTTGGGGTAGTAGTGTCAGCATTACCTGGCCAGTCCATTGCAGACCAAGCCAGAAGTATCATTGTGAAGAAGGCAGACGAGCATGTCCAATTCGTCGATGCGACTGGAGGTGCCGAAACGCAGATCACGCGGCCCCCTTCAAAAGACGATGAGTATATTGTTCTCGATGGTAATGGAGGGGTGGACGCATGTCCTGTCGGATTGATTGGCAAGCGTCAGACGACCCCAAAACCAGCTCAGACTCCGGAGAATATCGAAAGGACATTGAAGGAGCTGCAACGCCGCTGGCTTAGACAGGAGCTCGTGGGCCGTGCCAGTACGTATGCAGTTGTTTAACACAATGGGAGTATACTGACCTCTAGTGAAAAGGATATCCTCACGTGTTTAATAATTATGAAAGACTCCCGTTCCCGGGATTTGAAGATACGCAACTATACGAATTTCCTCTCCTGCCCTCCACCGAGCCGATCTATAGTGGGGGCAGTCCCGGCGCTGTCCGAATCGTGTAAGTAGAATTCCTTTCTTCGTTTGCATGTTCCGATGCTGATCAAAGCCTTGCCAGAGGTGCAATCTCCAGCAATGGTCAGGTTGAGTTGGCCGGGTTCATCCGACACCCACCAGGAAACCGTGGAGGGTTTGAGTTGTGCCCCGAGTCTGCTGCAGTAGCCTCTACCACCACTATCTCTCCTGATGTTGACGACAGTGTGTGTGAGGGGGTTCCCCACACGCATGATGAGAACCGAAGGGCTATACAGCTTGACTCTGGACTGGTCCGGCGAGATCCATCAGATGCGCTCCGCAGACTCTGTCAGTCGAAGCAACGGATTGGAGCAGGCGTTCAGACTGGAACTGATGGAGAAGTATGGTTTTTCCGGGGCGACGAATACATCCGCTACTCAACCAATGACGAAAGCATTCATTTCCGAAAGAAGATCTCGGACGGATGGCCAGGACTTCGCAATACCCCATTCAGTGAAGACATCGACGCCGCGGTCAAGACTGAGACCTCAGATGAATATTGGCTCTTCAAAGGAGACGAATATGTTCGCTACTCTACAAATGGCGAAAAGATCCATTTCCGAAAGAAGATTGTTGAAGGCTGGCCGGGGCTGAAAAACACGCCATTCACCCAAGGTATCGATGCGGTGATCAGAAGCGAGACGAGTGGAGAGATATGGTTTTTCAAAGGTGATGAGTATGTCCGCTACTCAACCGACGACGAAACGATTCATTTCCGAAAGAAGATTATCGACGGATGGCCAGGATTGAAGGACACCCCGTTTGTCCGTGATATTGATGCCGCAGTCAAGACTGGCACCAGTGAAGAATATTGGTTCTTCAAGGGTAATGAGTACGTTCGTTATTCGACAGAAGATGAGCGCATTCATTTTCGAAAGACAATCGCTTCAGGGTGGCCAGGGTTGAAGAACACGCCCTTCAGTCGACGACACAAGCGTACGGGGGCATGAATGGGGTTATGGAGGGCCTGCCAATTGAACTCATCCTAGGACTTTTTCCAGTGGGGCGTAATATGTTTCATCTTGTGTCTGAGATGTTTTGTCCTCCTGCCGCATATATACATATCACACAGAAGTCAGGTCTTCGTCATCTAGGAACACAGGGAAAGAGAGCTCTTCTTTAGACAGCATGAGTAGGCCCCTTGTCGGTAGACCTTGTTTCTCTCACTGCGATCGTGATAACGAAGATCATCTGTTCAGCTTCATAATAACAGTCTCTAGGATGGGTTGCTAATGAATGGATAATGGCCGCCAGATCGATCACAATCTGAAGCTCTGCGCAAAGAACCATGATTATTCTCTCTCTTAGCCATAATAGAGCCATAAAACCATTTTCCTTCGCTTTCTTTTCCTTTTGTGGCTTAGGGGAAGATCTAAAGCGGACACGGGCTCAAAACTGATTCAGCTGGCTTGTTGTCCCCGTTGCGCACTAGATTAATTACTCACGACAGGTCGATTAATAAATGTGGTAAATAATACCCATATAATTCATAGGCTATCCAGTCAGTGCCTAACCTAACAAGAGGTGATCTTACCAACATCCGTGGGTTCTCAAAACTCCGCCAACAGAGCGGGCCGTCGCGGACGTCCTAAAAATGAAGAGAGGATATGTCCCAAGGGAGCAAGTAGGACGTCGATCAATGTCTCGAGTTGCTGATCCCGCCAATCATACAACCGATGCGAACCTCGATGCTTCCCAAAATTGCGCTGTTCTTTGAGGGACGCTTAGTTCCAGCATAGCAGCGGGGTTTTATGGGATCCTGCCAGCTAACTAGCCTGAGAATTCGGTCAGAGGGAAATGCGGAGAAGGTTCGGAGTGAGGATTCTATAGTCAACAGGATTGGAGAGGGTTCTGAAAATGTCAGAGATCACTTTAATCACTCCAGAGGAGCTTCAATGCCGAGGATCTACACTGGCTTGTGATATGGATCTTGGTTCTTGTCACCTAGAAGAATCCTATCGGACAATCCAATCTCCTCACGGAATACGGAGTAGAAGGTCTGTTATTACATGCCTCATAGACTTTTCCCTGTGGCTCTCCCACTTATAGCCAATCATTATATTAATGTTACATCCGACATCCAATCTAGACCGCGTCCAAATGGCGCCAGAAGGACCAGTTTAGACCAAGATTTCCCCGCACGCAAATCCTCTAGCGGATAAATCGTGCAGATTGTGGGGATATGTAAGGGGCTGATTGGATCTGAATCATCTTGTCTGATCGCGCCAGACTTTTGAGAACTAGGAGAAACCGCATGTTTAAGAAAATCTCACCGGCACATACATGTGATGAAAGTAAATGGCCATGAGCTGGGATGGCTAGGTAGACGCCGAGGATCCACGAGGATATCAAGAGATATAGGGAAGGATTGGTGGAAATACTCGAATGGAACCGTAACAGAGACCATCACGCGGATGGCACCATAATGAGCTAAACGAAGGACTTCGTAAATAGCCTCTTGGATTGCCGATCAGTCTTTCAATGGGGCATATAAAGAGCGTCCTCTGGTCTTTGTCTGTAACTCTCCAACACAGCCCAAAAACAGATCTCCCCAAGCGAAAAAAAGTCATCGCGAACGCAAAGCTTCAATATGCATTTCACTCTCACAACCACGATCGTCACTGCTCTCCTCAGCCTCGCAGCTGCCAGCCCTCTTCTTGCTCGCGATGCGTCAACCGTCCTCGGTGACCTGGCTAAAATCAAAACCGATCTTGGCACCTTGAGCAGCGCGGTATCGGGCTACAGTGGCGGGCTTTCTGCGGCGCTGGACATCCAGACCAAGGAGAGTGCGGTCGAGAAGGATGTCGATAAGGCGACCGCCGATACCAATGCTGCGGCCGCGTTTACCGCGGGCGAGAGCACAGGTGTCACCAATGCACTGCTAGGCTTGAAGCCGGATATCACCGGAGCCATTGATGCTCTTGTCGCCAAGGTAGCGTTGCACTGCTTTCTTTGTCTCATATAGGGTGAAAGAGCTGGCTAACAGAAGATTAGAAATCACTCTTCGTGTCCGCCGGAGTGAGTAGTATTGTCAAGACCGACCTTCAAAATTTGAAGTCAAAGACGGATACCCTTTCTATTGCTTTGCAGAACAAGGCGACAGCTACGGACAAAGATACTATCAAGTCGGGCACTGCTGATGTTGATGCTGCCTTCCAGAGCGGTCTCGCAGCGTATGCTTAGAGTACCCTGGCTCATTTCTACCGATTGGGCTTGCTAAATGATGTCGTCGGTCGAGTGTAGTTAAGTCCATAGTCAGTGAACTAGCAAGCCATGTTGGCCATTGTGATGCGCAGCGTCTATCCCATGTTACCAATATATTTTTAGCATCATAGTGGAATTGTGCAACATGGTTCAGAGGGCTTTTTATTAGGTCAAGTCCCTGCATGGCTCAAAGAGAGGGCTAGAGTGACCAATGCTACCTGAAAGGAATTGCCTCATTCTCTTTGGCACTATAGACAACGCATCTCACTGTAGTACTTTATCGAACAAGGAGCTCTACATCGATGAACAGACATTATGCATAATGACGTATACCCCCAGATACAAAGGGGATTATTGTATGTATGGTGGCTCCTTAGTTTCGACATGTCGCATTGTTCTCTTCAAAACATATATTGACATGCTGACCCGCAGGTTCTCATCAACTATAAACACCTCCTTTCTCATTCTACAAGTACCAGCCAGATTTGTCGGAATTTTCTTTCACATCCGACGACTTGTCGCGTTTAAAGTTATCAGACATGGCAAAGATGAATCTCTTCGGACTTTTGCTGTTCTATATGATCCTCCTGGTTGCTGCTGGCCCTAGTCCTTCGGCCCACGACACCAATAGTGTATCTACTCTGCCCACTCCTGATCATGATTCCCAGAATATACCTGACGTAACCGATGAGAACGAATACGCGGAATTCGAGCCTGAATCCAATCGCAAGACTGTGCCACCGGGGGTAGAGAAAGACCACCCGAACGTCCTCACGCGCCGGAGAAAGAAATTGTGTCATAAGATACGCTGCCGTAATAAAGGTCATCACTGATAGAGGAATCTCGTTCCAGAAGGTGTGTACATGGGAAGCCTTTGACGGTGCTGTCAGTTGTGGACTAAAGTAGCCTGTATGCAAGAGATATCCCCGGGTATCTTGGAATGCCCTATAAGATCTCATTATGCACCTGGACACATTGACGTTGTGGACACTTACAGATCGCAAGTTTTGGCCCGCTAGTCCTGGTCATGAGGCGTGCCTTTTTTTGCAATTAACTAACTGCATGTTCTGATGTGGTTTAAAGAATGAATACTCTTCTATTTTACTTCCATGAACAGGCAGCACATCGTTGCAATCCGGTCTTCGTTCCTTCCTCTTGGAATTAAGGCTTGCGCCTCTTCTCACTACTCCTGCCGGCAGATGAAGCGGGAATTGCGGACAAGGGATGCCTTATAGGCATCGCGTAAGCGTAGGATAGCTTAGTAAAGGGTATGGAGTTGGTCCAGAAGGACGCTTTCCCTTGTATCAATATTGTACGTCTAAATATCAGATAATGATGTTGACCAGTATGTACGGAGTGTTGAATGCTTACATCCAGTACAATGTACAGACTGTCTATGATCTTGTAAACGAAAATCTGTACTCGTGCATCTAGCCTCCGGATGCATACTGTGGTATGGAGACACCATATTGACTAACATTTCTTACTGGGCATCTGATAGGGCAGCTGAGGGGCCTAGATTAAACAGATTGTATGGCTGAATGGGATGACTGTTAATTATGGAAGAATGGGGCTGCCTTCATATGGTTGAACTCTCTTTGGGAATAGATCTATTTATACACCTGCGGAAAAAAGTGACCAAAGCATAAACAAAGAAGTACTTGGAAGACAACGGATGAACATTCAGTCATTTCGTCCCTATGAATATACACATACACGCGACGACGACAGCCCCCCAGCCCAGCGAAGGAACAGCACGGGCATTTGACGCGCCCAGTTCCGTGCCATTTATGGCAGTCAGGTCGGGCCACGTTGCTCCTGTGCTGGAAAATCCGGTTTATCAAAATGTCTGAGCACAGATATCCCTCTAGGTCAATTCCATTGAATGATCGACTGGACGCTTTGGGAAGTGGCGGTGCATCATGCCAGTAAGGAGGATTGTAGTTAGATCAATGAGCCCTACCCAGACGCGACAAGTATAAGTTGAGCACGATTGCACCTGGCTCCAATGGCTTGGAGGAACTCCACCAGGCTGTCTTCTTGCTCTGGGTCTGTCGCAGGAGTCTTGCACACTTGATGGAACTTTCTCCACAACAGAAACTAGCTGTAGCCGCCTCCATTCGTTCCTAGCAGGGGTTTCAAACCACGAGCTATGCTATCAGTACTTGGGGGGTATAGCCATCCATCTTTGACATTAACTCCACGACGGTGACATGTTTCAATCGCCGAGAAAGGGGGAAGTGCCTGTACAGGACCTCCGCATCATTTCCCTACCCACCACCTGTGGGATAGTCTTTAACAATGCGGTCGTCAATGCAATATTATCTGGGGCGATCAGAGTCAATTACTCTGTATCTCTCGATGTCCGTAGAGGTGTCCTATACCAATTCATCTACACATGGCGCATTTCGACGATGTTCGGACATCTCACGCAGTACGCGTAAGTCCATTTTATTATGTGAGATATACACTAGATTGAAACAATGGGAGAGAGGGGGGACAACTAACCCATCAAAGTCCTTACATGTCAGGTGAAGGCACTTGAGAGAATACTGTTTGAGCTGCCTGAATATATACTCATGAATCAAAAGGATAGCCGCAGGTCTGTCTGGGATATTCATCTTGAACCACTGGAACTAGCTTCTGGTTTCTGGTTCAATACGGAACACAAAGGACGGAAGCCAGGTTCACTGAAAAATTGCGGGGATCCTAAAGCTGGGTTCGGAGTTTAGTATTTGGATTTCCCTGCCGTCTTTGTTGCAGCAAGGCAGAGAAGTAGGAAGTGAAATCGAGCACACTAGACCCCCATCTAGTTTTCTACTTCTGTGTTGCATGACTGTTATCATAGACAAGTGTGTATAGAATATAGCTTCTATATATTACCATTGTAAGAAAATCAAAATATCTTGGGGTTTTGCAAGATATCTCGAGACTATTCTTGTCTGTTTTGGGCATACTCTTAACTTAGATTGATTATTAATTGCCATCTTTAACTGACTAGATATAAAGGAATATGATCTTATCCAACAGGTGATGGCCTTCTCCGTGCCTTATAAAACGGTTGCTGTTATTGCGGCCTATGACAATGTGGACGAAGACCTTAAGGTAAGAACTATGAGTCCCTGGGTCTTTTTGAAATGGGATGCTTATGTATAGTACCTCTCATCAGATTACTTATGTCTATCTCAATGGGAAGGGCGCAGATCGCTGCCCCACTCCTGTAGATCCGTAGAGGCTACGCAAGCGCAACTTGGACTATGAGTTCGTCCGTCAGTTTTGCTACACAAGGATAACCACATATGCCCGTACGATCCTTGGCAACCTCGCAGGCAGGATTGGCATTTACTCAACTGCCGACTTCAGATAACATTTGCATAAATGTTGCATTTGGCTTACAAAAAATGAGCCAGAACGATTACCTTCTGTCCGCGACCATTCTCGCGAGGCCCAGTTCTGATACACCGGTCTATTTTTCAGTTAATATCACTGGGCTAGAGTATCAGCTCTATACGTTTCGTCCTCAATCTAGCTCAGGTCATGCGGCGATCCATACCACCATATTTAAAGAGATACCAGTTGCAAACTAGCGGGTCAATCGAAATCGTGTATAAAAGAACCACATACCGTCTTACCGTGCGCGGTGGAGCGGGACCTATCATTTCTACTGAGTCGACGAGAGAAGTAAAGCTTATAAGAGGTATCTGGGACAACAAGAGACACAGAACATTTACCGCCGAATGGATGATAACCAGACGGTGGCATTCATCCCTGAAATACAAGTCACTTCGATTAACTTCGATTATGATCATAAAAATATAATAAAGAAAATCCAAGGAAGCAAAGAGGGCAAGGATCAAGGAGATCAGTTAAAAGTTTCGAACGGAGCTTTGTGTAAGGAAGGCATGGCGCAAAATTAAAACGGGACGAAGTCTCTTAGGATAGGATCAAGAGGAAAGTTTAATATATGTCGACTATTATATAAAGAAAATTTATGATAGATGGTAGTCGTACCAAGATATTGGATTATTCCATATAGACGCAGGCGGCTTTGTGTTGGAATACATTTTGAATCAGACATTAAATAGTAGATTTTAGAGTACTATGCTTACACATTCCGGAAGAAAACCGACGGAGAGAACGTAGAGCTTTACTATGGCATGATTCACTTATTGTTACCCGACTGACGTAAAGTTGAACATAAGGTAAATTCCCCAGTAGAAATGGCTCAGAGATTACAAGGCCACTCGGTGGCCGACTCCGTGAAACTGGCTTTAAACCTTCTGTTTTGCTTGGACCCTTATATACTTTCAATACAACTCACATAGCCACTGTTTATCCAACCAGACTTCCGAACGTTTAGACCAAACAGAAGCTTTCCACTTTCGTCTCTCTGAAGAGCGACCAGTTGTAGTGAAGATTCATAACCGAAAGATAAGTCAGACCGAATCTTGGTACGAGTAGAGCCTCATTAAGCTGTAGATTGGCCAGGATCCTAAAACAGAGATGCCGCGGAATGATTAGAAACGTCGATTATTTGAAGGCCAAGCAGCGCAAAACCACAGAGAGGATCGGCGGTTCGAAATCTATATTACGTGAACAGGGTTTGCCTAGATCGTTTGCGTATATATTGCTTATTTGTCTGCCAGGAAGGCACCTACTGACATTAAAAAGAGCTACCAATGACTTCGAAGTACATTTGATCCAGGATTTCATCGTTTATCTATTACTCAGTGATTCAAAAGTGTACATTAACGTCAAATGCGTCTTAGTCTAGCTATCAGGGTTGCCTTCGGCGCTACCTTGATCCAAGGCAACCCAACCATGCGCCCCAAAGCGCTAGTCTACCGTGGACCTGCCGCCTGTGAGCAATGTCCCAGAAGCTGTGGGGGCCCTCTTGGAGTCGTCCCCATCCTCCTTTGAAGTGAAATACGTTGGTCCGAACGAAGATGACGACGTCAATGAGACGTCCCTTGCGTGGAGCCCATGTCTACGCCCACCCGGGCGGCGATGGTAAGCCTAACGATCGTAGGCTATCCGCGCAAGTAATGATAGTAAATATTGCAGGTTGCGATGACGCATGGCAGCACGCTAAGCAATACAAACACGCGATCCGCAAGTTTGTTTCCGATGGTGGACGGTTCATGCGATCCTGTGTCGGTGCACATCTGGCTGGACCGTATGGTCTCTTACCATCGGGATCCGATGTAGATCGAGAGGTCACGCAGTCAGGAGCACTAGTCAAGGACGAGAACGACACAACCATATAGGTGGACTGGGCTTTTCGGAACTGGAAGCCCGACGGGACGCCTGGATAAGGGTCAGTGGGTGTACTTCCAGGATGGCGCGGTGATACATTTGCCGGTCACTTATCAGGGCGTTGTTATGGGACGATGCTCCACCAACCAGGAAGTCGCAGTCTCTGTGACTCCGTTTGGCAAGGGCTGGGTTGGTTTGGTTGGACCACATCCAGAGGCAGACGAGAGCTGGTGTAAGTCTCATCGTTCATTGCGTAAAATATCTGCTATTAATCGATGGCTACAGATGAGGACGCCGATATAACTAACCCGGAGGGAGTTCGCTTTGACATCGGTCATGATTTTGTGGAGACTATCATGGCCCAAGACAAAGGGTGATTGAGGGCCATTGAAGAGCCAATGTGGACAATTGTCGCCCTGAAGTTTTGGGGGGAGGGGGTTGTTGTCTGCACAGGAACATAGCCATTGATATTGAATAATTGGACCTTCTCTGCTGACGTTCTTCCACATCATACCTACTACTCAATTGTTTTGAAAGCGACAATAGGATGTCCTTCTTGAGTGAATATGTTTCTTACTCTATAAAAACCAGAGCTAGAATGCGAAGTTGGAAAGGAACCAGGGCAGTAAGTTCTTTTGAGAATGTTCGATATAGACAGTAAGAAGTTTCTTCCTCTGTACTATCCCTCAATTACACTAGTAAAAGGCTGAAGTAGAAATATCGCTACAGCCAATCAGTAAATATACTTCATATAGCCGGTAGGGAATATCAAAGCCATCAACTAATAAGAGGAATGTAAACAAGATCCAGGGTTCGCATTTCCACACATACTCAAAGATATCCGCTTGCCTTGACTGCACACTTGTAATTGAAATACCGGCCTCTTGATGTTAACCGCTACATACTAATCCATAGAAAATTGCAGAGTTACGGATACGGTGCTCCTGAGTGTGTTCCGGGGAGCTACTCGATTCTGGTCGCTTTCTTCCATCACACGGAAGCTTTGCCCTGTACCCTGCACACAACAATTTTCTTCGCTGGAGCATTGCGTAGCTTTGTCAAGGACGCACCAGTGTTAGATCCCAAGGATCTTGGCTTCTCCACCCAAGGGCGCACTTCTCGTGGGATCACACCACCAGCGGTAGCGATCATGGTAGACGCGGTTCGATCGTGGGAAGTGCTGATGGGACAGGGAGAGCAGCATGCCCAGGGCGCTGGGTGGGAGCATGCAATGCGGTCATTTAGCCATGCTCCCCGGTCGCTGTGTCCCCAGTCTTTATGGACAGGCTGAGAGCTTGTCAGAGTCGGCAAGCGATAAGCATATCGTGCTAGGAAAGCTAGGTTGTACGATGGATGATTTGGAAGATACGACAAGGCGGAGAAGTAGTTGAAAGTGCGCTGAATGGGCTTGGCTCAACACCTTTGCATGTCGACTTTGATGGAAAGATGAGGGTAGTCTATAGACATGTAAATTGCCTTGATGATGCGAAGCGAGAGGTCGAGACACAGTATAACTAGCAAGGGAGCTAAAGCTAGAACATCCCATCTGCCGCTCTATCGAAACTACCAGCTTTCGAGAGATTCGCTGCCTCTAGCCATTCACCAGGTAAGGGACCGTATCCATGTCGCTTGATCCAATGAAGCCTCCATGGGATCGCGTGGGAAATGTGAAGCCATCGTCCGAGGGACAACTAGATTGTCTCAACTGTCTCGGCTATACTGACTGTGGTCTCCCAAAAGACGCAATTGCCACGACTCGGGAATCAGTGAAAGCTGCCCTCACTCTAAAGACCAGGCAGTGGCTGTAATGCCCCGAAAGAACCTTCCAATAAGCATTTGCCATATTTACAAGAACTAGTAGATATTTGAGTCGATATGGACCTTATCGATGAAAATGGGCATAGTGCGTTCGATTAAGCTGTATTTTAAGGCGAAAAGCAGACAGCAGAAGTCGTTCCTGATAGGCCTTGGCAAGGTTTTGGGGAGCAGGCGAGGGACAAGCAGCGGCAAAGAGAGGCTTGCGCTCGAAAATGCTATCGGGGATTGTTTCAGGAAGTGTGCGGCTCGTGCTTCTAGAGGACAGCAATATTGTAAGCCAACTGGAGTAATTACGATGCGTGTATGCCGCGGTATTGTGGCATCTGAAGAGAAATTTATATGTATGGTGAGCTTAAGTGTCTGCGCTACCTGGACTTTCTGCGTAATGGCCAACTTCCACGATCAAAGCACGGCCTGACGCAGAGCTATCGAGATATAGTGCCCGACCTTATGCCAGATTAGATCGTTTCTATATCATATCGACAGATCACCGTTAATCCAGCGTGTGTAGAATCAGTTGGTGACATCAATCACACCCAATATCACAAGATGATCAGAGCAATCAAGGCATCCTTAGATGCTCACGCATGCGTGAACCCGCAGAAGGTAGGGATTTGGATGGCGAGTTCTGAAGTATGAATTCTGTCGAAGGGATGATACGTACCTATGTTCAAACATAATTTAGCCAGCATGGACCAGGATGATCCATTACCTGGAATTTCAGCCCTCCCTTACAACCTCGCCCAGAGTGATACTGTAATTACCCTTCTCGCTAATAATAGCTACCACAATTGTGCTTGGTACTCTGTCGAAGTCATGAATATACAGATTCTCTGAAGGTCGTATGATCTGTCCTCGTGGTATGAGCATATCAAAATCGAGAACACAGAGCATGAAGTAATAAAGAATTCTAGCCGTCAGTTGCAGGTAAACTACGGAGGACTAAACAGAATACGCCTAGGATTAGAGAGACACGCGAGAACGCTCGGTCAGGACCAAAACGAAGTGCCGTACTTTTGCAACTCAGGCAGGATATTACCGCATTTGTTCGATCTAGTCTCATTCAGTTCGCGTCACAGCCGACATCTATAATTGGATGACCAAGTGACATATTCCAGACACCATGCCGTGCCGACGAACTGATTTGTTACTTGCCGTTGACTAGTGCATGATCAGCCTATTCTTGATGTACTCCTTGATGCTTCGAGCGGCCTGTGTTGGCATCATGGCAATGTACATGACATATGCCATGCAACGGTTTGTTATAACATGCAACGGACGTATGGCTTCTAGGAGATTGCTTTGCCACTTTCAGAGTAAACATAGTTTACAGGAGAGGGCCCTTATTGGCAGCATCAGTGAGACGTGCTATCCACCCCAACTTCACTGTCAACAGCCAAGTTCTAGCCTCCTAATCTGAAGTTATACTCTGCTACCTGACGCTGACGACGGTAAGAACTATGAACAAGGATCAGCGAATCGCTTGAAAACCTGTTAGCAAGTGTTTTACGTAAGAATGATTGTTCAGCGAGTCAGTCTCCATAAAATAGACTGTCATAGAGGATCATTTCCTGGGATTAGAGGGACAGCGACCCTTCCGCTTTCATCTATCATCGAACCGGTATTTTCTCCTACGGTCTTTAGACTTTTGGTCCAGCCCACCTTTTACTACGATCGAGCCACTGATAGAGCTTTCCTTACGTATGAGCCAACTAGTCGGGTTGACGTTTTTGGGTTCGGGGGTAGTATGATAGTCCTGCTTGTCACATTCCTTCCGTTGTTTACCGTGGCTGTGCATAGGTTGGACTTCCTGGAATTGCATATTTGATCACTGGGCATTTCTGATTGGTCCACAGGTTATCAAAAGCAAGGAAAACCATACCAACTGGAGAATGTATCCCAATAACGTTGTCCCCGTCCTTCTTCCGATATTCCATCTGTACGATGCTTCCGTAGCATCCCCTGTTACCTATGAGTACCCACTCTGACTGGTGGAAGGCAGAGAAAGTTGAGGGATTTGCTAGGTCACAAATCTAGGTTTGTGCGCTCGGGCCTCTTGAACCTGGTTAGAGAATTCCTCATCCCCAGGGGATCCCCAGGGGAGGGTAGTAGGTCAATCCCCGGCTAGGTAGCATTTTCAGCAAACCCCGATCGAAGAGTAGTCTCTTGTTGAAGTTGCATTGCTTCGACGTAGCGTTCATGTGCTCTATACGAACATCCTCCACTAGAGTCTGTACAGCCCGTGTGAGGAAGAGGTGAGGGCTGGGAAGGGGTGCGGCTTTACTGCATGTTCGTTCCAAACAGTCCCTTTTACCGAGCCTCCCAGCAATAGCGAAAGGGCGGAAAGGGGGTGTTGCGCCGATCTACACGGTCCAGGGCTAGACTTGCGCCGTTATATTTCCTGTTTCACTGCTATTGAGCAGTGATCTATAGGGAGCTGCCCAGAGGAATTAGCTACAAATATCAATAACTCAACCCTCGCTTCGCTACTGATACTTGACTGCGCAGGTTATCCCTTTCATCAGCATGGATTTTGCAGTCCCTGTTCCGGTTCAGAAAACATGTTGGGTGCTGCCGCTTTGCTATATACTTGGCCACTATCTGCTCTGCGCATTCTCTATGACATACACGCAGGGAACCTCTCCCTGGCGTCGGCTTTACTTTATTCTTGCTCTTTGTCTAGTTTACTTGCAGACCAAATCCTTGGCGCCATTGATTGCCGACCCGCCAATCAAGGCCGTCGTGTACATGCATGCATTTCTACACGCGTTTCACATTCTGAACCTTCTCTTAATCCTGAAGGTTGACAATCTAGACTATCAAAAGAAGATACTGGCGCAGCCGTGCGAAAGCCGGGGGAAGAATTTGTTGTCGGCACTGTACCTGTTACTAAGTTACCGCGGTATTCAGACTAAATGGCAAGCAAAGAACACCCCCATGTTCCCACTCTACTTTAGCGGCCGGGCTACCATCTGCAGTTTGCGATTTTGTTTGCGACAGTGTGTGATTTCGCTGTGGCAACTCGTCGTATTTGGACACTTAGTCTTGGCTTCACAACAACTGGTGCCTGCCAAGACAACCTGCGGATACATTCTCGCTGCGCTCGTGGATCACAGTGGACTGAATATTGGTCTTTGGGTGGTGATGTGGGTTACCCTTGCCCGCATAGTGATTGACAGTACCTATCGGCTAGCTAGTGTGGTTTTTGTAGCCACTGGCATATGTGCACCTGAAACCTGGCCGCCATTTTTCAATAGCGTGTTTGATGCGTGGACATTACGACGGTTCTGGGGACGATACTGGCACCAGTTGTTGCGTTGGCCTTTCACCGCGGCAGCTACTATCTTTGTCGAGAATATATGTCGCCTGTCCAAGCCGGGCCTCTTGGAACGATACCTACGTGTGTTCTGTGTCTTCACGCTCTCTGGCGTTCTTCATTCAATATTTGATATCTGCATTGGTGTACCTCTCCAGGAGTCCGGTGCCTTCCGTTTCTTTTGTGGTTTTACACTGGGTTTCATGATTGAAGACGGCGTTCAGAGCCTGTGGGCTCATATGCTGGGGAAGTCGAAAGGACTGGCTCTTGAGAGCGAGGAGAGGATAGAAGCTGAGGTTGACGGAGGGAAGACCGCAACACCCTTATGGCAAAAGGTTGTGGGGTATATTTGGGTGTGCACCTGGCTTTCCATGACAACGGGCCCATATATACAGCCATTGTTTAGTAGACTATGTCAGCACGGCGTCGCAGATGACTTTGTCAGATTTATTGAACTAGTTAACCACTCGGCAAGCATGAAGGACGTCAGCATTGCTGCCCTATGTATTTGGTTGACGTTTGGCCCATTCATGTGAAGCCCTTCAGCGTACTATCGGACCATTTGATTGCTTTACTGTATCAGGCTGTACTACCGCCGAAGGAGGAGGTGCTGCTCGCGATGCACGGAGATCCGCGCGTTAGGGGTAATGTTGCTTTCTAAATTGTTTCCGCCTATCATTCCTATAGGTGAGGTCATTTTAAAATGAAATGGGGATGTGGGTTACTGGTGAAATGTTCGCGTAACGTGTGAAACGTCAAGGCTGAATTCCTCGCATCGCTGTCCTTGTTTCTTTCTTTTTCTTTTCTTTTTCCCTCTCGTCCAATCTAGATTCATGGCCCTTCTTGCGGCTATCCGTAAGACCGGGATAAATCCTCGGTATGGATGAAGCAGTAGTTAAGACATGTATACCCACCAAGGCATGGCAAACTCCTGGCATACACGGTCACGGACTCATGTATACGTGATATGTTCTTGTCTTCAACGCTATATACATGGATTGGGTCAGCATGCTATAGGGAGCAGGTGGGAATCATGTCTAAGTGATTGTCTTTCCTCGCTTTGCTCTTTAATATTTTCTTTTTCATTTGAAATTCTTCTGCTGCATTCCTCCGTCTCGTGAAGGAAACTAGTAGTGGATACTATATTACTGAAGAGCCCTAGAGTCATCTTACCTTAAGCTCAGTTGGCTACGGCCCGAAAATATGCAAGATTGCCAGGGAATTGTATTTCCCAGTAGCGTTGACCATACCAATGAGAGTACTACTAGGATAACCAGACTACTCGCCCAAGTCCATGCGCGAACGCGCTTTTCCTTACATGTCAACTTAGGCCACCCGGCGCCGCAGCGTTGAGGCAGCGGGATGAAACAGAGAGCAGTTGCGTCCGCCAGCAATTTCAACATCAATTCCATCGGTTTCTTTCCAGCATACGGCACGTAATATCGCAAAACCAGTCGGTATAATGGATTATCACTAGTATGCATGCGGACAACAATCCGTGATGCTTGAAAAATCCTTCTCACTCGGGCAAATTGCATCTTGCTGAATCGGTCAAGGAGGCCGTCTATTTCCATATCGGAGAGCTGGTGGTCGAGGCTCGCACACCCTAGAGCTCGATGCAATTCATTCGCTAAGGCAGCCGCATCTTCAATAGCACAGTTTGCGCCTTGGCCAAGATTGGGTGTCATCTAGATTCCTATCGTCAGAGCTTTGGGCGATGAACTCACGGCAGTGATCGTACCTTATGCATATTATCCCCGATACAGACTATGCGCCCAAAGTGCCACGTCTGGAACACATTTTCCTCCAAAAGGGTTACGGAGTAGGTCTCACGTGCTAGCCATAATCGCCCAAAATCGATATTCTCTGTAATAAGCAAGTCTTTCAGTTGCTCACATAACTTGGCCGCATCTGGAGGAGAGAAACGTGGTGCGCTATCATATCGGTAGGCTGTGTCGAGCTTGAGCACCACGAACCAAAAAAGGCGCCCGTGTCTCGCAGGAACGACAATAATTGATCTTCCCTTATCCACGCTGGTGATCTGATGGCCAACCTTCAGGCCCGGGATCGTAGACGAGATACCGAAGATACAGGCATACTCGGCAGTCAACCCTACAGTATGAATCCTTTAGTACCTGCTCAATCCATGGGACAGTATACGGCTACTTACCACTCTTCTCCTGCTTAGTGACTAATCCTGGCCGTCGCAGATCAGCCAACCGCCACATTTCCGTCCGCACACAGCTGTGGATTCCGTCGGCGCCAACCACCATATCACCCGCATAACAGCTCCCATCCTGTGTGTAGACTGCTACAGCGCCTCCCTCCAGTTGTGTGAGACGCACGACGGCCTTGTTCGTGTGTATGCTAGCTTTTTGAGGAAAAAAGGAGTATAGAATCTGCAATAGCTGCTGTCGTTCAACAAAGGCCAGCCCAAACCCAAACCTAGACAGTGATGAGCTCATCGAATCAATTTCTAGTGGCGGCGAGGACAACATACCGCTGCTGGAGTGTGGTTGGATAATCACTGGTAAAGTAGAATCCGTCGGGGTAACGAACGTGAGATAGATATAGTGGCTCAATGAGCCCTGCTACCGCGTCGTACAACCCTAGCTGCGCCAGGATTCGTCCGCCATTCGGTAAGATGGCAACGGAAGCGCCCTCCTGGGGTGCTATTTCATGTCGTTTCTCGAGAACAATGCAGTCAATACCTGCTTTATACAAACAATGTGCTAAGGTCAGCCCTGCGATGGATCCTCCGACGACGATGACTTTGAAACGGGGGACCTCCATCACTTGAAGGAAGCTAACGTCATAGAGGAGGTGCGAAGAAACAGACAGTAACGGGGCTTAGAGGATTGTGTGTTTAAGCTGAGCTTCCAGTCAGGGTATATCCATTTGCATAGTACATTTATAAAGAAAATCTTACTCTAGTTTTTGGTAGAGTAATTTCTATGAAAGCCCTGCTCGTGGGTTTGATTCATATCATGTAACCCATGATACCTGGATGGTATACCATAATGTGACCTAGACGTGTGTATGTATGCCTCATTCCAACTCTGACAGGTAGACGATTGGGACCCTATTGAATTTGGAAGATACTTCCTGGCCAGGGGTTAGGAATGTGAGTGGGGCTCTGGGACTAACCGGCATTCTACCTAAATTACCAGATGCTACCATATCCCCGTTTTATCTTCTAATCCATTTCATCGTCCTTTTTCCCGGTAAACAGTTCGTGACAGAATCCAACTTGTGCTGTTTTAAACATGAAATATGCGGGACTTGGTGTAGGCAACTCAGCCGGGGGATAGAGGCATACACGTTCGGCGTACGAAAGAATGTGCTAACAATAATGTTGATCTTGACATTCCAAGGATACATATTTCAGTTGGTTTGGAATGTACCATATTAGGTCCCACAATGGATTGGTAGAGCAAAACCATGATTTAATCCTTCCCAGACATACAAGCTTGTGGGATAGATTTATGAAGAATTCATCGTACTAAACGCCATAAAGAGTACTCTGGCAGTTATCATTCCCCCATCTAGATACTCTTTTGCCTCCCTCCGCCCTTGATTTGATGTGTTTCCTCATATTTATAAATATTCCAAAGACAGATGCCATACGAAACATCTAGAATAAAGAATGCTGCTGTACCCCACCAACCTAGGGGGCTGTTGAATATAACATCCGTGTATCCGTAGTGATACCTCAAAATCTCATGGGGTAGACAGAGACTCGTTCCAATAAAGCGAGTGGCCCTACTCCAGTGATAGAGGGTTCAGCTTAGCAATGTAACCTACTGTGAGGGTGGCCTACCAGAGAAAGAATGACGTGCCCCGAGTGCTTCCCCGGACAAGAAGTTGGCACAACGCACCTGCGCTCAGCAGCAGTTGGCAAACCATGGCACCCCAACCCTGAGCGAGATGTGGCCCCATGTGGATGACCAAGGCCAAATGGACCGTAATCCAGCCGACGATACTGATCGCAAAAATGTATCGGATGTTACGCTGCACGAGAGGCGCATGTTCCCATTCATTGGGCGCGAATTTCATGGCTGTGTAGATCACGGCCACGTTCAAGCCAGACCAGCACACATAGACTGCTGGCCACATCCCATTCTTTTCTGGAGTGATGAAGCCGTGGACTAGCTCCCATGCAAAGTTGCAACAGAGTGGCATTAACGCCATGGCATATGTTCGGTCCTGATAACTTTTGCAAAGCATCCCCACGTAGTTGGCTAGCCAGCACACGGCAATACCGGTGCCCAGTACAGCGACAGAAAGCGGAGCCTCGCGGCTTTCGAAGGTTACTTGACCGTTCGCATCGGTTGGGTCCATTGAGAGTATGGTGTGGAGGGTAGATGTTCTTGGCTGGGTGAGATTTACTTTGAGTTCTAGAGATAGACTTTATACTTCAGCGTGTCAATCTAGGTTGTTCATCTTGACACCAACTTTATCTCATTTCTATTACGTATTTTGTGAGACGTCCGTCTAGTCCCTAACGAACTTTAAAGTACTATACTATGTCTGTTTCAAGTATAGCTTAACTACAGAAAATGAAATATTGGCTCTGGGGATGATCATTTCCGACATGAGATGAATAAATATTTCCACCTGAGTCACTGGCTCATCCAGAGTTACAAAGGGGATCTACCAAGTTCACGACCAATAGGGCCACCAAAGGTCTAGGTAGGTCATTAAAGAATACAGGAACATAACTTGTGTTTTGAGTATCTCACTGATCAAAGACAAATTGGGGCCGAGCCGCTGACCGGAATGCTGGCAACTGTCGTATTCACATTCTTCAATCTATCTGGTCAAGGAGAGTCGAATGCGAGGCGCGAAATCAACGCGCCATTGTTAGACCTAACACTAGATTACTCGACTGCGGCTTCATATGTGCCGAAGCTCTGAGCGTTTCTTACTATACCTGTTTAGTGGAGTGGTCCCTGTTGGGATTTTCACGCTTTACACCTTACACATTGATAGACTACTGTGAGTAATGCAAGGGGGGCGATTGATCCCTTCGTGGGGATGCATCTTCCGCTCTACAGGATTGGCCACCTCCTGCATTTTCCTCCCGTTACTGGGACTCTGGCATTATTCAATGAAAGATATCTCATTCATTACTTCGTACTAAGAGAAAGGCCCCCTTCAAACGATATTCACAACAGCATTCCTGATACACTTTAGTAATTCGTTAATCTTCTTCCACCCCCAAGCAGCGAACATTGCATAGCTATCTTTGTGTATTGTATTCCCTTAGTGGCTGTTGTCCCAAAGATTGTGCATACCGGCCAAGAGCCAAAGTTGGGAAATAATGGGGGTAAAGAGCGTATCCCTGGTAGAAGTATCCCGGGAGTGCAGTGCCCGTGAAATACTTCTCGGGCCACGTCGCCCCGTTCGTAGTGCACTGGGTCTGCGTCCGGATCAAGTACTGGATCCCCCGTTGGATTACATTCGCGGATGGCGCAAGGTATGACAGCAATGCCATTAGGGCCCAGGCTGTCTGAGATGCCGTTGATGAGCCCGAGCCTGCTCGTAGTGGATCCTGATATGAATGTAGTGTCTCACCCCACCCACCGTCCGCATTCTGGATGGTCATCAACCAATGAATTGCATCGCTGACGTTGTCTGCGATGCCGTCATCTCTCTCGCGCCACTGGCCATGCTCCTCCCTATATCCGATGAAGTACGCGAGTCCGCAAAGCACCCCGCTCGTCCCGTAGATGTAGTTGCAGCCCCAGCGCCCGTACCAGGCACCAGAAGGCTCCTGTGTTCGGGAGAGGTAGTTGATCGCTCGGTTGGAGGCCCACATTAGGCGATCAAGTAGTTCGGCATCCATTCCCTTCAATCTCTGCTTTCGGTTCAGCTCGATGAACTGTCCGAAGGCTTCTAGGACGTGGCCTGTGATGTCTGCTGTGGAGGGGTCACAGAGACCATTCATGTCGCTGAAGGGACATTTGTTGAGAAATAATTTGTCATTGCCTTTATCGAATGCACCGAAACCACCATCTGAGTTTTGCATTCCGACAAGCCAGTTGAGTGCGCGCGTTATTGACGGCAAATGGCTTAGCCGAGTGTCCTGCCGGATCATCGCAATGACGGCGACGGCCGTGTCGTCGAGGTCCGGATACCAGGTATTAAAATACTCAAAGCTAAACGCCCCCGGTTCAAGGCGCGGATTATAGACCTGCCAGTCTCCAGGTTGGGTCAGGTTTTGCCTGTTCCGCAACCATTGCATGGCGCGCTGAATCCACGGACTGTCTGGCGCCATGCCAGCGTCCATGAGGCTCACGCTCATCCAGATGGTGTCCCAGACCGGAGAAACCGTAGTTTGGATTCTCCTGCCTCGTTCGTCATGGAATGCGAAACGCTCAATCGCTTTCAGGCCCCGGCGAACAGGGTCGGAGTCCAGTGCATATCCTTGCAGCGTTAGCGCATAAAGCGCTCCATACAAAGGAGGCATAATGCCGGCCAGATCCCCTTGCTTTTCTTGGTGCTTGAGAATCCAATCAATGCATTCACGAATGGCATAACCACGTAGCGGATTGAGCCGACGTAGTCCATTCAAGGAGTGTAGAATACAGTCAGTAACACCGAAGACGAAACTGACACAGTCCTTTGCCCAGAGATTCCAGAGGGTGTCCGAGTAGGGAACAGTCTTCTCTGTAGGGTTGCACCAGAGCTCATCTAGATAGGTATTTGAATCGGACCTCCCATTCGGAAGGCCATAAATGGGGCGGTGATGGCAGACGACCAGCAGCGGAACCACTGTAGCGCGTGCCCATGATGACAGCCGATAGATTCCTATCGGGCTATTTGCGGGCGCCAGGATGAGCTCGGCCGGCATCTCTGGCACAGCAGCCCAAGGAAGCAGACCGAACATTGCCAGGGTTATGCGAGTCAATATGCGGACTTTCGCGACCCCACCGGCGCGGAGCGCAAACCCCTTTGCTTTGCGCATTGCTCGGCTCTCTGCTGGGACACCTAGAATCTTCAAGGCAAGATAGGCCTCCACCGTGACAGAAATGTCACCAGGATAGTGAGGAGCAAGGCTCCAAGAACCGTCACTCCTTTGCACTGATTGAAGCCATGAAATGAGGGCCTGTCGATTCGGGTCAAGGTCCAGGCCGAGAGCTTGAAATAAGAAGACGTATTCCGCCGTAATCGTGGCGTTTCCTTTGTTCTCACCACACCAATGTCCGTCCGGCTTCATCAATTCCTTGCTGTACTCTGCTGAAAGAAACAGTGCCTGTTGCACTTTCCTTAGCAGAGGTGCCGTGGCCGTACTCCCATAGACGGTCGTTCTGATCGTCTTGGTCTCGTTAGTCTGCGACATTTTGCCGAAGTGGTTATCTGAAGAAAGAACAATTCACAGCTTGTGGATAGGTTTAGTGGACCGTAAACATAGGGTCTCATATACTAGAGATGGCCCGCATTATTGTTGTGGCTTGTTCCTTCATCTAATATTGCTGATCACGAGTGGGCGTGTGAGACAGTATAGAATGCTACCGTCACAGTCATGGTACCCCACAATCTTTGGTGCCCTGAATTACTTCTTGGTTTTAGAGCTTTGTGGGGCTTCACTCCATCATCTTGGATAGTCTTGACGTTACTGTCAGCATCCTGAGTCACGATAGAGAAGCGTGGATACAGGTGGATGTGCCACATCCATGGATCCGCTTACATAACTCTTAGTCTTATAGCTGATGCATGAATCAGGTGTGGGAAACGAAGGGTGGTCTTTTGAGCGAACTGAGTCCAGGCTCTAGGCCATTTCCCCTGAGCCTATGCTCCCGGATAGTTAAAAAAAAGGCATCCGGCTTGTGGAAAGCCTTCCCGGGGATATTGAGGGTACCTCGTAGACTGTTCCAGGCCCAAACATACATCTACCACTGATCTATTGGCTCCCTTCGGATACCTTTCCTTGGTGAAGAATGTGGCAGGGAGTATGGCGCGTTCACGCCATGTAACATGCGTTTCGTTTTGCTTCCCCCAAGGGCGTTTACTTCCTTACCAATCTGGGCTTTGCCGACAGGATCCGGTGTCCGGAGTTACATCATGCCAAATCTGTTATGCTTTGCAGAACCTTTATTCCCATATTCCTTATATAGTCAGCACACATGCCCCTTCATGGTTCTGCGTTGAAGTAGGACTTCGTTAATTTTCCGTACATACAGTGCAGCTCCTGTTCAAGGATCGGGAATTTTGAAATTAATTAGCCATATGTCATCGCTGAAGATGGGGGTCCTAGACACTCACTACGTCACGGCATCCAGTCTCGTGAGTATTATTGCCCTGGCCACAGTAATAACGGTACTACTCCTAGTCTCGTACTTCACTGAAAAGGCCCTCCCTCGGTCCCTACCTCGTGCGGGGAGAAGAAACGAGTGGCTGTCATTTGTACGCTCATGCTTTCGTGAATATTGGAGGGGAGGAAGAACTATGGAGGAAGGCTACGAAACGGTACCGCGCTCATTAGCTTCAGCGAGAATACCACTAATGGCCAGAAGTTCAGTAAATATGGCCAGTCGTTTCTCGTGCCTGATATTAGCCTTTCGCCCCATATTGTCATTCCCCAAGAGCAGTGCCGATGGCTACTATCCCTCCCAACATCGATCGTCTCCCATAGAATACCAGTGTCGGAGCGAAATGCTCTCGAGCAACTATTTCCATCCATACCCTCCTCTGGCTTTAGGTTATTTAAGCAAGTTATCAGGCGCATGGTCACACCAGATGTTAGCAGGAGGCAAAGAGACATGTTTACCCTGATGCAGCAGACTGTCGACTCGGTGGTGGGATGTGACTATAGCTGGCGCCAAGTCCGCTTGTCCGACGTTGTCGAAGAGGTGGTCCACACCACAGCGTTGAGCATGCTCTTAGGATCGAAATTGGGCCATGACAACGGTTTTGGTATAGCGCTGAAACGGTTCTCCATCTCATTTGGAGTGGCTGCTGTAGTCATCGGGCTAACACCGGGGCCACTCAAGCAAATCGTTGCTTGGCCTGCAAGGACGATCGTCGACTTCTTCCGTCGCCGAGCATATAATTATCTTACCCCATTGATCCACGAGCGTTTCAAGGTCGAGGAGCGCAGAAGAGGGGATCCCGATCTTGATTCTCGTGGTCCCCAGGATTTCATCACCTCTGTGGTTCGTGCCATATTGGATGATGAAAAGGGGACCATGGAACACATCAGAGAGATAGAGACACTATTTACTATCATTGTACACCCAACCCACTCCTGGCTGTCTGGTTACATATATACTTATCCACTCCTGCAGATCATGACTCTCGTAACGACGACCAGTTTGACTTTAACGAACACTTTGCTAGACCTTCTGAGCTCCGACCCTTCGCTGGAGTACTACCAAGCGCTTCGAAAGGAAGCTGATTCTGCCTTTACCTCACTAGATTGGTCAAATGTGGCAAGCCCACCCAAGCTTGATTGTATCGATAGCGCTATACGCGAATCGTTGAGGTTGCACCCTACCCACACACGCGGTCTCTTTCGAACCGTTGTTGCTGAAGAAGGTCTTGCCTTACCCGATAAGCACCACATTCCTCAGGGGTGTATGATGAGTATTCCAGTCTACTGGATTCACAGGGATGAGAGGTTCTATAAAGATCCCAACACTTACATACCCTTCCGGTTTCTCTTAACAGACGCTTCAGATCAGCGCAAGCCCCGTGGGCTAGTGGATACAAGCGACACATTCCTATCCTTCTCCCACGGAGTATATTCCTGGTAGGTGATAAATGTGCCTCATGCATATGTGTCTTCAAGGGTGTTCTTCGTTCTGGGCAATTTTTTTTTATGTGTAATAGCTGGGAATTCACTACCTCTATTATTGCCTAAATCAAATACTAATATATACTATCCTTTAGTGATGGCCGCTTCTTCGCAGCTCAGCTTATGAAAATGTTCCTCGCCTACATTACCATGCACTACGATGTCAAACCTTTGGACACGCGTCCCCCAAACGTCTTGTTGTCGGACTTCTGCATCCCACCTAGATCCGTCAAGCTATGGATTAGAAGGAGGAATCCCGAGACAGATTTGGACTTGAGACCCTAATGAAGGGCCTCCTAAGGGTACTAAGGAGGGATCTGCTGGATCCGTATTCTGCAGCACGCCTGACTAGTTTGCCTTGCTGAACACGGATGATGAGGTACGCTTGGTAGTAGGGGTTATGCGGCGATTGTCACAATGGACCAGCCAACCATCACGAAAGCTGCGTTAGGAGTGAGGCTCGTTCCGAGCATTCAAAAACGTGGGGGTATTGTATACACCGGAGACACAGATTATTTATCAGATTATGATAGGGTCTTTAAGGCTAGGAACGGTTTCTTCAACTGCAAAAGGAGCCGTGGTGCATGTGAGCGACAGAAGGCATGGGAGAAGCGGAGAGAGCTACGATGGCGTGGCAGGTGGTCTTCAGAGGGAGTCATCATTTGCTTAGAGTTAGGTGAATAGTGATATGATTCTATTGTCGGAACATGGGTTCTTCCCTTGTCCCGGTGTGCATCCGCACCCCTGAATACCAGACTCCTTCATGCTTCCACATCTATACAAGACCACGTGAACCTAGTGGCCTGGCCGATCACCGAACTCCATCTCCCGAAGGCTTGACCCATTAGTTATAAGAAGAAGCGGTCGAGATAGTCGATAGAGTCGTCCATAGAATTGAGTATCAGTCGAAATGGCATCCGATCCTCAGTAGGCTACGTACGTGTAGCTGATACAACCGCATTCTGCCCTTCTTTCCCCTGAGACCACAACATATATCCCCAGAAAAAGGGATGGAAACGGGATGCCAAGAATTGGATGGGACGGGATACGGGACATCCCATTCCCATCCCATCCCGTGCCGACAGTCAGCATAGCTGGAACGCACTATCTATAAATCTAATATTTATTTATAAGCCCGCGGGCCTAATCTGAAGGCCCAAAACCTGCCAAGGAACGGAATTAGGCTCAACCCGGCCGGCCCGTCAGCCGACGGGCTTTGGTGAGGCCTATCAATAATACACCCAACTCAGACACAGATCTTTATTCCAGGAACAGTTACTCCCTAGTAATCACCCGATAATCGATCTGGCTCTCGATTCGCTGACTACTCTATTACTAGCGGAAAACAATTGCCAAACCTCTTGTTTAACTACGTCTAACATAACCACTGTGGGTATTCTGATACCTCAATATATTGCATTGGGTAAGGCCATAGGGCCCGCCGCCTATATTCCCCAATAGCAAGGTTCAGAACAAGCTCCATAAGAGTATATGAAGTGTCTCTCTTACCATAATCTATTAGATATCTGCACCTGTGAACGGTATGGTCAGCCGCCCATCTGTTTAGCAGAAAGTGTCCTGGGCCACTGCTATCCGTTGGTACCTGTTGTAAACCCATGTAAACAGGAGCCACATGTGAGTTTGCCCGTACCAACAGCTTGGGAGGATCCGTTTCTTTCTAACGTCAATGGCTGATCTGACTACTACGCAATGGTCGGATCTCTTCATCCATTCCAATCATACATACTCCATGGTAGATGGGAATCTCGTTTGCCCAAACTTTGCGATGGGTGCCTTGTTATCTGAACAGCACGGATTTAAGCGGGTCTGAGAACTGGAGGTGGCCAGAAGTGCCACTGGAAAGGGGAAACGCAGAGGAAGCAAATCCTCGTCTCCTCCGGGATTGCCTGGTCACTGAGAAGCATTGGGATATGGGGGACCGGGGGTGCAGAATCAAAAAATGTGCATTTCCTAGTGCTGATTGGAGCTAGATCGGATTAGTATCCTAGGTAGGACAGTTGCCGCGAGTTGCGGCCCGACTCGATGAGGAACAAGATCTCCGGCATAGAATAGATGCAGGGACCTGATTTATTGGAAATCAATCTGGCTTCACCATGTGTATAAGCTCTATCCTTGAGAGGAGAATAGTAGCGAATTATGCTTCCTATATTGTAACGCTCGGGGTATCTCAGATTGATTTTCGATCCATCGCATTATAAACATAATTAAATATGGACGTGAATTTCTCGTTTATTGGCCTTGTCCAAGCCTCGATTTACAAAAGCTCAGGGTTAATGCTTCGCCATGGTTGATGCAGCCCATCCATTTACCACCTACCTACCAAAAGGGTTAGGCATGTCACGCGTGATACGCGATGGTTATTCTAGGTTGACACAGATATGTTCTGTTGGCAGGAGAGCAACGTGTTGTTTCCGCCACACAACGGCCCTACGCACTTCTTTCATGCTGTAGGGTGATGTTGCCCGGGGAAAACATGGCTCACGGTACCCGGCCCAACATTCGGTTGACAGGATTTCTCTAAGGTGACCAGAGTAGTAAGCGTATCACGCGTAATAGGCTACGCCTGTAACGGATTAAGTAGGTCCTATCCCATGTTGTTGCTGGATTTCTGGCGCTAGTTGGCCTAAGGTCGAATGGCGAATGGTGCACCGTTTTCCGTGCTCGAAAAGCGCATGGTTTTGTCTAGCATGCAGAGTAATGGCTCAGTGGAGGGGATGTCTTGCGGGGCGCTCTGCAACCTACATTATTTGAGGCCACAACCTGAGGGTTTGGGACAGAGGGATAGAATTCCAAGGGGTTTGAAATCTCGTCTCTATTCGTACTGGCTATTCATACTGACCAACCATACTCAAGAGCATGGGTTTAGTAGCATGAATGTACTTGGCTATATTCCCATGTGCCTATGTCAAGTAAAGCGGGAGATAAACAGTTGCAGAGTCGGTACATACAATTCTGGTGAATAAAAATTGGCGAAGAGTTCATGTATTGGAGAGTAATATTTTTGGAAAGCCGTGGCAAGCTTAAATCCTGCGGAAGTACTTGGGTAATGACAACGAAGGAAGGAAAAATTTCACGTCCGCTTTTCTTCTCCTCGAAACCCAAGATAGGTCGTCTTCCGCAGTCTGTCTTTCGTGTTTGTCGATTAGTAAAGGTTGCCGGAATAACATCCCTAGTTCTTCAATGCGCCCTTGATAAAGAAGAAGGTTTTTCAGATTGTTAAAAGTCGCTAAGGTTGAAGGATGTGCTGGCCCCAGCAATAAATTGCGACCAGATAGTGCCCTTTCGTACATCCTTTCGGCCTCTTCCCACCTTTGTAGATCACAGTATAAGTTTCCGAGATTATTAATTGTAGCTAGAGTCATTATGTGGGTTTCGCCCAAAGTTGTCTCACGACCACACAATGACATCTTGTACATATCTTCTGCATCCTTATATCTTCTCTGGCGTGAATACAGATTCCCTATATTATTCATGGACGCAAGTGTTAGCAAATGCTGGTTGCCAAGGATATTCTGTCGACCTTGAAGTGCCCGCCGATAGAGGCCTTCTGCTCTATCAGTAAGACCTTGGTGCAAATAGAGGTTGCCAAGATTATTAACAGTTGCGAGAGTGTAGGGATGTTTGGCACCTAGTAAACTTTCGCGACCTTTTAATGCCTGCTTATAGAAGGCTTCTGCATCCTTCAAATTTCCCGTGCGGGAGAAGACGTTCCCAAGGTTGTTGAAAAGGGCAAGCGTAGAAAAATGATCCGGCCCAAAGGCTGATATACGGATCGCAAAGGCACGCTGATATAGAGATTGTGCTTTGTCAAGCTTCTCCTGTAGGCAGAAGAATGTTCCAAAGTCATTGAGGGTGGATAAAGTCAACGGGTGCTCTGGTCCGAGAGCGGATTCCTGCCTCATGAGAGCCTGCTTATATGCTCGAAGTGCTTCTCCGAACTGTCCCTTTAAGCAATATAGCTTCGCAAGGTTTTTGGCCGATGCAAGTGCTGAATGATGACATCGGCCAAATATACGAATGGACCCTGCGTATGCTAGCTTGTACGCCTTTTCTGCCTCGCAAAGCATGCCGTGACTGAGGAAAAGGTTACCTAAGACGCGCAGAGCTTTGACAGTTTCAGTATTATTGGAGGGGCTACATTCTTCACTAAGCTCTCCAAGTATAGATACTGCATGAGGAATCAGTCTTCGTTGTAGGAGATAGCAGTCAGCATTGTTCGGTGTAGACGCCATTGCACCAATCGACACCAAAACCATGTGTTGATATCGGGTATTGCGAACGTTATCCTTCTGCATAATGCCTCGACGGCACCATTCCTGAAGAACAGGATGCATGGAGTACCCCACATTTCCATGACCTCGTTCAATCATCGAAAAGTCCACAAGGACGCCCACAACTGTTGCAAAACTCAAGTCCTCTGACACAAGGTCGCGAAACCATTGAGGAGAATCGGAATATTTAGCGGCATTCTTCAGTACATCGAGAGAGACATCATGATGATTATAGAAGGCGACGATGATTAGGAGTTCGGCTGCTATTGGGTTTCTGTCTTGGATCTCTCTGTAGGAAAGGTCCCAGGTATGAATAACACTTCTGTAGCCATGTGTATCCAAGGCGGTTGATTTTATTTGTAGCGCACGCCAGGACGTTTTGTAAATCTGCAAGTATTTGGACAAGCTAATTCCGGTGCGCCTTATAAACATGCCGGCTATCACGGTCGCGAGCGGATGACCGTCCAGTCGACTGACGAGTTCACGATTGTCTGTTTATATTAGGAACCACTTACAGCTCCTTCATTCAGTGCACAAGGGGTAAACCTGCCTTCATTGAGGTAATGGCCGTCCTTGGAGGATTGCCATAAGCCGGAGCTTTGTAGTAGCAACTGATTTGTTTCCCCACGGCATAGCTTAGTGACGTTTAACGATTCTCCAAGTTCAGTGAATGAGAGAATGCGGGTGGTAATTATAATCGAGCCGTGGTCTGCCGAGGGAAAAAAGTCACTAATATTGTACCCTGCTTTATCACTGTGGCATACATTGTCATATATGAGCAGCCACTTGGGGTTCTGAGATAGTGTCAACCAGTCTAGCACACGCTGAGCCCGTTGCTCAAGACTGAGCACAGGTGAACAACCTTCCGATCCATCACTGGCGTGAATTTGAGGCCCAATTGACGCTAGGGACTGCAGCAATGTTGTTCTATCTCTGCATTTGATCAGGAACACTGCACTGTAGTCATTTTGATTTAAACGCGCGAATCGCACTGCTAACTGTGTTTTCCCAATACCACCCAATCCATGTAACACTATGATCCTCCGGCGAGGATGAGTTTTCCAGGTCAGTTTAGCCCTTAACCAACCTAATTCATCATGACGGCCTATAAAGTTGCCAACTACGGTCATGCTTCCCAGGCTTAAGGGTCTAGCAAATCGTGTATCTGCAAAAAAAAATAGAAGCGTTAGAGACCATAGTAATCAAAGGATCCATTAGCTCTTGTCTACCGATATCATACCTTGGATTGTAAGATTTTCCCGTACTCTCGGTGACTGGAGAGTGAGGCTGGCAGATGTCACCGTCAGAAGCTCCTTAGCATAGGCTGATGCTACAGCTGCCGCATATCCTTGCCATTTAGAGTCCTTTTGTGCATCTGCGTAGTCGCAAATGCCTCGGACCAACAGGCATGGATAATGATTCATAAGTCCTGCGGCTTCCATTTCTACGCAATAAGCCCCGAGCTCTCCGGCTAGGCGATCTCTCTTGATGCTGTCCTTGACAACCTGGTTTCCCGAAGCAATGAGGCCATAATGGATCACCGGTTCACTTGTGGCTCTTTTTGGTCGTGGGACTATTCGTGTCGCGTTGAGATTCAGTGGGTTTACTGAAGTCAGGGCATGGTGCCCAGCCTCATGGAGTATATCTAAGAGACCATCGGGTGAATAGTCTCTCCGCATGTGTGGATATTTTCGCATCATTTCTGCCAGGTAAGTAGGTATGGCACTTCTAGACACTCGGTGCTTTGCCTGCAGCCTAGCAAGCGCGGTCAGGAGAGCCTGAGGCGGACAGTTTAACAAACCTCTGCGTTGAAAACGGTCACCTTGTAACGCCTTCCCAAAATCGTACTGTACGACACCACCATGCGTGGCACTTGGCTGACTGACCACAACATCGCCTAACCGAATGTCAACCTTTGAGCTTGGTATTCCCCCACCAATGCCCACCATAAGTCCGAACTTGATTGACGGGAAACTCGACAGCAACTGAATTGCAACAACAGTTGCGGATGTTGTTCCATATTGGCCACTTGGCAAACACGCGATTACTAAATTGTGTTTCCCGATCCTTCCCAGGGTATAGGCGTTACCATCGTTCGATTTGACCGGCAGGTCTTCGTGGGTTTCATCGAGCATAGCTATTGCAGCAGCCATCTCGAGGGGCAGAGCGCAAATCCACCCAACCGTATATTGCTCATGGGATAGCCTTCGCATGCTTCGGGCAGTGCAGTAAGATAGTACATTGGATGGGTCGGTTAGATGTACTGTTGGAAAATACTACGTGGAGGTCTGATTTCGGGCCTCTGCCTCAGGGCGGGGCTGGACGACTCTATCCGCAACGAAGAGGGGAACCAAGTCCTTAAGTCCTCTCTCGGCCAATTATATTATGACTCCTATTACCCCAAGGCTCAGCCTCGCGTGCAGCACAAGGCTGGGTTGTGTCGGCTCCCCTACCCTACTCTAGTTTGTTCCGATGTGCTTCCGTTCCGAAAAGTAGTTGAAATTGGCCAACGTTCTAGCGAATCGACACACACTGCCGCACAAGAGATATTTTAGGTTATCTGTGGTGGGGAATTTGTTGTATGGACACCTATACTGTTTCCGTGGGAATAACGGGAGCTCCCTATCGTTGTGGTAGAATGGGATTGTGGATCTGCGTGGTGGTATAATCATTGCTGAGGAAAGCCGATAGCCAGTTGAACTCTGACATAAAATGTCCTGTAAAGTAGCACCCAAATGGGCTAAGTCCACGGGACTCCGATTACTCTCTTTAAAGGTTGTAGCGGCGAGAAGAAACGGACATGTCAAGATGCTCGCGCAGAAGCGAAGTGTATGAGGAATTGATGACACCTACTGCAAACTGACATGGAGCGTCTGTAGCTCCCATGAGCGATCACCAAGAGTCTGTCATCGGAGATTTCACCTGCACATGCTTAATACCCACAGAGCAGATATAAACGAGCCCGTATCGTGAGACAGACAATTATTGATTGATCCAGTCAGGTCTCTTTAGGTCTTAGAAACATGCGCATTTCTCGAGGCGTTGGCTGCTTTTCAACGGTCGAACAGCAGGAAGGTACTTTCTAGCGGTAGCAGCCCTTTCTCCTGAGCTTTTTTATAGCTAAGTCGGATGTCAATAGACGAGCTAGACAGGCAGGAGCGGAAACTGCTAGGTACGCAGGCTGTAGTGCTTTTAATATCATGTTTAGAATCACTTTTTGTGCTATGCAAAGTAGTCGGGAAGCAAAGCGAGGAACAAACAGGGTGCCAAGTTTCATGTTGCAGCACTTAACGCACTTTTCATAGAGTCAATATAGGGCTGCATTTGGCTACCTTGGACTATAACAAGAAAAGTCAGCATCCTCTCTTGAGCCAGCCCGATCTCCGCTTTTCAGTCAATCTGACAATAGAAAATACGTCGAAAGAGGGTAATAATTTTATATGTAATACATTATGCCCCATTCAATCTCTTCCTGATCCTCGCAATCTCTAATTATGGTCTCAGTCCATTGAGAGAGCACGCCTTTCGGCATCATCCTTGGCGAAGCGAGTTGCGAATGGGAACGTCTTCGCGAATTTTCGAAGAGATCGTTGGCTGTTTCGGTTGTTTGCAGGATGCTCAAGCTCCGATGCACCATCAAGAATAATTCATACAGAGAGTATGCTAGGAAACATATAGAGGCAGTGGCCTAGGCCACTGCCTAGGCCCATGTGTCTGCAGACTGGCAAACGGGGAGGCTAATCCACTCTTTCTGTCAGGCCGACGGCTCCAACTATAAGGATGTTAAACTTGATTAATAATAATAATAATAATAAAGCTGTAAGCTATTCCTTCTAGGACTGTGAAGAAGATACTTTAAAAATATAGCCAAAAATTATTTATTTTACGTAACTAGTAAGACCCCTAGTTATGTTAGTTATATTTATTGTATTTGCCGGCCCTCAACAAATTCGGGGGCAGCTCCACGTTAAATTAGCGATAGATTCCAGCGTACAAGCCGAATTCTCTTCATTTTAAGTTAATTTATAGCCATTTGCGCGTAGTTCTTTTCTTTTGTTTCTTTTCGTTTTTGCTTTATTTTTCTTTTACTACGCCCTTTTTCTGGCGACGGGCTTGGGGAGTTCCTTTTACGTGGATTGCTGTTCTATCAAATTGCCTTTAATGGACTTATGTGCGTTGCGTGACTATTGTGAAGACACGAGCAAATCGCTTGACTCACCCAGCTAACCCTATCAAAGCGGCAACATCCGAATGAGGAACGAGAGGACCCTCATAGTTTTGTCGACGGTATTTTCACCTATCCAGTCTCACGCCGTATTCGGGCCGGTACGCTCAAATAGGACCAACCTGGGGTATCCTGTGGACCTAGTCCTTGAATAGAACATTGGGAATTAGCCCTAACAACATTGGATCACTTAGGAGAAGGGACTCTTGGAAAGATGGGCTGAATTGACGCCAATGATCCGCACGCAGCCTTGATTCTCAGAGTAGCTAGGCTGAAAGTCCTGATTGAATCTACGTAATTATTGAGGTCGTCCTTTGGATATCCAGCTCTAACCTTCATCCTCGGCTACAGCCCTGATGCTACGGTTCAATTGGTCCGCTGAAAAACTCGTATCGTTCTCAAGGGTGCCGCCGACACATGTGACTTGTCTACCAATGTTCGTCGGGGGAAATGATCGGATTCAATGCAAGGCCGATTGTCCGAATAGACAGATTCGGTGATAAGTAAACGCGAAAACGCGAACAAGGCCCACCAATAGAATAAATAGCAGCGCCAACCTAGATCGACAATTGATTTACTTGATTGAATAGATTTACTTGTCACACATTTCGCTCAGCTTTAGTTACTGGCCAAGCACTAAAGTCAAGATGCCTCCCAAGCCTCTTCGAACCATCGCGGCGAGCCCAAGGGTCGTCTCCCTCCTCGACAAGCTGCATCAGCAGTCGCAGGCGCAGGAAAGCACCCTATCGATGTACGCTTTCTGGATAGGATACCTACTCAAGTCATTTTTCCTTGGCAATTTCTGGTCTCAGAAGAACGACGACTACATGCGGGACAAGTTCATCGCACTAGAGCGGGAGAAATGTGAATTCATCTACCTCCTTGCCCGAGCGACTGGGGCACGCAATATCGTCGAGGCAGGCACCAGCTTCGGAGTGTCAACAACGTATCTGGCTCTAGCTGCGGGTCAGAATGCGCAAACTCAACCCGGCGAATGCGATACCAAGGTCGTTGCAACAGAAAAGGAGCCTAACAAGGCAGCAAAGGCGAGAGAGCATTGGAAAGATGCAGGTGAGGAGGTTGAGCCCTATATTACGCTACTGGAAGGGGATTTGTTGGATACACTGCCGGTGGAACTGGACAGTACGGGTCCAATTGATTTATTACTTTTAGACAGTATGTGCATATCGTTCTTGTCACGTGCACGGTTGGCTAACTTTTGGATCAAGTATGGACACCACTTGCCCTTCCCACGCTACAGCTGGTACAGCCTAAATTGCGTCCGGGGGCAGTGATCATCACCGATCTGACACAAGTCGCGAAGGGTCTTTACAAGGAACTCTTGGAATACATTTATGACCCCAAGAATGGCTTTCGGACGATGACTACTCCATTTAACGGGGGATTAGAGGTGACTGTATATTTACCCGAATAGGGTAGGGCATCACTCTATGGCTGAATATCGCAAGGCAGGCGTCTATAGAATATGATATGGAATGGCCCATTAATCGTGTTTTTTGGCTTGCGTGGCCTTTTCAGCTCCGATACCGCGAGTCAATCCAGCTGTATTGCCAGGCACTACCTTTCATTACCTTAAAAGCCATCGTGCCTACGTAATACTCGTATCCTTTCGAACGCTATAAACTGCAAGACCCCGATCATCGACAGTGATTATCGAGCCTGAAGGGCAGGTTACATGAAACGAGAAGCCGATGCTGGGAAAGTTGATTTTAATTTCCGTTTGAGGCTCATTCAGTTGGATTCCCATCAATGCAACGGTGGGCTTTTCCTTCTCAGACCAATCTTCATGGTCTTGAACGTTCCCTGATGGTATCAAAGTGATGATGGGCAAGGTTGTCTACGTGGAGACAAGTACTAGTTACTGGTCCCCAGAGAAAGATGGCTGGCCCTGCTTCTAGATTTTGCTGTGAATAGATATAAGGAATGGGATCGTTATGGTGATCATCTAGGATTGGACAGACAGTATACTCCCGTTTATATTCCATCCTGATATCTTCAGTGGTTATCTCTGCTTCTGCTGTGAAGAATTGCTGATGAGGCTGTTTTCTCAAACACAGAAACAGGGAACTACCCTGGGAAGGTTCTCAAATCAGACAAATCATGGTGTTTCTTTCTACAACCTCGTTACGGAGACTGATGGGTGAATCGTTTGGATCGGGAGGTGACTCGTGTTGGTCTTCGATATCAAGTATAAATAGGGAATTTAGCCACAAGAGCCGAGCGCACATAGAAATCACATCGGGGAGATTGGGGGTGATAAAAAATCAGACACTTTGGCGATAAGATGTTCATTGATGGCTCCCTTAATAGCATTGCAACTTTTATCATCCTCTCCATCCTGGTGATTTGCCAGGCTAAGGTCTCCATCAATCATCGCACACACCCAGGTATGGTCAATGGCAAATACACGCACTGTCTCCATGGGGAGATGGCTAGGATCGGTGATAAGATAGAGTGGAGGCACATCGACAAGATAGTATCGATCTAGCACCCAACGAAGGACAATCGCCCAATAGGTGGGTTTGGGAACATTTAACTCATTGTATCGAACGGCATCACCCTCTTCACTGCAGGTAATCTTCTTGGTATCCGACTTGTTACGATTTTCTTAAAAATCCTTAATCATTAGGTTCTACATTATTTTCTATAGTTTGCCGCTGCGGCATATTATTTCTTATTTTTTATATTTAATCAAGTGGTCCCTATGGAAGCTTTCTCACTTGTGACAGACCCGGGCCTTGGGCCACATTCAGTGCGTCAGTATTCTTTCATGTACGTGTAATTTAGACATGTCCTCTTCCTCGCCCTATATTCCTTAATTTGCTCATGGCCTTTGGGTATAGCTTTAAAGCAGATACCCTCCTCGTTTCTTAACATTCATTTGCTCACTAGTAGGCCAGGAGGAATGGCAGGTTCTAGCAAAATAATACATACTGAATCTCTCCGACTAGGGCAGCTCAGATATATCAATACTCGCTGGCTATTACAATTAATAGCGGTGAAGATTCCTCCACAGAGAATAATCAAAGTATGGGGCCGTGTTAAGTTCCTCCAACTGCCCATCACTGGCATCATAGTCCTGATAGTAAGCCCCGCAGTGTGGTGCGACATAGGGCTACTGGTACCGTCTGATGACAAGTTCAGTTCAGATTTACACTCCCAAGTACTTATGGAGACCTTTGGAAGGATCATGAGGAATGGCTTGTTAAGGTATAGCTTCCCGAACACAAAGAGCCCGCTCAGAAGGGAAGCCTGTCGCTGTGGCTCCACGGACAGCTGCAGGTTGAGACGTCCGATTTTTCAGCACACATTAACAGGTCATTCTAGGTGCCCAATCTTCCAGCATCATACTTTGTTGGTCTACGAAGTTCTGCCTGGTAGTTATTCAAATTTTACTCACTCTACTGCCTGCGACGGGAAACAATGGAAAACGAAAAGGGGGGCAAACAAAACCAATTTTCATTCAATTTTCAGCCTTAGTCGTGACTAGAAATGCTCAATTGACGAGTTGATCTCTTCTAATCAAGTCCTCCACAAGCTGCAAAGCCAGTGTGATTCCTGCAAAGTGGCCAAAATCCTGGAGGCGTTGAATGATCCATTTCCGGGCTTCACTGTCTACTACTGATGAATTCCCTGCAGCATAGAGACACCAGGTCAACATATATCCGGCTGAACCATTAGTGTGGCACGAAACATCGATGGCGTGACTCATCTCAGACGGCGAATATACAACCCCCAAAGCCTGTGGGACAGTGGCTATCGTATCATTTCCAAGCTTTGACAAGATTTCCAGAGTGTCTAGAAGCTGCAGCTCCATATGTCGCTGGACGGCCGGTTCGAGGTCTGTGGCAAGAATTTGGTTTAAGAGATAGCTCATACAGCCGCAAACCGTAGTTTGAAGAATCCGCGTGTTGTTCCAAACTCTGATAGCCCAGGAGTTCGGGTAGAGGTCAAATCGGTCCTTGTAAAAAACGGCTGGGTCCCCACCGGACTTTCGGAAAGTCGTATAGGGACATTTCATCGAGAGGGTCCCAAAAATATGCTGCAACTCCGCCTGAAGAACAGTCGCTTGTTCCAGTAATCCAGGCCAATAACTTTCCCCCCGATTCCTGACATCCCAAAGAAGGTTTGTGCACTGGGTGGCCACAACTCCGAGGCGCCAGAACACAGTCGTGGTGTCCACGTGCTTGCTTGCTTCTTCCTGCAGCTCAGCCATGTCTTTCGGAAACGGTTGGTCACCTTGAATACAGGCAGCTACCATATCCGCGCGGACTTGGTTGAACATGAGAATTGCGGCCCTGGTAGAAAATTGACCTTTGCCCCGGGCAACCACCAGCGCTGCAGCTCCCCGAACATGTCGAGCCCACGACGCAAAGTCTGAAACGTGCTCAAACAGTCCTAAGGAGATCACCGACATCAAGGTGCTATCTTTGATCGACTCGGCGGGTGACGCTAGCGCAATGTTCACCTGATTGATTGCTTCGGAATACTTGACGCGCGCGTGCTTGGCTAGCACAGGCTGTCGAGTTGTATTAGCTAGGGTAACGAGGCCAACAGCTGCCATACTGGCCACTAGCGTGGGATGGTGGCCATCGGCTGTATAGGGAGCCGGAATGTAGTTAAGATATCCACTCGACGGAGATTGACAGCTGGTAACAAAGTTGTGGAGGAAATAATTGACGCCTAGTTCTTCATGGCTGGGGTTCAAGCTGGGGGGCGGTTTTAGGCCAGAATTGTAATCCTTAGCCAAAATAGTCTTCTCTTTGTTAGCCCTTTTCTCCTTCAACCGTTTGATGGTGTGACCTGTCTGGTTGCGGAAGATGAGATCCCATTCGTCTCGGTATCCGGGACAATCTTCGCGCATGCGAGTGCACTGTCCACAGTGGGGACGCTGCTGATCACACTGTACAGTGATAAGGCGAATTAGAATAAACCTTGCCGCCACAACATGCGAAAGGAAAAAAAGGAAAAAAAGGAGAGAAGAAGACGCACGCGTCGCTTGACAGCCCGACAGTTGCCGCAACTCCGGGATACTCTTGCGTACAACCCACTCCTCGGTGTCATCCTGACTCATCGAAGCGCGGAGGGGCGAATCCGAAACGGGGATCTCGGCTGCAAGGCCTCTGCTGCCTAGCTAATCCTGGTAATTTAAGGAAGCTTAGCCTAGATAAGCTCTTGTCCTGATGGATATATTCCAGGACGGTACAAAGAGCGCAAGGCTAGTTTCCGAAGACAGGCAATCTCGTTTTGGATAGCCGAAGAGTCCGTAATAGCCCCCACCAAGATATGAAGGTCATCGCGTTAAGCCTCTCTGGTTAGAGGACACGGAAACTAAATTCGTGGGGGCCAATCGGAGCCCTATTGTCCTCGCAGGGCTAAGCCACCTTAAAGCTGAAGAGCAGAATGCATCATAGGAAGAGCACAGACCATTCAAGTCCAACCTACGCTTGTCTCCTTTGGGTATTCGAGATGCTCCGCCAATCAAAATGCTCTCCCCGAACAAGCCCTATGATCTCCGAAGTGTATCGACGATGAGGCTGTACGAAGTAGTCCAGATGCAATCCCGAAGGACGGCGAATATAAAAAGAAACAAATCGTTTTGATCACAGATAGCATCCGGCAAGTTCTTTTCTATCTTTCCCCTTTTCATCCTCTTCATACCTCTCTCTGTCTATCTACTTGGTTTTACATAGCTTCTTGTCCCCTACCTATCGACTTATTTACTACTACGATGGGCAAGTTTGGCGAAAGGGATGGCATAGCTATCCTCCAACTCATTGTATTTCCGTTTATCTTCGCAGCTGCAATTTTCATCTGGAGTCGGACTGGTTGGAGAGTCGGCAGCAAGATTTGGCGATATGCCGTCACGCTCTCTCTCCTTCGGATTGCTGGCAGTATATCTACCTTAATATCCATCAATCATAGCTCAGATGGAGTTACGCGTGCCGAGAATGTGTGTGAGCTGATTGGTATTGCACCTCTGCTGCTGACCTATATCGGAATCCTAAGACAAATGTGAGCTGTTGATGAGAGACCTCTGGAGCTTGATAAGCGAGAACTAACAACGGCGTCTCCTATCAGTGACACAAATGAAAGAATCCCTCCCAAACCTCTCAAAGGAGTGACCGTTTTCGGCATTATTGGCCTGATTCTTGGCATTGCGGGAGTTAGCACCGCCAGTGTTACATACGCCGAGGTTGACGGGCATTTCACTTACACCTACCACCCAAGCACTCTTGCCAAGGCATCCATGGGTATTTTCATTGCTATATTCGCCATCACCGTCCTGATCACCGTTTGGCTGTACTTTCAGCTCCTGCCCACATTGAGACGGTTTCAAAAGAAGCTATTCATGGCCACTGCTCTTTCCACTCCCTTCTTAGTGGTCAGGTTGGCCTACTCGGCGCTTGGCGATTATGACAGCGATGATCAGAGATTTGGTCTCATCGGGGGTGACGATACTATCTACCTATGCATGTCTGTGCTGGAGGAGATCGCTGCCATGGTCATCACTATGGCTTTGGGAATGTTAGCTGTGCTGGAGCCAGATTTCGTAAGGCTCACTCGACCTGAGCAGGTGCAGGAGGCCCAAGCCGAGCCAAAATACAGTCCAGTCTAGTTTCCCACTTGATAGTTGAGTGGCGGAATTATTAAGAGTGTGAACTTAACTTATTCTCACATTTTTCGCTTTCCTTTGCTTTTTCTATTTTTTCCTTTTTGTTTCCTTTTGAGTTGAAATATTTATACATTTCATGATCGCCATGGACTTCAAACATTAGAATTACGAAATAGGTACTGGATACAAGAAGCCCAAGGTCAAACAAATTTTAATTAAATATCAGATGTTAACTCTTCAATTTCCGATACCCTCCTTTTGCTTATTCTCTGCCTAAGATGGGTAAATAAAACGACTCATCGAGGTTCAATGCTTAATTTTTGGCCAGGTCTAATTAAATGTCCGGTGACCTCAACACTTCTTCCTCCTTTCCCTACTTGCGAGTAAGTCTGACTGCCATAGAGTCCCGAAAACTAGTAGGACAAAAGGGCGTGACAGGGTAAATCCTAAGTCAAGGCCATCGTGCACATCGGGCAGTTGGGCCTCGGTCTCAGGTAGGCTGAAACAGAACCGCAGCTTTCTCCGTGGAACTGTATAAGAGAGATCTGGAAACAAAATATATTGCTAGGGTTGGAAATCTGGGAAATTATGGCTAATAGAATGTATTTAAATGATCTCAGACGGCGTTTATGTGATCTCTTAATAAGAAGTGGAATTGTTCAAGGGGACTGACTATTTTTAGAATGTGTTAATGATAATATTAATTGATTAAGTAATTTCGTGTCTTATCTGTAAAGATATAGTGGCCCTATGCGGTCTGAAAATTGATTTTCATTTGACGTTAAAATGGATACTTCTATAGCTTGAGGTAGAAGAGAGAGCGAGAGATTTAAGTCTTCCAGCCCTAATTAGTAAGCAGTAATGCTTGAGACTGTAAGAGTAATTACAGCACCGGATATTTAGGATTATTTATCTTCAGAAAATAGAGACTCATATTTGGTATTAATTACTATCAAATATCACTAGCTCAAGTTCTAGGTCACATGAGCATGTCGGAAATCCTTCATCCTTAATCGGGCTCTATCACTGGCCAATTTAAGTAAGGAAACAAATACCCTAGAACGGTAGAAACATAAAACGATGTGGCGCGCTATATAGATCCTACACGTTGGCAAGCTGTTCTTTATGAAGTAAGCTATCTTATTAATGATACCGAACATCACAGTTGCCACCTTTGGTTTGGCCTAAGGAAGGTGAGTGAGATGTTCGGGTATAAACCGTGGGGGCCATTATTATTGACACGTCCCAATTATTTCGCACCAGCCGCCGGGCTGAGGTTCATACTGCAAAATTCGTTGCCGATCCCAGTCCTCAGAGGCTCAGCCATTATCGGCCGCAGCACCGACAATTGACGGCGCTAAACTAAAGCTGGTAATTGAGATGTTGAGCTACTAATTTTTGGGGCCGTTTTATATAGAACGTACTGAGTATCTTAGCACTAGCCTATTTAAGGTTAGTCCTATGAGATTGATTGCCGATCTTTATTCCAAGCCATCATCAGCCGCAGGACCAGCACACTTCCTACCCATTTTAGGTAGGGCGGTGGAAGCTGTTGGGGAATATGACGACATGTCAAGGTTGAACAGGCGACTAAGAAGTGCTAGAATATCTGGAGAGTCCAGACATTGGAGGAGCTCCAACTGATCCACTTTGAGAGACCAAGACTACTACCTATAGACTATACGGGCTGCGCCTTGGTTCACGAAGCGTCACCGTGTGATACTAGGCTCGCCTATATACCTGAGTGTCTATATATAACAGGTTTGAGTACCCGCTTCCCTAGCTTGGGCTGTCAGTCATTCCACGCTTTCTCTTTGTCATTCTTTCAATACTCCTCAACCCTTCAAAATGAGGCAGTTTTCATCTTTCACTCCTGGGCTCCTATCCTTAGCTTCGCTTGCTACACTCACGCAAGCGGAGTTAGGAAAGGTTTATTGGAAAGGACCTTGTGGCCTAACTAATGCTACGGGTATCAGTGAAAGTGCGCCTATGATCTGTGGAACTCTTGAAGTGCCATTGGACTACACAGACTCTCACTCCACTGATACTTTAACCCTTGATCTTGCTAAGTGGCCGGCAACCAAGAAACCAGCTGCAGAACCTATCTTATTCAACTTTGGGGGTCCTGGTATAAATTCTTTCGAGGGCCTTGCATTATATGGAGACGAATTCCAAGCGTCAGTTCACAAACAGGCGTTTTCAATCCAGAAACTGACATACATTCATTCTTTAGTATCCTGGGAGGTAATAATGATTTGATAACGTTTAACCCTCGGTTTGTGACCCTTACTCCTATGAGCTTGTAAACGTTTCTAATAATCACTCCTAGGGGCGTTGGAAACACCATTCCGTTCGCGTGCTATATAAGTGACGCCTCTAGAAACCTTGCGTCTCTTCAAGCTCCGGCGGACGGCACGGCGTCCAACACAGCCCGGGGAGAAATATGGGCCCAGAGTGCAAATATTGCACAGGCATGTTATACTCTGAATAACCGGACTGGAAGCCTCATTGGCACCAGTTTTGCAGCGAGGGACACGATGCAGGTCCTTGATGCTCTCGAGGGAAAACATGCTTTGCTGAACTACTGGGGTAAGAGCCACTATTCCACGAATTTTAGTGGCACACGTTCCTAACTGTCACATCCCAGGATTCTCTTATGGCACGACGGTGGGTTCTGTCATTGCAGCCATGTTCCCCGAAAGAATGGGACATGTGGCACTTGATGGTGTTGATAATCCAGCTGAGTACCTGAATGGACAGTACGTGGTACCTTTCTCATATCTATATAAAGATTTTGAGAGACTATCTAACCCATATTACTCCTTAAACAAAGCTAACATTCTCTTTCGCCTTTCTTAATAGTAATCCATATGCAACAGAGGACGCCGACAAGGTTTTACAAGGCTTCTGCCTGGGCTGTCTTGCCGCGCCAAACCTCTGCCCTCTAGCGAAAATGTACAACAATGCCACAAACTTAGAAACCGCGATTTATACAATACTCGAAACGCTCAAGTTCAATCCCATCCCAATCCCAGACCAGGGTGGCCTTGTGACTTACAGCGACGTCAAAGCCATCATCTATAACGCGCTATACGTCCCGAGTGCCTGGCCCATGACCTCAGAGCTCATTTACTACGTACAGACCCGGAACACCACCGTCCTTGGAAATCCCAAGGTATACAAGACCTTAAAGTCATACGGCATGTCAGCGTCCTTGACTTCATCTTCCAGCGAGATCCACACAGGTGTCACATGTTCCGACAAGGCGCGACAAGGCAGCATGAAGGATGTGCTACCGTACATCAAGAAAAGGGCATCCCTGAGCAAAATAGCAGGTGATGGCTCTAGCACTGACACAAGATGCGCACAATGGAATAAGAAGATGTACGCCAAGGAACGTTACACCGGCGACTTCAATGTGAAGACAGCTCACCCTTTGTTGGTGTTAAGTAACACCTACGACCCAGTTACTCCGCTTTCAGCAGCGAAGAACCTGACCGCTACCTTTGAGGAGAGTGTCTTGCTCGAGCAGAATGGCTACGGTGTAAGTGTTTCCCAGTATGCTTTATGCAAGGATGCAGCTAATCTAACTTGCGACAGCATACTACTTTGTCTATGCCGTCCCTTTGTAAGGCTAAGGCCGTCCGGGCTTACTTTAAAAATGGAACGTTGCCCGCCGACGGGACGATTTGTCAGACCGATGTGCCTCTTTTTACGAACTTGACGTATGCAGATTTGTGGTCGAAGAATTTCAAAAGAGGTGTTGAGTCTGTGGAAGATGCGAACGTTCTCAAGGCCTTGATGTCGGTTCGTGAGAAAATGTCTCGACGCAAGCTCTGGTGAGGAGGTCCATGTTTCACTGCTATGATACACCGTCTCTGGGGTATTCATAACCAGATGTGTGATTAGATCGGTGTTATTTTAGGGGTGGAAAATGTACTTCATGTAGCCTAAATACTATGTCTAGCCTAGGCTGCGGCATATCGTACGACTTGGATGTGCACAAGTTGCAGTTGTTGGATACCGGGACGAGATACACCAACTGCAGATATCTATAGGATGCCCAACTGTATATCTTGGTATCCAATAAATACCTGCTCTAGTATAAAATTTGCTAATCTACCCTGACGGTCTCGTCACCTGGTATCATGTGATCTGCTGGCTTCCCCGCAACTTATGATGATCATTCTTACTTCTTCCTCTCCTCTTCATGTTCAATTTCTCGTTACCGGGCTGCCTAGGTTGATGTTAGTTGAATACTATGATGGTCCTAGACTGAGTCCACCACACTATCAAGTAATAGTTATAAAGCTGTTATGGGTCTGACTTACAGGCAGCCCTATATCATGGGAGGAGGCTCTGCCTAAGGCATCGCTGCCAAGCCTTTACCACAAATATTTCGTACGACGCGTTGTTCCTGTCAATTACCTATTTCTTCTTGTGCAATAGGCACGCTTAGGTTGGAACAAGCTTATTCGTCCCGTAACAAAAGCTGACAAATTGACAAGTCTCTATTTTAAAACTGAAATATTTTATATTTAGTTATAATAATACTACACTATACTTTTCTTAACTTACTAAATAAAATAATAAGTAATGTTGTTGTATTTATTATTAAACATTATTAAACTAATAGATATAGAGTAAATTATAAAGTATATAAGGTATATGTTACGAGACGACGTGGAGCTGAGGGTCATGGTTTTGGAAGTCGTCAGAACTCACGCTTGGCTGCAACTTATTTTTTGTACGCACCCTAACTGGCCCGCATATTGGCAATAGACGGCGGGCCAGGCGCACGTAGTACTACTATTAGCAGGTAGTAAACATATGGATAGCATCCTCCCATACTGTATACACGTAGCAATTCCGCGCTTTCATTTTATGCTTCGCTAGGAAGATTCTAGATTATGACAAAGTGTGGCTATCTGGGTGAAAACTGCAACAACCAGCGCATGGTACTAGAAGGACATTGATGGACGTGATGCTATTCATATGGCGTGGGCGTTCTCGAATACAGCTCATGTGCCCGCTCTGCAGCGCCATTCTGCCATGCATAACAAGGGTTCGATGGCTCCCATTTCTACGCTAAGGTGTGCTGTCCACTTTGAATACCTCCGCCAAATGGCTCCTCGCTGGAGCCGACCGGAGATCCGCCCTTGATACGAAACGTCGAAGGAGAAATCGCACGTTGACGGGATATGATCTCATCATGGCCTGTAACGGACCGCCTAGATTCTTCCACTATGCATTTATAATCGAGAAACCACGGACACGGTTCATGGGTTTACTTCGTTGCCCGTGCCAAGAATGTCGACCACGGAGGACGGGACCGTTGAAAGAGCCCGCTCCGCGATTAGGGCACCCGGAAAATAGCAGTATATAAGGCTAGGAAACACGGCCAACAGTATTAACTATCAACATACAAACAAACTTCATTTGATACTCATCCTTCAATACTCCTATCAAAAGGACTCCTACCAAGATGGCTCCCATCCACGTTGGCTGCCCGCTCTTCGATTACCAGACGATCGACGTCATTGGACCATGCGATCTGCTCAATTCCGCGAGTAAGATGCTCCTGGAGGGTATCAATTACTATGCCCCCGTGGATCCGAAACTTCTGGCAAAGGCGCCCGAATTCGTCTTCCACCATATCGGAGAGACCATGGAGCCGGTGCACCTGCTTACAAGCTCTGTAACAGTGGTTCCTACGGTTGCGGTGGACGACGTCCCCGAATTGGATATCCTCATCGTCGGTGGGGATATCCCTGCGAAAACCAAGCTTCCTCCGAAATTGCAGGACCTCATTCGCCGCCACGCTGCCTCTGGCAAGTTACTGTTCACGACCTGCACCGGGGCCGCGGTTGTTGCAGCCACCGGCGCTCTAGACGGCAGGAGGGCCACAGTCAATAACCTCGAGTACAATTGGATTAAGAAGAGATACCCGAATGTCAAGTGGACAAAGGAGAAGAAGTGGATTATTGACCGCAACATTTGGACTGGGAGTGGAGCTGTGGCGGGGATGGATATGGTCGCCCACTGGATCAAAGAGACTTATGGGCTAGACCTTCTTATTCAGGCGGCATTGTCGCTTGATTATGAACCACGGGATGTTGACGGACTTTACAATGTTCTGCCCCAGCGGTACGATTCGACTGGAAACAAGATTTCCACGCATGTCTTTCCCGACGAGATCTGAGGTATTTTCATGCTGAAACTGCAGTTTCGCGTATTTGACGCCTGGAGCAGGCATCACTTGTCAAAACTCTAAAGATGATGAACCTGTCAGGCTAGAAAGTGTATCCATCCTAAAAAGATCATCCCAAAGCTTCTCATCTTCTATACTCTGGACTTCCGTAGTAATAGCGCTTTGTAGAGTGGGTAGATCCTGAGCCTGGGCGACGTGACGGCTCGAATACCGCACTGCAGGGCAGCGGTGCAGCCCTTGAACAGATGAGGCTCTGTTATTCGAAACCTTAAGCTCGTGATGAGCATGGCGGCTATCACGAACCTGTGCGAGATTCTCTTTTGCCAATGCATAGGAAGTTCTTACACTTCCCATGATCTCAGGCAGCCTCGAAAAGAGGCTCTTGGTGGGTATTTGCCTCTCCGGCGACGGCTTAATAGCCTGTAAATGAGACAACAGTGTATCAATGTATTCTTGTAGATCCACAGTTTGCTGTGCAATCTCCACGTTCCATTGGGGTACTTCTGGCAGTCCCACGGACAATCTGTACAGCACAAAGACAGTCAAAACAACCTGACACCACGCAGAAAATGGCAAGCAATTTTGCTCCGCCGCGGGAAGGGCGAAAAACGAATCGAGATATTCTTTCGTCGAGCTGACGCATTTGATCAAGTTGCTGATGACCATTGGATGTGCGGATAAGATGGTAGAACATTCCTGTGCCTTTAGAGATGGAGGTCTTCTCTGCCCGTAGCAATATACCAAGCCCATTTCTTGAATCCGAATCTTGACGGCATAATAGCCGTCGGTCAGCAACACTAGAAATTTTTCAGTCAGCTAAATGGGAAGCCCCCAGACCTTGAGAAGTTCCTACCCGTGTTACGAAGATCCGGGGATAGGGATGACCACCATTCTTCTAACCACGTCGTGAATCGTTCAGCATGGATGTACAACCGAGGGCTATAAATGCCTTCTGACCGGTGAGTCTCGCAGACTTCCTCAGTGAACTGTAGCAGCTTCGTCATTGGGTATATCAAGAGGTCTGTCTCAAATTCTGGTTGTTGGTGCAACATCATCGCGCATCGAAGCATGTCCATGTGAAATTGGAGATTGTTGGGCTTCCCCGAAGACACTGCTATTCTATTAAAGTCAGCTCAAGCCCATTAGTGCTAATCCAGGTGGGACATGGCATCTTACATGTTAGACATGTAATAGCAGCCTAGATAAGCACGGCATGCTTCCCGGATATAAGTATCACTCGGCTCGGTTCGCTGCTCAACCAGGTCGGCAGCCTCTTGATCGAGGCGAAGGTCAATGGCCATGCTGATTGCGATTTGTAAGTACTGGTATGCTTGCTGACTTCCTGGAACAAAGTGGAAATGGAACCTGACACTGGTCAGCTTGCTAGTGGACCCTGATGCCGACAAAATAGAAGGTAATGTGGGAACTGAGATCTTACCAAGCAAGGTGGACGAGTAATCCCTGGAGCAGGTCTAGATCCTTCTCGCCAGCCATGACAACCCGGTGGCTGAGGGATTCTTTAAATTGTCTGATCAGAGCGTCTTGAAGATGACAGTATTTTGAGGAAGCAGCAGCAACGGCTGCAAGCAACAGGAAGGGGCGGTCTTCAGCCATTGATGCAGCAGTACAGGCGTGTGGAAGCCGCACGAATGGAAAGTAGGATGCCATGCCGCGGAACCTGTCTATGAGGTACTCGAGGACGACAGGACTGAGTCCCAAGTCGGTGACCCACGCGGCGTCCATGGCAGTGGATGAATCCCACGGATTTCGATTTTCTAGGGTATTTTCAGTGGTATTCTGGCTTTTGCTCGACTCCGGGCCTTCGCCCACTTCAGGATTAGACAGGTACTCTTGGCCCATCCATTCAGTTGTTCGGTGTGGCCTGTCGCTAGAACATTCGGGAATTGCAGGCGGTCCAAAATCGGTATCAACCGGGGGTTGGACTCCACCAAGGGGAGCACTCGAGCGCGAAAGAAGACCGATGATATTGGTGAGCTTGGACTCAAGGTCAACTAGTCGCCTTCATCCCCTCCCTATCAGCAAAACTGACCTGCTGACTGGAGAGCCCTTCTAGGGTCACTTACGGTTTCGCTCGTTGTGAAACTGGAGCTCGCTGTCTCGGCTCTGGAAATACGCATTGAGAGTTTGATCTGGCACATCTACACAAATTAGCCTGAGATGAAGTATACGGTCAGGGATGTGACGCGCACTTAGTACAAGGCTGTCCCTCTTCGGGTCGAATACATTTCACCTTGAGGACACGGCATTTTTCGCACGCAGGTGTCACTTTCTTCCGCTGACGAGATGAGACCATCAGGGTTGCGTTATCCATCGTCAGTCACTCATATCTTTCGTGATCTCTATCTTGTACGCTCGAAAAATGAGGGGCTTCTATATGCAAGACAGTTTTATATCACCACCAAATCAGTTGGCTGACAAATCCACCCTCTGCCCCTCATCTGAATGGTATGCAATGAGAGGGAGCATCGTTGTTGAAAGCGGGTCGCTCCCGCCGCCTCCGAGTCATCTGACCGCGTAAGATTTCACAATACCTACATTATGCAACATCTTCAACTATAGCCTCAAGAATAACAGTGTTAGCCTGAATTAGTGCCGTAGTGTCTTGATGTGGCTGTGTGGTAAACTTCGACAACTATAGTGTAGATAACAGTAACCGGTCGATGGCGGACCCACCCGCGGGAGGGCCCGAAGCCCTTTGCACGCCACAAACACCCAGGAAACGCACGCCAGCTTCTTGGTTAGAGATTTCCAGGCCTGAGTATCGATGGTTTCGGACAGTAATTACAGTAGGGGGCCGGCTACAGCTCAATGAAAATTTTCTATACAGTTCGGAAAAACACTAAAAAATTGCCTTTTTTGATCAAGATGAAGCCATATTAGGTTCACCATGCAAATCTATATAGAAAAGATTTTTAGATGCCCCATTTTCTCGGCTCGATAAGGCCCGTGTTGGGGTCTAATTGAGGTTTTGGCTTAGCCGGCTCATAAGAGCTCTATTCTCATAGCACTTTTTAGCAGTAGGACGCCAATAACGTTCTATACTAGCCATACTTTCAGCTGAAATATAACGCTGTATATCTCCTATATGCACTAGACCATTCAATTTGGCCTGACGTTTAGATCTGGTGTTTAGATCTTGCTGAATTAGAAGGTCGGCTTCTCTCCTCTATTATTCTATCTAAAGCGGCAGAGGCTATGGTGCCTTTCTCTGCATTATGTAAAGCGCCACGTAGAATATGATCTATAGTAGAAGAAAGCTCTACTCTGGAGCTGCGTACTAAAGTGTTTTCTTGACATATTGAACGTAGAGTTATAGGCGTTCTGGTGATCGATTCAAGCAGTGGAGATGGTGTTTCATAACTACTACTACTGTTACTACTACTAGTGGTGGTAGTGATAGTGGTAGTAGTGGTGGTGGTAGTAGTAGTTATATGAGATGGAGAAAGCTCCTTGAAATTCTTAACTGTATGGTCTCTATTATATATTCACAATATATTCTGCTCATCATCTGTCCAATAGCCTATTTTCTGCAGAACAAGACTAGGATTGAATGTTTCTTGCCAGCTACCTTGATTGTAGGGGGTGTGAAAGCTTTATCATGTATACCAGGAATATCATATAGAAAGTCAACTTTCTTAACGCTCACCATAAAGACGAGAGGCCTTATTGATCTTGGCACTGTGAATCCCCTTTAGTTATTGAAATGGTATAGAACCAAGCAGTTGAAGCCAGTGAGTTAGATAAGATAGAATAGAAAGAAGCAGGATATTATGTTCTTTACAATACTGTATAAACCCAATAGTAAGGTATGAATTATAATTATCTATAAGAATAAGCCGATAAGCATCTTGCCGCCTTGAGCTTATACAGCGGTTAAAATAATAAATCTAGCTGTATACACTCCTTTTATTTAAGTATCCCGCATCAGATAATTCAAGGATATACTCATCTGGCAGATTTATAGTGGTAAACCAATCCTCTAGATAGACTTTACCAGGTAGAACCAGTACTGGTAGAATAAAGTCTCCAACAATTTCACATATTCTATAGAGCTTACAAGTATACGCTCTGACGCGCTTGCAATATTATTATTCTACTCAGGGTACTGTGTAGAGATAGTCTCTGTATGGTTTTAGTCAATATAGAAGCCGGTTCTATCAAAGTTCTATATATCCTTACTATAAATACTATATATTTCAACTTGAAGCTGAAAACAATTGAACCACTGCATAACTGTAGCTGGATCTTCAGCTTTCTTAAGATCTACATCAACTACACGTCGTTTGCCTTTTATATAATAATCTGTCTGCTGAAGAAAGCGATATAGCCAGTTTTTTAAGACTTGTAGTGACGGTATAGAAGGATCAGTATAAGATCGCTCAAGAATTGTATTTACAGTATTTCTTATGAGTGAAGCACTTGGAGGAGCACCTAGATTGCTAAGCTGATCTAAATAGTTATATAAAGCGCTATGCTGAGCAGGATCAAGACATTAATTAGTACGCTTTCGAGTACTTTTACTGTCTGTTCCTAAGATTCAACATCAGAGACGCTGATAGGCACTTTATAATCCTGCGCGAGTTTGGTTATAATAACCTATTTCTTCTCGTGTTTCTTTCATTGTATGTGTGTACAGCCTTCTGAATAAGCTCCTCTTCGGCTTTATAGGAGGATTGCATTGTTTGTGTGGTGGGAATAGCTTCAAAATAGTCATGAGATGGTAATATAGAAATGTTTCATTGAGCTGGGAATTTCATTGAGCTGTAGCCGACCCCCTACTGTAAGCGGGGGGTCGCCGGTGAGACGGGTAGTCGTATCAATGTCATAATGTTCTTCCTTAGAAGCAGGCGGAGAATCCAACTCTAGGGACTTTGCTTTGTTTTCTGAGACGGATTTCATTTCCGTTGGAGAAACCATAGGAACCGTACCAGCACTTTGAGTGTTATTGCTTGGATGGGCAGTGTCCATTTTCCGTAAATTCGAGTCCAGAGGTGACTAGTGGTAAGCCACGCGGAGGGGAGTTACTGAACGATATAGTAACGTAGAGACACTTACCTTCGACATGATGGATCACGGACACTTAGAGGAAGTAAGCTGACGACACTTTAGAGGGTTCAAGCTCGAAGTTTTTATACCCAGAATCTGCGAATCTGAATATGCATTTACATTTTCCCGGAAGCACAGTACTGAGGATCACTGGGGGTGTCTCATTAGGGTAATATCTGTAATGTCTTTCTAATCTCAGGGCATATCATTAGCAACACTTAGCTTGCCAGGAATAACCATGAAAGATGTTTTGATGATAGATAACGCATTCATATCAGTAGGGGTCTGCCATATGTACCAGTTTTGTTCCACAGGTTAACTAGAGATACCTGTTTCTGTGAGCAACCACTTTATGCACCATAATGCCGACCGACCTGTTTACTAACCTGGAAAGCTTCCTGCCAGAGAGATGGAATGGTGATAATTCTTTATAAGTCTGGCGTGTTCCATTGTCCACTGGGCCAGGCAGTGTCCTCAAGCAAGGTACAAGTTACCGGAATTCTGACAAACTACTAAGATAGTCATGATTATTCCACTTCTAACGCCTCAAGTAGCTTCATGTTGGGCTCAATGTATATATGGCTTGCTCGTCTATTTTGTTGGTATAACGTCCTGTTTCTCGATGATATTGTAGGTCTTACTTTGCCTGCCCGCCCCAAGGCGACGGTTTAATGAAGATTCATAGAGGGAACCTAGATACAGTGATGATTGCGTAGCTAGATATGACAAATCACCTGTTCTAGCGAACGTACAAGATGTGAACGAAAATTCAGAAAATACTGACCTCTGATGATCAACGATCACTGAGCCTATCACAAAAAATGGGCCAAGCGGCTGACAGGACACTATATTAGCTATGTATTGGATATTTGAATTATGATATAATATACGTGGGGGCTGAACTAAATATCAATGACTCGCTCTGTGTCCCTGATTAGCGATCTGTTATAATATCGATAGGCTACTTAAGATACCGAAAATGCTTCAACTGAAATGGCTTCTTCTTTCTCCACCTTGATAGTCAGTTTACAACCTCAATCTTATATGTTGGGTTTTTACATGTCCAGGGCACCTTGTTTACGCTATACTTGTCACGGCCTCCAGAGGCGGGGAATATTAGCTGTGTTCTGCGCTTACTTCACCCAAGTGTAGATTAAAAGCCCCTTGGAAGATGTCACCCAACTATAACAGCAGCATTTTTCGTATATTCTTAAGTTAACATCGCTGTAATTCTGTTCTAATAATATATATCGTAGAACGGAAAGCAGAATGTAGGAGGGATGCGTGGAATATCCCTAGGAATGCTATATCGATAGACGTTTATTTTCTTTTCTTAGCAAAACTGTGGAGTAGCCTAGGCTGAGACCGACCTCAGAAGAAATGCAATATACTTCACTTGGATTGCGATAAATCCTCCATATGAGCTACCTACGCGTTGGTAGCTCTCTTCGCGGGCTTCAACTTCACTAACAGGGGTTGTTTTATAAAGACCGTAAACACTAATGCACGATCGATGAATCTCTCCCACCCAGGCTGCAGCTCAATATCAAAGTTCCAGATAATGCGAGCCATGATGAACCGCATCTCGGCGTAGGATAGAACCTTTGCGATGCAGTTTCGCGGACCATGCGAGAATGGCTTGAAAGACGCCTTGTTATCAGTCTGGAAGGATGGATCGTGGAATGGATGATCCTCTTGTAGCCAGCGCTCGGGAATGAATGAATCTGGCTCCCTAAAGTTGGCTTCATTGTGGTATGTGGCCCACTGGTAGACGGCGATAGTGGCCTAAGCAATTGATAAGTAAAAGAATAATATACGTATCATGCCTTGGGAAATAAAATGGACATTGAACCCTAGACGTGATGGGGGCAGTGAATCACTTACTCCTTGGGGAATGTATTGTCCGTTTATAAAGTCACCTGGAGACACCCTCGGTGGTGTCTCTGCAGCGGGAGGGAAAACACGCATAGTCTCTTCGAGACAGGCATGTAAATACGGCAGGGTGGCAGTTGTCCTCATCGAGATATCCGCTTCCGTCTTGAAGGTGCCTCGAATTTCATCTGTTAACCGCTCCCTTGCTTGGGGGGACTGCGCCAAATAGTAGGTGAGTGCAGACAAGGTGGTAGCGATAGCGCCGCCGCCCGCAAGTATTAGAGCGTTGGCATTGCCAGCGATCTCATCGGAAGTCATACCCTTAGCATCGTTATGGCGCAGGAAGTAAGTCATGAAATCCTTGCGGCCATCGGGCTGAACGCCCATATCTAATCTCTTTCGCGTTTTCTCTTCCACCTGCTGCATAAATTGGAATCTCCGTTGGATAATTTTCGACTTTGAGATGAGTGAGATCAGGGGACTAAACGCCCGCTTGTAAAAGAGGAAGAAGCGCATGAGTGCATCGGCCCGAAGGTTATCCACACTCAAGGAAACAAATGGATGCATATCACTGTTTTGCAGACAGCCAAATGACTCCCCGAACGTGAGATCCCCAATGATATCGAAAGCGGCGAAATGGTACCACTGGACAGCATCAAACTCCCGTTTGGCAATCGCATGCTCATGGAATCGTTGGATCAGAAGGTCTACCCATCTCGTAATGAGAGGCTGCTGGTCGTACAGGGCAGCCTCCGAAAAGGCGTGAGACAAGAGCCTCCGTTGGCGTCGATGTCCGGGCTTATCCGCCGTGAGGAGATTTTCACGCTCTACTCCGGCCCGGTAGAAATCAGGCTGGCGAGGGAACTCGGGTCGAGTATTGCCCTTGTGGCCGAAGACATCTTCCCAGGCGACACTGCCATCTACAGCAAGGCGATCTGGTGCTACACGCACGATCGGCCCATAACTTTTGTGCAAGTCGAGCACTTGGCGGTACCAAGTTCCCTGCGTCCAGTTGTAGTACGCGTGGGGAAAAGACGACGCAGCGAGCAACTTGGGTCCCGGAAATTTGGCAAGGGGGTGGAAGAACAGCCGGTAGATTATGATACCGATCCTGTAGAGTAAAGCCTGGATACGAAGGAATTAGTTCAATTTCTACCAAGCTATCGCCAATGGACACTTACTATCCCTGCGAGGATCGCAACGATCAGGATGGGCGAAAGGTCGGCGAGGGTCATCATACGAAAGCTAGCACCGAGTGTGTGTGAGGTTTATTTAGCTCCGGGGTTAACCTTGTCAACTTTCGACTGGGATTATTATATAAATATAAAGGCGGGCCACACAATTCAGTCCGGTCCGCCCTGGCTGTCAAGTAAGTGGGTCACCATACTCCGGGCCGCTCGTGGTGTGGTGCGGTAAAGAGGTCCATCATTCCTTCTGAAATCCAAGCTTCCTGAGCGGTTCAACGTGATAGTATTATGAAGACTCAGGATATATCTTGAGGCTCAACGGACACAGCAATTCTTCTATGTGGAACTCTTTGCACGATCAGCTTGTTCAGGACATGCACTTGGGGCATGTGGTGGGATATGAGCTCGGACACCGAAATCAGTTGCCGTAAAACCATCGCGAGGATAAGGAGCGCAGACCTCTCGACGTGGTAGCACCGCTATAATAGGACGAGGGAAAATTACAGCGTATGTCCATACGTCATCTAATGTGGTGGCCAGCTAGGAATATGTGTATAGGCCGATATGGATTCCTTGCTCTCCTTATATTTGGTTTCAATGGCACTGTCAAGGTATGGAATCCTAAGATTCAATGGCGGGCCTAAAATTGACAGGCCTAAGATTGACGGGCCTAAGTATTGGGTACAATCCTGGTGGGCCTCAGCTTGGGGATAACTTCTGTCGTACCCTGTCTGATGTCTCATTTGAACGAAGGCTGATGCACTTGCGGCCACTTGTGGGATTTCCTAAAGCAAAATTACGGATGAATAAGAACTTCGAAAATTATAAAAAGATTTTATTATCCCACTTGGAATGGAGTGGGCCGAAGACCATAACAAGGCGAATTTACCTTTTCCTAGCTGTGCGCTGAAATGGGTGATCAACGCCTCGAGCTGCCTCCCTTGTCGCCAGAGGCATACAGGTGGGAGAGATCATCAGAAGACCCCATTACCCTACAACGTCGCGGGAATGGTGCCGAGACTACATCCGGTACTAAAGAGCGCAATGCGAAAGGAGACATAGATATTTGGACGCTTATAATCCTTCATGTCCATGATATCCCTACAACCTCCACACTATCCTTATTCACTCTAGAAGAGAAGCTTCAAGCAGCACTGCTGGATATACGATTCGAACACCCAGAGGTAGCGTGCACTGCCTTATGGGATGATAATCTTGGCCCTTTGTACCAATATGTACCACCGAGGGATAGCGAAGACGCTCTCGCATGGGCCCAAGAGGCAATCCAAGTCCGTGCCACCTCAAAAACCGGCAATGATATACGATTGGAAATCGAGAAGCAACGGAAAGTTGACGGCACCGGCGCAACGAAGTCGGTAACCATCTATGCAGTTGCCGACGTCGCTGACAAGAACGTACCACTTATTCCGGGGACAAGCCTGGAAATACTAATACATATGAATCACTTATACTGGGATGGAAAGGCCGTCCGATTATTTGCCGGAGACCTAGTTCGCAAGTTGAGTCAGGATCTTAGCTCAAAGCAAAAACAGTACAAATGGGGAGAGGAGGTCGGCAATCTCAGTGTGCCAGTCTTGGACGCTATGAACCTCGATATATGTTCTTTGGACGGTAGCTTCGATATGGCACAGGAGAAATATGCTAGGGGTCTTCTTCGTACACAAGTAAGCTGCATGGTCTAACTACGATACTCACCCCAAGAACTTTTATGTGATTTGAACTCTAACAGGCATTGTACAGTCAAGTTGGGGACTCAAATTCAAACTAGGCGAGGGCACTCCGTGTGCCATCTTCCACAACTTCACTGTCACTGAAAGTAAAGCCATCATTTCTGCCCTTAAACGTCGCTTTGGTCCGAAATATACGATTACCCACTTAGGTCAGGCCGCCGTTGTTCTTGCGCTACTCAAAGCCAATCCACCGCCTGACTATGTCTTTGGCGGCCAGTCGTTCATAACAGTACCGCCCGTTGATGGCCGTCGATGGCTGCGAGAAGACCACGTCAAGGACTATTATGGTATCTGCCTGACAGGGGCGGTAATTGAATTTGAAGACATCGGATCTCTTATGGTCGACGAGAACGACAAAGACGCAGTCATTGAGGCGCTTGGGGCGGGATGCCGTATCACCAAGGAAGCATATGATCGATGGATGAGCAACCCATTTCAATTGCCCCTGGGCGTCTCGATGTATAACTTTTTAGCCACCTCCATGTCTTCGTAAGTCTTCATTGTTACATATTTTCTCTTGCAAGGGAGGCTGATGTTGGTAAAATACAAGGAACCAAGCGCCAATGCCTACAGTGGCAGGCCCGGTAAGTTTACTGTCTCTTCCATACAAGAATGCTATCCACTAACATTCAGTTTCACAGTTATTCGTAAGTGACGGGTTGAATGACCACGTAGTTCCGGGAGATATCGTGAGCCCCACCACTGGGGAGAAGCTTATATCTCTTGATCGCGTTAACGTGTTTCATAATCAGTATCTGCCGTATATGTAAGTCTTTACCCTAACTACTGGCTCTACACGCTTGGTAGACCCTTGACTGACCCACTTCTAGCTTGCTCCGACTTGAGAGCTGGAAAGGCGCCAGTACTCTATCTTTGTGCTATAATGACGCGTGTTACAATGCTTCTGAGGCTACGGCCTTTCTGGATGATGTAGTAGGTTATATGATGGCTATTTTGTAATAGAAACTTTGGTGAGCGCCTAGGCCGCATGTTCAGGAAATGCAATATACATTCGTTGAGTTGTAGCTTATAGGCTGTTGTGGAATCTCAGGCGTAGGGAGCTGTCGTACCGGCTACAGGCTCATCAGGTGACAGTGTTTGCGCCGATGGTGTTGTTTGCGCTGTTTAGGGGTGGGGTGTGAAATTGAAATGACTGAAATTATTTCAGGCCCTTGAAATGAAATTTGAAATGGCTATTGGAATTTGTTAAGAACTCGAAGGGAAGAGCTTGATGGAGGTCTCTATTATAGGAGGGCTGCAATGTAGACGTATTGACTACACGCCAACCATCATATGGATCAGAAGACCTTATAGAACAACGATGTATCCAACTACCTCATTAGATTATTCTCAATAGGAGCGTGGGGTCAATAAGTCCCTATTTATAGTACACGTAATTGTACGCGGCTCCCTAGAGGGTGTTACCCTCGGTTAGACCTCGGCTGGCCCATACATCTGCAGCTAGTATTAAGCGTCCAGTGCAGGACAGATAGGTCGGCATACTAGTGTCAGTGGTAGTGTTAGTGTACAGAGGTTACATACATGACCAGCGACATTAATCCGGCTTTACGGTATAAGAGATGGGAAGTTGGCATATTGCCTTCAGTTCTTGAAGCAAATACAGACTATAAAGGTCTCCTGGATCTTAATAGAGCTATTATAGACTGTAGTGCAGAGATCATGATATAGTAGTGACTGGCCTTTATTTAGTTAACTACCAGAATAGATTACTGCTCCCAGGAGGGTTACAGTCGGGGGCGCTGTGTCCAGGCAGTGCATTGTCTGTATTTCCGGGTCAATGTAGTTACCAGGATGACTGGAACTTGTTAAAGAAGGCACTCCTACGGGATGCATTATAGACAGGACAGAGTAGATAAAGGAATAGAAATCCATTCTTTACTAGAAAACAGCACGAGCATTCACAGTCAGCTGGGGCTGGCTGTCTGTATATCTAATTAGAAATGAGTCCCAGGTATAGATAAAAATATCCTGCTGATAGAGGTGTGATTATATAAAGGAGGGGGGGGAACAAGGAATGCACTATTGTTAGGATTAGATAGATATAATAATTATCTGAGAGCTCTTCACGTAGTACGTGAAATATTTAAGGTAATTTTGATTTGGAGGGAAGCTGACTGCTCGGAATATATTAGATCTGGAGTAAGTTTATCTGTAAAGTGATAGAGGTGAATAACTGTAGGGCTATTTCCCTTGGATATATCGGTAGGGATCAGGCAGCGATTAGGCAGAGAGTCCCTATATGTAGGGAGAGGACTGAACAGAATGAGATAATTTATATTATTTTTTAAAAGTGAGAGGAGTGTACAGGAAGATACTAAGATAGAGAGAAAAGAGAATACAGTAAGGGTCTAGTGTAAATATATTTTAAGAGAGAGTATAGTAAATAATAGATCTTTAGTATAAAAGTGCTAAATTAATGAATTCTTGGACGGGAAGATGCGGCAAGATAAGCTACTAGTTTATATAGCTGGGATAACTGCTGTCTATTTTATGACAGTTGAGCAATATAATGATATTGGTGCTACCTGAGCAGAATTTCAAGTCTAAGGAAAAAGAGGAAGTATTGAGGGGAGCGCAAGATATATAGGGGAATAGAGAAGATATACACAAAAGGTGTAAACAACAATAATATGCCTAATTTATCACATATACGGTGGTGATGGTGTACCAGGGCCATCCCGGGTATAAGCTTACCATTGGCAGAGAGTACAGGATAGGTAAAGAGGGGTCGTGTATCATAGTGTACTATAATTGTAGAGAAAGTTAATATTATATAGAGAGAAGAAGTTATATTAGATATCTAGTGATATCTAGTGTAGCTCTCTCAAGTCATGCTGCATACGCAATATATATATTATCTACTATCTCCGTTCTTTTTCTCCCCTCCGCCTCGCAGTGTCTCTCCGCAGCAAAGTATGTTAACCATCCCGGCAGCCTGCAGACTCGGGAAACAGTCCAGGATGATGCCTGCAACACCATAGGACAGACACTGATCGGTTGGTGGCAGGGGGAGAAGAATAGTCAGTCAAACATCTACACCAGAACTGACCAGTGAGAGACAGCCTGGAGACGGTCATGTTATAGTAAATTGCCAATCCAAGGCACCTTGTGAGACAAACACCTGTTATATATGTTTCTCTTTCTCACTTATATCAATAGTTACGACTCTCCATGTCTGCAGGGTACGGTACAGCGAGAGTAGTTATGAGGGAAGAGCCAGATGTTCCAACTGTAGCTAGTGGATTGTAGAGCTGTGGCTGATGCGGACATTAACGATGTTACCTTGGAGCACAAATGTAAAGGATGGTTATGCCTAACTTTCAATTCAATATCTATTCTACTTGTAATGAAAATACGATGGTTCATGTAATGCAGAGAAGATCTGACTTTCCTTGGTAGGCTAAATTGAAAAGTTCGGGCGAGAGGCACCATACAAAGAAAAGTAAAAGGATGGCCACACCTTTCGGCCGGGGGTCCCTTGCGACTCCAAGGGGCGAAAATTTTACACACACAGACTAATCTTTCGCCCTCCTTCTCTATTGCTAGACAAGGAGTGGCTTGGTTGGGCGAAATCACCGGCCTACTCTCCCTCGCGTGATGTCGTTTGGTCAGCTCCCCGGCAAGTCATACCTCAAGCCACCAGATCGCAACTTGTATCTACGGAACGGAACAGGATTACGTGGGAGAAAGTATATGTAATCTGAGTCGTATTCATTCGACCTGGTGTTGCAAATATGTCCGGCGAGAAAGCGTTGACCTAGTCAGGATTCAAACATGTTAGCACATCGATTCAAGGCCAACGATTACAAGAAACCCGGCAAGATTCAACAATATTCTCAGACGATGTCGCTCTTCCAAAGCAAGGTAGGTTGTGATCATTATCTCTGATAGAATGATATTCACATCGGCAAAATAGGTGTCTAATCACGGTGTAGAAGGGAAGGGGAACAAGTAGACGGTGATCGACTTACCATAAATGTTCTCTACGGCAACGGCAATGGCCTTTGCGTCCCAGGTCTGCCGAGAAAGGCAGAGAGAAGGACGAGAGAGGAATGCAAGAGAGTACATGCTTGAAGGAGCAACACCCTTGCTTTTATACCCTGGCCCGAGACAAAGAAACGAAGCAGTCTCGCCAGATATCCCCATCACCTGCTGTCATTGACCATGGGCTGCACGGAGTGCGGCCTAACATAAGTGGATCCCAGAATTGGGGGCTGAAGGCGAAGAGACCATTATTCTCCGGGAGGGTCTGGGCGTATCATTTAGTTGAGTTTGTCTAACTTATCTTCCCTATTTGGCTTGGATTAAATAGCGTGATTATAGTCGAGTAAGGATCCGCCAGTAGAAAAGCCACAAGCGCCCTCTTGACACGCCTTGATCGAAACATCACCATTAACAGAGAGAGATATATATATCTATATTTTGATTGATTCTACAATTTACACTGAGTATACACGAGCAAAATAGTCATGGAATACATCATAGTCTCAGGTATTAGTATCGAGATATAGGTAAGAATGTACATGGTAGGTACAGAGACAACGCATCGTCAAGCGTCCGTCGGCTTAATAGGAGACAATACAATATTAATCGGTTGAGAATCTCACGAGCCATTGGAGCTCGAGACGGCTATTCTCGCTTGCCGGAGATTGTCCCGCCGTCAGTTTAGTCGATGGATCCAAGAAAGCCTCAACGGGTATACAGCGAATGAGAGTGTATAGAACGCCGTGGGACTAAGTCGCAAAGGGAAAATGAGCCTTTTCATCAGCACTAAAGACTATGGCGAGTGGGTCAGTGGGAACGGGGGGGTAATCGAGCCCCGGGCCGAGTGGGGATAGGACAAGAACCTGCCACATTCCAACACACTCCACCACTCAAGGCCGCCTTCCAATAAGATCCCGTTCTCCTCCTTCTTTTCTCTGCCGCTGCTGCAGCCTACCAATCAGCGCGTCCGAAATGGAGACGCACGACCCATGGCTCAAGATAGCTCATCATCCATCATCCTAGATCATCCTAGATCATCTTACTTAGATCAAGATGAATCATGTGAGATTATGCTGATGACTTGAGTGATATATGGACGGGAAAGTCGGTAGACTCTGATCAGGTCCTCAGAACACCTTGAACTCAGCTGAAGCTCATGATCCGTATCACAGGTAACAAGCTGAAATTGACCGAGTACCAGATATAGCCGAGTGCGAAGATACTATCCACGACAGGTGAACATGGGACGACTGTTTGGACTGTTTGCTTCCATCACATAGTCGTAGTGTTGTGCCAGACCCCTGCTAGCACCAAAGTTTACCTCGGTCTAGTGTTTGACTTGTACATTAAAAACTAACGAGGCCTGCGTGGCGAGACGATTTACCCGTAAATTGCTACGCTGGCAACATCTTCGACAATGACCAATTTCCTCCGAGAGGAACGGGCCGACCATGTGGGACGCAATCTTCAAACCCCCAGAACGAGCCAATTAACCCGAACATCATCAATTAATGGAAATCCAAATTCCGCCATTGCGACATTTTTCCTTTTTTGGGGGAGGGGGGTCATGTGATTTTTCCGGATCGCCCAATTCGTTGCTAATTTCGCATCTAAGCGAATGCAACGTCCCAGGTTCACCTTACTATTGACCGTTACATTAGCGGGAATTTTTCGCTTTGCGAATGGAAGTTAGGAGGGCGCAGTACATATTTCTGGATACTTGGAATATCTGTATTTATGCGTGTGTGGATCAGGCAGTGTGAGACCGGGTGGACGTGGCTCCGCAACCATACGTGAAGGCAGCGGAGGTCCGTACACTAAATCAAGCCAGAAACGGTCAATTGTAATTGAGTCAGTAAAACGAGGAACGCTAGCAAAGCCGGAAAGATCAGCAGCACAGCCATAAAGCCACTCGCTGTACGCGGTGATAGCGGACCTACATGCCCAGGTACGCAGTGTCAATTGATCGAAGAGCGTTACTAATCCTTGTGATGCTTCGACAATCCCTGCTTCGGTATACTCAACGTTAACTCTCCTTAAGCCATGGCGACGTCTTAAAGTTGAGTCGCCTGACCAGATTATCTATGTGTTTCAACGCTTTGGCCTAAATGGTCCGAGTACAAGAATGAGAAACAAGTTTGTTGATGCACTATCTGGACGACGAGTTCCCTCTTCAGTTTCCATTTCACGAGACTGTGCATCTCGGAAAGCGAGAATGGCTATTAACCATACTAAGCTCGACCAAGGCCGTGTATTATGCCACGTTGAGTCTTAGCTTGCTTCACAAAGAAGCCTGTTCGGATACAAGTGGAAGGGAACGGGGATTAATATGGCGGGATGAGAAAACGCGATACTTTATACTGGCGCTGCGAGAATCACAACAACTGCAGCAGCAATTACAATCCGGAAGAAGTAAAGATGGCCTAGAGGCCCTTGTCAAAGCACTGGCCAACACCGTTCAGCTGATCAGCTTTGAGGTAAATGAAACATCCATCCTCGCCTGCAAACTTCCTGTCTCGCTAAATGGAATGGTAGTCATCTTGTCTCAGCAGGGGAGATTGGCAGCTTCATCTATAAGTCGGAACGTCCTTAATACTGTCCTTAATTGAGAGTTGGGAAATGGTTGTAAGATCCCACATCCCAACATCCTCAATCTGGAGGTCGACTATCCTTCGGATACATTGGTGCTTTAAGGTTCTTCTCTAATATGCTGGTGGTGTTTGGGGTTCTATCCTGCGTTTCTGCTGGCCCAGCATCTTCGTTCATGGACTACAAGTATCTAATTTAGCACCACACGGGCCTCATTCAAACAGAGCAGGTGATTGGCTGCAAGAACTGGGTGGTGTCTGCGATCCTGGCAGTGGGGATTCTGGACCAGTGGAAGCGAAAGGAGCAGATAAATGACAGGCTGAGCATGAAAGCGCTCACACGACGGGCCATAGCAGTTGAGATGCTTCTAGAGGACGGAATTAAGGGGTCCGGCGGTGGTGGGGTTGTGGACATTGTTACCAGCATCTACGCGACCTCAACGCTGACATACCTGCATTCTGTAGTATCAGGCCTTAATCCATATCTGCTAGAAATCCAGGACAGCGTGTCTCGGAACATGGCCTTGTTCAAGCAATGGGGATTGTCTCCAGTCTACTTTGGCCATAGTGCATTACCGGATGCATGGCGTCCCCAGACCGAGGAGGATGGTTTACAGACCTAATTCGCTCCTCCGGTGTCTGCCAGCAAGCCTTCAGGAAAGGCTGGTATGCCTTCGATATCATAGTCAATGCCTGGAAAATCAGGGACCACATGAGTAAGCAACCCACCGTTGCATGGGAAGATATAATCAATGGTCACAACTCACCCACACTGCTCATATAGCGCAGCTCATATGACTTCCTCGAACAAACTCCTCCCAAACGAACATGTTGCGCCTTCCCTGTTTTGTTATGGACTAGATGGAACTCTTACGGTTTTGGTGTTGGCTGAAGCGAGAAATGATGTCTCAGTTGATGTATCTCTCCGGCTAGATCCCTTGATCACACTGATCGCACACTTTTGATTCCCCTTATGAGTTTAGACAGGTGTATATAATCATGACTCTTCTATTGAGCAACTTATAACTGAGAACCAACTTTGGAGAGGAAGACAACGTTAAAATTTCCGGCGCAACCAATAGCGTCAACTCTCGATTTGTTCGCTCTTTAATACGTTCCCTTGCATGACATTCTAGAAATATAAATACTGGGTTGACTTTACTATCCCATCTATTTCTTGATCTGTAGCCTTACGACGAGGCCTTCCCGAGTAACTAACGCCACGGCCAGCCATTGGAATCATGGAAGGCCTTACTTAACCCAACGACACTGGTTCGAAGATCAACCAAGCCGTGATAGTTTTTATACAATCCGTGGCACTGAATTAGGGTGAGGCCTTGCATCGCGGATTTTATTGGCCTGGATATCCGTTGGCCGATTCATCCCTGTATGCCTCCCTACACGCATCTGTAGACACTCTCACAGCGGTTGCCACTGAAAGATTATCATGACCATATGACAAGAGCATCCAACGAACATATAATAGAAGAAACAAATCCCGTTACAAGATAGTCAGATACCAGTTTCATTTCCATTGACCGTACAAAAGCAGCAGCGAGACCATTGCCCGAGTCCATTCCCGCGGAAACTTCAAAGAAAACCTCCCAAAACCCCTCGCCCTTATCAAAATGTTCAAGCAATCGACCAGGCTCATGGATGCCTATGAAGACGAAGACCTCGTGGTTCCTTGGAAGGATGTCTCCTTGTACATGGCACTCAGCGTGGTGCTGAGTGTAGCCATCTTCGTGTCAACCCGGGTTTGAACACTGTGACAAAAGCCACACACGACAAGAAAGATATCCTCCAAATAAAAAACTATACACTGCGTACGGTTCACGGACAGCAACAATCCGTGCCTCCAACTTCTACGCTCGATGGTCCTCAACCAGCCTTCAGGACCTCTAAAACCAAAGCCGAGACTTCGACTCCTTCTGACGAATTGATCCCGTTCCATGCCCCCATGCGGCGATGACTTTTTGGCGTTTTTTGTGCATGCAATCCTTGCTTTTTCTTGCGAATTGAATTACTTTTGCACTTGAATTTATTTCGTTTCATTTATTTCTGCGCAAAATGGATTCGATCTGAGCCGTGAATAGATAGCCCCCTCGGTGTCTGCGGCAAAAGTTTACATCTTTCAGAGTCTCGGATCATCACATAGGGGGCTGTTTGGTTACGGTGGAAGATGTGATATACAATGGACTTGGTCTGTATGCATATTTTGTTTTATACCATGGTGGGATAGTTGAAATAATTGAAGATATGTGCAACATCTTGTTTGGAAGAAGTAGTAAAAGGTATTTTTGCACCCGCATATAATCAACAGCTCATCCTTCACAGCTGAGATATGCCGATCGTTTTCCTTTCCTATATTCCTCGTGGTCTTGTTTCTAAAACCTGCACCTTAAATCATCAGCCGACAGATCACTATGATTAACCAAGCCGTGGCAATAACCTAGCACACGGACGGGGTCTCATACATGGATGATGTACCTGTCAATTCCTCCGTAAGTCGGGCCAGATAAATTGTATTCTATTGACTGATAGGGGAACCAGTTGGGAAAAGCAAGCAGAGAGTTAAACTTGTATATTTAACTCAGCAATCTGTGGAGATCCGTCCATACATACACAGTAAATTCGGCCAATTGTAGTATGATAGATACTGTCAGCTGATAAATACGGTGCCTGAGTTCGTGAGATTAGAAACTCTGTCAGCAGTAAGTCTGTTTACAGTAAGTTGTTTGGGTTATAATACAATTGACGGGAGTTATTCGAAAGACCAGTATATAATATTGGTTATCATCAATTAGTCTTACTTCGCTTAAAAATCAGAATAGAACGGGAGGATTTACCTTCTCCTTTTTCCAGCAGATCGTATCGATATGCCGTTATATTTCCATAAAGAAGACTCCGGATTCATGAAAGTGAATTTTAGATTGTCATTATACTATCAAAGCTGTTCTATCATGCAGTTATATACAATACCTCAAGAAGAGCAAGGAAAAAGAAAAGAGACAAAACAAAGAAGCTTAAAGATAAACGCGGATCATGTAGATAAGAAAATGTATATCTTCAAAAATGAGTAAGACGGGGAAATTAGGCAAGCGGGGATAAGCCTTTCTTCAGTCCAAGGCAACAAATTAGTGGACAACCCCAAGGGAATCCGTCGTAGGTACGATCTTTTCTATGATCTCTGATGGGGCCTCAGCCTTGAGCTCGACCTCAAGCTCAGCCTCCTTCTTCTTCTGTTCAACCAACTCATTGATAGTTGGGTAAGCCCATTCGTCGGCGTCGATGGAGCCGACGGCGTACGCCTGCTCGCAGTACTTCCGGAACTTGACTTCGACTTCGCTGTTGCCTGTGACCTGCTCGTAGATCTCGGGGAGACGGTAGCGCTTGTCGCAAAGATGCCATGTGACGTATCCGTGCATGAAGGACTCGATGGTCTCCATCAGCTGGGGGTCCTTGTCGGAGAAGACGGCCATCATTTGCTCGCAACTGTGAAGGGTATCTTTGGTGAGCTTCTCGAGACCCTCGTCGACGGTCAGGTTATATGTCTTGCAGTAGTTCATGATCAGGCTGGTCTGGTCGCGGGGGTCATCGTATTCCTTGTAAAAGGAGAGCAGGTCGTTGACGAAGACCATCCAGTTTTCCATCTGTGCGACTGCTGCGGTGATCTCCGTGAACAGCTTCTTCTCATCGAACTGGTCCTTGGGCCAGAGGGATCCACCGACACAGTGGCCCAGACCGTTTAGGCGGCGGAGGAAGAGGGGGTAGTCATGGGCTCCCTCGAAGCCGTGGAAGTTGTACTGTTCAACCCAGCAACCCTGGAAGACTAGAAATGGGGATCAGCTGGGTGGTCTTGGAATATTCTGAGGCTTGGCTACTTACAGTCAACAGTGCTGCGAATCAGGTACATCGAGCAGTAAGGTCCGAAGTGTCTCAGGACATTGGGGAAGTGTTCGAACACAAGTTGCAACCAAGGGTGACTCTGGGTGCGGCCGTTGACCAGGTCGTCAAAGAAGTTTTGCATCTGGGGGTGGGGGTCATCGGTGCTGTCGTCCAAAACAAGGGTGTATGTGTAGTGGGTGCTGAGGTCAGCCATGAGTTGCTGGGAAACCTTAGCCCAACTGTACACGGTCATGCCGGTGATGGTCTGCAGAGACGCCTGCAGCCGCTTGGGGTCAGCCTTGAGCGTCTCTTGGATGCGAGGCTGAGAGAAGTGCTCTGCAGCCTGGGCATAGGCATAGTGAAGGTTCTCCACACGCTTCTCGCGGGTGTAGTTGCTGTCGCGGTACTTGATGGTGTCAAGAAGACGCACAACAGTGCCGACAAAGTAGTCAGTAGGGAAAGGCTTGAGCACCATTTTGACTGGAGTGGAATTAAGCTGCTTTGAACTGAGGGGAAGAATGGTGAAGATTTAAGCTTTTGTAACGCGAAATGGCTATGCGAAACGGTGCTGGTTTGCTGTTTTTCTTTGTTGTTTAGTTGTTGATGCTGTTGATGCTGTTGATGATTTCGTTTATTGCCTCCCGAAACCTTCGACTTTATACCTGCTTCAGGTCAAGAATCTTATCGTAACCGGAGTATTTTTTGCTTGGTATACAACCAAATGTACCAATGGCATATGAATCTGTCATGCCTAAACATAGTGTTGATTAAAGTCCTCAACGCCTTAAGGCTGCATTTGCATTCCAGTTAACCGGATCTGTACAGAGACCTGACTCTAGGCTGTTCCGTGCAGTAACAGGCCGAGTGTGTAAGAGACATCACGAACCTTAATCCAAAACTAGGGACATATTTACGCTGACATTTGGTCCTATCTCGAAGCTGAGGAAATGACAGACGCAGGGCGAGGAGCATGGAGACTAAGTATCAGGCCTGCCTTGAGGAAAGTGGGCCGGCTCACCAAGCGTTAGGCCCTTTCTTTAGGCCAAATGTAGCAACGTGCAGATGATTCCTAGTTTTCTTTGATTGATATCGGCCATGTCCTTCTATAAACGAAGTCTATAACACGCCCCGAATGCGGGGATAATGCAGTTTACTTCGTCCAGCTCCATGTCAATAGAGATATGTTCATTTGTCCGAGATACTATGTTAGGCCTCCCATGACCATCACCGAAGGAATACCGGAATACTTCCGACAGGCACTCCATCCTCTGCTATCTTGCAGTGCTTACTTTCCGGAATTGGAAAATGCTCGACAGCTGTATAGTCTACTGGGATGTGCCATTTTTGTCTCAAGTGCGGAAAATTCATGGCAGCAAGTGTCACAGATTGAGGGGCCTCGCTAGATATCATGCGGCCCTAGCTCGAACTTCCAAGGAATCCTCTTGTCGACCGTCTAAATCACTTTAAGGGGAGGGGAGGAGGGCGGCAGCGTGAAGAATACAGTCTGATAAGGGACCGCTGTCACCACCAGCTACGAGCATGGAGGTTTACGGGAAGCCCATCATCCTCCAAATCCAAAGGTCCGCATTGCATGGTGATTGATAACTACTCAGAGAGGGCTGGCGCTCGGGATTACTCCCATTGAGAAGGCATGTAAACGAGGCTTACAAATGAATGAAAATACTACGGTTGACTAGAATCAGTCAGTGTTCAATTTGTAGTGCTCATAAATTAGTATAAAGGATCTGGGAAAGGGCCCCACTATCGCAGTTTCCATCATTTGAGAGCCCCATCTGTGCGCGGTACGGCTGAAAGATGGACCGCAGTATAGCTGAACAACTCGGAGCCAAAAATCAGACCATCCGTTACCGGCCTTTCATCTCTCCAAGATCAGCAAAGTAATTCGTCCGAACATCTTCCTAGCGATAATTTGCTAGAGACGCTGTCAAAGCTGAACTCAAATATCAACTCGAAAACGTATTAAAGCGAACCGGCACATCCATCCCCTCGTATCTCAAGTTAACTTTTACGTCCTTCGTCTTCCCAAGATGATCTCAACAACAACCCTTGTAGGGGGCGTCGTTGGCGTTTATCTCCTTTTATCTCTGAGCCGGACCATCTACAACCTTTTCTTTCACCCTCTCGCCTACCTTCCCGGTCCCAAGTTATGGGTCGCATTTCCGGTCTTCAGGCAGGTCAGTAGCATTCGAGGTATTTTCGATGCTCGAATGAAAGAATTCCATCAGGTCTACGGCGACGTAGTTCGATTTGGACCTAATGAAGTCTCCTTTATCACGGAGAAAGCCTGGAGGGATATCTATGACCACCGGCCCAACCAGCTGGAGCGATTCATTCTTTCGACGACACGCCGGCCGGATATCTTCGATGCGGATGAAGTCAACCATGCTCGCTACCGCAAGGCGCTCAACCCTGCCTTCTCCCTAAAGGGCCTCCAGGACCAAGAGCCAGTTGTCAAGGGATATATTGATCAATTCATTAGCCGGCTAAAAGATGAAGCAAAGACCGGGGCTCCGACCGACATGGTCAAGTGGTACAACTTTACGACGTTCGACATTATCGGTGACCTTGCGTTTGGTGAATCCTTTGGTGGACTGCGCAACAAAGAATACCATTTCACGATTTCGTTCACATTCGAAGCGTTCAAGCTGCTGTCGTATTTGGAAGCGGGCGCGGCCTATCCTCTGTTACTCAAGTTGCTTATGCTATTCACACCGAAGTCTCTCGTGGAGGCCCGCGACCGGAAGGAGGAGCATGCAAGGGTTACTGTCAATAAGAGGCTTAACAACAAAGCTTTGCACGGACGTGGTGACTTCATGGATGCGATGTTGCGGAACCGTGGCGAAAAGCAGGGTCTGACCGACCCAGAGCTCGTGGCGAACGCTAGTACCTTGATCACTGCAGGCAGTGAGACGACTGCTACCGTCCTTTCCGGCATCACATACTTCCTGCTGAGGAACCCAGAGAAGCTCAAGAAGGTGACCGACGAGGTTCGCTCTACCTTTAACTCTGAGGATGACATTGTCTTCATCACAGCCAGCTCTCGCCTTCCTTATATGATTGCTTGCTTCCAGGAAGCATTGAGACTGTATCCGCCAGTGCCTACTGGAATGCCGCGTGTAACACCAGAGGCCGGATTGACCGAGATTTCAGGACACAATATCCCCCCTAATGTAAGTTGGGAATCAGAGATTAGTGGCAGGTCTAGTTCTAATAATATCTCTAGACAAAGGTCTCTGTCCATCAGCTGGCCGCATACTATCACCCGAAAAACTTCAATCAACCCGAAAAATACATCCCCGAGCGCTGGCTCCCCGAGGCTAAGACCGACCCATCCTCCCCTTACTACAACGATGCCCGCGAGGTACTGCAGCCGTTCAATGTCGGACCTCGTAACTGCATCGGTCGCAACCTGGCGTACAGCGAGATGCGCGTCATGCTTGCACGTGTTCTGTGGAACTTCGATCTGGAACTGAGCCCAGCCAGCGAGAATTGGAATCAGCAGAAGAGTCATTTTCTTTGGGAGAAGTCTGGTTTAATGTGTGTGTTGAAGGATCGTTTCAAGTGAGTCAGTACTCGCTATATGTGATGTTTTGTGAGTGGCCAATCTGTGGGATTCTTGTCAGCATTATTTCCTCTTTTCCAATTTACTTTTGGTCTATAAATATTAAGAAAATCAACTACTAGCTTAGAGAGTAGTAGCATAAATCAAAATTACATACAAACGCTTACATTGGATTAGATTGTTTGTCTTAATCGTTCTTGAAAAGCATGGGTCTACGGGTTCGTAATTAGTCGCATGCACGAATATTCTCTGGAACTTGGCATCATATTTCCTCCATATTGGAAAGGTGAAAGTACATCAATTGTGCTAGAGTTTCTAGAGAAAAACTGCCCTTTGGAGCACCGTAGAAGACCACACCAAATGATGCTCATTGCATCTATTCAAACCTGTTTCGAACGTGAGGTAGTGCAGCCACATAAGGCTTTGAACTAATGTACCGACAGTAAAATGGCAAACCAAGGGCCTGATTTCGGAAAGCGATTCTATATTGGCCTATTGAGGTCCCAGAACTCGACGTTGTAGGACCTGCTAAGGGCCGGCGGACCAAAATGGATGGCATGCCATATCCACACAGGTCCGACGGCGTGAAGAATCCTTTTTACTGGTATTTTATGAAAATAAACATGACTACAGTTAGGTAGGCCTCCGGATATGCGGTGTGTGGCTGTTAACTATGATTATTGTCACTGGCCAGCTGTCATGTCGGCCCTCGTCCGAAGGCAATACTGAGGGCCAGTGCCGGAGATGAGTAGCCTTGTCTAGTGGAGCGAGCTTCCCCACATAAACCCCCGGTATATGTACTCGGTAGCTGCGTCTGCAGAGTTGCGGAACCATATGATGGGGGCTTGTATATATATCGCATCCAGGATGGCTAAACACTAGCAGCAACCCTCAAGTTTACTACCATCTTCTCCATGCAGCTGCCACTCTCCTTGAACTCCCTACTCCCTTTGGGTAGCCTTGTGCCCAACTTCCTAGGCGGTCCTCCGTCATGCCCACCGCTACCCCCAGGTGATCTCACCTTGAAGCAATATCAACTATATCCCGTGAACTTCATGTGGGACAAGAGGCGATGTGTCGCCTACATCAGGTACTTCCGTCTTCCCTAATTTAGACTCGACCGTTTCTCACAAAACCAGCTCCCTCTACAACGCCACCGTCAGCGTCTATGATCCCTACAAATCCGAAATTACTGATGTTATGTGGTTCCCCGGCCTTAGCCACGAGGGCCACAGTGCCGTGAACCCCCTCCATGCCAGCGGACTGATCCTCCGTCCCGACGCCAAAACAGCCGACACCCTCGAGATTGTCATCGACAACGGCGACTGCTTCTTCACCAACGGCCTCAACGTCTCCGGCCCCGACTACCTCCTCACCATGGACCTAAAGAATAAGAATGTGACGTCCCAGGTCCGTCTCAATGACATCAGCAAAGGCACCTACGCCGGTTATGCCGAGGCTGAGCTCGGCGACGACGGCAACACTTATGTCGTCGGCACCCACGTCTCCAATATCCTGCGTGTGTCTCCCCAGGGCGACGTCTCGACTTTCTACGTCCACCCCGACCTCGGCCCCCCACGCCCCTATGGTTTCACGGGGCTAGCACACGTCAAGGATGCTATCATCACGAATGACAATGTCATCGGGCAGTTGATCCGATTCGATACCCGTACCGAGACCGGTACTCCCGTCGTTATTCCCCAGACTCCCTATCATGGTTTTACCATGTCGTATGTCATGAATGTGCCAGAGAGATATAACGGGACTATCTTGCTAGAGACGGAGAATACGACCCCTGAGTATGTTTGGGGTGGTGTCGGCGTTTACCGGTCGCAGGACGGTCGCTTCGAGGAAGTCGAGTACCTGGGTTTTATCCCGAATTTGTTGGAAAACTCCTTAGCTACTTCAGCGAGGGAGATGACTGATCGCATATACGTTGTGGCGCTGTATACTGATGGTGCGAACATTACTGTCTCGGGGCACAGCAGCGAATTTATCTTCCAGGACATTACCGCTCAGGTCGATGCTCTTGTTGATCAGACATCCGAGGCTAAGGCTTAACTCTGTCTGGTACGACAGTCATTCATGGCCATTTCATGACCTGTAAGAATAATCAGTACATAGAAGTATGGCTAATTATGATTAATGTGGACTGTAGCTAACTTCTTCGTCTTCTTTCCCTCCTCTGTGTTGCTTCTACTGTGTATATGAGAGACCTTGGGGGTATACTTCAAGCGAACGCTAAACCTCGTACTCACTAAATAAAGTACTTACTACTATAGGGTTGGCCCGATGGCAGGCCTAAAATAAGGGCCTGTAAATTCCAAGGGAGCAAGGACCGTGAAGTCCTGTAGAGTCAAGATGAGCATTTCTTTTTCTCGCAGGCTGTAAAGAGAGAATTGGATTGGCTAAAAAGCAACAACAGTAGCTTCATAGATTCAGAGATCATTCCATTTTTGTTCATATGAAGGTTACTTTTCCTCAGATAAATCCGAATGTCCGCTAAGGCAGTGGCAGTTCAATCTCTGGTGGGTTGTGTGCAAGACCCGCGTACATCTTTGGGTCTAGCTACCGATGCCGGGGGCCGTGCTTCTTTTGCGCCGCGTTTTGCGGAATATACGATAGACATGATCTCTTTACCTATAGGGTCTAGTTTTTAATTTAAACCCAGTTCCAACATAACAAAGAAACCCTTGACCAGGATAGCGATCCACTTTGTGGGTAAAATCCAAAGTGAGCCTCAAAAGGAACCATGGAGTGCGTCCCCACGTATCCAGCGGTAGGACATGCGAGTTTCACGTTAACTGTAGAACCGCGTAAATGCACACTGTATGATCAGTCTACTATTGAAGAGAACCTAGATGCTCACATGATATGGGGGTCAGAACATCACGTCGTATTTAAGTGTCTTACAGATGTTAGTAAATTAGCCAAGGCCTCTGGCTCATTGTAGCTCTCACGGATTGGAGGTCCTCGGTGGCCCCCAAGTAAACAAGGGCTTGAGCACCCTAGATACTGTAGCGTACGAATACTCCTATATTCTATCTACACATGAATACCAGTATTATGAAACACTAGGCCTAACGGCAGGCCTGAGAGCAGGCCAGCCAGGAACTTGTAGACTACATATTGCAAAAGAGTATAAATATGATCATGAGCGTACCGGCTGATTTAAACACGAAACTAACGCCAGGACCTTGATATATCCGATCCACAGTTTTTGAAAAACCCCACCCCCCAAGGTATAGGCACAAAAGGAAAAGATAGACGCGATGCTGGTCCCACTCAACCCAGCCGAGCACAGATGGAGGCAATCCAAGATCGATCCCCGTATCACAGAGCGTCGAGCGGTAGGCGTTGAATCGTTTCTAGGACGCAAAAATGCAAATTACATGGGACAGAATGACCTTCGGATCCGCGTTGAGCTCTCCGTGTCGAACACGACGCCATCTCTCGCTACTCTGAAGGAGAAACTGGAAGCCACTATGATGGAAATGCGGTTCCTGCATCCAGAGAGCGCGTGTACCCTTGCCTGGGACAAGGTCATCGTTCCTCCTCTGTTACAATACAGGTCTCCTGAGAGCCAGGAGGCGGCGAAGAAGTGGGCACAAGGTATTGTCCACGTTCAGGCGACCACAGACAATGCTCTGGACTTGTGGGAGGATATCGAGAATCGCAGACGCTCCAACCCGCAGCCGGAGAATCCTATTACGGTGCATATCCTTGCCAACGTGGCCGATGTAGACTCGCCTCTGCCGGTAGACACCATTGTCGATATGCTGTTCAGGATGAACCATGTTTACTGGGACGGTGTAAGCGCCCGTGCGTTCGTCGGTGATGTGCTCAGGACATTCAGCAAGACCCTGGCTGCCGACTATGAAGTTCCGGGGTATGAATGGGGCAAGGAGACTGCAAACTTGAACATCCCGATCCTTGACGCGTTGAAACCAGGTGTCGAATGCTCCGGAGACGCTTTCACAGCCGACCGCAGTGAGCTTCTCAAGGCATTTGGCGAAGGTCATGTAGGTTCTAGCAGAAACCCAGTCACCACCTCTACGCCAGCTACCATCTAACCCTTCCAATAATTAAAAAGGCAGATCTAGGAACAAGACCTCACACAGGCCCCTATAAACCCCGCGTTGTAACACATGTTTTCGCACCCAAGGAATGCAGCGCTATGATCAAAGCTATCAAATCCCGTCTCGGTCCCAAATACACTATCACCCATCTTGGCCAAGCTGCCGTGACGCAAGCCATGCTAGAAATCAATCCCCCCTCGCCCGATCTCCCTGAAAGTGCCGCCTTCGTCACGCCTAACTCGATCAATGGCCGTCGTTGGATGGACAACGCCTATGCTCCGACCTACTACGCCGCATGTCTGGCGAACGGAGTCGTGAAATTCAACAACGTCAAGTCGCTCATCATAGACCCAAGCGACAAACCGGCTATGATTCAGGCATTGACCAAGGGCGCGGAAGATGCCAAGAAGTCGATCGATTTCTGGTTGAGCAAGCCCCATCATTTACCCGTTGGTATCAACGTGCACAATCTCTCCGCTGAATTCGTGGCTACGTATGTGTCTTTTCCTTTACTTCTTCTTCTTTTTCTTCTTTGATAAAACACCTAACAATAAATACCAGGAACCCGGCGGAAGAAAAGGAAGTTGCTGTACCCGTAAGCATTCCCAACTCCCGGAGTAGAGCATGAAAGCTAATACAATATCCCCCACCAGGTCTTCCTAAGCGACGGATTAAACGACCGGTTCCTCCCGAACGAGATTGTCCGTAGTGATACCAACAAGCCATTGATGACGGTTAATGGGGTCTTGTTTGCACTGAACGAATATGACCCGTTCTAGTATGTGTTCGCCCTTCTCTTCCTTGACACTTCCACCTCTAATCAGTCTATAGCACCACACGCCTAGAAAGCTGGCAAGGTGCCTCGACGCTCTCTGTGTGCTATAATGGGGGAAATTACTCCAAGGAGGAAGCGGAGGCTTTCTTGCACTGTGTCGTGAAGTATATGTTGGCCTTTGTGGGGGCGTAGGGATCTGGTACGCATCGCTGGTGTTTCTTTTTCTTTTCTTTGGTTTTTCTACAAATGGCATGTGTGATATGGCATCGCAATAGGTTTTAGTACATGAATGAACTAGGTGATATATAGTAAATTTGCTTAAGGTTCTTTCCTGTCTCTAGTTTGTGTAAGGGATAAGACCCGCAACGTTCGATAAACTATCGTAGCTACCAAACAAGAAAAAAACGCTGAAGAAGAAAAGAGGAGACTCAACAAACGGTGAGACAATGAGGTATGACAGGAAGGAGGGGAAGAAATACACCATGTGGCGAATACGGAAACGAGGGCCAATGGCCTGTGTATACTAACGGGCTTCAGCTCGCTACAGTTTGATCTTGTTTGGTGACTTGTAGCCTTTGACTGAGCATACTGAGAAACATCTTACGATATCCTACCACTGCCTAGCAATGGACGTTACCTTCTGTATCACACCTAGAATGGAGAGACCAAGAAAAACAAAGCCTGAAATGGCAAAAGAAACAGAACACGCGCTACTTCTTCTCCTTACTTAGCCTCAGTACCTCATATTCGCCCTCCAACTTGTAAATATACAATTTCAGAGCATCGCACTCCTCCTTCGCCTTCTGCACCTCCGCTTGCAGCTTGGTCATCTTCTTCCACTGCCTCTGGCTATGGGAGCGATAGTGGGTTTTATTGTGTCTTCTGTCGACGCTGGATTGGGTGGTCTTTGGATTAGATGTGGTGAGGGTTGGATAATTTGGGGCATTTGACTAAGTTTTGGGAGAGGCGGCGTGGTGGTCCTGGGTTGGGGGCCATTTTAGGTGGTGGACTGGGGTTTTGTTAGCGTTGGCGTCTCAAGTTGACATAGTGTTAGTAGGGGGTGCGAACTACTATAGAGGGTTTGGAGTGTGTGCCACTTTGGTTGCCTGGGCTGAATTTAGTCAAGGTGGAGGCTTGAAGGTGGTCTTCTGGTTGTGGTGGTGATTGGGGGCTACTATGGACTACTATGATGGGTACGAGGAGAAGAAATAAAAGTCTCGAAATATAATAAGGACAATATGGGTCAACATATCAAGACCAGTTCATTATGTTACTGATAAATGTTGGCTGGGGATTCCGGCGGCGGTCCTGATTGGACCGGCCAAGAAGTGTTTAGGTGTTAGTGGTAGGATAGCTGTAGATAGTTAGATAGTAGGAAGAAGAACTATCAATGGAATGAAAATGATCACCACATAGTGCCTTAATATTAACTATAGCCATGTCAAATTGGCTAAGCCAGGAGAAAACCCCATTGGAAGTCCCGTAGTTTGTGTCACGGATAGTGGTTAAGCAATGAGTGAATGAGTGGTAGACACATGACCCTTTGTCTATAAGGGCAACACAACATGATAGCTTCTTGTTTTCTCTTCTTTTCCTCTCTTTAGCTTAGTCTCTTGGTGCTAGACTACCTAATCAACTATTGATCAGCCGAGTCCCTTACAGTTTGACGGGACTTCTCATCTTTTCAAAAATATTCGCTGACACGAACACCCTGAGACTTAGGCGAAAAAATTATTGTTTCCATAGATTTAAACTGTGGCGATCTAACCACTATTTGCGCCATTGGTGTTATATGCACCATTCGCCACACCCATCCATAATACTATATGTTATTACTGTTGATCTGTTTACCTTTCTCTGTTCAGTTTAGACTTCTGGTACGAACCCTGCGAATAAGACCATTTTCCATTCATTGAGGTTCTCACATAAACAACAATTAAAGTTATCCAGATTATCTCTGCTACTTGAATAGATAAATATAAGGAAGTAAATCATTTGAATTAGCAAAGATAGTTTACAAGTTCGTCCACTATAAATATATAGTTATAGTCGTTAAAAATAGTTGCTTAGAACTGTATATAGTCTACAGATAATTTTATATATTTCTTCAATAATATAGGGTAGTTCACAAATATTCTCAGTAAACTCAACCACAACAGTCCCTGAACCTTAAAGTTAACATTGCATTGCTAGTATCTGCTCCTTAAAAGTGTAAGTTACGGCATGCTTTCCTTAAATTACTCTCGATTAATAGAAGACTAACCTTATAGAGCGGTCTAAGATTCAAAACAGCTGTATATAACAGTAATTTATATTGATGATTCAGCAAGTTATGCATCCCCTTTAGGTGGATTATGCAGAAATTTGGCCTTGGCGGGTGCGTTTATAAGTGCCATTGTCACGGTGTGACCTCTGGGTGCATTCAGAAGCTTAACCGCTGCGCTATCAGCAATAGACTAGGATACAAAGCCTTCGGATTTGTACTGGACTCACATATATAAGCATGTTCAGGATTCAGGCAGGCAGGCAGGTGTGCCCGCAGGCACGCCGTGACTGTCACAGATCGAATAGCGATTTGGCCTGATGACTGTACAGGATACCCTGACCCAGGTGCATAAACAATCGGCCACCGATGAGGAACATCAGGCCACACGACAGAGTGGGTTCAAGGGAGATTCTGAATCCTTTGGGCATGGAACCTTTAGCTATAAATTAGCGAATCGTTAGTAGTAGTAGGAGATCAAGAACCAGTCTCCTGTCTGAATAGTATCTACTGCCTGCCTTTGACCTCTCTCTTTCTTTTAGCCTACGTACCCTTACCTAGTTGACAGGTCCTCTACCCTGAATAGTCGATACCCTTGACATATATATACGAAACAGTATATCTACACTATATATCTTATATTTGCGAGGGGATACCTAAGAAAAATAGCTAAAGCTAAGATATATTTGGTAACAGTACAATATTATATGACTTATTAAGTTATCTATTCTATTTTAGGAAAGGTACAGGAGATTTATGCAAAAAACAGGTTATATGCGGGTAACCCGCGGGTTACCCATGCGGGTTTGAGGACCGGGTGAGGTTAATTTTTCGACTCGCAAATCTGCGGGGTTAGGGTAACGGGTCGGCAAACTCCAACCCGATTGCGGGTTATGGCGAGGCCTACTAAATTTCAGAGGCCCCGTGGGACTTGTCCAGGTCTAATCTCGATGACCAGGCAACACAAGTAAATTACGAGATCCTCACATCTCGACTCCCTTTTCTCTATACGCCGGCCCACTCATAATAAGTCAGGTCAGGCCACCGCGGGAACCTTAAGAAGATCAGCGGGGGCCTTATTTGGCACCGCCATGGCCACCTCATTTTCTGTCGAGCTATCGCTGTCTAACGCGTCTGTGCCCGTTTCCCTCTTGTGGTATATTTGCCTAGCGACGTGGTCTGTCAGGTAGGGGTCGAAGTCCTTCGCACAGGCGGCCGCAAGGATCGACACCACACCCAAGGCCAGTGCAAAATAGTAGACGTAGGCGTACGAGGCGGCGTAGCTGTCTGCAACGCCCTTGTTAGTGATCTTCAGCAGGGCATCGGTCATTCCAGGGACGGCGGCGATGGCTTGTTGGTTGCTCGTTGAGACTGCGGTGAGGAGCTCGCCGATCGAGGATTTGGGGAGTCCTGCATTGAGGACGGCTGGGACGAGGTGCTGCTGGAATTTGCCTGGCAGCTTGTTGGTGTAGATTGCGACGAAAGCGGCGGTGAATATGGATCCAAAGATGGTTCGGGACGACGCTACGACAGCTGGAGGGAGGTTAGTGGTGGGCTGATCCTGGCTGTTAGGATTGAGGAGAACATACCGAAGGCAACGCCCAGCTCATGGTCGGGGGTAATGCATTGAGCCAGAAGCATTGTCACGTCTTCTCCCCAGCCGATCACGAAGCTGGCGAGCATGGAGAAGGCAATGGCGGAGGCCTTGTTGCTTTCCGTGACCGAGGACATTGAGCCCAGGAAGGCGGTTACCCAGATACTGCCGATGATCAATTGCACGCGGGAATGCTTCACAATGTGGAAGAGAGCGCCTAAGATCAGAATACCGGCCCACATACTAAGGGTTGCTGTTGCAGTCATCCATGAGGTTTGTTCGGTATCGAGGGAAGTGCCGAAGATGTGAACGACTTGCCCAGGCCACATGATGAAGAGGGCCACATTCATGATACCCATGACCGCCGAGATGATCACCAGACAACTGAATCCACGAATATCGCGGAAGAGTTTCATGGGGACAATCGGGTACTGGACACTGCCGAAGCATTCGTACAGCACGAAGGCAACGCAAGTGGCAGCTCCCGAGATTAGAAGACCAAGGATTCTAGGAGAATTCCATGGTTGAGGCGAACCACCCCAGGAGATACCGAGAAGGAATAGCGCTAGTCCTGCCGTGAGGAGGAAGATTCCAATCCAGTCCGTCTTTCTGAGTTCCTCCCGCTTACTCGTTCTCTTTCCGTGCAACTGGACAAAGGATGGAGGGTGGTAGAAAATGAAGAGAAGCGCGTTGCTGACGACTGTCGAAAGGTTAGCAAAGGAATATCTGCAAATAGGTATCGCGTACCTATCAAGATGATATAGATGTAGAATATCCATCTCCAATTGCCGCTCGTACCCAACTTCTGTCCGAAGTACGGGGCGAAGCCTGTACCGACGACACTAGGAAAGGCAACAGACACGATTCCCAAGAACTTTGTTTTATTACTCATGAGCTCACCCACGAGCAGCAAGTATGATCCTGGTTGGCCGGCAGCCAAACCGAGCAGGACCTGTGCCCCGATTAAAGTGTTGAAATTCTGCGCGGTGCACGCCACGATGCCACCAATGAGGCCGATCAAGCCGGTAACAAGGACGAAGTTACGGCGACCGAATCGATCCGTCAATCTTCCCATGATCAGGATACTGATCGACTGACTGACTGTCCAGACCGTCGATGCCAGACTCGCATTCTCGCTAGGTCCGATATCCGCGTTGATGTTGGAAATTGCAGAGGCGGAGGCCTCGAACGCGAAATACGTCGCAATCAAGGAGAGACTAATACCGACAAAGGTACTGATTATGCGAGGGCTGTAGTAGTATCCACCCGGTAACTCGTTGATATCTGTTGCAAGTTCTCCCGCACGACCCTCATCGTGATGGCCAGCGCCAGGTTCACACATCTTCTCCAAAGCCGTCATTTTGGTTCGATGGGCCGATCACTATGGGCACTTGATGCTTAGTCTGACCTCCTAGGCTTCAAAAGGCAGTTGCAAGGGCGTATTGTTTATGACAGATAGCCGGATATAGCCCGGTTTATATAGGAATGGCATCTTAGCTACACCGGTTACAGCTGGATCACCGCCATGTGGAATACATTATTCCGAAGAAGGCCCAATTGAAGCTCAAACTGAGTGCTTAATCCGCCCCAAAACTTATCTTATCCCATATCTTCGGCCTGAAGAATGTATAAAGATTTTGACGTTTCTACGGCGGGAGAGGAAAAGCGGTCTATGCTCAAGCGACTTTCCCACCCAGCTCAGGGTACAGTTCGGCACTAGCAACTCAGTCGAGCGCTAAAATCCTTTAAAACACTTGGATAGGTTCAAACGAAAGAACCTATTACCCAGTGAGTTGGGTTGGGCTAGCTTCTGGCTCGGGTGGAGATAGTGGCAGGCCTTAAATCAAGGCCGGACAAACACAGCGGTCTATCTTGTTGGGTAAAGGAGCTAAGCAATATGCACGGTTAAATTACACGCGATATTTTCCATGGTCTTCGTGGTTATTTAATGTCTGTGCATCGGTCGTATCATTGTCGTGTGGTGGGAGAATGATTCTGGTTCTTGGCTGGTGCCCAGCCGGCCTGAAAGTACGGACACCATATGAGGGAGGCCGGAGACTTTGTCGCGCGGCGTTGTACTAATTCTGTGATAGGGTATCGTAATTCGATAGTCTATGTAATAGCCCACACTGCGTTTTATCTCTTTGTTGGGTAGGATATTGCGAGGGAGCCATGCCGGAGTACCGCCGACGGCCACAGTGATACAACTTGTATTTACTGAAGAGAAAGTCGACAGAGGAACCTCTTTTATACAATATTCCGCTGTACTGGACTAACGGCGTCTTTATCTAGATTGGCCTTGACTCAGTGAAAAAAAACTTATACTGGCCGATCCGAAGGTGCGAGATGGAAGGGACTGAACGGGATAACAGGATACCAAACATGCCGCGCCGGACATTGGAATAATAACGCTTTAACCAATTGCTATCTTACTCACCTTCCTCGAATTCCATATGGACAATAGCGGGCTTTGGGGCTTTGGGACTTTGTGCCCGGTAAACTACTACCTGCTCCGGGCAAAGATCCAGTCCTCTAAGTCGCTTATGGCCTGGACTGGTTTTGGTCGTATGGAGATCGCGGTCAGCAGTAAAAGGAAAATGTTGCGCCCAGGTATCTCTTACTAACCTCTGCTGGTTGTTAGTAACTTGGGTAGGTCAGGGCTCACTATACCTTAAAGGCCTAAGGGCTCTAGTGACTGTGGGTCTTGAACAGGGAACAAGAGTAACAAGGTCACTGGGAATGCGCCTCTGTGATGAACAGCTAGTGATTGAAGGCCAGGCCTATTGAGTACGTATACTCGATAGTTAGATAGTACGAACGAGTCGAGTAAGCACAAGGTACTAGTAACAATGATAAACTGAATTGACCACGAAGAACTAAACCAAGTACATGAATGAATGTCCTTATATACCCTCCTGAAATACCCTGATGAATACCATCCGAATGGTATTCTTGTTGGTTATTCATTTCCAGGTCAAAGACTTCTGCAGGGACTCGGTGAACCACAAGAACGAATCGGGCTTTACTATCTTAGTGTTATTGCCCAAGTCCTTCAGCCATCCAGTGTTATTCCGAGCAGCCTCAGCTGATTGGGCGTCTCGAAATCGAATAACATAACCCGTTTTTGTTGAACCAATGCCTGCGACTTTGGTGGACTCTGTGTTCAGCAGGGCTGTTCTAATATGTGTGTTTGCCGCTTCGGTGGGTAGAAATCTTGTGAACCGATTGTTATCGATATCGTCGTCCAAGGTAGGCACGGCGCTGATTCGGACCCAGTTAAGCTATTTCCGAGGCCGTAAGGTTATCGCGTGCCGGGGTTGTTCAGCTGTGTTGGCTGCCGCTGCCACTGCGACTGTAGCCTACGATTTTGGGGTTGATAGGGTCTGCACCTCGATGTGGGACCGTAGGGTCCGTATCTCTTCCTGTAGCTTTGCATTCTCATTCTGCGGCTCCCGTTGCCCGGTTTTAATCTCTCTGATTTCCGCCTTGGCTGATTCGATGGTAATGTTTTGGTGGGCTATGGTTTTCTTCAGGTTGGCGATCAGCGCCCAGACCATCTGGTTGGTGATCCGGTTGCTAGTGTCATCTGGTACGTTAAAGTCTAGAGGTGGGATCGCCTTGATTTGTGCCTCTGTTCTCCTTGTCCTGCCTCTGGAGGCTGGTGCCAGCGTCGGCTCGTCATTGTCCCTTGCAGAATTTTCAGGTGTCCTTGGGGTGATTTCGGGATCACCCGCGGACGGGATCGCCATCAGGCCGAGACTAGTTCCCGCTCGGCACACAATGACAGCCACGATCACAGCTCAATAGACTCTTTGATCAAGCCTCTTATTATCCTTGCTTTATATAGTCTGTCAGTTCGGTCGATGTGAGAGCCGGCTTGTTGCCTCTGACAGGAAATAACTGCCTTAAAAAGAGCAAGTTCCGCTTCTCAAAAGCAAATCAAAGCTAAAGAAGCTGGGGTTCTTGAAGAAGCGGGTTGTAAAATAGGGTCTGATTAATGGCTTGTCTGAAGGCGTTACCCACTTGGAGCATGGGTTGCAAGACGTTCGCAAGGTAGACTTTACGTGCTTTTGCTTGTCTTTTCATCAATTGATCTTTTTTGGCTTCCTAACAGGGTAAAGGATGTATAAAACCGTATTTGCAAACTCCCACCCGTACAACAGCCTTGGTCTATTATTTTTAATGCTGCATCCGCACGCCATACTGAAATATCAATTGACACATGGTCCCTTTTGATACTAGATCATGCGGGCCGTAGAGATAAGGGGCTCACATATCCTTGCTTCTTTGCTTTAAGGAGAAGATCTAAGAACGAAGAACTGTGTGGTAAGTGGAAGAGCCGTGTGCTCGCTGAAAGGGTAGCCCAGGTCTTTCAAGAAAGACTCTAGGTCAACCTTGTCCGACGGTGGACAATGGATGCCAGCAAGCACCTTTCCAACGTTTTCACAGTAATTGCGGTAGTGGAACAAGGAGATGTTCTGGTTGGGCGGGAGAGTGGTCAGGAACTTTGCCAGAGCACCAGGACGCTCCGGGAATTCAAACATGAGCAAGCGCTCGTCGAGCACATCGCAGCGTCCACCAACCAGGAAACGTACGTGTCTCTTGGTGAGCTCATCGTTGCTCAGGTAATTCGTCTTCTTACCACCCCTGCCCAATTCGGCGATGACCGTCAAATCCTCCGAACCTGTGGAGGCAGACAGAGAAATACCCATAAAGACTTCGGTCGAATAATCTCGAGCGTAACAGTAGCCTCATGCGGTTGCCGCATGAGAAAGAACTACCTCGACTAATTTAGAGAAAGCGCCTGGCTTTTCGGGAACGTTGACACTTAGGAGTGCTTCCTCGCGGTCTCCCAGGGTAGCACGCTCAGCCACCGAAACGCAGTCTATCAAAGTCCATGTTGGCACCCGAGGTGATCGCAACCAGTTCCCGGGTTGACTCAGTGTTGGGATATAATGAGACATATTTCTTGAAGCCTGCTAGGGCCAAAGCACCTGCCGGCTGGATGACGGACCGAGTGTCCTCGAACGCATCTTTGATCGCAGCACACGTTTCGTCCGTGGAAATCTGAACGACCTCCTCGACGACTTCGCGTGCCAACCGGTAATTCTCCTACCCGACGGCCTTCACGGCTGCGCCATCCGCAAACAGCCCAACGTCCTTAAACAACACCTGCGAGCCAGAATCTAAGGACTGTGCCATGAGACTCCACCCAGATGATCTTGACATGTGGCGCAATGCGCTTAAGATAAACACCGATACCAGCAACCAAACCGCCTCCTCGGACAGCACAGAAGACAGCTTTCAGCTTCTGCGGGTTTGTCTGGCGCAGTAGTTCTATTTCAATGGTTCCCTGGCCTGCGATCACGTAAGGGTCGTCGAAGGCAGGGATGCTAGCCCGAGCTGCTTCTCTAGGCGGTGAGCTTCTGCCTTGGCGGAATCAAAGTCGTCTCCATGAAGGATCACGCTGCCACCGAGGCGAGCGACGTTCGGGTATTTGATAGCGGGGATACCTGAAGGCATGACGATCGTTGCAGGAACGTTGAGATGGCGTGCAGAAAACGCAACCCTGCGTGTGGTTACCTATACAAGTTATGAGTCGCTCCATACGTGTATTACTTACGCCAAAGCGTTATCACCTGCTGAGCATGCGATAGCACCTTTCCTCCTCTACTCATGAGTCAGAGGAGCTATCTTATTGTGGGCGCCGCGGAAATCAAAGCTGAACACAGGAATAGACTTATATGAAAGATATGTGGAGGATCAGGCAAGCCAAGGTGTAAACCATTCCTCCAACTGTTCACCCACAGCAGCAATATATAGAATAAAACTAATATATTCTCTCCTAGATAAAGCCTGAAATGGCTGAATACCGCATCCCCATAGAAAAAAAGAAATCAGAGGTGTCCATGGTACGGTCACGAATGCGTCAACTGCTAAAAGACTGAAGAAAGAAAGGGAAGACAAATGGATCACTACTAGGATATCGATATTATTAGTCGCGGAACAAATCAGCTCAAAAAGCTTAGAGGGTATGTCGGATGTGCAGCCTGAACGTCATATTGGACACTCAGTCGGTCCCATCACTTATAACGCATCGACAAGCTAGACCAAGCCGAATCTAGCATCCACCAATAGTAGAACTCGGGCCCTATATAGAATCCATTAATCAGTCTTCCGGACGCCAGCCTTCCACATAGAAAGGTGCTTACACATCTAAATGACGCAAGGCCATGTCCCCGTCTGTAGTTGCACTTGTCTGTGGTAATCGGCGGGTGCGTTTCGACCTCGCAGTCACGATCGTTGTAGAATGTACAGCTCCAGCATGAATTTTTTTTCCGAGGGTCTGGGTGTGGAGATCGTTCAGAAAGACAGAGGAGGCTCGGAAACCATCACTAGTACTTATCATATGAAAACATTAAAAGTGTATGGAAATGGACTAGTTTACACCCCTGGGATCCAGAGCAGATTTTGAAGAAGTTCTTAAGAAAGGAGGTCCAAAGTTCTTCCTCCAGTAACTCTTCCAAGTCAGTATTGCAGACTGAGGACTGGCAGAACATTGAAAGGCTTCTTAGGAAGGTTGTTACTGATATTTATGACCAGAACACCAAGAAGCTCAGCGCTACAATTCGCCACCTCTCTACAGAGGATATTCTGCTAAAACTTCATTTCCAGGGCCTTGAGAGGGCCCTTCTGAATGAGAAGAAGAGCCAGCGGGGAAAGCCTCTGGAGTTTTGTTTACAAGTGCCTCAGGATGGGTATGCAGTCTTCTATTCTTCCAAGAAAAATCTAGCAAGCGCAGGATCTTCTGCTAAAGAACGAGAAGGCTCAGGAGCTTGCTAAGGCTTCAAAAGAGGAAGAGAAACTTTGTAGGCGGCGTGCAAAGGAAGAAAAAGCAACGCTTGGAGAAGGAGGAACAAAGAATTACAGCTTCTCAGACGGAACTAGGGCTCAGCAGGAAGAGGTAAAAACGCAGCAGAGAGAGGAGGATCATATGGCAAAGGAGGCAGCTAAATAGCTTCCGAATTACATGCAAAGCACCAGAAATACTAAGAAAAAGGCATCCAAAAGTTCTTTACCAAGAAGAAGCAAGTTGCTAAGCAACCAGCACCTGAGGAAGTTGGTACACCCTCCCCCCAGTCAACAGTCGAGGCAGGCAGATCCGGCTTCCACAGCGCTTCTGGAACCTCTGAAAAAGTGTTATACAATCACCGTCGCTATGTAGTTAGAACAACAGGAATACCCTGAAAACCTTGTAGTTCTAGAGGGGGGTGGGCGAAATCGATCGTCAGGCGGTAAAAAAAAACGGTACTGATGTCAGTCTCTGTGATGACTACTAAACAACGCCTTATCTCTTCCCCTTTTGGAAATGATGATTTTTCAATGATACCAATTGTATTGACTAAACTTGACTTCGTTGGTTGAACTAAACTAGTTGGGGGTATAGATAGGAAGAAGATGAACGAAGGCGGTGTTAAGGGCGGCCAATTTAATTGCCTGACAGTACTGGGATGCTGAGGTAGTGGTGACCAGCACCTAGGCAACAGGAGTAGAGCTCATGTTCCAAACACGTATGCCATGTCATGTGGTAGGTCTTTCGGGTAACTCGCTAGTGCCTGGAAGATCAAGCCCGTGTAGGTACTTAAAAAAAGGAATTTCTGTGGTCCTTGACTGGTACTAGTGCTCAGTGAGCGCTCACTCAAATACTTGAGGGCATCTTTGTCCATTGGTCGTTGCGTAACTGATTCTGCCGCTCGTGTCCGCGTTCAGCAAGCGCACTACCTGCGAAAAGTCTCCTCCGGCAGTCGAGATCCACACAGTACGGGCGTGTTGTCGAGTAACCGAGACTCCAGTGTCGGGAGTCATATCAGCGCGTATGTGTCACATGGCGCAAAGAAGGAACAAAGGAAAAAGTGGTCATGTCGTTTATTTCGGTGTCGCAGCGCCACTACGGTTATGAGCCATGTGGGCGCGAACCAGGTGGCCAGCGGCGAGAGCAGCGCACAGATTGAGCTCAGCAGCGAGGACGGAGGCCGCAATGATGCGGGCCAGCTGGCGAGCGTTGTCTCCCGGGACAGTGGGGTGGGAACCACGGATGCCTAGCAGATCGAGCATGGCACCTTGTGGCTCGAGGATCGTACCCCCTCCTACAGTACCCACCTCAATGGAAGGCATGGAGACGGCGATTTGGAGGTCACCATTGCGGCTGGTCAAGATAGTCAGTATCACCCTGTGAGATCGAGCTTTACTAGGGAAGACTTACTTCTTCATGGTCGTGATACAGTTACTGCTCTCGACGTTCTGGGCAGGGTCCTGGCCGGTGGCAAGGTAGATTGCAGTTAAAATATTGGCCGCATGGGCGTTGAAACCGCCGATGCTTCCTGCCATGGCGCTCCCGATAAGGTTCTTGCTGATATTTAGCTCGACCATCGCATCGACATCGGTCCTGAGCACGTTCTGGACAACATCGCCGGGGATGATGGCTTCCGCGACAACCGACTTGCCTCGACCGTCGATCCAATTGATGGCAGCGGGCTTCTTATCCGTGCAGTAGTTACCCGAGAGCGAAATAACGACCATGTCGCTGAAGCCACTGTCTGCAAGAGCCTGTAGAGCTTTCTCACAGCCTTTGGAGATCATGTTCATGCCCATGGCGTCGCCGGTGGTAGTCTTGAAACGAATGTAAAGATAAGTCCCCGCGAGCGCGGTCCTGAGAGTCTGGAGACGAGCGAAACGACTGGTAGAGTTGAAAGCTGCAGTGAGAATGCTACGTCCCTCTTCGGAGTCAATCCACGCCTTCGCAACGCCGGCCCGGGCCAAGCTTGGGAAGCTCACACAAGGACCACGGGTCATACCGTCACCAGTCAGAACAGTCACAACACCACCGCCAGCGTTAATTGCCTTTGCACCACGGCTAGTACTAGCTACGAGGGTGCCTTCGGTAGTGGCCATGGGAATGTAGTAGTCCCGGCCATCGATGTTCAACGGTCCGGCAACACCAACAGGAAGCGGCATGTAACCAATCACATTTTCACAGCAGGCACCCTGGACGAGAGTGTAGTTATATCCTTTGTACGGGAGCTTGGACGTTTCAAGGGAGCTGGTAATAGCAGAAGTGTTGGGAGATCGGGAGACAACTGCTCTGCGAATCTTCACGGCTCGGGTAAAGGCATCAACCTTGCTCATGAGGCTCTCATTGTCCATGGTCTTTTCTAGGGCATGGCCGGGAAGCTTTCCGAGAAGGGATAAGTGGACAAGCTCCTCATCGGTAAGAGTGGGGCCACGTTTCTCCTTGAGCACAAGCTCGCAATCCTCGAGGGTCCGGTTTGAGATTTGGTCAGGCTCAAATGGCGGGTAGACCTTCGGTGCTGGCGCTGGCTCTACACGCTTGGCGGGTGCGGGCTTAGGTTCCTTGGTGGTCCACCGGGCGGCATTGAAGAGATGCCCGTTGAGAATGATACTAAACATCAATGCCGCAATAATCCATTTGCTAATGGTCGGGTCTTCCAAACACTTGAGAAGGCTTTCGAGGACTGTGTTGCGGCGGAGGGTGCCCAAGAATTGGTTAATATGCTGGAAATCAATTGGCTCGTCAAGATCCAACGATGGAATAGAGATATCTTCCACCCGGTATGTAATTGGCGGGATAATCGCCACCACAGTCTCCTGGTTTTGGGTTCGGGCCAGCATATACACAGTATCTAAGCTGTTGAGTGGATCCACAGAGGCGGACTTAATGTTGGAAAAACGTGAGGGCAGGGCAAAGTGGCCTGAGTTCCTGAAGGGAATAGCCCACAAGTTCAAGATGTTAATGAGGACTAAGCCACCAACCATGAGGATCTTGAATTTGCGTACGCTGCTGGACTTGGCCTTCTGTCCGAAGATGCTGGGGTTGGTCTTGGTGGTGCTGAAAGTGACATTCTCTGCGACGCTGCGGCTGACGCCTTCTTCTTCCATAGCTTTGCGGAAATCTGCGTAATGCTTGATGCGGGTGATTTCTAGTTTAACACAGAGAACTGCAGTGTAGAAGGTAAAAAGAAGTACGCAATCGAAGAGGCAAATCCAAGCTGCTAGGAAGCAGAACTGCTGGAGACCGCCTTGTACCCCGGAAGAAGCCCCCATAGCCAAAAGGCCGATTTCAATACCATAGTGCTGGATGATTTCCCACCCTTGATCCTTGATTGCAGCCGTGATGGCATCCTGAGTATTGATGGGCTGGGCAGCGGAACGGCGAAGGGATCGACCGTTCAGCACGGCCCGCGTAAACATAATCGGCTTCTCAAAACCAACGGTCACAGTGAAGAAGGGAAGACCCTCGGATATCAAGCGGAAGTTGATCGGTACGTCAAGCTTAGTCGTCACCACGAGGCCAAACATAAAAGCAAGCGACCCTGAGAAAAGCACTGCAGTCGCCAGCCAGAACTGCGAGCCGAGTCGTCTCATCGAGAAGAATAGTGAAATGAAAGTGAGATACATGGCGACGTATCCTAGAGTCATAATCGCTGTATCAATTCCCTCACTGTGATTGATATGGTCGAGCAGAGAGCTCCACGCATCGGCCATCCAGCGGCTCAAAGCCCGGCGAGAGTGGTCTTTGCACCCACGAGCAGCTCTCATAACCCATCTTCTGGATACTTCGCCATCGCCAGACAGATCGGGAATCTCCTGCATTGCGTTCAAGAAATCGGATACTTGACTCAATGGTACGGTAAAAGCAAGAGGGGGGTTTGATGAGGGGACATTGGAAGAAACTGAATGGGCGGAAATGTTGGCCGGGATGGACAAATCATCCACGGTGGGCGCGATTGAGTTCGGAAATAGAAAAGTAGTCAGGGCGAGGTGGTTAGCGGAGTCGTCAGGCATGCAGATCTCGTCGGCCTGCCATTTCCACGAGGTCGATTCGCCTAGTCGAAGGGTGCGGCTTCCTTGAAGAATGGAATTTGTATCCACCTGGCCTGCAAAACTCTGTGGGTCTTGGATCGCATTGAATAGGCTGTGTTCCAAAAGTCCAACATAGGTCGTGCTGGCTAAGAGTGCGAATACCACGATCGTGTATATCGGGCGTGAACAGGTCCGATGGGAGATATACTCCAGGGCAGATATAACCTGACCGTGCAGCCAGCTGGGCTCGGGGTCCTGAGCCCTTTTGGCTGACGATTGGTTTGTAGGTATGACAGAGGTAGCCATAGTGGCAGGTCGGAGATGGTCCGACAGAGAATCGATCGAAACGGAGCAAGAGGGGCAACTGCTTGACTCAAGCCCCGATTAATTACAATCAAGGTAGTTGTTCCGGTGCTCGTTGTTCCTGTATCGAAAGTGGGTGGCAGGTGGATTTTGAGGCAACAGCTAAGAAGACAAGAATCAGACCCTACAGCACCTTGGTTCTGTCTTCACAGATTCTCAAGCCTCGTAGTCCTCACAGAAACTCATATTTTATATTATTCACCAGTAGAAGTCTACATGTTCATAGCAATAGGACATCAAAGAGAAGGGGCCGAGTCGAAACAAGGCCATCCACAATTTTCCCTTGCCGACAGACATGACGGAGGTATCGCTCCACTAGAGCCATCCAATGCCTTCAGAGTTGTCTAATATTGAGGCTGTCATCTCAACGGCCCATGGCGTTTGAAGTGGAGATCACAGCCCCTTCATCTGAGATAGCAAAGTGATCGCGCACTAAAGAAAATCTGATTGCACTTGGGCAGTGAGCAGCAGTTGCCCTATCCATTCTAGATCTGAGTAGAACCGGGGGCCTAGAAAGTTGCGCAAATCAAACCTTGCTTGCAGAGGGCCTGATAATGTAATCTATGCTAGCCTGTACGATTAAAGGGATCGAGTTTTTCAAAAGCTGCCTAGTACGAAGTGCCTGAGTAGTCTTTCAGTCATAGATTCTAGCTATCTAGAAAGTTTGAGTACTGCATACGTTTGAAAACCACCGATGCAACGAAGGCCCAAGTTGACTACTAGTGTTAGAACACTACAGCTTCCCTATATCTTTCTCGATCATCCAGTAATATACTGCGGGGAAGAGGCCGTAGGTTTCTCGTCACAAACCGTTTAAAGAAAATAACTCTAAAAAAGCCACGCCTTATACGGAAGGCCTAGGGAACCCTGGCATTATTGATTCGGACAAATTCGCCTGCCCTACAGGCTACGCCTAAGCCTAAAAATAATTTCCAATTATTCATCTACGGGCAAACGATATTTTTTTTTAAAAATAATATAGGTCATATAATTCATCCAATGCTTGGCACTTGAAGGATTCAGTCGTCCTAATCCGGTTTCAGGTGATCCTTCTACTTGACCAGTTACGCGGTCCTTTCACGAAGTCGCCATATGACAAATGGTCCAAGACCCTCAGTAACTCCACTCCCACATTAATGCCCACTTGAAACACGGTTATTGTTTAATAGGTAGGCAGCCTGCCAGAGTGAGAATGCCGAGGGGCCTAGTGGCGGGTTGGAAAGCCACCTGCAGGTAGGGCATCATTTAGTGTCAAGATCAAATTTGACACACTGCAAAACTCACTCTTCTAACTTGCAGGAATGCATTTTCAGGAGAGGCCTTAGTGGCTTGGCCCCCATCGTAAGCATCTGAAATCATTCTACAAACGTCAGCTTGATCGCGGCAGCAGTACGCGGGTTCCCTGGAATACGCGGTGTCTGAGACTTCGTCCAGAGATTACACACATGGACAATACTATGCAGGACAAAAGAAGGAAGTGGTCTTGCAAATGCAAAGGTTAGCCTGACGCTTAGAGTATGGTTCCTAACCTGCTGGAGGTTCTTTGATAGATATACCCTGTTGTGTCGTCCCCAAATGGCCTGAGAATGAGTCCTTAATGCCGCACCAATCAGATGGAGTCTTTACGATCAAGATGGACAGCAGCCACGAAGAACAGTGGATGACCTTGCCGCTGTCAGATCGAGCCGCATCTCCAGACATTGAGCCGAGCGTTCCTACATGGTATGAGCCTGAGCCAATCCTCGAGCCGTCACTACAGTGGTTTATGGACCTCTCAAGATACCTTTTCAGTGGCTTGTGGATCCTGCGGTACTCGGATATTCATTAGAAGTGTCAGTACCATGAATTATGGATTATACAGGCCTTGAGGATCCCACAACACCGTCGATACCATGGATTATGGACTCTGCGGGTCTCAAAAGTCCTCCAGAGCCGTGCATGTCGCCTCTTTTCGAGACATCCATCCTCGAAGACCTCTCAAATCCTCCCACGCCCTCATCCTCACGCACACGTGAGGCGCCAACGGGGCCACGCTTTGGTGACGAACCAAACCTTTCTCGCCGCAGGAGTAGCAGTCCATATGGAGTCTCCCTTCCGGAGCTTCTTGCCGATTACACGACCTCTTCTGATTCCATATTTCTCTCTCGCGCTAAGTGCCCCTTCAAGGATGCAAATCAACAGCGCGTTTTGCGACCCCTCGAGACTTTACGACACTATCGGCAGCACTTCAAACGATTTTTCTACCACTACGGGAATTGTTCCCAGTCAACTCTAGATCCACACAACCCCAACAAGCGTGGCTTTGCGACCTGCAAAGATTGAGACCGACATAAAGCCAATCAAAAGCTGGAAATTCGGTGCCAATGGCGCAATCAGCACTGCAAGCAATGCACAAGAGTCTTCAGCCGTATGGATAATATGAGGGACCATGTGCGAAGGATCCATGAGCGAAAATCCTAGACTCCTTTGTCATCCACAGCACTATATTAGATTTAGACTTCTATCCTTGGGTGGTGGTCTACCAATTCACCGATATTACCCAGTTAAAAAACATTAGCTTATATGCGATTCAGACTAAAATACGTCAACCTCATAGTTATAACACAGCGTGACTTTGAAGGATCTAGATTGGCCTGACATTACAGCCGTCTTTCCATCTCTCTTTGATATCGCAGTGATATATCACTATACCACCTACCGACACGTGCGCTTTAGGACTGGATTATATAACATCATAGTGCTTAGGTTATCTCTAGGCTAACTATACGCTATCCGGGGAGAAGGGGGGAGGCATTCCATGTGATATTTGTATTTACGTAATTTAGTACAAATATCGTTAGAAGAGCCATTGTTAGACATACATGGTTTGTGACTATACATAGTATAGGACAATGGAGTGAAAAGAATATACAAAGATATAAACCATGAAACGTGAGATTTGCCGTAGGATACTGTGGGGTTTTTCATTTTTTGTAAACTTTCACCTTTAGTGTTTTCTTATCTTTCTCGTGTATTCTATAGAAGATACACAAGTAGATGGTTTCAGTCGTGATGTCGAGTTCCATACTCAATATCGCAGGTGACAGGCATGCAATTGGTACGGCTCTACGCTCGAAACTACATCATAGTCTAGCTTGCATCGGCCGAGAGACTGCAATAATGTATTTTGAGAAAGCGTTGAATTAGAAAAATGTATACATGTAAAGCCAACCTATAACTACATTAGATTTGTGCCCCAATTAACACTGTGTTGCAGAGGACGCCGGCATTGATAAGCCTCCAGGTTGTCCCACACCGGATTTAGAGACCGGATTCGAGCTTTACGAATGCATATACAGTGTACTCGTGCCAGGGGCCCTCACCGCTCTCACGTTTCAGGCCCGCCAGGGTCTACTTATCGTAAGGGCCTTAGGCCTAACTCTGTCTGAGGCACCAAGATTGCTTTATTCACTGTTGGTTCGATCCCAGAACACTGATATCCCAGTTACTGTATGATAGAATTATTTCTTTCTTTCTTTTTTCCTTCTCTACGTTTGATGTTTCGTTAGATCGCCACGTTAGATAGAAATGATACTTCTTTCCAATGTGTATAGGATCATCACAGAAAGCACCAAGGAATAATTATATGATTCTGGCAGTAGCTGATAAAGTCGAAGCTCAAATGAGGTAAGTGGTTATGTATAAGGAGATCGGTAATCTCTACGCCATACATTGCGGTCTTTTGTATATTGATCAAAATATTGCAGCCATTTAAAGGAGCGCACCTAATAGCTATAGGTTTATTGCTCTTAGTATAGCTTTCGAAGCACCAACCTTATTATGCCACCCAGTAGATGATGTAGCTATTATAAAATACCTGGTAAATCTGACTGACCACGATACCAATTCTCTATATAGAGTTATAGACCGAGCCCTAGAAGATAAAGAATGGTGGCATTATCCAGCTATCTGCCGCGATATATTCAATTCCTCCAATATCACCTATTGGAATAAACTTTATGCTGCATTCATCGAAGTTATAAATATTCTTCGGTCCAATTTTATACATCTGTATCGTTGCCTCTAAACAATTAAACCAGTCGATTATTGTTATAATTCTTCAGCATCCATTCTCTGTGTCTATGTTGGCTTTTGTATAATATGACTATAGTTGCTGGGGAGGCGCTGGATAAAGCTGTAGGCCCAGTTGTTACCGACGCGTCGTGAAGAACCACTGCGCGCCAATATTTCATTTTCACAACTCTCAATATCCCGGGGAGTTAGCGGAACAGTTGCATCATGAAGTATACTTATCCAGGTAGTTATCGCCTGCTCCTGGGCCTGAACCAGCACCTTATTCGGACCAGTACGCGCTGAACTTGATTTACAACAGTACAAGCGTCCCTTCAGCTGTTGGAAGGAAACACCAAACTCCCTCGCCAAAGGTGCGATTTGGGTCCTTACGCTCAACTACATGCGTAGCCCATTACAGAGTTGATACTCGATCTCGTTGGAATTTTCAGGCTGTGTGGTTAGTAAATGGATGTAGAAGAGAGGTTGTTGGTAGAAAATGATAATTAGACTAGGGGATAATTAGGCCGAGGACTGAACCGTGAAAGCGGTGAGGGCCCTTGGCTAGTGTACACCATGATGACTTGACACTTCATAAGCAGGTCCGGTTAACGTAATCGGTAAGCGACGCTCCCATCCGGCCACTCTATTCCATATTAGGTGGCACCTGTCATACTCCAACATCCTAACAACCAGAGACAGGAGAGACCGTTCCACTTAATATGTAGGATAAGATACCGCTAGATTTATATGTACCCAGTGCAGATGTCTCTACATTCAATTGTACACTAGGTATAGCATTATGAATGGACACCGTATTGATCGTAATTTATCTCCTCTACCCTCGAAGGGTGAGAAGAATGGTATCAAAATGGTCGTAAAATTATTAGAGATACTTCCATAGCCTCTACATAGGCTGACATTCGATAGTGCATAAGCTACTATCCCTGGTTGGCGCGATATCAGAATTGTCAAACATGCCTCTGGATAATGATTTTAGATGGAATACTGGCCCCCAAACCGAACCCGGCCAAGTGCCTAGTACATGCCGAACCCCTAGTACACTGAGAACCAGAGATAATGGGAGCGCCGATCCCTTAGCCTCAGTCCATCATCATCAGCCTTTGTCAGGCCTTCCATCTGGGATCGAACGCATTGTTTTAGCCCCGGTTCCACTCTAGCCCCCTGAAATTGTAGTCACAAAGGTCCCTGGGATCGGCAAATTTTTCAGGCCTGTCCGCATAATTGCCCGTTCCACAATGTCTGTTCTGCTACTTAGCATGCAACGAGACATCTCTAGCTATTCCCTACGGGACTGTAGTACGCTCTAGGCCTTTGTGTGTCTCGAGATTCGAAACGGTCTAAGCTAACAGTGTACTATGATTAGTGGGCCTGATTATGGTATGCGGAGATATCGCACGCAGCTCCTCGGCGGCTGTTGGACGCTCGGTCCAAAGTCCTCTCCATTGAGGGCTGGTCAGACGTGACGAATGAGTATATAGCTTCGCTTTCTCACCAACCTTGGAAACTTCATCACGAGCACCTACCATTTCTTTCACAGTCGTCCGTCTTGATATCGGCTACCAGCGATGTACGACATCCAATCTTTGAAGCAAGTCACTCCCGCAGCTGCCATAAGCGCAGCGGTGGGAGTGTATGCCCTCTACTTCCTCTACACATGTTTCTACAACCTCTTTCTCCACCCTCTGCGCAGGATCCCAGGCCCTAAGCTGGCTGCTATCGGCCCGTACCTCGAGTTTTACCATGAAGTCATAAGAGATGGTCAGTATCTTTGGGAGATACAGAAGATGCACGAGAAATATGGTACGTATCATGGTCTCTGCGGCACCGAATCAAAGTGGCTAACAAACAGGCCTGGAACAGGTCCAATTGTCCGTGTCAATGACAGAGAAGTCCACATCAAGGACTCTTCCTACTACCACACAATCTACACGGCTGGTTCTCGGAAGACCAACAAGGATCCACCCACTGTCGGTGCTTTCGATGTCCCCAGTGCGACGGCTGCCACCGTCGACCATGACCTGCATCGCCAGCGCCGTGGCTACTTGAATCCATACTTCTCGAAGCGTGCTATCGTCGGCCTGGAGCCTACTGTTCATGAGCGCATCACCAAGCTGCTTTCTCGGTTTGAAGAGCACATGAACAAAAAGAAGGTTCTCTCCTTGGACGGTTGCTTCTCCGCACTGACGGCAGATGTTATTACCTCCCGTTTCTACGGTAAGAACCAGGACTATCTCGGGATCCCAGACTTCCACTTCGTCGTCCGAGATGGCTTCCTGGGCTTGTCTCGCGTCTACCATCTTGGCCGCTTTCTTCCTTCACTGGTCACGCTGCTGAAGAACATGCCTCACTGGGTCATTCGTATGATCCTGCCTCCTGTTGCCGATCTTCTCATCATGCGTGAGGAAATCAAGGAAAGAGGAGTTGGTGAATTCCTGAAGAGCCAGACATCCGATTCGAAGTCTTCCGTGCTAGTTGGTGCTCTCGGCAACCCTCATATCCCGGCCCACGAGCGTACAGTCGACCGTGTCTTGGATGAGGGTACTGTCTTCCTGTTCGCCGGCACTGAAACCACCTCTCGTACTCTCGCTATCACAATGTTCTACCTCTTGACCAACCCCCCGATCCTGAAAAGACTACGGGAGGAACTCGAGGGCTTGCCGCCTAGCAAGAACAACGAGCACTCTCTCACCCAGCTCGAGAACCTGCCTTACCTGGTATGCTTTTCCCGCCTAACTGTCCTGAGCTACCAACCCCAACTAACCAAATGGTTTTTCAATAGAGCGGTGTCGTGAACGAAGGTCTTCGTCTCGCTTTCGGACCCATCAGTCGCTCCTCCAGAGTCGCCACCCAGGAGGACCTCAACTACAAGCACCATGTTATTCCTGCCGGAGTAAGTTCACCCTTCTCTCCCCTGTAAACCTAACCTTAACTAATGAAACCCGACCAGACCCCCGTTAGCCAGTCCACCTACTTCGTCCACACTGACACCAACCTCTACCCTAACCCCGAAAAGTTCGACCCCGAGCGATGGATCAAAGCCGCCGAAGAGGGCATCCCCCTCAAGAAATTCATCACCAACTTCTCCCAAGGTAGTAGACAGTGCATCGGTTACAAGTGAGCAGTCCCACTACCATTTAATATCCCTAGTAACTAACTAATGGTCAACCTAGCATGTCGTTCGCCGAAATGTACCTGACTCTTTCTCGTGTTGTCCGGGCCTACGACCTAGAGCTCTATGACACTACTATCGATGATATCGATGTCACTCATGCCCGTATCGTTGGATACCCCAAGGCAATCCCCGGCAAGTCTGAGGGAACTGGTGAGATCAGAGTTAATGTGCTCAAGAAGCTTGAATGAGGGAGTGGTGGAAGCAGAATGAGCTTTGGGGAGGGGGTTAAGGTGGCTTAGAATAAGGACGTACATATTATATGTCACGACTTTTACGATTCTAATGTTGCTGTAATACTGTGGATAGCTTGGTTAGAATATATTACGATAGCCTACCTTATAAATAGTTCCTGGGTTCTTCATACTTAGAGCCCATGAGACTGGTTGGTTGAACAATAGAGTAATTAGAAAACTTCACGATAAAGTAGCTTACCCTATATCTTGTATTATTGCTACTTATGGTCAACCCTTTTACTTGTTACTGCGGCCGAGGATTTAAGTTTTTCTTTACTCTCTTATTCTCTCCTTCCCCCCGTTCCATAAAGCATTCGAGTACAACCGATCAAAAACACGAAAAGCGGTACAGGCCCATAGCAGCCAGCCATCAACGCAACATCCCTGGTTTTATGGCAGGAGATACCACAGGCGCATGGAATTAATTCTGCTTGGAGCCCAGGGAAATGATTAATTAGAGTATCATAGTATCTATAACTTTAAGGTTCAAATAAAAAACCTTTCAGAAAGATCGAAATCAGAAAAAGAAATACAGAGTAGCTGATGTGCTTATATATAATGCATCTGTTTCTTCAGGTTATTAATATAACGTGTACAACTAGCGAGTGAGCTCCACGAACGAGAGTCACCCCCTGCGTTTTGACATGACTCTCGCTTATTCCAACCATCAATCATGCCCCCAAAGCGTGTCAAGATTTAAATAATACTGTTGAATAGAAGGGAAGGAACTTGTTAGCCACCCAGCACTCAAAAAGCGAGAGATAAAGTCAATCCCTGAAGTTACACGCGTCTTTAGCCCATATGAAACCTCATGTCGTCGACTTAATGGAACAACTCCACACTCAGAAGTACGCGCCAATAATCATAAAATGAATCAAAATGAGGGACAGCTTGTAGGATGGACTACATCGCTAAATCAACGTGGGGCGCCACCCCGACCATCTCATATACGAGAGATAGCTAATATTCTTCTCGCTGAGTGCAGTACAAAACTTATTCAAACAGTTGGTGTTAATTGGGTCTCTAACTTTATCAAACGACATGATGATTTAGAAACACTCTATGCTCGTCGAGGTAATTATCAGCGAGCTAAATTTGAAACTCCTAAGATTATTAAGGTGTGGTTTGATCGCATAGGCATTACTATAATGCAACACGGTATTGCAGTGGAAAATATCTACAATTTTGATGAAACTGGCTTCGCTATATGTGTAGTAGCTACTGCTCAGGTAGCTACTAGAGCTGATATGTATGGACAATGAGCTTCTCGTACAGTCACACAATCGGGAATGGGTTAATTCTATCGAATGTATCAAGTCTACTGGATGGGTGATTTCTCTTTGTATTATCTTCAAGGGAAATATCCGTATAGAGAGTTGGTATCACGGAACTACCTCACCATACGACTGGAGAATTGAAGTTAGTCCTAATGGATGGACTACTGACAAGGTAGGTCTTCGCTGATGTAATTAGATATCCTGCTTACCCTTTCGTATACTGTCTGCCATTCGGCTCCCTGAACGTTGGGCGGGGAAAAAGCCATTCATGGCTATCTGACGTATTGAGCGATCATGGTGATCCAAGCCACGGAACTTGTGGCCGAGCAGAGGGGTAGAACTGATGGATATATTCTATTCCTCTAAGCTTTAGTCTCGTACTGAATGGACCTACTAGTTTTCGCCTAATATTCTCCCACTGCAGTTTCCTTGCCTAATTGACAGGTCTTCTCCCCTCTTTATTCCTGCTACTACTAGTCGTATAGTAGGAAAATATCGTCTACTTATTCTAGATGGCCATAGTAGCCATCTAACGCCTTGCTTCAATAAAATATACAGTGAGAACGGTAATGTTTCTACTGGTATGCCTGCCCGTTCTTCGGAACGCTTACAACCTCTTGATATTGGCTGTTTCAGAACTCTAAAAGGTGCGTAGAGATTTAGTACAAGCTAAAGCGAAGACTGGCGTTAATCATATTGATAAGCTTGGCTTTCTTAAAGATTTCCTAAGGCTCGTACAGCTGTGTTCAAGTTAGAGACTAGTAAAATAGCTTCACAGGAGCTGGTATAGTTCCATTTGATAAACAAAGAATGCTTGAAAAGTTGATATCAACTAAAGAACCCTACACCACCAGGCAGTCGACGAAGCAGCCGATCAACAAATTCAGCTCCTGAAATGCCACAAAATCTAAGCAGCTTTAAAAGTAGGAGATTATAAATTGAATAGTTACTTAGAGCTCGTATGCAGAGCCCCAGTTCTTCTTCTAAAGCTGCTTTAGATGGGTTGGTAAAAGGAGCTGAATTAGTGTTTCAAAATACGGCTATTCTAAAAGAAGGACTAAAGGCTTTTCGAGCTGCACATGAAAGCCAAGCTCAAAAGAAAAAACACTACATTAGACAGCTAGCTGCTACAGAGGGTTATTCCAGCACAAGAATAGGGTTTATCAAACACAGAATACTATATCTATAGAGCGAGCGCTATCTACAGTTAGATCGTGCGTGCGAGCGCCACCACGCTGCAGCGAAAGTCATACTCTAGGACATAAGTGATTGCAATATTCTAATCGTTCCAAATTAGATTTTATATATAAATATCATTGATGCGTTGATAAAGGGTCTGATATTCCGCACAGAGGCAGAAGTGGGGGTGACTAGCTCGTTTGTGCGGCTTACTCGCCTGTGAGATAGTTACCTTATATTGCATTATTCAGCGATTTGTTTCCGCCAGGCATAGACCGTAGCAATAATTTTGTCAATGACACCGGGGTTTGACAGCTTCGGAGAAAATTAGTAAACGGCATGACAAGAGCAAAACATAACAAGGCATTTGGGACTCACTGTCGAAGTATCACCGAGGCTGTCATCTTCGCCACTCACGATCTTGCGAAGGATACGACGCATGATCTTGCCACTACGGGTCTTAGGCAGATCCACCACGACGAAGATAATCCGAGGTGCAGCGAATGCTCCGATAGTGGTACGCACATGCTTGGTCAACTCTCCATCGTCGACCACACAATCAGGTTTGAGGGCCACAAAGGCATTGACTGCTTGGCCAGTAAGATCATCTGCGACTCCGATGACAGCGGCTTCGGAGACCTTGGCTGTTAAGGCGGAACCCATCAGTATACCTGTGGTATCGAAGGTAGAATCCAGGACCACTTACGGTGCTCTAGGAGCGCGGCTTCAATTTCGGCTGTGGATAAACGATGACCTGATACATTCACCACATCGTCGACACGGCCACGGATCCAGTAGTAGCCATCTTTGTCTCGGCCGGCGCCATCCCCCGTGAACTAGAGAATAGCGTGTTAGTAAATTTGGTGGGCCAAGGACTAATGTTATTCCTAGTGGATACTAACGTAGTAACCAGGATACACGTTCAGATAGGTGTCCATGTATCGCTGGTGCGCACCCCAGACAGTCCGTGCCATGCTGGGCCACGGGTACTTCGCTACCAGGACACCCTCAACACTATTGCCACTAAGCTCCTCGCCAGAAACTGGATCCAGAATTGCCAGTTCGACACCGAAAAACGGGAGGGTTGCGCTTCCAGGCTTGGTCGGGGTCACTCCACCCAGTGGGCTAAGGATGTGAGCTCCAGTTTCTGTTTGGAAGAAGGTCTATAGTGTTTTGTCAGACATGGAAGCTGTAGAAGGTTTTAGAACCAGTGACTACTCACGTCAACGACGTGGGCCTGCCTTTTGCCCACAGTCTCGTAAACCCATTTCCATACTTCGGCTGCAATCGGCTCACCTACGCAAGCAATAACACGAAGATGTTCCATGTTGTGATGGATGTGCTCATCGCCCGCGCGCTTGAGAAGTCTCAGGGCTGTAGGTGCTGTGTAGAAGTGTGTGACCTTGTTCTCTTCGATGATGTCCCAGTAACGCGAAAAGTTGGGGTAATTGGGAGTTCCCTCATACACCACTATGGTTGTTCCGAGAAGTAGTGGGGCGTAGGCAACATACGTGTGGCCAGTAATCCAGCCAAAGTCAGCGGTGCAGAAATAGCGGTCCTCTGGGTGAATATCCAGCACATATTTGCCGGTGATAGCGGCTCCCAGTAAAAAGCCAGCAGTGGTATGCATCAGACCCTTGGGCTTTCCTGTGGATCCTGAAGTGTATAGAAGGAAGAGGGGGTCTTCGGAGTCCATAGACTCCGGGGCGAGGTATGCTGGGAACCTTGATGCTTCTTCTTGCCACCAGATGTCTCTTCCTTCAGTCCATGGGATAGGAGAGCCTGTGTGCTTGAACACAATAACGCTTGTGGTGTCGAGGCAGAGCGACAGTGCATCATCCACAATCTTCTTCAGGTGGACAGTCTTTCCACCGCGTTTACCCTCATCTGCAGTAATAACAACCTTGCACTGAGCATCGAGGATACGATCCCGAAGCGAAGTAGCCGAGAAGCCACCAAAGACAACCGAGTGCACAGCACCGATGCGAACGCATGCTAATATAGCCACAATGGCCTCAGGGATAACTGGCATGTAGATGGCTACTGTATCTCCCTTGCGGACACCACGGGACTTCAACACCCAGGCGAGACGAGAAACTTCGCGCAGCATGTCACCGTAGGTCAAAGTACGGCCCTCACCGGGTTCATCAGCTTCGAAGATAATCGCCGGTTTCTTGGGGTCGTGGGAGACATGACGGTCGATACAGTTGAATGAAGCGTTGAGTTTTCCCCCCAGGAACCAAGCGTTGTCTCCATTGGCGATCGAACCTGTGTGGATGGTATCGAAGTCTCTTTCGAAGGAGAGTAGTTCTCGGGCTTGCTTCGCCCAAAATGCTTCAGGATCTCTGATGGATTCCTCGTATAAAACTTGGTACTCCTCCATTCCCTCGACGTAGGGCTTGCTCGTGTGTTTTCTGAAAAAGGGTTCAGGAACGCAGACGATGTCAGAGTCCTATGGCATATTGCTGTTAGAGCCTGAGCGGGTAAACATGCAACAGATCTTGATGCGACATACCAATTCATCATTAGATAGAACATTTTGCCTAGCGTCGCCCATAACTGGATAGACTCCTGATGTAGGACCGGGGGGGGAGGGTTCTTTTTGAATAAAAACAAAGTCAGGGATAGCAGAGCTACTGCAAGTTAATATGACTCGGTGCCTGACGCGACTCTGTTGCTGGTATTAAGGATCCCCCTGTCCGGGGTGGCATTTTATATAGTATATCTTTTCCCCAACGGGCCCGCGTATTATTCCTGAACGATATAGCCAGCACCGCGTTAATTTCCCCAGACCAACACTCTTCATGCGTTTGACCTTTCGGCCTCACTAACCGTTCGCAGAAGAGACGGCAATAGTATGATGCCAAGATCTCGCTTAGACGATCAGACTGGGGGGTAAGGCCTAACAGCCGTAGGGCGATCCCGCGTATTCAGGCCTTTCTCTACCAATTTTACGCTCACGGAAGGCCTTCGGTTGTGTATGATATTGACCCCTTCCTTATTTGTACACAATACGGTGGCTATTGTTTACCTATGCCTTGGGCCGTAGCACCAGTTTGATGTCTTCTCGGCCATACGTACTTAAATCTGTAGCCGGTCGCAAGTCCATATGGGGCCACTACCGATAGGCCTAGCTTGGCCATACTGGCTTTAGGGGGCTGGTTGCTTGGCGTGGTCTAAAAGCACCTTGGCGTGGTCTGAAATTCTGCCCCAAGATTCGCCGCTCTTTTTAGATTACGCTGAGCTAGCACCCGGGCTGTAGGGTCTACCCTACCTATCCCGTTACTTAGTCTTTGACACATTAAACTACTATGACAAGTATTGCAACACCTGAGATTCCGCCCATTGACGCGCTGACTGCACCCGCCATTATTTCAACCAATTCTGTATGTTTTAATCTATATATAGACTCTATGGGAATTCCATATCAATATTTAGTACACCAACCTCGTGCTTTGTAAACGGGGCTAATCCTGCGTGACATAGAGCAAATTATTTGCTCAATTGTACTTTGACCAAGGGCCTCCCACGCAGCTTGAATACACTTTTTAAAATGCTTCAATTCAGCCTGCGTGTCTTTCGCATAGAAGAGACCTGGATAGAGCCCCTCTAGCCTGCGCTTAAGCAGGTGCCAGATATGCTCAATAGGGTTTAAATCAGGCGAGTGTGATGGCCAATCTGGTACCCAGATCGCATATATTTCAAACCATTCCTGAGCTTGGTGAGATGGATTGATTTTCGTGTTATCTTGCTGTAATGTAGCATCTGGCTTGTAGATTGGCAGAAGATCTCTTTCTAAGCATTCTAAATAGGACTTGGTTGAGTAGCCTCGTCTAGATGCTGTGTCATCCCGCTGTAGAACCACTAACTCTAACCGACTACCGATCCAGATAGCGGCCCAAATGATATAAGAAAAGGACTCTCTATATTTCTTTAGATTAACAAGTTCAGGTTTATATGGCTTATTTGATAAGCGAGAGACATATTGTGTGGGGTTATTAGAGTCGCGCGCAACGGAGCATTTATCTAAAAGCAGTATATTGCTCTAATCTGTACTATACAGGCACAAACGAGAGAATTGATATTTTTTTTTTGCAATATCAGCTGTAAGCGGAATACGCTTTTTACCTTTCCACTTTCTTTTTAAATAGGAACATAAAGCGCGGCGAATTGTATGTGAAGAGGTATTTCCAGGAGTCCTAACAGTAAGCGCTTTCCAGCTGATTCTAGGCCTCCAGCGCCCCATCTGATAGATATAGCGCTTAGTCGAGTGGCTTAACATTTCAGACTTACCAGGCCTAGGGCGTGGTTTTAAAAGGTGGTCATTTTGAAAGTGTTCCTTGGTTCGGCAGACAGTGGAACGACCTACCTTAAATACTTGACCAGTTTTAGTAGGCTGCTGGACATTCTCTAACACATGGAAAATAGCAGCATGTTGCTCACTAGATAGCTCAGATCTAGGCCTTCTCCTTACACTGATTTCTTTGCCAAAAGACCTCATTTTGATTGAATTGTATGTAGTTGAAGATAGTGCAAATTTTTGACGCGGTGCGCGACGCGGGAAAGTGTTGCAATATTATTGTCACATGATTGTATTGCGCTCTGCGAACTTGAACTGGCACAAGGCATGAATACTATACTGATGCTGGCTTTACGTTTTATACATAAATTCATTAATCCATGCCCGGTAGAGTAGGAAACATTAAATGTATATAGCCCGCACTTAACCAGAATTAGAGGCGGATGAAGTGGAAATATCAGATTGAGGCAATGTCAACCTCAACACATATACGGATATAAGTCATTCCGAAGTGAGGCTAACCTATGTGAGATTCTCATACGTGGGTCTTTAATGAAACACTTCCCTTCCTAGCTTCTCATAGCGGTCTAGCCAGTTGACTATTTGTATGGCGCGGATGGATGGTTCGGAAGTAGATGGCTCGGTATACGGAGGTCCACCAACTAACATACGCAGTGCCGTAGTAGATATAACTACAACTTTGCATCCCTACTTCATAATATATGAAAAGACAAAATCCTAATTATTCATACTGCAAACGAAAAACTTTGTTCTACTGACCTTAATTCCATCCAACCTTTTCTTTTCGCCCTCCTTGGTTGATGCCGCACAATGGGTAGCACTGGAAACGCTATCGAACTCCCGCGCCTCATTCCTGAGAACCACCAGTGGGTGCCCTCAATGGATGCCCCTAATAAAGTGGAGCGCCGAGGAGTAGGATGCGAGTCTATCGTTGGAATGCAACATAGCAACATCAATGGACAATACGATCTTTACCTCAATCTTACCCTACGAACCGCCGATACCCCCACAGCGACAAGCTTAACCCTCTCAAAACTGAAAACAAAGCTCGAAGCAGCGCTCGTAAGAGTCCGTTTTGACCACCCTGAGTGCGCAACCACAGCACGATGGGATGACCAAGTCGCCCCCATTATCCAGTACCAGTCTCCCCGGAGTCAAGAAGAGGCTCTTGCATGGGCACAGGATACCATTTATATCCGGCTTACATCGAAGAACGGATTCCAACTTCGAGATGATATTCAGGAATACCGCCACATTCATGGAACAAGCGGGAAACCCTCGAGAGCAGTTGACATTTATCTGTTGGCGGACGTGGAGACGGTGACGACACAGCTCCAACCGGGCACACCGATCGATGTCCTCATGCACATGAACCATCTTTTCTGGGATGGTATCAGCGCGCGTTATTTCACTGGTGACCTTCTCCGTGCCTTGAGCCAGACCATCGATGCTGCCAATCAGCCAACATATCCCTGGGGTAATGAAATCAAGAACCTCAGTGTGCCACTTCTTGATGCCTTGAAGATCGACCTGAGAACAGCAGGAACAGAGTTCAAGGCTGCCTGCGACCAATACGTCAATGATATGTACCAGAACTATGTACGTTTTTCCCCCTCCCCTCTAACGAACGCCAACCTATAATCCTAACATGTCTCTATCTAGGGAGGACGTGGCCTCCCTTTCAAGAAAGGAACCGGCCTCCCTCGCACCGGCTTCCACACTTTCACCCCTACCGAAAGCAAAGCCCTCATCTACGCAATCAAAACCCGCCTTGGATCCAAATACACAATCTCCCATCTAGCCCAAGCCGCAGTAATCGTTGCACTTCTAGAAGCCAACCCTCCATCCGATCTCGACGACGAGAGCATCTTCGTCACACCGATGCCCGTGAACGGCCGTCGCTGGCTCCGGGATGATATCGGCAAGAAGTACTATAGTATCTGTGAAACAGGCGCGATCATCCGCTGCGAGAATATCAAGTCCTTACTCATCAACCGCGACGATAAACGGGAAACCATCATCGCAGCCCTCACACAAGCATGCGAAGACGTCAAGAAGTCATTTGACCGCGCACTCAGCAATCCTTACCAACAGCCGATCGGCATGGCGGTGCACATGCTCGAGGCATCCTTTTTGACTCAGTAGGATTAACCAGCCACGTAATCAATCCTCATAGATCAAAGACTAACATTACCGTGACATAGAAACCCGATGCCCTTCGACAAAGTAGCCTCACCGGTATGCCCCCTCATTCCCCTCCCCTTTACTCAAACCCCAAAGGAAATGCTGACAAAAAAGTAGTTATTTATTAGCGATGGAAAGAACGAGCGCTTTCTCCCCGAACAAGTCACTTCCAGCAACGGCGACGCAGTCTTAACAGTCGATAACTTTTATTTTTTCCTGAACCAATTCTTACCTTACCTGTACGTTGGACACTTACCCTTGAAATCATTGATGCTGGCATCCCAGATTCTGATACCACAATAGTGCAATCCGACTCGAGAGCTGGAGAGAAGCCTCAACCCTCTCGGTCTGCTATAATGATGGAAATTATACTAATGAAGAAGCTATGGCCTATCTTGACTCAGTGGCACACTGGATGTTAGCTTTTGTTTGATTAATACTAGGATCAATATGACCAACATTGCTCTATTTAAGTTTTGAAAATCCTTTCCGACACGTACCTAGGCTTCGGGGTCAGAGATAATTGACTTCAGGATTCTATATCAATATAGTACTGTTTATATAAGTGGCTATATTATATCTTTAGAGAATATAGATTTCATCTCTTTTAAGATAATCTCCTTGATAGGCCTCGCCATAACCCGCAAACGGGTTGGCAACTCCAACCCGTTACCCTAACCCGCAGATTTGCGGGTTGAAAAATCCAACCCTCACCCAACCCTCAAACCCGCATGGGTAACCCGCGGGTTACCCGCAAATAACCCATTTTACATAAATCTTCCAGACCTTTCCTAAACAGGATAGATAAAATGCTGAATTAGCCTGATAAATAACTGTTATTCATACTTGTCTCAGCCATGCTGTCTTATAGCATGCCCATAGTCAGGATAGTCAATTGAAGGCGATATGTAAAGGATTACTCCTGGGATTAGTAATTCAATACGTAGGATCTTCCCACTAGGTAAAAAGATCTACTATAATCAACTCTGATCGGAGTTGATCTCCCAGGCGCGGTATATATAGTATCGCAACTTGTCATCCTGCCTTAAGCCTAAGGTTTAACCGTGACACGATAGATCAAGTTTTCCCGGATATTATATAGTATACTGGATTCTATGGATCAGTCCTCTGGCAGATATATATCTGACTACATGAGAATATAGATACTTGATATATTAGCGGAATCTTCTCTTATTATTCTTCTAAATTTCACTGGCTCTAGCTAGCTGGGTGGGAAGACAGACTTTCAGTTATTACTATAAAGTAGAAATCCTATTCTATACAGTATAGAATACTAGTAAAGACTGGTAGAAAGATAGTAAGAGAAAGCAGAACTATCTCCAGCTGCTGCCCGCAAAAATAGAGGGAAGCAGTAACAGAATTCTATCCCTTCTTCTAGCTACTACACAGCCTGTATGTGATCAGAATAGCTATCTACCTTAGAAACCAAATAGTCCGGGTGCAAGGTACCAAGAAAACACCCTTTAAGATATGGATAGAACACTTTCCAGAGATATCAAAGCTTTGAATTCCGTTCTCTAGAGTATGGTTCCATAGAAAGATCAAAAATAAGATAGAGCCACAAGCCATAGAATATGAGTTAAGCAGAAACCATTATTTGGTTATGGTAAAGAAAGATCAGAAGATCTACCGGGTGATAAATCCTATATTCCTAGAAGATAAGCAAGGTTTTATTAGCAAGGAAGCAGAAGTTCAAGATATTAGGAATAAATCTATATTCCAAAGAGACTTAGAAGTTCCTAGTATAGGAACAGGGAAAGGTATCATAGAGGTGCCTATAGAGAGCGCAGTAAATAATGCAAGTAATGAAGGTAGAAGCATTGGCAGCACAGTCAATACAAGCGCTGGAGGCACTGTTAGTGAGTATGGTATTAATGATAATAGAGCTGAAGTTAAAAGCAGCAGAATTAGATCTGAAGACAATCAGAGTTCTGATTTGACCTATCAGGATCCAGAGATTGAATCACTGATAAGCCAATCTGACTGGCCTATTTAACTAAGCCCAATAAGGCTAATTGCACCATCACCATCACCACTTCTGATATTAATTGAATCCTCTGATACACCACGACCAAGCCGAGTTCGGAAGCCTACTCAGGCAGTCATTAAGTCAAAGCAGACAGAGACTATCTATGGGCAAAAGCCATGAGCCCAGCGCCGCAGAGAAGAGAGAGAGACAGATAAGGATCCTTCTCCGCGGCTTACTGCAGAACAGCAGTAAATCAATAAAGTAGCTAATCTAGCTATAGCGCTAGAGCTTTACCTCAGTAATCAGGATACTTTTAAGGCCAAAGCTAATAAGAAGTTCAATGGGTATTCTATCCCTATTCTAAAGTCTTATAAAGAGACAGTCAAAAATCCCACCTATAGAGCTAAATAATCTAATTTAATTTAGAATCTAAAGATATATTAAAAGGCCTAAAGATCAGGCTGTGATATTAACTGGAAATATAGATTACCTGGAATAAGGATTCTATCTAGCTTGACCAAGAGTTCTATGCACGATCTATTTTAGAGAAATTTAGAATAACTGAATTAATATTTTAAGCTATTCTACTCAGCCCTAGTATTAATCTAGATAATAGATTATCTAGGAAGCTCACCCGTGATCTATATAGCAAGTTTAGAAAGATTATTAGATAACTTATATATCTAGCCGGTGATACCAGGCCTGATATTCAGTTTGCTATTAACTGATTAAGCCAGTATCTTGCAGATCCCCATGATATCCATCTCAGAGCTTTAAAACAGCTCCTGCGCTACATGAAAGGAACTATTGGCTATGGTATCACATACAGCGCAAAGGGGAGTAATAAGCTAGTGAGCTATTTAGATTTATCATATAGGAATGCCACAAACTATTAATCAACAAGTGCTTATATATTCATGATAGCAGGCAGACTGATTAGTTAATATAACAGGAAGCAACCTATTACTGCTATGTCAACTACCGAAGCAGAATATATTGCAGCTGCAGAGGCATTAAAGTAAGCTATCTAGGTCAGATACTTTCTAGTAGCTATTTAGAAGTACCCTAAAAAGCCAACTAATATAGGGATTGATAGCAAACTACTAACCCGATTAGGAATTGATTATCAAGGTGCTTTAGCGTTAGTATCTAATCCAGTCAATCATCTACACAGCAAGTATATTTGCATATGATATCATGCTATATGTGATGTTATTGAGCATGGCAATATCAAGCCATTCTACATGTCACGGGTAAGCCTTAGGCCTAGGGCCCCGATGGCAAGTTGCGATACTATATATACCACGCCTGGGAAATCAACTCCGATCGGAGTTGATCATAGTGGATCTTTTTACCTAGTGGGAAGCTGGAGTTGAAATAAGGTTCTATGATATAATATCAAGATCCTTAGACTAATAAGATAAAGACATTCAATACCTCTCCATATCAGTTCTATATTTTTGCTTTATTTCTTATTTAGGAAGCTATAATAGCTTCATTTCATTTGTTTCGGGGTATTGAACGAAGGGGAGTGATATGAATCTATAGGAGACACGTGATTACTTAGTGGCTTGGCCGGATCACCAACTCCTCAGCCCCTGAAGGCTTTACCAATCAGTAGAGAACAAGAAGCGCTCAAGATAGTTGATACAGTCGTCCATAGAATTGAGTATCTATCCGAATGGCATCCGGTCCTCAGTAGGCTACATATGTGTAGCTGATACAGCATCATTCTGCCCATCTTTCCCCTGAGATCACAACATTTATAAATGCATTATTGTCCATGTCCCGCTTGAAGACTATCCATCTTCAACCACGCCACATCAGCGGCCACCTTTGTCCTTGGCGATAAGTGACTTTCAACTTTTGAGTATTTCTGAAAACCTTGCTTCCAAACCTCCCATTTCCCCTGATTAAAAACCTCACTCACCACGCAGCCAGCTTCCCTAGGCAACATACACCATTGAAAAATCTCCTTGCCCAGAATATCGATCCAAGCCCCAGAAGCTGGAACATTGTAGTCCAGTTGATTCTCATTGGCCTCCGTATCAAATGTTCGATAGAAAGTCCGTAATGCATAGGTTTCTAGAGAGATAGTATGTAATCGAGTGAGGTGTGCTATCAACATGTTAAGAGATACCCATTCTTGTATGCACTGCTCTTTGTTCTTTTCCGCACCAGGCGTATCGGGACCTAGAAGTTACAAGTCAATGAATTGTATCTTACATAGCAACGCTGGTTTTGTACCGTTCCACCTTTCCCGCGTGTTCTTAGCAAAATCATATCTAAACCACTCAGCATCGGGAGTGGAAAGTTTCTGTAGAAATATGCGAATCACTTCTGTAAGGTCACTTGGATCTAGCGGCGAGATTGCGGCTGCTTCAAAAATGACGCCTTGTAGGTACTGTAGGAAGTCCCTGGGGTCGTCTTGTTTGTTAACCCTGGTAGCGATCAACGACGCAACTGCTTCAAGTCTGGTTATCGGCGAGCTCCCGCTGGGCAGTAGATTCTTAAATGCCATCAGGGCATCTTTGACAAATTTGAATGATGATTCAGCGTCAGGTTCAGCCCCAAAGTCTGTCTGCCATTCTTCCAGATATTTGGCAATCCACTTATCCATTTTCTAAGAGTTCGGTAGATTAATGTTTTGGGATCAGTTGTTCAGGACCCGTTTGCTTCTTGCTTTCCACACTCTAAGACCAAGCATCAGTGATTACGTCTTCATCTCCGAGGGTTCCTTGCCATTGGCATAACTTATGAATGTCACAGACACAGCAGTCTAGATACTTAATAGAACAGTAAACCTATAGTAGTATCGGCCTGTTATATGGAGTATTATCTCAGCAGAGCCAACTATGACATGAGCCAAGATCGAATAGAAAAACCAAACAGTTTTTTCTGGCAATCTCGCCCCTGTCAGGTGTCTTTGATCCTGGGGAAAATTTTACATACAACGTGACGCGAACAACGCAGACCAACCAACAATCATAATATGGCCCACCGGAGCCGGCTCGGCCTGTTGATTCAGCAACAGTTCATGTACAGAAGGCGCAGCATCGCATTATCATTCAACATGCCCTTCGTCTAATAGGTGGTCGCAAACCCATGGTGCCTGAGCCCCAGATCACTCGGTCTCTCGAGGCGCGGTTTGCCAAGATTATTGTGTGGGCCCTTAACTAGGGAAAGGTCGCGTTTCTCTTCGTCTATAGATTTTGGCGGCTGCTTTGCAAAATAAAACTTAAACCAGAGGAAAGAGAGACAGTGGAATTATCTTTCCAGGTTAAAATGTCGTTTTCGATATATTTGTCTCAAAAACAGCGCTCTTTACTTGTAGACTAACAGGGGAATGAGGCCGACAACATTTCATATAGATTTGTCTCAAAGTCATGGGTCTCACGGGGCTTCTGCTAACAATATTTTCGTGATGTCGGCGAACTACGGCACCTGGCAGGACCCACTATCAACAGGGATTCTACTATAGCGCGAATATCATTTTTGGCTTGGGGAGGGGTTGATTAGCATGCTTTCCAGTTGTGCTGGGAGCTGGCAAGCATTACACCAGGGAATCTGTAAGCACTGAACATACCTGCTCGTCAAAAAAATGTCAATTATACAAACGCCTTGTGTTGGATGATGCGTTTGAAAGAAACCAACATAGGCTCCTGCTCTTTTCAGTTTGTTCTGGTGATCAGGTCCGCATTTTCAGAATCGAAACACCGGCATGACAAAACCTGACATTCAACTAGAGGGATTTTCAAGAATCATCTCAAGGCTTGGGCCATTGCTTCTCGCCCCATGTAAGATACATCATAGCACATCTGATCCCTGTCGTTAAATATCACAAATTTCCTCGAAGGCTCGGTGCTGCATCCGGTGACAAATTCTACCCTTGGCAATTAGCATTATAAGAGGGTGTAAGACCCTCAAGTCCTTTATCCAAGTCATTGAACTTTCCTCAATAGCCCTGTGCAAAATACATAGCCTAAATTCAGCTCGCCTCACTTGCTTCCCTGAGACAATGAAGCTCTCCGTGCTCTCCATCATCTCTCTTTACCTGACCGGCACAGCCGTCGCCCGTCCAACCGCCACTACCCGCACTGTCCAGAACTCAAAAATAAACGAAAGCCATCTTCTCGCCCGTGAGGGTGGCCGGAAGTGTGGAAATCGTAAGTCGCAGCCCTATTATCATATCACGGACAAGCAAGAGTTCTGTACAGAAACATTAATCTACACACAACACGTAGACCAATATAGCTCAGAGAGTGAAACTAGGCCTTCGAGCAGGCGCTAGAATTTGTTCAGAACAATAAGAAAGCAAGGGCTAAGGACGGAAGTATGTCACCGCTAACTAATTACCCCGATCACACCCCTGTCTGTCCCTTACGGATCGCTGATACTTCTCAGGCCGATACCCGTACAAATACCTGAACCAGGGCGATGATGGACCCGAAGTCGAGTTTTCGGGACTCTGCGTCGAATCGGGCGCCAACTTGTTCGAGTGGCCAATTCTACGAAACGGAGAGCTTTTTGGTGACGAAGGGAGAAAAGTAAAGGGCGATGACCGGGTCATTGTTGCCACCTACAAGCCTCCAAATGACGCGCCCGAGGTTTCAACCTACTGTGGCATGATCACTCATGAAGGGGCCAGTCGGCAGGGTGGCTTTATCAAGTGCCAGTAAGCAGGAGACATAGGTGCATATTATTGTGTATCAGACCGTGTGAGATCGCGGCCACATCTGTCAGGTTACAGGTCATATAGGCGCGTTCGAATGCCAAGGTGGACGTTTAATAGTATAAGGTGTTTTAGGTACTGAGCTGCCTTGACTGCTTGGTCTGCTGCCTGGAGATATAGGGGTTTTAAGCTGCACAGTAATTTAAGCAAGAACCTGCTCAGGAATAAAAGGAGCTAATCCAGTTGCTCAAAAAGCACTGTAGATATTGCTGCTAGTAAAGACCTGTGTACGGGCCTTGGAATAGGCTCATAAAAAATTATTTTTATCAATATAATTGATTCCACAGTGCATTTTATATTCAACTGATTTTCTGTACGCCTTTTTTAGGGGCGAAAAGCAGGTAATATCAAGCGGTTAAAGCTTATAAGAAGCGTGGGCAGGCATGTAGATTGGTATAATATCATTCTCCGAGCAAATATGATTAAATTGAGGTGTAAGATAACTATTATAGCTATCAAGAATAAGTAGACAATATTGTCCTATAGATCAGCCTGTAGTAGCAGGTATAAAATAATTCTATAGCCAGTGTAGGCCAATTTCTTTGCTTGTCTAACTATTAGGACTTATTTCAATCCTCTAATCTAATAAAATATTTTGATTCTTGTACCAGGCCTCTATATACACTTTGCTTTTAAGAACAATACAGGGAGATAGAACCTATTCATTAGAACTTATATATTCTATGGAGGTAACCCATTCCCGTTTCCTCACTGTACAAAAAAAGGTTTCCCCTATATATCAGACCTAGTAACTACCTTAGCGGTAGCTACTAGACCTATTGTAAATCCGGTTTTATCAAAATTGTAGATATCACTTGATATAATACTATACTGCTGAATGACCTCATTTACCTGCTAGAACCAGGCACACAGAACCTTAGGATCTTCAGCTTAAGTATACTGATAGTTATATCTATATATAAAGCGCGTTTTCAGCTCAGGCCTGCTCCTAATAAAGATTGAAACCCAAATTTTGCCAATAGTAGTAGAAATAATAGTAAGATTATAATTAGGAAGCAGAAGAGTAGCTATTTCTTGTATATAAGCAGGCAGAGGACTTGCTCCACATCAATCTAGGGATATAATCCACTGTACAAGCGATTCTTCTTCAGAGATAGTCAATTTATGATTCTCTCAATACACTTGAGGCTTAAAATGCTTCCTTTTAAGCGATCAGTCAATGTAGAACAAGGCACATTATAAACTTCAGTAGCCTTCCAAATACTGTCAAATTGTTGGTTTTTAATAGCGGATATAGCCAGCAGGATCCTTCCTTCTTGTTCCACAAGAGATTTTGATGATTTAGGCATTTTTGGTGGTATGACTGGTTCTTGAATTGCTTCAAAATTTGAGGCGCGTACAAAACGCGTAGGGTGGCCGGATGACCCGGGAAATTTTGATTTTACACCATTTACTAAGGGGCGTGGTAGTAGTGCAGTGGATAAAGATGATTTGGTAGAGAAAGTGCTATCCCCACGCGGTTGAGACAGGGCGGGAGCACGCACCCGGCGGGAGAGGGGAGAACATCAAATATGGACCAATCAGCGGTGGCGCGGGTCAACCGAGCCCTCGGTTGACCACGCACTAGGGAATAGTGGACTAGATCGACATGACCTGATAGCAGCACGTGATCTACATAAAACAAGCAGAGCCTCTCGGTCGGAAGAGCTTTATCCGACTGTTCATAAGGCTGGCTCACGTGAAGCGTGGATGATCCTCCGATTAGTCCTGCCACAAGATTTCCAGACACCCTAGGCCTTATAGTATTTAGTACTATCAATCATATCCGAGTCAGGGATTTACCACCACACAATGACCACAAGGAACAAAAGAATTCTGAATCCCAATTAAGTCAACAGACTGAGGAAGAGATCCAGTAATGCAATAAAATCTCAACCGCAGTGGAGAATCCGAAACGATAATGATCATGACAATATGGAGCTATGGATCGCGATCCTTGTCGCTACTTGACCTAATAAGGAATGCTCGGAACGGAGTTTGGAAATATTTTTCATGTTAAATAAGCCGCCCAATGACAATCTAATATAAAGGGTGTCGACTGTCGCCCCGAGCGTGGGAGGTTGGCGGACCTCGGATCCCCTCTCCCAACTCGACCAGTTCCTCTGCCATCTGATCCCGTTACAAAATGAGCCTCTCCCCAAACAAAACTCGACACCAAGCTGAGAATGAACAACTAATGCCTGTAGGGATTTCATCGCATCAATCCCATAGGGCTCAAATGGATGCTTCTAAGCAAGCCATGCAGACATCATCTGCACAAATAGATCCACCGGCGAATGAGGGCATATATTCAATGGCAGTGACTCAAACGAAGCCATCCTTCGTTGCCAGGGTCCTTGACTACTGGGTGTGGGAGATCACATCTTGTGTGGGAGCTTTAGTGGCCCTTTTCGCCATTATTGGAGTGCTTCTTAAATACAACGGCAAGAGCATTCCAGATTGGCCCTACGGGATTACAGTCAACTCGGTCCTTTCCTGGATTGTGCAAGTTTTTAACGCATGCGTGCTTGGGGCAGTCTCGAAATGTATCAGCCAATTTAAATGGATCCACCTCAGCAAGGCCGATAGACCGCTGAGTGACATAGACCACTATGATTCGGCTAGCAGAGGTCCCCTCGGTTCCATAACATTTATTTGGAGATCCAAATTAAGGTTTGTTCTTCCCTTAATAACAGAAATATGAATTTGCTAAACTTATTCCTAGGCAATTGGCCTGTCTCGGTGCCCTGATTACGATTTTAGCGGTCTGTGTAGGCCCGTTTACGCAGCAAATGGTCCGAGTGGTTAACCACCGCGTTATCACTGACATACCGGCTTCTACCGCGCGAGCGCAGTCATATCTCGAGTCCGGATCTTTTACTATGACCAAGCAGGGAGGATCCCAGGGGCCCTCGAGCGGCATGCTGGCAACTATCTATGTCTCAATGTTTACAAATTCCAACTCATCAGAATATGCGTCCACTGCACCGTACACAAGTGTTCCTCCGGCTTGTCCTACCGGCGAGTGTGAGATTCCACCTTTTCAGTCAGTAGCAGTATGTTCCCACTGTGAGGATGTCTCGCTGTTTCTCTCATCTCGCTGCAATGAACAGTGCCCAGAAGAGATGACGCTATGCACCCATTCCCTTCCGACTGGTTTGCAGCTTGTGACCGGATATCCCAGTAGTTGGTCAGATGTGGAAATAGCCGGATATAATAGTACTAAATACCTCGTTACCGATACAGCTCAGGCGAGGGACCCTACTAAAGACATGCGCATAATCGCCAATACTGAGGACTTTGGAGAAAGTGCTTTTCTAAATGTTACCTCAATTGAAAAACCACGGGGAGCAAATATATCTCACGCAAGAGCCCTGCAGTGCTCACTATATTGGTGTGTAAAGACATTCTCTACTAGTATGCATAACGGCACAAAAGACGAGATACTTCTTAACACGTGGAATGATCCTAATGCCCATTTTTATCCTACACCACCATCGGAGAGGCTAGATATTCGACCTCCCAGACAAGGTTATCTTGATGCTTCAGATTTTTCAATTGATGGTATCGGCAACCAAGGATTAGTGGTATGGTTTCAGGAACAGTTTCACGTTTCCACCTCCTTTAACACAACTCAAACCGACTGCCAGAGTATTCAGAATATGAGTAATATTGAACAGGACTTCCTCACGAGTGATATATTTGAAACTCTATGGTATACAAATCTTCCGGACCTCCTTTCAATCTTATCAGTGAGGATGACGAACTATATACGCCAGGTTCCATTAGCGAAACAGTACCCTTTGCTTGCAACCTTCGGACCTATTGAAGGCGCAGGTCGCGCAAATGGGACCTCATATACTGGGCAGACGCAGATACGAGTGGTTTGGGCGTGGATAACGTTCCCTGCTCTCTTGATTCTTTTAACAGTGGCATTTTTGGCTATCACCGCAATCAAAACCAAAATGGGGAGACTAGAAGTGTGGAAATCGTCTACAATCCCGCTACTTTGCTCCGGACTGGACGAGCAGTCACAGCAAACGATCCGTGCCCAGGGACACCTGGTTCAAATGAACAAAATGACAGATCAACTCCATGTTCGATTGTGGAAGGGAGATATGGGTTCCTATGGCAACAAATGGCAGCTACAGGCTCAATAACTGGGTAGTCAACAGAGAGCGTAACCTTCATCCCTTTTTATTCTACACGGCAGGGCTGAATACGCATAGTTTCCAGGAAGGATATATAAATAAATATATACACAAAGTTAAAAGAGTCATAATTGTTAAATTTAAGTTAGCAATCTTACTCAAACAACCTGCATCTATATAGATCTTGTGATGCGAAATTATATATATAACGATATATGCTTTAGTGCATGTAATATGCATGAAGACTATCCATATATAGAGGAGATTTATCAGAAGGCTCTACAAAATAAACAAAGAGCAACCATTAGATAAAGAGTAATCATCTAAATAAATTGAACTATTCCTAACTAGATATGAATTACTGGGTTTTAGAGATTAACAAAGAGCTTGATCCCCAGCTTAATCGATGGATTGTGGACTAGTATAGCCGAGCCAACATTATATATAGAGTTAGGGAATCTCAGCAATTAAGCCAGGGCATTGAGAAATGAACACCCGTGCCGATATTTAGTATAACTGTCACAGATTGAATATCGATTCAGCCTGATGGCCGTACAGGATACCCTGACCCAGGTGCATGGACAATCGGCCATCGATGAGGAACATCAAGCCATCAACGGTTTGGTTTTCAACGGGAAATCTGACCCCTTTACATACAGGGCCTTCAGCTATAAATTAGAGAATCGTTGGTAGTAGTAGGAGATCAAGAATCAGTCTTCTGTCTGAATAGTATCTACTGCCTGCCTTTGATCTTTCTCTCCTAGCCTACGTATCCTTACCTAGTTGACAGGTCTTCTACCCTAAATAGTAGATGCCCTTGGCAATAACTCTATCATTGTGTATCTATATAATTTACCTCTAAAGCCGACGGCTTCGCCTTTTCCAAAAAACTGAAGTGCTTTTACATTCGAAATGCACTTTATAATCTTCCATTTTCGGGAAACTAATACATATGACCATAGGGTGTGGAGAACAGGACTTCCCGTCCGCTCAGCCGTACTTAAGCCCAGTATAGAACGTGGTCAACCCCCAGAAAGCCCCTCTGCCTCTAAAGCAGCGGCGTGATGCTTTTAGTATGAGTGCTGGTGATGTGGGTGAGGCCTCTACGGGACCCCATCACCCCTGGTGATGATGGCTCTCCAGTTGGGGGGGGGGTGACGAAGGCTAACCCAGCAGCCAAGCACACGAGCAAACGGTGATTCAGCTGTTTTAAATGGGCTCTGCGCCCTGAAGATTGAAAGATGAACTTGATTGTCGCTGAATCCATACAAAGATCAAATCCTCTTAGCTCCTCCCTCTGTGATCGCACGTGACATCATATGACTATAGCTTCTGAAGATGCCAAGTTGCAAAAACTACTTGAGGAGCACCAGAGACGTGCAGAGTCACGTGGCTTTACTCTGGAATATCAAAGTGAGCAAGAAAAGAAAGAAAATGTTATATGTTTTCCAAGACTAGCACCGGCAACTTATAGTATGATCGGGCAGTACTCTAATAGACTTTGTATCCTCTTCCGTTAAGTGTATGGTGGTAACTCTTAACTATTCTTTAGATGGAGACTTTCTCGCAAGGAGAGTGGAACAAAAAACTTCTCTAAGGATAAACTAGATCCTTCTCCACAAATTCTAAAGCTTTTTATAGAGTTTTACATTGCTACTCAAAAGAATATGCCCTCACAGAAGACAGCATGCCATTTTTTTACCAGCTTGACCTCAAAACGGGAGCGTGAGACGTCCAGAAAACCTCCTATAGAAGTAAAGAAAGATATTCTTAATATATGTGACTTAACACACCTGCATACTCAACGCTAATATGATTCTTCTTAGTTCATACAAAATAACCTAACTAGCAAGTATGCCCTTCTAACGGAACCTAGGGCACGCTTCCTTATTAATGCTAAGGATATTGAATACCTGCTTCACCATTTATTCGGTGACGATACGCATAACTATATGCGTGAACAGGCATGAGTCCAAACTGGAAGTGCGCTTGCTCTCTTTACCGGTTCAGGGTCCAGAGCTGGTATAATTATAGAATCAAGTTCTTATCAAAATATAAATAAGTGTCTCTACTATAAGATCTGTTCCTGTAGCGCCTACTGAAAGATTCAGTTCTCTAACTCTTATACAAAGCATCCCTTATTCCAGATAAAATAGAGCAATCAGGCTAGGACAGTGAAGCAATAGATAATAATTGATCCTAAGTTCCTTAAAGAATGGCGCTACCAGGACAATATAAATATGTAGGCTATTTCCCTCCTTACATTCCCCATGCCACCCTGCTCTCAAGACTACTATTATTTAGTCTGGGGCTTACTGTGCTCTAGGCCTAAAACTTTGTTCAGGGAGCATCTAATCCTCGGAATGAATTTTATCCTTTAGGTTATCATCCATAGTATTGTAGATTGTGCATTCAAGGGCATATCCTCTGTCGAGAAGTTACTGGCCTAAAGACCTCTAAAGAGAAGAGAATCATGGACTCCGCAGTAAACTGAGACTGCTAGAGAACTCCCTTTTTTCTGAATGGTCACTCCAAACAGACCAAGTACAGACAAAGCAGTGATATTCTCCTCGTTAAGACACAATTTCACAAGTCTAGCGCAAAGAGATGGTTTTAGGGACCTACTACGTGTCCACGGAATCAGAGCAGAGCTCGTAAATAGGGTAGACCGTAAGCTGGCACCGCCTAATTCATCCCTCTTCCCTTTACTTTCTGATTTCCCTGTCTTTGCATTGATGACTCTCGAGTGCTGATTGCACTTGACCATCAAGATCATAACACATTCCTCAAATATCAGGCTCCGCTCAAGGCATTGGATATGCAAGCTTTGATGTACAGCATGGAACCAGACTTTGAGTGCCGAGATATGGAACAGAGCATGGCGCATCATCATAACCTTAATATCCCTCTTCGCCTTGATACTGTGACTCTATTTGAGTTCAAACATGACAACAAAATTGTTGGCCTAAATATAAGGATCGCCGATCTATCCTGAAGGATTGCAGGCCAGCCTAGTATTCACAAATCACTGGCAGAAGAACAATCCAGGCTATACACACAGAAAGCAAAAAAGCTTCAGGCAAAGTAACCTAAATATATTTTACAGTAATAGAATAAATACTATAAAGAATATATTTCTAGAAAGGGATTCACTGAACATGATATAATAAACCTATTCAAGATTTACGCTAAACATCCCCTGACTAGAACTCGCTTATGTAAAAATCTGTTTAAAGAGATGCCTCTCGATAGTGGGGTGAGAAGACAATGCCTGCAGGACATGGTCAGTCTCTGCACCATAACTGAGAGAGTTATATACTATCCTGGGTTAATCCCTATTGATAGGCAATGTCTGATCTGCTAAAAACCTATAGAAAGATTTGTACCCGCTTTGCTTTAAAAGCTATAGAGATTGACAAGTTACTAGTGTTGCCTGGTAACTGTAAAATTATATAAAGAATATTCTACAATGCCGGAGGAAGATATTAGATACTGCTCCTTATTAACAGTGCTATAAGAGTGGCAAGAGAGCTTACTGCCATATCTAATAAAACTTCATTCAGTTCTGCTACTTATGCGCACAGCTGTTATATAGTGAAGAAGACTGGAATCAGTACTGTGGTATTTATTTAGCTAATCTAAAATCCCGGTGTGGCCTGCTAACATTCCGCTACACACTAGTAGCTCCTGGATTCTGCTTCTTCTGTCTAGGGAAGAGTAATAAGAGAACAGATAAGCGTTTTAAGCAATAGCTAAACAAGACCATACTCTTGAATCATATTAATAGTTATCTCTCTCTACTACTGTCCGGGAACCCAGTATCTTGCCCTTATCCCTGTTACTCTAGGAAGCAGTATAGCAGTATCCTAGAGTTTTGGCATTATCTTTTTGATATATATTCCATTAAGAAGCCTCGCTCTAAGTACGTGATTAGAAAAAGACATTGGAGTTTAGAAGCTAAAGAGTCAAAGACTGTCCAGGAGAACCAGCCGGTTAAGAAAGAGAAAAGAAGAAAATTGGTCTAAGTCCTATTATTAATTTAAAAGATCAAAATACTAAATCCTAAGTATATCTTGAAGATGCTGTCATGCGACAATGGCTTGATGACCTACCTAGTGCTGCGCAAGGAATGATTGCAGTGGACTTAACTGTCAATAAGGTGCGGGGAAAGGCCAGGAAAGATGGCCAGTCAAGAATTAAGAAAGCTGCTCAATCGGATGTGCCACATCGACGACCTTCTACTGATGCGGGCGTCATGAGGCATGCAGCACAGGCACAGGTCACTTGTGGGTTGGCAAATTTCTTCCATGATCTACACCTTTAAATTCATCTTCAGTGGCGTGTCATTTCCTAACTACAGGCAATGCACTAGCTGCATCACAGCATCACAAGTGTTCTATTCATATCAACATACACCTGAGGTGCTTCGATTCATTATGTCGTTGTTATGCAAGAGCAAGGTGATATTGGAAGGATCTGAAATAAGATATATGTCACTCCTAGCAGTTGTATATAGGCAGGATCAGAGGAGAGCGTGGGTAGTGTGGAGAGAACACTTTGGCAAGATTTTGGTGAGGGATTCGCGTAGTGTATGCTCAAAAATAAAGGAATGAAGTTTTCCTTGGTAATCTTGCATGCGACGGTAAACCTCTTCTCTCCCTTCGGTTAGTGCTCAATATGGAAAAAGCTCCTATGTTGAGGATCAGGACGCCAAGTCCCATTACAATGGCAGAGCTAATCGACAGGCAACACATCCTTCAGGCTCTAAGAAACTTGAATGAGTTCATGGCCCAGGGGGACCGAACCCTTTTAAGGATACCAAGTGAACTTACCTATTTGCATGTCCCACTGATATAAAGTAGAAGGAAGCCAAACCCTCAACTTGCACCTGTTGGAGATCCGGGTGGCCTGCCAGAGCTGAGTCGCTTAGACAGAGGTTCCATGCCCGGGAGAAATATAGTAGGTGATTGAGTTTATGTCCCGAATTGTTCCACTGCACGAGCTGATGGTATCTGGCCGCGATAGCGAACACCAAGTTCAAAACAGCGAGCCACTTTCTCCCTAGGCGCACGTGAAACTTACAGTAAAACGCCTGGTATTGCCTCAAAAACAGAATCCTGCTGATAATGGGACCCTAATTATCGAAAGGGTTTATGAATACAGTGCGTCCCGAAAATACTGCCCATACACCTTAAGGAACGGGGGAACGTATCACAATAATGGTGACGCACTGGAAATAGCACAAGCAGAATTAGTAACCGCACAACAACATATGCAAACAGACGTCGGCATGCCGTACCCAGGTATAAGGTGGGTCAGAAAGTATAATCAGACCTGTAGAATATACATAACAGGCTGACCGAGCAAGAAGTTGGACAAACAACATACAAAGTTCACAGTAACAGATATCATAGGAGATCATTATTACGGACTCAATACTCCCCCAAGTATTTACGATATCTTTCATATATCCCTCTTGCGTCCGGCGAGTGAGAATTCCCTCCAGAGTCTGCAACAGATTGATTATCAACCTCCCCCGTTATAGTCGATGACATTGGGCAGTATGTTGTCGATATTCTAGATGAACGAGAAAGACTGGTTGGCAGTGGATACCGACATGAGTTCCTTATCAAATGCCTCGGGTATCAGGATGTATGTTGGGAACCAGTCAGGGGCTTCGAGACAGGTGCGTTGGATAAGCCAGAGAGATGGAATGCTGCAAATGGTACTTCTCCTCCAGCCACCCGGCACTGCCGGATGGGCTGATGGAAAAGTCTGAATAATGGTGATAGGAGGCAAAGAGAGAAAAAGGGGTGCTCGGGCAGGAAGCAAAGAGATTGAGAAAAGATTAATAGCGAATACAATGGTGGATGGACGGTATTATACAAGGAGACACAGAAAGACAGACTTACCTACGGGTCACCTGATGATGGCTCATCAAGCAGATTATCGCACCGCATTAACACTACATGTAAGTGATGCATGAAACCCGCAGGGAGATCCCGCACGCGCGAGAGAGACACGGCGTTGGAGGGAGAGAAGGGCGGACGCAAGCTCGGTGAGACGCTCCTCAAGTAAATATCTGTTTTTGGGCCAAATCGATCTCGCACCCTGAATCTCTCCTAGTTGGATACCCTTGAATTAAAATACCATTCCCCGGCTTTTTTGGGCAGATAGCCTGGACCAGAACGTCCAGGGATCTATCGGATCGGCGCGTAAGCATGAACCTATAATATGTCCCAGCAGGAATGAAAGAGATAACAATGATGACGACGATGAGGACAACAATGGGGATTATAAAACAAAGCAAACAAGCATGGTGCAAAATGAATCTGGACATTTCCAAAGAGCATGGTGTATTTGAGTACAATTTAACGACTGCCGCTAACCAAGACAATCAATATGAACAAACTCAGGACGCGGATTAGCGCACAGCGGCCAGATCTGTAGAAGTCGAGAGCGGACCGAGCTCTACGGCTGTTGGAGAACAATCAGTCCAGGTAGAATGAAACTAGAACTAAGACAGAATAAGGGGAAAAGAGGAAGAAAAAAAGGAATAGAGATGGAGTAGGGTAGGTTAGATAGATGATTGTAATAAAAGAAAAAGGTAAACATATACTAGTAATGCCTAGGGGGAAAAGCGACGCTGGTTCAAATAAAGGGGAACTTTCAAAGTATTCCAGTTCCTGATCTACAGATTGATGGATTATAACTAGCAGCGACCTCGAATGACTTGGACGATGATCTTATGTCAAGTGTGTCTTGCTTAGAATAAGATCACTTAATTGATTTAAGGTAGAAAAAATAGCAGTCATTCGCACATTTTAAAGCAACTAGTGCATCTTTTTCTTTCTATACTCACAAACAAGCTGTCAGGATGAACATCTTGAAGACCTCCGGAATCTCTCGAGCAGCGACATAAGTAACAGTAAACCCCTTCGATTCCAGCAACTGCTTCGCCTTTTCAAGACTTCCCTCCAGGTCACTCACCTCCATTACAATATTCCGTATTTTCTTCCAGTCCGCATCGTCAAGCCCACCTAGCACTTCCAACTCGGTACCCTCAACATCAATCTTAAGAAGATCAATTGCCGCGACATTGCTATGGTCGCGACTAAGAAAATATGACAACCGATTAACCGGAACCGTGATCTCTGTAGCACCCCCGAATATACCATCTGACAAAGTGTAGCCGCAAGTTTCTTGAAAGAGCTGAATCTGGTGCCTCTTCTCTTCAATATTTAACGTAGAACTGCCGGGCCCCCTGGGAAAGTAAGTGAATACCGCAGTGCAGGCCTGAGCGCCCAAGGCGTAAGGGTACACTATAACATCTGTGGCATTATGCAAAGCTAGGTTTTTCTTCAACGTCTCGAGTGTTTCCGGTGCCGGTTCGAAAGCAAGGATCTTGGAAAGTGGATGTTTTTCTTTCATGTATAGAGAGAAAAGTCCGATGTTGGCACCTGCATCAACGACGAATGGTGCTTCCGGGAGTACTGGTCCGTCATAGTCATGATTCTCGAAGATCTCCCTGTAGATGAATTGTGCTTCGAGTTCTCCGCTGCTATAGCAGGAGAAGTTATCTGCTAGTTTCACGAGGCGGGGAGCCATGTCTGTTTACCAAGCCGGACTTGATAGACCCTGACTGTAGGGTGATAGTATTGTGAGGTTGTTCTGGGGAGGAGATTGATGTACTACCCAGTTATATTTCATGCAGACGTGTGGGAAAAAGCTGTTTTATTTGCTAAGAATGGAACGCCCGATCTTTCATTTTAAACAATTCCCCCTTCACATTATTCCGGATTAAGAAGGGGCATTCCTTCACGGGGCGTTGTTAGCTATCTCAAAAACTTCAAAGCATTGAAGTGCTCTGGACTAAACCGGATTGAAGGTTTCTTGTTGGTTGGGAATTCTGGCTGGCGGTTTCTGATTGGGCCGGGTCGAGTTGGATGACCTTGGCTGGTATGCGGATAAATTAAGGGGTGTTGTGATTAACGTAAGTCACCGCCCAACACCTGCCACCAACCAACCAACGCCCCGCACTTTGCTCACTGACTGTTCAACTGAACAACTTCAACGCCACATATCTCAGTCAAAATGGCTCCGATTGATAGAGTGCTGGAGACAATCGCTTTATTGAAGCCAGGAGAATCATTTTCATATACCGCGAAACGCGCTGGCCCGTGACCTACTACCTCTCGAAGGATAACCGGACGTGCTGCCTAAGTGAAATGCCTAAAGTAACGAAGTTGAGCACTAATGTGGGTCAGTCATCACCTGCCGCACGTCAACGCCCTGCCGGGACAGGTGATGGCACTTCCTGGCCTGGTAAGGTGCCTTCCCGTCTGGGGATAGTGCCTCGCCGCCCCGTCTCACGCCGCTTTTACGAGATTCGCCCAACCCGAAGAATATCTATATAAGACCGCAGTACGTCCCTCAACCGACGGCACACTTCCTCTTCTCTTTCCCTCTTCCTCGCCTTCAACCCCCCTGGCCCCCAATTTCCGTTTCTTTCTCTCTTTCCGTTTGCCCGATACACAGCCCCCTTCAGGAATGTGCCGTGCGATCCGGTCATCGCCCGCAAATCGCCAACCCTGTGGCCCTCCTGCCCAACTAGTCATACGTCTCGACTGCAACATTACCATTACAGGGCTGCGGGCCATTTTATTCCCCTACTCGTATAGAAACCTCATGAGTCTGCCTGGTGTTCCCTTATATGTGGAGGAAATCTAACACTGTCCAAGTCTCTCTTGCAATTTGGTCTCCTGTGGCATTTCCGCCAATTTTCGTCCTCTTGCTACAGTCACTCAATCCTCAGTATCCTCGTATCTAATGTAATGCCCCACTTGGTGTTCTGGGCCGCCATCCCGATGTTGTGCTCGAAGCTGCGCCATTTTCCCACCGGGCGTGGGCTCAATCTCCTCCACTGATGTAACCTAGTGATACTACTTTCTGCAGCTGATATGGGTGACCAGTAGCGAAATTGGCGCATTGTTCTAGGCTACTTTATATCCAAATGTGTTGCAGCTCGATCCAATGACATGATTGAAGGATTGATGATGCCTGGTGTTAAAAAGCCTCATAGCCTGGGCCTGCAGGACTCTCGGGTGTTGGTGGGCGACGATTGGCCCTCCGTCCTCCGGATCAGGTAGTCGGGGTCTGATGGAAAACGGAGGTGGTCGGCTGGGATGAGCCTTGCTGTTTCTCAGTGAAGGTAGACATGTCAGCATCAACAGGTGGATAGGCAAGCCCAAGTGTTTCCCGCGTGGACTAATCTTTGCTTGGATTAGGCGAGATCCGGAAATGAGACCTGCTCGTGAGGAATGATTCCGGCCAACCACTAAAGTCTATGCAAAGAGGAAATCTGTTGTATGGAGGCTGGATTACCTATAAAACAGTTAACAAACCCCTCAGAAAAGGTTCAGTCCCAGAAGATCTCACACACTCCAACTCAGCCTAAAACAAATCCCCACTATCCACCACTGTACATTTCTGCCTCCCTTTATCTATATCACCATTTTCCCGACACCCTAAATCAACTCTCTTGATTTGCACCATAATCAATTTCCGCGTTGACAGCTTTAGATATTTGAAACACCCATCCCCTAATAAAATAAACCTATACCAATTTCTAAAGCCTTTCAGATACCCTACTCCTTCCCCTATCACTAATATTATTTCTCCAACGGACCCATCTTCTATCACTCCTTCCTGCGGGAAAGACTTGCCCAAACTCCCCAGCCAGCCAGGTGAACATCTGCTTCCCACTTGCCCTCCACTTGAAGTGTGTGCCTATATCAACATGCGCTCAAACACTATATCTTACTCTTAATCTCTGTCAAGTGCATAGCTTTCTCCCGCGCAAAGTGATACAGGCAGAGAAAATTCTATCTCAAGGGGACTGTATTTAATCTCTCCTGCATGTCTTTATCCAACAAGGCGAGTTTCAGATTCGCTGGAGGGAGATAATCAGAATCAGACTGATATTTCCCTGGATCTATCTTCCTCCCAATATGCAATTATTACGGATGATCCACATGATTGTTGTATAGACAATTTTGAGAAAGGCTTTGGACTCCTGGGAGAGCCGAATGCTTTCACCATTGACCCAGTATTATCCTCTGATAAAGACTCCGCAGGAATTAATCAGCTATACCTAACTAGCAACGAGTGTCATCTGCCAATTATTGAAGAGCTGGATACCGATAGCCTTGATAATGGCCTTTCACTGGATTTATCACATATACACAGTCATCCACAGGATTTTAATGAAAGAGGTTCTACTAAAGTTAATGTGAGTGGTCTAGTGGAATCTTCTTCTAGTCAAAGTAATTGCCAAAGGCCCGCCCATCACAATCTTGGGGTCAATATGGCACAATTCAGTGGGAACAAAAGTCACAATCGCAGTGAGCAGTTGGTAACCTGCAAGCGGTTATCTAGTGGAGTTAAGGGTTCGGAGGGGCGACCGCCAAAACGCCTCAGACTTGAAGATTGCTGAACATCACCCGGAGTGGATGGCGCGGATGATTACCTGGGAGACTTCCTAAAAATTTTCGACGTTGCCAGCACTGTCCCTATTGATCCGGTGGTCCCGCCTGCTGATGAAGGCCATCAAAGAGCTAGCAGAATACACCAGTCTCTCCACCAATGTGACAATATCAGCGTGAGAGATCAGGGTGCAGCTTGTGTACATTCCAGTACTCCAGTCAATCCACTAAACACGCCAGGTACATCCCCGGATTGCGATGAAAGATCTGCTACAACTGGTTCAACCCATGTTGATCCCGCTCAGACCCGAAGCACGCATCCGCCTAGATGAACTATTCGTCGTAGGGGCAAAGCCAGTGTGGTCAAGTCAAAAGGTCAAGACAGATCTTCAAGCAGTGTTGATTCACTATCTGCTTATGATCAACCAGCTAGGCAGGTAAAGAAACCAAGAGGACAAGCTTCAAAGCAGATTCAAATCATAAATACTATATCCCCCAGTAATAAATATAGCTTTACAGCCCTCTGTTCACACTTTCTCTCGTCACCTTTTAAGGTTCGTTTACAGCTTGTTTTGTGGCTATTTGAAACTGTACTATCTCACTGCATGCATGATTCTAGAGATACTGCTGGTACTGTGCATGATGTAAGCAAGGCAATTGACAAGGAAGAATGGGAAGTGGAGGAGATAGTTACTTCGCGACTCTTTCGCGGAAAACTTTAATATCAGGTGCGGTGGAAAGGTTGTGACCCTGACAAAACCTGGTATCCAGCGCATGGGTTCAAGGGTGCTCCACACAAGGTCCGAAACTTCCACAATACATTCCCAGACCAACCTGAACCCCCCAAGAGGCTGGGGGAATGGCTCAAAAGTTGGGAGTCGGGGTGGGAGCTTCAGGATATCTCAGATAATAACTTGCCAAGGTAGTTTATGCGACTTTTGCGACGTGCAGTGCTACCTGTGTCAAAGCAATCAGTGACTAAGGCCTAGAAGAACTGGACACTGATTCAGTTATTGGAATGTCTTGATACCTAGATAAAAGTATCCCTCAAGCATCCTCATGTGAAGTATTGTTTGCATAATTATGATAATTTGCTACAACAGCTACTTCTTGAATGAACTCTGTGTTTCAGTACATGACATGATGTGCAACCATACCTGCCAGTCTCACTTATCTGAGAGGGCTGCCAGAACCATAGCATTCACCCAGAAAATGGTACATGTGGTTTGTGTCTGTGACCACAAAATTATATGGTTTGGTGCAACAGCTTTCTGTTCAGTTGAGGCATATCTCTCCTCTTGACATCAGACTGGCACATCAACATGAATCTAGACCCACTTTAATTCCCCTAAAGGAGCTGAGCTCCTAAAAGTCATCACACTCCTGACATGGATAAATATGACATTCTCACTTTTGACACAGAAACAGAGACTAAGTCAAGTAATTGCCGTTGCTAAAACTGGACTCTATATACCCTAATTAATATCAAAGGGCCAGATTGATCGAAGGGTTTCCTCGTCTTTTACAGGTTCATCTTCATCCAGTCCTTGGTTTGTTAAAACAGCCTGCAACATCCCCGTGAATATCTCCTTGTGAGCCGATTCTGTGGCTTCCCACTTCTCAGGAGGCACCCATCCATCAGACGCTGTATTAAGTAGGTTTGAGAGGTCGCGTCTTAGAATCTGTGCCGCCTCAAGAAGTTTGTATTTCTTCTCATGATCTGCGAAGTCCTTTGGTGTGGGTAGAGGGTACGGACACTGGCCTACAAATCCAAGTTCTTTCCAACATTGAGCTGTCTCAATCATATCGTGGCGTAGTGCTACTGCCCCATCTTTCCAAGTCCTGTAGCTATAAGAAAAAGGCCGGAAGAGACTTTCATCCATCAGCTGAGGACCAGAGAGAATGGGTGTAAGGAACTGAGAAGAGATTTTAAAAGCTTCAGCATATACATTTTCCCCTGTCTCAGTAGGTGTTGCAAAATCCGGTATTTCATCGGAATACCAGAAAGCTGGCTCAATACTTGTCACCTGCCAGTCGATAATATCTGTAATAGTGGCAGGGTCGCCTTCCGAGACAAATATATTCCTTTTATGTAGATCTGGGTGGAACAGTAATGGTATGGCAGCTTCTGCAATTCGATGATCAGTAGACATTTGCTTCAGCACAGCTCGAGCGCTTTCTAACAGAGACCGGTGTATTCTGGTTGAACCATGATAAAAAGGTTTGTTATTGATATTAGAGTTGACTGGGGGGAGTCTTGAGAGACCTGCATCAATGAGACCATCACAAAATTCACCAATATTGCCCCCTGAGTCTTTCGTTAGCGCCACTGTTCAAATAAATAAGATATTCGAACTACTTACAGGGTCCTTGGTTCGGCTCCACACTATGATAATATCTCTGCTCACCAACAGAACAATCCCAATACCGAGTTCCACAGTGGGGCCCAATGCAGAACTCTTTATCCAAGGGATACGTACCACCAAAATCATGAGGTTTAGCGAAGTACAG